CATCCGTTTGTTGGTGGTGCGAGGTTGACATGTTCAGCTTGGTGCCGAGATGGTCGAACAGACTTGTCCAAAACAAGGAGGTGAATCGGGGGTCTCGATCACTGACGATGGACTTTGGGAGGCCGTGGTGCTTGAACACATGCTTGAAGAACAGCAGTGCAAGGTCAGGCGCGGAGCATGTCGTCTGGCACGGCACAAAGTGTGCCATCTTGCTGAACCTGTCGACAAAGACAGCGATTGCATCGTGGTCCAACTTGGTCGTCGGTAGATGCGTGATGAGATCCATGGACATGCTGGTCCAGGGGCGGTCGGGAACAGGCAGGGGTTGCAGCAATCCTTGCTCTCGGGTCGTGCGTGACTTGACCATCTTGCAGGTATGGCAGGACTCGATGTACTTCTCGACGGTGCGCTTCATTCCAGGCCAGTATGCGACTTTGGCCAGTCGGTCGTATGTCTTCTCGACTCCAAAGTGTCCAGCGAGGGGCGAGTCGTGGACCTCTTGGAGCAACTTGGTCTTCAACGACGGAATGTCCGGCACACAGACACGGCTGTCCTTCTTCAGGAGGAGCAGGCCATCACGCACTGTGTACTCGGATGATTCGTCGTCCTTGGGGAGCTTAGACACCTTTCGGAACAGTTCTCCGAACTGTTTGTCGTTGGCGATGTTGTCTCGGACAACATCCAGCATCGTGTTGTCGACACTGACAGTCGACTCGTACAGTGACGCCAATTGGTAGTCGGGGCGTCGGGACAGTGCGTCAGGCACCACATTGAGTTTGCCTTTCTGGTATACAACCTCGTAGTTGTACTCGGCGAGGAACTCCATCCATCGCGCTTGGCGTCGGCTCAGGTTCTTCTTGGTGTCGAGGTAACGCAGTGACTGGTGGTCCGTCACAATCTTGAAGGGCTTGGCGGTACCGTGGAGGTACACTCGGAACTTCTGCAGCGCGTAGATGATCGCAAGCTGCTCCTTCTCGTGCACGGGATAGTTGATCTCGTGTTGGGACAGTTTGCGCGACTCGAAGGCAACGGGCCTTCCCTCCTGCATCAAAACAGCTCCCACCGCAAGGTCGGAGGCGTCGGTGTGCACGGAGACATCCGTGTTCGGGTCGAACACAGCGAGGACAGGAGCGTTCGTCAAGGCGTGCTTGAGGGTCTCGAACGCTTGGCGTTGTGGGTGGTCCCACACGAAGGGGCACTCTTTGCGGAGTAGGTCTGTGAGTGGACCGGCAGTGCGCGCCAGATCGGGGATGAATCGGCGGTAGTAGTTGACGAGACCGAGAAACGACTGCACGTCAGAGACGCATGCGAGCGGCGGCCACTCGACCACAGACTTGACCTTGGCGGGGTCGACTTCGATTCCTCTTCCTGAGACAACGTGTCCCAGGAACGGGACTTGATTCTTGAAGAACTCACACTTGGACAGTTTGGCATACAACTTGTGCTCGCGTAGCTTGGCCAGCACGCGGGCGACATGACCTTCATGGGTCGCTTCATCCTTGCTGTACACAAGGATATCATCCAGGTACACGATGACAGAGTTGTCGAGCTCTTGGCGGAACACATCGTTCATCAGCTGCATGAACGTGGCAGGTGCGTTCGTCAATCCGAACGGCAGCACTAGGAACTCGTACAGTCCGTAGCGAGTCCTGAAGGCGGTCTTGTGGACATCATCCTCGTGGATGCGGATCTGATGGTAGCCTGAGCGGAGGTCTATCTTGCTAAAGACCTTTGCTCCACTCAGACGATCCATCAACTCGTCGATCCTGGGCAACGGGTAGGTGTTCTTGATGGTCTGTTTGTTTAGTGCGCGATAGTCGACGCACATCCTGAGATCACCTTCTTTCTTCTTGACAAAGAGCACTGGTGCACCATACGGTGACTGGCTCGGGCGGATGAACCCATGGGCGAGGAGGTCATCCAACTGGCGCTTGAGTTCGTCCATCTCCGTCAGCGACAGTTGGTACGTCGGTCTTGACGGAGGCGACGAGCCTGGTTCGATGTCGATGCGATGATCGACGGTGCGTTGGGGTGGCAGGCATTGTGGCAACTGGTCGGGGAATACGTCCTTGTACTCGTCGAGCAGCTTGGTCACCACAGGCGGGGGACCGGGACCGGCTTGGTCGGTGTCGTCGACCTCACGCACGACACAGAGGAACGACGTGTCCTTCTTGATCAGCCTCTTGAATTGCATGGCTGAGAGGAGAGGTGGCATGTTGGGTGAGGCCATGCCCTGCAGGACAATGTCAGGGCCAACACGGACAGTGCGGCCTTTCCAGTCGACGACTGGAGTCGGCTCGGCACGAGCAAGCCAGCTCATGCCGAGGATGGCATCGAACTTGGTGTCGATCACTTGGAACAACAGGACAGGATGGTACTTGGGATGGAGGGCCACTCGCAGGACCACTTGGTGTGTGCACTGCTGCACACGATCGTCTGCAAGCGCCACACTCATCGGCGACTTCTTCTTGGTTGCATGTATGTTGAGCTCCTGGAGCAAGCGTCTGCTGACAAAGTTGCAGCTTGCTCCAGAGTCCACCATCATTCGGACGGTGTGACCTTGGACGGTGGCAGGGAGGTACAGCAGGGACTCTTCATGGTCCTCCTGCACAGCCTCCTGCACCATGACTTGACTTGGGGGAACGGGCGACACTTGGTCTTGGTTGGCTTCATCACGGCCACTCGGACATTTTGGATAGGGTTCGGCCATTGCGGGGGCCTGCGGCGTCAGCACGCCATTGCACACGACGTCCACGGCTTGCGGACACATGTCGGAAGCATCCGACACACACGACTTGACAGGGGTGAGGGCACAGGCGGTCCTGTCCCTCAAGGGTTCTTGATTTTCTTTTTTGTTTTGGTTTTCAATTTTGGTTTTCTCTTCACGTTCGTGGAGAGGCAGGCGGCTTGCGCCACCATGCACCTCTCGCACGACGCACAACACTTGGTTTGTTTCTCCTTCGGGGGAGGGGGCGAGGTGAACTTCCTCTGGAGACGCGTGGACTGCATTGAGCAATCCACGGCGTTGGTCTCCTACTAGGGCTCCAGAGCCACCTAGTAGGGTCGGCCGTTTCCCGACTTCATGGGGCACTCCTTGGCCTGGTGTCCCGGTCGGTGACAGAAGAAGCAGGAACCATGGCGGAGGTCCTCCTGCTTCTGTCTGTCCTTGGGGGAGACAGTGGCAGCTTGCTGGAACCGGGAGCGGGGAGGGCCACGAGCCTCCATGGCGTTGACGTCAACGTCCATGGGCTCAGGCATGGGTCTTGCGGGCGGGGCCGGGCGAGGCGGACGGGCTGGGACGTGATGAGACCGATGGCCGCCTGCCAGCTGCGGGTAGAACTGGCGGCCATGGTACTGGACGTTGTCGAGGTTCTCGGCAACGTCCATCATCACGTCCAGGGACTTGCGGGCATCAGGGTTGCTGGCGATGTACTCTCTGATCTTGGGCTTGAGGCCCTTCTGGAAGAGGTACATCGCATCAGCAGAGCCCAGCTCCTCAATCTGGGAGGAGAGGTCTTCAAACTCCTCGATGTAGCGGGTCACAGAACCACGCTGCACGAGAGAGTATAGCTTGTCACGGGCAATGAGTTCAGCATTGGGGCTGCCGAAGCGGCGACGGAGGCGGTCCTTGAAGTCGTCAAACACACCTTCGCTCTGCTCGTCGAACCCTTGGCGGCGGTACCAACGGTACGCCTGGTCCTTTAAGCAGAGCTTGGCGGCGACGATGTGGTGGGTGGGGGCGACTTGGGCAGCATCGAGGTAGTCCTCGAGTTGCTGCAGCCAGTCCTCCACCGAGGAGGAGCGGCTCTTCCCAGTAAACACTGGGGCACGGAAGGTCTTGAGGAAGGCTTCCGGAAGTGGGCGGGGGTTGCTCATGGCAGGGGCAGGCTCCAGGGACAGAGAGGAGAGTCGGTCGGCAAGAGAGGCGGGATCCAGCTTGAGGATCTAGAAAGAGGACAAACAGGACGAAAACAAGACGAGGATTTCCGATGCTACCATGTAACGTCCACTACTGGGACGTTGGGGCAAGACGGGGAGGGAGGGGGTACAAGACAAGACAGGACGGGGCAGAACAGGGCGGTGCTAGGCTACTCTAGCGGACGGGTGAGCTCGGGGAGCACTTACGTTTATTCACGATAAAACCGAACTCCAGACAAACGGGGGGAACGGGGGCAACCCGCAGGTATACCCTGCGGTGGCCTGCCTGCGGTGCGTGAAAACGCAAAGCGCAGCACAGGTCACGACCCACTGCGCCGCGCAGTACGCGCAGTACGCGCAGCACAGCGTCGGAGATACCATCTCCTACAGTCGTGGTCATGGCACTCGGGGGCAGCTGAGATTGGCGACCACCGGAACCCAATTGCGTCATTTGTTAGATTAGTTAGTTCATTCATCCTTTCATTGATCACGGCGTGGCTTATCCCCGACTGAGCTCTATGGTGCGATAGATAGACAGCTGAGGTATAATTAGACGCTCTCGGGGACGAGAGGAGAAAGCTCACCAAGTGAATGATCTTCTCACTACTTCAATATAAGATCATCACTCTTCTGAACTCTGACCACTCCCAGTTCCCACGCCTCCTGTCCTTGCCCCGCCTTATTTCCGTGTCCTGTACTTTACAACTGCGGACCAGAGAAGAACGCGTCCCTTCGAAATGTGAGATTGTCGCGGAGAAATGAGCTTTATTATTTTCAGGACTCGGCAAACAGATTTCATAGAGTTCGCCTCCTGTCTGATTCTTACAGCCCAGACGGTCCACATATCCCATGCAGCCCACGCAAGTCATCCATGTATTAAGGTATCTCGTGTATAAATCAGTTTTTTTCTTCAACGGCGATTTCGATCACCATGCCGGTCTGTCGAGAACATTGCTCTGTTCTTAGTGCCGATTCATTGTTCGTTCCTATTTAATCGCCATTCTTTTCGCATATCCGTGGTGCCCTCCTCTCCCCTCTCACTCTCCTTCCACCCACTTCTTGTCAGAGCCAGTCTCTCAAGGCCCTCTGCTTCGTTCACGTATTCGTCACAATATCAGTAAAGCAGGATCATTGTGATGGAGCACACCCCTGAACCGTGTATGCGTTGTTGGTCACCAATGTATCTCATAAACTCGATGTCACATTCTGATTTATAGCGTCTATTCTCGCCCGAATTACCATCAAACTCACTGTATGCGCAGGGGCTGCCATGGATCAATGAACGGCCAGACACATTTACTCCTGTTCAGTTACTTTGAGCTCGGCGAGAAGTTCCGTAGCCTCCCTGTGGACCCTGCCGTTTTTCGACTGTATGTTGATCGCATTCTGTGCATACACCTTGGCTTTCGTGTAGTTTTTGTCGTTGGTCTCGATTCTCGCGAGCTTCAAATATACCTCTTTGAGAGAAGTCCTTGCTACATCGATCTCGGCGCATTGGACGATTCGCGCAACATACTCCTCCAAATACTTCTTTGCTGACTGATTGTCTCCGCACAAGATGCAGGTGCATCCCAGTTCGTATAGCAGGCCCAGGACAGATTCGGGAGACGAGTTGGGCATCATGCCCATGCGCATATCAAGGGCATTTTCGTAGTGTGCACGCGCATCTTCGTACTTGCCCATGGAACGGGTTGCGCTCCCCAGTTGCAGCAGCGAATGAAGTATCGAATTATGCGGCCGGCCAGCATGGATGGTTCGCTGCAATTCGAGAGCTTCGCGAAATTTGGCCGCCGCAACTTCATAATCACCCTTGGCCTCGGCTACTCGACCGATTTGAAGGATCGTTGCTGCGACACCCGAGTGCTCACGCGTACCGAATCCAGCTACACGAATATCCAGTGCTTCTCGGTAGTAAGTGAGCGCTTCGTCAAGCTTGCCTTCGGCGATTGCCACGTCACCCAAAGCATGCAATGACGTGGCTACGTAGGTATGCTTCCGCGTGTTGTAGCTTGCAATCTTGATTTCGAGAGCCTCTTGGTGGTATGCCCGGGCATCGCTGTATTTCTCCATAGCCAAACTTACGCCACCAAGGGCATGAAGCGTTCCTGCGACATAAGGATGACTTCTCGTACCGTATTTCAGCACTTCGGCCTCCAAAACTTTGGAATAATGGCTGAAGGCGTCGTTGTATCGACCTTCTGCCATGTCGATTCCCCCCATGGCATAGTGTGCACCGCTTTCAACTTCGCGGCCCTCAGCTTCCGGCAACTTTGCAGCAATTTCGATTGCTTCCTGGTGGTAGACCTTGGCTTGCTGGATGCTTGCAACCTTTCGGGTGACCATTCCAAGCTGATTCAGATTATCGGCAATCGAGGAATGTTCACGTGTTCCGTAATACTCGACTCGGATTGCCAGCGCAGTCTGAAAGTGCTGTATAGCGTCCGTATACTTGGCCTGCGCTTCGACCACGATTCCCAGTTGGTGATATGCCTGGGCCACCAAGGGCTGTGTTCTAGTTCCGTAGAAAATCTCCATTTTTTCGATCGCTTGAACCAAGATTTGATTGGAGACTCGGAGCAATCCTCGAGAATATGCCAAGTCAGCATTGATCAAGTCGATTTTGACTTGATACTCTTGATCGTATTGCTTAGGAGAGGTCACGGATGCAAATGCCTGTAGATGGATTCCAATCTCAAGGGCGCTTTTGCTGAACGGAAAACTGCCGACGACTTCACACAGTACTTCCGCAGTAGACCGAACGACATCTGCGAGCCCATATTCCTGCATGCTATTTCCACTTGTACACAGATCTCGAGAGACTTGTTGGACAAGTCCGTGCGTGTAATATGAATCGCCCGATCGACGCCGAAGCAGCCCAACCTGCTGCATAGCGTATATCACATCAGCTGATAAAAATAAATCGGAATTAGTGCGATAGATCGACCGACGGTCGCGGGCGCGAGCACACATATCGATTCCACTGCCGATGTTGGAGCATTTGTGGGCCCGATAAATTCCAGAGCCTTCAGCCCATAGGACGCTCCCTACTTCCTGACTTAATGGTGGTTACAGTCAACCATCCGTATCCCTCTACTCTTTGATTTACTTACGCGGTCGCTCGCAAGTGGGATCAAATCGCTTGATAAGACTTTCAAGCAGCCGGAACTGAATCCAACTGGAATCCAAATACCCCACAGCTCCACAAAGCTTCACTGCAGTGCTTGCAAAAGAAGTGTGCTTCTCGTTCAGCCATCTGAGCGCCCATTCGACCAGGGCCCGCAAGCACGTCTTCGAAGGGTCGTCGTCGTCGCTTTCATTGGAGCCTTGATGCGAGAGAATCTTGCTAAAGTCCGTTACAACTACCGAGAGCGGTGGCTGACGCGCCTCGTAGTAAGAGATGAACTGCTCGACCACAATAGGATAGCCATTGATGATAGAGAGGAGCGACTCGAAGTGTACCTTGTCTGCAGGAGTAGAGACCGCAGTGTGCAAGGAGTCGCATCGAGAGAGTATGTAGCCTTTTGTCTTCGAGGTGTCCCAGACTTCGAGTGAGAGGATACTTTGCTTTCGGGAGCCGCTTGTCATCTCCAGCGCTCGCTGGAGTTTGCCCGGCGGGAGGGTTTCATAGCGAGTGGTGATCAACACATCTCCTCCGAATCGCTTGAGCTTGGCAAAGACCTGGTTGGTCACCTCGATATCGTCGACATTGTCAATCACCAGGAGATAGCGCTTCTGGGCTTCGAAAAACTTGGAGGCATGGCCCAGTATATCCTTGTGAGCGACGCCCTCAAACTCCTCAATCGAGAGAAGGTCATCGGTCGCTGCTTCGACAGAGGAGCACGTCACCCAAAATACGTTGCTATATGCGCATTGTGTTTTGACGGCATTGTGGACGAATTGTCGGGCCAAAACCGATTTGCCCATACCGCCCATGGCGCTGATTATTGTGACGCCTTGGTTGACAATACTGGACTCGATCTTGAGCAGCGTTTCGGACTGAAGAAGTAGGTCTGAAGGGATGTACAGTCGGCCCATGCTCAGCTTGATTGGATCCATACTAGCGCCGGCGGCGGGATCGATGGCATCGAGGAGGTTGTATACGATCGAAAAGATATTCTCCGGGTCGATATCGGCAATCTGTCGCTGACACAGTCGACCCAAAGCATCTCTCATTTTGTTGTAGAGCGGGCCATCAGGGACGGGGTAGGCGTATGGCCGAAACGGCAACTTTGAGTCTCCGGTCTAGGAGAGCCACACATGGTTCCCATTGAACAAATCACGATCATATCACATGGTGAGCTCATAAGAAAGGGTCGGAAGCCAAGCAAAACGCTGATCTCCCACGACTAGACCTCAACGGATACCTTTGCAACCACAGCTAGGGGGTGGAGTTTGATCGATGGGGTCTCGTCTGCCAGGGTGATGCCGGCCTCGATTTCGTCTAGCACTGAGTCAACGGCCTGGAGCAACCACCAGCCGCAAGCAAGGGCCGTAGGTTAGGGCACGACGCTACCGACTTAACTTTGGCTATGAATAGGCCGGGCTACTCGTCCAGCCAAACACCGACATTTCGCCCGATGGGTATGCCGAGTTGTCGGGGACTCTCCTACAACCACAGCCGAGTGGCACGCTTGTGACCAACCTGGTTAGCGAGTTTATCCTTGGCCATGATATCCAGCGATGCTTGGCTCAGCAAGTACACGATAACGCTGCTGCTTTTGAGCCCATTCATGAAGTCTTGGTGGAAATTTTCACCTGGATTAAGACATTTGCGGTCGAGGTACACACGCACTGTTCTGCCCAGCCGACGGCGTCCGACCTGTTCGAGAGCCTCACAGAGAGCAATCGAGAGGGACTGCTCCGAAGCGACTCGGTAGGATATGAAGTAGTCGTGAGTGGGGCTGTTGTGACCCCGGCATGTGTATGCCCCGCTGAAAGACATGGCGGCTGCGACTGCGATGAGGGAGACAACGGCGATGAGGGAGACAACCTGGTCCGGGTGGGAGGCAGGCTGGGCTTGGTGAGACCAAAGCCGACGAGGCGACCGAGAGCGTTCTCGCCGACGCCGCCGAGGAGGTCCGTGACATGCGGTTCCAACCCATCCCAAGTTCCAACCCATCAGGATGTCGAGTCGGCAACCTCGAGCCCAATGGCAGGAGCGGCATCTGTGAGCTGAGGCTCTCCGCTGCAGCATAGGCAGGGGCCAGTCCGACGCTCAAACGGAAGACGAGATGATATTTGCTCGGCTACTTTCTGCAGGAGCGACAGCCAAAACTTATAACACAGTGATGTACGAAGCGGCTCAAGACCTCCGGGAGCACCGTTTTGGATCCTCGCCGTCCCGGTCCAGCAGAAGTAGGATGCGTCTCCACATCGTGATTATCCAGATACAGGTCGTCAGGCACGTGGCACTGATGCCAAATTGTTTTGCGGTGGGAAACTCATCGCTGCTCAGGCGAACATGTATAAGTGGGAGGGGTATGCCTTGGAGTGAAGCTCCGGCTGAGTAACCATCATGAAGAACAACCCATGACAGCTTCCGAAATAGGCAGGGGAGTTGAGGAGCAAGTGCGTTTGCGGCGCTCACGCTCTCACTTCTGGTACGTCGAGTAGATTGAATTGAAGTTTCGAGCCTGCTCAGCTTGCCGTGGCCTGGATGGTTGGCGGCCAGATGCGTTGCTGCGACCGCCGCCATCATTTTCCCGACGTCCTTCGTCCCGCCGTCCTTCATCCCGCCGTCCTTCGTCTCGTCCCCGAGGCCGAGGCGCCACACTTTCGTGGTTATTGCGGCGAGGGCCAGAGTCCTGACGTTGAGGGGTGGGACGCACGACGGAGCGGGTTGACTCGCTCCGGGTTGCCATCTTAGGAGGCGGTCCACGCTCGTTGGTCGGCACTTTACGTGGGGCGGACGACTGTCGAGTGGCATATTTCGGACCAGGACTTGAGGTGCTGGTGCTAGGGCTTGACGAGGGCTTTTGATACATGGAGAAAGTCATGCTGTAGTAATCATTCTTGCGATCCCGCGATGCCGTCGATGTGCTGTGCTTGTCAGACGTGTCGGAGCGGGAAGCGGTGCCAAAGGCCTTCTCGGAGGAGCCAGGAGAGCCACCGTGTCCAGCAACATGATCTAGCGGAGATTAAAGGTGTCAGCAATGGTCGATAGATAGCTCCGTGTGGCGGTCACGCACCTCCTCCGGGCTCCCAGATTGGATCTTTGGGGATGATCCAAGAACAGCGACCCGCAGCACAACTCGTCAATCGAGACAACTCACTGATTTGACCAATCGTAAACTCGCCGATGACGAGCACGAGAGCGAGGAAGCCGAGAATGAACCAGAATCCAAATATGTATGTCATCGGGACGCCGCCATAGGCCTGGAGCCCCAGGAACATGGTAATAACGCCCATCAAGACGAGGGTGCGACCCAGCCACCTATAACAAAGCACGATTCCACGAATTAGCACCCACAGAGAGCGCCAGCATCGACACAGAAGTACCATGGCTCCGTCGAATATTCGCTCGACAAGCCTCAACTCCCCGTGGCATTGCCAACAATATCAGAGAATCACTCACCAGTGCAGTTTGTCCCACCACGGTACCGACGGTCGGTCCGCGCTCCATAGGTGGTTAGAAACAAAGCCAAGGACGAATTGCAGAAGCATCAATCCAATCATGGAGACACCGGCGCCCTGAACCACAGTGAAGACATAAGGTCGTCAGTCCGGTACGGCCACGCGTGTGCGAGCAAAGTGCTGCGTTCCGCCAGAGTCTATAGCTCACCTTATGGAGGGTATTGCTGGTGAAATCGACTTGGAATCCATCGAGTGACAACATCAAGCCAGCAGCCAGGAGAGTGAATCCGCCGGTCACACCGATCATAAGACCCAGATGGAGGCGGTACCACCAATGGCCCAGCTTGTCCTTCATGAAGCGAGCGATGAAAATGCTTTTTGGACAAGCAGACACACGAAATCAAAAATGGATGGTGAGTTTGTCTGGCTTGACTCGCCAGCAATCAATGGCTTTGTATCGTGGACTACAATGACAGTAGTAGTAAGCTGAGTCGCCCACAACCAGACCTACCCGACGAATGGAACAACTCCCCAGGCAGCAAACATCATGATGCCGTGCAACAGCGGGAATAGCAGCTCCGAGCTCATGGGGGCAGGCGGTGCTGGGGCGGGGCCGTTGGTACTGTTGGAACTGGGAGGAGGTTGAGCGACGGTTCCCGCATAGGACGGGTTGCTGATAAAATTCATCGAGATGCCCACGCCGCCGTGAACCGTATGGCGGCCAATGTTGCTGCCAGAGTCCTCGGGTGGAGTTCCGGTGTTTCCCGCAAAAATAAAAGTTGTACCGGCAGTGCTGGAAAGGGCGCCGCTGGAGGCGCCTGTGGGTGCACGGAGAGGCCGAGAGATGGCAAAGACGACCGAGTAAGACCCTGAGGAGGGGCACGACGCAGGCTTCGGCACGACGCTGAAGCTGACTGGATTGGCGCTGTTGATGGCGTGGCTGGCGGAAGTGAACTCTTGGACATTGATACCGCCGGTGCTGTTCTTCCAGCCGATGTAGATGTCGGAGCCCTGCATCATGGTGCCAACACCAAAGGCAGCCCACCTGGGACCATGGATCCAAATGAAATCAATGAGATGCCGATGCCTTGTAAGGTCCGCATGATCTACACGGTCCACACGGTCCGCACGGTCCGCACGGTCCGCACGGTCCGCACGGTCCGCACGGTCCACAAGATCCAGACAAACTGCCGTGTTGTCTTGGACCAGTGGGAGTTCCGCCTACCCGGCAAAGTTGGCGCAGAGCGTCAGGATCATGTTCTCTTTCGAAGTATCCAGCTGCCCAACGAGCCATGAGTTGGTGGTGGGCTCGGTATATCCACAGAGCCCATCGGGGTTGTTGACGCATGTCTGGGCATGGACTGCGATGGTAGAGAGCGGAACGAGGAGTCAGCCCGGGTACGTTGAGTTGGGGGAGGATCGGTTTCGGCAACCGAGGATCGGGACTGATAATGGGAGTCGCACGAGCGACGACCTACCGTCGATGGCAGAGAACGCCAGTAAGGCGCTCAGCCAGAAGATTGACGAGAGCATCGGGGGGCGACAGATACACAGCACAAGCAGCGGTGCTCGGCGATGCGCTGGTTTGCAAGCGGGAGGTGAGAGAAGTCGCCGGTCCTCGAGATGGCTGACGGCCAAGGAAGCCAGGAGGCAAAGACGTGGCGAGGGCGGGACACGAGAGCCCGACCCAAGCCAGCGTCGGGTCACACACACCCTCCCTTGCACGACGGGATGTGACACTAGGGCCAGGGAGCGCGTTCGCACAGCGCGAGCACAAGCTGCTGTTGCTGTCGGCGCCCTCCCTCCCCTTGTGCCGCTGTCCGTTCGCAAAAAAGACGCACTTCCCCTCTTGCCGCAACTCAAACCAACGAGTCGCGCGACGTGTGCGGCACGTTTCCGGCGCGCTCGAAACGCGGCCTTGGCGCGGCTGAGTCGGCCAACCAAATCGCGGGGTGTGACGCGCCAAGGCATCGCCACGCATCGCCACGTATCGCCACGCTGCTGCTGATTCGCGCTTCGGCAACCAGTCCGACACGGATCGTGCAAAATGATGCAAATGCTCGCTGTTCGATATTCGATATGCCAACTGCCGCAGGCGAACGCGCCGGCATCTTCCGACGCCGCCAGGTTCAAATATACAACAGAGTCTTTCCATGCCCCAGACGCAAATGCTCTCGCAGTTGCTGCGCCAATACATCAACCCCAAGCTTTGCAGCTTGACCCGCGATGCGATTGAGACCCTCATGAAGCGCTGTGAGGGTTTCAATGGTCGCAACGCTGCTTCCCATGCTGCTTTCTTCGAGGCTCAGCAGAGCCGTTGCGTGCTGTCGGCGTGCGATGCACTGAAGCAGATTCACTGTTAGATCGCTCTTGGGCTCATCGAGCCTCAGAGCCCAGCAATGATTTGGTGGCCAGTGCTGCATTGTCTTCGCCATCCATAAACCTTGGCTCCATCCCCACCCACCCCGAATCCGGTCGCCTCATTTACAGCCTCACGTCCAACTGCGACCATGCTCGCTTCCCATGTCCATAACTGCATCGATAATATCGCTCTACTCACATGAGCCAGCGCAGCGGCAATGACTCCTGATGCAATGTTTGGTGATTCTAGGTGCTGGATCTCGTTCGGCAACTGCTCATTCGATCGGGAACCGAATTGCTCGTCAGCACCGCGCCAGTGCTTGATAGACTCGATTGCATTGTCCGGTCGCAGCTTTGGCTCACCTGATGCAAGGTATCCAACCCCCTGAGCAGAGGTGGGCTCACGTTCTCCATATCGGCATCAGCGGACTGATACTCGGTGATTCCAAAGGATCCCAAAAGCACGTATCTGCGCAAGGGAGAGAAGAGGGCGATCAGTACGCCACGAAGCACTGCCCAAATGCTCTGTCGGGTGCCCTCGATAGTTTCGCCAACAATACCAACACCGAGCGCATGGCGATTCACTCCCAGCATGAATTGCAGCGACCACAAGATGAGCAAAGACACACACCTCTCTGCTTCGATGTGCTCAAAGAAAACCTTGGTCCATTCAAAGGCGTGCTCTGGTGGGACCTCGTATCCAATTGCCACAACAAGAGTGCCAATCTCGTCTTCAGGCACAAGTATTGGGCAGCTCCGGTTTGAAATCCTACTTCGGTCGAAAGAGCCCCCAGTCTGTGAAGTACGACATCGGAGAGGTTAGAGCTTCTAGCTCCGTCCGATTGCTTCGGTGACCGAGTTGGCCTCACTCTGGCGAGATTGGAGCTCAAGCGCAACTTCGTCGACGTACTGTATCAGCAAACGGAGCCAAAATGTGGCCCACGACCCGAACGTTAGGATATCTGGAGCGAAGATACAGCTGTCCAGCGCCATATGTTCCAATCAGAGCTCGAGATATCTTGAGTTTGCGGGGATCCTTGTCGTTTGTGACAATATCTGGGGACCACTGGATGGAGATACGAAAAGAAATACCTCGGAATCAGTAATCACTCGCCTGTTTTACCAAGCCGGCGTTGCACGGAGGGCAGGATCGTTTTGGAGAATCATGAAACCAGCTTGCCCCAGGGTTCGAGGCCAAAGACCGTGCCATCAAGCTGTCGGATCGACGGCACGGTTTCTACCTGGATCATGGGCCGGGTCCAGAGACGCTCCTTCTGTGCCGTCTCGAATGTGTCGAGTGCAACATCACTCTCCTCAACCTCATAGTCCCGACCGAGGTCGACGGAGTAGGGCCAGATATCCTGTTGATTGCCAAGAGACAGACATAATCAGCTCGGATGCATGTGCGTTTGCTGCCCAGCATCAGCGCAATCCGGGCTATCGACAGACGCCAAAGCCACCATACCATTTTTTGAGAGATGCGCTGGCGCAGATGCTGCAGGGCCGCTCTGCAGATCGGGTCTGGCGGTTTTCAGGCCGTGGTCTTGGTCGGCCCTGGCCATGCGACCCTGGTCATCCGGCTCGAGCCGGAGGGAGCCGGAAGGAGCCGGATTGGCTGGCTCGTGCTGCTGACACGTGAACGCCCTCATGCCTCCTCCAGCTTCATTCCCAGGCAGCCGCCCGCACCACCCAGCTGGTAGTCATCCAACTCCTCCCTCCCCAGCATCAGCCCTCCATCTGGCTCTGCGGCATCCCAGACGGCACCGTTCCGCGCATCGGCGCCACAAATCTCACCAGAAGCCAGGAGCAAGCAGCAGACAAGTGTGTCTCGCAGTGGTGTCTATCGCCCTCGAGTGAAGCCAGCATCCCAAGGTCATGTCCCGAGCGGCCCTTGGAGCCCAGTCCGACAGTCCGCCAGCCCGGATCGTCCTCGATAATCTTGCTGGGTCTTCCGGTCTTGACTCACTCCAAGGTGCCCAGAACCGCGGTCTGGTGAACATTTTGGTGCCTGCAAGCTTTGTGCCATCCATTCTGCGTCTGCTGTCAGCATCGGCGACACTCAATCCGCGAACCCCTCCACAGCCGACCCCGGATTCACCTTCGCTCTCTGGATCTGCACGCGATGGCAGAGGCCTGAGACCAACGCCCCCAGGCTTGCGTCGCTCCACCACACCTCCTTTTGCCGAGCAGGATCTCGGCCGGGCACCATCGGCCAAGATTCGCCCAACTGGAACTGGCCCCAGTCCGAGCTCTCCGCTCGCCAAGACCCCAAAATTTGAGCGGCTGTTACGGCTCTTGATCTGCGTCTTGAAGCTCAACCTTGCCATTTCATCGCACCCGAGGCAACCGTGGCTGACGCCTCCCCTCGACCTTATCGCAAAACAGATCTCGCTTCTTCGAATCCTCGCAGACTCGGCTGTGGTCGTTCGGTCGCTTGAAACCCTCCACTATCTGTGGCGATTCCTTTCGACATCGCTCTCTAGACAAGATTCTGCTCTCCACGCTCTCGTCTCGCCGCACGCGCTGCCGCCTTCTGACACCCGGCCCGGTGATCTGAGCTGGCGCCGATACCAACAGCAAATTGCAGTCTGGCGATCGATTTTCCTGTCCATAAGAACCTCATTGGACCTGGCCAATCTCCTCTATCGTGCACGCATCATCCGGCTGCCACAGCGGATCCATACCTATCGGGCACTGCAAAAGTGGCTCATGGTCTCTTGGCTTGTGGTTGCTTTATTCGATCTCTCGGACCACATTGTGGATATGTACCTGATCTACAAGAACTGTGCCATGATGGGACAGCAGCTCTCGTGGGCCAAGGGCTGTCTGGAGGGCGAGAAGCAGATCATGCTCGAGGAATGGTCCCAGCATGCCCGCTATTGGGCCGAAGCCTCCGTCAGCTCAAACAAGAAATTAGCCGAACTCTTTGGGGTCCTCATGCAGCTCTACGAGCTACAATACCCGGCCGACCAGTCTGGCAGTATGCCTTTCCCGCTCTTCAGAAATCTCTGGGGATTTGTGTTGATATGTTTGGAGCTCTATTCGCCCAGCCTGCCACTGCTGGTCAAGGGAGCGGCGATTCCGACGAACGCATGAATCTCCACAGCAGAACGGCGGAGATTCTGCTGTGGAACCAGCGGGGTCTCGAGAGCCCTGGTCGATTCACGAAGGTGGTGTATCCCTATCATGAAGGAGGCGTGGATCTACAGTCGGTCCAGAAAAAAAACGGGACACTTCCCCTTTCTGGCTTCGGATGTCTGAACCCCGCTGACTGACTGTAGGCCCAGCGGGCAAGCCGTGAGATTGTTTCCCGTCCTGGTTGGCAATCGAGTGGTTTTGGTTGGTTTGGGAAGCATGGTCTTGAATACACCCGGTCGATCTCCTGTGGCGATGATCGACTGGCATACCGAGATCATGTTCCTTGAGGCATTGATGTCTCGATGTGTGAGTGTGGTGCATTCACTCGACCCTCTGGACAACTCCATGGTTTATCGATATAAAGATGGTGCTGTGCTTGGCCATGAATGCAATGAGTGGGTGGGTGTATTCAGGTTCCAGAAAAAAACACTGTCCTGGTTAAAACGGGGGTGACCCGTTTCATTTCGGATATGCTGTAAAGCACGATTCTGTGTTATTTTGAACGAGGTGTGCAAAACAACCCCCCTCAATGAGAAAGTTGCCGTTGCCGCCCATTGCTGCCATCTTGCCAGCAACACCATTGCTCTGCTAGCTACTTGTTCCTGGTTTGCCGGGCTTCCCGTTGCCTTGACTACAAACCATTACATCTTAGTAGTGGGGGTAATACAGCGCCCCTAGACCCTCTTCCACACCATGACGTCATGGAGAGTTTGGCAGCCAGATTGATCCACAAACAAATCTTCATAGAGCAGCCAGATGCCCTCTTTCTGGGCGTCATCAACTCCGTTGGAAACTGACTGGACGTCATAGAGTGTCGGCTCCCCAGAGAAGGTGTTAAGTACGGCAATCTTGCGTCTTTGCTCATCGTCATCCTCCATCGTTGGCGCCAAGGTTGAGGCCATCACAGTTGTTGGCCCGGCCGACGATGCCTTGTTGAGAACAATTCTGGATTCATCCCAAGAGATCCCGCGGATCGAGTGAATGTCGTTGCCAGAGATGGTGTGAGTCCAGATGCGCTCAAGCTTGCGCAAGCTATAACCGCGAAGCTCCAAAAAGCTAGTATTGCTGATGGTACTCTGGATTTCTACCATGATGGCGAAGCGTAGAAGATGAACTCGAACGACGAGAGCGCATCCGTTGGCAACGTCGCTACAGACGCCGAGCTGCGAGCCATCGCTGGCGTTTCGGAGCGTGATGAGATACGAAACTGGTGCTCGAGTGCCTTCTCGGGCAACATGGTTGAGAGTAAGCACAACCACGGCCGACTCATTCAGGTCCACAGAGTGAGCCACACTTTTGTGCTTCCAGAGCATCCTTGGAGTCAGCTCTGGCGACTTTGGATCGTGCACATTAGGAGGGTGTTTCGGCCGCATCTCAGAGACGACTTTCCTCTGTATACCCGACGCTGTTTTGCTTTGTGTTGCTGGGCCTGTCTTGCTGAGTGCAGGGGCAGTCTCCACATGGGCCAAGTCGACTGAATCGGAGTGCAAATGGTACAAACTGAGCCCGACCTCTGGCGAGTCGCTTGGGCTGGCCGCGGCTGGAGCAGTCACCACGAGGCCGTAACTACCACAAATCCGACCGGCGATGTAACGTTCCTGCGAGCCTTTGAATCCAATAGAACCAAGGGTGCGCTTTTGTGTTTTCGAATCCCAAAAGTAGAGCCTGTCTCCGAAGCTGTCACGGAACCCGATGATGGGCGAGCGGATCGACGGAACAAATGAGTCACACTGCTGCAGCTCGAGGGATGAAGCATAATCCTGCCCGTCGTCTTGGAGTAGATTCAGACACACTAGAGGCGGATGGAGGCTGGTCGAAGACTGCTTTCGCTTGCTCCGCCCCTCCATTCCACGAAAATAGCAAATTTTGTGGGTGGAGCCCGAAGAAATGGGCTGGGCTGCTGCCGGCGTCGTCGCGACGCCTGTGACGGTTGGGGTCGCTGCGGCATTTTCGTGAGAAAACCAAGTGCAAGCCAGCCAGGACGACGGTGCCTCGGCATCTGGGAGCATGGAGCAAACAGGTTTGGCGGCATAGCATCCGACGATGAAACGTCGATTGGCGCATGGCATCGAGTTGAGCTTGGCGATTCCGGAGATTATGGGGGCTCGCTGTAGCTTCCTGCCTTTCCAGAGGCGGCCCTCTTCCCAAATCACTCTGCATTTGGCCAAGGTGGCCCAAGTTTCGGTGCTCAGTTTGATGGAGTCGTGGAAAAATCGAGCTTTGATCACATGCGGTCGCCAGAGCACCTCATCGAGCTCTTCAATCTTGTCGTAAAAAAAGCCCGATACTCGGCACATTTTCTGAAGATCCTTAGGCAAGAGCCGGCCAAGAATTCGGACCAGAACGGCATCAGGCAAGCGCTGAAAGGAGTCGCTCTGTGAATTGAGAGCCTCAACACTCATGCTGGCGATGGGTTGAGTTGCAGAGTGAATGTCAACTGAGTGCGTCAATATGCGGCGTTGATGGCTGGAAAAAAAAAAAGAGCCCAATGGTCTATATAAGATTCCTCCTCTATTCCAGAGTGAATTCACCCGGTGAAGCGGTGGGAAAGGAGGCTGAAATACTCGGTGTTTTTCAGCCGTACCTGTGTCTTGTGAAGAGCCGTGCAGATAGCAATCGAGCACCCCTGGTCCGATAGATAGATTCTGTCCGGCAAGCGTCTGGGATTAAACCGCCCAAATTGAAACGGGACAACGTATATCTCCCAAGTCAATGATGTCGATCGATCACCGGGCTAAAGGATGTCGATCGGTCCTCACACTATTGTGATATATCGACCGCAGAGAATATTAAAGTCTGGTGCGGATTCTTCGGGACCAAGTCCCAGAAAGTAACCTTCCTATACGGTAGGGTCGGCGTGCTTGAGTCCAAAAATGACGATATGTCCCATTGTCTACGCTATAAGCCCAATTGAGATCGAATCTGGATCACAGGCGACGATCGATTCGGTTGGCCGGTTGTGGTGCGAGTCGATTGCAACCGATTCCGGCGGGCCAGAGACGAGCCTGAATTGCTACGCATTGTGTGAGAAAATAACAGCTTCCCAAATGAAACGGGACACCCTGCTGTGAGTCAGGGTTGTCGTTGTTTTCTGGTCCTGAATACACACCATTCATCACCCACCACGACCAAAGAGCATGTTCGCGATGCCTGGAAGCCGAGCGACTCCAGAAGGTCGACTATCTTGATACCGAGTAACCATGGGGCTGTCCAGATGGTTGGGTGCATCCAGATGGTTGGGTGCATCCAGATGGTTGGGTGCATCCAGATGGTTGGGTGCATCGAGTGCATCTAGTGCAGCTGGTGCATCTGGTGCATCGAGTGCATCGAGTGCATACAATCACATTCCACATCCAGTGCATACAATCACACTCCAGCATCACAACATCAATGACAATCGATTGCTGCCACGGGATATCGACTGGGTGTATTCAAGATGATGCTCCCGAAGCCAATGAAAGCCAAGTGATTGCCAACGAAGACCCGAAACAATCTCATGGCTCGTCCACTGGGGCCAACAAAAGTTCAGCAGTCCTCGGGCCTCCGATGCCAGCGAAAGAGGGGCACCGTCCCATTTCGTTCGGAACAAGCCGTACACTTTCTTCAGGGGAAATGGGACACTAGCCCATGACCCATATGTTGGTGTGGTATCTGATGGCTTGCGTCCAACAGAGCCATGTGCAATAACACGGATCACCTCCGAGTGAAGACTTCGGGATGCTCTCCGTCTCCACAATCGACCGTGTCCCATTTCGCCTTGGGAGTGTTACAGGCAATCCAATAAAAAACGGGACACCCGGGTTTTTGACCATTCATCGAATATTTTGTTACCCAATGTTATCGCGCGCTGGCCATGACCATTCGCCACACATCCGACTTTCGCACCGCCGCATTGCGATGCTACGCCTTCATCCATAGCCTGCGTAAGGTCGCCTCCATATTCAGTGTATCCAAGAGCACCATCCATCGATGGCACCGAGGATGCAAGCTGGATGACCCATCCCGGGTCCCAGCTCGCAGATCCACTTTCTTCGAGCAGGCATGTCCAGTCATTCGCACCCTGATTGAACAGGACCCGTTCCAGACTGGTCCTGTGTTGCTATGCAAGCTCGAGTCCATCCTCCAGAGGAAAGTATCACTCTCACTCTGCCACACTGCCATCCACCGAGCAGGTCTCTCACACAAGAGGGCAACACACCTCTACAAGTCCAAGCGACTGGATGAGCGAGTGGCACAGTTCAGGGACCAGGTCCGCTCCATCGACCCACGACGATTCGTTTTTGTCGATGAGACAGGGATCAGGAGATCCATTTTTCCTCTTTACGGATACTCGCCGAAGGGTGCTCCGCTTCGCCAGCGCAATCACATGAAACACAAGTCTGTCTCGGCTGCATTTGCCATCAACCACTCTGGTGTGCTGCATCGCATGTACATCCCCACATCATTCAAGACACACTCGATGGTCGAGTTCTTTGAGCGAGCGAGCTTCCCAGACGACTCTGTGATTGTGATGGACAATGTCAGCATGCACAAGACAATGGCTGTCCTGGACTGCATCGAGCGCCGAGGATGGTCAGTGATCTTCACCCCACCTGCCTCGCCCGACTTCAATCCCATCGAGAACTTCTTTGGGATTGTGAAGCACCAGTACAGGAAGGCAGCAGCGCTGAATGCGTCCGAGGGGTTCAGAGTCGGGATGGTGACCCTGTTTGAGTCTGCCGTGCGGAGGGTGCTTCCAGATGTCTTCCCACGGCTGATTGAGCGAGCGATGCGCTTCTGGGGTTGAGTTCCCTCCAATCAAGCCGCCATTCTCACGTTCACATCCCTGGCTTGAACCTCTCGGCGATTTTTGAACAGGTCACTTCCCCAACCAGCCCGCAAAGACGGGCTCCTGCTCTCGGGTATAAATGCCGCACCTTCGTCCTGCTACTTTCTTCCCTCATCTCGCCTTGATCTGATCATCGCGCCATTGTGCGATAAAAAAAGTCTCTGCTCTGACCAGTACCACTGGCAGGCATCCAGCATCCTCTGCCCCCATGCCTCCGAAGCGCAAGGGTACCGGTGATGGCTAGCCTCGGCCACCCAGGCCCAAGAAAGCCAAGTCACAGTCGGAGCCTGTCTCTGGTTCGTATTCTGACCCCACGCATGCTTGGTCGTCTGTTGCTCCGTCGCTCACCACCACTGCTTCTGCAGATCCAATGGATGTCGATCCCACCGAGCCTGGTCCATCTACTTCCTCGAGTACTGGCAAGCGATGTCCCAAGTGCGATGGCACCGATCACGAACGCTGCAACACTAGCAAGTGTCCCAAATATCACCCCCTCAAGAGTTCTGTCGTCCCACTCGTGGATGGAAGGTCATCCGCCCCTCAGTTCAGCTGCTTCAAGCAGACGATGGATGGCTGTTGTCTCAATCCCGCTCTCCGCGACAAGATCCAGGCCACCGTCGAGGCCATGACCCAGATCCAGTTCGAGGCATCCAGGCTGCTCAACCTGCACATCCTCCGGTGCATCGAGCAGGATCTTCCCGTCCCTGTCATCTCCAAGTCCACCCCTGCTTTCGTTCGCCAATGCTTCACGATTGTCGAGGCCGGTGCCCTCTCGCCGACCGGGGACAATGAGAAATACAACGAGCATCTGGTCGCTTCCTTTCGCGACTACCAGACCACTCGGCACGCAGACCTGCCTCCGGCCCCTCGTCTGCCTGATGGCGCTCACAGTCAGCTTCTCACACTGGCTGTCAATGCCTATGCCACCAACTGCACCACCCACCTCAACCTGGCCTACTGGCGACTCCTTCGCCGCTTTTGTGCTGCCGTCTTCCCAGCCAACAAGCACAAGCACGAAGCCATCGAGGCCTGTCTCGAGCTCTTCGAGAAACCAGGGCAGACACCACCCAAGGCCGATCTCGAGTTCCTCTACCCGGACTTTGGCCACGTCCTGGACGAGTTTCGGTACAGCAACGACCAGGACCGCTTCCGGGCCCTCCATCGCCTCTCACACCATGTGAGAATCCTCGCCCGAGACAAGATGCAGGACGATGTCCACAAGTGGATCGACTGTGACATGCCCGCCCTCCGAGTCACCGAGCTGCAGCGCCAGGCCAAGCTGGACGAGCTCACTACCAGAGGCATTCCCTCCGACGACAAGAGGTTCACCAAGGCCAAGTCTGAGCTCGGCACCACCAAGTCCAAGATCAACAAGCTGGCATCCAGACTCAAGTGGGCCCTCAAGCAGCTCGCTCTCGACACTCCTCCGGCCGTGTGCACGATGGTCCCTCTGTGCACTGCGAAGGCCAAGTACATCAAGATTGACACGGCCACTCTCTGGGATCTCCTGGGTCCAAAGAAGCGCCTTGGACTCACCAGGGACAAGCTCAAGGAAGAAGGTGATGACGGCATCAACAACCAGGATCGTCTCTGGCGCAGTTGCTTCAAGCTGCGTAGTTCCCTCTTCCAAGAGCGGGTCAGGGACAAGAAGCTGTTCAACTACGAGATCAGCACCGATGGCATTGGGTGCACCATCGGCCTCGTCAAGTTTTTGCCTCGAACCGATCACACCGAGACCATCGAGCCTCCTCCGACTGCCGAGCAGCGTATCCAGGCCCACATCGGCAACCCAGACCCCGATCGCACCACTTGGATTGGCATCGATCCTGGAGTCGGCTCCATCTTCACGGCGGTCATCCAAGCACCGGGCCACCAAGACGAGGTGGTCTCATTCTCCAATGGCCACTACCAGCATATGTGTGGCCATACGTCCGACACCAGGTGGCACAACACCATGAAGTATCGACTCAGCATCGAGACCTGGATGTCGACCACCCCCTCGCCCAAGGTGTCGTCCTCGGAGGCTTTCAAGGTCCATCTCACCCATGTCCTGCGACCGGAGCTGCGAGTGCAGCTCGACTTCCACCTTGGCAAGAAGGCCCGTCACCATCGATTCACGGGCCACAAGAGGCGCAAAGTGGCCGTCGACAAGATGTGCAAGGCCGTCCTGAGGCACGCCCCGATACGGACCGATGTGGTGATCGCCTTTGGCAATGCGTCATGGCGACAGGGCAAGGGCTATGCATCCAGCCCTCGGAGGCAGCGGTTTGCTCGGTACTTTGAGCAGTTCGAGCACCACCGTTGCCGGCCCAATCACCATCATGGAGGCATCAAGGTGGCCTCGACGAACGAGTTCAACACCTCGCAAGTGTGCTCCAAGTGCCTGGAGCCAGTTCGGTTGGAAGGACTCGATGCGCCCAGTGTTGCGAATTCCCACTTTGTCAGGAGCTGCAAGAATCCCAGCTGCCAGACAGTGTGGAATCGCGACGTCAATGCGGCGCGCAACATGATCACAGTGTGCAAGTCGATTGTGGAGATCGGAGAGCGACCGGCGGTTTTCACTCGGAGGCTGCCAAAGTGATCTGTTTTATTTCTTGTGGCTTTGCTTGACGCAAGCACAGCACATACTACATGTTCATGGAAACGGCTATATTGTCCCGTTTTTTTCTGAATAAAGTGTACTGTCATTTTGCGCGGGAAAGCCGGTTCCCCCATACCGCGCTCTCACTCTGCTTCGAGTGCCGGCGCTCGCGCGACGTTTCTTTGACTAGAGTCCCCCTTCCGAGTCTACCGAACGTATTTCACTCAGATAGACGCTCCGCGTCATTCGAGCGATGATGAATGCTGCAACAGGTGACCTGCGTTGTGGGTTTCTGCATTTATTGTGAACCGGCGCGTATTGCGTCTCTGGCTGTTCGAGGGCGGGATTGTCACCATGACTGATCAAACGATTCGACTTGTCCACAGACGCAGCACGCACTGCTTCGGGCCGACGCAGACCTGCCCATACACAGAAGCGACCAAAGCCACGACCTTCCGGAAAATTCAGACTTGACGGTCACCCCTCGGCGGTAGTTTTTGTTCGGGACGATATTGTACAGAACTTTGATTGTTCCTCGTTGGATCGTGTACTTGCCCCTCGCACGGAGGAGTGCTTTTCAGTATACGGGGATGGAAACTATTCTTGCGAGATGAGCCAGATCTCCGAAAAGAAAGCAAAGACATCCTGGCGCAACTCCAGATTACCTCTCAAGCCCGGTCAGGAACGCATTGCCCATGAACGAGTTTCTCTACCCGCACAGCCAGCTCACGCCAGAGAAGATGCGAATCCACAGAGCAGTCCGCAAATGAACCAAATCATTCTCAAGCTTGAGCAACACCTTAAAAAGCGGAGCAAAAAGGCCATGCGTGAGGGCTTATCGGAAGCGCTTCATAGAAATGATCCATATCGAAGTCCGATGAATCTACAATCAGCAAAATATCTGCCTCTCGAGTGGTTTGATGATATCGAAATGGACCCATACACGCCGCAGGAATGGGTCGGTCTCGGTGGAGATGATGGCGGCACTCCCGCCGTGAGTCGCTTCTTCTTTTACCCTGAATCTGATGTCGACTGGCAGTGGCTCTCATGTCGCGTCATTGGATACGACGACACCCTAGGACTTTTCTCGATCAAATGGGAAAATTCAGACCAAGTCAAGTTGGCAAAACGCCTCAACATTTGCTTCAGAGCCGAGCGAATGGATAAATTCTACTCGCGGATCGAGACCGCGTTTCGGCTGCGAAATGCCGCCCATCAGCAGGTGTGCTATCTCCGTAACATCGAAGAGATGAAGAGCAAATATCGCCACAAAATGCCAAAACGGCTCAAAATACGGCTTCTCGATGCTGTCAAAGACCATGTGAGCATGCGCAACCTGGCAACGCTGGTGAGTTCGATTGCACTCTCGTCCTCGTCGCGGCCGTGGCTGTGGATCGCTTGGATTCACACCGAACGCTACCTATAGCCAGCGCCATCGCCATCGGTCGATTGAGCCCGAGCCTGAGTCTGAGTATAGCCGCTCACAAACGCGATTTGTGCTCTGTATGTGTATAAGGAACACTGCGTTTTAGAAATTGAGACGGACTACACCCTGAGCATGAGGAGGGCAGAGTACGACCATGTGAACGGACCGTATGAAGCCACGCTCCAGCAGATAGCAACTGCCACTTCCGAAAAGTTTGCAAAACTGGCTCTTGAGAAATCTGGCGCGAACCAAGATGACATCCAAGATAAGCTCTATAAATCCGTGGCCCTTTCAACCCGAGAAATGTCAACATACATGTTTCTCGCCAACGCCGAAGTGCAGCGCACTATCATCGACATATTGGGATCGCTCCGAAATGTATTCAGCGACTCGGATAGATACTTCCAAAAACGCTTTGAGCTGCCGCTTTCCTTTTATGCATTCTGTGATAAGCTAAAGAGTCACGTAAGCTGTGTCCAAGTGAAGCTCACCCATGAGTGGCCCCACGCTATTGCAAGCCGGATCAAATCACAGCTCGGGGAGTACTTCAACTTGAAGGAATCTCGTGATGTCGCCCACCAAACAAGTCGCTGCAAAGATTTTCTGAGGATGGTAAACCTGGTGATGAAACAGCAAGCGAGCGCCTGCGCTTACGATGGGCTCAAGTTGTTCCTGAAGATGTTCAACGTGATTGTCCGGGATGATCTGTATGCAGGCCCGGAGAGACGTAGCTCTACCCATGGAGATATCCAAAGCACATCTCTCTTCAATATCTGCTACGATATTCAAGTGCCAACAGCCGTGCCCGAAGCGCCTCTGCCACTACCCTGCGTTGTTATCATCAAAATTTCTGTCAGAGATATCTCTGGAATCTACTATTGCACCTCCGACGTTCCAACCGAAAGAGACAACGCCATCGGTCTTGATCCGCCCCTCGAGTTACTCGAGAGTGCCATACTAGAGCTCTTCACTTTGCCAAGAATCTCGACCAGTAACAGCATTCCGACAATCGAGTCTCTTGTGCTTCCGTTTCTGGAAGTCCTCGAGCCAAATACCATCACACTTGACTACGATGAGCCCCTCATATTGGATGGAAGTCGGATCTTGCTGAGCCTCATCCGAGAAACCTACACCAACATAAACTCCCTGGTCAATCAGTACACGGCTTACGAGTTCCTTGTGCAGGAGGAGTTGTCCGATGAAACGTTTCAGAACGCCATCCGCCATATCGACTTACTTCGCGAGCTTTTGTCGAAATACCATGAGGCAACAACCACCGTGGGCCACGTTTCACTGGACTATGTGCGTTATCCCCCTCTTGTGGTCGACTGTGCGGAAATCAAGAAGACACTTGGCAGTAAGCTGCGGGAGATATATGGAAAAATAGGAATTTTCATGAGCACACATATCCAGACAAGCTGTCGAGCGATATGCAAAGCCTTCCAGCGACTCTACGACGCCATTTCTGTGGATCCGGCACAAGACGCAGAGAAATGGAAAACTTTTCAAAACTCAGTGGCCAAGTCGATGGAGGAAGGAAATAGATATCACAAAAAGGTATGATACGATATATATACTCTGCGCGAGTTTTGATGTATGTCTGGAGCGATGGGGGTATCTGGGGCTTCGATAGATCCTGGATGCGCTTCTGCCTATCGATAGTGTCCCTGATTGATTGAATCGTGCTTCGCCGGCAAACTTGAAACGCCACTCCTTGGCCATCTTGCGCTCTGCATGACTCGACGCGACAAACACAAACCAACAGCTGAAATACCTGAAGCAAGTCTGGGATTTGCTTGAGGAGTACAGTGTCTCGTTTTCGGATGAGATCAACACTCAATTTTGGGAAACATGGGCATGGCCAAAGCGCTTGTTCTCGGAGGTCGAAGAGGCCAATCATCGACTGGAGGAATCAAAACGGCACATTGGGCAGCAAATAGAGGTCGATACAGAGTTTATCAACTCGAGCGTCGCAGCGTATACGTTGGAAATTGATCAGCATTTGCGAGAGAACGCGGTTGATTCAATCGAAATCATGTACGCTCGAGTCCAAAGTCTCCGACACAAAATCGACAAGATTGGGGCTCTTGTGCTCAGTGTACAAGAGCGTGGAAAGCTCATTGGGCTCAATCAAGATATGTCGTTCAAGGCCTTTGCCGAGCTGATTGAAGGCTTCAAGGCGTATGAGTACCTCTGGAGTCTTGCCGGAGATATTAGAACGTTGTTGGACAAATGGATGGACTCGCTTTTTATGGATCTAGACTCCAAGTTGATTTCTGAAAGGTTTTCGACATGGCTTCAGGGAACGCAAACCCTCCAATCTCTGTTTTCCAACGATCCGCGCTCGACTCAGACCATCGCCGGGCTGGAGCAATCTGTCAAAGACTTCCGGCGCTACATGGACGTTATTATGTCGCTGAGAAACCCAGCACTGAAGCCGAGTCACTGGGAAGCGATCGAAAAGGTGGTCGGGATATCATTAGAGGATCTGCAGACTGTTACACTGCGTGCTGTTATCAAGTTGGATATTGAATTGATCAGCGACATATTATCCGATGTCAGCAAAAATGCGAGCGTTGAGCATATGCTCGAGAAATCGTTCGACATGATTATGGCCGAGTTCTCGACCATCGAGTTGACTGCGGCAATGACCGCTGATGAGAAGTTTACCGTTGTCGGAAGCAGTCAAGTGACTCTGTCGATATGCGATGACCATCTAATACGCCTGGAGCAAATATTCAAGCGAACTCTTATCCAGCAACTTCGTACTCGGGTCGAAAGCTGGGCGAAAAAAGTCCTCCGTACGCAGGAAACCATAGCAGCGTGGGCGCAGTTTCAGCATGAGTATCAACGCTTGCAGGCGGCGCTGGCTGCTGGCGGAATCCAGGATGCACTCCGCAGAGCCAATGTAGACAACTTTCTGGGCGTCACCAAAACAATGCAGCTACTCTCGGACTTTGCATCCAAAAACAAAAAACTCTTGGCCGTGCTGTTGCGGACAGAGCTCCTCGATATGATCAACGGAGCTTTGACCAGATGCGAGTCTGTCCTCGCCAACGTCCGCGAGATCTTGGACATCAAGCGCAAGTCATGCCCCCGCTTCTATTTTCTATCAGATCTTGAGTTGATGGAGGTACTGCGCTGCAATTCACCTGAGCACATTGGGTCTCACATCACATCGGTGTTCTCCAACGTTGCTGCCGTCGTCTTCAAGTCAGCCGATCAAAAAGAGACTGGCGGTCTCGACCCTGCCGAGGAGCGAAAGTCCGTGCTCTCGCATTGGACAGAGACGACGTACATGTCCAAAAGCACGAACGACACATCATCTGAAGCAGGCGACGACAAAAGAGCGACTGTTCTTGGGGTGGAGAGCCACGAAGGACTATTGTTGGGCTTTCAATTCGAAGTCCCACGCTCAATCGCCCTCGAGGACTTTATTTGCATACTCGAGCGCGAAATCCAGAGCAGAATTTGGACATCCATCAAGGAGTTGCTCGGTGAAAACGAAGACGAGCCCCTTACACGGCTGTACCATCTCCACCCCATCCAGAGCATTTTGGCGGTGCTGATGGTTCGTTGGACCCGGAATATCAGTAGCGTCATTACCAAAAGCATCGAATCTGGACTGTCAAACTATCGCAAAAAGCTGCAAAAGGACCTCGAGGTGCTGGTCCAAGCAACACGAACCCGTAAGCCCATGTCGAGCCGGGTGACTCTTGAGATACTCGTGACCATGGTGGGATATTTGATCGACTCCATTGATGGAGTCATCGCTGCCAACGTCACAAGCACCACGCAATACGAATGGACCTCCAAGCTGCGGTACCACGTTGATCACGATGAAACAAGGTTGCTGGTACGGATGATGGGCACCCAGATCTATTACGGATTGGAGTACGTCGGTGGTCATCCGCGAATTATTATGACCCCGACAGCAGTCCGCTGCTTCCGCAATCTAGTTCAGATGATTGGTCTCTCGGCCAGCCCGCTATTGCTGGGACGATCAGGGGTCGGAAAGACCGAGCTCATCATGGAACTGGCAAGCTTTGTTGGACTGCGATGTGCAACCCTCAGCTACGCACCAATGCTCACCGAGTGCGACATTCTGCGGCATTTCTACGGCATGCTGGCGACAAATTGCTGGATGTGTGTTGAGAACCTGGAAAGCTATCAGTGTGAGCAGCTGTCGATCTTCAGCCAAATCGCTGGCAGCTTTCAAAAATCGCTGCAAGCCGCGATAAAATCTAAGCAAACAAGCATTATGTTCGGGGATTCGGCTTTTCCGTACAACTCCACGCCGTGCTTCTTCTCCACCATGACGACAACGAATTTGAAGAACTGGACGCTCGTATCCCCGGATGTCAAAGCCCTCTTTCGCCCTATTGCACTAACCCAGCCACACACACATGTTATAGTTGAGGGTGTCTTGAATGCACGCGGGTTTAGAATGGCCAGGCAGATTGGGAAAAAGATGGCCTATTTTCAATCGGTTTCGAGGATAATTTGCGGCTCCCGCATCGAGATGGAACTGCAGCTACGACGAATCAAGGTCATCTTGGATGCCGCAACCGGCTATTATGAAGAGACTCGCACGGCCACGAACGAACTCAAGGTTATCGTACGGGCTTTGCACCATTATTATCTGGGCCAATTTGATGTTCCAGATCGAAACGTCCTGCTTGAAATCATCAATGATCTGTTTGAGGATCACAAACACAACGGTGAAACACTGCTCTCAGAAGAGTCCTGGATAGCAGCCTCCAAGACTGTCGGAAACATCGTGATTACCGACACCTTCCGACACCTTCTTGGCGAGTTTCATCAGACGCTCGAGTCATTCAATTCAGTCATCATCCTAGGACGAGTATGCACCGGCAAAACAACACTGTGGAAGACCTATTTGGAGATCAGCAACGCCCAGCTCATCGAGCGCGAAAGGCGGCTTCATATATCTGCCTCGCATCACTTTCCCAATGCTGCGGGCAATGTAGATTGGAGCGTATTCGAAGCCTCGCGCGAGGTTCCGGCGGAAGGACAATCGGCTGGCATGACCCGTGAAGTCACGCAAGAAAATGAATGCGACAATACCGGCGATACTGCCGATATCGACGAAGCACACTGGATCGTCTGGGATGGAACAATATCAAACATGAGAGATCTCAATCTCATGCTCGTTGCCGAGAATAGCCGCTATCCTGTCAACGGACACGATGAGATAATGAGGCATGGAAACGATACAAAAATCATCCTAGAGACCCGAAGCATGGAGGGAGTCTCTCCATCGATCGCTGGTCGGTATGCCATCCTCTCGGTCGCCACTGGCCATGTTGTTGACCCAGCCTGTGAAATGGAGGCTCGTCTGGCCGTTTTAGCCCCAAACTTTGATATCCACAAACCTCTGTTGATGGTCTTCCACAAGATCATCTTTATGCCGCTCTGTGATCGGGCACAGCAGGCGAAAGTTGGATTTTGGAGCGCAAACAGGGTCATCTTGACGCAACAAGTGATGCAGCTCTTTGTCGCCATGAGCAAGCTTGTGACCGACGATGGTCATGAGCGCATGACCCTTACAGAACAATCAGTCTGGTGTCTTGCCTCGATGATCTTCTGCACTGTATGGACTGTCGGTGCGTTTGTACGCGACGAACAGAGAATTGAATTCGATCGCGCTCTCAAGGCTATGATTGAAGGTAGCGAGTTGGCCAAGATCGAGGATGAGCTCGGTGTCCCACGTGGACAATTTCGAGAAGCAATCGGCCTCCCCGCCGAACACACAGCATACGACTACTACTTTGACGAGACGCTGATGCTTTGGAAGCCATGGAAGCAGCTCCACGGGGGGCAATATTTTTCCGTCATCGACGCCGGCTGCCCTGAAATGGCTCCGACGGACGAGCTCCTCAAAAGCGTCTTTTTCGCGAACGCTTTGTTGGATAGTGGCCTCCGACCCATCATGGTAGGATGCGATGGTGTCGGAAAAACGAAGACGATGATGTCGTTTCTTAACTTTCGCCAGAAGCAGAGAGGCGAAAAATGCATCGTGGCATCGTGGAGTGGGAATCTTTCCCACACAGACTTTCGCCGCACAATTGAGCAACAGCTCTTCAAGAAGCGCAGGCGAGCCTTTGGAAGCGTGGTGCCGCTGCGGCTCTTTGTCGATGACCTCGAGTATATCCCGGACCAGGCCCTGTTTGAAGTCTTGCGGATGTGGTGTGAGACCGGCGAATGGTATGCTGCAACCGTAAAGCCAGAGAATATCCGCATCGAAGATATTAGTTGGCTCGGGTGTGCAAATACAGACGTGGGCGACTTTCAGCAGCTGTCAGAGGCCATCAGACGCTACGTCTTTCCGCTCCCTCTTAGCGACAAGTTTGAGCCAACGCTGTCGGAAATCGTCAAGCTTGAGCTCCGAGCCCTTCGGCCCCAATTCGCAACCGAAGAACTTGCTGAAGTCATATTTGTGATGTCCTCGATGCTTCTCCGATGGGCACGCGATACCCTGAAGCCTTCACCACTGACTCGCGGTCTGATCTTCTCGGTAGCAGACATCCACCAAATAATCAGGCAGCTTCACCGATTCTTGGACATATCTGACGATCTCAACAAGATTGTGGCCGTGTGGTCTTATGAATGTCGGATCAGAATGGCAGACAAGCTCGATCCCGCTGGGCGACAAGTATTTGAAGATGCCCTTGGAGAAATTGTACAGCGAGCATGTCCTCCAGGGATATACAGCGAAATGCTTACAATTGATCATGCACACCACCGCCGTCTGCAAAATCGAGCGGACGATGGCGCTCGACTGTCCGTCCACGGCTCACGACACCGCATTCACAGTCGGCGGCAGAGCTGTCAGAGTAACTTTGCGTATACGTTCGAGCCGACTTCGATCGAGTCTGTTTGTGCATTTTCAGGCTGCGAAATGCCAACAAGTGAGCTCAAGCAACGTGTTGGATGCATCCTTCACCCAGATGGAGTCGACCAAGCCTTGCGTCTGGCCCACAAATTGAAGGCACACCCTGTCCACGTCTTTCTTGTGGGAGAAGAGCATGATGATAGAAGCAACATCATCGAGTTTGTTGCTCATTTGAACGGCGCACGATTCAAATGCTATGAGGCAATCTGGGACGACCAGATCCTGGATCAGTCTATCCAGTGGAGAGCAACAATAGCGTCGCTGTTTGAGGCTGTTCTCGAAACTTGGAAGCACATCTACTTTTTCATCGACAGTGCCGATATAAAGGAAGGATATCAATGGAGTGATTTGATATCGATCATGAAGCTTGGCTATACGCAGGAGTACTACGCAATGTCAATGACCCAGAAAAACATCGGCTCCTTAAAGCGGCACCTCCAGCGCCACAGTAGCCGCCGGACATCGAAAGATGAGGAAGAAGAGCTTCTACCAGAGTTTGCTCGACTGATGCGACGATACATTCATATCATCATTTCATTTCACGATACCAGAGCTGGCACAAGCTCCAGCCTTCTAAGTGCCATAGGACTCTTATCCACAAGACATATGATTCCAAGTTGGTCCTCAGCCACGATAGCATGCATGACAGAAACTGCGATTCAACAGTCGCCACATTGCTCCGTCATCGATACGGTGCGTGAGCTCGTGCTCGAGTTTTTTACCAGTGCGTATAGGCAACTGACACTGAAACGAATCCCAAGCATCAAGCCGGTGTATGTTCGAACAGCTATCCGGCTATTTGTGCTGTTCTTTTGCTCCAAACACGAACTCCTTAACCAGCAGTACGCAGCCACGACCCACGCGATCGAAGGAATCGATAGGGTTGTGAAGCTGATAGACAGAGTCGAAGAGGAGTACACCTTCTCCCAATCCGAGTTTGTTCGAGTTTCGGAGAAGACCCAGCTGTTCTTGAAGCGGATGGAAAATCTGCGGGAAGACCTTGACAGAGTAAAGGTTCAGCAACGGAAGATGACAGATGAGGAGGCACGGCTCGGCACCGACTACGAGCGGTTGATGGCCACCCTGGCGGTTGAAGAGGCCAAAGTTGGACCTATCCTTTCGGCCTCTGTAAAGTCCGTCGAAGCTATTCAGAAGGGCGAGCTCTATGAGATTAAAACAATGATGAACCCACCAAGGGCCATCCAAGTGATCGTGGAAACGCTGTGCGTTATCTTCAAGATTGAGCCGAGAGGCTCAGAGTCTCTTTGGGAAAGCGGCAAGCGCTTCCTATCGGATGCGCGCTTCATCCAGAGCCTCACCTCCTTCGACAAGGATAGTCTGACAACTCCAACGGTACTGAAAGCCGAAGCATATCTCTCCTCAGCAGACCTGACCTCCAAAGATCTATCCAAAGTCTCAAAGTCCATTTCATCGATCGTAGCATGGATCCATGCGCTCACAAAGTACCACTATGCAATGCTTTCGCTGCTGCCCTCGCGCGAGGCCGCGGCCACGATGAAACACAGGCTCGTCGCGATCGAGGAGGAGATGGGGGGCAAGACAAAGAGCATCGGCGAGCTGGAGAGTCGGCTGAAGATCATGAAATCCGAGTTTGATTCGGTGATCCGCGAAAAGGACAGTGCACATCGCCGCTACAAAGATGCTGAGAACAAACGAATACTGGCCTCGAGGATCAAAGATGCCATCGCCACGTCACTGGAGCGTCACGAGAAGCAGCGAGAACGGGTAAAATCGATGGTGGACTCCTTGATAGCAAACGCATTGCTGGCCTCTCATTACATTGCGTATCTCGGCCCGATGCGTCCGAGTGACCGCCGAGCAATCTGGTCGGACTGGGCGCAGCTCCTGATAGATGCAGGCGCAGTTAAAAGCGAGGCCATCCTGTCCCTTTCGGAATTCATCACAGACGGCAAGCCCGCAGATATGTTTTTGACGCTGGGACTTCCAGAGGACCCTGCCATGCTCGAAAATTACCTGGTCGCCAAGTATCATGACCGCTACCCAGTTCTGATTGACGTCGAAAATCGTATGGAGGAATGGATCAAAGCACTTGAACGCGAGAGGAAGCCTGTAGTACTGAATGATCCCGATAGTCTGTCGATCAGGGAGATCTCGTTGCTTATCAGCGACAATTCCGCAGTGATCATCAAGACCCTTTCGCGCTTTTGCAACCAGTATGTTCACCTGCTCACCAAGCATCGGTGCATTCCCAACCTCGGACGCCAACGTCTGAGACTGCTATCCAACAGCGTCGATATCCCATCGGACTTTCGAATATTCATTGTCCTGAGTGCAGCGCAAACTGCATCCATGGTCGAGACTTGGACCCAGCACACCGTTCCGGTACAAACCGAGCTGGATCACTCCTCTATCCAACGTGAAATCTATCAGCAGCTGCTCCAACAGGAGGAACCCAAGCTAGGCGAGCATATATATCTGCTTCGTCTCGACGAATCCAATCGACGCAACAAGGTCCAGATGATGGAGAAACGAAATGTGGATCTGGTTGAAAAAATGTGCATCGACGACGTCACTGGCGGAGAGCTCTACCGCGGTGTCCTTGAGAACGAAGAGCACACCCGTCTGACCTTGACTACAAGCGGGGTCCGGGTTGCTCCTGAATTTAATCTGGTTTTTCGACAAAAAACCGAGTGGCTCGCCAAGGTGTCGACCTGGCTTTGCGACTTGTTTCAGAGTATCCGCAAGATCGAGGTCCTCTCGCCGCTCTATGCACTCTCCTTAGGTTCCTTTTTGCGAGTGGTCCTCCCATCGATCAAGGGAATCGGCAATGGCCGCGAGCCGGAGTGGAGTGAAATGAAGGCCAAACTCGCCCTGGCACTTCATCGACGCTGTGCATCGGCACTGAGTCACGGAGATCGAATCGTCGCTGCATTTTTGATCATGCGGTGGCTGGCTCCGACAGACGATCCTCATCTGCAGATCAATGATGCCGAGTGGCAGTTCATGCTCAATGGGGCCGTTCAGCGCCAAGGGCACAAGGAAGTCCCTGGCTTGATACAGATTCCCAATCCGTCACCCACATGGCTCGCAGAGTCCAAATGGAAACGAATCCTGGAACTCTCCAAAATGGTGCCTTTTGCGAGGCTGCCTGAAGAGTTTGTCCAACACGGCAACAAGGCAACCACCCCCCTTACTGATCAAAGCTGGGAAGATATCTTTCGAGCCCTGAGCCCGAGCCTGACCAAACTCCCTGCCAAGTGGGAGGCAAGCCTCACCAAGTTCCAGAAGCTCTTAATTGTCCAGTGCATTCGTCCGGATGCCCTGAGCGAATGTCTGGAGGACTACATACGCCAGACGATCGGACAGGAGTACCTTGAAGACCACTGGGATCCGATATCAGAGCAGTTCCCGCACTCAGGTTCGGGAGTACCTATGGTTGTGGTTTCGGACAACTTGGACCTGGTTCCTTTCGTGAAGCGCTTCGCCGCCAAGAAGAAAAAAGCGGGTGCATGTGTCTTTCTTTCTGCAGCAGAGAAAGACATCCGAAGCAAGTCCGAGCAGCTCCTCTCCGACGCCATGAAACGGGGACAATGGCTTGCTGTCGTCTATGATGGCCAAACGGTCGTCAAGCAAATCCTCGAGACGATCTGCAAAAGGGTGGAGACAGCCACGAAACCAACAGTGAGCACCGTCGGTGGCCACAGGACCAAGTGGGCAGTGCACAGCCAATTCCGACTCTGGGTCCTGACTCGCCCGAGACTCGAGATTCCATCCCACTGCTCGCACCAGGGGGTCATAATCCACATAGACCACATGCTTGGCCTCAAGAGCCGATTTTTTGAATCCTTTTCGGCCGCACTGGACCATTTAACACCAACCGAATTTGCTCCCTCAGTCATGTACCGCAACTTTCTGTTCCGGATGGCGGCTTTCCATGCCGTCGTGCAGAGTCGATCGCGGTATCTTCTTAGCGACCTTGTTGTTTCGTATAGGTTTGGAGCTCAGGATTTCCAAATGGCGATTCGCAGTCTCCGCGAGCTGTTTTCGACCTTGGATCCGCAAATTGCAGAGAGGAAAATCATGGGGCAGGCATGGAACCTCTTTGGAGATGGCAGCTACGGAGCAGCAATAATCCATATCAAGGACTATCACGTCATATCGACCCTCTTTCTTGAGCACATGATGGCAGACTGGTCCAATATCGAGCAAGGCCCCATCCCTCAGCTTGCGACACTCAAGCCCGTCTTTGAGCACATGCACAAGAATGAACTCGATGCATGCTGGCGCTACATCCAGGACGCTGCTGTTCGGGACTCGCCTGGATCTTTTGGTCTTTCGGACTCTATGATCCGAGGATACAACGAATGTGTCTCAAAGACGTTCCTTTCCTCCGCAAGAAGCTTGAATGATGATGGAATCGACCAGGCCCAGGAACCAGATTTTGAGCGAATCAGAAGCACTGCAAAGCTGATGATCGAGAGAATCAAAAGTGCTAGCGAGTGGATGTCGGAGGACAGCAATCTTGAAGTTGATTTACAAACACGACAAAATCGCAAGTACATGATGCTTCTCCTGGCGGAAAACATTCGAGCATATGCGAAATTGGTCCGCACGATCGTGCAAAACCTGATGGAGCTGGTGGAGCCCTCAACCGAGTTCTTGTCGTCAACTTTGTTCGCTGCAATTCTCGAGGGATTTCAGGGAAACTGCGTGCCAATACCGTGGAGACGAATTGCGTATCGCTCGCAGCTCCCCCTATCTAAATGGATCGACGATCTCATCAGCCGAATCGATTACATGCAACGCTGGAGCACAGTCGAAAAGGGGTCGGAGACGCTGTCGGTCCACAACATGATTGCATACGATATCAGTCGGCTCTTCCAACCAAAGCGTCTTCTCATGGGTAGGTCCCCGCCGTGCTTGTCCCGAGACCCTATGCTAAGCCGCTGTTATGTCGCTACCGCACCGCGAGACGGGAGCGCAGTGCCGACATCTCGAGGCTGGGTCGATTGAAACTAACCCACACATTGATCACTGCAGCAATAATGAATGACCACGCCCTGAACAATAACGAGCGCCTCGAAAACATGGAATTGGAGTCGATGATTCTGTCGGGGAGACAAGCCAAACCCCCGGCCGTAGGCTGCTATATCACGGGACTCTACCTCATTGGCGCATCGTGGGACTTTGCTCAAGGCGTCATGCGAGAAACCAAGGGGGGCGAGCAGTACACCTCGGTCCCGTGCGTAAGTGTTGCTGGAGACAGCGTGGGGTCAGTCGAACCAAGGGAACGCTCGGGGAAGCTCGACGGGGCAAGCATCATTCTGACGCCTCCTTGCCGTGCCAACAGGTGTGGTTGCAACCTGTCTCCAAGCCCAACAGCATATTCGGGAGCGAGAGGAGCGTCATGCAGCCGCGACCGTTTAAGAAGTACCCGTGCCCGCTTTACATATATAAGCCACCTACGGAGGAGGTGGATTGCCTGGAATCCACGGCAGACGCACTCTTGATGGAGTTTATCGACATTCCCATCGAAGGCGCGGTCAAGGCGTGGATGAAGCGGAATCCGTGCATGGTCTGCGAGCCGCCCACTCGGATATGAGTGGACGCCCGACAGCATACCCATTTTGAAAGAGAACACACACACACCCCCCCAACACGGTTCATGGCCCGCGCGAGATACTTTGAGACCACAGATCATTTGGTCGCTGTGATCGGAGATCTGGGTGTCTCGATTGTTTTATTGCACTGAATGCAGCGTATGTACACGCGAGAAGATCAAACATAGGCAGGATAACGTAGGGCAAGCATGCGAAAGAGCAGGAGAATACCGATACTGATCGAAAACAACATACTCTCCGCCAGAAGCCACGACCTGGTCAATGTAACCCGTGCCGATTACCAGGGAGAGTGCACCTCCGCCGAGCGACTAGGCATTCGCTCCGGAGCTTGCCATTTGTGCTTTCATAAATACAATCCGTCTGCGGAGATTGGCCGCGTAGCTCGAAGCGCATTTCCACACGTGGCCGATGCTGTCGAGGGCCGGAAGAATCCACTTGCCAATGTCGTCGATCCCGGTCTTTTTCGCATCTGGGCTGAGCAGGATCCGGGAAAACTGTTGGTCTTGGAGGAGCACGATCGGCGTCAGGGCCAGGAACAGAGCACTCGTTGGGGATGAGCACAACTCGATTGGAGCAATCGTCAGGAACGAGGGGGGCTGCCCTTGAAAGACTCGTTGAAGGATGTGGCAGTGCGCACGGTAAGCATGCAGGCATATTTCGCCCGACGTCATTGTCTTGGCTGACGAGAGAGCAAAGAGCCTCTCTGCTCCAGTGTTTCCGCGCTCACGCTTGGCCCTTTCGCCGTGGTGCAGCAGGACGAGCGCAGCAAAAAAAGTAATGTGGGCGTTGACACAAAGGCTTGAGAGGGGCTTCTGGGCAGGCGTGAAGTAGTCCAGGCTTTCAAAAAACTGGAAATCGGCCGGCAAATTCTCACACCATGAAACCAGCAGCTTGTGCAGCGCGTCGAGGCTTGGTTTCTGCGATATAATCTGGTGCAGGTTGAAGATCGTGGGATTTGCGGTTTGCGGAGTGATTTCTTCGGGAGTCCGATTGGTGTTATGCCTGATGATCAGGCGCAAGATGGCGTTGAGCTGGACCAGATGGAGGGCCCCGTCGACCGGGGTGTACAAATGATCTGCCTGACTACCTTCCATGGCTCGAGGCGTGGTATCGTTGAAGACGGTGTTGGCGGGATAATCTCGCAAAAGCAGCCAGGCTTCCTCCATTTGGAAATGATCGGTACGTTCGTCACGGCCACTCTGGATATGATCTGCGTTGCGAATAATATCGATGCACTCGGCCTCGTTCAGCAACAGTGATGTTCCGCCACCGATGCTCGAGAACGAGTCTGAAAGCAGACAGCCCCACCAGGTCCTAAAGCAACCACAGCCGAACGAAAGGTCAGCAAAATCGTTGCAAACCGATGGGTTTGCAAGTTACGGTGGAGAGGTCCCGACCAGACCATGGCGGTACGCTTAGATCCTATCATCTAGTGGCTTTGAGCGCCAAACGCTGCACAGACGGTGAAAGGGCTTATGGATGCAACATCAAAGGCAGCGGCCGTATGTAGTCTACTATGCATCCATCTACCCAGCATACCTTTTCAGTGCTCTTTTGGATGCAAACACGGACGGAAGCGTATGGCCCATCACGGAAGGCAAATCTTCAAATACGCCTTTGTCAGGGTAGCCGAAGCGCTGAATGATTTGACAGGCCGAGCCTGGAATATACAACCAGGACCAAGCTCGGTAAATTTGATGTTCCTCAGCGAACGCCGGATGAAGGCCAGGAAAGAGGGGATCACATGCGCCCTTACCGACGATCGCCCCCATGCGGGCGACGTTGCCGTTTCCGTAGCTGACTATGGACAGGAGTATCGATCCGGTGCAGACGGCGATGTGGAAGCTGCGCAGACTTTTAGCTTCAGATTGGTGAATCTGGTCGTACGCTCGCAGGGCAAACAAGTGGCTGGCATCCTCGGGAGAACTCAGAGGCGGCTGGAACAATAGAGGATGGCGCGAAAAAAGACATCCGATCGAATAAATGGCATTGAGCAAAACTGGGTGGTGGACGTTCACCGGGATCAGGTCAGCGAAAAAGGATGTTTCCTCGATGATAGGAAGTGTCGGGTGGAAATAGGTGAAAAAACAGTTGATTAGGTGCAAAAAGAACTCGCAGGGCAGCTTTGGCAGATCGATTGCGCTGCTGTGTTTGTGCTTCTGCGATGGAAGTTGGATCATGTCCTCGACGGTGGGCGGAAACAGCCTTGCAACGCATAATGACAAGCGACAACGGGTTAGAAAGTGCAGTCACCGATGTCTTGGTAACAGTCGCCACAAAACCCTTCGCCCCGACGATGCATCACCAATCCCTCGACGAGATTGTATTTTTATGCAAGTCGGCTACGCGATAGGCGACCTACATTGATCGTTGATCGGCGCCGTTTCCAGCAGTACCATTGTGGGTCGAGCGATGGTCTTGGAGCAACCATTCGTTTATGTCAGCATCGTGGGTCGCAATGGAAACAAGGAGGAAGACAAAGGACAGTGAGAATGAGTCAGAATGATGTTTTGATCTGCTCGCGGCAAAGCGGACCCAGGAGGAGCTGTCGTCCAGAGAGCAAATATGGAAAGGCGAGGAGGTGGGATCTGTCGGTTGCATCGGTAGGAAGTGGATTGGGGGGGGCAGTCACCCGTCGCTGCTCTGCTTAAAGAGCGTCCATACCTGAAACCATGTCCCGCGATAGGTCTCTCCTCAGTCGAGTTGATGGATCAAGGAGCGCACTGGGCCCCCTGAGACAAGGTTATTCGCACAGAGTGAGGAAGAGCGATCATCGTGAAGCCGATGGAGGTGACGGAGGCGCTGATGCAGTAAGGGATATCGACGTGCTCACAGCAAATCGGCTATCGTCCTCAACAAAACAGACCCTAACAGGCGATAGGAACCCCCTTCAGGCGTTGCAACACCCCTTCCCATTTGATGCATTGGTGGAGCGTGCAAGTACCTGTGGTCTCCAGTTCCGTCAATCGATGCTGACCTTTGGGCAGAAAGGGCGTAATATCGCGGATCAGGTCCAACGGGTTTGGCAGAGGCGGAGTAGCCGCGAGGAGGTCGGGCGGCGCTCGCCCCAGCCGAAAGAGCGCCTCCGAGTCGTTCTGCACGCATGTCGTCGACCGACACTGCGTCGAGTTGGGCGTCAGCGTTTCCATAAGGGAATGAGTTGACAGACAAAGACGGGTTGAACAGAGAGGATATTTGCATGACGCTGCTTGGCTCTTGCTCGTATGTTGCAGACCTCTGGCGGGTGGTGGCGCCACCATGAGGCTGGGCTACAAGCCCGCGAGGCGAAAGATTGTCCTCGACTGAGTCGGACGGATGCTGCGAGTGTGCGGAAAGGCTGCCGGATGACGCTGGGCCTTTGGCCTGACGCTTGCGCTTCGGCCACAAAAAAGAGTCGTGGAAAGCTTTGGGGCCACGCTTCTTGGGCTCGATGTCCATGGTGCAGTTAGCTCCGGCGTTGAGGCAGTTGTTGCAAGGGTGGTTGCCATCACATCGTCTCTTCTTGAGCTTGCATCGGTCGCACGACTGAGTTTGGCGCTTGCGCACCTGAGAAAATGTCCGCCGTCGAGTTGTATCGGCATTGGCGTATTGTTGCGTTGTTGTATTGTCGGGTTGTTGTATTGTTGCGTTATTGTGGGGGCGCCGTACACAGCGCAGACGCCGATGCGAAATAAAGACGGAGATGATAGTGGACGGCCGAAACAGAAACCCGCCACAAGATAGAACCAGTCAGAGATCGTTGGGTGAGGGTGGAGACGACCCCGCAAACCCTGAGCCTGGATCCGATCGGAGCCGGCCCATTCGTCCACACGGCACCCAATGGCCAGCCACCGCAACCAGATGCTGGGCTCCGTCGCGTGCGGCCAAGCACCACCCACAAGGCTCCAAATTAAGCCAGCGGGGAGCGGTGCTGTGCTCTTCTTGGAGGCCGGTGGACCGGTGGACCGGTGGGCCATCACCAGCACACGGCCCCGGCAGCAGCCATCCCGGTCGGCCGGCAATGTTGCGGGATCAAACCGAATTGCCAACTCTTCGATGGAAGGGCTCACCTTGGTGGGCTCGGACATCTCGGAGGTGCCCGCCTCGGCCCTGGACTGCGAGGAGGTCGCTGATGGTGGGGCGAGGTGCTGTGGCGATATGCCGGTTGACCGATCGGTCGGAGGCATGGGGCTGGATGCAGACGACACGGACGATGCAGTAAAGGCGGGATTATCGAGCGATACTGCCACGGGAGCTGGCGGTGGTAGCAGTGGTGACGACGGTGTAGCTGCTGATGATGTTGGCAGAGAGGCCGGAGCCGCCGCTGGTGCGGCCGGAGATGCGGTGAGCTCGGCAGCAACAGGGCGAGCCGAGGGCGACGAGGGAAGGGCCACAGACGACAGAGGGCTTGACATGGCGGCGGCGGATCTTATTGATTTAATTTCGAGAGACTCGGAGTAATGAAACGATTATTAAATCTTCCGTATACGACGTTGCAGATCCGAGCGGCCGCGGCAAATTGTGCAGAAGCCCGGCGGAAGGCGGCGAGAGGGACGAGAGGGAGATCCGTGAGTACCGCGCCGAGCAAGACGAGCTGGCGAGCCCGACAAAGCCGAGCAAGCGAGCCGAGTAACCCCAGGCTCGGTCGCTGGTGGTCGGAGTGCATAGAACAGACGGCACTGGAGGGCAAGAGCGAGAGGCAACTCAGCGACCAACGGCAGTGGAGGTGGATGGTGCAGCGTCTCGCCCGGCGCCAGCACCAGCACCAGCACCAGCACCAACGCAATACCGCCCGGGAGGAGTGAGAAAGCGGAAAAAAAAAGATGTGATTCCCAGAAGGACAGCCGAGCCAAACAGGCATGAGGAAACTCCGGCAGGAGAGAACCCAGGCCAGGAGGCACTCGGCGCAAGGAGCTCCCTGCCGGGGTGCATCCGAGCCGCTCTCGGGACAGGCAAAGCCAATCCAGACCCTTGGAGAAACGGTGAACATATCCTCGCGCCTGCCAACAGCTGGCTGATCCGCCGCCGCAGCAGCAACAGAGCCTGGGTGCTGCACCAGCAGGAAAAACGCAAAGCGGGGCATACCGCCTCGGTCCCCCCCCTCCTTCCCTGCAACGAGATCATAAAGTAGCGTCCGAGGAGCCTACCTGGCGGCCAGGCCGAAGGGATATGTCAGGGTGGAATAAATAGTGGGAAGGAGCGGGGTCAGAATCGTGGGAGGGGTTGGGTGCGGGGGCAATATGTTATGGGTTGAAAAATTTGCGGGGAAGCTGTGGTAACCGGAAATGATAGCGGGAATGCCGCAAGCAGCGCTATATCGGCGGATTGGAGGGAAAGCTCGCTGGGAGCCAAAGAGCCAGAGCCGCCGAGCCATCAAGGAAGTGGAAAAAGCTCGACCAAGAGAGAGCAACAACAGCGACCGCGGACGAACCGCGGCGGCGAGGCGGTATTTACGAGGGCGGGGTGTTTCCCCGAGACGGACGCCACGGCAGCATTTTTCCGCCGGGCGCGGGGGAATGTGCTCGAAACCGCGCCGCGTTGGCGGGGCCGGCGAGGGACAAACAGTGAGCAGCAATGAGTCGTGCTGTGGGGGGTGGTGATCCGGCAACAGGAACATGCTGCAGAAGGTTGTGCATCACACATCCGCCAGGAGAAAGCAAGCAAGCACGGTGCTTGCTGGGATGTTGATCGTGTGGCCCGTGAGGGCATTGTGTCCCAATCGGCCGCGCGGATCCAGTTGCCCGGACCAGACCAGACCCAGATTCGCTCTGCAATGCTCGGGCGTCATGGAGCCTGTGCCCAACCGGTCAGCGACAGTGTCCCGTTCGGGGGCTTATCGAGTATATTCAAGATCCAGAGCCCGGGTGTCGGGGCCCGAACGGCTCCACACCCCTCCCCACCCACTGTATCGTGCGGACGCTGAAGGTTCATCAGTCCAGGCCGTCCCGAGGGTCGATCAAAACGAGCGCACGGAATCTTCGCGCCCGTCAAAGTCGTCATCGGCAGGCACAGAGACGCTGCCCGCCCGCTCTCCTTGGATGGTCTTGTTGACATACTCCCGAGACAAGACAATGTCACGCTCCAGCCGTGAGAGAACCTGGTTCAGAACATCGATCTCCGAGATGTTGCGGTGTAGATTGTCCATCGTTTCGGCTGTATCGTATGTCTCGGGCGAGTCCTGGAACGATACCATCCCGCCGTCGGCGTGACTGATTGCCGCAAAGATCTCGCCGTCTTCGATCATACGCAGGAGGAAGTGCTCGGCTGCACCTGGATCCGAGGAGCTGTCGCTCCACCCGAGTCCAACAGACTTGGAGATATCTTCGAGCGACAGCGTCAGGTACGTATCGGTCAGCTGCTGGATTGCCTTGCCGGTCAGAGCAGCGACACAGAGCTTAGCCAGACCCAGGTTGTTGTGCTTGGCGAAGATGTCTTGGGCCTTGGAAAACTCGATCTCGATCCGTGCAGCATTTAGGCTTTCGTAAGCCGTGCCGAACTCGATGTAGCCTGTGCACATATTTCGGATGGCCCGGCTGACAGCGATGGAGGTGTACTTTGGCAGAGTAGGCAGGCGGCCCGAGCGCAATAGCGCTGCAAACACCCATTTCTGGTAAGCCTCCAGCTGGATGGCCGATACCGCCAAGGCCGGTGCAGAGACAACCATCTCAAAGAAGCGTGCAGCGCGCTCATAGTCCTCGCACCCTATGAGCAAGATACCGCCGTAGTAGTGGTAGAGCAGGTAGTCTTGGATACTGGCTCCATAGACCTTGGGATCGACCTCGGTGATCTCGGTGTTGAGGATCGGCAGAGCTCGGTGGTAGGTCTTGGCCAGGAGGCAGAACTTTGCAAAGTGCGGGTGGAGCGGAGTCAGAGAGCCGGGTCGCCCCCATAGCCCGATGGCTTTGCTCAGGACCTCCACCGCGACTATAGGGAGCGGGATTTGGCCCAGATACTGGGTCAGTATCTGCGTAAAGCGCGGCAAGTCCCCGGAGATTTGGTTGATGATGCTGGGGCTGGCCGAGGACAGAAACTTGATCACGAAGGGGATCAAGTTCGGGGGACGCTGCGGCGTGCCATGGGTCAGTCTTGCCATCAATATAAAGTAGTAGACGATCGACTGCGTGGCTGGGTCGAGGACACTGAGCGGGTCAGAGCGATTTGATAGCTGCTGCAAAAGGATCGAGTGGGGGGCTGCCTTCATCGTCTGGATAATGGTCGGGGTGTCCTGCCAGCCTTGGAACGACTGCAGATGGGCCAAAAGATCATCAATGCTGCTGATGGACATGGCTTCGGTGCAAAGGGTCCCGTAAGGTTCAAAAGAGGTTCGCTCTTGGAGGGTGGCTTTGGGGCACGGCGATGAAACAGCTCGCGGAAGGCAAACGACCGCAGGCCTGAGGGCCAAACGACGGGGCGGTCAGACAGTCAGCAACACTCAGCGGCGGTCAACCAAATGATGCTCGGTACCACACGCAACTGCGATCGCGCTGTGTCATGATAGAACGCTATCGCAAGAGCAAGGGGGAGGGGACTCACCAAACGACCAGGAGCAGCGGACAGATGGTGGACGACAGGCAGGCGCTCGAGCTCAGGGAGGTGAGGCCAGCCCAACCCGAAGCTCTTCGGTCATATGAAAGTCACGTTTGGAGACCGCGCCTGCTAGGGTCGGCACCACGCCCAAGACCCAGCCCCCTTCACGCCCAGAAACGGGACACAGCATCCGTGCGGGTGGGAAGAAATTGATCGAGTGCCTGGCTGAACGATGGCGGTCGGCGCCCGCACTGCTGCGATAGGCCTGGCCGATGGGATATCGGCCGCAGCTCGTGTCGAGTCGACGACCGATGCTCCAAACGGCGAACCAGAGTCAACCGACCCTCCCATATCTCATATCGAAATCGTAAACTGTTTATTGACACGATGCACAATGCATCGGAGACACCCAGCTCAGAGCCAAGGCAGCACAGGGATAAGATGAGCCACGAGAGACTCCACCGTCATCCCATATCGCTGCCTCACGAGTGCGGAGCGATAGGCAAGTCCATTGTGCTTGTGAGCAAGTTGCAACCGTTAGCTGGCCGTCCGCTTTCGCAGGCCACTGGACTCGGCCGCGGTGGATGACTCGACGCGCTCGGTCAACGGAATGTCTTTCAAATTGGAGGAGGTGGTGGCGCTGGAGCCTTGAGTCGATTCTGCGGCTTTGGCGGCGTCGGTGAGGGCTCGAATGCGCTGCTGGTTGAGGATATGCTCGTAGATATCCTTGAGTCGGCGATAGAGAACCAAAACCATAAAGAGAGAGAAGAGGCTCATGTACATATTCCGCTGGTTGTAGAGCTTTTTGATTTTTTCATCGTAATAGGCCTCGCGGGCTGCATTGGAGAAGCACCAAAGGGAACATGGGTCAGCCGAAGTCACCAGGCACGTTACCCGTCCGAGCGAGGAGCCAAGGGACCAGCAGCACTTGGGCAGCTCTGCGTGATCACACGGCTCTGGCACACAACCCTACCGAGAGCGTTGTGTTCGTGGGCAGAATGATCGTGGTTGTGAGCGTGATCGTGCTCGAGCCGGTAGAGGCGGTTGATGGTATCGACAAAGACACCACCGACGATGACGAGGAATAGGCGGCCTGCCCAAACGATGTATTCGTGTTGGACGATCTGGCTGACGGTCTCGAAGATGTACTTGCGACTGTGGGTGCAGAGATTCAGCATCCATCTCAGCGCTTCAAAACCGCCGTCGATATCTGCTGCTGGCAGTCGACCCACAAGGACCAGAATGCGGGTGAAGGTGCGAGACTTACGTCTTAAGAGGCACAAAGTTGAGCGGCACGAGCAGCAGTATGAAAATAACGATCTCTGAGATCAGAGCATAGTATATCAGATGGTTGAAGAGCGACATGGTTGGCAGTTGCAAAGAGGCACGAGCGAGGATGCGGGAGAGGCGCCGTCGCTTTCGCTGCTCCTTTTCAAGCCCTGGCTCCCGCCCGCCAAGGCCCCGCCACGACCGCCAAGGCCGGTGGCGCGGCTCCGCGTGTCTTCCACGTGGTAGAAATCCACGTGGGCATCACTATGTCCATCTTTGGAAGGCGGGCGCACGAGCGGAACGCACACCGCAGCCGGCCGTCCAGCCTATTCCGTTCGCCCTGCTCGCCCTGCTCGTCCTGCCCGCCCTGCTCGTCCTGCTCGTCCTGCTCGGTTCCCATCAGCAAAGCCCCAGCGCCAGACTCAGCCCGCGCCCCGTCAACACCTCAAACAATATCCCTATCCGGGGCCAGCAATGACTTCCAATCCGATCGAAGCCGCCATCCTGGCTGCGGCTGACAACGGTAGATCGCATATCTGCCTCTATATTTAGAGTGACAATGTTCCTGGCAAGACTTTTGCTGAAGCAGCATCGCTTGCATAAACGCCCAGGCGAACCGGAAACTGGGGTCCATTCCGATCCGTTCTTCCTGGGTGTCACCGCCATTTACTCATTCTGGCGTCGTCTGTGGCCCGACATCAGAGGGCTCCTCAGAGTCAAGGATTCAAGCCTTTGAGCAGCTCAGGAGTCAGTTGGATATCGAAACTCGCGATACAGAGGTATAGTATCTCGCATGCGCTGCAAGGGAACGGATCGCTGTTGCAGAGTTCCTTGACTCCCACTCTTGTCTCACACTTGAGGGCCCGTGATACCGGTGCCTTGGTTGAACATATGAACGCCTGCTCCAAGCTTCCGCCGCTTGCACTCACGCATACCGCTTTGCACTCATCCTTTGGATCATCAATATCCGACCCTGAATGCATTGTGAACCAAACAACCGATCGCCTTGGGCCAGCTCTTTGTGAGATATGAGGATCTTCTGGACGTTGTTGCAAAGGCTTCCCGATCATTGCAGCCTCGGCTCTCGGGATCCGCGCTGGCGTGCATTTCGCCACTCCTTCGATGCCTATCGCGAGCTTCTCCAAGCTTGGGCGCGCACCTGCGACTGTTTTCCGGAGCACTTCTTCAAGTCCTAATCAAGAAGCTGACCGATGCCAAGCAGCAGATGCGAGATGTGCTGATACAGAGTCTGGTCGACTATTACGGCGCACTTCTTTCCCTCTCTGCTGTCGAGGGAGGGTCGGTCCCAGGAATAACCCTGGCTTTTGAGCGGGAGATCAAAACCAACGGCCTAGGATCCGATATCCCTCGAGTCCGAGAATCGGTACGACGCCTATCGATGAATCTTGTCCAACTCGTGCAGACAATGCTATGCAGACAATGCTATGCAGACAATGCTATGCAGACAATGCTATGCAGACAGTGCTGTGAGATGGGCATGGAGCTCGGCCGCCGGTCCAGCAAAGGACCCATACTGACTACTTTCATTACTGTGGGCGATCTTTTGGATAGAGTGCTCTGTGGCTTGCTCAGTCATTCGAGACACTGCCGGAATTTCCACTCAAGCAGTATTTGCCCATACTTATCAAGTTGCTCGAGGACTCAAGCGAGACTGTTCGAGCTGTGTCGAAGGAGACTGTCCTCAAGATCTACAGGTATAGTACCTTGAGGCTCGGTCTCATACTGACTCGCATCGACAGACATTGTCCTGAAATCCGCGAATAGTGATGTTCTTCCAAGAATATGTCTGGCCGCAAGAGACCAGAGACCGAAGAGCAGCGCGGCTATATTTGCGAGGCGTAACACCGCTTGTAACCAACCACCCGAGCAGATCAACTCAAAATCCTGCCGTCAAGGCTGGGATCAAGAAGGAGCTCAAATCGATACGGGCAAGCATCGCCGACACGGTCGTGGCAGAGCTTGTCGATTCGCCGCCGCCGACAGCCGAGAGTATCGGGCGTGACTCGACACCCCGGCCGACCTTGGCTCCGCCACGACCGACCTCCCGCCTGCCAGTTGGGACAGGTTCGGATCCGAACGAAGCTAAAAAGAGCATCAAAGGCGGTACACGTGCGCCCGAGCCCAAGGCCATCGATGTGGGTGTCTCCGTATGCCTCCACTAGCGGCCAGCTCATGGAACTTGGACTAACCACAGGCCTTGTGTCCATATTCAGTTCTCTACCTTCCGCGAGTTCGAAGCGGAAGTTGCAGGAATAATATCGACATTCCAAGGCGCCGAAACGGAACACAATTGGAATAACAGAGACAACGCCTTCCAAAGACTGCGCAGCATTTGTCGCGGAAATGCAGTCCGCATGGAGGGGTTTCTCCCGCAAATGAAGCTACTACTGGAGCCCATACTCCGAACGGTACGACACCGGCGGTCTGACTAGACATGGCGATAATGATCGCGATTCAGCCAGCCTGCTCGTATGCCACGTTAGCACCGATACAACGCCAGCTTTGCATGACGCTAACAGGACAACGCGACCGCTGCTGATGCTTTGGCATCTATAGTTGGTCAGTCTCCGCACGGCTTTGCAGCTGACGACCCTGGTGCTGGTATCGGATATGGCCAACTGTCTGGGCCCCGCTATCGATCCCATCGCCGAGGATCTCATCGCCGCTACCTTCAAAGTAACCTCAACGACCAAGAAACTTGTCATCACTGCATCCACAAAGGCCCTGACTGCTCTGTTCCAGCACACCAGCTACAATTCGCGTAATCTGCAGCTCTGTAGCGCCGTTGTGGCCGACAAGAATATGAACGTGCGCAACTGCGCGTTGATGCTGATCAAAGCCTCGCTGGAGCTCATGTCGCAGTCAGAAGGGCATCGTCTCATCTTGGAAAAGTCCGGGCTTGAGATTGTCGAAAAGTGTGTTCGCAAAGGACTCGAGGATCCAACCGCAGCAAACCGAGAGCTGGGACGAGACTGTGTGCTGCTTTTGAAGACTTTTTGGCCGAAAAAAGCCGAAAGGTGAGTTGCAGCTACCTTGACCTTATGATGCATCCCTACGGTGACCCTCCAGCTTTCTCTTCCATACTGTGCCCGACAGCACCAAATCTTGACTCGCCCTCCTCACATCGCCTGCAACCCGACTACTGCGATCGTTTGACATAATCCGCTCTGTTATAGCATGATGGATTCATTTGATGCACAAATCAAGAAAAACATTGAGAAGCACAAGCCTGGTGGCAGTGTTTTCGAATCTCTGCGAACTGCCAGTGTGCCCACGCCTCTGGCCCTTCCAGTAGTCTCCGAAAGCGGCGATTCAATCAAGCCACGAGATGTCGCCCCAACGCCACGACGCAGTCAGAGCACATCTGTTCTTCCAATGAGTCTTGCGCGCAAAACATCAAGTCTGAGCCTCAAAAGCGAGCTCAAAACACCCTCAAGATCCAAAGCCCCCCAGATGGCTGAAGAAGCGCAGATCTACGAGCTCCTTAAAGCCGGCGCGACATCCAGAATCGACGCACTGCAGGACTTACAAACGCTGCTTGGCAGTCGGCCTCTAAAGCCTGCATTCGCGCGGAAGATCTCAGATGCGATTCTGGAAGCGCTACAGAACGACGCCAGCTTCCAAAATCATTTCCTTTCGGCCCAGTGGTCCCAAACACTGATATCTCTCAAGGTCCTAACGCTCGAGCAGCTGGTCGGCCCGCTAATCTACGTTCGCTCGAAGGCAGCGACGAATGAAGGCACCGGCGAACAGGCCGAGCAGGCTTTGTCAAGGATTGCCCAGGCACTGGACCCATCCGCATTCCTGGAATCCATCAGCCGCCTATTTTCGAGCCCCTCGATCGAGGGACTCAATCGACGTAAGATGGGCTTTAGAGAATACACCAAGATCGAGGAGCAAGTTATATCCTGGTTGGCGGGCCATTTTCTGTCCCTCCCCGCCGAGGCCCACCGGTGTGCCTTTGAGAAGCCGGCAACACTCCGCACGTTCTTGAATAAGCTGGTGCCCATGTTTTCCTCCGAGCAGCCCGGCGGATCTCTTGACAGCTTGGTTAGGGGACAAATTGCGAGGATGCTGAAGCAGATTGCGTCCAGCAACCCCGATGGATTCTCAAAGGCCATCACAACATTTGATTCGGTGCTCGTAGAAGCTTATGATCTCCTTCCAACGCCAAGCCCGATGCCAGCGCCCCAAACCATCCAGGTCCCCAAGGATCAGCCAATGTTGCTTGATTTAGACAGCGATGACGTCCAGCCGATACAATATGCTATCGAAGCAGTAGACACCAGCCAAACCAACTTGGTTGTCACTGTGGGCGGCCAAATATCCTCACGTCTTCACTCAGAGAATGTCGATGTAGATATGAACCTGACAATCAATCACCCAACTACCGATGATGCCCTGAATCTACTGGAAGGGGATCTCGACGGAGTCAGCGAGGCAAGTTCTCCGCGCCAGAGACAGTTGCCGGTTCTCTTGTGCAATCAGATTAGGATGCGAAATGTACCTCTGCGTATCGCATGATCATACTTGTCAGCGCTAGAGCTTTAGAATCCCCCCACCAGCCGCAAGCCCACCGCACGCACTCACTACTCGATGGCCGTGAACCCACAGGAAAGCTTCCCAGACGGCTTCCTGGACACAACCTTGCCTACAAATATGACCATGAGCGAGATCAGCGAAGCCCTGGTGGTGCAGGCAGCGCCATCCAAACATCGGCAGCCAGAACCCCGTCCTGCTGCAGCAAAGCTTCTCCCACCTGCCAGGACTGACCACGAATCTTACTTGGGAAGGGCAGAGGCGGCCGGACTCGTTGGTGAAGATGAATCGGGGGCACGATTGGTATCCAATCGGCTAGGGAGCGTTGGACCGGTCGAAAAGTATCTGACACCGGCTGTTCGAATCGAGTCTGTGCCTCCACCACTCCCCATCCGAACACCGCGAGACCTCTTCAGCGCAGGTAAGCTCATATGTCACCCGGTTTCGAGTCATGAATGCATGCGTGAGGAATACTACCATCACCATCACCTATGATCATCTCTGTATCACGACTCCCCCTCCTCGTCTGCGAGCAACGATATTTACTTGGCTGACTCTACCGAACTTGCCAGCCATCATGCGTCGATCCGCTGAATACGAAGACCGCCATGTGCTCATTCGTCGACTGCTTCAAAAGATCACCAAAGGCGAACTCGACTCGAAGACTGCAAAGCGATTTTTCCAACTATCACGAGATACCAGAATCAGGGATCCCACGAGGACCCGAGACGATGATGTCGAGCAGGAGTCCTCGGCAGCTTTCTGGACCAGATGGTTCCCCGAAACGCTGGCGATTCTTATGTCAACCCTGAGCATGTTCAAACTGGTAAGACCAAGCGAGACTGCTTCGGGGAACTCAACATCATGACAGAGAGCAAATGTCATATCGCCATTCTGATCGCCGATGCTCGTTCCGAATCTCAGCCCAAGGCGCAGCGAGAAAACTGCCTGTTGGTTATCAATGAGCTCCTTATAAACCAGCCCGAGTGCTTTACGGGCCACAAGAAGCAGCTGTTCACCCAGTTGCTGGTTTGCAGAAAAGACGAAAGTGACGAGGTAGGATAATGTCAAACTGGCTGCTGCACACCCAGGGCGTGTGTCGCATCAAAGGATGGGGCCCATTATTGATCGTCCGGATTCAGGAGTGCATGACTGAGATATCGATGTGGTCTCCAGGTCTCCGGAAGCGCCGACCTCGCGATGGAAACCCTGAGCAAGATGATGGAGAGGGGAGAGTGTATGTCGGCATATCTCGAAGCCCTCGAAGAGTGGGCGCCGTCTATCAACTCTGAGGGCCCCGACGGGTCTCCAAACGGCTCGTGTCTGCAGTTCTTGGGTCCGCTGCTAAGACAGTATACAGCCAAGGAGCTGTCTGAGAAGGGCTTCACCGGACGAATCGCCATCTCGGCTATCAAGGTTGGTGACGAACCGTGCGATTTGATGCACAGTCGCACGAGTAAGCAACCGGGATTAGTGGTGGAATAGGGAGGACACATTCCAGCGCTTACAGTAACCGTTTCAAACAGGGCTTGAATGTCCCCGGAAGCCAAAACTCGCTCATCCGAAAGTCATCCATCATCTGCCTCGTTGAGCTGGAGAGGCTGATTGGCAACTCGTTGTGGAGCTACACCCAAGATCTGACCGATGCTCAGCGCAAGCTCCTCTCGGTATACATTGAGCGAGAAAGGGTCATGCCTGTGTGATTGGCGGGAAGGACTTGCCTCGATTTCGCTCAGTGCCGGTGGTGCTACTGGTTCACTCGCCGTCTCTCCAATACACACCACGATCAGCAACCCCTCCCCCCCCCCGAGTCCAGTGATCATGTCGATGTATCGTGCGTCGACTGGCACACCATCGACAACGACTCGTCTCTGGCCACAGCCATCAGGGCGTTCGAACATCCGGGGTCGGCAAGCCCACGGGGCGGGGGCTGTATTCAAACAAAGGCGTATTGAACAGCAGTCTCCGCAAGCTCTGCGCTTCAAGCAGAGCGACAACCAGGAAACTGATTTGATTCGAGCCGCTGGCGGAAGGTGGCAATACACGCACTGATATGGTCCACAACGATCGCCGTCTCGCAGGATACGACATTTAGAGGAGCGCAAGCAGCTCCCGCGACACGGCGTTCAACTCGCTGCTGTCCCCAACCACAATCAGCGGATGCGAGCTGACGATCTGGCGTGCTTCAAGGAGACCAGCGGCCTCCTTTCCGGAGCCGCTTGCATATATCTGGCATCGAGTGTGAAAGCACGTATTCAGCTGTTAGCGTGACTGCATGGGGGGGGGGCGACCATCGACCGTGCGGATTTGTGCATTCAGTCCTGAGTACGAACCAATGTGCCCAAAGCAAGCAAGCAGTTTTGCAGGGTGTCGATGGCCGTTTCGGATTTGATAATCTGACAGCGAAATGCATGGACACAGTTTAGACAGGCGTCAACATTTGTAATGAACGACCAGGTGGGTTGATAGAGAGCCACCGGTACCGGCGATCGATACTTTGGTGATAAACCAGTGCAGGCGACAGACAAACTCCAAGTACCTCCAACAGTAGCGAGATGAGATCAACCGACAGCGAATCGTCGGCAACCTCCGATAGCAACACCGCCAGGCTAGAAACGACGCTAGTGTGAGCAATTTGCATAGCGCAAGCCATACAGGCTCGCCGATAGGAATCATGCTGCATTGAGTATATCCAAAATTGCCAGTGCGAGCACGACACGCGACACTCACTTGAGAATCAGCGAGGCCGTGGTAGAACGGAGGTTTTTGTTGGCCGTGTCACGCCAAGTGTCGGTCAGGAGTTTGCAAACCTACGAGCGGTCAAGGTGGAGGTAACAATGCCCAAAATTCAATGAGAACGCCAGTTGCGTCAATCACATCAATCACATCACATCAATCACATCAATCACATCAATCACATCAATCACATCATTAGCGCCTTTACGCTAGTGGTATCCCGTCCGGAACCAACAGCCGTTGTCCAGGCAGCAAACGCACCTGCTCGAGATTGGATGCCATGACGCCTTTGTTCTGCGGGGTGCCACACGCATTGGCGAGCAATCGCAGAGCCAGCATCAAGTTGGTCTCTTCGTCCTTCTGGAGCCGCGCCCCCAGCGAGTCAACCGAACAAATCTGCCGCAAGCTCGATACGATTTTATGGCTCCCAAACAGCTTGTCCACGGCGATATCAAGGACCAAGAGGCGTGCCATATCCAAGACTGGGAATCGGAAGCGAGCAGGCCAAGTCGTCAGTGCTTGAGAGATGGCCAAAAGCTGCTCACTCGAGAGTCGGTCCGATGCATCCTGGAGACGGTCCTGCAAGATGGCAGAGATTGCCTTGATCGAGGCCTCCTGGCCGGCATCAAGTGCGTAGCTCTGATGGTAACGGCCGTTGGGACAAAGTCAACCCGTTAGTGTCAGGTCAACTGCTCCAAACATTATCAATCAAAGTTGGGACAGTTGGATCACATAGGTGGGGCAGAGTCGATGACCATGTCCACTATTCTGCATCCGAGACAATCAACAGCCTACCGCTGTGCTAGGGTCCTGGCCGATCTTGGCATTGTGCTCGAGAATCTTGGATGTCATGGCGCTGTAGTTTGCCTGTCGGAAGAGGAGGTAGGCTCTCTGGAGGTGCCAGGCGCAAGGAACCTGTCAGCCATAATCGACTCCATGCACAACCAATGTCCCAGCCTAATCGCTTAGCAACTGCAACCAGTCAACAAATAGGCACGCATGGCCTGTCTAGAACTGTTATCGCAGCGGCCCAGACCTTTGGGATTTGTCCCTGGCCAGCTCCAGATACTGCGGGGATTGAAGGAGGGACAGATCGGGCAGGACTGACAGCAACCGGAGGAGCGGCTTGGGTCGCTTGGGGAATGTACCGGGAGCCACCTGGTACCAAGAACAGCATGAGAGTCAGGCAAGATCTCCTCAGATTCATGGCTGCGCTTTTGCGAGCTTCGCACACACTGGGCGTCCTCGACGTACCAGTGAATGGATCTGAATAGGATGTGCTCGTTTGTCCAATCGAGGCAGGGCTGGTGTTTTGAATGATAAAGTTTGCAACCTGCTCAAGAAAGTCCTGATCGAGATCGTTGGCGTGGATGAACTCTTGGGCAGCGGCGTAGGGGTTGTCTAGAGACATACGCAGGGGTTTGGGGGGTGAATTGCAAGGATAAACAGGGCACCCATCAGCTATAACCGCCGACATCGTGGCGCTGGGGCAGCCAGACCTGCATTCAAGAAACACCGGAGAGTGGCGCTGTTCTGGCGGGCTTGGAGACCAGTATGCGAAAGCAGCCTTCAGAGCCGATGCCGCCGACAGTGGGGCGCCAGGTCCTACCTGAGGCGTTGTACGGCAGCTTGAGTGGAGGGTCACTGCCGATGTCGACATCAAAGACGTAATCGTACTCTTTTCCACCAAAGAGCTGCTTTCGCTGAGAGCCAACGGCATCGACCACCTCGCCGATTTTGATCCAAGTCGCCTCGGCCATGCTCCACTATTGTATTAGAAAAGTCGGCATAGATATAATAAGCCACCATGCGCGAGGGCGATTCCGTCGCATCGCCAGATCTGCGAATCCGTACAAAGCGTACCTGGTGAGCCTCGACGACGTTGCCGTTCTTGACCATCAAGACCTCGCCCTCCTTGGTGCCTAAGCAGAGCGATTGCACTGGTTAATCTGCATTCTCGCAAGAATCCACCCCGACCATATTCCGCGGTGCGTAGCAGGCGAGAAAAACAGAAACCGATGCCCACGCCGCCGGGAGGACAGGAAGCTACCTTGGCGCTCAAGAGCCTCCGCGCCGGGGAGCTTATTCTTATCGATATCCCCGACCTGATTGCTGGCCGATTCAAACACGTTTAGCCTTGGTCTGGTGAGTGATCGGGCAGGGGATATCAAATTGCTCCAATACTCACGACGGAATCTGCTGCTTGGAAACATGGTCATCGTAGGCCTGCACAAACACATACAGGTTAGCTACGCACGATTATCTCAACACCAACGTGTCCAAAGTACAATCACATATTGCCACTCGCCTTGAGGGCCTCTGAATCGGCAAGCCTTGCAGGGTCGCGAGTAAAGACTCGAACAAAGCCGTCGCTTCCACCAGAAACGATATCACCGTTGGGAAGAGCCGTGGCGCACCAAACCGATCCGCACGGATGTGCAATCGTCTGGATGCACTCAAAGTCTGGAGCCGGGAAGAAGGATCAGATAAGGCACCGTCCGCAAGAATCGCTCGTATGTCGTTATGCGAGGAGACAACTTGGGCGACAGGTCGTACCTCTCCAAACCTTCAGGGTGCGGTCTTCGCCGGTGGAAAGAAGTTCGCCGGAGGGGGTTACTGCCAGAGAGTAGATGAATGATGTGTGTCCATGGAGCTGGCGAATCACCGTGCCATCAAAGCCCCATATAAAGATCGTGCTGGTGGAGCCAGATGGCGAGCCGATTCATTCGATGTGGGTAAGTGGTCTGGATGTATGAATGCGGCGACACCACGCACAACTCCTCGTGCTTGGTGGATCGGGCTGCTTGCCGGCTTACCTATCGTTGGAGCCCGACGCAAAGCCAATCCCAGGCAAATGGACAAGCGATCGCACGGCGTCGTTGTGGCCACGGAAGGTGTTGGTGCAAGTCTCGCCATGCCAAAGCCGGATCGTTCTGTCGGCAGAAGCTACATCAAAGTGACCAACCACAATCAGTATCCAATCGTATATGCCACACATACCCATTACTTATGCGAACGCTGATCGATCCCGAGCGAACTGGGCACGAATGCCATAAACATCCAATCGAGCGCACAGCAACGGATCGGGGACAGCATACCTGTCAGGACAACACCTGGCTCAATCTCAAGCACGCTCCAGATTGCTTGTGTGTGGCCTCGGAGCGTTGCAACGCAGATGCCATCTTGCCACACCTTGGCGGTCCTGACGAACAGAGCATGTTTAGGAGATAAGCAACAAGATCAACTGCTCGGCGACGCTCAGGTCGGTGCAGATCCGACAGAGCCCCTACTTGTCCCAGGAGCCCGAGATGAGCCTGCCACTTTCGCGAGAGGCATAGAGGCAGCAAACGTTGTCTTCATGACCAGTTAGGGTGTACACCGGCTCCAATGGCGAGTGGTACGGATCAAACAGATGAATGATCTTGTCGGAGCCGCCGCTGGCGATCAGACCTGCCCAGGGGTTTATTTGATTGAAAGATGTTTTGTGAAGCCAGGTTAGCAACCGCTGCGCCAGCCCATACAGACACAACTGTCCTTGGTGATCAGCAAATGCCAACCGCAGAGTGGGACAATGAAAGAAGAGGGCCAGCCAAGCAAGCCAAGCCCGAGAAGCCGATGTTACCATTTGGAAAGAGCTCTGAGGGGGGCAAGATTGCGAGCGAATTGACAAAGTGCGAGTGCTCCGTGAACTTGGCGGACTCGGTGAAGTGGTTCGGGGCAACTCGGGACCAGAGCAAGACCGACGTATCTCTTGATGCACTCAGTATTAGATCGTCCGTCGGAGCCACAACAGACTTGACCTTGGACCATGCAAAGGCGAGAAAGAGTTAATGGTGCAAAGCCTGACTGCGATGACGGCCAAAGCGTCGGTGGGTTGCATGCTGGCTGGCCGGCGAACGAGACCGAATGAAATAGCCGAGAGCGAGGCGCAGATGTGATGGGGCATGATCCGGGCGACGCTGCTTTGCTTACATCCATCGCATGCCCAAGGAGACTTGCAGAGAGTTGGAAGGGAGCGGGGGCAGCCATGTTTGCGAAGGACGGGAGTTGATCGGGGCAAAGGGCGAGCGATGGCTGGCCGGGCCAAGCAGCGGACAAGGGCTGGCTGTGTGGAGTGCCAGGGCCAGAGCGCCAGGGCCACCCTGGAGCCCCACGAGAGCGACCGACACCGATGCTGCGGCAGCGAGGACGCAGCCGATATCCCGGACCGACCGGTGGTCTTCACTCGGAGGCTGCCAAAGTGATCTGTTATATTTCTTATGGCATTGCTTGACGCATGCCATCGCATACATGTTTATGGAAAGGGCGGTGGCCCATTTCCCCCTGAATTAAGTGTATCTGTATTCATTCAGGATCCAGAAATGCCGGACATCGATCTCAGCACCCCCCCCCTCGCCGGTATCGCCACAAATGCATTTATCGCATCCGTCTATCGCGGTCATCATAGCCGCGGTAGCGATCGGGCTCTTCCCTTCTTCGATCCACTCGGTCAAACCCGCGATCAGCGGGGCCATATCGATCATAGGCGTCGCGATCGTATCGTCTATCATCAAAGCGGCGGTCATCGTAGCGTCGCTCATCGTAGCGTCGATCGTCGTAGCGATCGTTTCGAGGATAGGGCTCGCGACGGTCAAGGCGAGCAGGGAAATCGCGTCGCTCATCGAAACGATCGCCGGGTCGGCGGTAGGGATGATGGGCTGCACGTAGCAGAGGTGTTCGGAATGAGCGCAATCGTTCAGACACAATAACCACTCCGTTGTGCGTCGCAACAGTGGGCCCAGGTAAAGCCCATGTGGATGTGCACCGCTGCAGTGAAACGAGCTGCTCCCGCCGAGAAACAGCACCCCTATCAAAGAAGTGTATCAGCCAGCTTACTCGATCTGTTGCGCTCCGAGCCTTGATACTGCCCAGGAGTAGGGGTACGAGGGCGGTTGCGACGAGCCTGGCAGAAGAAAAGCGGAGCCAGCAGAAGAAACGGGTCGGTGAGACGATGAACATCGTACAAGCATCAAAGGACCCAGCGTGGGTTGGAAGAAATGATCAACAGCCAAGTGCCAGGGCGCCTGTGGCAGATCTGTCAACGAGAAACATCCGCTCCAGGTCCCGAACGGGCGTGCAATGGAACACCTCGAGAGCACCTTTGATACTCTGGCCCTACAATACACCACGGTCATACCTTTTGGACGGAAAGGATCTTGCCGTGAATCTCGAATACTTCGCCAGATGTGCTCGCTGTGACGACCTTATCGGCGGATGAAACCTCCTCAAAGGTAATAAAGGCAAAGCCTCTGGAAACGCGGCTGTGGGGATCGTAAACAATGTTGCATTTTTTGATCTGCAAAGCAATGGCTGGTCAATCGGGAGTATGCCACTGTGCAAGCAGGATTCTGGCGGTGGCGGAACGCCAAGGGACCAGTGGGGTATGAGGGCCCTCTGCATAAATGCGAGCATAAAGGCGCACCAGGGCAGGCCATCGCACGGGCACTCACCGGACCAAACTTATGGAATATGCCCTCTAGGTCTTCCTCGCGGGTGCGCTGCGAAAGACCGCTGATAAACAGGTTGTTTCCAGGGTTCTGGGTGTCGGGGCTTATGGCGAGACAGAGGAGTCGTTGGCAGGCCCGAGAAAGGCAGTTTGGAGAGCAACCAGTGATCGCGAAATGGCATGGCAGCGTAGTCGCATTGGGTGAGTGATCTGTCCGCTTGCAGCGCGAGGCGCTGTCGGGCAACGTGGGCCTCGGCTTTCATCGCGTGCAGTGAGATAGCAGAGAGCGTGGTATAGGCAGCACTCGATCGTCCGCACAAGGACGAGTGGTCGAAGCTGGTTTGGATGTTGAGGTCCCCCCGTAACATTGAACGGATTCATTTCTCCCGCTGGACAGAAACCCCGACATTGTTGGCAGAATGGGGCAGCACTTTGTGGGAAGATAAAACGCGATATACCTGCTTGCCCTTTCAGATTGGCGGTGTGTGGGTGATTTGGAGCGTCCTCGCTCAGAAAACCCGCCATGTTCATTTTGGTTGTCCGGAGAGGTCGAGTGAGGGTAGGCGTTTGCCGAGACATCGAGCTGGGGCTGCTCCTCGCTAGAGTCTGAAGAGTGTCGATAGAACAAGCAGCTGGGGGTTATTCGCTACTTCAGGGCACAGGTAGTGACTTGAAATCAAGCCGCGGCGATGGTGGGAGTGAGCGGCAGTGCGCAGACGGATGCGAATGTATGTGTAGAGATGGATAGTGGTGGCGATGGCGATGACGATGGCGACGGCGATGGCGACGGCGATAGCGATTGTGGTGTGGACGACAATGCAGACGACGATGACGATGACGATGGCGGCGATAGTGACGGCGACGGTGACGGCGATGGCGATGGCGATGGCCACAGGGCTGTGGATGAGCGGACGAAGGCGGCAAGTGGTCGGCTGATCGACTTCTTACAGTTGGCCTCTGACATGGCTCTTGGAAGTTGAAGCAACGTTCGGGAGAGGTGGAGATGCGGAACTGAGGCAACCGACTGAGCTGCGACAGAACAGAGAGAGATCTGGTCGCGCCGACACGGATATGATCTGCGGATGCGAGCGGGGCAGATGCGGGCAGGGCCGATGCGAACCGGCGACAGCGGTGACAATTGCGAGATCTCGCCTGGACGGATCCCGTGACGCCCTCTGGCCAGGTGTGGCTTGCGGCCAGCCACGCCTCGATCAGGCCCGCGCCACAGCCCCGTCCAGCCAGGCGAGATTCGCCCTCCGAGACTCGTCTGCGTCGGGGATGCAACACAGGACATGGCACGGCATGGCAGCGCACAGCAACGCACGGCAACGCACGGCATCAGCGTCGGGTCTCGGAGCTAACGATGTGCAATTCACAATGTATTGCCGAGAGCGACAACGCTGTCCAAGCCCACAAGTGCAGACGAGCGCAGGCTCACTCCATATCCATGTCCTCGTGGCCAGGCAGGGTGGGGAAATAGCGTCCGAAATCATACGAGTCGTTCGCCGAGCCCTCTTCTCCCGGATCATCGGTAGGGATGTGGCCGATGCCGCGTCGCTCACGTTTGCGCCTATTCTTGAGCAACTTCTTTTGGTCGCGGTTGGACTGCAGGTTGATTTCTTTCTCGGATGCCGAGAGCATGGCCGAGACTGAGTTGGCGGCAGTCTCTTGTACCTTCTTAGGCACTGAGATGTTGCGTAGGAGGATCTGGGATTGGCCGGCAGCCGGTTTGGCGGCGGTGTCATCATCCATATCCTCATCATCCATCTCATCATCATCATCGCCATCATCGTCATCAGCATCATCATCATCATCATCATCCTCTCCTCCGTCCTCGTCGTCAAAGTCTTCATCGTCACCATCGTCATCTTCGTCCTCATCCATCCTACAATGACAACACGATGATATCAGTGAGCATGAGATCGTGGTCTGCGGTAGAAGCAGAGCAGCAGCAGCAGCAGAGCAAGTGCGAGGAAAGGAGGGAGGGAGTCCTTACTCTTCGTCGTCCCCGTCCAGGTACTCTCCGGCTTCGTCTTCCAGCTCAATTGCAGTGGGATTGCTGGGCTGCATGGTCAAGAACCGCTGCTGATGATCGCCCTTGGCCTTGACACTCGAGAGTACATCCTTGCCCTCCACCTCAATGATCTCCGGCAGCTGGAACTCGGCACTCCAGGACTGAACAACGGCACTCGAGACATGTGTATCAACCGCTGGGCCTGTGGCTGGGGGCACAGTATAGAACGGAATACGGCCCGAATTCCAGTCCTGCAGGATCGAGCGGGCGGCTCCGTCGATGTTGGGGATACCTCCCTGCAATGAAGCCATATCATATACCTTCAACAACTTTGGCCTTGCAAAGCTTCCCTCCCAAGCTGCTCTCCAAAGCACCACATGAAACCTGCAAGCCTGACTGTCGACGCATATGCCTTTGGATTGAATTGGACAGGATAACTTACCCTCTTCAGTTTGCCGCGCTGCTTGGCGACGAAGAGCAGGAACTCTTGTGTTGACTGGAAAGACGGAATCTGATACATGAGCATCAGCTGCTCCTTCTTACATCGCGAAACAATAAGCTCCACTGGAAAGATGTCACAAACGGAGGCAGAGATGAGGTGGGTCATGTGAGCATGGGCACAATGGCGTGCTGAGGGCATATCGAAAGCGGCGGCGCAGTCCATTTCGGATGAGAGAGAGATGGGCTTGCGATGGCTCCAGGGCGGGACAAGGTCTCATCGGAGGGGAAGGTCCCATCGGAGGACTCTAGATGAGAGTCGCTGTGCAGAAGCCAGAGCCACACCAAGAGAGCGAACGGGACTTGGTGTCACTTCACTCACCAGGGGCGATCGGATCCTCCAGCAATTCGACCTTGACACAGTTACGGAGCAAGACTTCGGCTCGATCGTTCTCGCCGGTGCTGCGGCTGAAAACGATTCCCGGACAGTCCAGAAGCTTGATATTCTTATCGAGGGAGATCTCCTGCATGGATTTGGTCACGCCAGGAGTCGATCCGACACCGCAGACTCGGGATCGCTTCAACGAGTTGATGACACTCGACTTGCCAACGTTGGGGAAACCGACGACGCCAACCGAGATCGAGGTCTTGATGTTGGCATTTCGGCAATAATTTTTCAAAAGCTTGATAAGGTTGTCCGCACCTGACAGCAAGCAAAGGTCTCGCGTTGAGGACTGGGGTCACAGCACCCGACAATATCCTGCCAGCCTCGATAGCAGAGCGCAGTCTTACCCAAACACTCGCTGCTATTGAGCAGATTCTGCGAGGCCACATCAACACCGACACTAGAATGACCGAGATTGCTACGCTGGGCCTGTGTCGAGGCCTTGAATGCCACTGTCGGGAACTCGTTGCGAAGGTATTTGAGCCACTGCTCAACGACCTCACGCGGAACCAGATCTGGCCGGATTGCAAATATTGGTGTCAGAGCAATGGCATATATGCATAGGTACGTCCAGCACACCCCAGCACACCCCAGCACGCGACCATACGGGAACCAAATGCCCTGCATGTTTCCCAGCCCGTAGGACATACCAATCTTGTTCAAGATGAGGATGATTCTCTTGCTGATGCCCGAGTTGATGATCATCTCCTCAATCTCTTTCGTTCGGCAGCCAAGTGGATCTCGAGCATCAAGCACCTCCAGAATAACATCGGCGCTCTCGACAACCTTTCTGAACTCCTTGTAGTACGCCTTTCGCGAGTTGTCTTTCGAGGTGACAGCGGCCTCGTCGAGGGTGTGCACTGCGTCAAGGCCTGTCGAGCCCTCGTCACCAAAGGCCTTGCTGCGGCGAGCTGCATCACGAGCGAGGTTGGCAAGAGCAACCTGGTCGGAGGTGCGCCCTGCCTTGCGAGCTTCCTTTTGCAGTAGCTTGGCTTCCTCCGACTTGAAAAGAACGAATGTCAGAGAGCGATCTCGGTTTCAGATAGCAATCGTTGCCAGCATGCCATGTGCGGGCGGAAAGCGCCACAAGAGCCTGGGGAGGGAGGGGCACCGAGGCAGCAAGGCAGCGATACACCGAGGGTCGAAATGGAACAGACTGGACTGAGATAGCCACCTTGCGCTTTTGCTCCTCGATCTGAGCCAGGAGTTTGTCCTTGAGGGGGAATAGGTTGGGAATTCCGGGGTCCTTCTTGGACTCTGTCAAGAACGGGCGAGGAAGCATTAGGGACCCATCTCTGTCCGGCAGACACCATCGACTATCGTTCGTCTCAAAGTCGACCATCTGGAGCCAACACAGCATTCTTTGGATGCATACTCTTCATAGGCACAGGGTTCTTCTTGGCATCTTTGCGGACCTTTCTCCGGTGCTCGGACACCTTTTTTTGGATTTTGTTGCGCTGAGACGACGAGACTCGCTTGCTCTTGCCCTCTGGTCAACGACGAGCCGCGGCGGCCCAAGCCAGGAAGCGACATGTTAGAGAATACGCATATCTGTGCTCGCTGGGCAGGCGGGCTCGCACCATGCTTCGCCATATCAAGGAGCCAGTCGTCGGAGCATATGGTGCGTCCGGCCCGGCAGCATGCTTACTCTTTGGCACCATTGTCGAGGGAGGTTTGCTGCAGATGCGGTTGCGGTTACGGTTGCGATTGCGGTTGCGGTTACGGTTGCGATTGCGGTTGCTGGGAGCGGGGCAGCCAGAGCCTTTGGCGTGCGGAGATGCGACAGAGGCCCTGGCGAGCAACAAAAAAAATCAGGGTTAATTAATTGGGGCCGAGGCAGACTAGGGCTGGCTAGGGTTTTGGGGGGAAGGGCTGGCGCTGCCACAGCACCCCCGGCCCGTGGCTGGCCACACTGCGGCGCTCTCCCTGGCGGCTGCCTGGCTCGGGCGCCTGGGCAATCTCCTCCCTCGTCGTCCATCTTCCGCCATCGCAACCACCACAATCCACCACCACAATCCGCCGCATCCACCATGGCCGGAATGAAAACCATCATCGGCCTGGCGTTCCTGCTGGCCTGCGGAACGCTGCTCGTCATTCTGTCATGCGCCCTCTACAGGTACGAGTGGCCATTGGGGTCGAGCGCGCCGACGGGCACTGTCCTGGTTGCCTCGTCCGGCGAGTCGCCGTCCTGGGCATCGAGCAATCTCTGGCTAAAGCCTCCTGTCCAGGAGTGCCATCGACTGAAGGCAGTCGCATGCGTTTCGTGTGGATACCGCTTTGCCCAAGGATCGCCCTTTATCGCGAGGTCTAAAATACCGCGATGTTTGCTCTGTCCTGGCCATGCTACTCAACGACCGCCACCCATGGCTGCTCTGCCCTCGGCCCTGTCCACCTGCCGGCTCGGCAATACCGATCAAATCCACCACAAATTGGGCCCTTGGACGATGCGTCCCATCTTGCTTGGCGCCACCACGGTCGTCGCGGGCACTGTGTGGCTGCGCTGATTCGATACCGCTCGCCGCCGGTGCTCCAGCAACTGGCTCCCGTTGCTGGTCGTGCTGACCTATGCGCTGGCGCCTATACCGAACATGATCTGCAAGCGCATTGGCGGAGGCGATTTCATGACGGGGGAGAACAGGTATGCCGACGGTCCAACGACCCCAAGCCCACAAACGCCTCTCCATCTGCCCCGCCGCTAACACCCATCCGCCTCTGTGGGAACTGGCCGCAGAGGAGTTCTTGAAACCGGATACTTCATCACCAGCTTCTTGATCGTTTCTGGATTCGGTATGATGTCTCTCTATACTAGTGGACGACGAATATTGAGCCAGACCGACGAGCCTTTGCCATCCCATGAGGAATCCATGCATGGCCGATATACAGTTGTAGTTCTGACCAGCAATCGCATATCCACATGGGCTACCCCCTCCCGTAGGCATTCCGTTTGTGTTGGCCCATGCCGGAAAAGTAAGTAACCGTCTCGGCAACGCCTCTGCGCGCCGCATTGCCCGATCACTGCAGCACACTCGGACTGACACATGCTGTCCCATGTTGCCAGATCACGGTCCCGGCCATGATCCTGTCATTCTCGGGTGGATTGATAGTGTATGCCACCATTCTTGGATACGGTGAGATTGCATGGCTTATCCACGGAGTCGATCCGAGCGGGATCCGCTCGGCTTGAACGGCCGGAAACGGCGGTGGACGCCATGTCCGCTTGTCGGTCCCCGTCCGACCGGTCGGCAACAGCAACACCGTGAGTGACGGCCGCTAACCGACGAAATCGATCCTCAGTCCACTTCTTCGTGACCGTAGACGAGCCCTTCTAGGCCCGTGTGGCATCGATACAGCCGGCGCGCTGCATGTTTTGGTCATTCGACTGCACATGCACCTCTTTCAGCGACAAGCGAAAAGCATATGTCCTGCAACTCCTCCAGGATTGTTGTCTGTACGCAGCGAGATGGGATCAGACCTCTTATCAATCCGATTTTGTAGCCAGAATGTCCTCTGGGCTAAGTGCCTGGCCAATAACAAACATCGTGGTGGATCAGACCAGCCCACTCACCCACCTCCCTGGTCGGCGTCCATCGCATCCCGCTGGACAACGAGCCATAGCCCGCAGTTGCGCACCGAGAGTGGACGAGCAAAGGGAGACTGGTCTGCCCATGCCCATCGAGTCTGCGCCAGTCCACCAGCGATTGTGGAACAGGCCTGGCTCAGACAACCAGTGTGGACAAGATCGCTGACGGACCAGCGCCAGCCCGGACGGCCGATCTCCCACAGCCCGAGTGGATTGCGCATCCGTGGAGGACGCCGGCCACCCAGGATATAGCCGGCGCTTGCATCTGGTCTTGATCCCCGTACTGTTCTGGCGGTGGTCCGTCCCTCCGAGCGATGGAAACCAGACTTGCTCCGACCCGGAGGCGACTCGTCCGTGCGCCCGGACCTCCGCAACAATATAAGCCTGGCCGTGAGCTCAGACCTCCCGCTCCCAGACCAAGACGAACAGCGACGTCCTCGATTCGCTCTGCCGACGAGCTTTCCGACACGCCTGTCTGTCTCGATAGACCCACAACGTCAGTTGGCCGAGGCCCCCTCCAAAGACACTTTTGCGGAGCATACGTCAAAGCTCGACCGAACATCTGCAGCCAATGTCTGCTCGCAACCCATCTTTCAGCCCAACAGAGAATGGCCTCGAGGCCGGGAACCACAGCTATTACTCGGCACCCGCTGACCAGCCCTATGCATACATGCGTCGCCCGTCGGCCAAAAGCCCATTCATCCGTCCCGAGCGAGCACCAGGGCCGATCAAGAGCCTGGTGCGCGACGAAGCCCGGGCCCAGGCCGTGGGAACAGAGGACCCCAGTTGGCAGGGTAGGTGGTTCTCTAGCACGGATGTGAGTTTCTTCCCGCCGAGACTGACGTCAGATTCCTTGCTGTACTGCTCGCTGCACAATCCAAAATGCAGCCCAGATGGCGGACCAGTACTTTGGCTCAAGCGACAAGATCCCAAACTCGACTTGGACGTGGGCAGCCCGATATGCCACCCTCCCGTTCTCGTCGGCGATGCTGGCCAAAATGAACCATGGCAAGATGACGGAGCTTCCGTCTCAGCAGGCCTGGCGGGAAAAGGTTGGCACGGCCTTTGCACATACTGAGAAAGGCACCGGTCATAGCGATCAGCGGCGACTCTGGACTTGAACGACTGGGAGGGAATCGCCTGGCCGGCATGTCGCCTTATTCGCACAAGCTACATGCATCTCTGGCCACTGACCATCGTCTGAAACTCTCTACTCAGGTGACGTTGTGCATCATCATTGCCGGCATGATGTGTTGCATGGGCTTTATGACCTTTGGTCTCAAGCCCGCACTCTGTCCCGACGATGGCCAGGACGTGTATACGCACACGTTCTTTGACCCAAAGGATCACACATCGGTCCTCTACAACGACGACGTGGTGGTCTTTGGGAACATCTACTCCTTCAGCGACATGTCCACTCTGCTGGCTTCAACTATTTTGGTCAATCTAACGGCGGACTGGCACGGCCAGGACCTCACGCAGCTGTTCAAACCCGCCACGGATCTGTGTTCGGACTACATCAAGATCGATCCCGCTCTATGCAGCGTCCCAAACCCGTTTCCGCTGTCGCTGCCTCTCCAGCCAGCCAAGGGGATGCCCTGTCCCAGCATCAGCATCTTGTCTGCTCTTCGGCCCAAAGGAAGGCTTGCCTTTGATCTATCCGAGGTGATCTCCCATACTGCACCGCCACACATACTGACGGCCTTCAATGGGCATGTCTTGAACCTCACGCAGTACTTTGCCCGAAACAAGTTTCTGAGCAACTACACCTCCATCGAAACCGAGCTCGAGTACATTGTCGGAAAGGACGGAACCTACGGCATGGCTCAGAGCCGCGACAGACTCAAAGCCGTCATGTGCCTCCAGCAGCTGTACATGGTCGGCTATGTGCAGCAACCAACGGCCGGCTGCGCCGCCTCCTTTGCAATCGTGACCATCGTATCGATCATTGTGGTGGGAACGGTCATGGCCCGTCTGGTAATCGCGCTCATGTTCCACTGCTTTCTGTCCAAGAAGATGACATCCAAATATGCCACCTCGAAGCGAGGGCGCAGCCAAATCCCAGACCAAGACAAAGAGCCCTACGTGATATGCATGATTCCATGCTACTCGGAGGGCCGAGAGGGCATTGGCGGGACTCTTGAGTCGCTCTGCAATGCAAAGTATCCCAATGCCAAGAAGCTGTTCTTCTTGATCGCGGACGGAATCATTTGTGGACAAGGAAACGAAAAGCCCACGTCCGAGATCTGCAAGGAGCTCTTCACTATCGACCCAGAGCTCACCGTGGAGCCCAAGAGCTACGAATCCAATGCCGTGGGCAAGAAGAAGCACAATATGGCGCAAGTGGTATGCTTGTTGTTTGTTGCTATTGTTTGGCGCGCAGGGGCTGATTTGGATGGGACGTTGCAGCCCATAGCTTTGCCGAGGCTGTGGCTTTGCGACCATGGTCTCCAGGGGGCGGGACCGCTGTTGCATACATTAGGCTTTACCTTGACGCTCTTGGCATCGTTCATCCATCAAACCGATCACACCGATCACACCGATCACACCGATCACACCGATCACACCGATCACACCGATCACACCGATCACACCGATCACACCGATCACATCGATCACACCGATCGTGTTCCTCTCTTCTGCTGTCTCCGCTGTACTTCCGCTGCACATCGATGCTGTATCGCAGTATGCCGGCAAGTACAAAGACGTGCCCACAATTCTCGTTGTCAAGTGCGGAAACAAGGACGAATGCGAACAAGCCAGGCAATCTGATATTGGCAAAGTCAAGCCCGGCAACCGTGGCAAGCGGGACTCGCAACTGATCCTGATGAAGTTTCTGTCGAGGCTCGAGTTCAAAGACCGCCTGACAGAGTTGGACTACGACATGTACTCCAAGATCCAAGCTGTTGCGACCAGTCCGTTCAAATATGAAATCATCTTGATGGTGGATGCCGACACAGTGGTTGATTCTGCGTGTCTTGGGCACATGATCGACGCCATGAATGCCGATCCGCATGTGATGGGGCTCTGCGGCGAGACACAGATTTCGAACAAGTCCGCGAGCTGGGTCACTTCCATTCAAGTCTTTGAGTACTACATCTCCCATCACCTTGGCAAGGCCTTTGAATCGGTCTTTGGTGTGGTCACCTGTCTCCCGGGGTGCTTTTGCATGTACCGTATCCGATACCGAGGTGAAGCCCAGCCGGTTCCGCTGATCATCAACAACCACATTGTGAGCGAATATGCTGCCGACGACGTCGACACGCTTCACCGCAAGAATCTGCTCCTGCTGGGCGAAGACCGCTTCTTGACCACGCTGCTCCTCCGGATGTTTCCGAAGAAGAAGATGATTTTTGTTCCGGAGGCGACGTGCTCTACCGAAGTGCCAGACAACTTCAAGACGCTGTTGTCGCAGCGTCGGCGGTGGATCAACTCGACAATTCACAATCTCTTTGTGCTGATGGGCGTCAAGGATCTGTGCGGCATCTTTTGCTTCAGCATGCAGTTTGTGATAGCGGTAAGTGTTCGTGGTATGGAAACCGCTCCCCGAGACAGCACAGAGGAGTAAATACCGGGCAAATACTGCCCGGTTTTTGGATCTTTCGATGGATGTGTTAGTACGCTCTGTGACATAGCCGAGACACCCGATGCGACTCGTTAAAGCGAGAGTGTTTGATGCACCGGCGGAGCCAATCGACTCGGCGTCCGCTGTGTCAAGCGTCGTTCAACTCACCTCCTCGCTCTTCACTCTTCGCTGTCCACCTCCCCCCCTGCATGGTGCTCTTTAGCTTGAGTTAGTGGGAACACTGATTCTGCCGGCAGCGATATGCTTTGCAATCTTCTTGATTCTATCGGCGATGTTTTCTGGCAAGGCCGATCCGACGCCGCTGATTCTGCTGGCCGTGACCCTGATTCTGCCCGGAGTGGTTATCATCGTTACGGTGCGGCAGTTTGAGTATCTCATGTGGCTCGGAATCTACATTCTTGCACTCCCGATCTGGAACTTTGTCCTGCCAATGTATGCCTTCTGGCATTTTGACGACTTTTCGTGGGGTGAAACCCGCAAGGTCAACGGCGACACAACCGGCGGCGACCACTCCAACAGCGGCTCTGGGATGCATGACCCAACCAATATTCCGTCGCGCACGTAAGTCTGGTGAACAGCGATTGTGGCGAGTGCAGATTTTGCCCGGCGACTCTGTGGAATGGGTACAGAGCTTGCGACAATCGTCGGCAATCGTCGGCATCAATAGGGGGCCGCATTGCACCGATTCTTTGACCGGAGAGTTGCTTCTCACCGATATGGCCCTGCACTTGTCGATTTCAGGCTGAAAGAATGGCTGACGCTCGATGGCAAGTTCAATGACGGATACCATACGCCTTCGGTCCTCCTATCCTCTATGGGAAATCAGCGAAACAGCTCGTTCCTCCGCGAGATGTCCAGTATCAACCCGTCGCCGATCCTTGCACCGCAGCGGCCAAACTCCAACTCGCACACGCAGATTCCAGTCGGCAATACACAGCCCCAGCTTTCTCGGCAGTCACGAAACTCATACTCGCAACGCCGCTCCGGCACGCAGCCTCGTCTATCGTTCCCGTCATCGGCACAGCTTTCGGACCTGAGAGAGCCTGGTCCTGTTTCTGCTTCACCTGTGCCGTACACCGAAAGTCATCAACCAAGCCCGCAGCATCTGACGTTTCCGCAGCAGCCGTACCAGCAACAAAACCAGCAACAGTCAAAACCATTGTTCGAGCCCCAGTACCCCTCAACTTTGCCCCTGCGTCCTCCCAGAGCAAGGCAGACAACACCCTCGCCGCGATACTCAACCAATCTCGCGGACCAACACACAGTCCCGGCCGATCGTGCTGCCGAGCCTGCATGGCTCCGACCGGCAACGACCTTGGATCAAACTTTTGCCTTGTACCCGACTCAGGCCCTGGAATATGCGCACGCCCAGGGTCATCAGGGAGGATATGCCACCTTTAGTGGATACCACGGCGGCACACCCGGAACTGGGGCGGCACCGCCTGCCATCCCAGCCAACGTCATCCCTCCGACGAGCTATACTCAACACGCAGGTACAGACCAGGCTCCGCGCATAGCGGTTGTCATTGGCCGGGAAGAGTTGTTATGGACAGGAGCTCCATCGGTATGCATACTGGTGTGCATACCGGTATCTAAACCTGGTGCTGACCGACTCTTATTCCCAACTCATTGATGCTTGATTCCTAGATCTCCGTCTCTCCCAGCCCAGTAACCCCCCGGTGTGGTCGCTATGGGATACGGCCGCCGCGATCAGCAGGCCAGTGTCGTCACTGTTCTCGACCACCCCTGGCCGTCCCGTCAAGAAAGGACCTCTGCCCGCTGTCCCTGTGCAGGACCTCGAAAACAACGACACCCGTCCAGGCGGTAGTCATTTTGGTCATTTTGGTGGTCGGGAGTCCGCGCCCACTGCTCCTGGAGGAAAGCAAAACGAGGACGGTGCCGAGACAGTGAAGCCCAAGGCCCATAATCCACGACGGGGCCGCGGCCGTGGTCCATCGGCAATCGAGCTAGCGCAGGAATGGGACGGCGAACAGACCGTCCGGGCCAAGAAAGCAAATCCTCGCTCGGCACTTGGGAACTGACCGCTGCAACCCAAGGATCGCTGCACGGGATCCAGAAACTCGAATGGGCCGATCCAGCCCTGTCCACACAGATATTGGGATGCGTGGGAATCTGTCGTGCGAGGATGTGCTGTTCATCTCGGGTATATGAATCAATGCCCGCACCCCATGCCATATCCAAAGCCGCATATTCACAAACCGAAAACGAGTCACTTTGTTTCGAAGGCCGTCGGGCCACTCTCTCCAGGATTACAGCCAATCCAATAAAATATGTTATTGCCTCAAAACATCGCGTGCTGACCATGACCATTTAGCGATCCGATTCTGGATCTGAATCAAGGACGTTTTCTCGCACAGATGGCTCCCCGCAAGCGAAAGGCACCACACTCCCACATCGACACAGGAGATCGACCGAGTGCATTCAAGACCAAGCCAACGAAGACAAAGAGATTGCCAACCAGGATGAGAAACAGTCGCATGGCTTGCTCACTGGAGCCTGTCTCGTTTCTTTCTGGATATACTGATGAATACACTTTGGTCGGCTTGTCACCATCATCGGAGAGTGTGTCCGATCGCCAGAGGCCTACCATATGCAATGGAATCGATCACCTCGGCGGCCCTCGCTCAAAGCAGGTGTCCTCGCTTCAGAATGAGTTCGTTGCAACCGCCGCAGCACACATTGGACTGCGGGCTCGATTGAGACACCGATACGAATCACACCGCCATAGTGAATCTCTGGCGAGACCGGGCCGAGCCAACAATAGCAGCGCTTGACGGCGCCGCCCGGCCGCCCTCGATCATGGCAGCGGCAATGGCAGGGGAAACGGCAATGGCCTTGGCGGTGACGACACCAGCGGCCGAAGGGCGAGCCAGCCGGGATAATGATAATGCTCGTCGCTGCTCGGTGCTCCGCCCCCGGCTCTATTCCACCTGGGTCTTTGGATCTCGATCCCCACACCATAAAGCTTACACCTGCTCAACCAACGACTCGAGCCCCTCTCTCGGCCCCCCTCTCTCCAGCAGCATCAAGCGACCAAAACAGCGCCTCGGGACCGCCATTTGTGCCTGCTAGCCCGGCTTCGTTCGTCCATCCATCTACATATCCATCCCGCGAGAGCAAAAAAAGCGAGACCGACCGCCGAGACCGAGCGGACCCGCGAAAAAGCCCGCCCCTGGTCGTTTTTCGTTCTTGGAATCCATCCATCCATCCATCCATCCATCCATTTGCTTGCCCATCCAGACCAGCCCATCCAGACCACCCCAGCCCACACCGCATACCACGTCGACGGAACGCACCGCAAAGCACATCGTCGATCCTCTTGTGTAAGCAACACGTATATTGGCCTGCCGATCCGCTTTCTTGGCCGTTGCTCTCGAGGCACACCTCCCTGCTCCATCCATCTTGCCAACACGCTTGGCGGGCCCTCGGATTCCACCACTATTACCTCCATCCTTGGTTTCAATCCACCCCACCCCACCCCACCCCCGGAGGTGCGAGAGGGACGGCGACAGTGCCAGAGTCGAGGAGACACCCTCTGGCTCCCCAACGGTGGCAGCATCCCGCCGCCGACGCATCGCACCCATTACCCAAGCACCCGGTCACTCTAGCCTCCCCCCCCTTCTGCCCTTGAAGCTCTTTGGTGTAGAGCCATAGAGCGTTGCTTGCGGTGATTTCTTCACAGCGAGGAGCTGTCCCGTTTCCCATCCGCCTCTCCCCACTTGCCGAGGCGCTGCAACCACCCCTCTCTCTGGTGCGCCTTCCTCTGCCACTCGAGGCGTTTGTTTTTGGCTCCGGACGCTAAATGCGTTCCCGTTCACTGTGCGTCGGTAATGAGGCCCCTTGGCTTCCGCCCACCATTCTTCGGAGCTTGGTGGGTCTGACGGTGGCTCGATCGTATTGGAAACTCATCAATATCTCACCATGTTTCGTGCTCTTTGACTTCTAATGTGCACCTTGCCGATGTGTCGCCGGCTGACACGAACCCCTTACCAACCGCAACCGCAACGACGACCGCATCTGCAACTACAACCACGATACTGATACCTCCCGGCAATGAAATCGACGGCGGTTGTGCAATCCATATCGGCCCTGCTTGCGCGTCGTATCTCCTATTTGGTGTTTTAATTGTGGTTGTGTGTCTGTGTGGCTGTTTTCGTTGAACTATGCCGGGGGGTTTACTAGAACCAAAGCAGCAGCAGCAGCAACGCGGATACTCAGGACCTCGGACAACCATTGTTCTTTTCTCTGGTGCTGATCAAGACATACTCGCGTCAGCCTCAATCAACTATCCGACACATTCTCAGCGATTCGACTGCATAACAAAAAATGGGCAACAACGCCAGCGCTTTGGACGACATGGTCAACTCTTCGAACTGTAAGTGTACTCTTCCCACAGCGGTGGACAATCAAGTGGAGGGAAATGGAAGGGGAAGGAGAGGACGAAACAGGCCGACGTGATGATGGAAATGTAAATGAGTTGGAGAAAATGGTACAGGACCAACCACGAACGGTTGATGAGGTGGTGCTGTCCCACCCGAACGCCCAACTTCTATGTGACTGACTATTCTCTTCATATGTCCCCGTATCCCCAACTGGCCACGGCTCTAGTCTCGGCCGAAGGTGAGGCTCCTCACGGCACGTCCTGGATCATCGTGGCGCTGGCTTGGACTCTTGGCCCCCATGAATGCGATGGCAGAAGCAAGAAAACATCTTCTCTTCTCGTGCACACCTTGCCCCATTCTGATCATGATGGGCCGTTCTTCCTCCGCCTCCCTTCCCGCTTTGACAGAGATTCAGCGGCTGTACAAGAGGTTTTTGAAGATGGACAGGGATCGCAGCGGCAGCATCGACAAGGAAGAGTTTTTGGCCATCCCCCAGATTTCAAGCAATCCCCTGGCACAGCGTCTCCTGGCTGTGTTTGACGTGGACGGCTCCGGCGACATTGACTTCAAAGAGTTCATCACGGGCCTGAGTGTCTTTTCCGCCAAGGGCAACAAAGAAGAGAAGCTGAAGTGTACGTATGGCAAAGTGCTCGAGATGAATGGCCGAAAGAGGGTGGGGCTACTGCAAGTGGTTGGGGAGGGGAGACGGCGCAAGGGCATAGGGTTGGAACAGTGGAAGGCGAAAGAGGTGGAATGGTGGATGACCAAAGAGGTGGAATGGTGGATGACCAAAGAGGTGAAACGAATGGCGCCGGATGATATTTCCAAGCCGCAGTGAACTGGTCCCAACCAACGGCTGGGCCTCGACTCCTGCCTGTCGATGCTGATGCTGATGCTGACACTGGTGCTGGTGCTGATACTGGTGCTGGTGCTGATACTGACATGGTCGCTCTGCTATCTTGTTTTGCGTCGGCACTGCGACCCGGATTGGAACCAACGCTGGTCGGTCGGATCAAACGGAGCAGTTGCCTTCAGGGTGTACGACATGGATCGCGACGGATACATCTCCAACGGCGAGCTTTACCTGGTACTCAAGATGATGGTTGGCAATAACCTCAAGGAGCAGCAGCTGCAGCAAATCGTAGACAAGACGATCATGCAGGCCGACACGGACGGGGACGGACGAGTATCGTTTGAAGAGTTCATCAAGATGGTCGAGACCACCGACGTGGCCCGACAAATGACGCTGGACAGCGAGAGATTCTAAGCGGAGAATGGAGCCGGTGGAATCGCGTTAAAAGGCGGGCAGTTGCTGGAAGATCACTGAATGGGGCAGAGGGAGAGCCAACGACTATGACCGATGTGGGATACGCTGGGTCTGGTCGGCACTGTTGGTCGCTCGGCAGCGACCGGTCCGAAGCCCGGCCGCCGACGGCGCATGGCTCTTCTCGATATGCTGTTTGTTCATGATGGTTGGTTGCTACTGTTGTGGTTCGCTGTTGTTTTTTATGTCTCTTGTCCGCTCTGTCCTCGGTGCGTGCATATATCGCGGCTCGTTTGGCAGTCCACACAACCGCGGGTGGTGGATGGGTGACGGATGGCATCGACGATGGGCTGACAAACGAAAGGGTCCCACCGATACAGGCCCGCACACCATAGACGCACGGAGGCGTAATTTCGACACAGGCCGATAGCATTGGAGATACGGGCCGATGGCATTGGAGCCGCACCACAGGGCTTTGCCTGGGAGAGCGAGCAGCCATCGGCGTGTCATATTGTATTCGCAGAGAACAGCATCCCCCCCCCCCAAGAAGAGCACCACACACACACACCCCGAGACAGATGCGCTGTGGCGTGGTGCAATCAACCCAGGGAGAACGTTTGGCTGGCGCCACTGGATCTGCCAGTGGATGGACGGGAGACTGCTCGATCTGCTCGATCTGCTCAGGACAGCCAGGGACAGCCAGGGACAGCCAGCGACAGCCGGCAAGACGCAACGCAGCCAAGCGGGTGGCTCTCGGCGGCCAGGGCGCGGGAGGGGACGCGTTTTGCAGAACAGGGGGGTCCTCGACGGATGCAGGAGAGGGGCAGGTGGGCGGGGGGAGTTGAGTTATAATGCCAGAGGGGTAGTGCGGTCCGTGGATGGAACGGGGTGGAGCGGGCTGGTTGAGTGGAGGGAGGTGGTGCTGTTGGGTGGTGCTGTTTCGGATGTGCAGTCCAAGTCGAGCCGAGTCGATACGATGGAGACTCGACTCAGTCAGCAGATGCAACCCGATGGCCGCAGCCGACCACACCCGTATTTGCAGCGTTTGCCGCAGGGCCTGCACCAACGACGCTTCGAGCCGGCAGACACCAACGAGAGCCCGTGGCTGGTGTCGTCGTTCGTGCGGCGGTCAGCCTGTCCGACGAGCGGCGCTCATGCTGGGGGGTGTTTGGTTTGGTTTGGTGGAGCTGTGATGGCTCGGGGATCTGCTTGGGACTGAATATATCCCCCCACATCCACATCCACATCCACATCCACATCCACATCCACATCCACATCCACATCCACATCCACCACAAGCTGTCCCCTCACCGCAACAGCCGCGTTCTCCTGCATCGGTGGCTCTGGCCTCCTGCGCGTGGCTGCGCGGTGCGGGTGCTGCAGGGCAAGGAGCACAGTCGCTTGTCCCCCCTCCAGCCAGGCGGTTGACCAGCATCACCCAACCGACGGCTATGGTGTGTTTGGTTTCCAATTTGGGTGGGGGCTGTTAGAGGCCCTTGTCTGTGATGGGTGTCTGTGCTCACCCCTCCCACGACAGCGCCGACAGGAGGGGCGGCCCCACCGACAGTGGGCATGGGGGGAGAGTGCCGGCAAGCAGGGGCAGGTCAGCAGGGGCGAGCTGCGAGCGAGAGCCGCTGCCGCCGGTGGATACGCTGCTGCCGAGCGGTTGTCGTTGCTGCTCCGGGTGGTGCTATGCTCGAGCCAGCGAGGCCAAGCAATCCCTCCCCAACAAGCAGGCAATCCCTCCCCAGCAAGAGGCAATCCCTCCCCAGCGAGCAGGCAATCCCCATGCAGCAAGAGGCAATCCTCATGCAGCAAGAGGGCAAGGGACGGCATTTCAAAGCATGGATCGAGGGCAAAGGGGCAGTCCCCGGAAGAAAGGGACGAGCGCGGCCCATGGGGGCGGCGGCAGCCACAGGCCATGGGCGGATGCAGAATCCTTCGGGGGGCAGCCAGTGGCACGCAGCACAAGCGATGGGTGTGCGAGGAGGACGAGCAGGGGACAGACAGAAAACAAGAGGGGGACAGCGAGAATAGACAGGGGACAGAGGAAGACATCGAACGGCGCTGTTTTAACAATTAAAATCATGGTAGTATCCCAGAGCAGCTAACACTTCAGAGCAGCTAACACTCCAGAGTAGCTCACACATCGGCAGTGCTGCCAATCAATCAAAGACAGACAGCATGACCACGGCCCTTTGCGCCGCGCGGACAAGCGCACCCTCCTTGGTGTGGCCGCGCCGTGGGTTGCACTGTTTCGCTGCGGTGTGGGTCTCGGCGGCTGCCCGGGCCGGCCGCGGTCTCCTTGTCGGCATGTCCACGCGCACGGGCCTCCTGCATCGTCCTACCTGCGGGGGAGCATTGGATGCTTGGTTCTGAGCGCCTATTCAACACTGCGACTGCTCAACACTGCGTAACTGCTCGACACTGCGTAACTGCTCGATACTTAACCAACACTCAACTACCACTTAACTAATACTTAGCTAATACTTAACTAATACTTAACTAACACTCGACTAACACCAATCCACCATCCAACCAACACTTATCCACCATCCCACCAACACTTATCCACCGTCCAACCAACACTTAACCAGTTAACACATCGCACCCGCACCACCACCGTTACTCTGCCCGCCCCTTCACCCGCGCACGTTCGCCGTCCGACCGCGCCGTGTGTGTGTGCCAGGAGTGTCCTCCGTCGCCCCGCTCTCGCCCTGGCCCCCTCGCTTCCCCCTCTCGCCCCTCCCGGCCTCGCCCCGGCCGCTTGCTTTTCTGGGTCTTCGTCCGCCGGTCCTCCTCCGTCTGCATCTGTTGTCCTTGCTGGCTCCCCTCCCCTTGGCCCGGCCCTGTCGCCCTGCCGTCCAGCTCCTCTCCCTCCCTCTCTATCCCCCTGCTCCTGGCCACGCCTTCTGTTTGGCCCTTTGGTTCTATTTCCCTCCGCTTGCCTCCGCTTGCCTCTGTTTGCCCTGTTTGCCTCTGTTTGCCCTGTTTGCCCTGTTTGTCCTGTTTGTCCTGTTTGCCCTGTTTGCCCTGTTGGCCTCTGGCTCTTCGGCTCTCTGCTATTTATATCGGCGCCCGTCTTGGACCCAACTTACCCACCTTCCCATACGCCGTGGCCTGCATCCGAGGCTCCTCTGCTTGCTCGCTCGCTCGTGCCCCGTCGGCTGCCCCGAACCTGCCCAGCGGATTCTTCTTGTCCCGGCGAGCCCAACTCTCGTTCAGGGCTTTCTCATCGTCCGCCATCGTAAACACATCTCCATCGGTAGGCACCCACGCTCTCTCCTCACTTGCTCTGCTTTCGCTTTCGTTGCTGGTCTGTTCCGTTCGGATCGCCAAGTGCCATGTCCTGTCCTCGTCGCTGTTTTGACAGCCCCCCCCCCAGTCACTCTGGACATGTGCCATGCTCCGCTGTCTCCACCTGCCAATCATCAGCCTGGCACACCATCTGTGTCCAGCATCTCTGTCCAGCATCCATCTATACCCATCAGTGTCCAGTATCCATCTCTGTCCAGTATCTTCTCGCGCACCGGCTCGCCCCTGCTAACCAACCTCGTGTTCTTGTCCACCACTTCCAGCCAGCCAGCTGCTCGCCGCAACCCCGAACCGCTCGCCATTACTTTGAATCTCAATCGTATCCGAGTCTGTCTCTCCATCATGGTCACTGCCGTTCCGTCACCCACTCGTTCAGACGTCTCTGAAGCTCCCTTGCGCAAACCCGACGATCTCGAGCCTGTCGTCCCGGCCCCCGAATACCGCTCGGTCTGCGACCCAACATGGACTCCCGACCACTCCAAGTTCTCCCAGAGCGCCGCATTCACTCCGTGGGAGCACTCAAGCTCAAGTCCTCCAGTCTCCGATCTGTCGCCAGAACAAGCCAGGCTGCTTCCAGTCAAGTCGCTACTCGCAACCCCGTCGACCACCGTTTCCTCCACATCCACCAGCCTCGCTATAGAATCACCGTCCTCACCGCCGCTCTCGACCGCTTCGTGCTCAGTCTCTGGCTATCCAGCTCCAGCCACCTTGCCCACCGCCGAAGCTGCTATCTCGACTGCGTCAAGCCCGGGCAGGCCAAGCACAGGTCCATTGCATCCCGGTGTTGCTGCCGGTGTTGCTGCCGGTGTTGCTGCCGGTGTTGCTGCCGGTGCTGCTCCTGTTCCCGTCTCTGCAGAGTACCCCCAGGCTGATGCTGGCAATCAGCCACTCTTGGATCCCTCCGGACTCGCCGAGCACAGCAACATCGCAGCTTCGACCTCGGACCCCCGATTGCCCGTGCCGCCCAGCCGGAGCGAGTGGCGATACGTTGCTCACCAGAACCGCGGGCTGCCTGCCGTGAAGCAAGAGCCATGGAGCCATCCTGGCCACCCGGCCATGTCGCGGCCATCGACTGTTCCTCCTGCCTCCCCGTACCTCCAGCCTCACTTCACCGTGCCGTCCAGCTTTGATGCCGCTGCGCCCGGCACAGCTGCATATCCGTCGTCGCCTTCGATGCACTCGCATGGACACCATTTCAGCCAGCCGCCGTATCCGCACACGGCTCCGGCCCAGTCGTCGCATCCGCACTACCTTCCTCCTCACGTCACTGTTCCCTCCCAGTCTGTGCCTGGTGGATGGCCTCACGCTGCTCGACCACCGTCAAACCCAAACAACGCTGTGTCCCATCCGGCATATCAGAGACGCTCGCCCTCGCCCCAGCATCGCGCACCCGCGTCGGTGTCGTCCTCAATCCCGATCGATCCGCGGTCTCATGAGGGCCATGCTCACCGAGCATGGTTGTCCCACGACCTAATCCCCAACGACGACCGAATCTCGTCGCCGCACAGTCGCCTCGATGCCCTCTCCAAGGCGGCCCTCCAAAGCGCCCAGCTGCCGATCCGGGAATGGATCAAAACCGAAGACGGCCCAACCTACCACCGGGTGAGCCGCGCGTCGCCGCCCTACTCACGGCCTCAGTCGCCGATGCCTTATCCCTATCCTCCCAAGCGCCGCTATCCCGGTGGGCGCGAGTATGACGACGACTACCCGAACGAAGACATCAAGCTGGAGTACCGCGAGAGGCCGCGGTCCTACGGCTCCCACCACCGCCCAAGCTTTGAGTACTACAGCCGCGACGACGAGCACGAGGATGGCTTCAATCCCGACGCACGACAGGGCTCGCCGCGGTCGCTCGTCGGCTCAGATGGCCCGTCCTCGCCGCGGCACTCCAGGTACCGCCATGGCCAGCCCCATCAAGAGTATGTCCTGATCCAGCCGCTCCCGAAGCTGTCGCCGAGCGGCGAGTACTTGAACACCCTCGAGAGCCCACTGTCGGCCGCGGCGGTGCTGTCGAACCTGAAGCGATATGAGGATCCGTCGATGTCGAGCCAAAGTCTGGACGTGCCCGAGATGATCCCCTCCAAGCCCGGCAAAAGAGCCGCCTCTGCTGCTGCCGCCACAGACTCGCAAGGGCAACCCCGGATCAAGCGATACCGATGCCAGTTCCCGGGCTGCCCGAGCAGTTTTGCGCGTGCCGAGCATCTGCAGCGACACCAGCTCATCCACACGGGCGAGCGGCCCTATCGCTGCGATATCTGCGGACGCTACTTTTCGCGAAGAGACAACCTGCAGCAACACCACCAAACCCACAAGCACAGCAAGCGAAAGGCTGGCAGCGGCGGCACCAGCGCTGCGTTGGCCCTTGCCTCTGCCACCGACGACGAAACTGCCGCGCTCGACTCCACAATCGCCACCAGCCCTATCACCGTCCCCGTCTCCGTCCCTGCGACCTCTGACAACTAAACGAGACAGCCCTGCCCTCGGCTCCTCCTCCTCATCCTCGCTCTCTTACAAGCTGCCGCAGCCGGGTTTGCTCGGACAAATCTGCTGCCAACCAAGCTTGTTCGGATCCCACCCGTCCTGCGCCAGACAGATCCCACCGCCGTATCAGACCAGCCTGGTTGCTGGGACGGCAGGCTGTTTGCCCACAGGCTCCCAGGTGGCCGGTGTTTCGCATGCGAGCCCGCTCCAAGATGCCGAACTCTCTCAATGGCCACGACCTCCACCAGCAGCGTTCCTGTCTCCCGTCTTGTCCCAGTCGCTGTCCGATTATCTTTCCCCCCCCCGCTTCCTCTGGCAGCTTGCCGCCTGGCCGTCGCGGCATCGAGTTTGTAGCAACCCACAGCGGCGCACACGCTCTAACAACTCGAGACGGGTTGGATGTATGCAGTTCTCGACTCGCCTTGAGTTGATCCATCCGACTTGCTATCCTGAAAGTGCCACATCACCACCAATTCGGCGCTGCCCGATTGTGTGGACAGGATACGCGCCCCACATCTACAGCTGCTCACCCTCCTCCCCCGGTCTCTCGATCTGTTTTTGGCCTTTTGATATCTCTGGCAGAGACGGTCATTGCTCTGCTGCTCTGCCTGCCGTCTTCCTTCCCACCATTTCCTTTCTCTTCCCTCTCTTTCCTACTCCTCCGTATATAGAACTGATCTGTCTGTGTTTCCTTGCTCTCCAATTGCCTGAACTGCGAATATATATACATACTTATATTTATATTGTGCTCTGCTCGCTTACGCTTGGCCGAATGCAGCGAAACAGGACTGCTGAGTGTCCACGACCAACGATCTGCTGCCTCGTAACATTGCGCGCTGGCCATCAGCTCTTGCTGAAAACATGGCCCGCTTGATGCAGGCTCTCCCATCTTCGCAAAGCACAAATGGGAATGGAAAGTGACCTGTTTGTTTCTGGATATTACGGAACTTGGACACATCGCTGCAGATGGCACGGCTGTGATGTTCGTGGCCGGGTCCATGAAGCGACATGTTTCTACCGCCCCTATCTGCGATACCCGTCCCGTCCCGTCCCGGTCTGGAATACATTGGGGGACTTTGACACGAGATCGCCCATTCACCCAGTTGGAAATCGCAGCGCCGTTGCCTCTCGACCCTGATTTTCCAATTGGCCGAGCAGACGATCTTTCGCCGGCCTTGGCAAGGCGGCAAGAATAGGCAGAACGCCAGCGTTGGGTCAATGCCCCCCCCCCAGAGGCCCCATCCGCCCTCTCTCCCCCCCAAAGATGGGCGATATCGGCAGATGGCCGTCGGGTCGAGTCGGCGTGCCCAGACCGCATACCCCCAAAACCTCGTGTGTCCTGGTTCGTGGATCGCCAGGCCGATTGTCAGATCGATTGTCAGACCGACTGTCAGACCGATTATCAGAACTGATCACCCCCCAAAACCGGCGCAGTAAATGCACCCGGTCTTGAATGGCGTCGTTCCTCCTCTCCTCCTTTCCAATGAACGCCGGTCATCCGGCCAGGGTCCCCTGTCTTTGTCCAGCCCGATCAATGTGGCGCTTCTGATTCCGGCTCTCGGAAAGCCGCGCGGAGTTGAAGAAAACCATCGCAGATCTCTGTTCTCCAGCGCGCTGCCTGTCGACGTGCCGATCGGACCGACCGAGTGTGCCATCCTCCCCCAAATACCATCGATCGACAGACTTGGTGGGTGCTGATCAGGCGCGAAAGAAGAACCGGACCGAAATATGTGGGCTTTGCTTCGCTTTTCTCCCCTCCATCTCTTGGCTCCGCCATCTTGGGTCTTGTGTCTTTGCAGCCTCTTCCCGCACCCAACGGCGCTCCACATCTGTCTTGTCTGGTCCCAGCCCCACCCCATGTTCTCCTCGTCTCCGCCGCATGGCCCTCGTTCGATGCGTCCGCGTCGATCTCAGCATATGCGAAGCTGTTCTTCGTTTGGATATCGCTGACATTTGCTCCGCCTGCCCCCCCCCGCCGCCGCCGCTTCTGCGATCAACACAGCCGCACGTTCTGGTGCCCAACCCAACTTCGTCAAGAGCAAATGATCTCAAAGTGTTTCGCCCTGGCTTCGCGGGGCTCCGGCCCGGCTCATTCCGCCGCGCTCGTTCGTCCCAGGAGGTCCATGCTACCGCCCTTGGCATGTGCCTACAGCTCTCATGCAACACCCAAAGAGTCGGCGCAAGGTCCGTTCATCTGGTTGTTCGCTTGCTCGCTTGCTCGCTTGCTCGTTCACTCTCCTCCGCCGCAACTACAGCCACCATTCTCACTGGTTCACTCACAAGCCTGAGGACGCCGTGGATGTTGCTTTGCTGGACTTTATGCTATCTGAACAGGCGCTCGGAAAAAGGTGACGCTGCAAGGGATTCGAAAGCTGTACGAGTCCGGAAAACCCATCACCATGATGACCGCCCACGACTATCCTAGCGGCTTGATCTGCGACCGGGCCGGACTGGACACTGTGCTGGTCGGAGATTCGCTCGCCATGGTTGCCCTCGGGCACGATTCGACCAACAGGATCGCGCTGGACGTGAGTCGTCGCAACGGCCACGGGCCTGTCTTGCTCCTCCCCCTTTCATTTGGTTATGGGTGCCAAAGCTCAAGTGTTTGGCGATGAAGGGCAGTCTCTCTATCGATGTGGTGATTGGGAGCGGCTATTGACCTTTGATCTGTTTGTCGTTCGCCCTCTCTCTTCTAACGCCAACGGCAACATGATCTCCTCGTGGTGGATTAGGAAATGATCCACCATGCCCAGGCTGTGGCTCGCGGATGCAAGGCACCCTTTATCATTGGGGATCTGCCCTTTGGCACCTACGAGCGCAACCCCGAGCAAGCCCTCGATAGTGCAATCCGGTTTGTCCGCGAGGGCAACGTCGAAGCCGTCAAGCTCGAAGGCGGCAAGGAAATGACGCCGACCATCAACAAGCTGGTCTCGGTCGGAATTCCGGTCCTGGGACACATTGGACTGACCCCGCAACGCTCGGTGTCGCTGAGTGGATTCAAAGTCCAGGGCAAAACGGCCGACTCGGTGGGTGAATTTCGGGGCAGGCCGGCTGTGGCGAGTGCGAGTGCGAGTGCGAATGGGTTGTGCCGCGCAGGGTGGGAGGCAGATCTGAGCGACATTGGGTTGAAGAATCTTGCAAAGCCCGATCTATGAAGGTGCTCTGGTTGCATGAAGGCTGTCGCATGGGGCTGTCGCCGCCCAGGGGGCAACCAACGACGCTGACGAGATGTTTCTCCAACTCGGGCTTGGTCCAGGCAAAGCGGCTGCTCGAAGACGCCCTGACAGTCCAAGAGGCCGGCTGCTTTGCGATGGTGCTCGAGGCTGTTCCGGCATATGTCGCCCAGGAGATCACGAAGCGCCTCTCGATTCCCACGATTGGAATCGGCGCAGGGCCATTCTGCTCCGGACAAGTCCTGGTGTTCCAGGACATAATGGGTGTCTTTGATGCCTTCCAGCCCAAGTGAGTCGCGCGGCGGTATTACGATGTTGTGGCGGGTGCGGTTTTGTGGTGGCATGAACATGGTGGTGGTGGTGGTGGTGGTGGTGGGGTGCCCATATCCTTGCTGATGTCTGCCTCGGCTCCTCACGGCCTTGCGCACCACTTCAGGTTCTGCAAGCAGTATGCCAGTCTCGGACCCGCGATGACCAAGGCCTTGGAGGCGTATCGAGAGGACGTTCGCAGCCGCACCTTCCCGGATCTTCAGCAGCACTGTTACGACATGGATGAGACGGAACGACAGAAATTTGAGGACTGGCTCAGCCTGGAGTCTCCTCCCCCACCACCACCACCGGCCAGCCAGACCCCGCCGCCACGAAGGAAGTGATCCGCTCGAGAGGCACAAGCCTGCCCGGCCATGGTGGCTTGGGTGCTGGATACTGGGTGGATACTGGGTGGATGTGATGGGATACTGGGTGGATGTTGGGTGGATGGGAAAGGCAAGCCGCAGACGAAACCGCTGTGGACCGGAATACACATGTGCAAGTCGAGGTTTGCGGCGGAATGCCACTGCATCCCGTTCACACCCACGCCAGCCGCGCCACGCAGCTTTCTTTTCGCTTCTCCATGGCCGCCAGTGCTGTGCTTGTCCGGCTGTGCACCACCGCTTGTCCCACCGGGCCGCACCCTTGACCCCGCTCGGCAGCACGCATCGGCACACTCTCTGTGCGGCTGCGCACACACACACACGCGTTTGGGCCGCCGTGCTGGGCCGCACGCACCGCCACCCGGCCACGCCCTGCACCGCCCCAAATTAGGCTCTGGCCTGCTGTTCGGACCCTTCCGCCTGTTCAGCCCCCCGAGCATATCGAACGGAGCATCGATCGGAGCATCTGGATTTATTCGCGGCCGCCCGCTGGCATCACTGGCGGCATTGTCATCGGCACCACCATTAGCATCGCTGTCGGCACTGCTATCGACACCACCATTAGCATCGCTATCGGCGCTTGCACTGGCATCGCTCTTCAACAATAAGGCCGCGTCCCGTTTTGTTGCCGCCACCCGCCACACTTGGCATTTTGATCGTCTTGCTCTTCTTCGTCCCTCTGCCGTCGCTGCTTCGTCTTCTTCCTCGTCCCGCTCGGCCGTTGCCGCCTTCTCCCCCCCCCAACCCTGCATGTCCAGAACCTCTTGTAAGTACGCCGCTGGTTCGCCCTTTCTCTGCCGTTCGCTCCGGCGGACATACCGTTGGTCTGGTCGAGCTCTTGCCGCCGACTTGGACCAGCGAGTGCCCCGGGGCCCTGCCTTGGTCTGCCTTGGTCTGCCTTGGTCTGCTGGGACCGGCCCTCTGGCTGGACGGCTTTCTGGCTGAGCAGTATTCCGGCTGGGCGACATTCCGGCTTGCTCGCTGCCGTCGCTGCCTTTTTGTTCAAGCAACCCACTTCCTTGGCTCATTCATTCCCTTACCTGTGGTCTTGTTCTTTCCCGGTGGGATCGCCTCTGCCTCTCCTCAACCACACCACAACCACTCGCCGCATCATCACTTTTGCCACCGCCATCCACATCGACGACGGCCTGTGTTGGTCCTGCTTGCTCTTGCACTTCCAGATTGTTGCTAAAACCCGGCACCCCCCATCGACTCGTTCACCAGAGTGGCCCTTATCCTGACCCAGCCCATCGTTCGCCAAACTCACTCCTCTGCTTCCGAAACCTCCTAGTGCCGATTGCATCCCCCGCATAATTACCCAAGCTCTCCTGCAAGCCGTCCTCCTTAATCAGCCCTTGAAACCGAGCCATGGCCACTCCTGTCTCTCCGGCGGTCCCTCTTCTGCCTTGCAGAAACAGCGCCGATTGTGGCTCGCTCGTCACCGCCAACCAACCTGTATGGAACTGTGTCGCCGATAATGCCAACCCCATTCCGGGCTATACTGGAAAGTGTGTTGCCGCAGGCCAGTCCCTTCCCACCGCAACGACCTCGGCAACATCGAGCACCAGCACCTCAACCGACGGCTCTGATGCCGCCATCAACTGGCCACTGGTAAGACCCCTCATCTCGACTCCCACCGCCGCTCGCCATCGTGGGCGTATCCCAAGGATCCGCTCGCCGTGGAACCTCACACCGGCCCTCCGCCTGGATCCGGTCGCATCTGCCGCCCCCTGCCTTTCAGCGCTGTCATCCGTTTGCTACGACTGCCCTGCGGTCTTCGCCTCTTGCCGCCTCGTCCACGCCCTTGACCTTTACTCTTCTCTCAACTCTCTAGTATGGCGGCATCGCCGGCGGCTGCGTGGTCCTGATCGCCGTCATTGTCATTGTGTTGGTCTGCCTTCGTCGTAAGTGATCGTCGTCGCTGTCGTCGGACTGGCGACATGTCGCTGTTGCCGATACCGCCGGTGGTGCGATCTTATCCTTCTTCCACTTTGTGCTGTTTCCCTGACTGACGCTGCTGTCTGTGCTTCTCGGTCCGGGCACACTTGCTCTGGTTCACAATCATGCTTGAACATGATCCCGCTGCCGCCACACGAACATCCTTGATCGTGGCCTCGCCCACAGGCCGGCGAAGATCAAAGTCCAAGTCTGCTCAGAAGGTCACCGATCTCACTGCCGAGGGCGGCTCCGGCACCCGCGACCTTCCGCCGCCCGTGTCCTTCAAGGACCTGGAAATCGACCTGGATTTAAAGTTTGATCTGCCGCCTCACAACGAGCCTGTCCCGCTCGCCATCCGCAAGATCAACGACTCGAGCGCAAAGACCATTGCCCGCTCCGACTCGGCCTCGACCAAGAGAAGTGTCCGCTTTGCCGATTCGGAACCGGGTGCAACTTCCCCCCAGCTTGCAGCGAACTCGCCTTCTCATGATCATTCCAAGGACCAACGCAGCCCCCTTGCCGGCTCTGGCCGTCCAAACCCGAGCAGCGCCAGCAGTACCCCGCGCGTCCCAGAACCTCCCTCGTATCTGCCGGAAGCACCCAGGCCCGTCGCTCCGACCTCGCCTGCTCCAGAGCATGCCATCTCGACTTCACCTTCGCGTGTTCCTGCCGTTGCTCCACTGGTCGAATCCCCTGTCCAACCGTCCGTAGCTGTCGCTGCGGCTTCCGCTTCTACTGCCCGCGTCCCAGTCACGGCAACACAGTCCCCTGCCATCGCCCCTCAGCTGGATCAGCACCAAGTCCAATCCCGTGAGCCTGCCCCGCAAAGTGTTTCCGTGCCAGAGATCCAGCCCATCCAGCCCATCGCCTCGCAGCCGGCCGCCGCTCCCAGAGCCCATGATCAGATCACTGTTGATCCTCAGGCCAATGCGGCTTTGGAGGAGCCGCAGCCCTTCTCTGGCGAGGGCACTCCCATCTCTGCACAGACCTATAGCCCGCGCTCCCAGTACTATCAAGCCCAGTACCCCCAGGGACAGTACCCCCAGTACCAGTACCCCCAGTACCAGTATCCCCAAGGACAGTATCCCCAGGGACAGCTCCAGCAAGGCTCGCCCTACCAGCCGAACCTCCCGTCCCCGTACCAGCCCATCAACCCCGAACCATACCTCCCTGCCGGATTGCCTCCCCGACACATGATCAATGCCCCCCAGCGCCGCGAATCCTACATGAGCACTGGCAGCCACAGCCACGTTCTGGATAGCGACTACATTGACTCTCCTCGCCCAGAAGACTCCCCCGCTAGCGGCGAGGTGTCCGGCACACACATGCGCTTCTTTGAAATGGCGCACCAATATCGCCAAATGCAGCAGCAGCAGCAGCAAACCACCCAGTCGACCCAGCGATTCTCGCGCACCTTTGGCGAGTCGCCCCTGGGTCAGTCCCTGAAGCACTCCGACAGCACCCACAGTCTCCTGGACAACTCGCGCCCTGGTTCCCGCCACAGCTACGTCCCCTCCGATGCCAACCCGCTCGGCCTGCCCACCGATACGCCCGGCACATACTATCTTGATCCGGCGACCCGCCAGCTGTACTTTGTCCCGAACCCGCTTCCTTACGGCTCGTATCCGTCGCCGTATCCATCCTCGGTCGCCTCGGGCTCGTCCGTCAGCGTCAACTATGCCGGACACAGCAGCCCTCGCACCAAGCCCCTCCCTTCCGACATTTCTGAGCATCGGCTCAGCGTTGCTGAGAGCGCCGGCTTCAAGACTCGCCCTGGGCAGTAAGCAAGCTGCTCCTGTCAAGTCATCAGCTTGGTTGGCCTGTACACCGCCGAGCGCCAGCGACGCTCCGAGACAAAATGCTCGTAAAAGCACAAGCACCCTCCCACGCACATGTGTGTCCGACTTGAGTTTGACCGGACTGCCTGATGCTGGGCCAATCAGTTTTTCTTCTTCTTCCTTCTTCCATATTTATTCCTTCCAAACCCATCAAAATCAAACCCGGGGCATGATCTCTCCGAACCGTACAAAACAGCCTGATATGGCCCGTTTGTAGGCTCCCTTCAGACATCAAGATCATTGCTTGTTCCCCCCCCTCTCATTCGACACTCCCCGATCCCTTGGCCGAGCCACGCCGCCAAGCTAATACCGGCTGTCTCCTTCTTCCTCGCTAGCTCATTGCCCTTTGCAGCTATAGATCCATTTTACTATCCGTTTTGCTCTACAACATGCTCAGAAAATAACAGAATGGGACAGTGTCCCATATGCGTTCTTTCGCATCAATCATTGCCTCCAACGTAAACCCCAGCTTGACCGTGGATTACATTCTTGTGTCCTTGTTTGCAATCCAGTGGTCGGGCTGGTTTCGGGAGCACAGTCTCGAATATATCTGGTTGATCTCCCGTGGCAGCGATTGGCTGACATTGGTTGGCATTGCCGTCGCGATGCGAGAGTGCGGTGCATGCATTCGACGAGCTGGACAGCTCCGTGAGTTCTCGATATCAAGATAGTCGGGTGGCGAGCGCAGAGGCCTTGGCGGGCCTTGCTGATCATGTATCGGGATCGGGTGTGATCGGGTATGATCCGCTTCGTTTGGGCCAGGGCATGGTGTGTGGCGTGGCAACGAAATCGCATCTGCCCCGCTTCGTTCCGCTCTGCTCTGGTCTGCTTCCTCCTGCTTTGATCTGCCTCCTCCCACAGCCGTCGTTGCCTCTTGCATCTACCCCCTGCCTGTATCCCATTCACAGCCTCCCGCTCCAGACATGCTCAACAGCGAGTACGGCCCCAACGTCTCGAACGATGCCGAGAACTTTTTCCAGTCTGACCGGGACATCGAGCTCGCCCGACAGCGGGACGAGAAGAAAAGCGCCATCGGATCCACTGCGGGCAACCCTGTGCAGCTCCCATCCAAGATCCTGGATTTCTGCTTTAGCAGCCAGTCCGACGGGGTCTCGAGGATCGAAGCCTTTGTGGCCGAATCGGGACATGTGGCCCGGAAGGTCGACCTCAAGGTCGGGGATGAGCAGTGTTGCTGTCGCCGCTTCTGCGGGTGGACGAAGCTGCTTGCGATTGCCTTCTCTGTTGGTTCCGTATCGCCGCATTCAAATGCCCGGCGACTCCTGTTCTTCCGCTCTCTTGCTCTCGCTGATCGACCGGCCTCCGCATTCACACAGACTGGCAAGGTTCTCAAGACATTCCGTGGTCACTCGGGCCCCGTCACATCGATCGCTGTCGTCTACGACTCGACAGGCGTCGAGGCGTTCGTTCTGACCGGCTCTTGGGACAAGACAGTTCGCAAATGGGATATTGAGGTTTGTGCAGTCTCCACAACCACCCTGGTGTGGCCGACAGCTTTGCTCGCTCCATATATCGATTCATCTCATTCCTCTCACTCCCCCCATGCCTCTCATTCCTCTCACTCCCCCCATGCCTCTCATTCCTATCTTCCGGCTGGTCCGAATCTGCGCCCGTCGACACCTCCGTCGTTGCCAGACAGAGACCTGCGTCCATATCTACAAGGGCCACTCGGACTTTGTCAAGTCCATCGTCGTGGCGGGCGCCCACTTTTACTCGGGCTCGAGCGACTCGACCATCCGCAAGTGGGATCTCGCCACGGGCCAGAACGTGCTGACCCTCAAGGAGCACAGCCGCTCCGTCGAGTCTCTTACGATCGACGACGATGGCGAGTATCTCTTCTCTGGATCGTCCGACAACACCATCAAGAAATGGAGCCTGATCTCGGGCAAGCTCGAAGCCACTCTCACCGGACACCTGACCTCGATTTACCGGCTCATCGTTCGGGACGGCTCGCTCTGGTCTGGTAGGCAGACGGTGTACGGAGAGGGCGGGGGTTGCCTGGCTACCCCTCAGCATCTGGTACTTTTGATGGCTGTCTATGCGGCCCTCGGGATGCATCGGTGGAGCACTAGATTCTCGTACTGATGCTGCTCTACGTGTGGATCTGTGGACGCTTTGGATGACCAGTCTCGGCCGACAAGACAGCCCGACGCTGGGACCTTGAGGTAGCGACCAATAGCATTCACTTTCCCGCCCCACGCATCGATCTTGGTCGAGCGAATAGTGGTGCAATCACCAGCGCCGACGAGGCCAAGGAAGTTGACGAGCACCAACCGAACCTACCTCATCCTGTCGTCGTCTCGTGACACTTTCCCTCATTCATCTCCCAGACGATGCAAGCCGATTCGACTTTTCTGCATAGCGACTTTGTCAAATCCATCGACATTGGAGATCGCTACATCTTCACAGGATCCCGAGACGAGAACATCCGCGTCTGGGATATTGGGGTAGGTGCCGACTCGGCCCAGCCCAGCCTCGCATGCGGTCTGGTGAACGGGCTGTGTTTCAGACATGAACCGATTTCCTCGCATGACCCGCCCGCGCGGCCATAGCGCTGTCGTCTCGTTGAGATGCGAGCCCACTGACGTTTCTGTGATTCTGTGTCGCCTGGGAAACGCTGTTCGGCCCAGACGGAAAAGTGCGTCAAGATCATCCAAGGACACTACGGAGAGATCTCGGCGATCCGGCTGCTGGGCACCAAGATCTGGACGGCATCGCTCGATGGAACCATTCGCAGCTGGAGCATTCTCGGTAGGGCCATAGCCGCTTGCCACTTTATCGCTATCGCTTCTGAATCGCCGCCCATGCACCCATCCCCTCGCGCGTGCAAAAGTGCAAACCATTGCCCTCGTCTACCTCCAAGCACAACTGACCCTGCCTCCTGCCTCACCTTCTCTCCACCAACTGCTTCGTCTGGGCCGGTGAACCGGAAACAGAGGAAGACATCCGTGCTCTGCCGGATGTCACCGAGTCCATCATTGAGCCCGTCGTTGACGAGTCGGAGCTAGAGCCTCCCGTTGCGGCTCCCAAGATGATGACCGAGGATGAAGAGCGCGAGTTGGAGGAGCTTATGGGCGACGACTGAGTGCTGGGAGCCATGGGTGTGCCCGCAGCATGCAAGCCTGAATGCCGAAATAGACCTGCTCACCTCATCCACACAGAGAGACAGTCTCTTGAGTGAATCGCCCTCGTTGGCTGGTCGATGGCCCGCTGCTGCTGCAGTCGGGAGCATGAGCGATGGAAGCAGCCTTGCCAGCCTCGCCAGCCGATCCAGGACGCGGTGATCATGCCCGCCCCACCCCCGTCGCCAAAGACTGGGTGCTGTTGCTGGCCCTCGGCGATCGCATGCGGCATTCGCCCCATGCAGCAGCAGCATCGTCACGGAGCCGCTCGGCCAGGTGCGTTGTTGCTGGCCCTGCCTTCCTCGCCCCCGCTGCGCTGGTGAGAAGGCGGACGCTGCGATTTGTTTGCGCTGGTCGAGGCGGAGGCATCGCACCTCCACCACCTCCACCAACAACAACAAACACCCCCGATCGGACTCGACCGACTGCAGTCAATGCCTTGAATACTAGGAGCGAGGCATGCCCGCCGGATGAGGGGGCAGCGCAGTCCGTTTGCGGGAGAGGCGAGGCGCCGCCAGAGACAGCATCGTGAGGACCGTCCTTGATGCGGCTTGTCGCTGCCCCGCACTGCCTTGCTTGCCACCTCTGCTGCTGGCGGTTTCTTGGGAGGGCAATATGTCGGTAGACCCTGATATGACTGTCGTCTCATCCTGTCACTCGAGCGAATACCCAAATCCATCCGACACTGACCAATCTTAGGCATCAAACACTCGCTTGGACATTTCGCAATATCTGCCGACCTAGGTATCGCCTGTTCCATCAGTTGCGGCTGGATGGCATGTTCTGCCTGCGATTCGAGGGGACAGACGGCTCTCCCTTGGCGCAATTAGCCTTGGCTCTTGCTCGTTGTTTGCTCCTGCCGTTTCAGCGTGCTGGCAGTAACAGCACTTCCCAACCAGGAAACCACAAAGAAGCGAATATGCAAAGCCTCTGGAGCCAGCTGTGGCCGTCTCATCTCGCAGATGCACACGCACATGCATCTGCCACATCCATGCCGATCCCGGCATCGCAAATACCCATGCCAACACATTCAGCCATCTCGCCGATGCATGCAGACATGTATCCGGAACCGATATCGTCGCCCTCGGTCAAGACAGCGACTTGGTACCCTTGGGCACCCACAACGCTAGCCGACAGCGAGGATCAACATCGTTCTTGGAGATTGATTCCCCACTCCACAGCATCGGTCAGCCCCCCGGCCGAGCCGGGGACTTTGGCCGTCCACTCCGAAGACGAACCTCCGAAGCGAATCGGTCTCGAGGACATGGACGGCTCGCGATACCTGGGTTTTGGGTCGCTCTTCATTCTGATGGTCGACAGCTTTCTCTTCCCGCTCGATACCATCAAGACCATCATCATGAGCGAGAGGGTAGGTGGTGCTATATGAGCTACCATATGAGCTGCCACACGAGCCACAGCATGGACTGACACTCGGCTGCAATCTCTGATCTGCGCTCCGATTGTTCCTTCAGGGCAGCCACAAATCGAGCGGGACATTCCGAACCATCGCCCGGGTGATCAAGCATGAAGGTAAGCCGCGGAGCCCAACGGCGCATGGAAGTCGCTCTCCCCCCCAATCGCCGGGCGAGAAGCACCCTCGTTCTGACTCCTCCAGCGCTCACGAGACATGGACTGAAGCTATTCTTATCGTTTCACTCTTGGTGACGGATCACGGACAATCGTCTATTGCGAATCGATCCGGGGGGGGGCTAGGAATCACTCGGTTCTGGCGGGGGCTCGGGCCGTCCGTGGCAGGCTCATTCCCAGGGCAGGCTTCTTATTATCTTGCATACGAAACGGCACAGGAGGTGTCCAAGCACATCCTGCCTGCTGCCTATCAGGGGGACTCGTCGTTCTGGCGTGGATTCATATCAGGTACGAATGGAATGGCCAGGCGATGCCGATGGCAGCTGAGGGGCAATGAGAGCCTGGGAGCGTTCGACAGCGATTTGAATGTGCACCCTCACGAGACTCCTGCTCACTGCCTGCCCTTGCTCTGGACAGGCGCCTGGGCCGAAGTGGCCGGTGGGCTGTTCTATGTGCCTGCCGATGTTGTGTCGCAGCGGCTTCAGATTCAAAACCTGGCCGGATTCCACCACAACTCGCGGTAGGTGTTATGCAACAACGATATGGACGAGGACGACGAGCCTGTGACTAACTGATGCGGTAATTGCAACCTCAGGTTGTTCAATGGGCCCTCAGGTAGGCGGATATGCATATGGCTGTTGCCTGTGGATGAGAAGCTTTGTCGATCGCAGTCGAGGAGGCGCCGCTCTTGCGAGAGAACTACCGACTCAGCTGCAAGGGCCATCCTCCTTCGCATTTGGACATCGAAGCAAGAGGACCGAGCTTGGGGATGCAATGCCCGCGGCCCAGTCAAAGAGCAGATCATGCGCATGCGCTCCGGACGCTTGCTTACGATAATCTGCGGCCGTTCTCAACAGATGTCATTCGCAAGGTGCTGCGAACAGAGGGCCTCCGCGGATTCTACCGAGGATACTTTGCCTATGTGGCAGCGTATGCGCCCGGATCGGCCGTGCAGTGGGGTGCCTATGAGTTTGGCAAACCCTTCATCCACAAGGGGCTGACTCTCTGCGAGCACTACATCCTGCCGACGGGACATGCTCTGCCGCACAAGGACAATGTCGTCAACGGCATCAGCGGCGGGATGGCCTCCCTTTGCGCCGTCACGGCGAACAACCCGCTCGAGGTCATCCGCATTCGCACCCAGCTGCTCGAGAAGCGGAACAAGAAGGACGCCGAGAGTCTGCGCAAGGGATTCCTGCAGCTGGGGCTCCAGATCTGGAGACACGACGGATGGAGAGGTATGGTGCATCGACGGGGGAGAGGAACGGAGCCTAGTGGGATATGCGGATGCAGCTCGGCATTCGCAGATGTGCCCAGTGCGCGAATGCACCGGACATGCAGATGTGGATCCAAACGGCGACGGCGACCGATCAGCGCTGGTGGAGGGGAGGAGGAGGAAGGGAACGTTGCGGCGAGCCCCGGTCTGACCCTTTTGCCTCTTGCTCACAGCCTTCTATCGGGGACTGCGAGTCCGCCTGATGGTCACTGTCCCGGGAGCGATGGTAACGATGAGCGGCTACGAACAGATCAAATCGTGGTCTGTCTGAGCCCTGCCGGAGGATGCCGACACAGCTGCTTTTCTCTTGGTGCTTTGGGATGTCCCAGCTGCCACGCACTATGAAAAAAAAGCTGACGTGTAAATTACGCGTTAGCCAATGCTTCCCTCGCAAATCCCCCACCGGACTCAGCCGAACAAGGAAAAACACGTCTTCTCGCGTTTTGTTTCGCTTTGGGGGTCGCGTCTGGCCACTGAAGCGACCGCGACTGGCTCAGGTCACCCGCATTTCTCCTTGTTCGTCCAGGTTGCTGGCTCCCTGGGTGTCCCCGAACCCGCACTGCCACATCCCGTGGAGCCCTCGGCCAATGGAATGCGTCCGTTCACGTGACATGGCATCCGAGTCATCCCGGCTTTTCACTGTCTTCCGCGACTCGTTCACTGTCCATGACCCCCGGCTGCTTTCCTGACTCATCTGTGTTCATGGGTCATCAGAGCCTTCGGACTTGGACAAAAACCGGGCATTTCCGCCCCCAGTTGCTTCGTCAATCTCCTCTTGATCCTTTCTCCCCTCGACCTTCTCATCCGACTCTAATCATGAGTTCAGCCGCTCAACCATCTGGGCACGATCACCCAAGGCATACTCCATATCCAATATCATCGACCAGGGTACCATCCTCGATAAATAGGGCTCACGATGGGCTTCCCAAGAACAGATCCATCTGTCGTTGTCGCAAGTGTAGCACCGATTCGCAAGGCTTCAGGATTGTCTCCAGAACGACCTACTACGACCACTTCTATCGCTATGGCTTTCCACCTGGAGTCCCCCCTGTTCACATGTACTCGCTCAAAGATCCTCAAGAAAACACAGCTGGCCATCTTTCTTCGTTCCCTCACCGTCCTATTACAAGCATATGCGAAAATAACCCCAATTTGCGAACTTCGCCGACATTTCATCCCCCAGTGTTGGTGGTAGATGAACTGCGACCACATGGGATAACATCGCAGCGACCTTCATTGGGTAAGACTGAGCACCTGATATCACATTCTCGCTAAATTTTTGTGTGCGTCACGGTTTCAGTCTTGAGCAATAATCAGTGATCTGTGCTTGGACGCTGCCAGAGCTCACTACGAAATGACCAATACACTCTCGATTTGTCCGACTTTGTTTCTTCATCCTTGGCCTGGCCCAAAGGCTCACCCCGCGCATTTGAGCACGAGAGCATGGATATCCAAACAGGAGCATCTATTCAGCAATGCACCCAAGACAACGAAGGCCCTGCTCCAGCTCAATTTGAACGCTGCCCTTCGTGGTCGCCAAGCATGTGGGCATCGCGGGACTCTGAAGAAGCGTCCATGTACTACGAAGACTCTGAAGACTCTTCGATAGACTCAGAAGACACCACTTCAAGCTCACCGAGAGAATTCGATGACATTTCGGGTGAGATATCAACGTCACCCGGCCTGATCGTATCGTCGAATCTTCCTGGTCTTGCTTCAGAGTCCGGTTGACTCATATAAATGCCACGGTTCACCTTCCAGGACAGTATCCGGATAGCTTCCTCGGCCACTTTCGACTGCTTGAAATGAATGAAGATGATGAAGAAACTGGTGACGAAGAGCCCCGCATATCAGATGGTGAGTCAAATTCAAAGGACAGATAGCAATCCGATGTAGCATCCGAATTGATGTATTCACCCGCGGCTTTCCCCCAGATATCCCGCCCTTCTATTCGCAGCTGGTCAAGGTGTTGACCGAGTGCAATGTTACCGACAAAGCCATCAAATCTGTCCTTAATCATTGCAACAAATTCCAAGGATTGTCATTACCAGCTGCACCCAGTCTGTACAAGATCCAAAAGATCATTTGTTGCGAGTGGAACGAGTATCTTCAGAGGCTTCCCTGCTGCCCAAACAGCTGCATGGGATTCGACATCAATGATAACCAGAGTCGAATATGCACGTTTTGTGGAGAGGATGCTTATGCGACGGTGAACGAAAAACTTCTGAATGGCGGCATTCAACCACAACTGAGGCCGATTCAGACCTACAAGTATTTCGATTTTGTTCAGATACTTCAGACACTCTACCGAAATCCAACTATGGCAGAGTTGATGATGTACAGAGCAAACAGAGCGAGCGAACCAGGTACTTTCCACCCGTATTCTTTCCCAATACTATATTGCTATATGGTGCTCTGAACTCACCAAATCTGAATCTTCAGGCGTCATGAGCGACATTTTCGATGCCGAATATTACCAGCACCTTCGTAGTCGCTCAATGTTCCAGCAGCCCACCGACGTTGCTCTCGGGCTGCATTTTGATGGCTTCAATATCAATCAGAGGTACGCCCGCTCTCTGTTTCAAAATCAGATTATAACCACAGCTGACCTTTGTATCTGGTGTAGGCAAAGCCATCAATCGTGGGGCTTCATCTTGATCAACTTCAATCTTCCACCTGCTCTGCGCTACAAAAAGGAAAATCTCATTACGGTCTTGCTTACGCCAGGTCCACGATCGCCTCGAGACTTTGATACATTTTTGAAGCCGTTTTTCGAAGATATGAAGAGACTTGAGACCGGTGCGTACGCCTCCTCTGGTGTGGATCACTTGGTCACTCCACATAATCCTCGCGAGAGTACTCTGTCTGACGAAGCAATGCCACTCTCCCAGGTGTTGAGGCGATAAGGGTCGACCAAAATGGCGTGGAACGTTCTTTCACTCTCCGAGGTCACTTGCTGTACTGTCAGAGTGACATGCCTGGATCCAACAAATTCGGTAAATTTTCTAGGCACACCGCTACGAAGGGCTGTCGACTCTGCGAAATAACGGCCACGAGGGCAGGGGGTGCCATGTGCTTCTATGAACGTGACACTCCCAGTCCATACCGCACCGAAGCGAGTCTGAACAGAATATGGGAGGCCATCGATCAAGACGGCATGCCCCGAAACGGTACGTTAATGAGACCAGTCAGGTGATGTTTTCGACTCCGATGTTAACATCAACTATGTTGATCAGGGATCGTGGGGCGACCAGGTGTAACTCAACTTGAGTCCATCGAGCTCAGCTTCTGTCTTCCTCTCGATCTGATGCATGTGATCTCGAACATCGGTCCACTCATGATGGAGATTTGGAATGGAACGCGGAAGGCTCCCTCATCCTCAAGTTTGGACCAAAAGATCACGTCCAAGTGCCTGAAAAAGATCGGAAGGTGGATCAGCGAAGGCAGAATTCAGATTCCAACAGGCTTTGGCGCCTCTTGTCGGGACCCTGTCTCATACAAAACCTTCAAAACCGAAGAATGGAAGAATTGGATTATCATGTACTCCCTCCCTCTGCTCAGTGCGGCAGGCTTTCCACCAGAGCACTTGTAAGCTCTTGATATTGTACCCTGCTCGAACCGGGGCCCGTCCTACGGTCGATGAGATACTTGATTCGAATTGATCCTAACAGTGATGCTATTGTGCCTAGATTGGGATGGAGGCGCTTTGTCTATGCCCTTCGATTGATGCTGCTTCCCCAGTTGAATGTTGCTCAATGCAATCAGATCGAAACAAATCTTCAGAGGTTCCAGGAGTACTACACAGAGCAAGTAGCACGAGACAGCAGTCCCTTCACTTGAGGATGTTGGGCAGCTCATTGATTCTCAATATCTAACCACGTATACTCGGAATGTATTCACCAGATCAATCGCAAATCTCCCAGAGTCACTTGAACCTCCTCCAGACAGAGCTCCAGACCTGTCTGGACTTCGTTTGATGAAAACCTACGTGCATCAGCTCCAACACTTACCCAGGTGCATCCGATTGTTTGGACCCCTAGTATATCAGTGGCAGTTTGAAATGGAAAGAACCTGTGGTTGGCTGAAGCTCATCGGGCGATCAAAGGTCCATCCAGTGGACAATATGGCCAATCGGCTCGTCCTCCAAAGCTCTTTGAGCGGTCCAAGCATTGCTCCGAACTTGACTTTGAGAGGAACATCCAGGTTGGGCGGAGATCCCGGGATATGGCCATCTTCCTTTGCAAACAATGGACGGACCTCGAATCAAGATAGCCGCGGAACCTTGTCTGGCCAGCAGCAAAAGCTGAAGCTACCCTCTGAACAAGTCGCGAAGCTAAAGAGCGCTTATGCCAGGACGATTTCTGCCAATTCCTCATACGGCTATCGTGAAGCCTTGCAATATGTCCATTCACTTTGGGATCAGAATTCGGACACTTGCTCCAAACACACCAAGATGGACGCGGGGGAACTACATGTCATATCTCAATCACATCGGATGAGCACGGCACATCATCGGATGAACTCTGTTGTGAAGGTAAGGCATTCGGCAGCGCGCGATAGCGAAGCCTCATATGAGCTAATGCATTCTGAATCTACAGGTTTGGACCAATATGCCCGATGCATCAGCAAGCAATCACCCATATTCTTCTGTCCGCTTCTATCAAGTCCAATATTTCATCAGCCACTCCTTTGATGGAGAAACAACAAACTGGGCATACTGTGTGATTCCAAAGATCAACATCAGATATGGAGATGACAGTTCAGGATACCGCCCATGCAACGAGTGCGCTACCTTCCACCTCGACAGCATGGAGTCAACGAATCATATCTTTGTTCCAGCCGATGCCATCGTTTCTACTGTCGGATACTTCGAGATGGAAGGCGGTGGGTACAGCTTTGCTGCAATTGGAGAGTGGATGGAGAGGCAAAGTCAGGCTGATACTCATACCAACTATTCCAGGTGGCTTTTATATTATCGAGCAAGATCCTCCGATTTGACAAGTCGATGCAAATGTCGCAGGTAGTTGGGCCAAAAAGTGCTTGAGGCTGCTTGATGACGAAGGGAGTTTGTCCGAACTTGACCCATAGTGACCATATCAGTGTAATGACAGGTCAAGTCGGAAGGTTTGGAATATAAATATCCCCCCGACCACCGCTTCCTGCCCGCTTCCGTCGTCAGGCTCAAGTCAATACTCCCCTCAGGCCCTCTCTATCCTAACTTCCTCGACGGGCCCGTGAGCCGATCGATGACATAGGTGCCGTTAAACGCATGCATATTGAGGATGAGCCGCATCATGAATATGCCTCTAATGTTATTAACTTTAACGCTTCCTCTTTCACTATCTTGAATATATCTCGAATGCAGGAAGCCATCCAAATCCAAGTAAGCTCCTTCATGACGATTGAGCATCATCTGAGAGAGCTCGAAGGCGACGCTTCAACTAACCGCATCGCTCATTCCCTCCAGATATCCTCGCCCCCATGGGACATTATCTTGATTATTATCATTTCGGGTTTGTTATCACTTGCGTTTTTACTGAACACGGCATATCATACCGCATTCTGTTTGCGACTCTGAGGTTAAACTGGCTGGTGGAGCAGTGACCACCGCGGGTTTGACCTAATCCTGGACTAGTTAGAACGGCCGAGGATTGCCCCAGGAGTTCACGGTGCCGCCCAACGGCGGTCGGAACTGGGGTGTCCGAAAGGCAGTTCTCAGAACGGGTCATGGTGAGGGAGAATGAGGATATGAGAGGTTCGGGGCCGGGAGAAACCGGGGCGGAGGGGTCCCTGAACGGAGCGGGACGGAGCGGGACGGCAAGCGAATGCCAAATCGGGCCAGAGCACGTGTGGGAAGCAACGCTGTTGATTGGCTAGCGAGCAGTCCCAAAATGGCATCGTTCAGACGAGGCTGCACCAGACTGTCGGCACACACGTGACTCATTCTGTGTCGAAATTGTCCTGCTGACCAGGTCCCGAGCCGAACACAGCCACTGCACAGGGGTCACGTCCTATTTTTTCATCGTGACGGTGTCTTGACTGTTTCGGTTGTCCCAGTTGTCCCGATTGTCCCAGTTGTCCCGATTGTCCCAGTTGTCCCGGCTGTCCCAGTTGTCCAGACCGACCAAGCAGGCCATCCTGCACCCTCAATGACACTCGTTCTGCATGCATCAGCAGTTCCGACATCTGTCGTCCGGCGTGCCGATCGGGCGGGTGGCAACCAGCGGGCTGAAACCAGACTTGCTGATACGGCAGGGGATCCTGCTGCTCCATGCACGAGCCTGCGATGCGGGGCAGCCCGGGCGGAGGCGGATATGTTGCGAGACCCGCAGAGCAGGGTGCACGACCGGAGACGGACGACAGAGGTTGTCTCGACAGCGATAGTTTCAACAGCGATGGTCTCGGCAGAGGTGGTCCACACCCCGGCGGGGGGGGGGAGAGGTTGCTCCTTTCTCTCGGCTGCATCATCACCCATCAGCAGACGGTGGGTCGGCAGAGTCGCTGCGCCGGGGACATATCCAAGCGCCGTACGACCAGCGGGCGGACGGATGCATGTTCGGCCGTTGGGCGGATCGGGTGTCCAGTGCTCGCCATCGGCAAGTCGTTCACTCCGTTTCGGCGGAACACAGCCGTGGCGAATGCGCTCAGCACCGACGGCATCCAAAGCGGCGATGTTGGGACGATGGGTAATATTGCTCGTAACGACATCGGCAAGTAACAACAGAGATATCTCCCAGTCGCTCCCCATGTAACAACAACAATTAACATCACCCTCAAGCGCGGTTGCATCACTCGCAGCAACTTGATATAAACAGCGCCACCACCATCGCCGCCTGTAACAACACCGATGCCGCTCGTAACAACACGCCACCACCACCCCGCCATCCGCCGATCCTCCGACAGCAGCGCCGGCTTCTCCGTTCCCTCCGCTCGCTCCTCGCCCCGACCTGCCTTGGGCCATGGTCTCGCTCCGCTCCTGCTATCCTCCGATGGCCGATGGCATATAAGCCCTCCAGAGCAGCGCCCGTCGGCCGTGTGGCCGTCGTGTGGTATCTTTGGCCGATCTGCGCTTACGATAGCACTCCAGAGCACCGGTTACTTTCTTGGTCTCGCACCCGCCTCCTCAATCGCTGGTGAATTGGGCTGCTCCCACACCGGTCTCCCTTCTCGCCAAGCCGCATCGGTCTTTTCTAACAACCTCCCGCTCCGTCCGAGATCCTGGTCCACTTCCACGGCTTTGCTCTGCTCTGCTACCGCTCCTTCCTCGTGACAAGACACATCCCCTCGACGTTACCATGTCGGCCCTATTGCTTCGGCATCTCTTGCGCACTGTCCTGGCCATGCTCTGGATCACCAGTGTCTCGGCGCTGACTCCCAGCCTCAGTCTGGCTGCAAATGTAGGATATCGCACTCGTCGTGCAGAGAGTGGCGCTCGCCAGAGTATGCCTGTCGATACTGCCAAAGGCCGTAAATACTACTCTTACAGTGTCATGATGCGTTCCAAACACTGCTCTAGACCGTCTGGGCTGCGGGCTCCAGCGTCTCCATCTCTGTCGTCTGGGCGGCCGGGAGCACCTTCCCAGCCAAAGGAAGGCTCGAGATCCTGCTCGAGGTATGCATTGCTGGTCCTGCTGTTTGAAGCGCCCCGTGCTTTGACGCTCAGCTTTGCTGCCGGCCTTGTCACTGGAACTGCCAAACTTGTCATTCAAGCTGTCAAGCTGGTCACTCAAGCTGTCAACCTGTTCCCTCGTGCTGGTCACTTTCGTTGCTTCTTCTCGCTCGCTAACATTGTGGTCTGGTCCTTACTTTGAATAGCCCGCAGGGATCTTGCTGGTCAACAAATCCATCCCGAGTGTCGCTGAAACCAAGGCCTACGCAGCCACCCTTCCGAAAACGCTTGAGCCTGGTGCAAGCACCCTCCGTCTGTGCGCCATCGGCACCACCACTTGCGTCGAAAGTACTCCCCTCACGATCGGTGCTGCTAGCTCCGGTACAACTGCCGCTGCCGCCTCGACGACCCTCAAGCATCAATCTGCCACCGGTCGAGCTTCCGGCTCGGCCGCACCCGCTGCTCTGTCCACGCTCGGCTCGGCTCCGTCAACTGGATCGAATGACTTTGGCGGCCTCAGCACCCCAGTGATCGCTGGCATCGCCGGCGGTGCGGCTGCCTTCCTTGCCCTTGTCGTCATCGGGTGTTGGTACTCTCGGCCCAAACCTTCCCGTACAAGCATGAGCTTTTCCCACAACGAGCTCGAGAAGGGCTTCCATTCCAAAGACCACTCGGGCTGGGCTTGCCAGAGATCCTCCAGGCTCTTTTTCTCGAAGCGGGCCACACAAGAGGACCTCCAGTTCCCATACACCACCATGGTCTCGGACCAGTCCAACAGTCATTCGTCCCAATCCCAGAGCACGGCCACGGTGACCTTCAATGACTGCGACCGACCAAGCCATGATGCTGGCCTGTCTCGCCCCAGCCAGGACGCTTTCCAGGCCGGGCCCGCTCCTGGAATGTCTCCGGCACGCACATCATCCACCAAGGCTGACCTTGAGCTCTCGCTGCCGCCTGTTCTCACCGATGCTCGCACGGTCCTTTTCTCGCGTGAATCTGAGCAGCTGGACGAGCTCGCTGTCGTCCCGAGCCAGAAGGTATTTGTTCTCAAGGTCTTCAGCGACAACTGGGCCTTTATCCAGACCCAGGCCGGCGAGCGTGGTCTTGTCCCAATGACGTATCTCAGCGGCAAAACAGTCTCCCCAGCACGTTCCTCCAACATCCCCGGCTCGTCGAGTTCCTCGGTCGTGTCAACTGCCGTAGACACATGGGGCTCGCCTCGATCCTCCAACTCGGCCGCAAACCTAATCAAGGCCAGCGAAGCACCACGAGACGGAGATTCGGATCAAGAGTCATCCGCAAGCCAAGGAGGTGACCTGGACATCACCGTGGCCCCGGTTCCGGAGTACCTCAACGCTGCTTTCCAGTACACCGCCACTCGTGCCGACGAGCTGTCACTCGGCCTCGGAGAACGCATCCGAGTGCTCAAGCGATTCAGAGATGGCTGGGGGCTGGGCCAGAATAGCCAAGGCCATATTGGCTTGATCCCGCTCAACTTTTTGCGATAAGCGAGGCGCACAGATCGCTTGCTTCCTCCTTCCCTCCCTCCCTCCAACTAAAACGGAATATGGCCGTATCTTTGGTTCCCCCACCTCCTGCCCTCTGCGTCTGCTTCACTTGCCCATTCAGTTTATTGCTCCATTCATCCATCCATCTATTCATCCATCCATCCCTTCATCCATCCATTCATCCATTCGTACACCTTATACACGCGCTGACGTGAGCGACCGACGACCTTGCATGCATGTGCGATGCGGTGTGATCCGCTGTAAGCGCACGCCCTCCCTACAGTACACCAAGCAGTACCCATAGCTTCCAAAACTCCTGCCATCGTCACTAAGAGGTCCTTATCCACGGAGGCCTATTGACGATATTTCCATCGCTGTTGCCACCGGATTCACGGACGGCACGACCTGTCCTGGGATAGACACATTCCTGAATACATCGGGTTGGTTCCCACTGACGACGGTCGACGTACTTCCTGTGGTCATGTCTCGACAAGATTGATGATCGCACTCCCAGATTGCCAACAGTGTGTGAGAGTCGATCGGGCTGAGGATCGCCTGGGGTCGGCGCGGTGTTTCTGTGGACGGGCGTGGCCGCGCTAGTATATAGATAGACAAGGGTGTATTCAAGAACGATGGTCGTGTCGCTACTTGATCCAGTGCTGCTTGGGCTTGCCAGCGACGCGATCTTCTCGGACTCACTGAGTCTGTGGGTTGGCGACGGGCTTCAGGATCGGGAAAGCGAGAACGTCTCTGATACGAGTCGAGCCCGTCAGCAGCATGCAAAGGCGATCGATGCCGAGGCCCCAGCCAACCGTCGGAGGCAGGCCGTAGTCCAGAGCAGTGACAAAGTCTTCGTCCAGAATCTGGGCTTCGGCATCGCCGGCACTGCGATCCTATTCCGGAGAGTCGCGCCACAGGCAAAATGTGAAGGAACAGGAAGGGAGGATGACGAGGAGGAGAACCAAGTCGAGCATGTGTCGGTGTGAGCATAGCCGGCATCGACTCACTAGTCCATCGGAGTCCGATAGACAGGGCAGGCGATGCCTCGGCCAACACGAGAGAAGAGCAATGTACCTTCATTTGGCTCTCAAATCGCCGCCGTTGTTCGTCTGGGTCGTTCAGCTCACTGTAGGCGTTGATGACTTCCTTGCGACCAATGATGAGCTCAAACCGGCTGGCGGTTCCCTGGATGCAAAATAACGGCAGGGATCAGGGATGGGCTTGAGCGCGATTTGGGCTGGGAAGCACAGCCGGAGTTACGAGGATGCACAAATCAGCGAATGAGTTGCCTCCCTCCTCTCCTCCGGGGAGAGGAGTGCGATTGCGGTATGGCGATTACCGTGTGCAGGCGCTCCTTCGAGAGTGGCGACATGACGAGCGGGTGGCCGCACAAGAACGTGGGCTGAACGCAGATCGGCTCGATGAAATGGGATATCAGTTTGTCGATAACTCGGGAAAGGGTGTGTGGAGGCGAGCAGGGAATACCGTGCTTGTCACAGATGCCCAGCAGCTCGGGTAGAGAGGCTGGACCAATGAACAGGACAAGTCGCGAGATGTCAGCTGCGAGAGATCTGTGTCACACTCTCCCTCTCCCTCCCTTTCTCATGAGGACAATTGCCGAATTTCAAGTTGCGAAATAAATGACAACAGGCACAAACCTTGCTCGTTCAGCGGGGGGAGGCTTTGGCCAAGCTGCTCCTCCAGGAACGGCACAATGTCGATGCGTTGGAACGGCTTTCCAAAGTCCAGAACGACTTGCTCGGGTGCCTCACTACTGCCGATCTTTGTCTCCGCCGTGGCTGTGCCAGTGACGGAGATGCAAATGTCTGCCAAGGGAGCCACGTCCTTCTGGGTGAGCTTATACCGGCTCTCGATCGGAAATTGCCACAGAGACAGTGCCCGACTGCTCACCTCGCAAAAGCTCCTCGGTCATGTCCATCATCGACTCGAGATCCGAGTACGCCTGGTAGAACTCGCAGGTCGTGAATTCTGGATTGTGCGTAGCATCAACGCCTGTTGCCGAGGGTGGATGCGTGGTTCAGCGGGTGAGCACGTCAACGAACCCATGCGCTCGAGGGCGAGCCTGGTCTTGCCAGCAACGCCGCCACCGCACAATCGAGCGCACCTTCGTTGCGGAATTGCTTTCCAATCTCGTAGACGCGATCGAGGCCGCCAATGACCAGCTGTTTCAGATAGAGCTCTGGCGCGATCCGCAGCTGCAGGTCCAGATGAAGATCGTTCATGTGTGTCGAGAAGGGTTTGGCATTTGCGCCGCCAACTTGGCTGGAAAGGATGGGTGTCTCAACCTCTACGAATCCGCGGCTATCGAGGAACTCACGCAGCCGACGAATGATCTGATGATGGGTAGGCGATGTCTCAGTATTGGTATTCCTGTGGGTGTCGATGGTCGACCAGCGACCTCACCCGACCTGGGCTCTCAGATAGTCAGAGGGCCACATTCGGCCCAAATCATTGCGGCAATCGAAATTGAAATTGAAATTGAAATCAAGGTTGGGGCCAAGGCAAGTGCAAAGCGAGTCGAGCGCGTCTGACCTTGGAGCGAGTTCGAATGCGATCAACCGAGTCTTTGTTGACAAGCATATCCAGATACCGCTTTCGAAATCGAGATTCCTGGGAGCCGCAGGCGTGCCGGTGAGTTGTAGGGATAATGCAACGACTCAGCCAAAGCCGAAAGCAGCGACCAGGGCAGTGTGCCAGTTCGAGCGGGGCAACCTTATCCTGGCAATAGTGGGAAAGTGACAGGATGACTTACGGGGTCGTCGAAGCCGAGCTTGTATGGCACAAGCCGCAGGGCAGGCGCAAGAATGCGGATCTGCTTCAGCTCGATACTGAGCTCTCCAGAGGGCGTCCTTCCGGGATAACCGATGGCCTCTGCACAGACCAATGAGCCAAGCCAGCCGGAGGAGCATTAGCTGGATACAGACGCTCGCCGGTCTCCATCGCTTGCATGCTTTTGGGAGGATTTGGGCGTAGCCATGGGGAACTGTCTGACTACGCTCGCATCACCGGGTGCACATACACTTGGGCAGAGCCAAGTCATTGCTGCGTCCGTGCATACCAACGACATCGCCGGGATTGATGAGGGGCATCAGATCTTGGAATTCCTTTGAGGACTGATACTCGCTGAGCTTTGCCACCAGCTGCAGCTGGCTGTCGGCGTGGGCAATATCGAGAAACTGAAGCTTTTTGCTGGCACTGCGCTTTGCAACGACTCGACCTATGTACATGCATTATGCAGGTAGCCAAGGGATCAGCACTTGGGAGGGCTGCCGACTGAGGCACTGTATCCTTGTCCGGTGACGATCTCAGGGCAGGGCGGAGTGACCGGGCTGACCTGTTGTCCTCAGCAGCACCGACTTGTCCCATTGGCCATTCTCCAGCCGCGTTGACTGCGATTGAATGATGGATGAGATGCAGGAGTGTCCGGCGATGGCCGACTTTGTGCTAAAGTCGGGGTATGCGGCGTATCCCAGCTCCCGAAGAGCCTCGAGCTTGGCAACGTCGCGGGTATCGTCGTGGGGCGGGTTTGGTTGGGGCGGCTGTCGAAGCCCTGCTTGTGTAGGCTGCGAAGCATACCGGCGGAGAGGGGCCAGCAGACAGCGATACGGGCGAACTGGACTCAGGAGCCGTGCTGGCAGCATTGTTGCAAATGGAATGCCGATGCTGCCGTGCCGGTATGGTTATGGTGTGGTGTCGATCGAGGCGAGCCAGGACCGGCGAGATCGATGACCACAACGCGAGGCGACACTATGAAAAAAATTCCTTGTTAAAATGAGCGAGAACGAAAAAACGCGCTCTCGGAGCCACCTCGGTCGGCGAGAAGAGCAGTCTCTGGGGAGAGACCCCCGAGGGAAGGCGAGAAGCCTCTCGCCGTCACACACACACACTTTGCACACACACACACATCCGCACACACACACTTTGCACAAGGGAGTCAAACACCTCTCATCGACCATCCCAAGAGGGATGGCAACCCCGAAGTGGACTGCCCAGAATATGGGCGACCCGGCATCCACTGTCGAAATACTCAAGGAACAGTGCGAGATACTTACAGTCTATCCAGAAATAAACGGGACAGATCCCATTTCTGGCTTCAGATGTTTGAAGCCCGCTGACTGACTTGTAGGCCCAGCGGGTAGGCCATGGCATTGCACTCCTGTCTTCGTTGGCAATCTCTTTGTTTTGGTTGGTTTGGGAAGCACAGTCTTGAATACACCCGGTCGATCTCCTGTGGCGATGATCGACTGGCATACCGAGATCATATTCCTGGCTGCATTGATGTCTCGATCCCACAGCGTATGGCAGCTTGTACAGCTCCGTACAAAATGTGGCTTCTCGACATCAAGATACTCGGGTGACTCGAGTCGCTTGGCTTCCCGAAAATGTGAGCACACCTGGGATGTGTTGAACTCGTTCACCGAGCACACATGGATCTTGGAGACGGATCGGTCTGGTGGTCGTCTCTGGTGGTGGTGGAACTGCTCAAAGTACTTGGCAAACCTGAGTCTCCTGGGACTGGATGCATATCCCTTCCCCTGTTTCCAGGATGCATCCCCAAAGGCAATCACCACTTCGGTCTCCTTTGGTGCCTGGTCGATGACTTGCTTGCACATCTCGTGGACGGTGCGCTGTCGCTTGCTGTGGAGATCGAGTCGCTTGAATCGCCGTCGCCGGGTCAGGCTGAAGTACAGCTGTTTGTCCAGCATGTCTCCATCGAACACATGGCGAATGTATTGCAGGAAGGGAGCCAACCCAGGGATCTTGGGGCTCGGTGTGGTGCTCATCCATTTCTGCAGACCAAGGATCTTGTGGGTGCTCTGGATCCACTTGGTCGCCTGGGTGATGTCCTTCGCTTGGGAGCCATCTGGCGAGAAAATAGCGACGATGGCTGGTTCTGCCCTTGGGGAAGAAAGAATCTCCTCAAAACCAGCGCATTTTGGGCTGGCAGAGATACTGCGCAGTGGCGTCCTTGATTCAGATCCAGAAACGCATCGCTCGCTCAATCAGTCGTGGGAAGACATCTTGTCAAGGTGAGTCTTGCCCGATAGCCAAACGATCATGTCATCTCGCTGACACACAGCCACGCTTGACTAGGTTTCCAACCAGAGAGATTCAGATGGTGGTGGCTCTTGTCCGCAATCGGAGTGGAGCTTCCAACAATGATACAATTGGTCATTCCTCCACATCAATCGCCCACCACCACCGTCAATTGGCTCAAGACGATACCAAATGCCGTCAACCGACCATGGCTGGATTCCAACTTTTGCTGCGCTACATACAACGTGACTTTCGGGTGACCGAGATGAGCAGCCGCGAGGGGCCGGAAAAATTTGATGGTGCGAAATCGCTGGGCTGCGCGCGGCAACAATGAAATCGCTTCATTGAGCACGACTGCGCACGACACACTCTGCGACATTGGAGCAACAGTTTCTGTGAAGCGCGTGCAGCGGTGCGGAGGGGCGTGCGACGTTAGTGCGACAACGGTGCGACGCGGCGGTGCGATTTAGTCTGTGAGTACACACAACAACACCACAACAGCACAACAGCACAACAGCACAACAGCACAACAGCACAACAGCACAACAGCACAACAGCACAACACCACAACAGCACAACAGCACAACAGCACAACAGCACAGCACACGCCCTCGGCAATGGCACTTCCTCGCCGGACCGCCCTCGTCCTTCGTTTTGTCAATTGATCGATCGATCGGCCTGTCGATCCCGGCGACCCTTTGCGCTCTGGCCTGCAATCTGCGTCCACGAGTCTGTTGCTTCCGTCTGGCTCTGCAAAGTACGCCTCTGGCCGACAACTCCCGCTGCTGCTGCTGCTCGTCTTGTCTTGCAAATGTCCCGGAATCTCGTCCGGCACACCCTTTCGAGATCCTGTCTTGTCGCCTCGACCGCCTCTCCCACTCCCTCTGGCCTCGCCAAACCCCCTCCAACCACCAGCGACCCCCATCACTATTCACACCAGCGCAGCTGTCTCGCATCTGTTTCTCCTCGTCGTGGCTTCCTTTGCGTGGGCATCGTGTCCGGTCCGATTGCCGCTGCTGTCCGCCTGCTTCGATCCAGCAACATCTCTCTCGCTCCGCGTCTGTTTCGACTTGAGACCATTCTCGGCTTCTGTCTCCGTCTTTGTCTGCATCATCGTCGCTCCTTCCCACCACCCTCCTCTTCGTCCTGTCTCCGCTGGCTCTATCCTGGCTCCTCCTGGCCACTCGCCCAATCTGCCGGCATCGCTGCCGATCCATGCATTTCCTGGATGCCAGAGTCCGAAAGCGCGATCGCAACGTCCCAGCAGCTCGCTGATTCATGTCCTCTCGCCACCTTTCCTTTGTCGACAGATCCCAGGCGCCTGCTCCCGCCCACATCGACGGCTCGTTGCGTACCCCATCCTCGACTCTCGATTCAAATTCGCTCCATCTGAGGAACTTGCTGGCTTCCTCGATCCGCCAACATCCCTCCGCTGTTCCGGACCGGCAGCGCTTGATGGTGGCCAACAACAATGGGACCATGGGTGATCCTGGCATGACCTCGGTGACTCACTCGGCCCCCGCATCCTCGCCTGCTGTACCGCCCCAGCTCATTCTCCACCTGCGCAACCAAGCTCTGAAACTTGAGGAAGAGAAGTTCATGTATGTTCCCTGTCGCGCTGTAGCAACCTCTCCCCGACAGAGGCTCGCTTTCTTAGAAGCGCTTGCTAACTCGTTTGGCATCGCAACGCTCGCCTTGGTGCCGCTTGCGATCCACCACGGGTGCTGATTCTGCTTTCAACCCAACGATTCATCGCGAATCCGCCGGTCTCGCTTTCCCCTTTGCCCTCGCTTCAACTCGCGTCTTGCGAACTCCGCCCGTCCATCGATCCACATACATGGCCATGTCCGTCCACTCCCGAATCATGGCTGCATGGGCTGCCTTCAAACCATATTGTCCACACCGGCCTTGCACGTAGGATGAGTGCAACACGACGCGAGGATCTCCTTCGCGAGCTGTTTGTTCGCGATGCCATCGTGAGAAACCGCGAGATGAGTCCCTTCACCCTCAACTTCTCGATAGATGAGAGGCTATTCAACGACTTCAAGATGTCGCTCGACAGCGAGAGGTTGGTGTCGGTTTCGGAGCTTGTGGAGGGCCTTGGCTCGGATGTGATTTGTGCCAAGGCTGTGAATCTGCGCAAACCGAGGATCGGGCATGTGCCTGCTACTCGCCAATAACCTGCTCTAACTCAGATGGTTCGCACCTGTATCCCTCGTCTTACGGATCGCCAGAAAAGCGCAGGTTGGTTCTCTCCCTCCACTCAGCTTGGTATCTCGCACCAGTTGCTCTGCTGGGATACTGTTACTGCCCGAGTATCCCATTGACAAATGTCGTGTTGCATCCAAACCACCCGTATCCCAGGACCACCAACAACCCAGCCACACTATCTCGGGTTCATCGCACGACTCCACCACCCACTCGAAGAGCGCCTTTGGGGATCGTCAACACAAGATACCATCATCTGGTTCGCAGAGACCCGCTCTGTCTGTAGCCATGACCGGGCTATCAGCGTCATCCTCTCACCCTGTTCCAATGACATCAGCGACCCCTTCACCAGTGTCGTCGATCCCCACATCGGCAACTGCCCCGGGAATAATTTCCGCACCTCAGCCTCAGCTATCCCCGTCCATTGCACTTCCACAGCAACCTCCCATCCAGACAACTGCATCAGCCCAGTCTCCGCTCTCACACCCGCGACCGACACAAACACCGACTCTGGTGTCCGGACAACAGCTAGCACAGGCTCCCAAGCGTCCCCAGTCGCTCCAGTCTGATTCCTCGCAGATCATCATGGCCGCGGTATCCTCCCTCGCTCGATCAAAGAGCCATGTTGCTGAATCGCAGACCAAGGCACCGACACCTGGCCCGGACTCGGCTACGGCACGTTCAGAGAAGCCCACAAATCTACTGGAATCGGATGGAACTGCGGCGACAATACATGAAGAAACGACCAAGCCACAAAACCATGTTGCAGACATGGCATCAGCCCCTCATTCCATCGAGACTGCTGCGCAATCCCAGGGGCTGTCGTCAGTCTCGGAGCCAAGGTCGGCAGCCCCCATTCCAAGACCGGATACAGAGGCACCTCCAACCTTAGCTGCGATGGAGCCAGCCTCGCACCATCCACACCAAGCGGCGGACTCTGCAGAGACGCCCAGCACCGCTGGGATTGTTCCGCAAAAACGACCGACAGCGGAGCCCAGCGCCACGGATGAGAAGCGTCGGCGTCTCTCGATATCCAGCGGACCCCCGGCAGCGAGCGTAAGTGTCCGCATCGTCCCTCGGGCTCACTCACGGTGTTGGCACAGCTGTGTTGCTGCCTTTTCTCGGCCCACTGATTACGCACCGGTTGCTCTGTCGATGCGTCCATAGCTCCAAGCCGAGCGGACCAAAACAGTCTCCGAGCCTGCTGCTTCACCACTGGCAGCGCTTCCTCAAAGCCCTTCAAAGGCCAGCGCGCCGACTCCCTCGCACGGTGGCATTCCCAGCCGAGCAGCAGTCACGCCAGCAGCCACCATTGCACAGGTGCCTGCTATACCTTCCGATGCCCCTTCGACACCAAGCGCTTCAGCGACGACTTTGACCACTGTTTCCGCGACAGTCACAGGCGAACAGACCACGCATATCCATATTGCCTCTGCGCCTGCGGTTGCGTCCGAAAGGAGAGAAGCGGCAGTAGCCGTTGCTCCCGAGCCTGCGCCGGGGGGCTCCGTTGGATCGGCATCAGTGTCTACATCCACAAGGCCAGCACCCGTTGCGGTACAGCCGACGCAGTTGGCACCAACTTTGGCGAAGGATGTGTCGTCCGTCAGTGAAGCAGCCAAGCCGCCAATCCATACTCTCCCAGCGGCTGCAGATGCTAAACTTGCATCTCCTCAGCCCACTCCGACAAACAAACCTGTGGGACCAGCGGCCGCTCCACCAAGCACATCATCGCCACTACCGTCTTACCCCGCAGCTCCCGAGCCCCGGGTCACATCAATCCGGTTCGTCCCTAGAGCCACTGCTGATGCCAGGCGGTCTGTGCCGGACGATCGTCAAACTGCTTCCAAGTCCGCCGACTCCGAAACGAAAGGATACGACTTTTATGCATGGCAGCTGAAGGTCGCTGCAACCCAACTTACGCCGCTGCTGCAAAATGCGCCAGTGGCTCTGACGACGAACGATTGGATGGTGGGTGTATTCCGCCAGCGGGGTGCTCGTAGTGTGCACGGATGAGTCGGCATGGCATTGCATTTGGCCTGATCATTTTTCAGCCCCTCTGCCTATGAATTCGATTGGTTTGGCCCATCCCTTATACTGCATCCGACCGCGGCACCCGCGGGTACTCTTATACTTACCGTGCTGTCTCTTCTCTCGGTCAACTAGTTTGCACGCGATGAGGCCAAGCAGCTCAAGACGCTTCAGCGGATAGAGCAGCTCAAGAGTACAAACGAGTGGAGCTTCAAGCAGCTCAAGCCCCAGGCTCCGCCACCACGTGCTAAGGTCCAATGGGACCACCTCCTGGACGAGGCCGTAAGTGTTGCTGCGTATTCTGAAATCGAAAGAGTTTCCTGATCCCGATGCCTCTGAAGATATGGAGGTGCTTTTCTGTTGGCTGGGGTACTGCACTCTTGCAAGCAGTGATTCTCACCTCGGCTTCTGGTTTGTGGCTGTTGCTTGGCAGAAATGGCTTCGGGAAGACTTTCGACAAGAACGCAAATGGAAGATCGCCGCTGCCCGCCAGTTGTCTCTGTGGATCATGGAGTGGCATGGGTCAAGCGACCGATCGGCCCTGTGCATCAAAGTAAGCTTTATGATGGGCTGGCTGTCGCACCTCCGCTGACTATCGAATCAGGCTTGCGATGACATGGGCCATGTACGCACCGCGGCTCTCCCTGACCAACTTTCCTTTTGCGACGATATTCTGGACTGCCAGGCTCGCCCTCCGCCCGCTATAACTGAAACAAGACTCGAAGAAAGCTCGGTATTTGATCAATTCGTATCGGCCGACGCCGTTGGTCCATCGAATATGCTATCAGCAGTCAAGAGCGAGACCGAGGAGTCTTCTGCATATGCATCTCGCGATTACGGTGCTTCCTCTGAGCAGCCGTTGTACCGGCCGGATGACGATAAAGTGGTCGCCACAACGACCTCTGCCAATCGCGGCACCGGTATCCTCCACGCGGATGAAAACGGGGAAAACTCGGTTGTTCCAAGCGTTTTGCTGGACCCTGAGTCGCTCATCTATCCCCTCGGACCCGAGTTCTCGTCCGAGGCCCTGGATCTCTATATCGAAAGCAAAGCCGGCTCCTCGAAACCCAAAGTCGTTCCGATGCCGCTCTGGGGCTTTAGTTCGTCGAAGGATGGCCAAAGCGACAGGGAATACCGTCCCGACGGCTACTACGAAGATCGCATCGTTCCTGTATCGGCGCTCTTCACACAAAGCCTGGCTGTCTCAGCGATCGATCAGTATCACAAAAATGAGAAGAGCGTTGCGGGTTCCTTTGCATCTTCGGCAGAGACCGCACCCCCTTCCTTGCTTTTGCCTCAAGATATCCATACACACGAATCAATCTTGGAATCTCGTAAGTCGCCTGGTCCCGATCCTCCCCCCTGTTCAACGCTATACGTTGATCGTGAACTGCCCTCGCTGAGCCACACAGCCGTAGCCCATGGCCTGGACTGTTGCTTTTCCGCATTGTTCCGGAAATGATGCCAGGAGAGGGCAGTGCGCTGTTAAGGATTGATACTAATGTTCGGCTCTTCATTCAGCGCTCTTTGGCTCGCCGAAACGGACGGATGCTCGAGATGTGCCACCTCCATCTTCGCCGGCACCCGCCAGCGAAAACAGTCGACGGCCTCTCAACTGGAACGCCGTCGAGGACGAGCAGCTCCTTCTGTATGCACCAATCTTCCAGTTCAATTGGCTGATCATGAGCGACGTCCTGCAGAACGGGCCGGCATGCATGAAGGAGCCCAGAACGCCGTGGGACTGCTACCAGCGATACAAGTCGCTTGCTCTGGCTAGCGACCACACTTCAGCGTCATCTGTGACAGCGTCATCGTCCAAAGGCGCGCTGGAGCCTCCCGGTCTCGGCTCGTCGTCCGGGTACTCGGCCATCGTCAAGTCTATGGCCTTGATGACCTCCAAGAAGCGCGCTGAAGCCCGGAGGAGGATGAAGAAGCATATATTGATCTTTGAGCACATCCACGAGTTGAGTGCGGAGAAGAAGCGCAAGGAGCTGGCCTCAAAGTCAACCAATGGTACGGCCTGTTGTCTGTGCATCTGTGTTTCGCCTGGCGCATGTTTCGAGTGAGGTGCTGATGAGTGCGTGGTGATTTGGCATGTCCTCTGCACCCTGCCAAATAGATTGCAACCGAAAGCCATGTCGTTGATTTCTGCTACTGCTGTCGTGGCACTCCGCTGACACCTTCTCCCAAACACCCTCACCTCCCCTCCCTCTCAGTCAACATCCGCAAGACTGTTCATGAGACCCATACGCAGGCCGTGATGGACCATGGATGCCGGCCGCTCAGCCCCAAAACACTGAGCGAGATGAAGGATAAGCGCGACCGTGAGCTCAAGATGGAGAGGCATGCTGCCGCCGCTGCTGCCGCCGCGGCTCAAGCGCACTCGCTCCAGAATGTTCGTCCGCCCCACCACGCCATTGCCCGACCCCCTCCCGGGGTCCCCGCGACCCTTCCACACTCGCCGTACGGATATGCAGTGCGACCGATGATTCCTGCGCATATGCCTCCAAGGTCGCCTGCAGCCCAAGGGCCGATTCCCAATGCCGGGGTGGTACGGCCACCCCCTGGAAGCAACGGACCCGCCCCTGGAGCCAGCGGTGTTGCAGCCACAACCCAGATGCTGGATGCGGCGCAGTCCTCACCACAGCCGCAGCCTGTTCCTCTACCAATAGGCGTCCCTTCAGCTGCCGCTGCAGTAGCGACCCTGCAACAGACAAACCATTCCCCCGGTCTTCCGACCGGCGAGGATGCCGCTGTCCAAGCCCGCTTATCGACCCCAATTGTTGCTGCTGCCCAGCTGGTCACTTCTCAGCCGCAGTCGCCACAAATCCCGACAGCGGTTACAGCCAACTCGATCTTGTCACAGCAAATGCTGCGTACAATGGCCATGCGCCCGCACATGTCCTACTCCGCAAATCCCATGCAAGGTAGGCCACGGCGCGGGTTGTGGGTCGCCCCCGGCCAGCGCGCTGCGATAGCTTGCACGGACATGAGCAAGAGAGTCTATTGGATGGGAGCGGTGAGCTTCGAGCTGTATCTGCTGGCCATATTCGTGTGATTTCTCACCACGCCTCATCCTTGGTACAAATCGACGTGTTTTCTGCCACCTAGGTGCCGGGATGATGATGCAGTACGCCAACTTGATTCCGTCCATGAACCCGATGGTCCAGGCACATCTCCAGCAGCCCATCTCGCGCCCTGGCGAGACTGCCATGAATGCTGCCGCCCATTTTGCGCTGCAACAAGCCAAGCAGCCCGTGGTATGTTGTGTTGCCGAGGACTGTCCATAAGACAGCGCGCTCGGGTGATGAGCTCGCCTGCATAGTGAAGCTGTGTTGTCTCACATGCCTACGCTGCTGACGCTGCATACACCATCATTGTAGCACCCGATGCTACTGCGCCCACAGCAGAACTTTTCTCAGCACTTTATCTCCCAGCATCCCCAACTGCAGATGCAACAGCTCCAGCAGCTTCAACTTCAACAGCAGCAGCAACAGCAGCAGGCTCTTCAAGAAGGAATCCAGTCCCAGGCCAGCATGTCGTCGGTCCTGGGAGTGCCTGTGCCATCGTCAATTCCACTTCCTCACCCAAACCCACAAGCACGCGCCTCTCCGGCGCCGCTGTTGAACCCTTCGGGCTCCTCACCCCGAAACTCACCGCGACCAGCCCCCGCAGTTCTCTCCGGACTCATCGAGGGAGACCCGGGCGTCGGCATGGGTTCCGCAGGGCCATCTCCGCTGGGTCAGAAATGAGAGGCATACCTACATGATCGAGCCATACCCTTCCTCCCGCTCGAGCCGGCTTCGCTGAAAGCTTGTCTCGGTCGCATGCTGTTCCTGCCTGTGCACATACATACTTGATACTGCATTATGTTTCTTTTATTCGATTTTTGGATCCTGTCAAATACTGCTCTGCAATACAGCCCGTTCGAAACGAAGCGGGACTGTACCGATTCGTGTTCTCCCCCTATTATCTGATGCATCACAGCATACCTACACATGGCATCGTATCATATTATTGATGGCCAGCAGACGCAGATGCTGCTTCGCACAGACTCGGAGGTCGAGAAACCGGATGCTTCGTGTCAAGGATCCGGCTGCCAAAGCGAGAGATCTTCTTGGCAATGCGGAAGACAGGACTGTCGTGGTGCCAAGAAGCGGGTGCTTGACGAACATGTTACAGTCGGTCCGCACGCTCGGCGATGCGCCTGAGCTTTTTGAGATCCCGCTTGCCCGAGTCGTTGATTGGAATGCAGTCGAGCTCGAGACAGTCGTGAATCGACAGCTTGACGGCGTTCTTGAGAGTGATCAGGTTCTCGGCCATCTGCTGGATCTCGGCAGGGATGGCATAGAGGTCGGTTCCGGCTCTGGGAATGTACAGCATCACGATCTTCTCGGAGGTCTGGACAAACGCACAGTCGGCAACAAAGTCACCGAGGTGCTGGTTCACGAGCTCCTCGAGAGCGTTAAAATCGACATAGGCGTCGTTGATCCTGACCCTCTGGTCGAATCTGGCGGGCAGGTGAAGTGATGAGTATCCGGAGGGTGGAAGCGAATCTGCCATCGATCAGACATCCGCTGCTCGGCTCACAAGCTCACCTTCCAACGACAGTAAACTCCCTCTCGCCCACCAGCTCGACCCAGTCCATGGTGCAGACTCGAGGCGAGCCATCGGGGAGGAAGCCAAACGAGGCCAGCTTGTTGTCGGGATCGGCGTTGATGAAATCGGGGTGGTTCTTGATGGGATGGTCCTTGTCGACGGCCAGCATTAGGATGCCCACCCTGGTCTTGGATGGTTCGAGGACATTGCCCTCCTCGTCACAGAGAAGACAGCGAATGTTGGGCCTGTTGAGGGTATAGACCAACTTGCCGGGGGTGGTATTGGAGGGAATCAAGGCAAAGTAGGCGACGGCATCGATTAAGAGCGTCTTGGGATAATGGCACGACGGGCAAATCGTTAATTCAGGCCACGTCGGCAGCACATAGGCACACTGCACAGCCCGTGCAGTCTCACATACCTCAATCGAAGCATAGATGCAGCGGATCTCAGCATTGGGACACAGCTGTCGGGCCTGGTAGACAAGCGACGGAGGCACTATTTCAAGGCCGATGACGATCCGGCGAGCTGTTCCCCACTTGGTAGCAGGATTGATGGAGAGTGTTTTCTTGAAGACAGTCATGGCGGACGACGATGTCTGCAGCGGCGGCGAGCAGCACATGAATGGTCAACGAACATGAGTTTTTGGTCATATAGTGGCCGTCGCTCGGATAATCATCCATCCGCAAGCTGCCGTTTGACAGCCACGAGAAGCAAAACGCACCGCAAAGTAAAACTCGAGACCTTCCTCGAGGAGACGAATCGTGTTCATCGCCCTCTGCATCGGACTGGATGCTGGCTTTGGGAACCACAGCGATCCTTTGGTGCCGAAGGCCACCATGAACATCAATGCGGTTGCTGATGGAAAGGATGGCGGCTGTGCGAAGCAACAGTGGATCGCATCCAATGTCAGCGTGCAACGCCCATTCTGCCGTTTGGTTGATTGCATTCGAGCATTGCCTTGCAAAGGTACCAGCTGACTGAGCGCCCGACCGAGTGCCCGACGGAACCTGACTGATAACTCGCCGCTGCCTGGCTTCCAGCAACTCACCATGGTCATTCCCATCTTGACGTACTTCAGTCCCAGCTTTGTTCGAATGAGATGCGAGTGCAAGTGCGAATATTTGAACCTGCAGGTCACGACAGGTGAGTGTGCTGGCAAGGCCGATAGAGCTCCAGTGCTCTTGACTTACATCTTGGGAGTATCTGCATGGTGCCATTTGAGCGATTAGATACTTTGTCATAGACCCAGCACAGTGTGTACCAGGTCCACCCGGCGCCATTCCACTGGTTGCTTGACAAGCTCGGCTCAAGTGCATTGAGACTCACCACTGATGTCCAGAGTGCACAGATATGCGACAAACTCGTTCAATGGCTCGCACAACTCGAGCGATGGATCTGGAACCTCGCCCAACAACGGGTAAACCCCGGCGTCGATAGCCTTGACGCCCTCAGTGTGGCCGGGTCGGGTGTAGTGGTAGAGGATATACCTAATACCAAGCCTATGAGTGGTAATGGCGAGTCTCGTGAGCATGGCCTGTCGACAGCCCCCATCTTGGATCGTGGGGGTGCAAGCGGCTGAGTTCAACCATGACGACATAGCAGTGCATCCGATCGACATACCGCTGGCTGATGTCCCGTCGAACCGACGCGGGCGTGTTGAGCCCGAAATTGAAGACCTTCCTGGAGAATAGGAGACGGTGAGCAGGGACAGGCTCGAAGGAATGCTGGCGGGCTCGCACCATTTGGGCTGTCCACCGATCTCGGTGCCGTGCAGGTTCCGCGCCCATGCCCACTTACTTGCCGAGGATCCAGAGAGCAAACATGTACAATGCCCAGTGCGCTTCTGTCTCGCAAAATGTCCCAACGACTTCGTGGCCCTCATCGCCCCAGCCTGGGAGTGCCTTGAGACCTTGGGCTATAGAATACGCCTTCTGCCACACTTGCAGGTAGCTGTATCGTTCTGTGATGCTGTTCTCGTTGGTCAGGAGGGCAAGGGTATCGGGCTCTTCTCGCGCAGTCTTCACCAAGACCTCGAGCGGATGCAGCCAGGCCCCAAATGGGTCCATTGGCGGTGCAAATTTCGGCTGGACCAACTCGACTGCCGTCCTGGCCCTGTTCAAGGACGCAGGAGCCAGCCGGTCGATGCTGAAGGTGCGCTGGGGCTCGACCGGCTCCGCGAGACAGCAAGCAAGGCTTCTGAGGGTCATTTTTTCGGGGATTGCGGAATGCCAAGGTCTCGCCAGGGCCGATCGAGACTTTATAATGTGCTGCGTGGCGTCCCCATTCGTAATGGGTAGTCATCCCCGGGCCACAGCCACGCTCGCTGCCCTGCGCTTCTGCACCATGGCGCTTTGTACTGCCGTCCTTTTTCTTTCCCCGTCCATGCGAAGAGCAGGCCGAAATGGGGCGGAGGCTGGTGGGAATCGGGGGCGGCGCCGGGCATGCCCGACAAAAGCAAATTCGCCCCACAGGCCCACGGGACCGGTTGGCTCCATGTGCACCAGCCAGCTCCAGACCGGCATGCCCGGAAGTGGCAGGCTATCTTCGGCTCAGCTCGGCCCGGCACCGCTTGTCTGGTCTGGCCTGGCCTGGTCTTGGCGAAGCTTGGCTGACACTTCCGGACACATCGGCATCGGCCTGCACCAGAACCGGCGCATCGTCGTACCTGGCTTGGCAGAACCGGCGCTGCTGGCAACGCGTCCATCGCTGACACGTGCTGTGGCGCGGTACCAGGACCCATGCCACACACACGTGACTGTGTTCTGTGCCGGAAGCAGGCGGCCTGCTGCCACGGGCACACCGGTCTTTTGGCGGCACATCGCCACCAGCCACTGGGTTTCCGCTTCGACCGCCATCCAGCCCCCAAATCCACCACCGTCCCTCGGCCTGCAGCCCCCAGAAATCATGATTCCGCAGCTCGGACTTGGCCGATGGCTCCTGTTCATCGGAGTGATGGCCGCCTACAATGCCGTCCAATGCTTTGTCCCATCCATGAGACTGACCCCCAAGATCTACGCTCGCAAGGCGAACGAAGGTGGGCGGCTCGCTGATTTCCCCTGGCTGTCTTGCTGGTTGTTTCTTGGCCTGCCTCGCTGCAGCGACCGACAGGGACATCTGCTGCTCGCCTATCTGGAGTCCGGCGGGTGCTTGCATGGAATAGCAGTGCGCTTTGCATGATTATGATCCAGTCCGTTAACAGCCCCTAATGCCGATGCTGTGTGCGTTCTCACATCGCCAGTTACCCCACTCATGTCCCGAATGATGGGGCTCTGGACTCTGGTTTCGGCCATCGTCCGCATCTACACCGCCTACAACCTCGACAACCGCCCGTAAGCCCGATCGTGTGCCAGTTGCGGCAGACAGCACCTGCTATCGTGCTTTGGATGAGCTCCCGCGGCCGAGCCGCAATTGCGTGTTGCGTTCAGCACCGAAGGAGCTGTGCTCCAACGTGCTCATCGGCAAACACTGACCATCACCCTCGTTGCAACACCCGCTCGACCCCAAACTCAACATTGGTCCGACTCTCCGATCGATAACTCCGTTGATATGATACCAAACGACCCGAATGGGCCCTCGCCTTCCCGATCTCCCATCCAACGATCTGCAATCGGATGTTTGTCCTGCCCCTCTCGGACCGAACCGGATGCGACCGGGGCCGTCTGGCATGTTGTTCTCGTGCAACTAATTGTTGTTTCTGGTCGCTCCAGCCTCTACGAAATCTGCATGTTGACGTTCGTCGTCGCTCTGGGCAGCTTCGCTTCCGAGATCTTTGTGTACGGCACCGCCCCCATCTCCTCGCCCGGCGTCTTCCCCACTCTGATCATCACCCGTAAGTATCGCCCGGCGAAGCCATGCGTTGTTCTGCTACCCTTTGGCATGTGAGGCACAGCACAGTTGCCGAATGCGCAATGCCAAGGGCAAGATGACGTTCTAATTCGATTGCTCCCCGGGTTCTGCGTCGCTCTCCACCAGCCGTTTCGCTGGCGTGGATGTTCCTCAACTACCCCAACTAAATATGCATCGACAATAAAGGGCAAACTAAAGGCGATCTGCCGCTTGAATAGCACTCATGGTACAAAGTGTCGGCATTGTCACGTTCACGATAGATTTCCGTTCAATGCAGCTGCACCGGAGTCTGGATCAGTAAGAAAGCAGACGCTGACGAGGAGCACCCTATGCTCAGTGGGACTGCATGGTCCACGAGTATCCGTGTGTGCTCGATGAACGGGCCGACCGCACCGTACTCTTGCAGAGAGCCGATCGAGGGCTGGAGGCAAACCGACAGCCGGTCTTCTCGGGGCTGCTTTCGCGGCTTTGCCCTCCATCCACCAAGCTGCTGTTGCAGCTCGACCGAGAATACCCTGTCGACCAGGCCCAGGATGCCTTTTGTTCACGATGCGATCGAGCTGATTGGGTCAGCGGCTACGCATCCCGTTATGAGCCCGCTCTTCTGGCTCGCAGCCGTCTGGCTGCTTGCTCCGTTTGCCACGGCGTTGCTCGCTGTCGTCGGCTGCTGCTTTGGTCTGCTCTATTCTGGCCTTGGCCTCTGGCGACGACTGCACCAGGGCGCCCCGATCAACTGGAACGAAGAGATTGTCCTGATCGTAGGAGGCACGCATCGCATCGCATCGCATCGCATTGCTGGGTCGCGGCTGCTGACATGAACCATCTCATGTTGCAGGCAATAGCGGGATTGGTCGCTCGCTGCTGCAATCACTCAAAACTCTTTCGCCTCGGTCCATCGTCGTTATCGATATCGATCTGAGCACCATTCTCCCCGAGCACCAAGGTCTGCGATGCTCCATAGGCTATCGTTGCGCACCATCGTTGTGGGTTCATTTCAGTCGCTGCTGACTCTGGCCGATCGATCCATTGCGGTACAGGCGCTGTGGAAAACGGCCGTCTGAAGCTGTACCAGTGCGATGTCTCAACCTTCGACGCCGTCTCGAGAGTGGCAGCAACGATCGCGAGCGAGGTACGGATCTCGATTGAGATTCTGGACTGCAATCCCGACAGAAGGATCCAGCTCCGAGCTCGAACGCAGTTCTCCACTCGCCGTTTGAATCTTGCCCGCCGAGCGTGATATGCACGGCGACAAACGAGTCGATAGTGGATCCGCCCTGACCGCTCTCGGGCCTGCAGGTGGGCTCCCCGACGATGGTAATCAATTGTGTGGGCATCGTCAATGGCAAGACGCTCATCGACTTGACGCCAGAGGAAGTTCAACGATCCATCAACTGCAATCTAGCGGGACACTTCTGGATCGCCAAATGCTTCCTGCCCGAGATGCTTGCTCGCAACCGAGGCCACTTGGTAATCTGCCGCCCCGTTCTCGACACACCCCGCAAGTTGCTGTATCGAGTCTCTTGGCCTCGGTGCTCACATTCCACCCATCCGACTCCAATCCCAGATCACGATCTCCTCGACCTTGGGCATGAAAGGTGTCAGTCAACTGAGTAAGATACGACCTCGCCTGCTGCGATACACTGGATTGCGACCTCATGCCATCCATTTGCTGCAGCTGACTACACAGCGACCAAGTTTGGACTCATCGGAATGCACGAGTCGCTTCGACAAGAGCTATCCAAAACGTGAGTCTCCAGTTGCCTGCTCGGCCATGCCAGTATCGGATGCTGTTGGGCTCGCACTCTCTCTGACAGCACACACGGCTCTCTCGTCTCAGCAACGTTCGGACATCATGCATCTACCCCGGACTGGTCAACACAGCCCTCTTCAGCGGCGTTCAGTACCGACTCTCCCAGCTCTTTCCAGTTCTGGAGTCCCAAGATGTCGCCCGCACAATCGTGTCCGTCCTGGAGTCGAACCGCAGCCAGGATGTCGTCTTGCCCTTCATCTTCAACTTTATGCCGCTCATGCGAGCGTTTCCGATCGAAATCACTGATCTGGCCACAACGGTGAGCCCAGCTCTGATTCACTTGGCCATCGCCGTGCTTATTCCATCCACATGTCGCATCGTCAAAGCACCCGCTGTCGACACCACGCACCCACACATGCTAACGCTAAGCACTCATATGTGCTGTCTATCCAATCGCCTCGATGCCAGCTTCTGGGGGCAAACGAAAACATGAAGCAGCACCGCAAACAGAGATAGCTGCCGAACAAGCTTTGCTCCATGTTAGACAGATTTCTCTCCTTGAGGCATGTTCATGGCCGGATTCCCATCTGGATGCAAAGTGGGCCGAGTCAATAGAGTCAATCTCGAGACAAGATGGTCCAGTATTGCACTGCACTTCACCTTCGCTGAGGTGACGCTGGCTACGGGTTGCTCAGCCCTGAGCGTGCAGGGCTGGGACTCTCGTTGATTCGGAGTCGACTTGGAACCAAATCGCCCGATCTGTTGTCCGCGCTATCCGATTGCTTCTCGATGCTATCGCTGAAGGCATCGATGGCGCCGATATCGTGGAACACGGCCCGTCTCGCTACTGGGGTAATGCTGGGAGCATTGATTGCCTCGTTGGACCCTTGCCGTTCCTTCTCCGGCGACTCGGCATCATCGGCCTTTTGCTCGCTTTGCTCCTCGGCCAGGTCGAGGTTTGCAAGCTCCTGTGCGTTCTCATCGCCTTTGTCGGCACGGCCTGCTTCGAGATAGTCTGCTATCTCCGGGATGCTGATAAGTGCCTTGGGCGGAATCATGAACTGGTGGATGCAGCCAGGCCAAAGCAGTTACTCATACGAAATAATCGCAGTGGCAGCATGCTGTCAACGCCAACAGTCACAGCAGCCTGTGCAGGCACAGAAGAAACACAAGCATGGATGCCGATGGAACAACGAAAGCGCTGCTGGCACATATGCTTTTGGCCATATCCCAGCGACCTACCAGCATTCGCCTGCGGGTGCGCGAAATAAATCGGTGCATTATAAAATGGATCAGTGCGGACCCCAAGCGTTCCAAGAAATTGGGGTCAAAGACCCGATGATCAGTGCTCTCGGTCCCAACAGCTGCTTAGCTCATGTACAGCGCATTTCCGACTCGCAGCCACTTGCCTGGCTCGCTTGGCACTGGCCTCGAGATTTCTCAGATACTTGGGCATGAGGTAAAACGTCATGAATAAGAAAAATACCGTTGAAATGCCGAATGAGGCGTTGCAGAAGGCGTATGCGAATTCTATGACCGGCGTGATGTTGTCGCTCAGAATGGTGGCCGCCTGTTCGGATGGGTGGCCAGAGACGGACCATCAAGGCAGGATTCAATAAGCACGTTCATCGCAAAGACACTCCATGAATGTAACATCTGTCAAATTAGATGAGGACAAACAGCCGTCGCTGCGGCGATATATCCATAGAGACAGCGATTGATATCGCGGAGCGTGCAGCCATCCAGCCACGCAGATCAAAGCCGAGCAACTCGGCCGCCATGCAGACACCATGAGAAAGTGCATGTCCACAACCTCTGCGAACAGACTGCCCCAAGGCCTTGTATACCTGATCCAGATCCGAAAGCAGGATGCCGTCTGGACTGTCCATGAGGGCCTGCAGCTGGATATATACGGGCGACAATGTCGTGTTGATCCCATTCACTCGCGGCGGCTCTTGCGTGATCAAGATTGCCAAAGTTGATGCGAACTGCAGCAAGTAGTCCAGGGATCCGCACGCCTCGATCGGACCCAGGCATTTGCTGTTGTACTCCAGATCATCCAGCGCAGGGATCCGTCCCTTGAAGCCGCTCAGTCCTAACGAGGCGTTTCCAGTCTGGAGACCCTCATTGATGAAGAAAAGCTCCTCGGCAACCATTTTCATGAGCTGAACAGTGCTTGGGTAGTTGAGGGAGTTGGTGTCGTTTCTCATTAGCTCCTGCGACTGCGAGAGCAAAAGCCATGCGTCTAAGACAGACGAAGTCAAATGAACCCAGCGTTATGATCGGATTAGTCATTGGGCCGAGGCAGGTTAGTTCATCGCTCTGTCACTCGCTCCCTTGGCTTGTATAATGACCAAACGAGTGCTTGACAAAGGTGCCTCAAGTACTCGGCACCGACACTGACATCGACTCGATGAGCGGAATGGGTAAGGCGGTGGAAAGTTACACACAACATGACTTACAGCCAGAACGGATGGTCGCATATCGCTCTTCCACAGCAAGCTGGACCAGAGTGCTGTTTGCCAGCGACAACAGATACAGCGAGATCCCCGTGATGATTGCAAAAGTCAAGAGCGACGCGACATAGGAGATCCCGACGGCCTTCAGGCGAAGAGGCATCTGCTTTTCGAAGGCCTTGAGGCTCTCTCTCGTCTGGTAATTTACCGCGGTCTTGGACTCTCGCTTGACGATCGCTGTGGAAAACCGACCTTTTTTGGAAATCTCCTTGTTCTTGAGCTTTTGTATAATGTGGTCGATGACTGAGTCGGGCACTCTGAAGAACAGCTCGCTCGAGATGCGAAAGTCGCGGCTCACTTTGTAGAAGAACGGCACAAAGATGAAGAGACAGAGAAGCAGCGGCACGGCTCCGCAAGCGATGGCGCTGATGATGGCAAGGTAGAAGCGCTTGTTGTTGCTATCGCTCTGCATTTCCGACTACATATGTGAAGCACATCAATGGTGAGAGGGTGCGGTGGGTTTTCGCCGATTGTGCAGCCGTAATCCTGAATGAGCGCATCAAGCCGTGTCGTCATGCAGCACACGGTTCAATCGGCTACCTGGTAGGCGTTCGCGACGTTTAGCAGTCCATAAAACACAGTCATTGGTCCATTCTGGATCACAAACTTCCAGTACGGAAGGACATTGACGGGAGTTTGATTGTACGTGGCAATGTTGTATAGCGATTCTGAATACAGAAAGATGGCTTCGCGGAGGTTCGAATTGACGACCTGGCCTGTAAAGCCCAGTCCCGGGGAGTAGTTGACGATGCCGAGATTGGGTGCTGATCGCGGAAAAACGTTGAGAATGTGGGTTGTTTGGGTCAGGGATCTTGCAAGAGAATGCCATTGCGGTGCACGCGGCTATTCCGCCACGGGCAGGGCAAAGACTATTCATCAAGGTCATTGGCACGGCGTTTTTTGATAGCCGTTTTCAAGTTTGCAATAGCACAGTCCACGTTACGGAGCATATCACTGGCTCCTGCCAGGAATCGACCATCCTTTGGGGCAGCAGGTCACACACGCTACTTACTGTTCCAGGCAGCATCGATCGCTGCAGAGCTGAGCGACGTATCCTTGAGGAATGCAGTCGCCGACGAGGATATGTTTGAGGATATCTCAATCAACTGACTCCTGGTGAACGATATGCTGTGTGGAAACATGGCGGGGTACTGTTGGATCCACTCGAGACCCCTGGCCCAGTACACCGCTTCTTGGGCAAGCGAGCGCAGTCCAAGGCTCTCCATAAACGCCACCTTTTGGTTGACGACGGTGTTGACAAAGATCGGAAATGCCACCGCAAACATGGCAATGCTGCACATGAACAGAAAAACCAGCGAGCTGTACACCGAGATACGGAGGCCGTTGATAATGCGAGCTGCCGCCTGGTTTGTATTTCCACTGCCTTGGCCAATCGAAAACCTGCAAAAGCACCAGCACCGGTAAGCCGCTATCGTATCGCCGTATGGGGGGCTGCGGTCGATGGATGCATGGCGTCGCACTAGCGTCAATCGATTCCACCCACATGTGGCTAAGGTAGTCAAAGTCCACGTCGGCTTTGCTCTCGGTCAGGCTGAATGTGCTGTTCACGGTGCTGGCCGGGGACGCGACCGACTGCTGAGCGTTGAAAGATTTGGACTGAATCGACTCATGCTTCATACGGCGCTTCCTTTGCTGTGAGGCCTCGAGGAACTCTGCATGGCTTTCGACCTTGGCAGCGAGCGCTGGCTCGAAGCTCACGTGGCGCAAGAAGTTTGAAAATGCCTTCAGCACCTTGATGGACTGTGGAAATGCCTGCGTGAGGCGCTGGATGGGGAGATAGGGTATGAGCAGCCGCGTTGACAAGCGGGCGAACGCTTTGTACGATAGCTACGCTAGATACGACTCATGGCTCCTGGCTTATGGCGTATGACTCATGGCTCCTGGCTTATGGCGTATGGCTTATGGTTCATGGCTTATGGCTTATGGCTTATGGTTCATGGCTTATGGCTTATGGTTTCGCTCCCACCTTGTAGTATCCTCGAGCTGCCTCTTCGTGTGTCTCCACATTGTCCAGGATACTCATAAGCATTCGTAGGTCGTAGTTTTGTCGCTGGACCTGCTGCCAGAACATTAGAGCATTCTTCACAGCTTTCTCTTCGTGGTGCTTGGCGGAGGACATGTCGTGTCGGAACTGAACAGCCTGGATGATATCTATGGAGCGCATATGTACAGCCACGTGGATGGTGAGTAATCGTTGCAAATGCGACCATCTGAGGCTCGAGTCCACCAACCTTTGACACCCTCGGACTCGGAGAGCGTGGCTTGGTCGTACTGGGCGTGGTTTATAAGTATAGCGGATCAGTTTAGAGTTGCGCATCCCTGCCAATAGATGAGCCGAAACAGGGCGCTGGATTGTGGCTGAATCGTCCTCTCACCTCCCTACACAGTGTCGGCCCATGTGAAATGAGTTGTCAGCCATCTCGAGGACAACGCGGAGTCATGTGCATGGTCAAGTGCGGGAACAGTGCGCTATCAAGCGCGAGGACAATCCATCATGATCGCCGACGCTACATACCATTTTTTGAAGAGAAAGAACAGGCAAAACTCAGTGTCAGCCGTTGGCTCCATGAGCAGCGCCTGCTGAACCAACTGGAGCATTTGAGTCGTAGAAAGTTCACAAAGTTTGGAGCGTGCATAGATATTGTGGTGGACACAGTGGTTTGAGCAGCACAATTGATGGAACGGGTGTAGTTTGGTTAGAGTGACCGGGGCGACATGCGAACGACATGGTGGACGGCCTTGTGTTGGTCGGGGTCGATTGCGCCAAGAGCCAGAAATACTTACATCCTTGGCCATGTGCGCTGTAGGCATGGTAAAGTGGCCCGACAGAGCCTCTGTCTCGAACGTGAGTAGCAGCGAGAGCCTCGACATCAGCCACGCGCTCTTTGGAAACCGCTTTATTCCCATCAACAGCATGTGTGCTGCAAGCACTTTAGCTTCATCCGATCCAAGGAGCTCGATGCCCTGGAATTTGAAGAAGCGGAGGCTGTGCTCGCGCAGGATTCGACGGAGGTACTTTGAGCCTCGGCTCTCAAACGTTCCAGAGAGTGACTCGAGACTGTCGTTCTTGCTCGGCTCTCTCTCCTTTGCCGTGACAATGAGAAGAATCCTGGTGGCGAGCTCCAGGCCCAGTGGGGTCCAGTAGCTCGCAACCGCGGCCCTGAGAGTTTGTCTCAGACGCTTGGTACATCCGACTTCGTCGCAAACTTCATCTTCGGTATCCTTGTTTTTGAGTAGCGCAGTCAGCGTGTCGAGGTTGTCTGGAACTAGATAGAGCAGGCGCACACGCAACAACTGCGCGCTAAGAAGCCCAGCAAAAGGCATTGTCGCTATGATCCAGAAGATGGCCGTGGAAGGAGCCGATGTGTTTGACCAGGCAACGATGGCCGACGCCAGGGATCCATAGACGTGGGAGCCTGTGCACAAGTACGAGTTGGGCATTCATGTTCATTTTCAGTGCGACCGAGACCTGTGTCATCCTCGCGCCTATTCCCTCGCACTCTGGCATCTGCCAAAGCCCAGACCGGCCTACCGGTGACTATCGTCTTTCCGATGTTGCTGACAAGCGATGAGTATGGCGGATAGATAATGATCATGAACAGGATCGAGAGATTGCCCAAGAGAAGGACACATGTCGCGGCCCAGGTGGGGACGATGGAGAACGCCAGCGAGATGAATGTTCGAATGATGACCTCGGAGAAGTCGACTCGAGGCGCATTTCGAGCACAGAAGCTCAGCGAGGGATTCTCACGCGCCGAGAACAGCACGGAGAGCGTCACGAAGATGGGTGTCAAGAAGAGAATCAAGCACACGGTCGAGGTAGCGACCTGCACAATGAGGTAGGGGTCGATCACAGTGTGCTCGGGCAAAGTAGCGTTGTTATTTGCAGCCGAGTAGCTGACAAAGGCCGATATGATGCGATAGTACGGCTCGAACAGATGCTCCTGAAGCCAAGCGATTTATGGACACATCAGCCTCGTTTTATGTGCAGGTCAAGCAGCTGCAGTCCGATCGAGTGGCTCTGAACGTACCGCCACGGGAAAGAACAAAACGGTTGCGAGGAAGCCGAGCTGGAGAAGACGTGGCGACAGGACAGCCAGGATGAGCGATCGCTGTGCGCTCTATACCAGATTGACATGCACTCGAGATCACCGCCTCGTGCCGGCGCGCGCTCAATATGCTTGATAACGAGCCACATCCTGTGCAGAGTACCCAAAACAGCATTGCGCTTCGTTGCGCAGAGATATCAACGTACCTGATATCGGGTGATAGCCAGGACCAAGTGAGAAGAGATGCCTGTTGGGCTGCGAATCTGGTACATCAACACAAAAATGTTGATGGCAAACCAAACGGATATAGCCACGCATGTCCAATAGAGAGCCTCCAAGTCGAATGGAACTGCGTGCGTGGTGCGATGAAATGTCGGTGGGATGGGCCGAGTCAGCAACGATGTTTGCTCGTCCTTTGATGTTGCGCTCTCCTGAGCTTCAAACCATCCCAAACCATCCCACTCTGGACAAACCCGATTTGCTTACTCAAAAAGTAATGCAGGACTGTTTGCAACGCAGGTTGGTTCCATGGACTACATATCGGTAAAGACATCAGAGCACTGGCCAAGCCCTGGTGCGAGACACACGGCGAAGCAAAAGTAGATGACCAACGCAGCGGGCGCATGGCTTGCGCATTGCATGAGTGCAGCACAATCTAATGTCCCTACATTGACGGATGAAAGATAAATCTGACGATAGAGATAATTTCCGGTCAACTTTGTGCGAAGGCTCGGATATCCAAGCGGTGAGAATGAATTCGAGATGCATCGTCACCGAGCCGCCGTGGCTAGTACTGCCAGACTCACCCCAGATTCTGGATCGCGTCAAAGAGAAAGCCGCATCCCAGTAGATTTTCGATGATGCGATTATCTGAGCACGGGCGGGAGAGGAAGAATGACCCCAAACGATGGCATCAGCAAGGCGGCTCTGAGATTTGGTCTCGCTCCTCTCTCGACACCCTGCGATTATTCTCCGTTTGTCTGGCAACTGAATCGACTCGCCATCGTTGCACCTGTTGTGAGAAGATAGACCAAATCAAAGGTCACGTTGCGAAACGACGAGCGCTTTCGCATATCGAACAGAGTAGCCCTCGGCGCTGATACGGGTGCTGGGTGTGGGAGCGCTGGTAGATGTCGCTTTCTGAGAAGACGAAAGGAGGGGACGACAGCAACGGAATAATTCTCCGCGAAGGAGGGAAAACGATCCCGATGACGGCTCTGGAGCCGATTGCCAGATACTCGAGCTGCTATCAGACCGGCCGCCTTCGATTCCACTCACACTGCCTCTGAGAAGCCGATAGGGGGTGGCCTTCCGGACTGATTGAGTGGGCATGACATCACCCCAAGCAAGACTACACCAGGAGCGAGTAGTTTGTGCGGATCAGAGAGGGACAGCCTCCAGCGGTGTGTCGAGTCCCTCTGATTCGCCAGCGAGCTTGCGTCATACTTTTCAAACAACACTGTTTGCAGCACTCCTCGACTTTGTGCACCACCTCTTCGGAACAGGTATACTCTCGAGGATCGACTGTGGACAAGAATGATACATTGGTTACTGCCTCAGGCGCAGCATAGTCGTGGGACAGTGTCAGTTCCCTCTGCTGCAAATCACGAGCCTGAAGCCCGATGGTCTGCAGGCCGCATGATCCCAGCCATGAGACCGCTTCCTGTCTTGGGTATCTATCCCTTGCCCTGTCGCCATGAGATGGATATCCGTTGTATCTGTGTATGTATTCCCACCCAACCCCACCGCCAAAAAACAGTAACATTCGAAAGTGAGAGCGGTCTGCTCTGCTTGACTTTTCGAATGCTGAAACAACCCAGTATCCAATATGGAGCAATGCTCGGATCTGATTCGCGACAAAGGAAGGCAGACTCCTTCTCTCGAGTCGCATTTGTTCAGCGAGATACGCCATAGTCTTGTGCGCTGATAAACTGATCCCGCGACCTGTAGGAGCGAGGAGAGTGGATCATTGGCGAGACCGGAGGCCGTGGCAGGAGCTGGTCCGAGGAAGATTTGATGGCAAGTAAACTAGGAGAGCTGTGTGTGAGATAAGCGGGACAAGGGAGTTCGTCCGGCACGGCTCCTCGACCGATTCGGGGCAGCAGGGGTAATGGCGGCGGTGGTGGCGGCGGTTTGATCTTTCGAGCGTATGGCGGCAGCGGGGGCGCCGTTGGTGGTGGGCTCGGTGCCAGAGAGGCCGGGGATGATGGCACCAAGCCCGTCTGCTCGCCTTGGCTCGCTGTATCTGCGCATGGGTCTGCAGGAATGCGGGGCGGGGAGTTGGCAAAGGGAAGGAGGATATCCTCGTTTCGGTAGTGAGGATTCACTGGAGGAGGAGGAGGTGGTGGTGGCGACGGTACCGTCGGGCTCGGCACGAGCAGAGGCGAGCAACTTTGCACAGGGCGAACAGGTCGGGCTTCCATTGGTGATCGACCAGAGGCCACCTGTGTTGCTCGATGGCTCTGGTTCGCAGGGCTTTGTGGCGACGGCATGGAACAGGCTGCAGGGGGCTGTGTGAACCCGGTGCGGAAGGACAGCAGATGACCGACACCGGCCAACGGCGATGCGACCGACCCGAAGATAGGGCTGTCCGAGCGGTACGGAAGTGTCGCACTGTTTTCCACACGACCCTGGTTGTTGCTGGGTTGAGCGAACTGGGTATTGGGTTGTCCGCTTCCACTCGTTGTTGGAGTGTGGCCCGGGCACTCAGCGTTGTTGGGTCGCCCAGGAATTTCGCCATGCCGTGTGCCTGAAGTGGTGCACTCGAGTATCTGCTGTTTCATCTCGGTGTATACTTTTGCGAGCCGGCGAGAGTAGTCCCCCATCTCCCTCAAATATGCAAGTATGGCCTGGGGCAGCGCATTTCTTCGGAAGATGCGGTTGTCGTTGACAGTGCGCTGAAGCCGGTAGCGGGCACGGTCGAGGTCGTGAAGCTTCTTGGCCAGTGCGAGCTGTCGCTTGCTGGTGACGACTGGGGCCGTTGCTGGAGCATTTGTCGACGGGTGGATGCGGCGAGACGCCTTTGTTGCAGAGGCACCGACGACCGAAAGTGCCCGGAAATGATGAGTGACCGAGAGCTCTCGGGTGTGGACCTGAAGGAGCGTCATGGCGATCCGACCAAGGCAGGAGTGAATCCGAGACTTTGACTGGCAGAGCTGAGTGATGGGGTGGGGTGATGTTGGCGACTCCTCTATCCCGAACTGGTGCGCAAGCTGCTTTGAATGGCCGTGCCAGCTCAGCAAGATCCGAAGGTATAGTGGGAGGATGTCCGGATTTAGAGCTGGGCTCGCGGGTGGAAGCGCCAGGCCTGCGCTAGCAAGGGCAGTACTCGAAGTTGGTGAGGAACATGAAGGTCGCTTTGATGCTTGGAAGAGCTGCGTGGGATTCAGTGCGGGATCGGTGTGTGAAAGATTGAGGACACAGCAAGGGCGATGTTGTGAGCCAAGGTTCCCAGGCCGGTGTCGTGGGATATAGACGGCCATGCGATGCGGGAAGAATGCAGAGCAGTTGGCCATGCAAGCCCGGCCAAGCATATTCAGCAAACGAGACACACAACCCACCTCCCACTCCGAGCCCCACCACCCAAGCAGATGCTCGGTATGGCGGAATTCTGATTCGAGGCACTCATTCCACAGCTCCAGGAGTCGGCTCACGACGGGTGGGAGCTTGCTCAGGGCCTTGAATCGGGGCTGGCTTGGTCCCGACAACGAGACCTCGGCCGCTCCTTCGGACGATAGCAGCTCGAGTGAATTTTCGCCCAAGGTCGAGACGTAATCCGGCGGCAGCTGCGCGGAGGTGTAGTCCTCGAGCACTGCTGCGGTCTTGGAAAAGATATGGGCGAGCTTTTCCCACATCTCGGTGCGACTTTCGCAGAGCGTCGTCAGGAGCAGCAGCGCCGGTCCCTGTTTCTGATGGATGGATTTTTCGGCTTCGAGGCCGGCCAGCAGACATGCGTCATCCCATGCCTTCTTGAGGCCAGAGATTCTCGAGGTCGAGTGATCCAGCAATGGAATCAGGCTCTCGCGCTCGTCCTCGCCGTCATCGAGTTTTGTATTGGTCTCGGCCGGGACCACTTGCGAAGCATTGCGGCCGCTCAGGGCTTTCTTGTATGCCTTCTTTGCTCGGGCTTCGTTCCTGGCTCGTGTGCAAACTTCCAAAAATGCGAGGCGGAATACGGCCAGTTCGTCAAGGTAGATGTCAAAGACCTTGAGCATGGGAGCAGAGGCCGTCTGGACGTTGGTGGATAACAGGGACATGGACTTGAATGCGTCAATGAGCCCTTGATCACGTTCCTCCTGCCAGAAACGACGACGCAAGACACATCAATGGGCGAACAGGACACGCAGTGGCAGAGAGTTTGCGAAGGAACATGCAGGCCTTCCCGTCTCGCTCCGATACTGCGGCTGCCTACATAAGCCCATGTCAGCGCCGTCGAAACCAATTCCTCGAATGTCGCGGCAAGTTTTTCCCACGATGATCGCCAGCGACGGCCCTCCTTGATGCAGCGAGACGCGAATTGTCGATCGGGACGGCAGAGTCCGGATGTGAGGGTGAGTGAGCTGCCGTTCTGGGTCAACAGGAGGGACGAAGCCGGCGCTGGAGCAGCCCGAGCAACCGACGAAGCACATCCCATCGTTCGCGGCGGAGGGAGCAACAGGGAGGCAGTGGTTGACGCTGAGCAAAGAGGACAACACAGGGGAGGCGAGGTGGGCGAGGATGGCTGATGGACTAGAAGCCAAAGGAATACCATGCAGCGACTCGGGTTGGCGCCAGAAGAGAGCCGGCTCGACAAACGCTTCATGGCCGAGGTCTGGTTGTGATTGGGGGTGGTGTGATGATCGAGGGCAGCAACGGTGGAAGGACCCCATCTCGCATGCGGGGCCAAACTGATGCTGGAGAAATTGTGGTTGCCTCTCCTCCCACACAGCCTCCCCTGATAATTTCATCGGCTTATTGTAGGTACGACATTGCAGTATTGAAAGTATATCGGCATAGAGAAGAGGGACTGCAGGATGGCAAAGTCCACAGCCCCTTGCTGCTGCCGATGCAGGGCGATTGTGCCGAGCACCCATCTCGCATGCTGATTGTACAGGGGGAAATGGAATACTTGCCCATAACCCATATGTCAGCGGAGTCTGTGATGGCATGCATCCAGATAATCTATATGCAACAATCAGATCACCTCCGAGTGAACACCACCGGTCGCTCTCCGGTCTCCACAATCGGCATGCACACTGGTCTCGGAGTGTCAGCGGTGAATGGTGCTCTTGGACACACCGGCGAATGGTGCTCTTGGACACACCGGCGAATGACCATGGCCAGCGCGCGATGGTTATTGAGTAGCAAAATATATCATCAATGGTCGATAACCAGGGTGTCCCGTCGTAGGATGTGGATGCACTCGACCGACACAGCGGCCCTGCCTTGCCGCTGTCTGGGCTGTCCATGAAGACGCCCCACAGACACCGCACCAATCTCTCCCCCGGTCTCGCCAATCCATATCGTCTTCGCCGCCCTCATCCCATGTCGTCTCCTGTCGTGCCGACACCTTCGATCCCCAAGGGCGGCCTCTTCACCGTCCAGGCCGAAGCACGCATCGCCTGTCCGGCTCAGACCGTCTTTGCCATCCTGCTCGACACTGCCAACTACGTCTGCTGGAACTCGTTTGTTCCAGAGGTCACTATTGTCCAGTCGCCTGTCTCGGACGGCTCCGGCTTGGTCTTGGCCGTTGGCGCACGGCTGGATTTCCTCGTCAACATGGAGCCGTCTATCCCGTCGAGCTTCTGGAACAAGATGCGCATCGCTGGGCTCGAGGTGACCTGCCTGGACTCGCACCGGGTCTGTTGGCGAAGCCATTTCGGCTCGTCGCTGCTCCAGACTGCCGAGCGGGTCCAGCTCGTCGAGGACGACGGCGCCGGCGGATGTCGATACCTCACCTGGGAGACCTATCAAGGCCCGCTTGCCTACCTCGTTCAATACGTGCATGGGGATCGGCTCCAGGCCCGCTTCCAGGACTGTGCAAACGATCTGAAGCGATACGCCGAGTCCGGGTCGCAGCAGTGAATGTCGATGCAATAGGCGATGCAATAATCGATGCCGTAATCGTCAATGCGATGATCAATGCCGTGATCGTCAATGCGTTGATCGATCGCCCTGGGCACTGCAGGCTGCGGTCCACCGCCAGCGTTCGGACTATGTCGATCGCCGCATTTCTGTTTCCATCGACCCTGCTGTCCAGAGCCGTCCTCGCTCTCCCCGCCGCCAAGGCCCTTGGTGCTGCCTCCACGTCCCCTTGCCCGCGATTGGCCTCGTCCGCGCAGATGAGTCGAAGCGGGTCAGCAGCACAACTCTCCCTCCATCAGCACTTCCACCAGCATCCACATCCGCACCTCCATCGGCATCTCTCTCCGTACCCTCGCCAGACACCTGTCTGCCTGCAGTCGACCCTCATTGCCCACTTGCTGAATACAACCGTCTGTCCCTGGCTTGGCTCCGCTTCGTCAGACCCTTGATTCCTGCGCTCCTGCTCGTTGTCTTTCTTCCTCATCGTATCTGCGCTCGCCCAGACCACAAACAACCCGCTGTTGCCTCCGCATGTCCACTGGCCCGTTATGAAACCCAGCGGCCTCATCATCCTGCTGAGCATGGGCTCCCGAATCCCACTCGCAGCCAGCACAACCACTTGTCCAGCTCCGAGTCTATCCCATCCGCCACTTGCATCCAGCCCTTCCGCCCCGTCGATGCCTTTGCCGTCAAAATGGAAAGGCCCAACTCTCCTCGCAGCGTTACCAGCGGTTGAGCATCGGCTCCCATCAGCCTCAATACAGGCCGCCGATCCTCTCGAACTGTTCGAATCGTGTCCCCTGGCCTTCAACAGCAGCCAACTGTGGCCACAGCCCATCTCGCTGGCTTCCCATCGTCATCTCCAACAGTCACCTTCGGGATTCCCTGCACAATATCCGTCTCCATCGCATCGCCCCCTCCAGGCGCCTTGGCCTCGCCTCCCTCAAAGCGACAGCGCCCGTGCGCTTCGAGACAGCGACAACACCCAATCGATCCACGACAGCCGCGACTGCTACGGCTCCAACAACTGCAACAGCTGCGACGACTGCGACGACTGCGACGACTCTGGGGACTGCACCCTCAACAGCCATGAAAATCGATGCAGCCATCGCCACGATATGCCTGCAGCTGCAGTCAGCACGGCCAGCACGGCCAGCATTCCTGTCCCGCCCAACTCAACCGACCCCTCATACGGAGCACCCGCTCGAACACCTCCCTCCATCACAGGCCTTCATCTGCACCGCTTCATCACGGACCTGCGTCGATGGCGCCTGTGGATCTCGCAGTCGCAGTCCGAGCAATTCTACGACCTCATGCTGCTCGTGCTGCTCGTCTTTTGGTGCGGCGGCACTCTCATCCGCGGCTGGAACAGCGAATATTCGCACTCGTTTGGGTGGGGCCTCAAGACGGACGGGCTGGAGACGAGCACAGAGGCAGCACCCAGCGACCCGGTCGACACTGAGGCTCCGAGCGAACTGGCGCTTCAGAGCGCCATGCGAGTTCTCGAGGCACGGTACATCTGCCAAGGACGATATCGGCGGAATCTCTGGAGGGTATAGTAGACCCACCTATTGCAAACGGATGCAATTACTATCTCCCTCTCTCCCTTTCTCCCTCTCTCTCTCCCTCTCTCAGCCTGGACCGAGCGGAGGGCTCTCGCTGAAAAGTCCCTCCCAAGAGGCAGATCCACGCGCACACCGATGAGCGCAAGTACCAACCCATTAATCGATGAACCTCGACGACCCCATACCCAAAGCCCTCTCGCGATCTGGCCCCCCCCCCTCGACTAGCGGCTCCAATATCCTTTCCGGGATAGACTTTTATATGGTCTGCCAAGCACCTCATTCCTGCCGCTCCAGCCGACGTATCATAGCCCGTTCCCGATGATGCCCAGATACGCATGGATACCACAGGCCCGTTCCGCTTTTCCCTGATGCACACTTATCTCCATCTGGACACTTGCTTATTTCTTGGATTTCTACTACCACAACGGTTCTGTATTTGTGGTCCTGGCTTTTCTTTATCAAACAGCATCCTCTCCCTCGTCGCCGCCACCTCCGTTGAATTGCCCTATGTTTTGCTGTTGTCCCTGCTTTGTTGCTCATCCCTGCTCTTGTGTCGTCTCTTCACCATCTCCTGCTCCCGTTTGGTTGTCCCTGCGCCTCATACGGCTCTTCCAAAGAGCGAAACAACAACAACAACAAAAATTCAATAAAACTCCATCTTTTTCTTGGATTTTCCGAGTTTCTCTTCGAGAGATGCCCATCACCGAAGGGCATTGGCGTTGACCCCGCCAGCACTCGATCCCCCATCGAGGACATGGCATCCCAGGCGCACGGCCAATGGCTACGAGCGAGGATCGGTTTGCTGTCCTGGAATCCAATGGAGACCATTCGATTATGAACGCAGAGAGCGGGATGAACGGAAGAAGCAAGAAAAAGACAGCAACGGAGGAAGCTCTTCTTTCCGGATTCGGGGATATGCTACAGATCAAGATCGAGGACATCAACATCGGCCGCTTGGACCTCCGACGAGTCGCCTTGGGTGACCTGCTCGCGAGTGCGGATATGGTCGAGAATGTCGGTCTCCATGGCATCGACTTCGTGCTGGATTTCTTCCCGCTCTGTTGGTTGGGTCGATTGGAACGGCAGTTAGTTAGGTGCAGGAGGGGGGGGAGGAGGAGAGCAGAACGAAACGGAATGGACGAGCTACGAGAGGCTATCCATCTCGATTCTATCCTCCTCATGATGGTCCTTGTGGACATGCGGGCCTGTCGACTCCCAAGACGTCCTGACTCACGATGTTGGGTCACGGCCATGGTCTCGGCAAGGTAAGCCTCCAGGTTCTTTGGGAAGAGCAGGCTCGCTCGTATCAGAGTCTCTTGCGGGACAGGCGCACTAAACGGAATGGTTGGATCTGGATTCTGCGGGTTGAACTTGTGCGGGGCTGCAGTGTACGGCGCTACCCGCCGAGCATAGGCGATCACATCGCGGTAGTCGACATTGTCTGGCAGTTGAGATGAAGCAATGAGTGGGAAGCGATGAGCGGAAAGCAGTGAGTGGAAAGCAATGTCGCGGAGCAAGAAAGAGATAACGACAATGATGCCGTCCGCAATGGTGTGAATGCCTCTGAAGAGCTGGATAAAACGCACTGGTCTGCGACTGCTTCAACGATTCGATGCGTTCCCTGGATTGACTGAGGGTCAGCTCAATCGAGGCTTCAGCCTTGCGCAGGCTTTGGACGAGATTCAGGATGCCATGGGTATGCTGCTTGATTCGGGCCTGCAGATCGTCAATCTTTCTCTGGTTGGACTGATGCTGCTCCACTGGATATGGGAACGAGCGACAGAGTGTAAGATAGTACCAATATCGGCTTCAACTGCGCTTGACACGGAGAGGACTGCCCTCAGGAAGGGGGTGAAAGTCCACCAAGCCGGCCAACCAACAGGTTGATCCATCGCATCGATCCGGCTAACAGGTCGATCCATCGCATCGATACGGCCAACGGGCTGATCACCACAGAGGAAGGAAGGAGTGGCAAGTCCCTCTTACGTTCATCAGCAAACTTTTGGATTTTCCGATCAAGGTCGATAATCTTGGCGATGAGCCGCTTGGCCTCGGCGGCTGGGTCAGAGCCCTGGACCAATGCGCCGGTGGCCTTGGACTGCTGCAAAGTCTGTAGCGACTCGAAGAGCTGCCGGATCAGCCGGGTATACTCGGGAAAGTAGCTGTTCCCGGATCGAGATGGGGGGGGGTGGATTCAAGGGGGGGGGAGAGATGAAGTGAGGAAGATGGGAGAGAAGAATCGAGGCGATTCAAGATTGTTCAGGACGGCTCGAGAGAGCGCCAATGATACCTGTTTGCCTTGATCCGGGGAGATATGCTCTCCCATGCTTGGTCGGCCAGCGGCTGGTCCGCAGACATGGTATGGCGGCGAGTGTGTGTGGAAACGGATTGCGTGTATTGGATGAGTGTGCAGGATGCCGCTGAGATTGCAGATCCAGGTCAGGAGCAGACCAGATGGCGGCCTGGCGCGGGTTGGGGTTGGATTTGGGTTGCACTGCGGCCGCTGCTTCCCCGACATGCTCCCGTGCTGGGAAGTGTATCTGCTGCATATTGTTGGTGTGGAGGGGCGCTTATCGGGACCGCACAGAGCCATGATGCTTATAAGTGCCGATCCTGGTCGATCGATGGTATCCGGTCGAAAGAATATCGACTCTAGATGCTATCGAGCTCGCTGCTACATCGTGCTTGTGGTACTTGAGCTTTGGAAATGACGGCCAACTCCCTCTGATTGCACAGGACCACGCAACCAATCGAAACCAGAACCAGCCGGCAGCGTCCACTCCGATCCGATACGGCAGGCTGCCCCCTGTGCAGATACAGCAAACTCAGTGAAATGGGATGCCTTCACACGGATGGGTTGTGTGGATTTCAGTGGTGCTGACCGATCAGGCTGAACGGCTTTGATCGGTGCTCGTGCTAATGGGATGGACTCTGCTGATACGCTGATTCTGTTCTGTTCTGTGGCATCCCAGGTATGTCCTCGCGCAATTGGAGAGGGATATGCAAGAAACCCGCCATCCCAGAGGGAGTCCCCCCCCCCTTGCATCTCTCCTTCTCCCCCCCCCGCTGCCGCTGCACGACGAATATGGCGATGCCACTGGAGCCCTGCTATGCCGGTCGCAGAGTGCCAGCCGACCACCATGTCTGTCCGCCGAAACCATCCGCAAACGTCGCTGCCCGGAGATATGGCCGGCCCCGGACGCAATCTGGGACCTGGCCGTTTCGGAGCCTGGGTGGGGCAGGGGTGGCATGGCAAGTGCTGCGCAGGACCCCCTGTCGTCATGTGCGTGGCCAGGGTGTGGCTTGTGTTTTTTTCACTCCCGAGAGAGAGAGAGGAGAGAGATGGGCGAGGGAGGGTGTCTCGCCTCGCTGGTGCTGGGCCGCCGCCACCACCAACCGCGTCGCCGCCTTGGAAGCAGGGCAAGGCAGAAAGCAAAGCGCCGTGAAGGATCCAACCAGCCCAAGAGCGTCACCATGACGGCCGATCATCGCCAGCGCATGCAGCGACCAGGGCGGTGATCCAACAATGGCACCCGAGCCGAAGACGATCGCCCGATGAGTCGAGGTGATGGGGACAAGAGACTGAATGACGGCAGGTTTCTGGAGCGACTTTGGCGCTGGGTCGGAGGAGCAGCAGTGCAAAGCGTGAGGGGGGCAATGTCGTTCATGAGAGCTCAAAATCGGTGTATTGCAAACTCTTCACGAAACCACAAGAGCAAGTACAAGATTCAAACAGAGCTGAGACGGCCTTCGGGAGGGTTTGGTAGCGGGAGAAAAGTGCTGAAGAGCTTGAGGAAGGGTGCGAAGGCCATCAAGAGACTGAAGTTGTGTCGAAAAGCAAGGAAAGGAAGATGGGGAGAGGAGGAGGGAATATCAAAGAGGTTGAAGCAATCCAGAAAGCGCAAGATGGTTGAGGTGAGGCAAGGGGTGAGAGAAAACATCAAAGGATAGAGGGAAAGTGATGCGAGAAAAAAATGGGCTAAAAGTTTATACAATCCGTTTTATTGGAACTCCATCTTTTCTTTTATTTTATGATCCTTTTGTGTTGATTGCTTGCCTTACTTCGCCTCATCGGCATCGCCTTCTTTGGCCTCGTCGGCCTTGTCGGCACCATCACCTGAGGGGAGAGAATCGAGGGGGGGGGAAATGGGAGAGGCGTCAGCGAGAGGGCCGCCTCGCAGATAAATCGAGCGCGGCAGCATGTCTGGCGCGCACTGCGGATCGGGGGGGGGGCAGAGGGTGCATCAATTACCATCCTGGAGATCCGAGGTCCAGAGAGTGAGGTTATCACGCAGGAGCTGCATGATGAGAGTCGAGTCCTTGTATGACTCTTCGCTGAGAGTGTCAAGCTCGGCAATGGCGTCGTCGAAGGCGAGCTTGGCAAGATGGCAGGCACGGTCGGGTGAGTTCAGGATCTCGTAGTAGAAGACCGAGAAGTTGAGGGCAAGGCCGAGGCGGATGGGGTGGGTGGGGGCCAGCTCGGTCTGGGCAATGTCGGTGGCGGACTTGTAGGCATCGTGGGCGCAGTTGGCGGCCTCCTTGCGCTTGTCACCGGTGGCGAACTCGGCGAGGTAGCGGTGGTAGTCACCCTTCCTGCAGGCGTCAGAGACGGGGGGGCGGGTTAGTATCGGACAGTTCCCTCTCGGCAGCAGACGTGATCGATAGATGCGGCAAACAAACACCTACATCTTGTAGTAGAAGACCTTGGACTCGCCGGCCTCGGCAGAGGGGATGAGGTGCTGGTCGAGGACGTCAAGGATGTCGGTGCAGACATTGTTGAGCTCAGCCTCAATCTTGTTGCGGTACTCCTTGATCTTCTTGACCTGGTACTCGTTGCCCTTGCTCTCCTCCTTCTGCTCAATGGAGGAAACAATTCGCCAGGAGGCACGGCGGGCACCGATAACGTTCTTGTAGGCGACAGAGAGCAGGTTTCGCTCCTCAACAGTGAGCTCGACGCCGAGCTGGACGCATCGAGACAGGCAAACACGGCGAGGGGTGTCAGCTGGGCGGGGCATGTGGGTGTCTGTTGGAGCTGGGGAAGCGGATCGAGGCCCCGGCACCGCGGCCGAGTCGGTGCGGGCTCGACCACAGAGACGCCGAGCAGCACAAGGCGCAACACGCCAGCCGAGAGAAAAAAAACCCCCCTGTCGCTACACTACCTTGGCGACTTCCTATTGAGACAAATGGACGAACGAGGCTACGTTAGCTCCAAGCCAAATTCAAATGCTGCGCCCAGAGCGAGAGATGCGCGACCTCCCGACGAGCCGAGGCGGAGGAAGGGTCACTACGTCGATACTTGCCTTCATGTAAGAGACCATTTCTGCACGGAGAAAGCAGAGGAAGCACAGAGCAGGTCGCGGAGAGAGCAAAGAGAGACGATCAGTGTCAGTGGCTGGCGTATGCAGCAAGTCCGGTGCGAAGCAGCAGCGAGATCGCGGATGCAGGAGGGGCGTGCTGGAGAGGCTGAGACAAACCATCGTAGCGCTCGGCCTGTTCAGCGAGCTTGGCCATGTAGACCTGGTCTTCGCGTGCTCCTGGAGGTGCGAGATACGGGGAGCAGGGCAGCGGTGGTTAGCGCAGGGTTTGCGACGACATGGTCTGTGACTTGGGGAGCAGCGGCGCCAATTGAGCCTCGGTGTGTACGGGAGGTTTGGCTGGGACGACGATGGCCTGGCCAAGGGCCACCCGAGAAAAGCGCGTAGAGACCCGGTCGTCTCCCTCCATCGTCGCCAGCAACCGGCCGGAGGCGGCTCGGGAGCTGACAGACACGCAACGGCCAGAGCCAGGCGGCAAGAACACGGCGGATCGAAAGTACCTTTCTCAGCGGCCATTGTTCAGAGGTGGGGATGGATAGGGGGACGGGTGAGCAGAGCGGTGTGTGGGAGTGGGGCGAAGAGTCGAGATGCCTCGGGTGCAGGGAAAAGAGGACAAAAACGCAGAATCTCTGGCCTTTTGGCCAGGGTCGGCCAGGGCCAAACGAGGGGGTTGAAGAGACAGGGCGGCGAGGAGCGAGAGCGAGAGCGAGGCCGAGGGCGAGGCCGCCCGCAGAAGCGAAGAGAACGAGGGCGGCGCAATCAGGGCGACGGGCGTGTGTGTGTGGGCGTGAGCTGTCGGTGAGCTGTCGGTGAGCTGTCGGTGAGTTGTCGCTGTTGCGCCGTCTGTGGCGGCGGCGGCCATTATCGGGCGACACAGGACCGACCACTCAGGCGACGGCGTAGCATCGACACACACACACACTGCGCCCCCGTGACCGTCCGAGGCAGGGCGAGCCGCGAAGAGCCGCCGGGCGAGAGGCGGGCCAGCGACACCCAGCGACATCCGGCAGCAGCCCAGCGACATCCGGCCGCATGCCTCTGATGCAGGCGAGGCCGGCAGCACACAATCGGATGGAGCGCCTGCTCTCTCACCCCCCCATTGAGGCTGAGCCCATACACATCCCTCCGGGCGGACACGCGGCCCACGCCTCTCCCACCGACAATGCGCGCCAGCGAGAGCAACCGAGGCGGCCGCCACCGCCTTGTCGCCCCGTCCCCCCCAATATGGAAATATGAGTCGGGCAGCGGGGTTTCGCCCATTGTTGGCCTCGCCTGCCCTCGCCTGCCCTCGCCTGCTCTCGCCCCTCGGCGAGGCCGTGTGGCTTGGCGGCGCTGTGGTGCTGACGTCAGCGCGGCGCGTGCATTCGCCGTCGATCCACCCCGCGGATCCAGCCGGCGGCTCGAGCCAAGCGCAGACGGCGCGCCCACGGCGCCGTGCGACGGCGTCGTTCCAAATCCGGCGGGCCTGTCGCACGACCGGGACACGGCCTTTGCCCGCGCCGTCCTGTTTTGGCTGCCGCGCGCACCGCACTGTCCCTGTGAGTCGCCACAGCCGGCTGCCGAGTACCTCCTCGCCTGCATCTCGCCCGCACGCCGTCCTCGCTTGCGCACAGTCTGTGTGGTTTTCTGTGCTGCGGCGCCGTCCTCGGCACGCCCTCTCGCTCGCCCCCGTGTTCTCTCTCGCCTTCGCGGGCTCGCCTTCCCGGGCTCGTCTTGCCATTGCCGCTGCTTCCCCGCCTCGTCTTTGCCCCCACATCTGCCCATCTGCATCGGGTCGACTTGTCTCTGCCTCTCAGTCTGTCTGCTCCAAACATGCCTGCCCCTGCTGTCGCCGCCCCCAGCCACATCGGCATTGCCAACCTGCCCAACCAGCGACACAAGATTGTGTCGAGAAAGGGTGCCCGCTTCACCATCATGGTTTTGGGTAATGCTCGGCCTCCTGCCTGCACCGACTTTTGTCCCTCTGTCCTGCGGGCTTCATCTTCCACAGCTCGCCGAGCAGTGCCGGTCCTCGGATACTCCCTCGAAGAGATGATGAGGCCCCTCTACTCGAGCGTTCTCCCTTCCTGTGGTTTCCGAGCCCTCGATGACGCCGACCCGATGGAGGCAACCCGATCCCCAAAGTCAACGATTGTGGCATCACATCGACTCCTCGCACCGTTTCTGGACAGGGACGCCTGAGCCCTCGTGCTGGGAAGACCCCGCTCAGCACTATGCTCCTGCCATCGACCTACCCAATGCATCGTCGGGCCAAAGTTGCATTGTGGGCTTTCGACCATTTGTCCGATAGGAGTGACATTCAGACACATCATCGGTGCATCGCTATAGCCATCATTCCACCTTCAAGACAGACACGAACACTGTCGACGGGTGGTGTTTGACCCCTTACCTCTCACCCGGATACCCCCCGGCAAAGTGGCATCATCCAGAGACCCATCGACCCATCGACCCGTCGAGCCAACCAGTCAATGTTCTGGAGCGGGCATCTCTACTACTTTGGGCGTCTTTCCTTTGTTGCTCCTTGGTCAACCCCTTCCTCCTCTCAATCTGCCCACTGCTTCCACACTCCCGCTTTGGTGGATTTGATCTTCCAGAGAACTCACCCGATCCTCTTCTCTTGGTCGACAGGCGAGTCTGGTCTCGGTAAGACCACCTTCATCAACACTCTCTTCACCACCATCCTGAAGGACTACAAGAAGCCTGAGCATCGCTTTGCCAAGCAGATCAACAACACCGTCGAGATTGAAATCACTCGCGCCGGTAAGCTCCTGCATCTCATGGATCGCAGCTGCATCCAAAGCCTCGCTACCAACCAGGGCGTCTCGGTCGTCGTGTACTGCAAATCACACCATGACTTTGTGGATGCTGTGATTTTCGGCCGTCCTCCCCCAAGGCTTCAGCACCTCTTGGTTGTGCCTTGGCTTCGTTCTTGCCTACTCATCCGACACTGTACATGTCATCAGAAATCGAGGAGAAGGGCTTCAACGTCCAGCTGACTGTCATCGACACCCCTGGCTTTGGCGACTACGTCAACAACCGCGACTGCTGGGCTCCCATTGTCAACTTCATCGACGACCAGCACCACGGCTACATGAAGCACGAGTCTCGTCCCGAGCGCAAGAACTCGGACGATCTCCGTGTCCACGCCTGCTTGTACTTTATCCAGCCCACCGGCCACACGTACGTCGCTTTTTCGCCGCTTCCTCGAATCCTCAATGTGTGGGATACGAGATCCGATTGTTGCTGGACCTTGGGAGAGCCGACTCTGACAATCTGGCTCGTCGAGGATTTCTCAACCGAACCATCCATCATTTGGAGCTGACCTCTCTGATTCACCAACAGCCTCAAGCCCCTCGATATTGAGGTCATGAAGCAGCTCAGCACCCGTGTCAACCTCATCCCCGTCATTGCCAAGGCCGACACCCTCACCCCTTCGGACATGCAGGCCTTCAAGGATCGCATTCGCGACTGCATCAGCCACCATGGCATCCAGATCTTCCAGGCCACTCCTCATGATGACGATGACGCTGCCACCAAGGCCATCATGGTAAGTCCGCCTGAAGTCCGATCCATGGACCAGCTGCAGCAGTCATCCACCCAGACGCTGGCTTGGCATTCTGGCGATGTATTTGCTGCCTCGGTCGCACTCACCAGCCGCACACGCAAGCTTCGACCCAAGACAGCTATGGCCAAAGCTGATCCCGTATCATTGCTTCCTTGCCCACCATCCCCGTTGTGCAGGCTGCCTCGCCCTTCTCGGTTATTGGTTCCGAGACTGAGGTTACCTACGCCGATGGAAGCGTTGGTCCCGGTCGCCAGTACCTGTGGGGTGCCGCCGAGGTTGAGAACGAGAGCCACTGCGATTTCAAGAAGCTCCGCAACCTTCTGATCCGGTAAGCATCGTCAATCTGGTGCATCTCGACGGTACCCGCGTTTCCCCCAACGGACGATTCATCGGCGACCTGCTTCCGCCCAACTGACGCCATTGTTATCCTGCCAACCATCAGCACCCACATGCACGATCTGATCTCTTCCACCGAGGAGACTCACTTTGAGAACTTCCGATCGACCAAGCTCACCGCCGAGGGACGATCCGACGACGACCCCAGCGCCCGCGCCCGAAAGGTGATGGACACCAAGATGAAGGAGGAGGAAGATGCCCTCCGCAAGCGATTCACCGAGCAAGTCCGTCTGGAGGAGGCTCGCTTCAGACAGTGGGAGCAGAGGGTACGTTTCACCGCCACGCCGTCTTGCTAGCCAGGCACGGACCGACTGCATCCTCTGCCAGCCAACGATTCTGTCTTTGCACTCACACGTGGCCTCGTTTTCTCTCCCAGCTCATTGCCGAGCGCGATCGCCTCAACCAGGACCTCGAACAGCAGCACCGTGCTGTAAAACAGCTGGAGGACGAGTACGAGGAGGTCCTTGCCCTGCGCAAGAAATAAAAGCCGTACTGAAGACCGTGGATCCGCAAGCACGCTCCAACCGCGCCGTGTCCCGACACACCAAACTCCTCCATTCCTCTCCGCCTCTGTTTGTCGCCGCCTCCCCTTCCTCCTCACGCCTTTCGACCTTCCATACTGCGTTTTTTGTTACTTGGTTATTTCTCGTCCTCTTCGCACCTTCCTTTTGCTCCTCTTCGCTTCTTTTTTCTTTTCCTCTCTTTCTCGTCCATCTTACTTACACGTTACTCGCCACACCTTTCTCGATTTCATACTTCTGGGGAGGAAAGGCAGAACGCAAATCAAATACTAATCCGTGTAGAACAGACCTTCGATCCCCCTTTGTGCGCTTCGTTTTGGTTTTTCTGAGCATCATCGCCTCCGCCATCGCCAGTGATTCAAAAGCATTGAGGGGCGGATGAGAAACCGGATGGAGCGGCAAGGAGGTTCTTTTGTCGGTTTTCGCTGCATGGATGTATGAGCCAATAGATTCAGAATAAGCCATGGTATCACCGAAATCGAGTCAAGCACATATGTCCCATTTGCTTACAGCGTTTCCAAAATGAAATGGGACACCCCGTTGAGTCGTGACAGGGTTTTTTCTGTGGCCTGAATACACCCACCCACTCATTGCATTCATGGCCAAACAAAGCACCCTCGATTTCCGCATCGCTGCACTGCGACCGGTGGTCTTCACTCGGAGGCTGCCAAAGCGATCTGCTCTATGTGTCCCATTTCCCCCTGAATACAGTGTGTGTCGGGCCAGCCACTCAAACGCCGATTCGAGGCGCCCGAGTTTTCACCGGCGAAAACGAAGCGGGACGCCGTCCCCTTCCCTTCTCCAGCGACTGCAATCGTTCGCCATGGCCTCTGTCATCTCCCCTCTTCAGGACATATTCACCATCGTCTGTTTCAACGACGCCTTCCAGTTTGCACTCGACCATGACACCATCGACACCCTGCTCAAAGCCCACGATTGCGCCTGGCATCTTTTGAGCCCCAAGGTGCCCCGCTTCCTCCGCTGGTGCCAGCGGGCAAATCTGTGCGATCCAGACGGACAGCTGAAGGTCGACCTCACACCCAGTGAAAAGATCGCACTCTCGCTGCGCTACGAGGAGTCAGGCTCAGCCGATCGAGCCTGGCTTGTTGCTCTTGCGGACCGAGGGAACGCTGTCGCCTCGTATTTCCTTGCTCGGATCATCCAAACTGAAACCGATCGACGGCGTTTTATGGATGAGCTGGAGCGAGAAAACGCCCTCCAGCAAGCTTTTCGACGCCTGGAGCAGGCCAGCAATGCTTGCCATCCAATGGCCCAGTTCCACCTGGCCGAGTCCTATCGCAACGGCTTCGGAGTCCGTGCGAACTACGCCAAGGCCCTGGAACTGTATCGAGGTCTTGCAACCCGTGGAATGCCTCGGGCCCAAATTGCCTTTGGTCGCTGCTACGAGAACAGGGAAGGCGTCGGTCGAAACTTTGACACAGCCATCGAGTGGTATTCCAAGGCCGCAGATCAAGGCAGTGAAGACGGCCGACTCCACATCGTGTTCCTGCAAGCCTGGTTCTCGTTCATCGGCCACGGCGTCGAAAAGAGCGACGTAGATGCCTTCCGCCGATGGCGGGAGGTCAGCAACCAATCCACCGACCCGGTCCTCAAGCCCATCGCAACCCTCATGGTCGGGTGGATGCACTATCTTGGCCGTGGTACCGTGCGAGACAAACAGAAAGGCGTCAGGATCATCCAAGATAATCGATCGAATGCATTCCCCCTGGGAGAAGAAGGGTGCCTGGCTGGAGACGCTGGCCCTATCTGGAATCGTAGCTCCTCTGACTCGCCCGCTGCCTTGAAGTTCTATCAGCTATGTGAAATGGGATCCGATAGGGACTGCCTTTGCGAACATCTCATGGCCCTATGTCACTTCCATGGATTCGGAACCACAGAGGACCCGTCATCGGGAGCGGCTATCTTTGAGCAGCTCGCCCAAAAAGGCCATAGCGAGAGCCAGTTTTGGATAGGACACTGCTACGTGACCGGGTTGGGGAGAAGGCGAGAATTGACGGAGGCCATTGAATGGTTCAACGAATCCGCCGAGAACGGCAACTCGTATGCTCAGTGGATGTCGGGTTGCTGCTACGATGGTGAAGGCAGAGATCAAGACGAAGACGAAGGTGAAAACGAAAATGACGATGGCAGGAACGACGAGGCCAAAAGAGTCGAGTGGTATATCAAATCTGCCTGTCAAGGCAATCGGTATGGACAGTACGAACTCGGTCGATGCTTGCAATATGGCTTGGGCGTCCCCAAACACAAGGACACTGCGATCTTTTGGCTTCGTAAAGCTGCCGAACAGGGACACCCTGCAGCCACCTCCAGTCTCGAGCGTCTCGGCGAATTAACCCGAGCATGATCCTATTTGGCACATGTGCATCCTGAATACATGCTTCACAAGCACGCCGTCGTCGGATCATATCATACACTTGGCCAAGTGGGTCAATCATCTCCCATGGAGTCTATCTTATAGAGTCCATCTGTCTCGTTGGGTTTGTCGGTTTCATAGAGTCAGTTGAATACTCCAACACCTCTGCCACAACACTGACGGCCGTGGCTCCAGCGATGAGTGATGCCGACAAGAACTGTGTATTGAATGGGTGTCGCAAGAGCAAACGTGGATCTCATGACCGCTCGCAGCAATCGGCACAGTGCCGTGTGGATTTACGAGCATCATACGGACCAGATGCCGGTGCAGTGGGCTGTGGCTCAGACTTGCTTCTTGACTTCTCTAGCCTTGACGAACGTCTCGGCAGCATCGATCAGCGCCCTGACCACATCCTCGACCGAGCCTTTCAGCTCCTTGCCGTGCGCCATCGAGATGCTGCGAACTCGGTACTGTTGGACGATAGAGACCAGATCTTTGGCAACCCAGTCGCGGGCTTGCGGGCCAGACTCAACGGCAATGAATCGACCGATGGCAGTGCAGCCGAAACCGCACGCAGTGCCGATCCAGACCAGGCACGGCTCCTCCTCTGGATCGATGTTGAAGAAAGTGTCGCAGTACACAAGGGCGTGGTGCTGCTCGTTCTCCAGGCGAAGGAGATATCCAAGCTCGCTGATATCTTGGTAGAAGCCCTTGGGGGCGACGTAGCGGATAGGCGGATCTGATTCCGACAGTCCGTTCGGCTCGGACGAGCCCCCGCTGACAGCCGGCGGGAACAGATCCTCGACAAAGGCATCCACTCGAACAGCTTGCTCGGCAGCAACCTTGAATTCGCGCGGACAGATCACCCTGGCTTCAGGGAAGCGCTCTGCATAGACAAACGCATCCAGCCGGTGCATTGGATTGGGAACCACGATGAAGGTCACCTTGCCGAGAGCCGTGATCTGCCCAAGGACCTTGTCGGTGCAGCAGATCGGGGAGTGGATCCAGAGCCGATCCGTCTTGGGCAGGCGGTAGATAATCATTCGTCGAGGCAGGCGTGGGCCGTCGGGCGGCAGGCTGCCCGAGAGTCCCCAGAGGTTGTCTGCAAGCTGCTCGAGCTCGCCGTGGGGGAAGATTTTGCGGGACCAGGGCAGTTTTCGGTCGGGCAGCGGGCCGAGCTTGAGGACCCGAACCAAGAGGTTGCGTTTCCATGCGCTGGGCATCAGGTAGACCGAGAGCGCCAGACCGGCAGCGCCGGTGGCCAGAACTGCAAGGGTTTTGGAAAGTGTCGTGAGGAGCATGTCCGCAAGAAGGGCGAGATCGGCTCGGGGGCCAAGACGGAGGAGAGGAATGATGGGCGACCGCCGACTGAACAGAGATTTGGACAGAAGATGCCAGCAGCGAGCGGGGGATTGTGTGTGGATCCAAACACACCCATCGGAGAGCCACGCCAAATGGGCCCATCGAAACCTCGCACCTCGCACCACAGCGCCACCCAGGCTCATGGGCTCATGGGTTCATGGGGCCTGTTGATCACGAGATTCAAGCCAGGTCTGCACTCCTCGGACCATCAGTCGATCGATGCCGGGCGAGAACAGAGTGGTCGATTTGACGATGTGCGCACTGCTATCGACCAGCCTGCTGCCAGAGCTCAAGTGTCTGTTCATATCAAGCGCCTCCGCTTGCTCTGCTGGCTCCTTCAATATCGACACCAACACTCGCTCGATCAACCCGACGCCATCTAGTCGTTCTGTAAGCGGATGTTGTGCAGACTACCCATATGCGCCCTGAAGTGCAATGTTCCCATGCGAATCCAGGGTCGGCTGGAACAGAATCAAGCAAAGAAAAGTTTATGATGCCGGGACTGAGCCCAGAAACTCTGTCGCATGACCAAGGCAGCGCAATAGCTAGAGCAACAATGCCATTGTGTCTCCATCACCCGCTGGGTCTCATCAACGACGAAATCGACTTTTGCGCACGGATCCCTCGGCGTTACAAACGTAATGATCCAAAGTGAGGTGCTCCCCGCAAACCCCTGTGACCAAGTGTTTGGAAGGAGATAGCAGAACCATGCAAACACTTTGATCCGCATTGTGAGAGCGTTCAAGCGGTAGGGCGGCCCAAAACTGCCTGATCGCAAACCGGATGCTACCGCAGCTCCAGCCTGAATACTATTCCTTTGATGATTCCTCTGAAGCCTAGTAGAATATAGACTAGACATCAACGAGAACGCCGTTGAAACCCCAAACTTGAACGCCGACACGTTGCTGAGTGAGCCAAAGCAGGAGTTCGCTCGCGCGATATCTACGACCTCGCTTCATTGTGGATGCTGTTGGGGATCTGGAGTCAGTGCGATCAACGAGTCCTGCGCTTCCTTCTGAGCCTGGCCGTTACAGCAGCAGCTTTTCCTGATACCCCACGGCCTTCATTCGATCGCCCTGCTGTCGGTATCGGCGAAATGCCTCTCGCAGCTGGGCAGGGGTGATGGCGCCTTCTTCGCCCCACTCTTCCATGACGTCCTTTGCTGTGATTGAGAAACCAGCAATTGTGAATGTTGGCCAACAGAACAGGTCGATAGAGAACACCATGGATCAAACGATTTGTCGTCGCCAGGGTGCCTCTTTGGAGTGAAGCGTTTTTTGTGCTGGCAGCGCTGGAAGCGCTGGAAGCAAAACAGCGACCGCCCTCGACAAGCCAGAGCTGGACATGCAGCCTGAGCGACAGCGATCGCTGCACCATCGTTTCCACCGGTGTTGCCACAGATAAAGCCTTCTTACCTAGCTCGACCAGCTCGCCGACAAAGAGCTTTCCGGCTCCTTGCACAATTGTCAAGACGCTTTGTTGTGGGGGGTGGCCGATGATGTTCTGGATGAACTGTGAAGGGCAAAAGCAGAGCCCGTCAGGACGGGGATCGTTCTTTGGACCTATTGGGTGTGGCTACGTAGAAGGGTGATCTGGATAAATATGCCTACCTTTCTGCACGTTGATTTGTTGATGACCGATCGTCTATAGACCTCGTATCGGTCGAGCTCCTCGGGATTGAGAGCAAAGCTATCGAGGAGCGACCTGTGGTTCCCAGAAGTGAGCAGTGATCCAATAAGCTTGCAGGAGCAGAGCAATTCGCAAAGAGATCACAGGAGGAGGACGATGATGATGGGGGCCATACTTCATCGCATCGGCGTTCTTGGCGACAGATGGCAGAACCAAAATATCTTCATAGTCTTCCTCATCATCAATAACATCGTCCTTCTTCTCATCTTCCTGAGAAGCCCCAGGAGCGAGGGGCTGAGGGGTCGATCCGTCTGCGTTTGGTAGTGCAAGCCCCGATGTCGATGCGGCCGGCGGCTGTGAATCGAGATGAGAGGATGCTGGCGGAGGCTGGAGATCATCCGGGGGCTCGGACTTGTTGTCCTGCTCCTCCTGTGCCGACAAAACACTCGACTGGCGCTTGGGCTTGGTTGTCTTGGGCTTTTGGATACCCTTGGGTGTGAAGGGAGTCGAGGGCAGCGACGAGGCAGAGGCGGCCGATCCGCTGCCGGGGACGGCCAGCGACGGACCGGAGGTTGTCGACGAAGAAGCGGCCGCCAGATCAGATTTGCGGGGCCGACCCAGCTTTGTGGGTGGCTTCGGCGTGCCCGAAGGGTCCTTCGAGGATGTAGATTTCCGGGGCTTTTTGGTCGGAGGCGTCGACACCGGGAGATCCATGGCGAGTGCGGCTGGATAGGAGGGGACGGCAGAGCCGAAGGTTGATGCTGACGGGAAACGCGAGCTTGAGCAAGTCAAGCGCCTGGATCGCCCGCGCATCGAGGATCTGACCGGCGGCTGCTGGTTCTCACGGACTCGCTTGCAGCACTCCAGGCGGTCCACTTGAGGTGATGCGCCGTGCCAGCGATTGTCCGTTTGTTTCTAGGCGCTGAATACACCCATCTATCGCTGCACTGCGGCACTTGAGACCCAGCTGCTGGAGAGTGTGGAATCGCGATGCCAATGCGACGCACAACATGATCTCATCGCGCAGCCCGATTGTGGAGGCCAGAGAGCGACCTTTGCTCGCTCGGAAGCTGCCGAGGTGATCGTTTTTCGCTGCATATGGCTTTGTTTGACGCATACTACGCTCTCATGAGGTATAGCGAAGACCTCCCGTTAGCTCATGTGTAGAGTGTCGAGCTCAGGGTTCTATCGGCACCTCGAGAATCACCAATCTCCCAGCCAGACTCTCATATTCGTAGGACAGATTCGAGAGGCGATAGCGCACGAGCCGAGCTCTGGCGCTTCTCTCTTGTGAGCTCAGAGCCGCCAGCTGGTTCTGCAGCCGGTCTACCCGACACCACAGTTGGGACTCAAGCCTGGCGAGGTTTTCGGCCATGTCTGCCAGTGCCACCTGCTGGGCCTCGAGTGCCTGAAGCTTGGACGCCTTGAAGCTGGAGAGATTCACGTCGAGGGGCCCAAAGAGGATGAGCTCCCCGGCCTCGACCCCAGCTTCTGCCGGAAGTGTCTCGGCAAGGCTCCCGAGAAGGGCGTTGGCGACATCGATGTGGTCCCGGCTCCGGTTGGAGAACTCGATCCTGTTAAGCACCAGGATCTGGTTTCGGAAGTAACGATCGATTTCTTCGGGGTGCAGAGCGACCTTGAGCGACCGCAGGGCTTGGCGCAAGTTACGAGTCGCTTCACTCATCATATGGGCAGAGTTGCGGATCTGTGGCAAGTGGTCCCGCGTCTTTGCCATCTCGGATTCAATCAGGTCCAGCTCTTGGAGAATGGCTTGGTTTTCGGGATGATCGGGCGTGGGCGGCGCAAAATGGCTGTCCAGCAGAGCCAGTAGATCCATAACGAGCGAATCGAAGCGAGCCCGTTCGGCATCAAGTTCGGCAGCCTCGACTGTCGCCGACTGGAGCATCGCCCGCAGAACCTCGAGCTGCTCTTGGCGTTGTTGGTATTGCTGCTCGAGCCTGAATTTCGACTTTTGCGACTCCTCGATGAGGCTGCCCCGAGTGCCGGCCAAAAGGGTCTGGAGTTTGGTGAAGGAAAGGCGCTGCAAGCGACGGAGGAGACGAGACTCATCCGAAACAGCCGAGTCGAGCCGAGAGAGGGCAACTTGACCCGACCGGACTTGGTCGCGGATGCCCTGGAGAATACCGCGCTGCTGTTCTTGGATGGCCGGGACGTTGCCAAGCGCATTTAGGGCAGAGACGATGGCCATGTATGCTTGGAGGAAAGGGGGCACTGGCTGGGCCATGACGGGATGGCGAGGCAAGGCTGCGTCAATAAGCGTTGCTTGATTCAGGTATGACACAATAGATGTACGAGTCGGATGATGCTGCCGATGCCGCTCGTTTGGCTGGAGTAGTCCAGGGGCCGGGGTTTGAATGTGGCCAGAGCAAAGTCATGAGGGCAGGAAGCATTCGCACAGCTAGTCGTCGCTGCGAATCGAGCTGGTGTGGGTGCGACGCCGAAAGTGAAAGCATCGACAGTCCAAGAACCCAGAGGTCGCCCAAGACGAATTCTGGCCAATCCTCGTTCCGCGCTGTCCGTGCGAACGGCTTGCGAGAACAAAACGGGACAGTAGTGTCCCTGGGTGCCCTTCGCATCAGCCACTGCCTTCAGCGCAGCGATCTGCAGGCCGCATGGTCAAAGCCATACGATCGTTTCCGGTCTCGGTTGGAGATCGAGTGGCTTTGTTTGTTCGGGGGCAGTCTTTACAGGCAATCCAATAAAAAACGGGACACCCGGGTTTTTGACCATTCGTCGAATATTTTGTTACCCAATGTTATCGCGCGCTGGCCATGACCATTCGCCACACATCCGACTTTCGCACCGCCGCATTGCGATGCTACGCCCTCATCCATAGCCTGCGTAAGGTTGCCTCCATATTCAGTGTATCCAAGAGCACCATCCATCGATGGCACCGAGGACACAAGCCAACCGAGTCACAGCTCGCAGATCCACTTTCTTCGAGCAGGCATGTCCAGTCATTCGCACCCTGATTGAACAGGACCCGTTCCAGACTGGTCCTGTGTTGCGATGCAAGCTCGAGTCCATCCTCCAGAGGAAAGTATCACTCTCACTCTGCCACACTGCCATCCACCGAGCAGGTCTCTCACACAAGAGGGCAACACACCTCTACAAGTCCAAGCGACTGGATGAGCGAGTGGCACAGTTCAGGGACCAGGCCCGCTCCATCGACCCACGACGATTCGTTTTTGTCGACGAGACAGGGATCAGGAAATCCATTTTTCCTCTTTACGGATACTCACCGAAGGGTGCTCCGCTTCGCCAGCGCAATCACATGAAACACAAGTCCGTCTCGGCTGCATTTGCCATCAACCACTCTGGTGTGCTGCATCGATCGCCGAGGATGGTCAGTGATCTTCACCCCACCTGCCTCGCCCGACTTCAATCCCATCGAGAACTTCTTTGGGGTTGAGTCCCCACCGATTTGGGGTTTAGTCCCCCAATCAAGCCGCCATTTTCGCGTTCACATCCCTGGCTTGAACCTCTCGGCGATTTTTGAACAGGGTCACTTCCCCAACCAGCCCGCAAGACGGGCTCCTGCTCTCGGGTATAAATGCCACACCTTCGTCCTGCTGCTTTCTTCCCTCATCTCGCCTTGATCTGATCATCGCGCTATTGTACGATAAAAAAAAGTCTCTGCTCTGACCAGTACCACTGGCAGGCATCCAGCATCCTCTGCCCCCATGCCTCCGAAGCGTAAGGGTACCGGTGATGGCCAGCCTCGGCCACCCAGGCCCAAGAAAGCCAAGTCACAGTCGGAGCCTGTCTCTGGTTCGTATTCTGATCCCACGCATGCTTGGTCGTCTGTTGCTCCGTCGCTCACCACCACTGCTTCTGCAGATCCAATGGATGTCGATCCCACCGAGCCTGGTCCATCTACTTCCTCGAGTACCGGCAAGCGATGTCCCAAGTGCGATGGCACCGATCACGAACGCTGCAACACTAGCAAGTGTCCCAAATACCGGCCCCTCAAGAGTTCTGTCGTCCCACTCGTGGATGGAAGGTCATCCGCCCCTCAGTTCAGCTGCTTCAAGCAGACGATGGATGGCTGTTGTCTCAATCCCGCTCTCCGCGACAAGATCCAGGCCACCGTCGAGGCCATGACCCAGATCCAGTTCGAGGCATCCAGGCTGCTCAACCTGCACATCCTCCGGTGCATCGAGCAGGATCTTCCCGTCCCCGTCATCTCCAAGTCCACCCCTGCTTTCATCCGCCAATGCTTCAAGATCGTCCAGGACGGTGCCCTCTCGCCGACCGGGGACAATGAGAAATACAACGAGCATCTGGTCGCTTCCTTTCGCGACTACCAGACCACTCGGCACGCAGACCTGCCTCCGGCCCCTCGTCTGCCTGATGGTGCTCACAGTCAGCTTCTCACCCTGGCTGTCAATGCCTATGCCACCAACTGCACCACCCACCTCGACCTGGCCTACTGGCGACTCCTTCGCCGCTTCTGCGCTGCCGTCTTCCCAGCCAACAAGCACAAGCACGACGCCATCGAGGCCTGTCTCGAGCTCTTCGAGAAACCAGGGCAGACTCCACCCAAGGCCGATCTCGAGTTCCTCTATCCAGACTTTGGCCACGTCCTGGACGAGTTTCGGTACAGCAACGACCAGGACCGCTTCCGGGCCCTCCATCGCCTCTCACACCATGTGGGAATCCTCGCCCGGGACAAGATGGTCGACAATGTCCACAAGTGGATCGACTGTGACATGCCCGCCCTCCGAGTCACCGAGCTGCAGCGCCAGGCCAAGCTGGACGAGCTCACTACCCAAGGCATTCCCTCCGACAACAAGAGGTTCACCAAGGCCAAGTCGGAGCTCGGCACCACCAAGGCCAAGATCAACAAGCTGGCATCCAGACTCAAGTGGGCACTCAAGCAACTCGCCGTCGACACTCCTCCGGCCGTGTGCACGATGGTTCCTCTGTGCACCACCAAGGCCAAGTATGTCAAGATCGACACGGTCACTCTTTGGAATCTCCTGGGTCCAAAGAAGCGCCTTGGCCTCACCAGGGACAAGCTCAAGGAAGAAGGTGAGGACGGTGTCAACAACTAGGATCGTCTCTGGCGCAGCTGCTTCAAGCTGCGTAGTTCCCTCTTCCAAGAGCGGGACGTGAACAAGAAGCTGTTCAACTACGAGATCAGCACCGATGGCATTGGATGCACCATCGGCCTCGTCAAGTTTGTGCCTCGAACCGATCGCACCGAGACCTCCGAGCCTCCTCCGACTGCCGAGCAGCGCATCCAGGCCCACATCGGCAGCTCAGACCCCGAACGCACCACTTGGATTGGCATCGATCCTGGAGTCGGCTCCATCTTCACGGCGGTCATCCAAGCACCGGGCCACCAAGACGAGGTGGTCTCGTTCTCCAATGGTCACTATCAGCACATGTGTGGCCATACGTCCAACACCAAGTGGCACAACACCATGAAGTATCGACTCAGCATCGAGACCTGGATGTCGACCACCCCCTCGCCCAAGGTGCAGTCCTCGAAGGCCTTCAAGGTCCATCTCGCCCATGTCCTGCGACCGGAGCTGCGAGTGCAGCTCGACTTCCACCTTGGCAAGAAGGCTCGTCACCATCGCTTCACGGGCCACAAGAGGCGCCAAGTGGCCGTCGACAGGATGTGCAAGGCCGTCCTGAAGCACGCCCCGAAACGGACCGATGTGGTGATCGCCTTTGGCAATGCGTCATGGCGTCAAGGCAAGGGCTATGCATCCAGCCCTCGGAGGCAGCGATTTGCTCAGTACTTTGAGCAGTTCGAGCACCACCGACGCCGTCCCAATCACCATCATGGAAGCGTCAAGGTAGTCTCGACGAACGAGTTCAACACCTCACAGGTGTGCTCCAAGTGCCTGGAGCCAGTTCGGCTGGGGGATCTGAAAGCGCCCAGTGTTGCGAATTCCCACTTTGTCAGGAGCTGCAAGAATCCCAGCTGCCGGACAGTGTGGAATCGCGACGTCAATGCGGCGCGCAACATGATCACAGTATGCAGGTCGATTGTGGAGATCGGAGAGCGACCGGCGGTCTTCACTCGGAGGCTGCCAAAGTGATCTGTTTTATTTCTTGTGGCTTTGCTTGACGCAAGCACAGCACATACTACATGTTCATGGAAACGGCTATATTGTCCCGTTTTTTTCTGAATAAAGTGTAGTGCATCTGGTTGATCTCCTTGGACACGCTGTTTGGACATGGTCGGAACAACGACACTCGCTTCGTTTTGGGTGCCCTGGAAACGGGCATTTCGCCCTGGTTGAGTACGCCGCCAACATGCCAGCCGTTGTCCACATTGGGCTGCTCGGTCGTCTCCACAATCAGCCTCCACCCGACGGTCATGGTTTGTATATCGCTGTTGCTGGGGCGGCATGTTGGATATATCGGATGCGCAGGCTCCAGAATTGGGGAAAGCATTCGATATGGCGCTTCGGGGAGCAGGGGCGATGTCCTTTGAGAAGCAAAGTTGCGATTTGAGGCGCTGAAGCGACGGAGAATAATAATAATAACAAATGATGCCGATCCAGCAGAAGCAATGCCGATCCACCCAAGGCAGCGGCGGTGAGGGACCGTGCCAGTTCATGACACAAGGGTCTGAGTCACATGGGTGGCGGCTTGTGCAGTGATTGATTCTGGCGCGAATGCCCATCCGATCGATTTGTGCCTTCTGGATGGGGGTTCGGATTCGATCTCGACAGCCAGGTTGCTCCCCCCACCCAGTCCCAGTATCGTGCGGCAATGCCATCCACCACCCAGGTCATTTTCGCCACCACCCACACTTCCGAGGCAAGCCGAGAGCTGTCGCTGGGTATATCAACCGGCAGCACTTGCCTCTCTCCTCAATTACCATCTCAGCGAGCCAAGCCCGCAATTGAACCGAGTAGCCCTTCACCACCCTTCATCGACAACCAAGCATGCCCACTCCGCTCGTTGCCATCTATGCCTTTGGCTCGGCCGGCGATGTTATGCCGATGCTCGCTCTTGGCCGTGCGCTGCACACCCAGTGCGGTTACCGTGTGCGAATCGTTGCCCCCGCCAAGTGGGAGGAGAAGGTGTGCAAAGAAGGATTGGAGTACTTCGACCTCAAGGTGAGTGCGATTGCCTGCTCGTCTCGTCTGATCGTTGTCAGGCCGAAGGAATCGCGGCAGTCGCAGTTGATTCGTTCCTGATGTCGTTGTTCGACTTCCTCCTCTCCCAGAACGATCCCATATCGAAAAGCACCACCACGTTTGATCCAAAAGAAGTTGGCCGGTTCGTCACGCACCGTAAAACCATTCAGGGAATCATGCCTCTCATGCGGGTAAGAGCCAATGCACTGGCACACGCATAATGGGACATGAGCCTGTGTCTTGCATTTTGCACCTTGCATCAAACTAATCAACACCGCACAATCCCGTCCTCAACGATGGCTGGTGCGACAGGCGCTGATCCCTGTTCTCAAATTCCTCTTCAAGACCGCCGACGAACATCTCAAAGGAGTCGATCTGGCTATTTTGACAAACGCTGCTCTGCAGCTTCGAGAGGACGTGAGTTTCAGTTTGGCAGCGCCATCTGGCTGTGATCGTTGCTGCCAACACCATCAGAACAGCCACACGCTGCTCTCGTGATGCGAGCGATGGCAATGCACCGGAGTCGCTGCTCCAGCCCTGCCAGCCCTGCCAGCCCTGACCCTGTCCATTGATGTCATATACAGTGCGAAAAGCGAGGTATCCCGACTGTGGCTTGCTATCTCCAGCCTAGCCAGGCCACGAAGGACTACCCACCCCCTGTTCTTGGATTGGAGTATCAGCCAGACAACGACAAGGCGAGACGCAGCAATCTCATGACCGTAAGTCGGTCTGACACCCGAGCCGCGGCATGCTTGTCATCTGCCAGGGACGCCTGTCACAGAGCCGACTGTCACAGAGCCGAATGATGACCCACAGAGTAACGCTTTGTATCTCTGGCTGCCCGCACCAGTGGTTGTCCCTTGGGATCCGCTCCCTCTGGATCTTCAATCCGATCCTTCAAGAGAGACGACGAGCACTGGGACTCCGCCGCGGATTCTTGCCTTCGTACATCACTGCCATCTATGATATCATTCAACTGATGATCAGGGAGGCTCGTGCGCGGGCTGCCATGCCGTTTATTTGCACTTTCAGCCCAGCACTGGTTCCCATCGCCTCCGATTTGTGAGTACCGGGACAGCAGCACGATGTCGATAGTGGTTGTGGTTGTGGTTGTGGTAGTGGTTGTGGTTGTGGTTGTGGTTGTGGTTGTGGTTGTGGTTGTGGTTGTGGTTGTGGTTGTGGTTGTGGTTGTGGTTGTGGTAGTGGTTGTGGTTGTGGTTGTGGTTGTGGTTGTGACGGCACGCCAACGATGATACTCACCCTCGCTGCTGTGTGTTTCGATCAATAGCAAGCCCACCATGGATTTCGTCCAGTCTGGTCCTCTCCAGCTGGAAGCAGATCAGTACGCCGAACCATTCTCCGCTCCCGTTGAGCTGGTAAGCAGTCGCCTCGATCAATCCGTCCTCGGTGTCGCTTGGTGGCTTCGTCCGTCTCGAGCACATTGAGCCTGTCCGTCTTGAGCACACGCGGCCACACATGCCAAGTCGTCTGCCACCACAGCCGGTCACTGATCCAACACACCCCTCGATCTCCAGGACGAGTTCCTTGCCTCCGGAAAGATCGTCTATTTTGGATACGGCTCGCTCCAGAAGCTCGGCCCAACCTCCACCAAGGAGATCGACCACATGACCATCTGGCTCACGGCCATCCAAGAGCTGGAGTCGCAGGGTGTGAAGTTGAGAGCCGTCTTTGCATTCTCGTGGGGCCCCGACGATGTATCCGCCGACCCGACCAACACAAAGTACCATGCACTCCGAGAGCAACTGGATGCCATGATCCAACAGAAGAAGGTCTACCGCCTCGTCGGATCGTTCCCGCACACCTACCTGTTCCCAAGGTGCCATGTGGCAGTCCACCACGGCGGCGCCGGAACAACTCAGACGGCAGCAAAGTACCGGCTCCCGGCTATCATCGTGCCGCATGTCGTTGACCAACCCTTCATGGCCTCGGTCGCCAAGTACCGAGGCATCGCCAATGTGATCGATCTGGACGACTTTTCGACCTCAACGCTGGTCGGAGCGCTGAAGGACATCCTGGTGGACCGGGCCGAGTATTTCAAGAAGAACTGCGACCGCATCGGCGACGAGATGGCCAAGGAGAATCCCATCGGCGATGCTGTTGCACTGGTCCAGAGAACGCTCCAGAAGGCTCGCTCTGCCACGTCCGACGCAAGTTCTGAGAACACCGCCGTTTGACCAGGATCATCGACTCGGGCCGTTTTTTTTCTCCAGCCCCCACAAATTTTCGACCAGGGGATATCACCCCAAGTTCCTAGCCAGCGACATCGTGGCAGAATCGAATCTACTCTACTCCGTTCTCAGAAACGAAGAGAACATTGCCTCATTTCAATTGAACATGTAGTTTTGATGCCTGTGCCTACACTGTATTCAGAAAAACGGGACACCACATCCGCTTCCATGAGCGTGTAGTATGTGATAAGCTTGCGTCAAGCTCAGCCATAAGATATAAACAGATCACTTTGGCTGCTTCCAAGTAGAGGCCACGGGTCGCTCTCCGATCTCCACATTCTCCTTTCGTGATGATGGCCATTTCACATCATTTGTTCCACCTCCAGACAGCTCCAAACACAGGGCGCCCCGTTTCGTTTGCTGACCCGTGACGATGCCAGGCCTCCCGCGCCACAAGCTCCCAGAGCCGAGGCGCGCACAGGCCCTGCCAAAACAGGCAGGCGGGTGCCACAGGAGCAAGGAGAGGGCTGGTGTGTCTGTGCTCAAGCCGCCGGTCCACAGAGACGCTTCCACACCAGCAGGCCCGGCTGCGAATCCAGTTGCGAATCCTGCTTTGCAGCCATTGGCCAGCGCCTGCCTGTGTTGGTGCCGCCCAGCTGTCCTCGCCCACTGTTCCTGTGGGTGCGGCTCAAAGGCCCGTGTAACCGCCACAACCCCGGGCAGCCACGTCGGATCCAGCCACACCCTGGCTGCCGCACCCCTGTTTTTCTGCTCGGCGGTCGGCGTCCGTTCTTTGCCCGCGATCTCCTCTGCCATCGTGCCAACGGGCTGATCGCACCTCCCCCCTCCCCTTCCGTCTGCCACCCGCCACATGCCATGTCTGAAAAGTGGGAAACCGTCACAAAATCTCCGAAAAAGTCGCAGTCCAAGCGCTCTCCCCAGAAGCCCGCCCACGATTCGGACTCGTCTGGTGGGTTTCATGTGCAGCTGTACTCTATTGTCAGCGCCCCGCCCTGGCGATCGACCTGCCCGGCGTCATTGTCCAAAGGATTTGTTCAGCCAGCCTACCGTCGATGACGGTCCTCTATACTCCATATTTTCTGTACTCTCTCTCGCTTGCTGGCTCTGGCCACTCAGTGCACTTGGACTCCTCTCCGACTCCAGGACTTACCGGCCTTTCTCCGGCCTTTTCTTCTCACTCCCTTGCGACTCGATGCAGCGGTGTCGTCTCTAAAGACCACATCGATGTTCGACGCCCTCGAGAATGATGCGCCGTTCCCCAAGGACCCGAAGGAGCCCAAGCCAGCCCAGTCGGTGCTGGCGTCGTCCAACACAAACAAACCTGCTGTCCAAAAGCAAACCAAGTCGCCATCCAAGCAAAAGACGGAAGCACCACCAAAGCCAAAGTCCAAGCCATCTGCCGAGCCTCCTGCCAAACAGTCGTCCACCGGCTCCGATCAGGAAGACCCACAGCCCCTCGTTGGCCCCGCTGTAGCCCCTGGCCCTGCGCCTGGCCCTGCTCCTGGCCCTACTCCCGCTCCCGGTCCGGCTGCTGCTGGTGTCAAAAAGAAGTTTAACAAGCTTACCGACATTGTATATGTATGTGGAGGGCATTCTCGATCTTTTGGTCATGGCCACACCGCTGTGAGACGCTGCGATTGATGCCCCCCCCCACAACAATCGAACCGCATGTGTGTGTTGTGTATCCAGACTAATATCTCCCATCGTGACCCGGCTCAGATCGATGTGCCCAGGACTACTGAAAAGCTCTGCGCCGTGACCGCAGAGATTCGCAGCAAAAAGAAACCCGAGCTGTTGCTTGAGTACTGCAAGTTCCTCGATGCCCAGATTGCCGACAAGAACATCAAGGTCGGCATCATGGGCCACAAGTCCTTCAGCCTGATCAACAGCGAAAAAACAGGCTTCTGGCAGTATCCATACAACTTCTATCCGTTCTCGCTCAAGAAGATCACTGATGAGGAGCTTCTCAAGTGCTTCCCCACGGAGAACGATCCTGGACTTGTCAAAACAGTCTATCTGATCGCTAAGCAGATTGTCGAGTTCCAGATCCAAGGTGAGCAACTGGGACTTTGCAGTTGCCCGATAATGTGGCCATCGTTGGTGGGGCTTTACGGGTACCAACCCACCTTTGGCTCGGCCTTCGCCTCGCCTTCTGTTCTCCGCCAGCATCGCCACTTTCTTGTTTGCGACACTGAGCAATCCATATGCCCTATCCCTCTGTCCGGACAGCTGCTCGTGTATCGGCCTTGAACAGCGCCGGTCTTGGCTACCAAATCGTCATGCAGAACTTGATCCTACTCCATCACAACGTCATGTTTGCTCCCTTTGCGGACGGACGAAGCGTCGTGGAGACTCTGTTCCACGACTACCGAAACAAGTTCGCGTCCTACCCGCCTATTGGCAACACGCTCTTGTGGATCTTGGCGGCCCAGAATGTCTGGGTTCAGAACAAGCGTGCCCTCAATCCCAGATCGATCGAATGTGAGTCTGCCGTGTTGATGCACTGCCTTTGCAGCTGTCGGTGACTGTGTGCGATCCACATATTCGCATGCAGCGTTCCCGACTACTTCTGCGACTGATCAGCTTCCTCCCCTTCTTGCCCCTTCCCAGGCTTCTTCAAGTATATCTATCCCCAGCTCACGGGCGAAAGCGTCTACCCCGAGGACAAGGACTATTGTGTGTCCGTTGCCGAGACAAACAGCCTTGCCAAGACTGTGCTCGAGGGCTCCATCGACTTTCTCAGCCTCGTTTATCAGAAAGGGTGTGTTGTCGGCCTCGATGCCATGATCTGCGCCTTATCTAGCGGCACCTCGCAAAGCCGATGTGCACCTGGCGGTTGTGATTTTGCTGATTAACCAGTGCTCCCAACCCCCGCTCCAGCATCGACATCTTGGACGATTGGGGAATACCTCTCCCTGGAGGACCGCTTGTGCTTCCGCGTGAGGTCTTTGAGTCTCTGGGTTTGATCGAGATCACCAAAAGTGTTCCGGCCTATGGCTCATTGCCTGAGGAACGTGCCGAGTTCCTGGTCAACGCTCTTGGTAAATTCTCTGCCTATATCCAGGTATGATTTCAATCCGCCAGAATGACGCTTCTGCAGACACAAGCTGCGTAAACGTGCCGCGACAAAAGTCGAGCTGATAACGGCGTCAGATGATGCGCGGTGATTGCCAGAGTGCTGATTATTGTAATCCATCGCATGTTTGCAGATGGCCTTGTTTGTGACGAATCCTCGACTCAAGGAGCCCAACATCCGGGTCGACGTCTCGCCGTCCGTGTGGTTCACAGAGACCTTGGTCAAGTTGGACTCGTCCGTTGATCAAGATGCGCAAAATTATGTGAGTCAGCCACTCATGTCACTGCGTCAGAGTGCCTTTCCTTCCCTTTCCTTCCACGCTGCCGACATACCTTGTATCGTCTCAACTCGCTGACACTGCCAAGCTGCGATACTAATTCAGCCACTCGTCGTCATATCAGTTCGCACGAACCTTGACCCTCATGCTCGTTAAAGCCAACAACGACTTTGTTCGGGGTGGTCGCAAGAGCGATGGCTTCCCCAAGGTATTCCAAGTCTTTGAGGAGCTGGTGGCCAAGCATCCTATTGCGTCAACTCGTCTACTCAACTTTATCTATGAGCAAAAGGGTGGATGGTCTCCACTCTCCAAGAAGCCGCTCTGGAGCCTCATAAAGAAGACCGACACAAAGTCCTTCCTGGGAAAGCTGATCCGTGCAGCCCAGGCTTCCCCTTCGAAAGACTCGAGCGAGCTCATTCGTTCAGCCAAGGTGGGTTGTCGCAGCGGTGCTGTTTTCGGCTTGCCTGTCCTGGAATCTCCATCCACCGATCCCTATCCATCCTTGAGTTCAATTGCTAACATCTGGACTTTGATTACTCTTGTTGCCGACATTTAGAGACTTCGATCTGCGCTTCCGAGCCCTCCTCAGCCATGGACGCTCTCTAGAATCATTCACAAGCTTTTCAGCTGGCTTTTTATCCTTTACTCCATATCCGTTGTTTACGCTGCCTTGAACGGTTGCCCCTACCAACGTGGCGCCGATCCCACGCTCTCCGAAACCCTGTACTGTCCCTACGTGGTCGTCACCAAAGAGCCCGAGGTCTCCAAAGCCCTCCAGGACTTCCATGTCCATGTTTGGGAGCCTTATTGCGAAGAAGCCTACGAAATGTACCTCGAGCCCGTCGTCAACGCCGCTTCCGGGCTTGGCCTTTCCAGCCGCGCGTTGCAACCGCTCCAGACACAGGTTGATAAGCTTTCGAAGCCCTACCTCCGAAGTCTCCGCAAGAATTACCGCCGTAATCTCGCCCCACATGTGCGCAAGTGGATGCAGAGTCAATTCGTTCGAAGCCAGATTCGACGCGGCAGGAACATCATCACCGATGTCGGCACGGGTATCGAAAACACCGTCTTTCTGGCTGTTCAAGGCTATAAATACAGCCGCGGAACCCTGGACAAACAGGAGCAGGCTTACTGGCAGAGCGTCTACGACCGCGCCGAAGATTTCGTGAAGGAGTGGTTCAAGGAGAACTCCAGATTCGGCAAGCTCATGAAGGAGCGCGAGGCGCAATACAAGAAGTTCCTTGACCAAGAGAAGCTGAAGGAAGAAAAGATTGCTGCCAAGGCTGCCGAGATTGCCGACAGCGAGGATGGTGACGCCGACGGCGACGACGGCGATGATGATGGTGATAACGATGACAGCGACAACTAAGCCACGGAGACGCTTTCTCCTGGCAGCCCCGGGTCTTCAGATCTCGAAGCCGTTGCTTTAGCCGGCCGAGAGGCCGGAGCGTCTCTGACCAGGAGCTTTCGCAGCACACTTGTTCTGGGGGACGTGTGGCATTCACGCCCACGCCCGCGGGCTGCCATCCATCTGCTACGTATACTTTCCCAGCCACCGCCTTGGGCTTTCCATCGCATCCCTCTTTCTCGGTTGTTATTTCTTCGGGTTTACGGTCGAGTACAAGAGCGGGGGACTGCCACTTGCTTGCCTTGTTTGTTTTGCGATCTATTGCGTGCAAAAAAGAGTGAAGGGGACTCTCAATTGAAGCCAGTGACAACCAATCGCCCTGGTCGTTGAATAAACCTATTCGTCCCGTCTGTGATGCCTGGGTCGCTGTTCCGGGTTGGTGTCGCGTCCCTTCCGGGTGCGCAAGTTCAATGTCACTATCAGCACAAACGCCCATGGAATGGGGTGCTCCCCATCGCTCGCTTATGCCGAGGCAGCAATTGATTTGATATTATCGATGTTCCTGGATGGGCCGTGTCCGCTGGCACTTTAGTCGGAGCCGTTTCCCTATCAACATTTGTGAGCGGACGCAGTCCCAACACGCTCTCTGCAGAACAAACGGCCGTTGAGCAGCCATCAAACGGTCAGCAGTTGGCTGCTAACCCTTGCCGTGCCACTTGGAGAGGCCCATCTCTCTGGCTGATATCGTATCAAATCGGAATTTCTTCCTCGGGCCTCACTGAGACCGGTGTCGCAAATTCATCGATGACAGGGTGCAAGTTGCGAGCCATAGAGGAAAGTACATGATCGTGGTTAGCGAACCGCCCACCGCCACCGATGACGGATCCTCCTCTATCGAGCACTGCCAGGATCGATGCATTCTTGTGGGTCATAGCACGCAGTCGCTCTGGTGTGTCGTAACAGATGCTCACCAATCATATCGGCACGAATGAGCTTCAGTCGCGCGATTGCAAGTGAAACCTCGCGCTTGTAGCTCTCGCCCATTTTGAGTGATTTGGAAAAAATGGCCGAGCGCTGGTTGTTCGACTTGAGTCGGAGGACCTATTACCCCGCCCCCGTTAGATGTGCCCTGCATCGATTAGAACTATGTGCTCCCATCCTGATTGTTCTTAGGTCTGCGTCGCGAAAGTAGCTGCTTCCCAGCCACACGACAAAACCGAGCGCTGACCTTGTTGTGGCTGTCGACTCTGGCCTGGATTTGCTTCTCGGTGATAAGCCCAACAATCTCGCGCTCGAGTTCGGCCACAGAAGTGTTGAACGCTGTCGCCATCTTTTTCATGTCCACGGACGAGAAGGGGGTGAAGTACTGGGCAAGGGCCTTCTTGCGGATGTTGCTGTAGAGGGTGTCTACATGAATCGACAGGTTGATGTCGAGGAGAAAATCGTTCTGCATGGGTTGGGAGTCGTCGTTGACACACGAATATCAGTAACCCTGGATAGCTATGACCTGTGCCAGATCAAATGCCGTGCCAAGGAATTGGCCCAGACACTGGATATTTGCCGCAGGCGAATGGAGGCGAGATCCACCGATTTGGGATCCATCGATTTGGGGGCGGCGTGGGTGGCTCTGCAGCTACTTTGCACCGCTACTGCAGCCGGCCGGGTCGCCAGACCCACAAGCTCATTGCTCACCTTCATCTTTCCAAGCAGCTCCAGGCAGGAGGTGTACTTGGAATTGAAGAAGCTCGTCAGCAGTTCCTGCACTTGAGGCTCGAGCTCCAGGAAATGCTTGAAGCTTGTGTTTTCGAACACATGCACCCGGAGCTCGGTTCGATCAAACGAAGCCAGCGCGCAGAGACCGCCATAAATTGCAACGTCGTTGGGCGAAAGTAGCTGGAGGTAATGGACTGGATCAGAGCTCATAGGGGAACTGCCGGGACGCTAGCTATACGACGTACCAGCCACGGGGCATGGATGCTGGGGAGAGGCGACATACTGTGGTATAGCTTCCGCTGGGATCAAAGGTGATCTCGAGGAAGCTCTTGGCCGCGCGCTTGAAGTTTCCAAGATCGAGGCTAACTAGTCCAGAGGCGCACTTGAACAGACCGGCAGCAGCTGTTTTCTCGGGAATGTCCGGCACAGCCTCTGCCTTGGCAATATACGACGGGATGTGGCTATAGCTTCCTAATTCAATGCACACCTAGGTCAAGTCAAGCCGGATTAGAGTCGGGGGGGGGGGCTGCTGGTCGTCTGGAAGCTTGGGGATGACAGAATCTTTGGCTCCAGCATCCAACTGTTTGGCAACCACAGCTCATGGCGCGAAACACGATAGCGCTGCATGCATGAGCGGCTGATACTCAGCAGCGATCTCCCACCTTGATGACGTTCATGCACATCTCGATGATGTGCTTGGCCGTGGTGCAGTAGTCTCGGGTCTTGTTGTAGTTGCGTAGAGCCCCGACAAGGTCGCCACATTCATACAGATGGCTTCCAAGGTCGCTGTAGCCCATCTGGGACGGATCGACAACGAGGATGGTTAATTTCGATGATCGCCGCACCGTGGGAAGGCTACCATAACATCGGATACCCAACATTGCGAAGTCACGACCATAAAAACGACGCATCGGCATGCGGATCGTGCGGCCTGCTCGGTCCACAAATGCTCTGCTCAAGCCTACCCGGCGCCGCATCGCCGGTGGGGGTTTGATTCAGGGCAGCCAACGAATTCATTAGCCGACCAGACAACATGCTTACCCTAATGCTCTCTTTGATCAAGTTGATCTTGTATCCACGCAGCTCCGCATCGAGTCGCTCGGTCTTTTCCTTGACCGCTTGGGCAGTTGCGGCGATCCAGTCAGAGTCGATGGCTGCGATAGCCTCGCCGCGGAGGACCAGCGCTTCGTTCAGGCTCAGACAGACGTTGTAATATCGGGCGGTATTCAATGATGTCTTCAGTTCATCCAGCGCATATCGGTATGCGTCCAGTTGGAGAGAAGGGCATCGCTCGGCGATATACAGAAGCCGGTTGATCTTGGCATGTCCTGCAGGCAAGCGCGGAGGGCCAGGGGTCGAGCAGTCAGGAACGTGCCGGCGATCGTGGCCGCGGGGAGGCCTACCAGCTTGTCGAGCGATATAGAAAATCGACAGCTCGAGGCGTCGATTGGGCCCCTCTCTCACTCTCGCTTGGCACAGAATCCACTTTCGCCCCAAGCACGACTGGAGGCCCAGAGTATGTCCATCGAGCTCAAGCGCCAGAGTGTGCCCAGTGTACCCAGTCGGACATGTACGGGACCCAGCGTCACCAAAAGCAGAGTGAAGACGGTGAAAACAGAGACAGAGGCAGAAGCAGAAGCAAATCCCAGATGCCCCTTACCGGCGTAGTTGGAGATGTAGGTCTCCAGGTCCAACGATGGGTTGTCGACCATGACCTTGTGGATCTTTTTTTTCTTGTTTGCATCGTTGGAAGATTGCGAGGGGCCGCCAAGGATGACGAGCTCGCTTTCAGGGTTGACGTCAATGTCCATCGGTGCTGGAGCGGAGATGCAGGTGGCCTCGGCTGTGTGGCTGCTGTGGGCGAGGAGCACAGGAGACGGGGTGCGCTCTCTGGCGGAAAGATGGCCTGGTTGTCCAGCGGCGCAGAGCCTGCAATGTCCAGGGTCTCAACGAAGCCAGCGACGCAGCGAGCAAGCGAGACCGGGAGAGAACGCTCTCGCAGAGAGGATGGCACGTGACGACAACTGCCTGTCCCGTGACTCGCTCGACCAATTTGGGTGGGCACATGAACACCACAGCGCCGAACATGGACCGCCATGACGAAAGCACACAAGTCGACCGCCACCGACAGAGATCGACGGCCTGTATTTGGAACTGCTTTCCCGGCCGACTGGCCATTGAAGGCTACGGTAGCAACTGTGGAATCGGCGTACGAAGCCAAGCATCGTGGGGCACGCGATTGACGCTGGCTTGCAGTGGCTCGGCAACAGAGCTATGCAAACATTCTTGCATCTTTCTCGGAAATGCTTCCGCTGGCTACGAGATTCGCCACGAGCCTCTGCAGGGTGGGCAGCAAAATGAAGTCAGTACCCCAACATGCAGCCACTCGAGATTTCAAAGAGAAGACCGAGCTCGCGCTGAGTCAAATGCGGCGCAGAGTGCTCTGGCGAATGACGATTACTTGCCTGGGCGGGCTCACGGAAGCCGTTGTTTAGTGCGTAGGTGATTGCCGACATGGCCACGTTCTTCGGGCATGTCATGAGATACTGTTGCGAGTAGGGTCAGACACCATGGGCATTGTGTGTTAGTGGAGCCTTCCAGGTCGGCGGAAAGATCTATCCGAGCTCAAGCTCAGACCCAGACTCGGGGTAGTTTCTGGTTCTTGCCAGTTGGCACACATGTCTACCTTTCCTAGCTGATCCCAGCGCTGAGTCTGGATCAGTGCCTTGATACTGAGCCACTGGAATCTGGAATCATGGCATCGTGGGGGGGGGAATCGGTGATAGTGGTAGCGGTAGAGGTGGTAGGTCAATATCGCGGCTGTTCAACTCTGGTAGTTCAGCTTTCGTGCCCAGGTTCATAACCCCCCGTACAGGTTGGTGGCAATCATGGATCAAGAACCCACCGTTTCTCCGGGACCTTGAGCTCAGACTTGATCGAGGTTGCAGCGGAGCCCAGCTCGAGAAGGAGACACTTGAAAATCGTTTCACTGACGGTGAGATTCAAAAAGTTCTGGCGCGTCTCGGCTTCGAGCTTCTTTTGCAGATTGGCGAGGGTGATTTCATCGTGGATGGACTGTCAAACGCAACATAAATCTCAAAAGTCAGTACCCGGCTCGCTGTAAGGGCTGATGAAACCTTGGTCCCTTCCGGGACTTCCGACAATCGATGCACTCAATCTCGAGCACTCCGGACCTGGTTGGCGAAATGGAGGCTCTTGTTTCCATTGCTAATTTCAGCAGCAGAGCTTAGAACCGCCAGACGTTGGGTAGAGTCCTGGTGTGCCAGTGCACCAGAGCAGCATTAGCCTTCCCGTCTTGGTGTGTGTCGTCACGGGTGTCATAGCAATACCCGAGAGCATATCGCATGCATCGAGCACGAGGAACCCGCCTTCAATGCAGGATGTGCGATGGACTGCGAGCGCCAGCCTCACCAGTGCCTGGGACTCGGCGATCATCAAGTTGACACTTCCGCCGAGATTGTCGGCCTGGTAGTAATAGTCCTTCAGAAGCTCGGGACTAGTGACTTTGGCATACTTTTCAAATAGATTCGCACTGAGTGGATGCGTTCCAATCAGGCGGAAAAACTCGGCTGTCGGCAGCGTCCGTTTTAGGTGGAGCATGACATTGTACACTGCCAGCATGAGGATAGGGTAAACCCATGAGTAAAGCTGACATCGCAAGTGGCACCACTGCCCAACGGGGCTTGCCAGCTACTGTACATTGCCGACCTTTGCGATGCACGGCCCTCGTCCACACTGATCTACCTACCGAGGTTGCTATCCCCGCTTGCGACAGCTTTGTCGAGTGCTACGTCGTCGACGTTCATGCTTATCAGCAATGGGATCTGGGAGCTGGCATGTGGCTCATGTTCCAGGAGCTTTCCAATTCATAGGATCGATAATGCATACAGGTGACCCGTAGCGACGCAGCGTCAGCTCCATTTCAAGACCAGTGTCATCTTTGCATCCCGGGCTGCAAATCGAGCGAGTGAGTGGGGGAGCTCTGCAGTCTTGTAGAGAAACTCACGCGAGTGGCAAGCGAGGATCGGCCGGCGTCAAACGCTGTCTGCGCAATCTCAGTGAACGAGATGTTCGGGCTCTGAATCGACAGCTTTTCGACAATCACTCGGGCCAGGTAGTCATCGCCCTCGTTTGAGTCTTTGATCTGCATATCATGGTGCGATGTAACGATAGCGATAAGTTTGGGACGATCGCCCTTCGCCCAGCGTGGCGCGCGTGCTTCATGGCCTCGATGGAGTAAATATAGGGCTTTACCTTGGCACAGGCCCAGTGGATCAGAACGCGATCGGCGCTGATCTCAAAGATCTCACTGATCTTGATAGCCAGCAAGTAAAGCCTGCGATTGACGAGGCGATCCAGAATACCGTCCAGGCCAATCGCAGAGAGCCTAACAGGTCGAATCGATGTGCCAAGCGGCAGGTAAGTCAGATAATGACCTTGGCTGCTGCAGTCCCAGGCGAAACTTACTGGGCAAAGGTGATGGGAATACCCTTGTCCGGATGACGAAGTTCGTTGAGAAGCCGGAGGGTTTTGGCCATTGTCACAAACGGCTCAGGGTCATACGTATCGAGGAAGGCCTTGCCGAAGGACGCGGCCTGTGAATACCATTGAAGCCGATGTTCGTAAGCGCGGCGAGGCAATGTCGACCAAACGAGCGCATCTCAATAGAAATATGGCCGCAGCAACGCCAGTTCTTGCCCTCGAATATGGTGGCATGGCGACACGCATCAACCGTGCATTGTCTCAAAAACAGGGGCACTTTGGACCTTCATCAGCTGCTTCTGTCGCTCTGTGTTCCATTCGTGACCGGCAGCCTTGATGCAACCGGTGACGGCCTCGTCCAGTTCACCCTTGATATTCCGAATGTTTTCATCTGCCTTGGAGCTTTTGCGCTACACGCAAGCATGCGGGGAAATGCCGGGACAGTCAGATTAGGACCAGGGCAAAGTCTCTCAGGCCGAGCCAGATGCACAACACCAACAAAGTAACGGATCCAGCACACCGATGCAAAGTGAAGGCTCGAGTGGTGAATCGGACTCGCCGATGGTATGCTTCGATAGATGAGGGTGCTTGCATGCGTGCGGACTCACCTGGAAGTGGTCATAGGCATCGTAGAGAATCGCGCTCGGCGCCACCGAGCCGATTTTGAAGACATTCTCCAAATCGACTAGAGACCCAAGGGCGGTGGAGTCAATGAATTGAATACTCCGCGTCGTAGAGCAGAATAGACCGGATCGACTAACGCCGATGCTACTGGCCGCAGCGCAGGAGTATCCCAACTTACCGGGAACTTTCATCAGCATTTCACACTTGTCATGGCTCAGGATTCGAACTCCGTCAATTTCCGTGACAACGTGGATCACTCCCTCGTAGTTGTATCTGTGAGTATCAGAGCATCCGATGGACTAGTTGAGGGGCTAGCGGCAGAACAGCCAGAGCGCAAGCCGACGCAGGTACTGAGCACTTACTTGATCCAGTCTGCGAATGGACCCAACATCAGCAGGGTGTCTTTCCAATGTACAACGACCGTATCTGTGCCACACCTGATATGCCAGAGAAGATTACACAGATCAGCTCTGGGGGGGGGGATTGCTCGGCAGATAGTTCGTGTCTTGGTTCACTGTCAGGGTGCGAATCTTCGTTCTTACCAGGCCATTTGGAGCGGAGCGTCTTCGGTTCCAGTGGAGAACTCGGCCAGCTTCTTTTCAAAGTCGGATGTAAGCACCAACAGCGATCCGGTGCTTGAAAAGAGAGCAAGGAATTTGCCGTTTGGTGCCGCTGCGATTCTGTTGAATGGGCCCTGCTGGAGGAGCTGAGCAAGTCGACCGGCCGAGTCAGAGAGGTGTCATGATATAGATCGGCAGAGTCATGGTCCCACCTGTTGCTGCGACTTGATTCCGTCGAGCGTCACGATGCTGGAGCCAACGGCCATGATGACTTCGGGGTGCCCGCTGAGGGTCAACTTGGGGTCGAGCACAATCCAAGCGTGCGGTACCTGGGTCAGGCCTGGGGCAAACCGGCAGGAGGCGTCATTGGGTGCAGTCGTCAAGAGAGCGAGAAGAGTCAGACCAAAAACCGACCAGAGACAGAGCCGGTGCTGCTCGGCACATGCACCAACCTGCATCCGCTAGTTCCTTTGGATGGGAGTCTGCCAGATCCGCGATAAAGACAAACTTGAGGTTTCCGGTCAGCGCCATCAAGCCACTGTCCCAGACCTGGCATTCCAGTACCCCGTATTCCTTGGAGTCCTGTGGTCAAAGATAGGTCGTTAGCAATGGGATCCATGGTCGTGCCTTCTCTACAGCCACGTCTTCGACTATACGACTCTGCGGGTGCAGCTCCGTACCTGTCCCAGCGAGAGCTGAGTGACTTCGCCAAAGAGATCGTAGATCCGGACGAATCCGTTCTCCAGGACGCATACGAGGCGCTCCTGTGCTGTCCATCCCATGCCCACAATCCGGTTCCTGTTTTCCCACTAGAGATGATGATGGTGCGGGTGGATGAGTTGGAGACACAGAAGCCAGGAGTCTCACCGGCATTGAACGGGTTGCTGACGAGCTTGATATGCGAGAGCTCAGCGTCCAGCATGCGACATCCAGCATGCGGCATCCAGTAGAGGTGGGTTCAAATCTGCTACCGCAAGGGCGGTAACCAAGGCGCCTCAGCGAGACGGGGCAGGACGGTTTCCGGCGATGTGCCTGCTCAATGCTCGATTGCTGCTGACCTCAATGCGGGACAAGAGCTCTCCCGAGGAGGTGTAAATCGACAGAGTTGGCTTGGTTGATTTCGTCCTGAGCTCATGCAACTTGGTATCGTTTCGTATCACAGCTGCGGGAAGGGACGATCAGAAAGGGATGGAAACATTCAGCCTCTTGTATCGACGCTGTTCTGTGCTCAATTCAATGGATAGATCGATTCTGCATGCTCGTTCTTGGCCGGCAAGCAACGAGGGATTGGACGAGCCCCAAGGAGCCCGTCGCAAAGGACATGGGTCGGCTCGGGCAGCAAAATCCGTACCGAGGGGGCCTCCGAACGGAGCGGCGGCGATGATGCTGTTTTCGATATCGACTTCGCTCCAGAATAGTGTGTATATTTCCTGCTTCCTGGAGAGTTGGACATGCCGATGGAGGCGGCGAGTGTAAATATTGCGTGCGAGCCATCCGGGATGAGCAGGCTGATCCAAGCCACCGTCAATGGCGGTGGCGGCGGCGGCGACAAGCGAGGGGATTACTGTGAGGTCGAGCATGAATATGGACGCTCCGTACAGGTAAAAGCAGCCGTGCAGCAGCGTCCAGTCTGTGGTTGGAGTTGCCATCGTGCCGGTGTGCTCGTTTATCGGATGACCAGGGCCGAGGAGGGAGAGCCTGGTGCTGCTGGTGTTGGCGCTGGTCGGCAAAGGTGTCGGCCCTGCGGTCACGCGCCCTCCCTGTCCGATCACGTGGACAATGTAGGAACATCGACTGTCGATTTCCCATCCGCACCGCCCATAAGCGGATTCCTGCGACATGGCTGTCTGCGACGTCCACGATTTCTGGATCGCAGATGGCCAGGTGCTGCTGGAAAATAAAGAGCGATGACAGAAATGGTGGTGCACCGAATGATACGAAGGCAAGTGCCCGCCGGCATTGAGTGCTTATCAAATCGCATGTTCATGTTTCTTCAAAGAATTGTGCTGCCACCAGACAGTCGAAGCACTCTCTAGCCGTCCTGACACACCAACCAAAGACCAGCTAATCTGTATTCAGCACCAGGCACACTCCCTGCAGCACCCAGTGGCTAATGTGCTCGTTGGTGCTCAAATCGGCGTCGAAAACCCAGCCGATGCCGCTGGCATTGCGTCGCTGCTGAGTGGTGTAAACGGGCGTCCGGAAGGTGTTGACAAGCTTGAGTCGATGCATCTCGATTGGGATAATCCGCAGAATCGGAAGTTCCTGGAGCAAGCGGCCGCCAGATTCGAGCCGAACGAGCGAGCCGGACTTGAGGTCCCATCCGGCGCCTTCGAGGTACAGTCCGGTCACATAGCAACCCGATGATGGCCGCTCATTCACCTCCGAAGGATTCACAAACGCTGTCACCTGTGTGTAGAGCGTCGAACGATCCAGTGGCCAGCCGTTCTTGCGACAGGTTGCCTGAACGAGGGCCGTGATGAACGCCTCAGGGACATGGAGCCCCGAAAGCCATACAACGGCAGGCTCGCCGTTCTTGATCCACGACGAGTATTGCTGAAAGCGCCTCTCGAAGAATTGCATCCATCCGCCCAGACCTTTCTCGGTCTGGGGAGCCAGTTTGCGCCAGGCGCTCGGCAGGGCACCGTTGTAGAGGGCATTGGCCAGATCATCCAGCTTGGCGCTCATTCCAATCTCGCCTTTCAGCGCTCGTCTCAGGTCCTTTAGCGTGCTTGCCATGCATTCGACGAGGATGTTCCAGCGCTCCAATTCCTGCAGCAGCACAATCTGCGTCGGTGAAGGGACGCCGATGGACTTGTAAATTCTCGGGACGTCGTATGTCGTGGGCAGCCTACTCTGGATATCCGAGGCAATGTTTGATATGAACTCTTCGCGACTGATGCCCCCGACTCCGTCCGAGGACCGGGGCTGCAGCGAGATGAGCTGGCTCCACATGTCCTTCACGGCCGTCGTCAAGTAGCCGATCTCAGCGTCGGGGTGGAGCCCGAACACATCTGGGGCATTGTTGAGGGGCAAGCTCTCGATGTATGCAATGTACTGTTCGCGCGTGCCGATCTCGGGGATTTTGTACTCGACGCTCGGGCTCTTGAAAAAGTAGAACGGCTGGAACGAGTCGAACAAAAAATCGCCCATGTACTCGTCCAGATAGGTCATCAACACGCGGCGGTCGTAGTCGTCCGTGACTCGCCCACCGTAGATGGTCTCGCCAATCAAATACCGCAGTGTTGTCCAAGGGATTTTGCCGTCCTTTTGTCCCGCAGTTTTGTCAAGGTAGGTCCGGAGGATCGTCAGGCTGACACGGAAATCGGATTCGTTAAAGTCGTACTTGACGTTCCAGCCAATCTTTCCGTATTTGCCTCGCTCCTGCACGACGGCATGGAAGAATGCCTGCACGTAGATCAGCGGCTTGAACATTTCGTGCGAGCAGTCCTCCATCACCTCGTCGGTCAGCTTGAAGTAGTTGCTGCGGATGTTGAGTTTGAGGCCGTTTGGTGGCTCCGTCACGACCTTGAGCGACTTTTGGAGGATGCCGATCGGGAACTGCGGGGTGGGCTCGGTGGTGAGCCACAGCCGGAAATCCTTGTGTGGCTTTTCGATCTTCTCGAGAACTTTCTCCAGATGGCGAAGCCAACCAACGAGCAGGTGGCAGTTCTGCAGCATCAGCCACTGTCCTCTGGCGACGGCAGTCTCCAGCAGCTGCAGCGCTATCGGGGCTTGTCCCTGTCCAAGCGACAAGAACTTGAGCCTGTTGCCGCCAAATCCGAGATTCTCTGCCAGTTTCTGAAGGTCACTCTGCGGGTCGGCGCCCGGACTGAGGATGAACACCACGGGGCTGGTGGGCGATGACTGGTCAAAGATGTTCTGGAAGTTGACCACGGGCGGCATCACGTACTTTTCGCCAATGTTTTTGATCACAAAGCTGGTGACGGCATTGTAGACCCGGTCAATCCGGAAGCAGCGCAGGAGACAGAGCTGCTGGAACGAGGTCAGGCGCTCCGAGTATCCCATCGGGAACGACGCAACTTCGGGCGCCTCGAGCTTGGCCCAAGTGTGCCACTCCGCTTCGTTGCCCTGCACATGCGTCACGAGGGAGCCAAAGTTTGGATGGATGACCGAGAGCTTTAGCAGGTCCTTCCAGCCCTGGTCGGTGATCCAGATGAAAGGCTTGGGAATCGACGGCTGCTCAAGGGATATATCTCCCTTGAGGAAGAAGTTGAGCTCCGTAAGATCGACCTGGCCCTCGTGCTCCATGAGCTTGATGGTCATCTGAAAGGAAAACATGAGCTTGTGCTTTTCAAACAAACCCGTGCATGCGTAGTTGTATACCGCGTACTTGAGCGTGTCCATGATCTTGTTGAGTCGCTTAGAGAGCAGTGCGTCGGGCTTGCTCTTGTGAAGCGAGCCCACAAAGACCTCGAGGAACGCTGAGAGCGAGTACTGGTACATGGGATTGATGGTCGACAGCTCTGCAAGAACAAAGAAGAGCACCGCACCGCACTTTGCGGCTGGTCGATAGGCATCGCGGGAAGCTTCGACCTCTGCAGAGGTCTGGTTGGCAAGCACAAGCTTCTGTCCGATTTCGGTTGCCTTGGACTTGGTCTCTTCCAAGGTGCGGATCAATTCGACATTGTCAAGCATGAGGCCAGTCGACGAAGCGAGCTCTCGAAGCAACGTGTCCTCGAGGTCCTTCAGCAGACTCTTGTTCTGACTCATCTCGATAATGAGGCGCTCACGCTGCTCTTCGAGCTCCTTGCGTTCATGACCAACGACGACGTTGAGCAACTGGTCGCTCAGGCCCTTGAAAGTGACGCTGTAGTTGATCACAATCGCCGACCCAAAGACCTTGGGCGTGTACGTGGGATTGGCAAGGCGCGAGGTGAGATAGAGCCTGAATCCTGGGTCAAAGTCGACTTCCTTGTCGCCCAGGACAATGAAGCGCCGCGAGCCCGCCACCTTGATGTTTTTCTCGAGAATGTTGTCGATAACGGGATCGATGTATTCGTCCACGTCTTCAAACAAGAACGGGAAGCCGTAGGTTATGGCCATCTCCAGGTGCTTCAAAAAGTCCGGGTCGTTGAAGGATGACACCTTGAGATTGTTGGTGGCCTCTCGTTTCTTGATCCAAGTCACGGCTTGCTGCTGGGGGTCAATGCAGAGGGGGAAGCGCGACGCCTTGGTTGTCAAGATGCCATTCTGGATCGACAGCTCGTCCGCCGGCAGGCCCTCCGATGCCCATTTCGACATTTCCACCTCCGTGACCAGAAGCCGCTCCACTCGAAAGGTCGCACTGAGCGGCACAGCTCGGTTGGTGAGGTCGCTGACCCATCGTTTGTAAACGAGCTCGTTGCGAAGCTCCCAATTGAAGGCTCCTGTGTAGCTGACAAACCCCGAGATCAGCAGACAGTCGCCCAGCAGCTGGATCCGCTGGTCTTTGAGAACGGCCAGGTCGTTGCCCCAGCGCACTCGCTCCGAGCCCAGGCCGGATATGAGTTTGTCAGCTGCGAGCAGGCGTCGCTCCATGACCTCCGCCATCTCCTTCAGTTCCAGCTGCTCCGACTTTGCCTTGTGGAACTGCTGCTGCAGAGTCGACAGCTCGTCGTTGAGCCGCTTGAGTTCCTTTGTGATCTTGTCGAACTCATTCTTGGAGAGCTGTAGGTTGCGCTCCAGCGTCGCTACCGCCGCGCGCTTGGGCTGGATTTGCTTGGCGACGTTGCAGTATCCGACCACGGCGAGCACAAATGTCAGGAGACCCGCACCGGCGGAAGAAATCTCCTGCATGCGAGTTATGGTCACATCCAGCTCGCGCAAGATGCTTTTGACGGCCTTGATCTGCCCGCTGGAGATGTTATCTACGTCGAGCGAGCTGAGCGACGATTTGAAGTCGGTTTGCGACATCATTGTCTTGGCACTCTTCCACGAGACATCCTTGATTCCCTTGATGACGCAAATGCACTCGCACACCTTCTGCACCTCTTTGGGTGGCTTGGCAAACGACCGAATCTCTGTGATTTCCGACGACGACAGGTTGGCCAAGGCCAATCGAGCCTGCTCAAGCGCCGGCAGCGCCTCGGAAAGCGCCGCCTCGGCTTCTTCCTTGTCCTTGGCAATCTGGATGTTCTGGGCATCGAGCTCGCTCTCCTTCTTCTGGGCAAGCCCCTTCTTCTCCTCAGCCTGGCGCGTGTTGGTTGTGATGACTTCGAGTAGCTGGTTGCATGCCTCAGTCTTGTTCTTGACGGCAATGTTCTGTTCAGCCAGCTGCTCGTTCAGGACATCGAGCTGCCGCGAGGATTCCTCCAGCTTGCCCAGTCCAGACTCCAGGCGGGCGCACAGCTTGCCGTTGAGCTCACGGTTTTCTTCCAGCAAACGGTTGTAAGTGCTGATGTAGTCAAGATAGTTCTTTGGTGTGACATAGTTGGCCCGCCTGTACTTTTGAAGAAACTCGATGCTAATGTCGCCCACGGAGAGATGGACGCCAACCATGTGGGCAACGATTTGCGGGCGCTGCTCGCTGGGGATCAGACCTTCCTTCAGGAAGGCGTCGGCTACAGAGAACAGCGCTTGCTCGGGCCATGGAGGAAACCAATCGATGACGGTGTTGTTGACGAGACCCGGGAACGAGCGACATCGCTCGCGCAGCTTGTCGCCTTGCGGCGACATGCACAAAACCACATGTAGGTTGTCCCAGCACTTTCCGACAAAGTACTGCCACATGTTTTCGCGGTTCTGCACCATCCCAAGGCGAGCAACCTCATCACGGATTCCGCCCAGAATAGCGTCTTTCTCCTCGTCTTCATAGAGGGCCGGCACCATTCCACTGGTGAGCATGTTGTTGATGAGTTCCAGAAAGCCCTCTTGGACGACGTGGGCATCGGTAAACATGAACACGGTCTTTTTTCCCGAGCCAAGCATCGAATAGAGGATTTTGAGGCTCTCCCGGAACTCGACTTCGCTGTACCCCCGAGTCAGGGTGATCTCGTAGACGCCATATCCAGCTGCAAAGGCGGCCAGGCGGGTCAGCGATTGCTTACCCGAACCGCCTACGCCAACGAGTAGACAGTGACCGCGCTTCATGCGAATCACACGGTGGATTCGCGTCAAATGATCGAGCGCATCGTCGAAGAGCACCAGGTTCATCTTGTTGAACTTGTCGTTGTACTCCTCCAGGATCTCCTGGAAGATCGATCGGATGGCGGCAAAGTCGAGGAGATCTTCGTACAGCCGGACGGACTCTTCCTGCAGCGCATAGCGAAAGTCTCCAAAGAGAGACGGATTGCGGGTGACGTATTCCTCGTCTGCTTCAAAGTTGTCGAGGATCTGGCGATTGAGCAGCTTGTTGACGTAGTCCTTGTCTGCATCGGTTACGAGGCGGTCGTGGAAGACTCTAAGGGACTCGTTGCGCCAAAGGCGGACAAATTGCTTGGAGGTTTGAAAGTGGTCCGGAGTCGACTGACACAGCCCTTCGTACACACGCGAGATGTCGCGCAGGTTGAAGATATAGTGGAACTTTGATGGCGTTGGCATCAGTGTCTTGGATATCTCGGCAAAGATCTTCAGGGTGAGTGCCGTCAGCTTGTCCGCAGCGCGACGCACGTCGTCCGAGAACGGCGCTGTATGCCCCTGGATGATGCCCGAGTAGATGCGGATGAGCGATGCGTCCTTGGGGAATGTGATGTTGAAGACCGAGAACAGCGAGGCAAAGCGGGGGTCGATGTCGTTGCGGCCGCCACCTGGGGTGCCCATGGATCCGAGACACTGCACGTCTTTGAGATACTTCCAGTTCAGCTCCTTTCCGCGGTCATAGAGTCCGCCGCGCTCGATCAGCAGCTTGAGCAGCGCAATGGGCTGCTGTGTGCCGTAGGTGTCCTTGGCGGGCATGTTGAGATCGTCTATGAACACAATCAGTCTCTTGCCCGCCGCTGGGCCGTACGTGTCCTTGGTGCGCTTCTCGACATTGACCTCCAAGTTACGCTGCACATCAAGCGAGGTTGTGCGCGACGAGAAGCTTATGTTGAGAATCAGGTTCTTGTCCGAGGGCAGAACTCGCAGATAGTTCTGGACCGTCACTGTCTTGGAGGTGCCCACCTCACCAACAAGCAATACTGGCTTCTTGATGCCAATGAGCTTCTCCAGCAGCCAGGTGTGGCGCACGGTGTCGAGCGTGGGCACCAGAATCTCGTGGAATGAGCATGATCGGCTGTGCTCGTATGCAGGCACGTAGTTGTTCCAGGGCACCCACTGCAGCTCAGAGGCATCAAAGTGGTAGTCGTACAAAGATTTGTCGTTACCGGGCAGCTGTCCGAGTACCACCGCCGCGGCCGTGTGCACCAGCGGGAGCTCCGAGAGCTTCTTGACGGCATCCGAGAACTTGATGCGGTCGTCTTCGAGCAAGCTGGCGCCAACCGACCATATGAGGGACTGGATAAAGACACCCTCGACAATGGCTTCCTGAGCGAGCTGCTTTGGGTCTGTCAGCTGCATCTCGAGGATGGAGCACAGCTGCATCACGGTGTTGAGGCCGGTGACGGGTATCACGCGCTTGAGAGGATCGCCCATGAAGCCCTGGAAGGTGCCCTCCAGCACATACTCAACCAGCGATGGCACATACTTATTGAAGAACTTCATGAGGCATTCGACCTTGGTTGGACGGCTGGCCAGCCACTTTTGGTAATACGGTCGGTAGCCCAGGTTCTTTGGGTCCATGTAAACCATGCCGCATCTCGAGACCGTGGCCGGGCTGGCGTATTGAAGGTCACCAACCTCAAAAAGCAGTGCTACATGCTTCTGCAAGCGGATGCGCTCGCCGTTGGGCAGTGTCAGCAGCTTGTTGTCGTCCATGACCGAGTTCATGTTTTCGACCCAGACGGCATCAACGTCGCCATCAAAGACAATGTACTTGCGTTCCTTGCGATCGGTGGGTTTGTTGGTCTCTCTGAAGATGTTGGAGAGCAGACCGTCGGTCCAGTCGCGCGTGGTCTGGTCCAACACACCGTACAGCTCTGCGACGGTAACGGCTTTGGGGTTGAGGATGTACAGCTTGGTGGGGAGTCCCAGCTTGGTCTGGGCCTTGGCAAGTGTGTCGATCACCACGGTCTTTCCGCCGCCGGCCGGGCCGACCACCATCGAGGTGTGGCGGGTGAGCATGGTTTCGTACAGCTGCACGACCTTGTCGACCTGCTCAGGGACCAGGATGTATCCAGAGTCGCGAAGGATTTCCTCGACGGCATCGTTGAAGCTCGGATAGCGGACACGTGGGCAATCGAGACCTGGAAACAGGTCAGTGATGAGACCGAGGAAGAGTGGCACGTCTTCAAAGACAAACTTTGGGAGATTCATATCGCGCAGGGCCCGCATGAGCACAACGTCTTCATTGAGGTCCGGGGACCCGCGCTTGAGCGAGCCCGCCATGACAAGCACGGACTTGAGCGCTCGTAGTCCAAAGTCGTAGTGGTGCTGCTTGGAAAGCTGCCCCTTTGCAAGCTTGTACAGAACCACCATTTTCTTGGCCAGACTCTTGGCCAAGGTGAAGCCTTCCGAAAAGAGCATGATCTCACAGATGAGCTCGAGATCTGGAACGGCCATGACAACGGGCCTGAAGAGCGCTTTGAGGTTGTCGGGAAGCTCGGTGCGGCCGGCATAGCCAGGATTCATGGTGATGAAGATGCCTGTTTTTTTGTCGAGCGAGATCTCGTTGCCCTCGAACTGAAAACGCTTCAGGCCAGCGACGAGGGCGTTCTGGATGGTCTTGATCTGTGCCGAGATCACAGAGAGCACAGCCAGCTCGATTCGGTTGAACTCGTCAAAACATCCCCAGGCGCCTGTTTGCACGAGCCCAGCAAAATTCTGCCCCATGGCGCGGTAGTCCATGCCGTCACCGCAGTTGGTGACCATGCACAGCAGCCCCATTGCCTTGGCCAGATCCTTGACGGTCTCTGTCTTGCCGGTTCCAGCCGGGCCAGCTGGGGCCCCTCCGAGCTTCATCGAAAGTGCTTGTGTGAGCGTTAGATAGCATCGGTCTGTCAACGGAGTGATCACCAGTCGGCCGTTGAGCCCCATGTACTCGTATCCATAGTCAAAGACGCCGTTACACTGGCGCACGATCAATTCGTCTGTCTGTCTGTCCCAATAGAACCGCAGCTGCGACTCCCACTCGAACTCTCCCTCGTCTGTGATCGAGTCGCGCACAAAGCGGTCGACAATGTCGCGAGCGTGAACATCGATAATGATCTGGGAGTTGAGTTTCTTTCGATCGTTCGAGCTCAGGTCGGAACGCACTTTGACAACAAGTTCCTCCATTTGCTCAGCGAGTGACTTTGAATACTTCTTCATCGCCAGCTTGTTGCCGAGTCGGATCTTGCGGAAGACATCCTCGACTTCCCATGTCCACCACACTTGCGAGCCAGCAAGGGCCACCATGCCCTGGTAAGCCAGGATCCAGGGAAGGCGCTCCATGTCGACGTAGTGGAAGATGGCTTCCTTGTGCAGCGTGCGATTGGTTTTTTTCATCTCAGACTCGACGGCAAGCATCCACTCCTCGACGCGGCCCTCGATGGGCACGACGCGCCTGAACTCGAGGCACTCGCCCTCGGACGACGACATGCCGATGACTGCCTTTTCGTTCTTGCCCGTTCCAAAGGTCAGGCGCAGGATGTTGTCGAACATCTTGATGATGTGCTCCTGCACGTTTTTGGGGTCGTGACTTCCCAGGATCGACAGCAGCTCTTCGTCCGAGATGAAGAAGAACCGCGGGAAGGCGTTTCGCTTTGACTCGAGATAGTCCGAGAGAGACTTTTGGCACGATTCGAGCTCGTTCGACAGGTTTTGCAGGAGCTGAAGGCGACCCTCGGCGTTACATGCCTCCATGACGGAGGTGTGCTTGGCCGTGTCGCTCATGAGCTTCTTAAAGGTCTTGTCGATGCGGTCGAACCTGGCTGCCTCCTCCGGAAGCTGCTGGCGAATATCGCCCGAGCCTATAAAGATCGACTCGAGATACATCCATTTGCGCTGGACAATCATCCAGACGTCGATGACTTCGCCAATGTGCGACAGGATCTTCTCCCACTGCTGCACCGAAGGCAAGAAGGCCGTTACGAAGCGAGAGGCTCCCATCGACTGGAGCGACATGGCGTTGTCGTCCAGGGCAGTCGTGATTTCATCGACGGCGCCAAGGATGAAGCCGCGATCCTCGGTGCCCTTGGTGTACTTGACGACAACAAATTTTGTGTTGCGCCAGGTGTTTTCAATGTCACGGATGCCGTTTTCGATACTGAGCTCCTTCATAGCCCCGGACACAATCTCGCCGATGGCCTCGGAGTGTTCGTGCAAGTTCATTGAGAAGAGCTTCTCGAGGGTAAAGATCTCGGGGTTCATGTCAAAGCTTTTGCCGGTGATCTCCATCAAACGCTTCCAGTGGCGGTCGCGAAGGGCCTCGTTTTTGAGGTCGGCAAAGAGTGGGATCGAGTCCTTGAAGGTGACGATCTTTTCGGCAACGACGTTGTAAGGCGGTAGTTGCTTGAGCTCCTTGGGCATCTTCTTGAGCCTCGACGAGAACGTCTCGACACCCTTGTTGAGGACGTTGATGTCGAGGTTCGACCACAGCGTCGTCGACCATCCGTTGATGGCGTCCTTGACCTCGGTGTAGAGCTCGTAGATCTTGTCGAGCTCCTTGATTTCGCTCTCGATCTCAAACAGCTCTGGGTACGAGGTGATGATCAGGTTGAACAGCTTCTCGGCCTTGACCAGGTGCTCGCGCTTGGCTAGAAAGCCAGCGACCATTTCCTTGGACTGCTTCAGCAACTCGAGACCGTGATCCATGTCGAGGTCCATGGCGCCGGGGCCGTTGACGGTGAACTCCTCGCGCGCACGCTTGAGCTCGGCCTTGAACTCTTTGACCTGGTTCTGGGTCGTGTCGGTGAACTTTGCCTTGACCGGGATCAGCGAGTCGTCAACGCGGCGCGCGGTCTCAAGCATCTCGGCCCACTTGACCGGCAGCTCGTTGGCCATCGCAATCTCGTCCTCCGAAATCTCAATGTTGTACATTCGGAAGATCCGATAGCCTTCAATGACGTCCTGGTATTTGACTTCGACTTCCTCTGTTGCGCCGCGGATCTCGGCGATCACGTTGAGGACAAAGGTCAGGTCGTCGAGGGTGGTGGGTGTTCGCTGGAGATCTTCGTGGTACTTTTGCATCCTCTCGGTGAGCTCGGTGAGTCCTTCCTTTGTTTTGATATTGAGATGCTTGCCTTTGGGCAATGTCGCCACCGCACACCAACGCTGTCAGTCTGATGATCAGCGTGCTGGAGTGCCCGGGCAAATGCGCGGCAGCAACCGAGACACACTCACCTATAGATACTACCCAGCTGGTGGCCTCGCTATGAATCGCCGCTTGAAGTGGCAGTGAAATGACCCGAATAAATCCAATGTCTTTGACGGTGACCTGATTCTCGACATCGACAGCGAGTTTGGAGTAGAACGCCAACTTTTCGTCATAGTTGATGATTGTGGGCTTTTTCTGGGCAAACTTTTCCAGCGTGATAACCTAGGAGGTTCCGAAGCCAAGTGGTGAGCCCATATTCACCCAAGACAACCGGTCCCTTCCCTTGACCAGAGGCTACAATGGTCCGCTCAGACCTCCGCTCACAAAACGCACGTGGAGCCGCGAGCACAGGATCACAGAGCTCCGCCGGCGCCGACGATACAACAGGGACGATCTTGATCGGGTATCAGGGCCCCCAAACAAGTCGTCGAACTGCCAATGCCTCTGCTACATCGGCACGCACCTTGTCCACTTTCCACAGCGGGCGGTACTTGCGCCATGTGTCGAGGTAGCCGGAAAGCTCTCCAAAGGTCCTTGTGACGGTGGTGTTGAGCTGCGAGACCAAGGCTATGATTTTTTGGTTGCAAACCACGTCGGAATGGAAGCTAAAGACCATCGGCTCTTCGTCTTCGCTGATTTTCTGAGGCGGCGTGATGTGGCAGGTGCCGTTCTGCCAGCGATGAAACTGCTTGGTCGAGTCGATTACTGATCGCGCAAACTTTATAATCATCTTGTAAATCTCAGCAGCGAGCGGTGCGATCACAATCTCGGGAGCCGAGAGCGATGCAAAGACCTTGAAGAGCGGAGCGGACCGCTGTGGCGGGATTCGGAACGGCGTCGGACCAGGCTTGGTCTTTCGGCTGGTCACTTGGCCCATGAGGCTTTCCAGATACTGTAGATTGTTCACGACCATCTGAGGACCAATCGGAGAAGTTAGTGATGCTATCGTTGCTATTGTTGCCATCAACGTCAAAGACACAGCCCGGCCCAGCCACGATGACGAGACGGATTCCAGCGCTCAAGTCGGGATGTGCCATCAACTTCCTGATGTGGCGGCCAGTGAGTATAGTACAATACGGGCTCAGCGACTTACAAAGTTGAGCGCGGAGAACACCCGCTTTTCCCAATAGTAGTAGTAGTCCTTGAGCACCTTGCTCTTGCCTGTGTTGGTGCCAGCGACGAGCGACTCCATCTTGATGAGAAGCGGACCGATGCTGCGATATTTCATGGTCATGCCCTCCAGAGTGTTCACTCGATGCTTGTTGATGTAGTCAAAGAACTCCTGATAGAGTGGCCATTCGCGGCGATGTCAGAACGGTCAAGTGTGCCAGCGCACATCGGTGGCCTCGTGTCTTGGATAAAGCAGCGCAAGCAAAACCAACTCGCTCAAGCGGCGTGATCCGAGAATGTCAACTAACATGGGCATCAACAATGTCGCTCGATGTGGGCAATTCGACCAACATTGACTGTGCGATCTGGTCGACCGAGCGTGCGATATTGGCCGAGTTTTTGCGGATCTGGTTCACCATGGATGAGAACTTGTTGATTTCCTGGGAATTCAGGATGGGTGTAGCCACCAGATGTTAGTGCCTGAGTGTATGGGATGACCGTTGAGCCAGACAATGGCACCAGCCGTGCTACACAGCCACGCAGATTCAGCCCACCTGGTTACACCTCTGGATAAAATCTGGGATTCCGAGGGAGTTCCAGTTGAGGCGTGTAAAGCCCGGTTTCATGACGCGCTTCAACTCGACCATCTGCACCTGCAGCAGCTTTCTCTCGGCTTCGTCCAGTAGAACGACGACGCCGTTGTAGCTATTGAGCATGGCGTTGAGGTTTTCGACATAGGTGTAGTACTTTTCCTCTTGCAGCGCCACGTTCAGTGCGGACTCGGGGATGGAGAACCCCATCAGTTCAAGATACTTGGTTTCCTTGATGATCTCCTTTAGTTCCGGCCGGAAGTTTACGAGGACTTTCTCGAATGGCTTGTCGGCTGAGGCGTCCGGTGTTCCGGGAGTAGTCGTGGTGACGACAACAGTGGCTGGCTGCGCTGCTCCGTCCTTGGTCAGGATATGCGACTTGAGGTACATGATGGAGCTAGCATCGACGGAGGAGCACCACTGGTAGTAGAGCTGTGATGTAAAAGCGTCGATGAGCTCAAACAGTATCTGGCGTTGTACCCCGCAAAGATCCGCTCGACCCTGATGCTGCATACAGGATTGCTGTCACTGCCTAACGTCCATTGCATATGCAGCACATCGCAGACCAAGGACGTGAGAAAACTCGCTGTCATACCGTTTGCTCGTACTCGCGCATGGCTTTTGCAGCCGTGAGATACTTTCGGGTGACTGCTCGTCCCTGCTCGCTCGCCAGCATCTCCTGTAGCGATTGGAATCGCACGATAGTCTTTTTGATCCTGTAGAATAGCGAGCGCGACCACGCGATGGCACCTGCAATTTTTGGTTGGTTCTTTGTACACGGTGGATTGTTTCTTTGTGGGTTGATTCGCCGTGGAGATATTCAGTGTGCAGATGTGATTAGTGACAGATTTGGCTGTCCTGCTCTCCTTCCATACAACTCAAGAGCACGTTCCGGCAACACTCTTCTGCATCACCAACAGACCACAGATACTTGTATCTTTGCGTCGTTTGATTCTGTGAAATTCGGCGTGCACATGCTCAAGGTACTCACTTGTTGTTTGTAAAGATCTCCTCGATGATATCGACCTCGCGGGCGTACTGGTCCAGAATCTCATACCACTTGCCCATAAGCTGGTTATTGATAGACTCGCGGGATTTGATGTTCTTGATGTTTTGCAGCAAATCAAACGCACCCTCCGCAGAGCGAAGCTTCTTGAATGAGGCGTCGATAAACTGCTTGGCCATGTCCTCGATCTGCACAATCTGTTCACGGAATCGCGACATGAGAGAGTCCCAGGAGCTTTGATATCTGGGTGGGCCCAGACACAGCGAGTGGATGAGTAATAGGACACTGGCCATGGAAAATAAGGCAGAATGTGGCTGCCGCAACGAGCTACTGCGGTTTTATACAGTCTAGGCTGATTCGTGGTGCTGATGCGATCGCCAGCCCGTGGTCCTTGCCCCCTTACTTTTTGGAAAACTGATCAAACGGAATCTGCTCAAAGGGCACGATCAAGGCTTCGACGCGCTTGATCACTTCGTCGATCTGTTGGGGATCGCCCGTGACGGCCTTCAGTTCAGGCCCAAAGATGCTGTAAAACTGCTCCATGACCTCGGCAATCTCGAACAGATCCGAGCACTTGAGGGCAATATAGTTGGTCTGCTCAAAGAGCTTCTTGCGGTCAAACTCCCAGCGTTGATCACGGCCGGACTGCTCGATTCGCTCGCGGACTTGGAAGTAGGTCTGGGCGCAGCGAAGCAGAGTGTTGCGTGTACGTGACCAAAGAGACGATCAATCTCACGCTCAGATTCGAAGGAGCGACAAGACTGGGGCCTCCCTCGTCGCTCCCCCCCTTCCACCCCCAAGCATCATATTGGAGATTACCTTGCTCCAGCTCTCGAGAAGGTTCTTTGCGTCCATGATCTTCTTCTTTGCGCTGACAGGAGGTTCACGGAGGATAGTTTTGATGTTGACAATGTTCTCGACCTTGTTGGCGAGCTCCCACGCAATGCGGCTCATGAGCGGAACCATGCGTTCGTCCCTGTTGTAGTGCCGAGAGATGATCCAAACCATCCGAATGGCGTTCATGAGCGATGGGAGCGAGTCCTGTGGATCGTAAACGGAGGATAGCGCTTGTTGTTACTGAAAATACTCGCAAGCGAGTGAGGGAACCAAACGCCGCACTTGCGCCGACCGACACCAAACATCTTACCTGAACGCTGATGAGACTGCCTGTGATGATGTTCTTGAAATGCCGCTCCAGGGTGCTGAGGAACTTGACATTGTCCTTGGCCTCAGTATAGAACTTGTTCAACTCCCCGAGTTGAAACTCGAGCGACGAGCAGCATGGAACCTGTGCTTTGTGCAGGATCTTGACCATCGAGTGGACGATTGGCAGATTGAGCTGTTCGTAGAGGGTCGACAGAGATGCATTGCGGTCGCGCCAAAACTCAATCTCGGACAATGGACCCTGGCGTAGGATAGAGAGTCAGATTGAGCTGGACATCAACACTTTTGTCAACAAACACCACGTCGCTCGTAGAATCGGTTGGATATGGCAATGCACAAGGATCCAGAAGTGTCATCTGCAATGAATTTTCGGATCTGCAAGTGACGAGGACCCAAGCCAGACACATAGCTGTCGATGTACAGGCATATCGCAGCACCCACATTTCCGTTCGGGACTTTCTTAGTTTCCTTGGCAAGCGCGCCGATGATGGTCTCAATCCACTCTTCGGCCAGCATCTCGAGCTTCCGCACGACCAGCACGTCTTTGGCTGAAGTGTCGATGTCGGCGATGGCAACCAAATTCAGGTCGTCTGGAATGTTAAGGCGGGTCTCACCGGCGACCTGCTGGGCGGTGTGGGTGATTTGGCTGGTGAACTTCTGCATGGCCACGACAAACTCGGAGGTCATGTTGGTTGGAGCCTTGGCAGTAGAGAAAGCGCCTTCGGTCGTCTCCGTGACGGCTGCTTGGCTATCGTAAATTTCGTCATCAAAGTCGGGGACACTCAGGATCGGCAAGTAAACCTCTGAGAGTAGCTGCTCGAGCATGATGAGGGTATGGCCAGAGAAGTAACCGACGTCTAGCCACTGAGGCAGATGGATCGCGGCATCTGGAAAGCGGTGGAGTGTGTGAATGCACGTCAAGGTACCGCTCTGCTCCACAAGATGTGGTTCCGCAAAGCGGGAAGCGCTGGCCAGGCTTCGGCAACCTACCTTCGGCGCTTTTGGGCATGGGGATCGGCCCGGCTTTGTTGCGGAGAAAGAAGATCAGGTTGACCTCAGAGACTTTTTCTGGGACGCTCTGCACATACATGTGAAGTTTGTGGACGTCCTTCATCACGAAGCAGGGCTGAGGTGGGGCGGCTGGGGCAGCGGCGGCTGGTGGAGCCTCTGGCCCGGGCTGGGCCGTACCGCCTTCTGCTTCGGCTCCTTCAGCGTTTGCTGGACCAGAAGCCTCCTCGGGCTGGGCCTCCTACACCGAGCGACGTGTCAGCAGCGGGAAATGCGCGACGTACAGAATGCAAGGTCATCTGTAGCTTTGATGATCAACGTACAGCGACAGAAAGTTGTGGAGCGTCTGGAGCCAGAGCCTCGGCTGCAGCTTCCTTTGGTGTCTGGTCGGTAGCTGCGAAGCGGGGCGAAACAAGCTGAGTGGGCGAGAACGTTTCGGGCAGCTTTGGAATATAAGTTCAAGCCCCGTGTGATGAAACACCGTGGCACCTACCTGGGCCATCGCCGGCGGTCTTCTCCTCGGCAGGCTTCGGGCTCTCGCCTGGCTGATCACCTGCTGGCGCGCTGGCTGCAGACAACTCGGTGACTTCGGCGGGAGTGGGCTCGGTGGTCAAGTCGACCACCTCGTCGGCATTTGTGGTACTCTCGACGGGCAACTCGACAGGCTTGACTTCGATCCGGATTTGTGAGACTTCGTTCCAGAACACGAGCGCGGACTGGTTCGTGTGGGACTCGAGATAGTCCATGAGTGCTTGGAGGTGAACGCGGTTGTCGCGCTCCAGGCAATCGAGGAACCATTCGGACGGAGACTGCAAGCCGGCGGATGTCGACTCGGCCATGAGGCCGGATTCGACCTGCTTCCTGATCCACACGATTCGATCATCGTGCAGCGGATCTGCTGGCATGGGTGCCGGGACATAGGCGGGCTCAGCAGGAGCGCCTGTCGCGGCGCCAGCGGTTCGGGGACGCGACATGCACGGCAGACGCGAGGGGCTGGGCTGGCCAGGAACAAGGCGTGTTCAATGTGCACGAAGAGGCACAAATGGTCCTGGAGGGGGGCTCTCTGGCTCGGAGATGCACTCGGCAATTGGAAGAGCTTTGAGAGAGATGGGAGAATGTGCGCGTGCGTATGACGACGCGTGAATATATGTGATACGCAGGTGTGGACTCTGCTCAGATCCAGCAGTCGCAGGTTGCTGCCCTGGAGCAGAACGAGGCTGGATTGCTGCGTGGAGTGGTCGCCGGGCTGAAAGCTGAAGCAGCACGAAGGGGCACGAAGCGAATACTGCGGCGCGGTAGTTGCTGAGGGGTCACAAGAACGGGTGTGGCAGCTGGTGCTCTACGGGCAGCTTCAACGGGAGCAGATGGGAGAGCGCCCTGATGGCAAGCGGACGGGAATGCCCGCGCGAGTGTGGGAAACGGCTGCATTCCCACGGCCGCATGTCCAGCAGCGCCACGCCGAGACCACGTGGACACATCATGCTGATTGGCCGCGGTCGGTGGCGGCTTGAGCATGTCCGGAGAGCGGCGCACGGGGCGGAAGGCAGCATATGGGAGGCCGGAGGACAGCATCTGCGATGCATATGCGTCGCAAATGCGGACCCAGAGAGGATGCGAGATAGAAACGGAAGTGGGTGTGGATTGCGACAGGAGGGTGGGTGCATCAGATTGCCAGTGTGATGGGGAATGGCGATCCACGAAACATGAAACATGAAATATGAAACATGAAACATAAAACATGAAACATGAAACATGACAGGGCATCCATCGCAACCACAATCAAAACAACTACAATCAGAACAACTGAAATCGCAATATCAACACTCGCAGCTATCGCGGCTGCCGCATTGGCCACAGCAACTACCACCGGCCGGACACCGTCGGAGTGGCGTCCCATCTGAACCAGCCTCGTCCGCCTGTCCGAGACCGCTCCCACACTCCAAGCAGCGTCCAGGACTCCCCCCCCCGCTCATGGACAGACCAAAAAGCTGCCCGCTGGCTCTTGGGCTCCCTCCCTCCTTCGCAGCCCGTCTGACCTTTGCCAAGTTAATCCAAGCCCAGCACCGATCTACGATCTCCCTCGATCTCATAGACCCGCCGTTCTAGACATGTCCTCCGCACCCCACAGCTCCGCATTTGCCCTCAGCGATCCCATGGGCGCCGATCAGGTGCGGACTGCATTGTATTCGTCTCCTCCGCATCTCCGCAGGGCTCCTGGCCGATCTCCGCAGGATCTGTCTCCTGGCTCGGCTATCATCCCAGCGTCGAATCCATGATCCTGTCTGCTGTGATCATCCGCCACTTACTGCTATTTCCTTGCTTATCATCGCCACCACTGTCGCTATGACTGCTGCTGCTGCTGTTTCGCCACCCGACTCATTCGGTCACAAATCAGATCGATAGCGACCTGGATGCTGCCACAACCTTCCTGGAGATGGCCCTGAATGATCGCCAGACTCTGCCGCGAGATCCCTACGAGCTTCGCCAGCTGCTTCAGGATGGCTCTATTCTGTGTCGGTGCGTAAAGTCTTTTGTTCCTGCGCCAACCGCAAACATCGATCGGAGACTCCGGGCTCACCCGCATTGACGACATCGACCGCCGCTGTCGCTGCTCGCAATACATCCCTCGCTCGCTGTGACATCGCCGCCGCCGTCGTCCTCGGCAGCTCCGGCCTTCGCAATATCGCCACTGCATTCCTGCTATCCTTTCTGCAACTTACACCACCCGCTGATCCTGTCTGCAACCCACATCACTCGTTGTCGTTGATCGGCGGATGTAATCGCCAGGCTGCTTAGCATTCTCTCGCCTGGGATATTCTCGCTCATTGCCAGCAATGTGTCCCAAGCCGGTCCATCGCAGCCCAAGGCAAGTGCCGCTTCCGAATCAGCTTGTCGCTTCCTTCGCATCCATCTAACCCGGCGTCTCCCAATCTTCCCGAGCAGACCGACAACGTTGCACTGTTCCTGCAGGGCGCCAGGGCTCTCGGTGTTCCGGACTCGGAGCTGTTTGATCCCAGAGACCTACACAGCAGCAGAACTATCCACAATGTACATTATCGCTCCGGCATCACAGGCCAGCTTTGTCGCTTTCCTTCATGACGTGCATATCCTGCCATCTCATGATGCGCTGTTGAGGATTCGGCGGCAGGCGATGCGTGCCCCATCATTTCGGACATGCTCCTGACGAGTCCGGCTCCCTGTTCTGTCTCCCCTAGGTCGTCCTGACCTTGCTTGCCCTCCAGCGCTGCACCTCAACCAAAGGCAAGGGCGCTCTACCTCCTATCCGCTCAAAGCCGGCACGCAAGCTGCCTCCGCTTCTAATGAAGGCCGAGGCCGTTGCTAAAGACGCGCCTGCTATGCGGAAACCAGCCATCACCTCATTCGATGCCATCGGCGTCGATCCACCACTTTCCTCCGCAAGCGCACGCATCGTCGATCAAAGCGCCCTGTTTAGCATCTCCCAAGTGAGTTCCCGCCGTGCTGAAGACGCTCTTCCTGTCCGCAGGGACGAACAAGCGGCCCCAGAACCTATCCCAGTCTCCCAACCGCCATCAAGAGTCAACCCTGTCCGTTCTAATTTCTTCTCTGACATCCAGCTCGAAGGCATTAAGCCCCCGCGCACCCGATACGTCGAGTCTGACTACATCTCATCCACCAGCCTTGAGCTCTCTCACCAGTCGGACATGCCCCTCAGCGGCCGAGATGCCGCTGACGACACCGACGAGGAAGTTGTCGTACCGCCCTCCTTCCGCAATCTCTACGCCGAGGATGCTCGCCCGGCCGAGCCACTACTGGATAGTGATAGGCCCTCCACTCGCGACCCTGGCCCGATGGGTCTGCTCGATCCCCAAAAGACCTGTAGTGTCGAGGGGGTGCCCTCACCCGAGGCGGAGCACCTCGAGCCTCGCCTTCCCGATGCCGAGGATCTTATGGCCATGATCAAGAGCTATGAGGCCGAGAAACGCAAGGGCTCGCAGCAAAGTCACCTCGATGCCGTCCGTCCTGAACAGACTCGGCCCGAAGCCAACAGCAGGGTCTCTGGTTCTGGCTCCGGCTCTGGCTCTGGCTCCGGCTCCGGCTCCGGCTCTGCCAGAGACCCCGACCGTCCAAACGGACCTGCTTCATCATCCAAGCTAAAGACCAAGAGTCGTGGACTGGAGCGGCTCAAGAAACGAGTCGCCATGAGCAACATTCGAGCGACAGACTACCCCATGGCGATCGAGTCCGACGACCAGCCTGCCAAAGTCGATTCGCTCCACGATCCGGAACCATCATCAGCTCGCAGCGGAGCCTCCAGCAAGGGAAAGGAGCCCTCCAGCGGCTCTGCCTCATTGCCCGCCGAGTCCAGAGCATCCGGCTCCATCCACCAAGGCGCCGAGCTGCTCCTTGACGAGCCCTCGGTATCAAACACAGTCCTCGATACCAAGATTGGCGCAATTGTAGGACTCGACTGCTGCTGCTCTGTTTGTCCAGTACCGCATCACATCATGGTCCACGCTGTAGCTGAATGCTCACTGTGTCGTTCATCTACAGAGCCTTGGAGAGCGTATCGGAAAGGGTCGGTTTGGTGAAGTTTACAGGTGGGTTCCGCATGCGCGGTGATCCCGAGATAGCTTTCGCTGCACTTGATTCAGCTTTAAAGGAGTTGTTAGACTCCCGGTTGGAGTTTGTTGGTGCCAGTTGTCCGTGCAGTGCTGATTCTCACGGCCGTCGATCTCGATGGTGCTGCCGACCATACACAGGGCTCTGAATACGACCGACGGTAAGGACATGGGCCGTCATCTTCGGTGCAACGACGCGAGCCGTGCTTGTGTATGTTCGTCTAATCACTTGCCGTCTGTTGAACATCGTTTCCAGGCTGCGCCGTGGCCATCAAGCGCATTTCGATGCGAAACCTGCCCCAGGATCGCATTACGATGCTGATGGTAGGCCCACCAGACCACCCGAGAGGGCCGTACACTGGCACCTTGTGTCCGGCCCTGCCTGAGGCACTCGGGGATATCCCGTGGCCGTGTCAGCGACGATTGATTCAGAGATATCCTACAGATTGGAGCAACTCGGCGCTCGTGCATTCTCATGTGTCTGATTCTGTCTGCCTTCCGCCACGCAGGAGGAAGTCACGCTTCTGAGCCACTTGATGCACACCAACATCGTCACATACTATGGCTATCTCAATACCGAAGACCACATCAACATTGCTCTCGAGCTCGTTGATAATGGCTCGCTCTTGAAGCTGCTCAAGACACACGGCAAGTTCAAGGAGAATCTCGTCTGCATCTATACCATGCAGATCCTGCAGGGACTCATCTACCTCCATGAAAAGAACGTCGTCCACTGCGATCTGAAGGTTGGTATCTCCACTGGGTCGGGCAGGGCAGTGAGAAAGTGCTTCCGCCTCCCCCGTCGGCGTTGTGCTTGTTTCGCATCTTTCCCAGCGATCTTTGCCTTGTGTCTACCATGCGCGCTCAGTCCGAACCGTGTGCTTCATTATCACCGATACTGACTTGCGGACTGGGTTCACAGGCTGCCAACATCCTCATCACCAAGGACGGTGTCGTCAAGCTTACAGACTTTGGCGTCTCCAAGCAACTTGCGCCGATCCCGGAAGCCATCAGCACGGATGCATCGGTGCCCAAGAACGAAATCGGTATGTGGATTCCCATCCGTACGCAATGTCCCTCTTTGATTTACATCCCCGGCATGTAGCTGCACTAGATTCAGCATGTTGACATTGCTTTCTGTGCTGCCATATAGTTGGAACCCCTCATTGGATGGCACCCGAGGTATGTATTCGACGTTGTTCTCTCACCAACCAAGCTTGCTCGCTGTGCATCTGTCGTTGACCCACGCGACTGCCGCCCTGCCGCTTCATACCCAGGTCATCCTGCAACAAGGCGTGACCAAGTCGTCGGACATCTGGTACTGGTTCAAAGACGCTGCTGAATGCCACTGCTGTTGCGCACTTGCAGTTGCACTGATCTTGTGGCGCTTTTGGCGCTGAGAGTCGAGGCGCGCGTTCTTGCTCTGACATTGGAACTCCGTGGTGCTCTGTAGGAGTCTTGGATGCACAATCATCGAGCTGCTGACCGGCAAGCCGCCCAACCACGAGATGCCGATCTGTTCCGTCTTGTATCGCGCCATGACCAACGACCTCAGCATTCCAATCCCAGAGGATATCTCAGGGGTAAATGGCCAATTCGACGTTTGTCATATCGACCGCCCACAGACACTTGTCGCTATCGCCACTTCAGCAGCTGGTGGCTCTGCTCCTGCTGTTTCTGCTGTTGTTGCTATTTTGATATGCTTGCTTTAAATGTGGCTCTGACTCATCCGCTTCGGCCTTACTCTCGCACAATCTGCAGGATCTCTCCAACTTTCTCTCGCTCTGTTTGCAGTACAACCCACAACGGCGCCCAACCGCAGCCATGTTGATCAACCATGCCTGGATCGTGAGCCGAAAGCCCCTCAGTCGCCGCAGCTCAGCCGCCTCTCACCGGAGCGAAGAGCCCCTCTCGCCCTTCTACCGCGCCAACTCGATGATCAACTTTCCCAGGCCAGTGTCCAGCTTCTCGTCCGGAGTGGACAACAGGCTGTCCTTTGCTGCCTCCATCCAGTCGTTCCCCAAATATGTACCGTCGCCCCGGCCCGATGTTCAAAAGAGTGCTGCCACGCGCCGCTATGAAGAGCTTCTGCGGCAGTCCAAGCCGAGGTCGCCCTTGAGCCCGCCTCCGGAGCAGCCTTTGGATATGATGACCGGCATCCAGCGTGATCCTTCGAGCGGGCAGAGCATGTCCCCAAGCCCATATCGAGAAGCCCTCGAGGACGAAATCGAGCGCGAGCTGAGGGAGCTCGTTCGGATGAAGCAACAGGTCCATGTCCAGTATGCAGGGCTGTCGTCGCCGATCGAACGCCCTTCGATGGGACAGACTGACTCCCCGCTTATGACACCCGTCAGTTCGGGAAGGCTCGGATCCGGCTCAAACTACCGAAACGAGACGCTCAGCAGCCCGTCCTCGATCATCGTCAATATGGGCGGACGAAACTGGAGTGGCTATTTGAACAATCCACCTCCAAACCTGTGAGGCGATGGTGAGCGGTGCAAAGCTGTGGAGGCGCACTCCTCCTCCCGCTCCAACCACACCATACCTCGCCTCGCCCAGGCTCTTTGACACGCTCTTGAGACAGAGTCTACCTGGCAAAGCTTCTCTCGTTTGCTCTGTCGTCTCGGTCGATGCGGCTTATCATCTTCGTTGCACATTGTCGTTTTGACCACCCATCGCTCATGTTCGGATGCCACTGGGCCCCTTCCAGTCTCCGATCGCCCGAGTCTCTCGCCATCCATTAATTCGATGCTCTATCAAATGTTCTCACTTTCTGCTATGAAATTTGCCTCGCTGTCGTTGGGTCGGAGCAGAGTCGTGTCGCAATATGCTCCTCCCTTTCCTCTTATTCACGGTTTGATTGTTGTCTCCTCGTCCAGTTTTTGTCATTTTGCTTGGTTTTATCATTCGCCCTCAACTTTGGTCATGCCCATGAACGAAAAGAACACGCAAAGAAACACACACATGGGCCGTTTATTATTGTCTTCAACAGCAGCCCGAGGACATACACGAGGCGGCAGGGCTATCCACTCGGACATTCATGAGTCGGGTTGATTCATGGCCCAACAGTGCTTCAGGAACCGATGGAGTGCGCCACAAGCCAGATCCTACAGGACACGATTTGTGCTGTCCACCAGCCTGCCGTATCCAGAGCTTTCCTGAGGTTAAAGGGCTAGGAAACAAGCTCACCGAGCAACAGACTGATGAACGGGCATATCCATTCCAACGAGGGGGGGGGGAGGAGCGACTACAAAACTGCTCCTTGGGCATCCAGGTCGTCATACATTCACGAATAGGCCGGCAGTGATGGCAATTTCGGGAGGCGCAGATATCGACGGTACCAGCATCCACCCACCCCGGGCCTCAGTAAAGCTCCTCATCGGTGATGCCCTCCGCATCCAAGTCGCTGCCATCATCTATCCCATTATCGCCATCGTCATCGTCGTAGTTGTCGTTGCCTGCCCCATCTTCGTCTCCGTCGGAACTCTCCGAGCCTGGGTTTTCGTATTCGTCGTCGTCAAAAGTCTTGCTGCGAGTGGACTGTCGCAATGACGTCTTCGACAAGGAGCGTGGAGGCACTGACATCGAGCCAGAGCTCGAGGAACCACTTGTGCGCGCCGGTGGCTTGTGCACGATCTTCAAATGCCTTCCGTCGTCAACTGTCGAATCCGGCGACAGCTGAGCGAGCCCTTGGCCGCCATCGGTGGCGACGTCTGTGCATGGAAGAGGGGAGGTAAATCCAGAGAAGGGAATGATGTGTCCGCGGCAGCCTACCGCAGGGAGCAGTATCGAGATGTGGACCGCCAAGGCCAACTCCACAGTGCTGGAAGCAAACGACATTGGCAGATCTAGGCCCTTCCTCCACCGTTCCAGGCGGAGGTTGATCCCAAGCAAGGCAAGCATTACCATAAACTTCTCGCAGCTTATCAATCATAAAGGGAATAAGCTCCTTGGCGTCATTGTAGATGTCGCTCCCAGGCAAGTTGAAATGGAGCGCGTTGGCAAGCATCACATTCAAATCCCACTCCAAAGCCTGGAGCAGTGAAGGCGAAAGCCATGTCAGGCTCGGTCAGGCGGGTCGTTTCCATGCAGGATCCCTAAAGCACGCAATTATCGGCCATGGTATCGACTAGGTTCGAGTGCTATCGCCCCTTCTGGATCGAAGCATGGCATCTCGGGACTGGCAAATGGCTTGCCCTTCCTTCTGCCACCTCTTGTTCTCGCTCTGCTTCAGCCAGGACTCAAACAAACGCACCTCTATCCGACGATAGTAGTTATTGCAGAGCCGCTCGTGCACCATTTCGAGATAGACGGGATAGGGAATCTCCTGCAGGTAGTTGGGATAGGCGTCATAGTCAACTCGCTGCGCAAAGGGCTCGATTCGGTCTTCCTGCATGAACTCGTCCACAGCTTGAGCCAGTTGCGAGACGCCTGGGGAGGCACAGGGTATGTCGGTCAGTTGCGGCTATGGGATCACAATCCAAATGCGATATCTGACAAATCGATATCAAGCAGCCCAACAGCAACAGTTCTGTTTTGGATCGCTCGCTGTGACAGACCGAGATGCTGCACCTCCCCTCACCCCACTCGCGCATCCAGACGCTTGGCTATGCCTGACATTAATCGGGCAGGCAAGAAGCTCCATAGTACCAAGGTCTCCTCAAACAGCCGACGGGAGCCATTCGGTTGGACATCTTGCCCGTGATTCCGGATGCTACTTACATTGGACCGGAAGACACTCCTGAATCTCGTAGCGGCTTTCGCCCGGCCGTCTTAGCTCCCACGGGCTCAGCTCCTCGACGTTTCCGGCGGCGGAGGAGGCCGCAGCTGAGTCCGAGTCGCTGTACTTGACGCTGTACTTTTGCCAGGGGCTTGGTCGAGATGCAATCTTGGTGACAGTGCCCTCGTAGTCGCGGTCGGGATAGGTAGCATAGACGGTGGTCCGGACCGTGAACGGCGGCCGGCTCATGGCAAAGGCGAACTCTTCGTAGAGAATCAGAAAACTTGGCGTATCGTACTCGAAATATTTGATCTTGAAGGGCTTTGCGGATGCAGGCACGAGCCTGGGAGCACCGCGGTGTGGTCCGGAAGGACCTGCATCAGAGCCGGTCTCCAGGCGATGGACCTGGAGGTTCAAATCGCATGAGGTGATCTGGCCGTCCTTGACGAAGCGCAAAGCACAGATGCGGCCGAATATGACATCGTCGCCATCCTTTCGATAGCATGATCGGTATCGCTTGATATGCGATTCGGGATAGCTCTCCTGAAGCGAGTCCAGGAAGGCCTTGTGCCCCTCCTTGAAATAAACGACCAGATCACCCATCTGCGGAAGATACGTGAACGTGCGCTCGGTCGTTGAGACCCATGGCGACGGGCTGTTTGACGAGCTCTTGGCGACGATCACCTTTGATTCTTCCGTCAAATCGGCTTGAGATTCAATCGCTGCTCCTGCTGACGACGCTGCGGCTGACGACAACGGCCATGATGGCGCCACAGTGGAAGGGAGCTTTGATGGGCCCGCTCCGGGGTCGTCGTCCGATGATTCAAACAGGTCGTCGCTTAGATCCTCGTTGTAACTGGCGCTGTGATCCTTGCGCCGCTTGCGCGGCCGACGCTTCAGTCGGCCCTTGGGTTTGGCTGGAGCATCGTTTGCATCGGTAAAGGTACCATCCCATTCGCCAGGATCAGGCTTGGTCTCTACCTCGTCGGCCGATTGCAGACTTGACTGCAAATCTTCTTCCTCCTCCTCATCCTCCTCCGAGGTATCGTCGCGAATGACCTTCTTTTCACGTCGCTTGACCGCCTGACGCTTCTTGCGATGTCTTCCACTGTCTTGGGACGAACCCCCGACGTGCCGATCCTCGGTCATGCTGAAATCGCTCTCCCCGGATGCGCTTGACTTTGCTCTTTGGCGGTACTTACGCTTGCGCTGTCGCTTGGTGGTGACTGGCCTTGGAGGTGGCGCCTCGCCCTCCACATCGTCATCGCTGACGACAAATGACTGCATGTCATCCGATGACACTTGGGCGCGCTCCTCAACGGCGATCTCGTCATCGTCGCTTTCTTCCTCGACCTCGTCCTCCTGCATGCTGTACTCGTCACCGCTCGAGTGCGCCCGACCCCAGGGCGTGATGACTTCGTTGAGAACATCAACGTCGTCGTCCGAGTCGAATATCTTTCTGTGCTTGTATCGCTTCTTTTTGTTGACAACCGTTGGGCTGGAGAGAATGAGAGAATCGTGTCCCGGAGGGAGGGAAAACAATGAAAAGGCACAGGTGTTAATGTTAACACAGATCAAAGTGCAATAACACCGCTAATCCAAAAGATCAATTCTGGAGGCAATGCGAGAGCAATATTGCTAGACTCTTGGGCAACGAGTTCATATGCGCAAGAGGGAGAGAGATAGAGATAGACGGCAGATCCATGAACGCCGTTGTCTGAGACTTGCTGGAACTTACATGGGCGACGCAGCCACGTCTGCTTGGACCCACAGGGCCTGCTCCTGCTGTAGTAGCAGCAAGAGCTCCTGTCGGTGCGACTCCATCAGCTCGTCGTCGGCATAGCGGGACCGCTGTTGCAGTAGCATGCGATACCGCTCGTACTGAGGATAGGGGACCATCATGTCACTGCTGACCACCACATTTTCATCGAAATGGTGTGCGGGGCGAAGGTTTTCGACATCCATGATGGTGCCGCTCTCGTCGATCGTGACGCCGTTCGATTCATTCGAGAAAAACTGGTAGAACGGGGCATTGGACATGGCCTTGGAGTCGGTGCTGGCCCCATAGATATATACCACGCCGTTGTCGTCGCTGGCTATGATCTTGGTTCCATCGGGTGAGAACTGCGCCGCCAGGATCTTGTGCTTCTCTTCAAACACTGAATTATATCACAGACCATCGATGAAGGCCGTTGGTCATTTACAGAGGAACACGGCCGTGAATCGTGCTCTAAACTATGCGCTGCGCCGATGAAAATGGAGGCAGGAGCACGAACGGGATGGGCCGACTCACCACTGATTGCGCTGCCGGTTCGGATATCCCAAAGAATGACGCGACCGTCGTATCCTCCGCTCAGAAGCAAGTCAGGGTGCCGCGGATGGGCTTCGAGGGCATACACCTGGTCCGAGTGGCCATAGAGGCACCGAATTTGCCGGGCCGTAACGGAGTCCCATATCTAAACAAGAAGCAGTTTGGATGAGTGCAGAGGTCAGCTCGGCAGAGAGGCTGGAGGGATGAATGTATTTGCATGCGGTTTGCTGGCCCGGATGATTAGCACTAGATACCATGCGTCGCTCTCTGAACGAACTTACCAGGATAACACCCTTGGTGACCGAAGCGGCGATGAGTCTGTTATCGGCCGTCCAAACACATGTGTCGATGGTTGGCGAATGCATAGGCTCTGGATCGTCGTCGGCGGACGAAGGGGTCCGGAAGTTTGGGTTGTGGCCCGGCAATCGGCTCAGATCGATCCGAAAGTCCTTTACGCTGACTAAATACAGGCAAGGGATCAGATGAGCAAATGAGACAAAGGAAATGGAGCCACAGTCGAATGGAGATGAGGATGAGGATGAGGGTGAGGGTGAGGGTGAGGGTGAGGGTGAGGATGAGGATGAGGATGAGGATGAGGATGAGGATGAGGGTAGACCTACAGCAGAGATTCTTCCATGTCTTGCGCGAGGGGTCAAAGCTCCACTTGCGCAACGTCCCGTCTCGGCTTGTCGACAGAAAATATCTGCCGTCTGGACTGGACCGCAGGTCGGTGATTTTTCCTTGGTGATCATCCAGCTGGCTGATAAGCTTGGGCGTCATTTCAGTCCGGGCATCTGACAAAGCTGAATGCCACTCGGGTGGGGTGAGCGCAAACGAGTAGATGAAACCGTCATCCCCGCCAGTCACGAAGAGCGTTCCAGTGGCGTTGAAGGCCGATGCTTTGACGACATCTCGAAGAGTCGAGCCGCAGTCAAGGACCTCGGGCTTGGTCGACGAGGCGAACCAACAAGACAATGAAGCGCACACGACGAAAGTCAGGATCGTGACATGATGGATGACGGTGGGGCCATGGGATACTTCACAGAACTGCAAAAACTGCTGTTGGGCAAAAGCGCATTACTTGATGGCGGACATACCTTTGTGACGAATGACTTGCGTGCGGCATCCCAGCGCCAGACCCGCGACTTGCCGTCCTCACAAGTGGCGGCGATGCAATAGTTGGACCGAACTGGGCTTGGTGATATTGCTATGGTTGTGATGCCCTTTTCAACCTGGCAAGAACAGTCAATCCTCCGTTGTTAGCCACGATCAGCGGCACGATGATTTGGCTAAAATCAGAGCCATTGCAGGCTCCATGTCCGCAAACGCCAGATCCGTCCGAGCAGCTGGTGCTAACGCACCTTGAAGCAGCCCATGGGCTGGAAAGTGTAGAAATCCCAGATGCGAATGTACTTATCGGATCCAGCCGATAATAGTAGCTTGTTGTCGTTGCTGATGGCTACGTCGATGATGACACCGATCTCGACCTGTGGTGAAGCGAGCGGCGCGCGAGGCGAGATGCGCATTAGTGACAACTCTGCTCTGTTCTGCTCTGTTCTGCTCTGTTCTGCTCTGTTCTGCTCTGTTCTGCTCTGTTCTGCTCTGTTCTGCTCGGACTTGGTGAGACTCGCTCTTTGGCCCAGAAAGGCGTGCGACTCAGATACCCAGCAGCACCACACTGACACTAGGTTCGTTGGGATTAGTTGCTGTGATGGTAAAGCCGATGGGAAGATGGCCCCGGAGCGAGCGGATCAGCCAGCCTGATTTGGAGCACCAGATCTTGACCAAGTTATCATCGCCGCCCTGTGAATCGCCGAAGGATGGACAAATATCGACAGGGTTGTTACGAACAGCGCGATTGCTTAAGATGCTTGATACACCGAGAGCAACCGATGGCGGACGGAAGCCATCCGCGATCGAGAACTGCCTACCGTCACGAACCGGGTTCCAGTTTGGTCAAAGGCGAGGCAGAATATAGCCCCCGTGTGGCCGCAAATCGAACGGAGCTGTTCGGATCGGCAAAACAGAGCCCAAGCAGCAGCCAGACGAAAGCAGCACAGTGGCCCAGTGAATTGATGAGGAGCGGCGATCCAGGTTCATGTCGAGATCCAGAGGCGACCGGACGACGAATGTAGAGTCAGCGGCTGATCTGGATTTGCTCGAGCAGGAGCGAGCCATTCCACCCGGCATCAGTCATGCAGTAGACCTTGCATACCCGATGCAGACGATGGACATGGATCGGACACGAGCCCGTGCTGATCGACGGACGGTGTTGGCGACAGTTGACCCAGCGCAGCACTGCCAGCCAGCGCAAATTGAACAAGAGAACCGAAATCAGCGCCAGTTGCCATCTGCGAAGACCACCGAGCAGAACTGGATGTGGAGTCCGACGAGGGGTAATCCGGGCTGGGCTCCACTAAGCCGATTCCATACCGTTGGAGGATCGTGTCAGGGCACCATCCCTCGACGCAACGCTCGGTTTCGAGCTGGCAAAAACATGCGATCCAACGCCGAGCAGCGAGCGAGACGGGATTGCCGCATTGTTATCGAGGAACTTGGCGAGCAGGGCCTCGAGATGGATGCTGCCGAGATGTGCATATTTCTCGCGCTGGATCGGACGGAGCGAATGGTCAGCGCCGGATGGAGCACGCAGCCCAGGAACAGCCGGATGGTTGTTCGGCGGCCAAGCCAGACCGGGCGCACCGAATAAGCAGGCATACCAACTCGTCAAAGGTCTGCAGATGGTGCTCGCCGGTCCAGTCTGTCCGGGTCGGGAGCAGAGGAGAGTCCGGGGTCTGCAGCCGGTCAACCTCGTCGACAAAGGACCGAAAGGTCGCCTGGAGCGGCCCCGAGCTGAGATATGTGCCTATCAGAAAGAGAATCTCGGCTCGGAGCTCTGTGCGGCGGACAGACGAGTCGGCGTGGGCGTGGGCATCGGAATCGGCATCGGAATCCCGGCAACGTTGGTGTCGATGCGGTGTGGTGGTGGTGGATGTGGAATGCGAGCGAGCACACAAGTGTTAAGAGAGACCCTGGACGCCGGGCCTGCCACCGACAGAGGGACAGTCGGAACCGGCCCAGGGTGAAGCACTGCCGACTGCACTCTCCAAGCAGCCCGGTGGCCGATTTACCTAAAGCGGCACCGTCCATCGGGGAAAGCGCTGGGGGCGAGCAGGCGCTATCGAGGGCCAAGGTGAAGCCAGGGCCGCGGCGAGAGCAAGCAGGATCGATCGGCAGTGATCGGCAGAGGGCAGGTGGCCACGAAGCGCTGCTGCGAGATGGGCCTGGGCACTGCGTCGGTGGTGGTGTTGTGTAGTGTTGCCGGCTCTGGGGACGGACGCAGACGCAGACGCAAATGCAGACGCAAATGCAGATGCAGATGCAGATGCCGAAGCGGTGCAGCACAACAGCGACAGCGTGCGGGAGGCAGAGCCCGACAGCCCAAAACGGAGCGGCATTGTGGCCCCGCCGGTCTCGTTGGTGATCGGCCCACCACCGCCCAGGTGTTCGCAGGCCGCGACGGCTTCCAGGCAACCTGCACACCCTCCTGCTGCTACCGATGTTCCCGCTCAGGTCGCCAGCCCGTCGAAGGTTGCAGCACCTCCCCCTTCGTCGTTGGCACAGCGGCGCCGTCGGGTTTGCGTCGAGCCGTGCCCAGCCTGCCCACAGGCTGTAGCTGCACAGACGACACCGACACTCGCCGTGTGGTGCCCCAGACGCAAGACACGCCGAGCACCCCCTCACCGAAATCTGTCTCTGGCAACGTCGCCCCCTGGATGAGGGGTAATCCGCCGGCGCCGCGAGCAGGCTGGAACTGAGGTCTCGTATCGCCAGGGCAGGACCGGCAGGTCTGCGCTTGAGGCTGTCCGGGCAGCACTCCCGACGCCGATGGCTATTCGGCTGCCACTGCCGAGCGGCTGCTCCAGACATGCCGGGCAGGTCGGTGGAAGAGAGCCAGCACCGGCCGGTGTGCTGGGGCGAGCACCGAGTCTTGGGAAGGACGCATCTCAGGGCTGTGGCTGGCACGGGCGTGGCTGGCACGAGTGCGGCTGGCATGGCGCGGCTTGCGGATCGAGCGGATCGAGCGGATCGAGCCGGATCGAGGGCATCCGCCCCGGTACTGCGCAGCCACGATAAGCACACGTGACGCCTCGCCACACAAACAGTCCCGCTCGCGCCATCGGCCGCGAGAAAGGGCGTCTCCCAAGCGCTTCCCCGTCGCCGACAACACTGACGACACCCGCGACATCCAAGGAAGACATCCGCGGCGTCGGCGCAGACAACACCATCGACTACATCGGCCCCATCGGCGACACCCAGCACACCCAGCATCGTCCCGAGCCATCGTCTGTCCACTCACCGTCCATATATTCCTCGCCGGCTCCCCTTCTCCCGCTCCACCGCCATGGATGACGGCCCCGCCCCAACAACCTCCATCGAAATCGACGATGCCACCTCCAGCTCGCCGGCAAAGTCCCTGAAGCGTGTGACCTCCGTTCATCGACCAAAGTCACGGTCACACTACTCCTCGCTCTCCATAACAGAGAACGTGCTGCGTACGTATTGGTCTGCGGTCTCGTTGCTGGGTGGGTGGTTGTCCGGGGGAGCTCCGGCTGTCCAAGCCAACGGCTCATTTTTTGTGCTCTGTCCCATCTACCGCCGTCTCACCATGCCCTCGTCGCATCGGCGGACTTCACAGCCGCTGAGTTCCAGCACACCGAGTCGTTTGTTACGGCCTCGGCCAAGGAAGTGCGAGAGGTAAGTCGTGCCAGCAACGCATACCAGGGGGAGGGGAGCAGCCTTGCCCCACACATTTCTTGTTGCTTGGCCGCTGGAAGCGACCCCGGCCTTGGCTTGGCATGTGCGCTCGTCCAGCTTTACTGTGACGCTCCCATGTTCGCCCTCGACACCAGCCTCACGCTCCTGTGACGCATTGCATCTCCCGCATCTCGCGCCGGACAGCAAACCGTCGGATGGACCCTGAGGGAGTTGAGCATGGTGCTCCCCGAAGACAACGAGCCCAGCGAGCCCGCTGTCGCCACGACTTCCGACCGTCCCTCGTCGGCAATATACAGCCCCCTCCGTCTCAGCAAGCAGTCGTTTGAGGGCGAGAGCCAGCGTCCCTCGCAGCTCTCGGCCATGGCAAGGACGGTGCTGTTCAAGGACGAGATCGATGAAAGCGTCCGCCATCGGCCGGACTTGACCATCGAGACCTCGAGCTCGTCGCTTGGCGTCAAATCCAGAAGCAGCCCGTGCCAGGAGCTGGAAGACGACGACGACTCCATCATCCAGAGCGAGGACCACTCGTTCGAGTTTGAGCGCCGCCCGCTGCTGACCCCAAGCCACCAGAGCGGCGACTTTAGACGACGACGATCCTTTGACGAGGACTACGGCGAGCCCTCGCGCTGGCCCCTCGTCGAGTATTGGAAACACCTGAAACGAAACCCACCGCGTCGTGAGGACTTTTGGATGCTGGTCTCCAGCATTGGCCAGGCCCTCCCTGCTGTTGTCCTTGGTGTCATTCTCAACCTTCTGGATGCAGTAAGTTGTGTCCCTCGGTCGCCAGCCCTGCCACCTTCCCAGCCCCTCTTGCTTTTGGCTATTCCTCTGGGCTTTGTCCGTTTCGGCGCCGAGCAACTGCCTCCCAGACCACAGGTGGGGTGGGCGAGGACGAGCTCCGCCCCACACTGTCTTTACGCACCGGCGATTCTAAAGTCATACCCCCCCTATTGGCTGCGCTGCTTCCCAGATGTCCTACGGCATTATCATCTTCCCATCAGGCGATAAGCACATCCCCGAGTCGGCCCCTCAAAGCGGTATATCCATGTATTTCGCCAGGTAAGCTCGGGCCGCACCGGTGGCGTGCCCTGTCGGGACCTGACCGAACAAGCGATGGCTGCACATGTTCGGTCGTCAGTGTCGACACCGGGGTCACAGCGTGAGATCATGGCAGGAATCTACGATCCACGAAGGATCCACCGAAGCAATTGTCAGCGACTGCTCGTGCAAAATGTCGCGCAGACCTGGCAGCGCCCCTCGACTGCCCGCATTGCCGTCTGCCGCGACTACAACTGCATGGCTGACAGCCCGCCGGTCGGCCCATCACTCTCGCTTCGTCTCTCTTGCCGACAACCCGGCGCATCAACCTCAGCACTGTGATTGCCCAGCTGGTCTACACCTTTGGTGGCTCGGCATTCAAGGGCGTCAACGGCAGCATGATGATCGAAGTCATGCCCTTCCTCCACATCATATGCAAGATCATCGAAGGAGAGATGAGGGGCATGGATGACCACTCGATCCTGGCAACCATCATGATCACCTACTCGATCAGCACGCTGCTGACCGGGCTGATCTTCTTGTTGATCGGTGTCCTCAAGCTGGGAAACATCATCCAGTTCTTCCCGCGACACATTCTGGTCGGATGCATTGGTAGGTGCCAAGCGCAAGCCTCGCTCGCTGGTGCACGTCCTCGTGTATGAGATATCATGTTATTTTCGTGGAGGCACATCGCCGTTTGATCCATCGGGCCCCCAGTTGATGGACAATGTCCTCCGGTCGATGGATGATGCCTATTGTTTGATCCACTACGCCTATTGTCCGATGAGTGAGGCTGGCTGCTCCACGGATTGCAATTGACATTTGCCGGATGTGAACCACGCGATTATTGAATCGGGTAACTCTTCCCAGGCGGAATCGGCTTTTTCTTGATCAAGACCGGAATTGAAGTCACCACTGGCGTGACATCGGAGCACGTCTTGGAGTACCTCCATGCGATCTTTCAGCCCCACCTCCTGGTGCTGTGGGCCTCGAGCTTGGGCCTGGCGCTCTTCCTCAAGTTCCTGCAGCGCTTCATCCACCACCCGCTCTTTGTCCCTACGTTCTATGTGGTCGTTCCGATTGTGTTTTACATCTTTGTGTGGATTTTTGGCCTCAAGCTCGACGATCTGCGCAAGGCGCGATGGCTCTTTGATCTACCAGAGGGCAAGCAGGTTCCTTTCTACACCTTTTGGACCTACTTTGACCTGGGTGCTGTGCATTGGAGTGCCATTCCAGGTAAGGGATAAACCGAAAGGTGCAGGACATGCCAGCTCTGAGATGTAGGCGGGCCTGTGTTGACCGTGGTCGTCTCCCTCCTCACAGGAACCTTCCCGACCATGCTCGCGCTCACGTTCTTTGGCATCCTCCACGTGCCGATCAATGGTATGGACTGTGTGTGCGTTGGATAACGCGATCGCTTGCTTGTGTCCGCTGCTTACACACCCGAAACGACCTCGAGCCTATTTAACTCCTTACCACGCATCTCTGCTACTCGGGCAACACATCGATATCAGTTCCGGCCCTGGTGAGTCCATGGCTTGCTGCGCACAGTTGCATGGTGCATTGTCGGTGATTGAAACGAAAGCAATCTGTTGTTCTCTGTCGGATCGCTTACGTCTCCCCCTCGCTGCGCGTTCAGGCCGTCTCGACTCACCAAGAATTCGATATCAATCATGAGATTGTCGGGCATGGTATCAGCAACATTGTGTCGAGTTTCTTTGGAACCATTCAAAACTATCTCGTGTAGGTGTCGTTGTCCACAGCGTTCGCTGCACTGGCCCTGCCTTGCCTTGCCTCGCTAACGACCCGCAATTCCCTTGTTCCGAAACAACAACAGCTACTCCAACTCGGTCCTCTATATCCGCTCCGGTGGCGGTTCCGTCATTGGCGGATTCTTGCTCGCAGTTGGCACGTCCATTGTGTGGTTTGCAGGCAGTGCCGTCATCAGCATAGTCCCCACCTTGGTCGTTGGAGCGTAAGTGAATCTCGAGCAGCTTTGCTCATGCACCATCCTCGAGCTTGGGCATTGTGACTGCGATTTTGCACAAACACCGCACTGCATCACATATTGATCCGTTTTGCTCTGGCATCGCGACGTCGTCTTGTCAGTCTCATCTTCCATCTGGGAATCGATCTGATGAAAGAGAGCATCATCGACACCTGGAACGTCGGTATCCATCCGCTCGAATACTTCACAATTATCACCATCGTCGTGACCATGGGTGAGCGACCGTGCAAATCCATCGGCCATGCGTCTGCGTGCACAACAGTCAAAGCCGCGATGACGGAGAGAGGGGGGGGTGCCATCATCCTGCGTCGAGGTACCCACGTCCTCGACCGACATTGAAACAACACACTAATTCCGTTCGGGACACCAGGTGTCTTTGGCTTCACCGAGGGTATCATTGTCGGCATCATTCTTGCCTGTGTCTTCTTTGTGGTCATGTACAGCAGAAAGGTAAGGCGCGACCGCGAACTCATTCACAGCCTTTCGCCAGTGCTCTTCGAACTCCCATCGCAATTGTATATCGTGAATCGTGTGTCGTGCATTGTATCGTGCGGTACCCAAGGACGGACTGCCCGACCATCTTCAAGCTCTGCGATAGCTGCGCTCCGTTCTCGTTCCCGCCGATACAATACTGACCTCGGCTGCCCTCGTTGTGTCAGTCGGTCATCCGAGCAAACTACACCGGCATGGAACTACGTTCGACCGTTCACAGACTCTATCGGCAGCGCCAGTTCCTGGACAATGTTGGCGATCAGATCCACATCATCAAGCTGCAAGGGTATGTTCAAATCCATTTGTTGCGCCAGCCGAACAGTGTTCTATTTGCTTGTGATCAGATGCAGTGATATGACAGTATCGAGCGTGTGGCTGTTTTGTTTGCCCCAAACCCAGCGGTCGTCTAAGCAACTGACATCGACATATCACCATACATCGACCACATCTAGATTCATGTTTTTCGGCACGGTCAACCAGCGTAAGTGCAAGAAAGCCAGAGCCACATGTCACCACGCAGCATCTGCCCGCGCTACCGCCGTCCGTTGATGGATGTCAAACTAACGATAGCACAACCAACTCAATCTGTTTACCTCAACAGTGGATGCCTACATCTGCGAGCTGATCCACGAGATCACGCGCATCCGCTTTGTCATCTTGGACTTTTCCCTGATCAACGGCATGGACTACAGCGCCATGGAGTCGTTCCTGCGGATCCGCAGGATCTTCCGCGAGTACCACACGCATCTGGTCTTTGCCAGCCTCGGCGCCGAAAGTACGCGCGAGGTCTCCAAGAGCGGGCTGTTCGACACGGACGAGAACGGCGAGTCGTTTGTGCATAACTTTGAGACCCTCAACGAGTCGCTCGAGTGGTGCGAAAACCAGCTTCTGCAAACCTTTTACCGCAAGAGCCACGCGCGCACCTCCTCCAAGGTGGACATTCCCGAGAAGAAGAAGGAGCGCGACCAGACGCTGTCGCCTGTGCTTTCAGTGCGCGGACGACAGGCCCAGCTGGCCGCCTCTCTCGCCCTTGAGAACCAGGTGCAGCAGCACCGGTACGCTGGCGGCAAGACCTCGCCCATCTCGATCCTGATGCAAGCGTTCTCGGAAGTTTTTGAGGAAGCCGATGTGGACGAGCTGATCTCGCTCACCGAGTATTTCGAGCAGATCCAGATTCCCAAGGGCCACGTCCTCTGGCATCCAAACCAAGATGCGCGCGAGCTGTATGTCATCGAGTCTGGTACGCTCCTGATGGTCATTGGCTCGGAGGAAGCTGAGCACTCCAAGGTTGTCGAGACGCTCCTGGCCGGCTCGATGGTTGGCGAGCTCGAGATGTTCTCGGGCCAGCGCCGTATGTACAGACTGGTTGCCGACGATGACTCGGTCATTTGGAAGGTGAGTCGAGCGGGCTCGGCGACACTTGGAATTGGAGGGATCTGGCGATTCCTTCCGTGCATGTACACGTACGCAAGGGATGCTGCAATGTCACGATGTTGGCGAGCCCCCGAATCAGCGGGATCCGCACTGACCAGGCAATCCCTCTGCCCGCACTCCATGCAGCTCGACAAGGACACCTTCGACAAGCTCTGTGACCAGCACCCCCGCAAGATGCTGATCTTCATCACTCGTATTGCCCTGGCCTTTGACTCGGTCCGTCTGCACAACACCCTGGCCCACTTTGCACGGGACTAGAGCTGGAGAGACAGAGGAGAGAGGGAAGGCTGGACATTTGCTTGGCCATCTAGAGTTGCTGAGGAAGAAACGTGACGTTGCGGTTCCCCGCTCCTCCTTCAGAGCCCAGCATGCTCAAGAAATAAAATCGATCGGATCCATTGGCTTTTTGCAAGACCATCCAGCCACAGTTGGATGGCTAACTGGACTGGCACAACTGCCGTTTCCAAGCGAGCATTGTGGCAGCAACTCCCGGTGACGTCGATGTCACTTTGGCCATCACAGGGCGCTCCGCTTCACGTTGTATGGACAGTACTTGTTGCACTCAGCAGTGACCACGGGCTTCGTACCATGTTGCGCGGGGGTTCTCGGGCCGACTGCCGTCGGTGGTGATTTAACCGATGCCGAGCAATCCTCGGGTCATCAAGTCTGCAAGCCGTATATCGCGCTGACATTTGGGGGTCGCCTGTAGTGTCCGGCTCACCTCTCCAAACTCTCCGGGAGAATTCCCAAATCTCCAAAGATACCCCATTGGGTTCATCTCCGTGCTATACTTTCTCCTTCTCCGCGTTGGTGTTGGCCCCATGTCGAACTGGTTCATCTCATACAATTCGACGCTCAATTCGACGCTTCCCGTGTGCCAGAGCTCTGGCGGTTTGCCTTCGACCCTGGTCGCCCAGCTTGGCGACTTGGTCCAGCCTCTTGAGCGATGCGGCTCGGTCGATGGGGATCGAACATTCCACTACTATTCCCTCGATTCCTCCCAGTCCATCGTAACCAACCGGGCATGTTCCGATCCTGCCTGTACCATCGCCTGCCGGAACTCAACATCCACGTTGTCACCCACAGCATCGAAATGCTCCAGTGGTCAGTTGACTCTCGCTCCTTCCGGATTCAACTACCAGGCGCCGGGGTAAGCTGATCATTTGGTATGCAAAACGGGGACGTCGCTGCAAGTGATGCGATGGTGACAGAGCCCTTCGGCCTCGAATCTCACCAACTCGATGCGATGCTTGTTTTCCGTCTTTTTTTCCCCTCTTTCGTCGTTCGTCCACCATCCCATACCACCAACCCATGCCACCATCCCATGCCACCGCAACAAATCGGACTGGCCGTTGTTTTCTCTCTCAGCACCATGGATCCGTCCTTCAACACCGACAGCCTCATGTACCAGCCTAACTACCTCGACGCCACCTGCACCACCGTCAGCTCGGTGTGTCGCAGTCCCGTCTTCACCACCTGCACTATGATCGGCCCCGGCTTCTATGCGTACTCGATCCTTCTCCGGAACGGTAATAGCACCTTCATTCAGCCCTTTGGCTGTCTCGATGCCAACTGCAACCAGTGCGAGCTCGATGCCAGCATTCTGCCCAATGCCTTGGCCAAGAGTCCGACCGACTGCTTTGCCGATACCGGCTCGACCTCCTACCAGCTCTATTTTCTGGCCAACAAGACCTCCGTCCCAACTGTCTTCCCGAACGGCAGTCTCCCCTTCGGCCCAAATCAGGTCGTTACTCCCAGTTCCGCTGCCTTGCCACCACTGCCGTCAGAAGCTCCCAGTAATTCCGGGTTTCCCCTTAATATCACGCTTATAATTGTTTCTGCCGTTGGCGCAGGTAGGTCATCAGTCCATCGTATTGCTCTTTCATGATCATTGCGTTGCATTGCCTTGCGCCGGTCAGAGTGATTGACCCATGTCTTTTCTCCTTGATTATATTCCTTCAGTGTGTTTTGCTTTGTGTGTGGTTGGCACTATGGCCTACCACAAGCGCAGGAAGCAACGCTCCGATACTCGTGTAATCGTGGATCGAGAGTCTCCACCTCTTGATCAATATCTTCCGCCACCCAGGACCCGTCTGTCCTCCTCGACTCTTGCTCAAATCCCGGAAGAGCGGGTGGAAGCTCCCTCCGCGAGCTCTCCAAAGACGTCCGCGACAAGACCCATATCGGTCAATATCCATACGTCGCCTGTTGTGCCCGCGGCCATGGCCTCGCCTTCATATGCGCTGTATCCCGATGGTGGGTCGATTATCCCTGCTGCGATGCTGTCATCGTACTATTCGAAGAACATATCCGATTCCCCGCAAGTACCGTATGTTCTCCCGGATGGCACAGGCGCTTCCCAACAAATCAAGCCCTCGTATAGCGGTGATCCTCACGCCAGCTATATAAGCTACCAAGGTCATCAAAGCCACAGCAGTAGCAGCAGTAGCGGCAAGGGCTACAGCGCCCAGAATAGTTCAATCTCATCCCGCGTAGGTCATGTTGCCGGAAGACCAGTGACTCCAACCACAGGACCGACAACTCAGTTCATCGCGATCCAGAACCACGACGGCTACCCTGGCGCCGGAGAACTTTCATTCACGATTGGACAAGGTGTTACTGTGTTCCAAGTGCTACCAAGTGGATGGGCAATGGTGAGTGAGCTATGCAGATCTATCGATACAGCGACGATTTGGCGTGCACATTCAGGGCCCTCTGACGCTTTGGCGGAACCTACATTATGATCTAGTCGCAAAACAACGAGACTCTGGCTTTCGGATTTGCTCCGGTGACCAAGCTTCGAGCCATAGAGGACACTCTCGGCAATATCGAACGTACTCAGTCGAGCGAAAGCCGCCCTCCTCGATATTCGATGTGATCAAAGATGCGCTGCTCAGCTTGCTTCTATGTCCTTATCTCTATCCGTGCGCATCTGCTTATCCGTTGCTGTCAATTGCGGACGCTTCACCTGTTCATCTTGTGAGTTTGTTGGTTGTGGGAACCTATAGCGTTCCCAAAATGAAACGGGACACCCTGTCCTTAGCCAGGGCCGATGCTGCTTGCTGGAACCTGAATACACACCCACCAACTGCTCCCATGGCCAAACAGCGTGCTCACCCGAGTACCTTGATATCGAGGAGCCATGGGGTTGTCAAGAGGGTTGAGTGAATACACGACACTCCCGCATCGGGTGAATGCACCACACTCCCACATCGACACAGGGGCTCGACCGAGTGTATTCAAGACTCCACTTTCCAAACCGACGAAAACAAAGAGATTGCCAACCAGGACGGGAAACAATCGCATGGCTTGCCCGCTGGGCCTACAGCCAGTCAGCGGGTTTCAGACATCTGAAGCCAGAAAGTGACGGCCCCGTTTCTTTCTGGACCGATTGTATGATCGGTTGGCTGCATTGGTGTGGGGATCGATGGATTAATGTGCTTATCATCAACTCGCTGAGCTGCGCGGCGTGCTGAAAGCACAATGGGACACCGTATCTGTGAATCAAACTCGTAGTAATTGAATCGTATCATAGGATCAAGTACGTCAAATCCTCTCTGGGTGTCTGTCGCACGGGCTCCACTCATGATTCCAATATCTCTGTGGTCGGCGTCTCATCACGAGTCCGTCACAGCAATGAGGGGCCAATCGACACTATTCATAATGACGGCTCGGAGCAAGAAGGATTCCTTGGATGCAAGCTGCAAGGCAGTGGTATGCAGATCGTCTCAAACACCCATCCTCCATCACGCGTTGTGCTGATCAACGCCCAGGTATCAAAGACTGACAGGCCGCTTGCCGTCGTTGGTCTCATCGCCCTCGCCGCCCGTCCGGTCCGGCCAAGACAAACCTGCCAATGCCCCGCAACAGGGTTCCGACCAACCATCCGTCCGAATATGCATTCAGCACTCTAATCCGATCTCTTTCTGCAACGCCGACAGAGAGTTCGATGTCTCCTGGCTCTCATGGCGATCACCCGTCGGCGACGACCGCCCCTGGCGAAGCGCCAGCAGCACAGCCAGCCCAGAGCGAAACAGACAAAAAGAGTGAGCGCCAGCACCGCATCCGAGCCGGGAGTTTGCAGTTGGGTAGAAATCGTCACGGATTTGCATTGTCGATGATCTCCCCCTGGCGCCCACTCCCCTCGGCTGTGCCGATCGCTATCCCGACACGGAGCTCCTACTCACACAGAGTTCATCCGCCCGCTGACAGAGAGCCATGAGGAGATCATGTCCGAGCTGCGGAAGCTTGTTCATTCGCTGGATGATGAAGACTGGCAGTTTGAAAGCGAGTCTGCGATCACCCCGGCTCAGAGGCCATTTATCTACTAGGCGAACTGGATGACGATCGCTGCGACACAGGCTTTTGATTTGCAGGGTCTGTTGACTCATTCTCAAAGAATATACAGGACATTCCAACTTGAAACCGATATCTCCTTCATCTAGAGTTGGACGTCAGCGCCCCAGGAACGCCAGATTGACCGGATATATCCGTTTTGTGGAAGCTGGGCAAAGGCGGCAACTCGAGTTCGACAGCCCGTTCTTCGCTGGCTCTGACGGCCCGCCGCTATCAGAAAAGGCTGGCCTTTATGGTCCATTGCTTATGATCGATCGAAGTGTCTAATAAATCATAGGGAGTTTTCAACGCAAACGGAAGCAAATACGGAATCGAACTCGCTCGACACGATGGCCACGACCAGCCTCTCGGCTGCCGTGACGTTGTGCATGTCGAAGGGCAAGGCATACTCTATCGTCGGTCCGATGGAGGCCATGCAGATCCGCAGCTGTGACATTGTTGGTGTTGCGAGGGAGGAGCCTGTTTGCAATTCGCCAGGTTGCCATTCGGGCGGCGTCATAACCACAGGATCTGCCGATCCATCGGTAAGCCGTTGATGACAGAGATGGCGCCGAGGAACTTGGATTCCTCAGTGATGAAAAGCGACGAGCTGTCTTCAGTGTTGTTCGCCAAGCATTTGCATGATGACAACTTGTATGAGCTGTCAAGGTGGATGCTGGCCTTGGAGCTGGCCCACATATGCACCTCGTCTGATCTGCGACGATAAAGTTGAATGGGTCATCGAAGCGGCGATGTCGAACGCGAACGCAACGCCGCCTCCAAGCCATTCCGACCATGTTGGATAGCCATCAAGAGAGCGCTGAAGTTGGTGCTGAGGCCGTGCATGACGACGTGGGGCAGCGTTTGGATGCGGCTATTGATCTCGGAGGATGCGGTGAGCACGATGATGACGAGCGAGCCGCTGTAAATCAGACCCTATCAATACCATCGAACCGACACCACCCATCCCCGTGTTGAGATCTCCCATTTCAGTCTCAACACCCCATATCAACGATCGTGGTCCATATTGTCCAGGGAAACTGGATAAACGGAGAGACGAGACGGCCGTGCGACATTTGGGCCGTGCGGCACTCAGGCCTTGGGACACTTGGACCGTGCGACTCTTGGACCGATGCACGCACCCAAACGAGGATGGACAAGGCCGAGTGTCGCTGGGCAGAGCCGAACGGGCCGCTGTTTGCCCGAGGCCCATGGCAGAGCAAGGCCGTCTGCCTTGAGGCCCATGGCAGACCAGACACAGCCGGAAGGTTGTCGCATGCCATCCCAGCACACGAACGAGGAGGTCTTGTCCAAGACAGCAATACTCTGCTAGTGGTGTTGCGCACTGTGCTTTGGTCGATCTCGGGACCGTGGTGGGTTGGAGAGCAACAAGAAACAATCCCGTTGTCGCAATCCACGTCCCACACGGCCCGGCGCCACGGACAGCTCGTATCGCTGCCTTCGAGTCGACACTTGCCTCTGGATGTGCACTTGTCTCTGGGTGTACACTTGCCTGCTTGTCTGTGATCTGGCTGAGGACCCGCTTGTCTGTGATCTGCTTGTCGTTGATCTGCTTGTCTTTGATCTGCTTGCGGCTGTCGGATGTGCCTCCGTCTCGCCCCTCGCCCCGGTCCATACACCCCGACTCACTGTCACACCGTCTCGCCGGCGGCCACAGGAGCCAACGCATGGCCCCTCGGTCTGGGTTGGATATAATCCCGTTGTCCGCGTTTCGCCTTCGCCTTCACACCCGCCTCATCTCCACACCCGCCCCATCTCCACGCCCACCATCTGCTCACCATGCTCGCGGGCTTCTCGACGTCAACGCTGCTGATCCTGGCTGCGACGACCGCTCTCGCGGGAGCCTCCACATGCACCCCGGATATAGCCATGTCTCGGATCTCGCTCCCGCTGCAAGACAACGCTTCTGTGATGATCACGCCGTCGGTCGACAACAGCAACTTCACCGTCGTTGCGATGCCGTTCAACTCCAGCGCCTCCACGCACCCCGGCATGCCGCCCGTGGCCAACTACTGGTATGTGTGCTGTCGTTCGCAGCGACGGCTGGCGACTCGTCTGATCGATCGATCGGCGCGGGGGTTTGCTGCCGACTCGTCTGACCGATCTGTCAACTTGTCAATCTGTCGATTCGATCACTTCGTCCTCCAATCGGTCACATCCCATCGTCCATATCTCATCCTCCATCATCCATATCCATCGCCCATCCCGATCAGGTTCTTTTCGCTGGTAAGTCTGTGGCCCGACCCAGATCGCCCTCCAACGGCGCACCGGGAGTCGTTTCCGTCTCCGTCTCCGTCTCCGTCTCCGTCTCCGTCTCCGTCTCCACTTTCCGCCTGCGCTTGCGCTTGCGTGTCGCATTCCCGGTCTCCTCGGCCGCCGATTGAGCCTGCGAACCGGCATCCTCGTCCGGGATGGGTGCGCGATTGTTGACGCTGCTCTGTCCGCTATGTTTCGCAGGGATGCCGAGACTTGTCCATGTACGACACCTTCCAGTCCGACGTCATCATCGACCCTGGCGTCGACTTTACCATCGTCTTCACTCAAAACTCGGTCGATTGCAAATACCCACAGGGTGTCTCTGCCAGCGCAGGTGCGCAAGCCATGATGTTGTGATGTTGTGATGGTGGGATGGTGGGATGGTGGGATGGTGGGATGGTGGGATGGTGGGATGGTGGGATGGTGTGGTGCCGTTCATGGTGATTCGGCGGAGCTCCATGCCAGCCGCTTGGCCTGCAGTCTTCTGGCTGCGACTCGACAGCTGGTCTCTTGGCGGGCCACCGCCGTGCACTCATCCTTCTCTCGCTGACCCACATCATTCCTCGCGCTTCACCGTTCGTATCTCCCACTCTCCCGCCGCATCCGATGGTCGGCCTTCAGAGTCTCAATACCACTCCCTTTACGACTTTCTGGTCCCAAGCGGCCAGCGCCAAACATTGGTGATCCCTCTCAGCGCATTCTCCACCAACTGGCTCAACGGCAGCTTTGACTTTCAGCACACCGCCGGCATGACCTTCATCAACCAGGCCGTCGGCAGTCACGTCACCATGATCTCACCGACGCTGAAGGGCAAATGCACAAACGACACACCGACGCCGAGTCTTGCGCCTGGACCTGGACCTGGACCTGCACCGCAGCCATCGTCTGGTCCCAACATCCCAGCGATTGTTGGCGGTGTCGTCGGTGCACTGGTCGTGGCTTTTGTGGCAGCGCTGTATGTCATCCATCGACGCCGCGAGGCTGGGAAGAACGCTGCAGGTGAATATTGGCTGCATCGCGGTGGCGGGTCAACAGGCCGCATGCACAAGCCATAAGCTGCTCCATGCCGTGGCGTGCTCTCAGCACCATGCCTTGCATCATATCCTGCATCGCTCCTTGCATCGCTCCTTGTGCTGACCCGACTGTTCATCGTTGCATCGTTGCTGTCGACAGAACGAGAAAGGCTGGCTGTGGCTCGTTCGCCGTCGCCCTCCCGGGACGCAACCGACGGACGCCGCGACCGCAATGGCGGCTTTGACGAAGGAAGACCCAACGTTGCCTCCACCGACAGCATCCTGTCATCAGGCATTGGCGCCGCCACCATTCAATCGACGACCCTGTCCACGACCACAGCCACGACCGCAACCACACTGGCCCTCTCGGCACCGGACTTGGCCGCAGCATCGGGCACATACGTCGGCACCGCCCTGGACACCGGTCTCGCCCCGCCATCGTACGACTCGATTGTCGACTTTAGTCAACCAGCGCCGGTCAGCTCCTCGAGAGTCAGCACGCCAACACAGAAGCAGTACCTCGTCGTGTCCTCGCACAAGTCGCTCGACGACAGCGAGCTGAGTGTCGGCGTGAAAGAAATCGTCGTGGTGCTGGCATCGATCGACAACAACTGGGCTCTGGCCGAGGCACTTGGCGGACGACGAGGCCGCCTTCCATGGTCCTGCGTCCAAGAAATGGACACGGCGGACCTCGTGTGATGGAGCCATCATCGCCGTGGTGCGACTGCATGCTGTGATAGACGGGTTGAGCCATGCACATTGCATTGTGTGGTTGACTGGGCCGAGTCGACCGGGCCATGGCAACTGTGTCATACCGACTGCGTCATGCCAACTGCATGGTGCCATGAACTGACGGCGGCTTGCGGCATGATGGTCTGTGCAGTATTTTGACTCGCCTGATAGAAACAGACATTGACCCAGGACGTGCTGGGCAGGTCGCTCGGCAGGTCGCTCGGCAGGTCGCTCGGCAGGTCGCTCGGCAGGTCGTTCGAATACAGTTCCACTGTCGAACAATCTCTCACTCACTCCTGCTGTCTTTGGCTGCGTGTGAGTGTCTGGTGGCAGGTGGGAGAGTGCGGCATTGCAAGTGCAGGTCCATCGTGGTCGCTGTGTCGGGAGTATCAATCATTGCCATCTTGATACAGCCGTTGTTGCCGATGGCTGTGCTGGTGGCATGCTCATGCTGCATTCCTTGAGGCTGCATTTCATCGATCGCACACTCCATCTTCACGAGCACCCTAACGAGCACTTCACAAGCACCCTAACGAGCGTCTTTCGCACCATAACCATGGCAACGTTGCTGTCATCGGCATCTGGCGTTGTCATGGCTCCATCCGTGTCTGTTGGTAACCTATTCATCGACGGATCACTCCAAACCCCAAGGGCCTCAGTCCGGGGGGCACATCAGTTTTGTTCCTCTCCTGCATGGCTCAGCGGGCGGCTCGCGACATATCAACCAGCGACTGTCGCTCATGTAGTCCCCTCATCCAATCTGGATTCTATTGATAGATGCCGTGCAAGGAGGACTCGATCGGCAGCTCCCCCGCTCTAACGGGGCTCGGTCGATCGCCACTGGCGGAACTATCGCTTCTGGATCGATCGGCCATATCTTCGTAACTTTGTCGATATCGATCCATCTCTATCCGCTGCTTTGTCAGTGTTGGCAGCAGTGCTGCCGATATCGGTCGCACCCGTGTTGCAGCAAAGACCAGCGGCCCCATGTTCCCATTGCGCCTCGCCGACGCCCCACCACTTGTATCTGTGGGACACACGGCCCGCTGATCCTCTGGTCGCTCCCTGCCTGGTCGATGCACTGCTTTTCCCCATCATCTCTTCAACCCCCTTTCTTCCGGAATCGTTCCCTTCCTGCACACTCCCTCTCGGCATCTGCCCCTCGCATCCATCCTGCGATGTCCTCTCGGCTACCGCATCGCCCAGAGCTCGCCTCCCCACACACTCTGTTCGCAGCTGCCACCGCCGAACACTTTCTGGCCCGCCGGTCTACCAATGAGCTCGATGCGGACTTCTGGTTCACGTTGGCTGGTGTCATTATCGGCGGCCTCGTCCTTGGCGTGGGCATCTTTCTGCTGTCGGTGCATCTGTTCTTCCGAGAGCCTTCCAACAAACTCCCGGATGCTCAAGGTACGCACTCGCTATCGGTTTGCATCTTGCCCTGTTCTCCACCGCATCCCGATTTGCTTCACAGCCCACACCAGCGACCGCACATCGGCGGCCTTCATGTTTCACTTGTCACTCACTCGTTGCCCTCCTCGGTGTTTGCGTTGCTCATCCTGCCTTGACTGTCCAGGCCATGGTTCGCAACTCAACTTGACTCATCCAGCCAACAGCGCCCCATTCGATGCTCTCCCCACCAACTCCTCGCTCAGCCCAAGCGCATCATGCTCCTCGCGCCCTTCCATCATCGCCAACGCAGCAGCGCCCGCCGATATCCCCCTATATATCGATCCAAAAGCACCTTACAGCCACCTCATACCTTCGAGCAATGATAACACCGATGTCGGGCCCATTCCACTTCATACCATCCAAGCCATCGCTCCCTCCTCTGGCATTCAGCCCAACTCCGGCCTAACCTCATCTTCTCAACCCGGCTTCTCGGCTGACTCTGCATCGAAAGAGCCGCAAGCAGGCACCTCCCTGGCCGAGGCGATATCGTCAGGTCGACCGCGGATGCGGGAGTCCATGAGGCACCCGACGTCGCCTGGCCTCCCTGCAGCGCTCGTCATGGCTTCGCTCCATCAATGTCCCATCATCACCTTTCCGCCAGCTGCGTTTGCGCAAGTGCTCGACCCGAGTTCCAGAGTTGTCGATGCCGAGCCCATGCCGGCGCAGTCTCCTCCGAGCCCAGCAGCTCTGGCGGATCCGCTTGGTCTTTCAGTGCTCTCGATACACCCGAGTGGACCCGATATCGTCCCAGCCTCGGTCGCTGCCAACCTCTATGGGTCAAGGTTTACACCCGCAGTCAATTCCGGAGCCCCACCGCTGCCATACCACACACAAGCAACCCCGTCAGTGGGCGAGCCTGGCGTTGATCGCTTTAATTTCAGCTTTGCGAGGGATTCGGCCGACTCCAACTTACTTTCATCTCCTCGACCAAGTGACAGCAAGCAGTCGCACGATGAAAGCGCTCATGCTGCACTCACCGAGATCACTACTGCCTTGGATCGAGAGCGGGCTTGGCTGCCGCTGGACTTGCATGACCCACTCGCACCAACATCCCTGCACCCACCCTCCAGTTTCGAGCCCTACCCTGCTGACGCCCAGATCGATGGGTGGCTTGGACACCAGAACATCTCCGAAGCAACCGCACCGCAGCGGGTCACAGCCTCCTCGCCGGTTGGCGTGCACGAGGAATTACTCGTCGCCAAGAAGGATTACAACCCCGCGCACGACTCGGAGGTCTCACTCAAGAAAGGCGACGTCGTGCGGGTAGCTTGCTCGATCGATGAACGGTGGGTGATGGTCGTCAAGGATCAAGTTCCAGGCCGAGTCCCATGGGAGTGCTTGGGTCCCATCGCGAGCTGACGAGCAGCAGGCGCCTTGATGAAAGAAATGTGCTCGTAAAATGCAGCAGGATATCATGCTCTCGAAGCTGGTACTTGTCTGGTTCTGGAACCCATATACACCTTCGTCCATACCACGATCTGCTCCCTGCGCAAGGTCGACGATTTGCGAGAGAGACTCCATCCAGGCCGTCGACACTCTGGCTGGTATAGTTTGAGCAGACTGGATCCTGCATCGGTCTGGCTGGGAACTATGGTTGCTCGTTGCCGCTGGCCTGGTCTGCGGTGCGTGTGCATGTGCGTGTGCATGTGCATGTGCGGGTCCCAACGAGAGTCTATCGATGCCGACAAGGCCCATCTTCGATACATGACCGCCTTGGCTCCAGCTCGGGCGATCGGGCCATTCGGGCGGTATCCGTCGTATATCACGATGGAGGTGTTGGCATGGTGCTCGCTGATTCGGGCTGGCAATCCACGTGACGCTCCGCTCGAAAAAGGCGAGATCTGGGTGAAAGCAGGCGGCCAGAATCCCCAGCTTTCCGTCCGGCCTCGCCTCCAATCTGCCCTCACGCAACCAACGCCGAGCATGTCGGTGAGTGCCCTATCCTCGCGCCGTGAGCGAGGCTGAAGTCTTCCCGGAGCTGTGCCTGTGGCCACCCAGGCTTGCCTCGAGACTGCCTTGATCACCCGCAAGCACCCCGAGCTTCGGTCACAGAGCCGAGCCACTGACCGATCTGTTGGACGCACACATCCGTGCATCGACCCGCTCGTTGATCTCTGCAGTTTGTCCCCGTCAACCCCAAGCCCTTTTTGATGGGCCTGACCGGAAAGCCCGTCATGATCAAGCTGAAATGGGGACAGGAATACAAGGGATACCTCGTATCCGTCGACTCATACATGAACATCCAGGTGCGGCAAGCAAGGGAGTCTTTGAAGCACCCGACGCTGCTGGTGCTGCCAAAGAGTTTATGCTGGCTTCACTCTGCTTATACCGGTGGCGATAAAATCAGCAGCGATGACGATAGGGGCATTTGGCAGGAAAGGGGTGATCCCTCGGGTGCCTCTCTTGGGGTGTTGTACTAACTCTGGCTGGTATCTGCACCCATCGCCAGCTGGCCAAGTCTGAGGAATATGTCGACGGAGTCCAGACGGGCGTTTTGGGAGAAGTTTTGATCAGGTTTGTGTTTGCTGGTCCGATGGGGGGCTTGCTCTCGATCGCTGGATCGGACAGGCATGAAGTGGGCAAACCCAGCCGAGGGCATCGCAGCTCGGAATGATGACCTGGGTCGCCGCTGTCACTCTCGATCTGGAAAATGACTGTGTGCCAGTGGGATGCCAGCGCCGTGACCTCGGGTAAACCCTCAAACTGACCACCTTCCTGACTGCTTTTATTCGTCGTTCGCACAGATGCAACAACGTACTATACATCCGTGCGATAGACGAAGAGGAATGAAAGCACTGATCCTGATATCGTTTTTTTGGCCCTTACCAATCCCATCCAATAAACGACCGCAATCCCAACAACATCCTTGTGGCTCCTTGGCGTCGGAAGAGGGGCGGGTCACGGATATTGGTATGCCTAGGCATGAAGGGTGTTCGGAAGTGCTTCGAGGGAGCCATGGAATGGGTCCTCTGAGCAGCTAACAGAGGCAAGAGTAACTCGTCATGGTCCTCCGATTCGATAGCGTCGGCACAGCAGGCGGATGCTCACGAAATGGAAGACAAAAGTGCTCACCCCGAGACTGGAGAAAGCAGGGAGCTGACGGAGGTATGTACCTCGGAGACGACCGCGTCAGGCCGGCAGGTCAAGCAGAGTCATGGGAATCGGGGTGCCATACCTCAATGGTGAGGTGACCATTTGGAGTATTGGCGAGACGCTCCCCCACACTTCTGGTCAGGCAGAGCCCATCCCGCAGCAATGGGAATCCCGATAGATAGGGAAGTGGGTTACCGACAGACACGGATGGAGCCATGACAACGCCAGATGCCGATGACAGCAACGTTGCCATGGTTATGGTGCGAAAGACGCTCGTTAGGGTGCTTGTGAAGTGCTCGTTAGGGTGCTCGTGAAGATGGAGTGTGCGATCGATGAAATGCAGCCTCAAGGAATGCAACATGAGCATGCCACCAGCACAGCCATCGGCAACAACGGCTGTATCAAGATGGCAATGATTGATACTCCCGACACAGCGACCACGATGGACCTGCACTTGCAATGCCGCACTCTCCCACCTGCCACCAGACACTCACACGCAGCCAAAGACAGCAGGAGTGAGTGAGAGATTGTTCGACAGTGGAACTGTATTCGAACGACCTGCCGAGCGACCTGCCGAGCGACCTGCCGAGCGACCTGCCGAGCGACCTGCCCAGCACGTCCTGGGTCAATGTCTGTTTCTATCAGGCGAGTCAAAATACTGCACAGACCATCATGCCGCAAGCCGCCGTCAGTTCATGGCACCATGCAGTTGGCATGACGCAGTCGGTATGACACAGTTGCCATGGCCCGGTCGACTCGGCCCAGTCAACCACACAATGCAATGTGCATGGCTCAACCCGTCTATCACAGCATGCAGTCGCACCACGGCGATGATGGCTCCATCACACGAGGTCCGCCGTGTCCATTTCTTGGACGCAGGACCATGGAAGGCGGCCTCGTCGTCCGCCAAGTGCCTCGGCCAGAGCCCAGTTGTTGTCGATCGATGCCAGCACCACGACGATTTCTTTCACGCCGACACTCAGCTCGCTGTCGTCGAGCGACTTGTGCGAGGACACGACGAGGTACTGCTTCTGTGTTGGCGTGCTGACTCTCGAGGAGCTGACCGGCGCTGGTTGACTAAAGTCGACAATCGAGTCGTACGATGGCGGGGCGAGACCGGTGTCCAGGGCGGTGCCGACGTATGTGCCCGATGCTGCGGCCAAGTCCGGTGCCGAGAGGGCCAGTGTGGTTGCGGTCGTGGCTGTGGTCGTGGACAGGGTCGTCGATTGAATGGTGGCGGCGCCAATGCCTGATGACAGGATGCTGTCGGTGGAGGCAACGTTGGGTCTTCCTTCGTCAAAGCCGCCATTGCGGTCGCGGCGTCCGTCGGTTGCGTCCCGGGAGGGCGACGGCGAACGAGCCACAGCCAGCCTTTCTCGTTCTGTCGACAGCAACGATGCAACGATGAACAGTCGGGTCAGCACAAGGAGCGATGCAAGGAGCGATGCAGGATATGATGCAAGGCATGGTGCTGAGAGCACGCCACGGCATGGAGCAGCTTATGGCTTGTGCATGCGGCCTGTTGACCCGCCACCGCGATGCAGCCAATATTCACCTGCAGCGTTCTTCCCAGCCTCGCGGCGTCGATGGATGACATACAGCGCTGCCACAAAAGCCACGACCAGTGCACCGACGACACCGCCAACAATCGCTGGGATGTTGGGACCAGACGATGGCTGCGGTGCAGGTCCAGGTCCAGGTCCAGGCGCAAGACTCGGCGTCGGTGTGTCGTTTGTGCATTTGCCCTTCAGCGTCGGTGAGATCATGGTGACGTGACTGCCGACGGCCTGGTTGATGAAGGTCATGCCGGCGGTGTGCTGAAAGTCAAAGCTGCCGTTGAGCCAGTTGGTGGAGAATGCGCTGAGAGGGATCACCAATGTTTGGCGCTGGCCGCTTGGGACCAGAAAGTCGTAAAGGGAGTGGTATTGAGACTCTGAAGGCCGACCATCGGATGCGGCGGGAGAGTGGGAGATACGAACGGTGAAGCGCGAGGAATGATGTGGGTCAGCGAGAGAAGGATGAGTGCACGGCGGTGGCCCGCCAAGAGACCAGCTGTCGAGTCGCAGCCAGAAGACTGCAGGCCAAGCGGCTGGCATGGAGCTCCGCCGAATCACCATGAACGGCACCACACCATCCCACCATCCCACCATCCCACCATCCCACCATCCCACCATCCCACCATCACAACATCACAACATCACAACATCATGGCTTGCGCACCTGCGCTGGCAGAGACACCCTGTGGGTATTTGCAATCGACCGAGTTTTGAGTGAAGACGATGGTAAAGTCGACGCCAGGGTCGATGATGACGTCGGACTGGAAGGTGTCGTACATGGACAAGTCTCGGCATCCCTGCGAAACATAGCGGACAGAGCAGCGTCAACAATCGCGCACCCGTCCCGGACGAGGATGCCGGTTCGCAGGCTCAATCGGCGGCCGAGGAGACCGGGAATGCGACACGCAAGCGCAAGCGCAGGCGGAAAGTGGAGACGGAGACGGAGACGGAGACGGAGACGGAGACGGAGACGGAGACGGAAACGACTCCCGGTGCGCCGTTGGAGGGCGATCTGGGTCGGGCCACAGACTTACCAGCGAAAAGAACCTGATCGGGATGGGCGATGGATATGGATGATGGAGGATGAGATATGGACGATGGGATGTGACCGATTGGAGGACGAAGTGATCGAATCGACAGATTGACAAGTTGACAGATCGGTCAGACGAGTCGGCAGCAAACCCCCGCGCCGATCGATCGATCAGACGAGTCGCCAGCCGTCGCTGCGAACGACAGCACACATACCAGTAGTTGGCCACGGGCGGCATGCCGGGGTGCGTGGAGGCGCTGGAGTTGAACGGCATCGCAACGACGGTGAAGTTGCTGTTGTCGACCGACGGCGTGATCATCACAGAAGCGTTGTCTTGCAGCGGGAGCGAGATCCGAGACATGGCTATATCCGGGGTGCATGTGGAGGCTCCCGCGAGAGCGGTCGTCGCAGCCAGGATCAGCAGCGTTGACGTCGAGAAGCCCGCGAGCATGGTGAGCAGATGGTGGGCGTGGAGATGGGGCGGGTGTGGAGATGAGGCGGGTGTGAAGGCGAAGGCGAAACGCGGACAACGGGATTATATCCAACCCAGACCGAGGGGCCATGCGTTGGCTCCTGTGGCCGCCGGCGAGACGGTGTGACAGTGAGTCGGGGTGTATGGACCGGGGCGAGGGGCGAGACGGAGGCACATCCGACAGCCGCAAGCAGATCAAAGACAAGCAGATCAACGACAAGCAGATCACAGACAAGCGGGTCCTCAGCCAGATCACAGACAAGCAGGCAAGTGTACACCCAGAGACAAGTGCACATCCAGAGGCAAGTGTCGACTCGAAGGCAGCGATACGAGCTGTCCGTGGCGCCGGGCCGTGTGGGACGTGGATTGCGACAACGGGATTGTTTCTTGTTGCTCTCCAACCCACCACGGTCCCGAGATCGACCAAAGCACAGTGCGCAACACCACTAGCAGAGTATTGCTGTCTTGGACAAGACCTCCTCGTTCGTGTGCTGGGATGGCATGCGACAACCTTCCGGCTGTGTCTGGTCTGCCATGGGCCTCAAGGCAGACGGCCTTGCTCTGCCATGGGCCTCGGGCAAACAGCGGCCCGTTCGGCTCTGCCCAGCGACACTCGGCCTTGTCCATCCTCGTTTGGGTGCGTGCATCGGTCCAAGAGTCGCACGGTCCAAGTGTCCCAAGGCCTGAGTGCCGCACGGCCCAAATGTCGCACGGCCGTCTCGCCTCTCCGTTCTATTTGCGTTTATCCGATCTGTCGTGGCACAATTATATTCTATTTTGCCGACTCGGTACAGTTGACTCCCTGACCACCGACACAACCAAAGCATAGTCCCAACAGTAATCCTGGTCAAACGGCGGTGTTCTCAGAACTTGCGTCGGACGTGGCAGAGCGAGCCTTCTGGAGCGTTCTCTGGACCAGTGCAACAGCATCGCCGATGGGGTTCTCCTTGGCCATCTCGTCGCCGATGCGGTCGCAGTTCTTCTTGAAATACTCGGCCCGGTCCACCAGGATGTCCTTCAGCGCTCCGACCAGCGTTGAGGTCGAAAAGTCGTCCAGATCGATCACATTGGCGATGCCTCGGTACTTGGCGACCGAGGCCATGAAGGGTTGGTCAACGACATGCGGCACGATGATAGCCGGGAGCCGGTACTTTGCTGCCGTCTGAGTTGTTCCGGCGCCGCCGTGGTGGACTGCCACATGGCACCTTGGGAACAGGTAGGTGTGCGGGAACGATCCGACGAGGCGGTAGACCTTCTTCTGTTGGATCATGGTATCCAGTTGCTCTCGGAGTGCATGGTACTTTGTGTTGGTCGGGTCGGCGGATACATCGTCGGGGCCCCATGAGAATGCAAAGACGGCTCTCAACTTCACACCCTGCGACTCCAGCTCTTGGATGGCCGTGAGCCAGATGGTCATGTGGTCGATCTCCTTGGTGGAGGTTGGGCCGAGCTTCTGGAGCGAGCCGTATCCAAAATAGACGATCTTTCCGGAGGCAAGGAACTCGTCCTGGAGATCGAGGGGTGTGTTGGATCAGTGACCGGCTGTGGTGGCAGACGACTTGGCATGTGTGGCCGCGTGTGCTCAAGACGGACAGGCTCAATGTGCTCGAGACGGACGAAGCCACCAAGCGACACCGAGGACGGATTGATCGAGGCGACTGCTTACCAGCTCAACGGGAGCGGAGAATGGTTCGGCGTACTGATCTGCTTCCAGCTGGAGAGGACCAGACTGGACGAAATCCATGGTGGGCTTGCTATTGATCGAAACACACAGCAGCGAGGGTGAGTATCATCGTTGGCGTGCCGTCACAACCACAACCACAACCACAACCACAACCACAACCACAACCACAACCACAACCACAACCACAACCACAACCACAACCACAACCACAACCACAACCACAACCACAACCACAACCACAACCACAACCACTACCACAACCACAACCACAACCACAACCACAACCACAACCACAACCACAACCACAACCACAACCACAACCACAACCACTACCACTACCACTACCACAACCACAACCACTATCGACATCGTGCTGCTGTCCCGGTACTCACAAATCGGAGGCGATGGGAACCAGTGCTGGGCTGAAAGTGCAAATAAACGGCATGGCAGCCCGCGCACGAGCCTCCCTGATCATCAGTTGAATGATATCATAGATGGCAGTGATGTACGAAGGCAAGAATCCGCGGCGGAGTCCCAGTGCTCGTCGTCTCTCTTGAAGGATCGGATTGAAGATCCAGAGGGAGCGGATCCCAAGGGACAACCACTGGTGCGGGCAGCCAGAGATACAAAGCGTTACTTTGTGGGTCATCATTCGGCTCTGTGACAGTCGGCTCTGTGACAGGCGTCCCTGGCAGATGACAAGCATGCCGCGGCTCGGGTGTCAGACCGACTTACGGTCATGAGATTGCTGCGTCTCGCCTTGTCGTTGTCTGGCTGATACTCCAATCCAAGAACAGGGGGTGGGTAGTCCTTCGTGGCCTGGCTAGGCTGGAGGTAGCAAGCCACAGTCGGGATACCTCGCTTTTCGCACTGTATATGACATCAATGGACAGGGTCAGGGCTGGCAGGGCTGGCAGGGCTGGAGCAGCGACGCCGGTGCATTGCCATCGCTCGCATCACGAGAGCAGCGTGTGGCTGTTCTAATGGTGTTGGCAGCAACGATCACAGCCAGATGGCGCTGCCAAACTGAAACTCACGTCCTCTCGAAGCTGCAGAGCAACGTTTGTCAAAATAGCCAGATCGACTCCTTTGAGATGTTCGTCGGCGGTCTTGAAGAAGAACTTGAGAACAGGGACGCACATCTTTCCAGCCATCGTTGAGGACGGGATTGTGCGGTGTTGATTAGTTTGATGCAAGGTGCAAAATGCAAGACACAGGCTCATGTCCCATTATGCGTGTGCCAGTGCATTGGCTCTTACCTGGATGAGAGGCATGATTCCCTTAGTGGTCCCACGGAGCTTGAGAAGCTGGTCGGCCCCCTCGACACCGAACCCTTCACTGTTGAGCTTGACTGGGTCGTTCTGGGAGAGGAGGAAGTCGAACAACGACATCAGGAGCGAATCAACTGCGACTGCCGCGATTCCTTCGGCCTGACAACGATCAGACGAGACGAGCAGGCAATCGCACTCACCTTGAGGTCGAAGTACTCCAATCCTTCTTTGCACACCTTCTCCTCCCACTTGGCGGGGGCAACGATTCGCACACGGTAACCGCACTGGGTGTGCAGCGCACGGCCAAGAGCGAGCATCGGCATAACATCGCCGGCCGAGCCAAAGGCATAGATGACAACGAGCGGAGTGGACATGCTTGATTGGCAGTGAAGGGGCGAAGGGTGGTGAAGGGCGAAGGGTGGTGAAGGGTGATGAAGGACGACCTGGTTCAGCTGCGGGCTTGGCTCGCTGAGACGGTTTTCGCTCGCAGGAGCGACTCGGTTCGACAGGAGAGGGTGGCTGGCATTGCCGCACGATGCTGGGACAGGTGGGGGCGGTGTGCGAATCTTTGTGCCACGATGGTGATACGCAAGGGCTAGCTGGATGCTGCGGTACAATCGTGGCTATCTCGAGTCACAGTCTCTGTTCTGCTTCCGAGTACTGTCATGAAAGATACGAGACAGAGCACCAGTGATTCGGTGGGCACTCGGGCGTCTGATGTGGAGATGCTGGGACACCGGCAGCAATCGGCATTCTGGGCTCTGCGGCGCATTGGCGCCGAAGCAACAGCAACACCATCCCCAGGGACAAATATTACAGGCAATCCAATAAAAAACGGGACACCCGAGTTTTTGACCATTCATCGAATATTTTGTTACCCAATGTTATCGCGCGCTGGCCATGACCATTCGCCACACATCCGACTTTCGCACCGCCGCATTGCGATGCTACGCCCTCATCCATAGCCTGCGTAAGGTCGCCTCCATATTCAGTGTATCCAAGAGCACCATCCATCGATGGCACCGAGGATGCAAGCTGGATGACCCATCCCGGGTCCCAGCTCGCAGATCCACTTTCTTTGAGCAGGCATGTCCAGTCATTCGCACCCTGATTGAACAGGACCCGTTCCAGACTGGTCCTGTGTTGCGATGCAAGCTCGAGTCCATCCTCCAGAGGAAAGTATCACTCTCACTCTGCCACACTGCCATCCACCGAGCAGGTCTCTCACACAAGAGGGCAACACACCTCTACAAGTCCAAGCGACTGGATGAGCGAGTGGCACAGTTCAGGGACCAGGCCCGCTCCATTGACCCGCGGCGATTCGTTTTTGTCGACGAGACAGGGATCAGGAAATCCATTTTCCCTCTCTACGGATACTCACCGAAGGGTGCTCCGCTTCGCCAGCGCAATCACATGAAACACAAGTCTGTCTCGGCTGCATTTGCCATCAACCACTCTGGTGTGCTGCATCGCATGTACATCCCCACATCATTCAAGACACACTCGATGGTCGAGTTCTTTGAGCGAGCGGCCTTCCCAGATGACTCTGTGATTGTAATGGACAATGTCAGCATGCACAAGACAATGGCTGTCCTGGACTGCATCGAGCGCCGAGGATGGTCAGTGGTCCTCGCCCACCTGCCTCACCCGACATTCAGGGTCGGGATGGTGACCCTGTTCGAGTCCGCCGTGCGGAGGGTGCTTCCAGATGTCTTCCCACGGCTGATTGAGCGAGCGATGCGCTTCTGGGGTTGAGTTCCCTCCAATCAAGCCGCCATTTTCACGCTCAAATCCCTGGCTTGAACCTCTCGGCGATTTTTGAACAGGGTCACTTCCCCAACCAGCCCGCGCAGACGGGTTCCTGCTCTCGGGTATAAATGCCACACCTTCGTCCTGCTGCTTTCTTCCCTCATCTCGCCTTGATCTGATCATTGCGCCATTGTACGATAAAGAGAAGTCTCTGTTCTGACCAGTACCACTGGCAGGCATCCAGCATCCTCTGCCCCCATGCCTCCGAAGCGTAAGGGTACCGGTGATGGCCAGCCTCGGCCACCCAGGCCCAAGAAAGCCAAGTCACAGTCGGAGCCTGTCTCTGGTTCGTATTCTGATCTCACGCATGCTTGGTCGTCTGTTGCTCCGTCGCTCACCACCACTGCTTCTGCAGATCCAATGGATGTCGATCCCACCGAGCCTGGTCCATCTACTTCCTCGAGTACCGGCAAGCGATGTCGCCAGTGCGATGGCACCGATCACGAGCGAAGCAACACTAGCAAGTGTCCCAAATACCGGCCCCTCAAGAGTTCTGTCGTCCCACTCGTGGATGGAAGGTCATCCGCCCCTCAATTCGGCTGCTTCAAGCAGACGATGGATGGCTGTTGTCTCAATCCCGCTCTCCGCGACAAGATCCAGGCCACCGTCGAGGCCATGACCCAGATCCAGTTCGAGGCATCCAGGCTGCTCAACCTGCACATCCTCCGGTGCATCGAGCAGGATATTCCCATCCCTGTCATCTCCAGGGCCACCCCTGCTTTCATCCGCCAATGCTTCAAGATCGTCCAGGACGGTGCCCTCTCCCCGACCGGGGACATCGAGCAGTACAACGAGCATCTGGTCGCTTCTTTTCGCGACTACCAGACCACTCGGCACGCAGACCTGCCTCCGGCCCCTCGTCTGCCTGATGGTGCTCACAGTCAGCTTCTCACACTGGCTGTCAATGCCTATGCCACCAACTGCACCACCCACCTCGACCTGGCCTACTGGCGACTCCTTCGCCGTTTCTGCGCTGCCGTCTTCCCAGCCAACAAGCACAAGCACGAAGCCATCGAGGCCTGTCTCGAGCTCTTCGAGAAACCAGGGCAGACTCCACCCAAGGCCGATCTCGAGTTCCTCTATCCAGACTTTGGCCACGTCCTGGACGAGTTTCGGTACAGCAACGACCAGGACCGCTTCCGGGCCCTCCATCGCCTCTCACACCATGTGGGAATCCTCGCCCGAGACAAGATGGTCGACAATGTCCACAAGTGGATCGACTGTGACATGCCCGCCCTCCGAGTCACCGAGCTGCAGCGCCAGGCCAAGCTGGACAGCCTCACTACCCAAGGCATTCCCTCCGACGACAAGAGGTTCACCACGGCCAAGTCTGAGCTCGGCACCACCAAGGCCAAGATCAACAAGCTGGCATCCAGACTCAAGTGGGGCCTCAAGCAGCTCACTCTTGACACTCCTCCGGCCGTGTGCACGATGGTTCCTCTGTGCACCACCAAGGCCAAGTATGTCAAGATCGACACGGCCACTCTCTGGGATCTCCTTGACTCCGAACATCGTCTCGGCCTCACCCGGGACATGCTCAAGGAAGAAGGTGAGGACGGTATCAACAACCAGGATCGTCTCTGGCGCAGTTGCTTCAAGCTGCGTAGTTCCCTCTTCCAAGAGCGGGTCAGGGACAAGAAGCTGTTCAACTACGAGATCAGCACCGATGGCATTGGATGCACCATCGGCCTCGTCAAGTTTGTGCCTCGAACCGATCACACCGAGACCATCGAGCCTCCTCCGACTGCCGAGCAGCGCATCCAGGCCCACATCGGCAACCCAGACCCCGACAAGACCACTTGGATTGGCATCGATCCTGGAGTCGGCTCCATCTTCACGGCGGTCATCCAAGCACCGGGCCACCAAGACGAGGTGGTCTCATTCTCCAATGGCCACTACCAGCACATGTGTGGCCATACGTCCAACACCAAGTGGCACAATATCATGAAGTATCGACTCAGCATCGAGACCTGGATGTCGACCACCCCCTCGCCCAAGGTGTCGTCCTCGGAGGCCTTCAAGATCCATCTCACCCATGTCCTGCGACCGGAGCTGCGAGTGCAGCTCAATTTCCACCTTGGCAAGAAGGCCCGTCACCATCGCTTCACGGGCCACAAGAGGCGCCAAGTGGCGGTCGACAAGATGTGCAAGGCCGTCCTGAAGCACGCCCCGATACGGACCGATGTGGTGATCGCCTTTGGCAATGCGTCATGGCGACAAGGCAAGGGCTATGCATCCAGCCCTCGGAGGCAGCGGTTTGCTCAGTACTTTGAGCAATTCGAGCACCACCGACGCCGTCCCAATCACCATCATGGAAGCGTCAGGGTGGCCTCGACGAACGAGTTCAACACCTCGCAAGTGTGCTCCAAGTGCCTGGAGCCAGTTCGGTTGGAAGGACTCGATGCGCCCAGTGTTGCGAATTCCCACTTTGTCAGGAGCTGCAAGAATCCCAGCTGCCGGACAGTGTGGAATCGCGACGTCAATGCGGCGCGCAACATGATCACAGTATGCAGGTCGATTGTGGAGATCGGAGAGCGACCGGCGGTCTTCACTCGGAGGCTGCCAAAGTGATCTGTTTTATTTCTTGTGGCTTTGCTTGACGCAAGCACAGCACATACTACATGTTCATGGAAACGTCTATGTTGTCCCGTTTTTTTCTGAATAAAGTGTATAGCGAGCTCGTTTTGAAACGGGACACCTTCACACACAGATGACTTGCGTGACTTGTTGAATCAGACGACTTTCGTCGGCCCGAACTCCATAAAATCCGCTCGCCGAGGTCCTCCCGGCAATATTGCTCTTTGCCCTGCGTCTTTCTCCCTCATCCCAGATATGTCGTCTTGCTCTGGCCTGCAGCGACTGTATCTGCAGTGACTCGCTGGTCCCCGTCGTGCCCACTCACTCCATGCATCTCCCTCACAGGGAAATGACTTGACCCACTTGAGCGAGTGTGCGATATGATCCGACTACGCCGTGTTTGTCCGAATGAGGCGATATTTCATTTTTTCTTCATCACACTGTATCACGGCCGATGGAGCAGCACTGAGACATCCCAAAGGTTTCGTTCTATCGGGGGACAGCTCTCCGCCAATCAGACATGGCTCCGATTCCTCTACCTCCGAGGCCAGTGGGAGTCGATAGAATTCACCCTGTCGTCATCCGCTGACCTCACCTCGCCCGATCGACACCAATCGGTCCTCTCATCGTGCTCAGCCGATCTCGTCCTCTCCCCGAGACTGAGCACTTGCAGCCACCACTTCCCGTCAACTTCTTGACGAGCGTCGCGAGCTTGACAACATCGGCTTCTTCTCGAACTTGCATCGTGCTCTGCTTGCCTCGATGAAAGCAAGACCTTTGGTGTTCATAACAACAATCGCCCTGGTCCTTGGCCTGGGCGGTTGTCAACCGCCGGCTGGCGTCAATGTCCAGAGCCCGCTCAACTACGCCTATCCCGCTGCCTATCCCGTCCATCCCAGCAAGGTCAATGCATCCCTTCTCCGAATCGGGGTCTTTGGCTGGTTCAGCGCGCCTTTGATGCCCGATGATGGAGGCACATGGGCAGCCGGCCTCGAATCTGCTGTTCACCTGTGAGTCAAATCAGCCATAGATCTGTCCGGCAAATAGGCATCATGTTGCGACGTGACCGAATGGCCCGCTGCAATTATCCTCGGAGCTGCGAGTGCCAGTGATGATGACCATCATTCTATCGGTTGCAAAGATACCTCTCGGTCCAGGCCGCCATCGACGAGACAAATGCCAAGTAAGACTCAGTGCTATTGCGGCGAGGATGGATACCCCGAGATTCCAGCCCGCTTCGCTTTCTCTCCGTTCGTTGGAGAGCCCTCGCGATTCCAAGCGCGTCAGTCCCAGTACTAAGACCTTTGCTTCACACCGCAACTTCTTCGACCAAATTTCGTCCTGCCAGCAATGCTCTCCTTCCCAACGTGGTGAGTCTGCACTCCAATACAAAGACTTGTTGTAGACCAGCGTTTCTCACGCGCAGAATCGACATCCAGCGGCTCGCCCTCGAACCAATCGACATCTACGGCAGCAACGACCAACTCCGGATTGCCAACTCGGTGAGTCCCCAAACTATCTCAGTGGACGAAATGAAACAAAATCACTGTGCCGTCCCATGCGCCATGCTAATTCCACAACCGCGTCCACCATCACTTGCAGTATCTAATGGCTCAGGCGGCCATTTCAAGACACCGATATGCTGCGTTTATAGGTATTGTCCTCCTGTTGATCCGCAGACCGAGTACGGATGCACTGGGTTTGTGAAACTAGCGTATTATGCCTGATCCGTCGGCTCATTTCCAGGCGACACCACCGATGTACTCTACGACAACACCAAGACAACATCTGCCCAGGCCATGATGGCGGGCGAATTTAACATCCCGGTACGCTTGTGAATCTGCATAGTAAAGGACCGCCGGCAATGTATGATATTGGGAATGTCACACACCTCGCGATACCTCAAACTATATATCGAGCGATGCCCGTGTTTACTAAGCCCCGCTATCGCAGTACTGTTCACCAATATCTGTGGATGACTCGGTATGTGATTGTCGGATGCATATTCACGGTGTTCAGTACCTTCGTTGCTGATGGGGTTTGGAGGAAGCAGGATCACGGATTGGCATGACTGGATATTAGTTGTGTTGAAGTTCCAGATGAAAGGATCGCCCAGTTAGTAGCCACGCAGTTGATCGAAAGCAGAACTACTAACCCATCCCGCATGCTACATCGTCTGCGTCTTGGCTACAGTTCAACGACAAGAGCAAGTATCCAACACTCATCCGAACGGTCGGAACAGCTGTACCGGCAGGCGCCAGTAAGTGCCCGAATCTTGCTTTGGGCACATGCAGACCACTGTGGGCTGAAAACGAGTCGACCCGCATCTTAGGCACTGACTCAGTAGACACTTTTGCCCTCAGTCTAATCACTAAAATCACGATGATCTGTTCAGCTGTTGTTGACTGGGTGCTTGCGATGGGCTGGACCAAGGTCGTCCTGGCCGTCACAGTACGTATCAAAAGAACCGCATGCCCCTGCCTTTGCGGACTGTATTGGTCTGCTAAAGCTCCATCCTGTTGTTCAGCAGTCGATGGGCACTGCTTTCGTTCCAATACGATCGTAAGCTGACATTCGCGTACTATCTCTGGCACCAGTGCAAAATCAACGACCAGTACGGATACCTTTTTCTCCAAGGATTCCTGGCGAGGGCCCAGTACACGGGTCTCACCATCCTCGACACCATCTACTACTACTGCAACGCTTCGCCAGACTTTTCTGCAAACGACTTTGTGACCCCGGTGCAGAGAATGAAGGCCACTAACGGGAAAATCATTATATCCCTCGGAAATATCGGCCCGTCGTCGGTACTATATGCACAAGTATGTGTGCACGCGCCGAGCATGTCACAACAATTGTCAACCGATGGGTCATGAGGTTTCTGCTATCATTCGGCAGTCATATTGACCTGAATTGAGATGATCCAGATCATAAACTACCGTCTATGCTCACCACTATCGCCTCGTCTTTTCTCTGTAGGCCATGTATGGATACCTTTCGCAATGCATCTTTGCCTGTTGATATGCTGGATCAATCTTTACCTATCATAGAGTGTTCGAAAGCTGCCTTTCCGTGGCAAAGGATATTTGCCGATGATCATGAATTCGTAGTGAAGGACTAATGCCTTCCTGCCATTGGCACCTGCTTGGCATTTGCACTTGCCTGGCATTTGCACCTTCTTGCCATTTGTATCTCCTTGCAATTTGCACCTTCTTGGCATGCATTCGGTTGTCATTCTCTTGCTCACACTCGTGTTAACACTCACGCACCCTATCTGCCGTTACAGGCAAGCAGGTTTGACAACCTCGGACTATGTGTGGTTTATGGCTGGCGGACGGTGGGCTGCCTCGGACTATGCCAACTTTTTCCAAACTCCAAGCAATCTGGCCGCAAGCTACTATCCGGGCAGAGCCATCCAAAGCTCGGATTTGCCCACGTACGGTTGATCTGCAGCGTATCGGCCCGCTGCGTTGGACACACGCTCGTACGATTCTGGCTTGCCAAGCAAACTGCTCTGACACGACCAACTGTGCTGCCTTGTATCCCCGGACACTACACTCGTCCTCGAAATATTCCGACTCAAACGCGTTCAGATACTTTGGACTGTGGGTATTGGTTTAGAGCAGCAATCCTCTGTGAGGGATGTCGTGTACTGCCCCCCGTGTCCACGCATCATGTCTGAATCTCGTCAATCTTCATCCCCATTTGTCGACTCATCCTGTGCCATCCAATCATCGGCTTGCTCACTGTGACAATCTTCTCTGCGCATCTCATTTGTCTTTGCCACAGCGACGGCCCAGTCAGCTACTGGCCGAATAATCCACAGTGGCTCAAGTTCAACCAAACGTGGTCGACCTACAACCAGAGATCGCTCACATACGCACCTGGAGGAGCACACGTCGTTATGCCGTGAGTTAACAACCGACTGGGTATCCGCTTCACCTCACAGTCGGTGATACACTAATGAACGCACGACCCCTGTTCTCCCTCAAACACCGATAACCAGAATGACGTACGACTGCACATTGGCAATGATCTATGCCTTTGACAACGTATGTCTCAGCACGCCTGGAATTTCGGCTGTTGTGTGGGGATCTTCGTGCGGAAGGAATCGAAAGCGGTATATGCACACCTCACTGAATCTCTCACATCTCCATGCAACACTGGTGTCACAAACAGCTCCTTCGGGTTTATCCAAACACCGTCACTCTGTCAGCCATTGCCCAAGGGGGACTGAGTCGGCAGTACACAACACCAGCCATGTTTTCGCTGGGCCAGCCTGGATCGTGCGGTCCCCTCTTGTTTGACAGTATGTATGAGTGAGGGTTGTGTGTGTGGCGGGTGGATCATTGAGCAAGTCAGCGAGACGTCTATGACTATCGATTGATCAGCGGCACTCAAGGCGCTTGATATTCATATCTTGCGTCTTTCCATTTCGCAAAGATGAGGGCAACTTTGAGTCTGGGTAAGACGCTTTTCTGTCCATACAGCACAACCTAAATCCAGCATCACCGCCGAAAGGAGACCGACATGCACAACTCAGCACATGTCTAGGACATGCCACGCATTCGTATTTGCAACTACGACCTGACTCAAATGTCTCTTCATTCGATACTCCGTGGATTCGCAGAGGCATATCCATCCAAATGATTGTAGGTTTTGTGTTTGCATTCGTTGGCACACCAACACTTGTGTACTATGTTTGGAACTGCAATTGACTACTGCCGGTCGACAGAGAAACGACAACACCTGGAATATGGCGACCATCACGTTGATGGGGAACTTTTCATACGCCTCCACCAACGTCAAGATCGAGCAGGGTCTGACTCCGGCAGCCTGGTTCCAATTCTACTACAATGTCACGAGTAAGCGAGCATGATTGGATTGGCAATGATGAGGGGGGGGGAAGAAACTGGATTGGACAGAGATGCAAACTTGACGCACAGGCGGGGCGATTGTTTTGCTTGTGTTCGACTCACCACATGATTTTGCTGTCTCCGGCCCTTTGTTCATGGAATGATGACTGAATAACTGCCCAAACAGCAAACGTCACGGTCCCGGTCGACTATCCGCCGATCATCCAGACAAACGAGACATTTTCGACTGCGGCTGCTCCAGTAGTGATTATCACACTGCTGATTGTTGCACTCCTGGGCGTCCTGTATTTCTCGTTTACGAACTACCGGCAGCCTGCCCATATCAACATCACGTTCTTCCGCTTTGGTAAGGAGCATGACGGCGCCGGCTGCACTTGTATGGCGGCATCGGTATTGACCATCCGGACATCTTGCTTCTTTCCGGACCTCATAACCGGCAATGTGACGGCTTCTGTGGTGCCATCATCTTCCCCAGCTGTTGCCTCGGCAATCGTCGCATACTGCACCTACTTTTTCTTTGTTGGCATCCCAACGAACACCATCTGTACCGCACAGACGTATCTGCTGGCGTGGGTTTTCGCCATGTGCAATGGGTGAGTAGCTCCAATCCTTTCCTGCAGGTCCTCGTACGCTGTGATTCACGGAAGTTCCCGTAGCAACCAACTTTGTTCCGAATTTCGGTCTGCTCTAATCCATGCCGATTTCTTATATCGCAGTGCATTCTTGGTCAACTCGTTTGGTAAGATGTAGCCGTCAAAGAGGGGTTTCATGAAGACAGTGTCCAGAGCATTCAAAGACAGCTGGATGCGCCACCTTGAAGGCAGATGACCCGGGGCCATGGAGCTGACGATGCTCCACCGGATCGTTTCGCACTCAGGCCAGCGCCGCGTTACTCTGTGCAAGTCGTCGGACATGATCAAGAAGGCAGTCTCCTCGAGACCTATGATATTGGCGACGACGGGAAACGTGGTGCTAAGTTGGGTACGTGCTCGCCGAGCTTTCGGCAGCCCCAGACCGACATCCGTGCGTCGTATGAGTGGCTCGTTGGTTCGTCCGAATTCAAAGCTGGACAGGGTCATCGATGACTTTGATACTGATATCTGGTAAACATGCTCACCGCCGCTCATTTGCAGATCCTGTGCATAATCTCTGACCGCCGCGATCCTCGCGTCGCCGTGAACATCTCAGTCTCAAACCTCCACATCTATACTCTCTGCAAGAGCACAAGTGGCCAGGGATGGACAACAGAGCACACCATCTTGATCATCTTCCAGGGTATCCTCCTGATTGTGGCTATCTGGAACACATGGTCGTTTACCAAGTCGCCGCTGTTGAGGTAAAGGCGATGCTGGCAACGAAGGAGGATGGGGGGAGATGGATAGTCATTGGTGTTGATGGTTTCTATGCAGTAGCGGGGCGAGGTAAGCTCGCCACGGAGGCAGTCTCGATTCTCAGCTGAAATCTGTCGCTCCCTTCATCCAGAACTCAAGCACAGCTGCTTTTATTGGGAGTGGCGTAAGTACCGATACAGGCATACGAGCGCCGGAACGCTTGCTGTTGATGGGCCTCGTCGGAGATTCTGCGAGCTCACGGAGAGCGGGCGTGTGACGTGAAGTGTTTGATACAGAGGCGACTTGAACTTGACACCATGCTGACTTTACTTGGCTCGATCACATGGGTTCGATCGTCTGGGCGTCAATGGTGTCTGCCAGCCATATGCTGGTGCTTACACTGGTCTTTGCCGGTCTGCTGTCAAGCCCTGTGATGGTTGGGTACATGTTTGTGCTTCACTCTGTCGCCTTCACAGTCATACCGACGGCGGTGATCGGGCCAATCATTGCCGCCACGATCCTGGACTCGCTCAAGACCAACAAGGAGGCCAAGCTGGCGAGCTCCACGATGCTGCGCTCTCCGGCGCGGGAGCGAGAGATGTTGATGAAGAAAAAGACGATCGTCTTCACCTCTGTCTCGGTCGAGCTGACGATCCGCAACCGCAAAATCGATGCCCGCCACTGCGACATCTCGGTCATTGACGACAGTGTCGTCATCCAGGTCCGCCAGGGTCACCAGACAGAGTCGCTGGATCAGGATTTGGTGAGTTCCGAGTGCAAATAGTCATACCTTGGCGGAATCGTGTGGATGCGTAGGCCGGTGCACTCGAAACACGAGCATAGCAAACTGCTCAACTCGAGTGAATCCAGCCCGCACGAGCGTGGAGATGCCGCGAGGCAGGGCCAAACCGAACCAAACACTAAAGGTGGCAAACTGGCACTCTGCGGACACAGCCGGCCATCATCCAAGTCGTGGGAGGAGGCATCGAGATCGTCCGAAGCACCCACCGAATCACAATCTCGGTCGGCCGAAAGGAGCCCCTGGTCATTTCCTTTGCCAACACTGAGCTGGCGACGGACTTTCAGGATGCCGTGGACGATTACTTTCTCTCAACGAGCCGCCAGTGAGTCATAGGACCGCACGGCGTTCGCGGCAGCTGCGACCTGTGGCGCTTCCATCGGTTCGGACGATTGGCGGAACCCGGCATCCTGTGCAGATTCAGCAAGTTCCGGGGACTCGGCGGGGTTCTTAGCTTGACAATCTCTATCAGTATCCCATGGCAAGCCATGACGCTGCCTCACGGCCCGGCAGCATCCAACAAACACCAGCTAGAACCAAAAGCTGCGGCCAAGCACACATGCATAGCCAAGCATGAGCACTTCTGAATATGGAGGCTCGATTTCAATCTTTTGTTCATCTCACGAGTGCGTGTGGTCTGTGCACAATGGAGCAAGGGGGGGGGTGGAAGACATGCAGAAGCTTGGGGAGTGGTGTGCAACACGGCCGCTTACGGATATAATACACACCCGCACTCGCTCGAACTGTTTATTGCACCGGATCATTGTGAGGCTAGGAATAATCGAGTCCCATGTCCCATTTGCCAAGAACGGCCAACGGCAGTGCGATGGTGATAACGAATCAAGGAGATCACGTCCTCGGCATCCGTTTACGATACCAAAACGCGTGCGAGATGTCTCAAATCGAGTTTGTCTGTATTGGATGTAGTGCAGTCTATCCCGAAAGAAACGGGACAGTTCCTTCCTGGCTTCAGATGTCTGAACCCCGCTGACTGACTGTAGGCCCAGCGGGCAAGCCATGGCATTGCACTCCTGTCTTCGTTGGCAATCGCTTTGTTTTGGTTGGTTTGGGAAGCACAGTCTTGAATACACCCGGTCGATCTCCATGGGCGATGATCGACTGGCATACCGAGATCATGTTCCTTGAGGCATTGATGTCTCGATGTGTGAGTGTGGTGCATCCACTCGACTCTCTGGACAGCTCAATGATATCTCGATATCAAGATGGTGCTGTGTTTGGCCATGAATGCGATGAGTGGTGGGTGTATTCAGGTTCCAGAAAAAATATATTTCCTGGTTAAAAACGGGGTGTCCCATTTCATTTTGGAAACGCTGTATACACTAAAATACTAAGACACTAAGACACTAAGTCGGACAGCGGAGCGCACCGCGAAATAGACACTGCGGCGACATGTGGATTGGCGATGACAGGGTAAGCGGATAGCTAGCGAAGGGGAAAAGCGGAGGCTCCGCAATCTATGGCAATGACACGAACGGCTTGACTGAAGTGACTAACGCTCGGGACTGAGTCGGTGATACTGGCAGCTTGGTAGCTCCAAGGCCAGGCGAAAAAGGTCGGCGATGGGCTGGGGGCGACGACACCAAAGCAAAGGTACGATAGGTTATAGCGGCTTTGATCCGTCCAGTGCATCGAGTGCCGACCAGGGAATACGACCGCGTCGGCCCTTGTCGCCTTGGATCAAGACCCAGGATTGATCGATTGGAACGAGAACCTGGACCACATCTCCGGCGCTGACAGAGAGTTCGGCGTCGCTCTCAGCAGTGTAGGATGTTGTAACGACCCGCATTCCGTTGGGGAGCGTGCTCAGTGGATCGGCCATCGCCAGTTCATAGGAAGGAAGATGGCCGGTGGCGGCGTGGCGGCTCTGAGGTTCGTTCGGGGCCATATACGTTTCGTAAGGCTCGGTTTGTTGCGGGGACGGGTTGGCCGAGGGAGTGCTGAAGCTGTACGAGAACTCGAAGTGGTCGTTTTCGGATGGCGTGGGGGTGAACTCGGGAGGACGATACGTCGCCAGCACCAAGGGGATGCTTTGGGGGTGATCATCCTGTGTCGGATCTGGGCCACAGTAACCGGGACGATGGACGATGAGCGATCAATGATGAGCGATGGACGATGGATGATTGCAGCATAGATTGAGCCGTGCGATTGGAACGCATCATGGGATATCAGCGTGAAGAACGAAATACATGGGAAGATGTCGGTGGGCGAGGTTAGAGAAGGCACCATTGACAGAACAAAGCAGCACGCTGCGACGCAAACCCATCGTACTTATTGAGGAGCTTGGATTTGCCTTTGTTTGGCGTCGCCGGTACAGGATGAAAGCAACCATGAGCCCGAGGCCGATGGCGCCGATCAAACTGCCGATGATGATGGGCGTGTTGCTGTTGAATTGATTGCTGGGGCTGGGCGAGCCGGTGGATGTTGGCAGAGGCGGGGCGACACCGCCGGAGGTTGAAGTAGAGCCACCGGGATTGGGAATAGAAGGATTGACTGATGCGCTGCCGCTACCACTGGGTCCGGATGCGCTCGTGCTGGAACCAGAGGGGCCGGTGGTGGCAGTACCCGACGGGGCAAGCGGGGAAGTACCAGAGGGGACCGTTGATGAGGTCAAAGGCTGGGAGGACGAAGGAGGGGGCGGTGGCGGAGGTGGAGGTGGAGGCGGTCCAACGCATTTTCCCTTGAAGAAGGCGTTGTTCATCGTTACCCGGCTGCCGCTGGGAAGCTGATTGACAAAGGTCATGCCACCAACATGGGTGAAATCAAAGGCCGTGCCTGCCCAGTTCGTCGCAAAGGCACTCAGCGGAATGACAAGCGACTGCGCCTGTCCGTTCGGCACGATGAAGTCGGAGAGGTCGTGATACACGCTCTCTGTAAACCGTCCGAGGTCCGCAATTGAAGGTTGGAAGACGATTGGTTGAAGATGCGGGATCGGATATGGATGTATGGATGCGTTCAGGCAGCACGGACATTGTCGACAAAATGTGGCAGAAGCGCGGCGAGAATACGTGAGTGATGAGTGTGCGAGGCAAGGAGGTTGGCCGAGCCAAGACCGCAGCAACAAGTAGGCAGACGGGACGAGACAGTACCGGCGCTGGTCGAGACGCCTTGTGGGTTCTGGCAGTTGTTCGAGTTTTGAGTGAGGTATACATAGAGTTTGGTACCAGAGTCGATGATCACGTCGGCCTGGAAGGTGTCATAGAGGCTGAGGTCGGCGCACGGCTGTGAGGAGGCAAGAGATGGGAGAGACACGGCGATGCAGACCGATGAGCGAAAGCGGTCAAACAAGAGGCAGAGGAGATGGCAGCGGGATAGCCGAATCAGAGCGGGCGGGCGAATACTTGGCGGTGGGCACCGGGTGTGCCAGGCAATCATGGTCACTCACAAAACTCAGATACCTGGAGAGGGAAGGCAGCATGAGCATCCCAAGAAGCAGGCAATGAGAGCAGGGAATCGATGTTGCCCCTAGCCTCGATCTGGGCGAGACCGACCCGAAACCAACACCGGGGCCGATGCAGACAGCCTCTCCCGATCCATACAGGCACGGACAGCTCGGCGCAACATACCAGAAATCAACGACGTTGGGCAGCCCGGCGTGGCTCGGGGGATTGGGAGGCCCGGGCTGGGCAGTGACGGTGAAGCCGCTGGGACTGGAGCCTGGGCTGTACGAGATGTACGAGTTCCAGTCGGCGCCTATCGAGGCAATCTGGCCAAGAGGGGCATTTGGGAAGCACTGCTGGGCAGCAGAGGCAGTCATAACGAAAGCTAGACCCAGTGCCGCAAGCGATAAGCGGCGGTCGACGGAGACAAGCATGGTCAGGGAGGACCGACCAGCGTTTAGGAGAGATGGGGGCCGATGCGCAACAGGGTCGACGGCTGACGAAGACGGGGCTGAGGTTGGAGCAGACGAGGAGAGAACCGAAGATGAAGACGAAGCGATGAAAGCCAGACAGAGGACACGATCGGCACGACGGCGATGCAACGCAAATGCAACGCAAATGCAAGGCAGGCACAACAGCAACAGCAATAGCAACAACAGCAGCAGCAATAGCAACAACAGCGAATATGCAGGATGAGTACAAAGGTAGCACAGACAGCCAGGGCGGATACAACCAGGGCCGACAAAGGGGGGGTCGGGACACAGACAAGAGCAAGGGGCCTGTCGCGTGGCAGTGTCACCACACGGCACTGTGGGGAGAGGGACAGCGGTACAGCCGGCGCGGGGGCGTGCGCGTGGCACAAGCCCGTGAGCGGGTGGTGGGTGTACAAGAGAGTGCACACCGACGTCGCACAGTCCTGTTCAGGGTGCGTGTACCGGAGCACAGAACGCGGAAAGCAAAGGCACAGTGCGCGGGCACATGGGCTGCGGCGAGCCCGCGACACAGAGACAGCCCCCGTGCCACACCTCGCACAGCGCGCGTGCGCGCCGAGCAAGCCATCGGGAAAACAGGGCGCGGCGCACAACGAGCAAGCGAGTGAAAAACGTGCAAACGGAAGGATGAGCAAAACAACGGTGTGCAAAATGCCATGACCTGGAATCGAACCAGGGTCGGTGCGGCCACAACGCAATGTACTACCACTATACTATCATGGCTGGTGTGATTGGTGACAGTGGGATTCGAACCCACGCCTCTTGCGAGATCCGAACTTGAGTCGGACGCCTTAGACCGACTCGGCCATATCACCCTGTTTCGATACATCGATACTGGGACTATAAGCAAATCAGTTCATCACTCATTCACCAAACACACGTGACACCCCACACCACATGACACACCACATCACTCACACCACATCACTCACAGCACATTGCTCACTCCATTTTGCTCACCCTACCCACAACCCACCCATCACACGAACAACATTCACTGTGTGTGGGCTACGCCGCCGCATGTGGTATTGAGGCTGTCTATTGCTCCATCAGCCCCCGTTGACATCGCCGTCCGCCTCGCCCCCTCTTGGCCCTCCGTTGTGTCTCGCTCACAGCCGCCTCAGGCGCTTCTGCTCCTCGAGCTGGATAAGCAGGTCGTGAAGCTGCTCGCGGTATGCCGCTTTCATATCCTCGATATCCGCCTCGAGCTCCTCGACCTTCTCTGTCTTCTCGCCCAGCATCTCGAGTGCCGAGTCATATCTGCGTCCGGTTGTGTCTGCCATCAGCACCTGAGGTACGGCAGTGTTCCTTCAATGCATGAACGCTCGTACCGACATGTTCTTACCGTTCCGTCAAGCTGCGGTACTCGGTCTCCAATCGGGCTAGTTTCTGCACATCCCGCTTCCTGTTTGCATCAGCAACCAAGATCAGCCTCCATAACACGCGCGATGAACCTCGCCCTGACATAACCGGCAGCTCGACTGGCTCTGGTCACACTCACATGATATCAAGATCGTGTGTGACTTTGACAAGCTCCTCGGCCAACTCATCTGTCGAGAGATCCGAGACATGTTTCGTTAGTATCGCCAGGGCAAGACAGTCGCCTCTGAACACAGCGCATGGTGCCCTCCTCCATTTCCCGGCACGCAGCCGCTGTTGTCGAGTGCCAAGTTGGCGGGCTAGCGTGATGGCACATGGGCCAATTGCAAGCCACATAAGCCCCCTTGCCCAAGCGTGGCACCTTACCCCGTGTCTGCGTCGTTATCTTGAGCTGGGCTTGCAGTGCTGAGACTTGCGACTGACTCTGGCGCAAGGCAGACACCAGTTTGTCGATCGTAATTGCAGGGCTTGTGCCCGATGTGATGCTCTCACCGAGTCCGAAAGCCCCATCGCCTCCCTGCGGCGTCTGACGTTGGAGTTTAGTATTATAGGCCGATTCTAACGCTCTCGACTCCACAAGACAGACACGAATGTGCTTTGGGCGTGCCGAACAACAAACCTTGACTGAATAGCTTGATGCAGCTGTGTATTCTGACGGTCGGGGCGATCTCGCTGCGGGCGAGAGCACGGGGCTTCCTGTTAGCCCAATGTTCAGATCGAGTTTCAAGTCTGATCGGTCCCGCTGTCGCTTGCGTTCTTGGAGGAGCCTGTCCTCATGTAACCGGCGCTCTTCACTGAGCAACCGATCGAGCTTCCTCTATTATGCAGTGGCCAAAGACACAGTGAGTCATAGTCCATGATCGACAAAGTGCCCGAGGAATGCGTCGCACACGGCGCCTTACGTCATAGTCGTCGCTAGCTTCGCGCATTGCCCGCTGGTGCTCGGCTCGGAGCTTATCCTTTTCATCGCGAAGGGCTCCGATCGTCTGCTCCGCTTGCTCAAGCCTTTGGCGCTCGGACTGGTCGATGCCATTGGGTGGTAAGAAGGACATGTTCATTGTGGCGTCATAATGTCTCGCCGGTTGTACCAGTCGCTCGTGTCCGTCACGTTGTTCTACGCTTGCTTAGGTATCGCACAAGGCTTCAGGTTTGGCAAAGCTGCAATATGCCCGCCATCTCAAAATCGAGAATGGCTCGGTCACTGCACATACCTGCAGCGCTTTTTCAAGCTCCTCTCGCTGTGCTTGCTCGTGTTTGGCTGCGGATTCGATGGCCTTGTTGCTCGCCAGCTGGGATGTCGTGGATTCGGCGTCAGTGCCAATCGACACCTCGAGGAGAGCAACGAGCACCAGTGTCTGTGTCCTGCGTTCGTGGCGCCCTTACCAGCTTCTCGTACTTGTTCGACCACTCCGTCTCCGCTTGCAACGATGCGTTGAGTTTGGCCTCGCATTCACGAATCCGAAGAGTCAGACTGGCTTTGAGTCAGCAAATTGTCCGTCATCCAGGTATCCCTCCCGTCGCTCCCGGTGTCTAACGGATGAGGGAATTACTCACGAGCCCTCTACTTCCTGCCACCCGCTGTTTGACTTTGCCAATTGTGCCTGTAGAATCTCGATTTGGCGCAGCAATGGCTTTTCTCGCATTTCTTGCGAAACAAAGGTGAGATCTTCGCTCTTGGCCTCGGCTGCTTGTAACTTGGCATGCAGTGACTGTGATGTCCAGTGGCGACGATGAGCCCGCGCAAAGTCCGACCGCGTACATGCTTGGAGCACAGTCGCATGCATACGATCTCAAGTGCACAGATACGTCGGTATGACACTTACAGCAACTTCGTGTCGGAGAGCGTCTGAACAAAGCCACCACAGCGAGATGCAGTCAGATTTACGAGGAGTCACAGTACTGAATGTATCGCCCATCAGCCGATCTGAATGCGGGATGAAGCAGCCCCGCAATGCGATCAGCGATACCTTCTCGGAGTCCAGATTCCTCCTCGACTGCCGACAGCGACAGACGAAGCTCATAGATCTGCAGACACACAATGTTAAACAGCAGCGCCATGTATCAGTGACTGCGACGGAAGCAGTGCGCGCTTGGTTGACCCACTGATCGATGCACCTGCGATCTTGCAGCCCACCCACGGTGCGTCCACAAAGCAATCCATACTTCTCGGCGCAGACTCTGATCCGTGATGTCGGACGAGATCTTGAGTTCGGCAAGTTGCTTCTCAAGCTCTGTGTTCTCGTGGGCCTGCACTCCATCGGTAGTCCAATCCAGCAGACGGGATCAAAGTGGTGCTTTGCTATCAGTACGCTGCTGCGAGCATTCACCAAGACTCTGTATCACAGATAAATGGAGCTGCCGACCAACCATAGCTTCGAGTGCTTGTGTCTGGGCTGCTGCGACTGCCTCTGCGTTCTGCTGCCTGAGTTCGCTGATTTCTTTCCAAGACCTATCGAGTGCGCTCTGCAGACGGAAGTAAGCGCAATGATCGGTTGGGGGCTGAATCAGTCATCTCCCATCGATCAATCTTGACGATGGCCAGGAAAGCGCATACCTGGGTGTCCGCCTGTAGCTCGCGCAGCACACCCATGTCACTCTCGAGCTTGATGTTCTGCGCGTGCTGCTTATCGTTCAGATCGGTGATGTTTCGAATATGATCTGATGTCGAGGCAAGATGCACAAAGTACCAGGGAGGTCAGCCCATCCAAGTTGCCTTCAGAGAAGCATGGCTCACCGCGATCACACAGGCCGAGTCGAGCTCCTACTCACCGATCTGACGCTTTTCGGACTCGGCCATCCGAACGAGCTTCTCCTTCATCTCAGCCACCTCAACCGACGTCGATGTCTTGTACTTGATCAGCTCTTTGAGCTCCTTTTCTGTCTCGGATTCTTTGGCCCGAAGCTTCTTGATAATGTTGTTGTTCTTGAGCTCTTTCTTGGAAAGTGTCTCACCTGTCCGTCGACCAAGACAGACATCAGAGATACATTTGCGCATCCTCCATCGACCCAGTGAGCTATCGTCTGTGGGATTGCCTCAGACTGCATGACATGGCCGCTGGACTCGGTGGTGCTGAATTGACACCCCTTGCCAACGACAAACAGTCATCGTCGACATGGTACCTTCCCGCAAGAGCCCTCGAATAGTTTCCTCTTTTTCCTGCAGGCGCTTGATCAGCCCATCGACAGTCTCCTGGCTGACGCCTTTGTTCTGGGTCGACTTTTTGGTCTCGGCTCGTTCCTAGACATCGAGAAGAGCCCAAGCACAATGAGGCCGCCGTATCCATAGCTCGACCATCGTCCATAGGTCCACCATTGCCCGTGGTCACTCTAAGAGCGCAAGCATTCAGGCATGTCGTGCAGAACCGATGAGCTGTTGCGGCCACATACCCTCTCGGCCTGGGCAAGTCTGGCTTCCGCCAAAGCCGCCCTCTCTTCACAGACTCGAAGTGACTCGCGGAGTTGGTGAAGATGATCCATATCCAGACAATTCTCGGGCGGCTCGGAGATCTTGGTCGTTTCCAGAGTGCTCGCGGCTGTCGTGTGTACATTCTCTGGCTTCGTTTCGTCAGGAGGGCGTGGAGGCTGGCTCGCCCAAGTGGAATGCTTGCCATCGTTGGGATGTACCGGCATGGAGGGACATGAAAAGTAGAGGTCGGTGTCCTTGGACAGCGACAGTGCCTCGGCCTCTTCCAGCACAGTCTCGCCTGTGGACGTGGTATCTTGTGGCTCGGGCGACGGCGATAGAGACAACGACGGTGTTGGATCGCCTGGATGGCGAGCGGCATATTTGCTGGCACCGACCACTGCGTCAATCGGGGCCATGTCTTCCCTGTCTGTCCCAGTCTGTGTATCGGACGGATCAGCTTCAATTTCGTGTATCGTCGTCGGCACCGGCGAATTCTGGCCGGGCGGAGGCTCGTGCGGTAAATCGTTGCTGGTCGCCGGTGCTTGATCAGCAGCGAAGTGCTCCGCTGGCTTGGGAAATCCGCCTGGGAGGTCGCCCTCAGGAACAACCGGAACGAAACCGTCCGAGACCGACTCGGGTACTTTTGAAGGACTGGGGCTCTCGACATGACTCTCGGTGTGAATCGCGAGCTCAGCTTCTGTCTGTTTGGCTGGCTCTATGGCTTGCACGATCGGTAGCTCCTCCGAGTTTGCATGCTCCGCTTGTTGGATGCATGGTGCAGTCTCTTCGACCCGGTCCTTCTGGGCCGATCGCGAGCCGCCCGTGATGCTTTTCAGACGAGACTCGAGGCTGGGTCGCGGTGAGTTGGCGAGTCGGGCTCGATCGATGGCAGGACTCGCCGGCCCAGAAGCAGCAGCGGCGGCACCAACAGCGGCAGCAGCAGCAGCACTGTCTGCTCGTGGCTGAGGCGACCCGAGCTTCGGGCTGGAGGAGTCGAGGTCTGCAAACATTGTCGAGAAAAAATCGTCTGTGTCGTGAGGGCCTGTCGAGCCGTGCGATCCGATTTGAGGCTGGAGCGTTGGGCCTGAAGCAGCGATACGATTCAACGGATCGGTGTGCCGTGGTTTGGCGGTAGCATTGGCAATGGGCTTGCCTTGATCATCTATATGCCGGGTTCAGGGGATCGTTTTTCCAGGACATTTATGGAGAACGAAACCATGAGCCACGAGATCGGGAACCGACTAGATGAAGCGATGCTCACTGCAATTGCAAGATCCCGGTCGATTGGTTTGCCGTTCATGCATCTCCCTGGATGCTCGCGCATCCGCCAGAGATCCTCTCCCTCTATCAGTGCCCGGCCCAGTGTGAAGATCGCGACTCGGACGTACCGACGGTCGCAGGCCGAATCTCAAGAACCTTATCAAAGTTGGATTCCACCGTCATGATGGTGTTTTTGATCCAGGAACCAGCATCCTGCGACTGCGACGCGATATTGGAGAGCCAGTTGTTCATGGTTGGGCACGGCCGGAGGCCAGAGTCGATGCCGCGGCTTCAAGGCAGACCGATGCAGGGCCGATGCAGAGCCGATACGGGTAAGAGATCAGGACAAGCCGGGCCAGTCGGGCAGAGATCGGCACAGGCAGGATGATTGAAGACAGAGGTCAACCGGAGAAGGCGCGCTCATGAAAGGCGGCTCTCGGCAGCGACAGTCGAATCCAAACACCGATCGTCCGATATAGAGTGTGAGGCATCACCGCTCCTAGGCCATTCGTGAGGAGTGCTTCAAATTCTGGTGGATATCTATATTGAAGGCATCAATACCACCATGGATTCCCGATCATGTATTGAGAACGGATGATGCCAACTGGAGGCGCCAAATCGGAATGGCAAGCATAAAGTGTTCAAATCGTGAATGTTGCAAATGCCAACTTCCATGCAGATATCAGGAAGCAGCACCCTGTTCGGCCGGGTGGGGAATCAAATGGAAAGCTCACGCAGTCTTTGATTCGTTTTGACAGGTCGTGCACTTGAGCTGCCTTGGTGGCGTTTCTACATTGGCTGACAAATTGATACCCTCCTCGGTTGCGTCCTTGGCGACGGGTCCGCCGCCGGCCTGGATCGGGGTTCGTTTGATACCCTGCCCTGAGCTATAAAAGTGGCCACCCGCACTCTGTCTGGACGCCCTCAAAGCAGACTCCGGCTTCCAAAGGTAAGCTGTCCTGTCCTGCCTGACTCGTCCTGTCCTGCCTGACTCGTCCTGTCCTGTCCTGCTCTCCTGCTTTGCGGTGTGGGAAGAGAGGCGTCTAACACCTTCATGGCAGATATGACCATTTATTACAGGGCACTTCATCCGGACGAGTACTTGTCTGATGAGGAAGAGGGTTATCAGTACCTTCTCATCTCAAACTTCAACGAATCGATCAGTCTCAGTCAACATCTCCTCGTGTGGGACCACGATTTCATGTCTCCGACTCCATTCATTTCGACGACAACCGATCCCCAATGGGTTGTGTTCCACGCAACCCGCCAGGCCAATTTTGAAGGGGCCGTGCGAAGAATATTGGTTTTCGCAACCAATACCGAGCCCGTGTTTGATTTCACGAAGAAATCGAAGCCAGAATTGATCAGGGCTTTCCAAGGTATAACCGAATCCAGTGATGAAGAGTCTGAAAGGGCCGTTAACTTCGGTAGAAGTGCGCATGAAGTCGTTTTTCGCAGAGACTTGAGAGTCAGATATGCGCATATCGTTGAATTGGATGATAGTTTCGAATTGTTTGCCCCCAAAACAACCTTTAATGCTTGGAAGAAGGATGAGTTGAATTCCGATATGCAGGATAAAATAGCCAGTTTGTTTGCCGCCGCAGAAGATGATATTCTTTCTCAACTCTTGGGCGAGGTGCATATTGAAGAATAGGAGTGCTTTTTCTTTCAAACGTGAATCATCCCCATTGTGATGACCAAGTCATCCCGACTCTTGTATTTTGTCAAGTGCAACAAGGATTTTGAATATATTATGCAATAGTCAACCGGACCCTCCGCCATATCCGGGGACCAAGTGCAACCGACGAGTACGGCCCCAGAGAGCAAGGGGATGGTGGGGGTAATATCCGCGTCGACATTCGATATCCAGCATTGGCCTGGTGCTGTTTCTCACTCCACGGAGATGAGAGTGCCGATTGACGACGAGCGAGTCACTTGGAGCTTTGCTTGTACATTTTCGTATCGAGGATTTGCACACCGCACATGGCACAGATGCCTGCAGATCGCCAGAGAGGCAGTGAGCGCAGGCATCTCAGGCAATCAGCTCCCATCCGTTGCTGCATCGCATCGAAGCGCTGGCGTTTCGGACATCCACCCCCCTTCGCCAGTCCTCGAACTCTTGGCTTTTCAATGGCCTCGCCGCGGTCGACTGAGAGAGTGCCGGTCGAACGCACAGCACCGCTTACCGTTCTTGTAGGCACACCCCTGGCAGTAAAACGAGCCCCGCTGGTGGACGTTCTGCTTGCAGATCCGGCACTTGGCCTCGTACGGGGAGAATTTTTGGCGGCTTCGGCCCGAAAGCAGCTTGTTCTCGTTGAGCTTGCGCCCGGACGAACCCACCTTGGCGTTCGAGGATCCTTCTTTCCAGGTGTCGGGCGCCGCCAGCGTCCCAAGCTTCCGTTCACCTGCATCGATAGGGCCGCTTGAGGGTTAAACTGTGTGGCGCTGCCAGGACGTTTGCTGCTCGCTGCCGATCACCCTCAGCGGGCTGCCTCTTGCGCAGATGCCCAAGCAGGAGTTTGTGTATTGGAGGGCATCGGCATCGGCATCGGCATCGGCATCGGCATCGGCATCGGCATCGGCATCGGCATCGGCATCGGCATCGGCATCGGCATCGGCATCGGCATCGGCATCGGCATCGGCATCGGCATCGGCATCGGCATCGGCATGCCCACCGAGCGGCCTTGCATCCATGCACAGCCGCAACTCACATTTAGCGCAGACCATCGCGGGCCGGGGCGATCTGACGAAGGCGAAGCGGGACAGAGCAGGCGAGGGCGAATCATGCCAGTTTGTGTCACGCTGCCGATTCTGGAGGCGAGATGCTGTTGACGGACACAACACATGCACTCCATTCTGTCTCCAGGCAGCCAGCGTACTTTGGAGGGGGGAATACACATGCGACAAGGGGGGGGGTGCCTATTGGGGTTGCTGCGACACAACAGTCTATTGCTCGATTTTGGTAGAGAGGGAGACCCCGCTGTCTTGGGGCCTCCTGCGTTTGCGCTGGCATGCACGGCACCGGCAGTTGCCCTCCTCATCGGAGCTTTCGCTCTCAGTACTGCCGCTGTCGCTGCTCGAGCTGCTGCTGGAGGAGGAGCTCGATGGCTGCAGAGCCGGCACTGTCGCAAGCAAGTCGATTCGCTGAAGCAGTGCCGCATAGTACTTCGGCTCTCGCTTGAGATCGTCTGACTCGCGAAAGTTGCCTTGGGAATACTCTTTCAGTCGCTGATAAAGCCGGTCGGCGAGCTTTGGCCGTGTGAAGCGGGTCTTGAGCCAGACGTACTCCAGATTGCCCCGCGAGCAGTAGTTCTGAGTGACCGCCAGCGCAAAGTCTGGGCACCGACGCATGATGGATTTATGAGCCACAGCACAGCAGGGTGAGGAGAGTTAGATCTGGCTGTCCGACAACGCTCGAGAACCAGCCACGCCTTCGCACCTTCTGTCTTGACACTCTGCCATCTCGGGTGCTGGATGTGATGCGGCGCGCTCACCGAGATTGATGACGACATGCCACCATCCTCCAGGCACGAATACGGTTTCTCCTGGGCGCTGCAGGATTTCGACAACGCCGAGCCGGTCCAGCAGCGTTTGCCCATTTTCGTCCCGGGTGCTCTCGGCAGCGAGCTGGGAATAAACACAGGCAAACCAGGTGGCGGCTTCGTGGTCGGGCAGACCGCGGGGTTCGATGATTTTGCGATCGACCTGAGGAGGGAAAAGTGCCCATCTGTGTGTTTGGGGTGATAGGGAAGCAAGTCGATGTCAGCAACATAAGAGTCTGTTGGCCATCGGTCGCTTGAGCACAGGAGCCCCAAGTTGGGGTAGCGAGAGATAATGGACGGTCGAGAACCATGGAGTACTCGGGATGCATGGACACCATTGGCTCAATGCATGGGATGCACGGGAATTGCAAGAAAGATGACAACCACAGGAAGCGCGAGAGGCACGAGGATCGCGAGACACAGCATATCGCAGAGTGTACCGAAACCTACCTTTTGCTGCCAACCAGCAATGCATTCCACGCACTCGTGCCAAGCGGGTCCTGTTGTGGAAGCGTTGCGTGAGGATGGGCATCCAACTGGGTCAGAATGATCAAGATCGATTACCCACTACAAGTGGTGAAACACCGACCAGCCGTGAGCCACTATCGTCCGGCTTCGAGCAGGGCAGCGATATCGGGTCGAGGCAAAGTCCTCCATGGCAAGGACTGCTGCGTGTGAAAACCATACCACATGGATGCCCGTTCCCGAGCGGGCAGGTCCCCAGACGACCCAGCGATGCGGCGGCCGCTTGCGTCCCGTCAGTCGAAACAAATCGTCCTCAAAGTACTTTGGAATTTTGTAGTCGCTCAAGAGCGACGCGGTCGGTGTCGACTCGGCCCAGGACGGATCGCCGCCGGTCGAGTCTGTTGGCTTTGGCCAGTCCTTCTGGGGCACTTGGCTCGGGCGGAGCTTGTTTTCTGAGTCCGGGTTCGCTGGTTGGCTGATCGTGCGACTGCTTGGTTCGCCCAGGATATCCAGACGACTAGGGTTGGCCATATCGACAGCCACAAGCACTTTTTCTCGATCGATGCCGTTGCTGCGACTGGTTTCGCTCGTGTCTTGAGATGCGATTCCGGTTTCTTTACCGCTCGCCCAGTCGCCGATGCTTCCATCGATTCTGCTGCCGCCGTTCGTGTCTTGGTCGTCGAGCTTGGGCCGCTTCCGGGACTTGCCGGTGTTGTTGCGGCGTCGCTCGCCAAAGTTGGCATCGAATATGTACAGAGGCGAGTCGTCGGTGACGCCGTCGTGGTTGAGGGCATAGTGCAGGTAGTACTTCAGAGGCATGTAGACGGGATCGCCGTCGTCGTCCTCGCCGACCTTGAACTTTTCAGAGTGGTATCGGTTGAACAGTTTCTTGAAGAGGCAGATCGCATCCCGCAGAAGTAACGCAGAAGTAACGCAGAAGCGCATATATACATGGGGTGAGCGAAGCCAGAGCGATCGATTGGCGCCAGCAATGTACCGCAGGCCGATATGCACCAGGGCACATTGCTACAGCGCCGGGTTGAATGGAAGGGGGAGGGGGCTTTACCTCGGCTGTCCATTCGGATTTTGCCGCCCAGTCGTCGACGGCGCCGGTGATGACGACGGGCGTCGCCTGACTCTCGAAGCGTTCGACAAAGTCGTCCTCTGAGACGGCCGAGTAGTCGATCCGCTGGACGGTGTCGCGGCTGCTGTCGATTCCAAAGTCCATGTTACGGAGGTGCATCTTTTGCCACTCAAAGATGTCGAGTTCTGCGCAAGAAGGAGAGGTGGTCGTGACGGAGAGAGGGAGGAGTTGGGTTGAGTGGGAGGAAAGATGGAGGAAGGCACAAAGTATTGGTGGCGAATGACGCCGTTTTGCAAAATAGAGTCAGCGTCTGTATCATCGGAGGCAGGACGGCGTAGTTTTGGATGCCGTGAGCAACGGCGATTTGGTCCGCCATTGGAGCCGGCTGCGATCGGCGGGCAGATGAACCTGCGATTAGGCAGCAGGCACAGACCGGTGCTGTTCCGTCATCGAGCCAGGCCGGCACGATCGCAGGCCCATTGTTCGTTCGTCCAGAGATGGCGATCGATGTGGGGGGGGGGCTTTCGCTGTCCTCGGGTTGCAGCGGAGGGCGAGGATGGAGGGAAGATTGAAGCCAAGGACAAGCCGTAGGAGCTAGGATGGGCTTGTGCAGTGACAGGGCGATGGACAGAACGCACCAGATCGGGCGGCCAGCTTGGCCTTCTTGATCTTTTTCTCGAGGCGTTCTGGATTGACATCGGGCAACGAGATCCGCCGGATCGGAGCGCCGGCGTCGGTTCCGGCCATCGGGGAGCGAGGATCTGGAAGGGATGGAGACGGAGGCGGGGGCAGACGGAGATGGTATCGAAGCCGAGGCAAACAGCGTGCGAGAGGGAAGGGTTGGCTCCGGTGGCTCTGGAGGGGGCAAGCGCAGACTGGGCCGTGGTGATGACTCGCCGAACATCATGGAAACAAAGGCGCGACGAGGGAAATCGACGACCAGCCGGCGGACTGCGACGAAGCGATCACCGGACGCTTTCGAGCCAGCGGTGGTGCTGGCGCTGGGGTTCATGCATGAGTTCCTGAATACCCTATATTCCGTATGAGGCTGACAGCAGAGGCAAACACAAACAGCTGCGAGGAAAACCGAAAATGAAGAAAATAGAAGCGAAGAGAACCAAGGGAGAGGACGAAAGGGCAAATAGAGCAGTGATAGAGAGGAGAGGAGAGAGAAGGCTGAGTGGTAGAGACATGCAACAATCGGTGATACGGAATCGGGTGGACCAAAAGGGTTTGACAGCAGCCGGCCTCTCCGCAAAATGGATGATGCTTTCGCTGGAAGGGAAGATCAACAAGAGATAATACAGGCCGCTGCTGTGACGCTTTTGGGTAGGAGAGGAGTGGAGCTGCACTACTTGATGGTCGAGCTCAGGGGGCGGCAGTCCAGACGAGGAGGGGAGGGTGCAAAATTACAGAGACGACATCGACGCCCTTGATCCTGGCACTGCAAAGAGATCGTCAAAGCAGCCGGGATTACTTGCGCCGCAGCGTCCACCACTTGCGCTTGTCGTTCGAAGGCGTGTCGTTGAGGGAGGGCATGCTCTGCTTGCGCGAAACGCCCGACTGAGCCTCTGAGGCCCCGCTTCGGTCGCTCGCCTTGGAGAGGTTGCGGGGGAGAGTCGAGATCTCGGTTGGGGCCTGGTCCGAGAGCATAAAGGGCCGTCGGGCCGACTCGGAGAGCCCACCGTCGCCTCCATCGGCAGGGATGGATGGAAGCGGGTGGTGGCCCTTGGAGATCTTGCGTCCGTTCGAGGACATGTTCACCGCCATGGACGACATCGAGGTCGAGTGCATCAGCTGGCTCAGATGCGACAGACTTTGCTTGCGAGGCTGGCCCAAGCCCTTGCGTCCCCAGTTCTCGAACAGCGAAATGAGATCATCGACCTTGGTCGACTCTGGCTCGGGCAGCTCAGCTGTAGTCGTGCCACTGAGCGTGGACGAGGCCGAGCGCTGGCTGATCCAGCTGTGGTCACCATGGATTTGCTGTCGGTGCTGCTGCTGTTGCTGTTGCGGCGGGTGGGGCGAGCTCGGCGACGACTTGACTCGGCTTGGGGGCACTGGGGCAATGGGCGATGGTGGAGTCGGAAGCGAAGTCGTCGATGCGGAAAAGTGAAAGACTCCATCGCCGCTCTTGAGACGGGCGACCTTGAGCCGCTTTAGGGTGCCAAAGAGCCCGCCTCGGGACTCGGGCCGTTCGGGCGAGTCGCTCGGTGACGGATCGCTCTTGGGCGTCCTTCCCAGTGTGCCGGGGGCAGAGACCGTGGTCATGACCTGCTCGGACATGGTGCGCTCGACATTGGGCACGGCGGGAGGCTCCTCCGGGTCGTTGGCTGCCATGGGCAGGGGCGTCGACGCTCGGTTGGGCCGCGCTGGAGGGGTGGCCGGCCGCTCGATTTCGGCGCTGAATCGCTTGTATCCAGAGCGCAGCGATGACTGGGATGCCTTGACAAGGACCAAGTGAGTGGGGTCCACGGGGAGCACCGGCGTTGAGGCGTTCGATCGCTCGATAAAGGTGAGGTTGGATCCTCGGCGGGAATGCTGCCGGCCGAGGTTGGGTTCTTCGCCGATGATCTCAAAGAGCGCCTCGGGGACGACCGGGCGCTTGGTGTCGACCGACATCGCAGCCGGCGAGGCGGGAGTCCGCGGAAGAGAGGCGGCGAATATCGCAGTTGCCGCTGAAGCCGTGGAATCGGTGCGAAGCGGGGCCACAGGAGTTCCATCACCCCGGAATGCACCGTCACGGATATCAAGCTTGGCAAGGGCAGGGCCAACGCTCGCGACAGGGGCTGGGAGATCCTGCAGAGGATCCGAAAGTTGGCCGGAGGCATCGGCGATTTCGTCCTCTTCTTCTTCTCTTCCTCGCCCTTCTTCCGCTTCTTCTTCTTCTTCTTCTCTTCCTCGCCCTTCTTCCGCTTCTTCTTCTTCTTCTTCATGGAGCACAGGTTGGACCTCAACGATGTACTGAGAAAGCACGGGACGGCTGGTGCTCTGGGGGGACTCGATGTCGATCCAGCCCTCGTCGTCGGCATCGTTGGGCGATGCGGGCGGTGGAGCTTCGCCCACGCTGCCGACGCTGCTGGCATTCTCGAGAATCATGCCGCTCTGGGACAAATGGTCGTCGTGGTTTGCGGGAGTGATGTCGTTGTCCTCGACGATGCGCGGCACGCCCAGGAGCGAATTAAGGTGTACCGAGGTGTTCTCGTCGATCCGGATGATGCGCTCGACCCCTTCATCAACCGAGGTGATCTTGATGTCGATGGGCTTGGTGACGGGAATCATGGTGTTGGCCTTGATCATCTCGGCAGTGCTAGGGTCCTCGCCATTGGCGACCAAGGCCAGTCGGTCCAGATGTAACGACGAGCGATATACGCGGAAGGATGTGCTGATGCGATGAGGGCGGGCTGGCAGGTTGGCGACGGGGCTTTCTTCGCTTGGACCCTCCTCGATCGTGTCGATCTTGTGGTGATCGGACGGCACGAAGGGGATCGAGGCGCGGTTGAGACGCTGGGCTGGAACTGTAAGATTGGACGGCCGCCTGCCGCTCGCAGACGAGACCTTCCGCATGGGCACCGGGCTGAAGGTCTCGCCGACGATGCTCTTGCGATTCGGGCTGTTGTTGGCAACCACGGCGACGAGCTGGTCGGCCAAAACATCGTAGACCGACGCTCGCTTGGGCTCCAGGCTGTCTCCGTACCGCGACGTCCTCTTGGGCTCCAGAGTGTCTCCGTACCGTGACACCCTTCGCGCCGACATGCGGCTCTTGCGGCGATCACCTTGGCTGCCTTGCGAGTAGGAGCGTGACTTGCGGTTCTCGGCGCCGAGACCGAGCCCGTGCGGCGGCACGGCATAAAAGTCCTCGTCCACAATCTCGCTAAGAGCAGCTGCATAGGCGCGACTGATTCGCTTGGCATAGCGCGAGGTGCGCTTGGCAGAGTTGGCGGTGCCGGACTTGTCCCGGCTCTGGACAATTGGGCGCTTCCGGCGGCTGATGGTGCCGGGCATGGCAAAGGGGTTGGACTCGCCGTGGGATCGTACGCTGTCGCTGCCGGGCGTCTGGCTTCGCTGGGTGACCTTGCGGGTGATGGTCGGGGTGCGCGAGAGGTTGGTTGATGAGTCGCCAATGCCGAACGGGTTGGATTCGTTCACAGTGTTCGGGCCAGCGGCCAAATCGGTGCCATTGGGGGCCCGCTTCTGGCGCACGCGCTTGAGCGTCTCGGCGAGATAGCGCTCGTCCGGCTCGGGCGTGTTGGAGGTCTGGGTGTCGGCAGCAGGGACAGCGGCGGCCTGAGGCTGGGATATCGAACTGGCGATCGACGAGACACGCTCCATCGCAACGGACTCTTGGGAAGGACGGACGTCATGCACAGCCAGGCGCGGGGTGGGAGCGGCAATCTCGGCTTGGGGCTGGGTGGCGACGACCGACGGAGGAATGTCGGGGACTTCGCTAGGAAGGCCGGCGCGGGTGTCATCGTCCAGCTTGGAGGCCGTGTTGGTGCGGCCCAGCACGATGTCTCGGAGCGCCTTCATGGTCGTCAGGGGCTGGAGGACCCAGTTGTCCAAGACAGGCTTCTCCATGCCAACGTCTTCCCACTGCGAGTCCTCCGATGTGTCCGAGGGAACGCGCTGCCCAGCATCGGCCTCTGCACCAGCAGCGCCATTGCCAGCTTGCAGCTCGTCCTTGTGGGCCTCCTGCAGCTCGTGCTCCCTCATAAACTCGGCCTGCTCAAGCTCGTAGAGGCGTTGCTGTTCGAGGAAGAGCCGGGTCTGTCGCTCAAGCTTCTTCTTGAGCAGCTTGGCTCGCCCGTGCGAGTTGTCGATGATCTGGGCTGGAAAGCTTTCGTACTGGTACTCGCCCGACTCACGCACCGGCTTCCGCGCGCGACCCACAGGGGGATAGCTACGCGAATCGGTGGTGAGGGTCGAGACACGCCTGCCGTCGCGAGCACGCTCGTCCTCGTCGTCAGAGGGAGGATATGGGTTGAAGTGGCTGAACACGGAGCTGAACGAGTCGATCCGGCGCAGACCTGGAGCGTGGTAAACAAGGGTTCTTCGGCGACGGCCACTCGAGTTGTGGCTCTTGCGCCGCTGTTTCTGGTTGTCCGAGTATGCCTGGAGCTGCTGGGCGAGAGTCGATGAGACTTCGAAGGCCTGGGGCCGTGGGACACCTGTGGAGGGGAGGGCAGAGGGAACCGTCAAGAACCGAGGCGAGATCGAAGCAGTTGGATGGGATGCACGGCAACGGAGACACTGGGAGATTGAGGGTGTGGCTCCTGCGATACACCGCGTGCTCCCAAAGAGCATGGAAGCATGGATGGGCGGCTGATACAAGGGATATCGAAAGGGAGACCCAAGGGACACAGCGACACGATAGTCGAGCCAACGAGTGTCGCGATGCTTGAGCGGGCACTGCGGGAGACGGTGGGACACGGATACTTACGCTTGTTGCTCCAGTCGCGAGCCATGGCGGGGACGTCGGGCACAGGCGGGGCATCAAAGAACTTGTCTTCCTCATGGTCGGTATGGAGCGAGGGCTCATATGTCCAGGACGTGGCACCGGTCTGCGACGGAATGCGAGCCATGGGTGTCGTGGGGACCGAGGGCTCGGGCAGCGGCTTGCTGCTCCAGCCGGGCGAGTCGTGGTGCTGATCGGCGTAGATGCGGACTTGTGCGGGGATCTGCGAGGCCGATACGCCCGAGGAGGTTCGGCTTCGTCCGCCATGGTTGTAGACAATGGATTTTCGATGTGCAGAGTGACTGCTGAAGGATTTTCTATGGTGTGAAGAAGCAGCGGAGCGTCTATGTGGGTTGCTTTGGCTGGAGACTGCTTTGGGGGGCTGCGAGAGGTCTAGGCGGGAGGTGGAGCGGCCATTCTGCTGTTGGTCGTCCTTGGACTGTCGCTTGGACGATATCTTTTGTTTTAAGGAGGAGACGAGTCTGCCGAATTTTGATGAGGACATTCTAGTGTTGGGTTGCTGTTCTGGAGCCGCAGGTGGATCCACGACTGCGGACGATTGAGATAACAGAGGCGGATGGGATGGAGGGCACACAGCAGGTGGGGATGATTGGGTCGTGACGGTTGATTGGACCGAAGGTACCAAGCGCAGCGAGGGCGAGGAAAGCGTGGGGTGAAGAGGTGTTGGCGAGCGACCGCCGACGGGAGGGCGCAGATGGGGAGGTGATTGTCGCACGGCAGAGGTATGGCGATATGGCGGGGGTTGGGGACGGGAGGGAAGTTGGGTGGAAGGAAATGGAAGCGCAAGCGGGGGTTGGCAGACGGGAGGGGGTTGCGAGCCAGGACGATATCGATGCGAGGATAGAAAGAAGGATGCATTTGATGGTTGGCGAGAGCAAGCGAGTTGAAGTGCGTCCACGGGCGGATGCGGATGAAGGACAGCGTGTTGGTGAAAGTCGGGTCGTTGGCGGGACGTTGATCGTTGCCGTTGGCGGCGACGGCGACCAGAGCGGCGTTGTTGGTGAGGGTGAGGTTGTGGTTGTTGATGAGAGTGAGGTTGTGGTTGCGGTTGTGGGCGAGGTGAGTCCAGCACACCCGCGATAGGATAAGCAGACATGTCCGACGCCGGCCAGGATTGTTGGTTTCCCATGGTTGCGGTTGATGCAAGGTGCCGGGGAGTATCGGAATTGCCAGAGGACCGAGTTGGGAAGAAAGGACACAGAAGTCCAGGCAAAAGGGAACAGATGGACGGCAGAGGGAGACGGATTCGGTGAGCAGACAGAACAAATCAGATGAGCCGAGCGACGGGCCGGGTGACGAGCCAGGCGATATACCGGGCGATATACCGAGCGATGCGCCGGGGCGGGGGGGGGCACATTGCGAGACAGACGATGCGGTGGGTGAGCCAGGCGGCGTGCAAGATGGGTGCAAGGCCGGACATTTGCCACGAGGAGTCCTCTGTGGGAGCGGCAAACCATGTCCGGGGGCAAGGATGTTCGGGCAACAAGACATACCGAGGAGGGGATGGAGATGGGGGTTGAGGGATCGCCCGGTAGTTGTTAAGTTGCGATTGGTAGGCTGTGATGGGTGGGCTGTGATGGGTAGGTTGTGATTGGTAGATTGTGATTTATCGATTGAATCGGCGACGGCGTTGGATAAGCACTCGAATCGACGGCGTTGAATGAACAGTCGGATCGACGGTGTTGAGTGAACAGTTGAATCGATGGATTCAACCACGTTCCGCAGCAGCTGTGGAGCAGCAGCAGCTCTATGTGGAGGATGCCCGCGGAAGGCGATGAGGACTTCTGGAGGGAGGCGAGCAGGATCGATGAGGGCAAAGGAGACGAACGACGGCGGGGGGACCAACAGCTATTTCGGGCAGCAGCGACTGTGCACTGTCACTGTGGCGCTGTCGCTGTGCACTGTCACTGTGCTGCTGCCACTGTGCTGCTGTCACTGTGATTGCTGTACTGTGATTGCTGTCACTGTGCCCCATTGTGCTGCTGACCCTGCTTGCACTGCGCCGTCGCACAGCCTCTCTCGCCGCGCACCATGTCGCACACGCTTCCCGTGTCCATCGCACGTGACATTGCACGTGACTATGCCAGGGTTGGCTCTCAAATCCCGTCCTCCACAACCACAACCGTCACAACCACAACCACAATCACAACCACAACCTCAACACCCAACACCAGCACCGGCACCGGCCCAACGCTATCACCAACACCATCGCCAACACCGGCCAACACTGGTCCGTCCCGCCATGTCCTCGTCGCTGGCCGTGCCCCTGGCCATCTGGAACAGCATTCCAAACTCGCTCGTCACCCGTGCCCTGGCCTCCGACGATGGCCAGACCGTGCTCGCTGCTCTCGAGTCGGGCTATCTGTGGCTCTATACCTTCCACGCAATCGACTCGTCCAATACCCCGCAAGTGCGTCTCATTATTGCGCTCCCTGCTGAGTCCGCCATGCTCGTGCTCCGTGAGCTTCAAGGACGGGCCTGGGGGCCATCGCGCTCACCGTCTCCATTCTTCCGGCTTTTCCAGCTACGTCCCCGCATCATGCTGATGGGCCACAGATCCGCCATCGCCGCCATGACCCTCATTCGGTTCGAGATTGACTGCGTCCCCACCCGCGAAAACGTCGCCATCACAGCTTCAGAAGACGGGTAAATATCGTGTGCCGTGTTGCATATCCGGATATTGCCTCTGGGCATGCGCTCGATGCTGGATTCGAGCTCTCCATCCACCCACCCACACCAACAAGCGACAAGCGACAAGCGCATGTGCCGGTCATCAGGAACCGCATCAACCTCGAGCCCGGCACCTCGGTTGCAACTGCGGCCACATATGCGATTCGAGTTATTGGGCGCCACATCGGCTTCTCCGCAATCTCTTGCTGATGGTCCACATTTGGGTTTCACAGCGAAGCAGCAATGTGGGATCTGGAGGACGGCCGCTGTCTCGCCGTCAACACCAACGCGTTCCCGGGCATCCCAACTGCTCTCAAAGTACGTTCCCTGTCCGCAGTGCATCGTGGACGACTGGGAGATGACGGGGATGGTGTTTCTCATAGCAGCCCAGCATGGACCGGACAATGCATCGCAGCAGGCTCTCGGCTCTGTCGTTGTATCCAACATCTGCTGGATAGATTCGATCGACTCGGCCGGCCTTGGACGCTGGTTTCCCGCATTATGTGCACTCTCCCGTCGCGGCATCCAGGACGGCGCTAATTCCAATTCCAATTCCAACTGACTCAATAACTCGCCTGTGGACTTGTCGATTCGCAGCTGTCTTCGTCCGGCAAGGTCGTATTCTGCGGGGGCTGCTCCAACGACATTACCGTGCTCGGCACGGATACCCTCGAGGTAAGCACCCAGCGCCGCTGTCGTCACTGTCCGCACGGCATCGATGGATGCGCTGTTGGCAGGCATAGATTGCATCCGTGACCCTGCATTGGCTTCCAGATTATCAAAACATCCAATCTCTACGACAACTGGACCAGCTCCATTTGCTCATGCTACACAGGTTGGTCCGTTGCTGTTGACTTTGGTGGCTTCTCCGCATTTGCTTGCCACATATTCGCTGGTGCAACCACATTATCTCGAATCCAATCGCCAGCCACTAACGGCACATTGCTTGAAACGGCTGGGTGCTCGCTATTGAATGTCTGGCCACTGGATCAACGTCCGCGATGCAACAATCACATCGCCCCCCCCCATTCGACTATCCCCTCGCCGATTCATCCACATTCCACAGAGACAAAGGGAGTCGAGCGGGTGTTCTCGATCACGTTCGACGGCTGGCTGTGCACCATTCTGTTCGACGAGAACAAGGGCGAATTCCAGACCGATTCCATCAACAAGGTCAAGATCGAGTATGCCTCGGCAGTAGCCCCCGCCTTCTCCATCGAAATCAATCCGTTCGACCGGAACATTCTCTTTTGTCTGCAGAGAAAATCGTGCTGTGTAAGTGGTCGCGAGCGCTGCCGTCGCCGTGTTTGCCCAAGGAGCGGCCATCAGACCCCGGCCGCCATCGCCGATCAGATTCAGCGGCTGTTTCTGTGAGCTTACTCCAGGTTCGGCACCAACCAGGTCTATGGAATCAAGCAGAATGCCCTCTCGTTCATCGATAACTTTGAGTGTCCACAGCCAGGACAGTTTTGGATGGGCGCTCGTTTCCTGTCTGCACGGACGATCCTGCTCTGGACCAAGAACTCGAAGGCCTTTGTGTATTACCTTGGCAACGAAAAGGACATTCACCGAACGACCTCCAACCTGATTCCTCCCAATGCCATCGTCCTGGTCTCGGACGGCAGCACCACCATCTACGTCAATAGAGACAGCTTGCTGGACTATCTCGAGACACCGACAAAGTAGGTTGGCTCGGCCGCGAGCTCCCTGGTGCTTGGCGTCCACTGTTGGAACCGGTTCAAAGACGCAGTGTACCACATCGGTGGGCGTTTCTACGAACGACGCGAACGGTGCTTGCCGATGGAACCCTGAGTCCCGTGTGGACAACAGTCATGCTGCTCTCGCCCGGCGCTTGCTTGCATGTTTCTGGTGCACCCTCCCGCAATCTGACACCGTGCATTGCGCACGAGCCACACGTTGTCCATGAGTCTATCGACTCGCATCCGCTGACTCGAATCCTCCATCCAATGCCTGTCGACAGCACCAAGGTCCTGGTGGCAGCCTTTGAAGGCACTTCCGACGAGTACAATTCGGTCATGTGTCTCGTTCCGTCGGACCCGCACCACCCCAACTCGTGCCATTATCTTTTGTCGTTCCGCAACACCCGATCCAAGTGCGACGACATTGACGTGTGGCCGTTTTGGGCGAGCAACATTGGGTCGAGAGTGGCTTTGGGCATCCAGGAGGCCCCCTATCTCGCGGCCGTCGGAAAAGCTGGACTCGAGCGCATCATTCAGTTTCGAGGTCCCAGAAGTAAGGCCCTCTCTTCCTAACTCGTGTGTTTGGACAGGCATTGTGTCGGGTTTGCAGGGACGACACATGCGATCCGAGCAGCGCCGGTGGCTGATTTGGATCACCGAGATTGTCCAACTGATCTCGTGCGGGGCTATTATCCGTGCCCTCAGCCGTTCGATTTTCGGCCATATGGCCCATCAAGCGCATTTCGCTGCTGGAGATCACCTCCATCACGCTCGTCATGGAAAAATACGTCGCCGTTGGACTGAGTAAGCCGAGAGTGGGCCTTGCGACGACGGTGGTTGTTGGGCTTTGGCCAGGAAGGAGAATGCAATATTCTGCATCTCTTCCAACATCGGATATCGTCGTGGCCTCTGATCGATGAACTTGTTGATTTTGCTCGGCTCTGGTCCCCGCCGGTAGACAACGGAAACATCCATATCTGTCTGGTCTCTGCGCCGTTCTTCCACAGCGTCGAAGATCTGGTCGAGCATCACAGCATCCGTATGCTCAAGGCACACACGGGATCCATCACCTGCCTGCACACTCCAAGTCTGAGCCTGACCCGAGGCAAGCACATCCTGTTCAGCGGCAGCGAGGACTCGACTGTCAAGGCATGGGACATCGAGTAAGTAGAGCCGAGGCGATGTTGCACATGGCCATTGCAGTTTTGCGTCAGTGGCATAGCCACGGAGAAAACTCGTGTGTTTGTCTACTGTACATGTTCTTGTGAATGTGAAGAAAGCGTCTCTTCCCATCCTCATGCTTTGGCTGACGCTGGTTTTGGTCGCATGCCAACCAGGACGGGACGATTGCTGGGCGACTTTATGAACCACACGCAGAGTGTCTTGACGCTGCTGGCGGTCCCGGAAGAGACGAAGCATCATATCCACCACAGCATTATCTCGATATCTGAAGACCACTCCGTCGCCGTGATTGACATTGAGGAGATGTATTGGTACGCATCGATCTGGCTGGCGAAGGGATGAAGCGGCTAGATGGCGGGCTTGTTTTACTGAGCCACCAGCGACCACTGCTCCTGTCCGTGTGTCTGAGACTGGGCGCTCATCTGCCCAACCCGGGCTGGCTCGCATGGACGCCCTGTCGCTCTTGCTGTGTCGCGGCTCAGGCTGATCAGCTAACTCTCCCGTTTCGTGCGCCTCTGCTGTCCGGCCAGCCTCTATCGCTTCTCGGGACATCCCTATCCGATCATGAACATTTACTTTCGCACTGCCGATGACTTTTTCATTGTTCAGTGCACCGACGGCTCGATACATGTGTGGCAGGTGCGTTTATGTGTGCGTGCACGTCTGGTGTTGTGGGTGCATGGCCCTGCCCTATCGAAATATCGACTGACGTCTGCCCGTGTGCGTGCGTGCGTGCGTACGTGGCAGCTGAAAACTGGGCACTTGGATCGTATCGAGAGCGGTCCCGTTGTCGATGATATTCTCGACGGCTGTGACAGCTCCATCAGGTAAGCTTATGTGATATAATCGCAACGGCTCAGCCTCGATGCGCAACACTTCTTCACTTGTGAGAGACAAATATGCTTGCGAGCGGAATCCTGTCCATGGTTTCGTGCTGCTTCAATGCTGGCCATGTTGCCGTTGAATCCTGGTGCTTTCCAACGCCTTTCGCTCGCCGTTGCAGTTGTCGCAAATATGGTCGTGACTACCAACTCGCCAGCATCAAACAAACCATATCCGCGTTCCCGATTCACAGCACCGATAAGGGTGAGTTGTCGGATGCCGCTGCGGCTGGATGTGTGAGCAACGGCGTACGCCAGGATGCTGATCGTAGCGCATCTTTATGGCCATTGGCGCCGGCTTTCAGCACCGCCCCCGGTCCTGGTGTTCCTCGTGAACGTCAAGCGCCTTGCCAACGACATCTACAGCAGCCAATGCACTCTCAGCCCGCCAAGCTCCCCGATCCATCGACACAACCGATCGAGGACTGCCACGGCGCGATCCGGGAGCGAGGATCTGGGCCAAAAGTTGCCCAACCGCGCAGCCTCTCCAAACAAACAAATCACGGAAATGTTCAAGCCCATGATCGACAAGGTCAAGATCATGGTCGAGAGTGTCGCCTCGTCCGCGGCTACACCCACGGGCGCACGCACCCCCGTCGAAGACACATCCAACTCTCTGCCGCAAAAGGAAGCCGAAGTCACGATCAGCGAGCCCGTCAGTCAGACGACGCTGGACTGGGGTATTCTTCAGGCCGTGTTTTCCTCGCTGCTGTCCTGGGGGTTTGAGGGCGGCGTCGACGGCATTTGCGTGAGCAAGTTTGGCCTCTTGCCACCCCAACCCTCGGTCGCGTTTGGGTTCAGAGGGTAAGACGAACGACCGACTGGCCGACCGACTGGCCGACCGACTGGCCGACCGACTGACCGACTGGCCAACTCACCGGGGCAACGCCAGTCTCTATCGCGATGGTGGAGAATCTGCTGTCACTGACGCTGCCTCTCCCTCTCCGATTCTCAATTGGCTAGGACGAACGGATTCCTGTCCATCTTGGCCCCAAACTCTGGTATTCCGTCGCAGGACTGGAGGGTCTCACCGACAATCAGCGCATCGCGGCTGCTGATGATCCTATCTTTGGTTCGCACGGTCTTGTCGATGAAGGGTGAGTCTCGATCAAGCTCGCTCGTCCGACACAACAGCAGCGGTCTCTCGTTGCGTGCGCGCTGGAAGGCTGTCGTGCCAGACATTTGCCTCTCTCCATAATTAATTATGAAGAGCCCCAAGAAGAGGGAATGGGGCGGTGATGGGATCGTTCCTTGAAGCGCATCTTGCTTCGATCCGGCAGTGTCCACGACTGACATGCCCCCCGTTCCTCGTCGCTCAGGTCTGGAAGAAGATGCCATTGCCGTTATTACCTACTATGGCGCAACCCTTCCCCACAGCATCGGATCTCGGTTCAAGTTTCCTTCATTCTCATACCTCGCTCGGTTCTGGCAGGACCCCGTGGGTGAGGACTCGGTCATTCCGTCGATCATCGCACCGAATCCACGATCCGTCTGGCTATGATGGGCCATCATGCCTCTGCGCCATCCGACACCGTCTCTGAAATGGATCAGAGGTCGTCGAATGTCTAATCTCTCGCCTTACTCACTCTTCGGATCGCACCAGCCGACATTCAGCAGGCCGCTCGGAGTCTTTTCAATATGGCCCTCAGCAAAATGCCCGAGGAAGAGCGCCAGTCCGTCATCAACTACTGGAAGTCGTATCGTAAGTCTAACCTCGGGTTCTCAGAGACGAATGTGAAACATATACGCTGGGTGCTGCGACGAGAGCGGGAGGAGCGGCCCTCTCCCCTTTGCATGGAAAGAAACGAGATTCTATTGTACTTGACGTATCCGACATACACCTTGTCGCTGTTTTTCTGACCTGATCCTGCCCTGCATCCTGGCATCGACCGCCTTTGTCCAGTCCCAGTGTCGTATACGCCCCCCAGGAAGGAAAAGACAAACATGCGATGCGCAATCATCATGGGGATCCTTGGCGTTCATTTCCCCAACGCATTTACCCAGAGGTTTGTGCAGTCTCTGCAGTTCGTCCGGCTGTCTCGTCTACCAATATTGTAACCGCCACTCCTAACCCCACGATATCAGAAACAGTTTCACTAATAATCGCAGCACAACTGTGCATATGTCGCCGATTGCACAACTCTCACGAGATATCTCTACTGCATTTGCGTATCGGACAGGATCTGCAAGGATGTTGCCGAGTCGCTCGACATTGCCCTCCGAGACGACCAGAAGAGCCACATTGCGTACCGCATTGCCGCCGTCGAGATCATTGGCCACGGCTTCACGACGTGGGAGCCCCATATCAACGGGTCGGCGGTCCTCCGAGGCATCATAGCACTGACGGGGCTCGGGATCGCTCCTGCCCCGAGCCCCGTGTCTAGTGGCGCTGTCCAGAGCACGCTTGTGGTGCCGGGCGGGTCGATAGTTCGAAGTGGCTCCTCCAAGTCCCTGAGCGCCTCGACCAGCCTCAAAACAACCCTCGCCGGCGGCAACAGTAGCTCAACGAATATTCCATCGCCATCAGGGCCGTCGTCTCAGCCACAGCCTCAGCCTCAGCAACAACAGCAACAGTCACAGCCGCAAGCTCAATTGCAATCGCAACCGCAATCGCAACCACAACCGCAGGCTCCACCTACACCGCTCATGGTGATTGCGAGACAGGCCATAATCCAGATTGCCTCGGCAAACACGCCACTGTTTATATCGACAGTCACCTTTGATTTGGTCCACTCCAAGAGCATCGAAGAGCGATCGGCTGGCCTGAAACTGCTTGGAATGTTTATCGCAAGGGTAAGCGTGTTTGCGGAAAGGAGGGAGCAAGGAAGGTTGCTTTGTGAGCACCAGTCATAGGCAATGTCGGACGCTGCCCTCTGAATTTGATCTGTGGGTCTGGGCAGTTCGACATTCACACACGACCTCGCTCAACCCTGTAGAAACCGTCGATCCTCTATGCTCACTTGACTCGAATCGCCGAAGCCATGGTCAAGTCTCTGGATCCGAACCAGCCAGTGATGCGTGACGCTCTGCAGCCCATCGTGACCTTCAACTTTGCAGAATTGGTCAGGACCTATCCAAACGTCTCTTTTCACGCTGGAACTCAGCGACTGGCCGTGGGCACCACCGAGGGCGTCAGCGTTGTGTACGACTTTAAAACGGCCACCAAGGTTCAAATTCTGGAGGTACGGCGGATGCCATGGATGCGCAGAGCCAGCAAGCGGTGTGGTGATGGGCAAACGGAGGACGAGAACTCGATCGCATCCAGCCACCAACTTGCATAGCCCCGCCACTTGCATATCCATCGACGGCAAGCACAAAGCTGACCCGTTGTGCGTGGAGGGGGGCCGACAACGGCACTAACTCCAATGTCCTCGTCTGACTTTATCTGGTCCTTAGGGACACGCTCGCCCCGTGACCGCTGTTTCGTATTCGCCCGACGGCAAGATGATTGCAACGTTCTCGATCGAAGAAGGTTCTGTGAGGATATGGCAGCCCTCGTCCGGATTCTTGGGCATCTCGGCGGCACTGGCTTCTGTTGGTGCCGTCAGCCAAATGAAGAGTTTCCGGACTTTTAATGTGGGATCCCCAGAGGGTGAGTGCCGTTACTTTGAGTGCCCGGGGTGCAGGAGGAAAGGCTCTTTTCGCCGATACTGATCTGTTGCTTTATCGTGTGGCTAAATCGTCCTCATCCAGGGGCGGCGTTGCTGACCGATGTCCTCCACGAAGTCAAGCTCGACTGGGTCTCTGACCGAACGGTCAAGCTGAGGAGTATCAAGGAGCTGGAACTGTCGTTTACAGTCTAGGCTGCACGTTTGAGATGTGCGAACGAGGTGTGCATCTTTGAGTCGTGGCGATCCGCAAGTGCAGAGCGCAAACACAGAAACAATAAATCAAACAGAACGAAGATGCCAGAGAGGCCTGGACTCTTCAGATCCATTCTTTATAGAATATCCCGGCCGCATGTCGTCGATGGCGATCGTGAGATTGTGATGCTCGCTAAGCCTCCCACAACAATCGACTGCATACTGCCTCGCACAGAGACTCCTTCCATCCGAGCTCGCTGGCATGCATGTCTGGCAGACCATGGAATCGGCGCGGCTTGTTGGCCACCCGATTCGAACCAGACACGACATTCTCCACAACAACGGCGCCTTCAGCTTTCGCCCCTTTGCCCCTCGCCCCTTGGCTCCTTGCCATCTGCCTGTGCCTGTTCCTCGCCGACAGCATCCCGCTGCCGTTGTCTCCCCTGCCGACTTGGCTCCGACATGGTCGTCAGCACCCACGACTCGGACGACATACTCGGCATCGAGGTCCAGCCCATCGAGTCGATGGAGGAGGATGCCGAGATGGTCGAGGTGTCCACAGTCGAGCCCGAACCTGTTCAGCCCGAACCAGCTCTGCCCGCCGACCCCTTCGACCCTTGGGCGCACCCTGTCGAATGTCTCATCCGGATGGCCCGCGACGAGCCCGATGCCCTCTGCATCAACACCTACGAGAGCGGCGAGTCCGTGCGCTACTCATACCGCGATGTGTGGAAACATGCATACTCAATCGCCCAGGCTCTCAAGGCGCTTCCTGGCTGGAACGACGACGGCCACGATGCCGTCGGCACCTTCTGCGAAGGCGAGGCGCACTGGGTGTTCTTCTCGCTCGCCGTGTGGATGCTGGGCAAGTGAGTATCGGCCCAGATGCTGTGATTCGATCTGTCTGTTGCATGGTCCTGGCTGTGGATGTCGCTGCCACCAGTCCAGGGTCAGAAGGATTGGCTGTGGAATGTGCTGTGAGTGAGTCTCCCTCCAGGGATGACAGGCAATAGCCGTGGCTGGCTCACCCACGTATCCATCGACAGGAAAACCCTCAACTTTGGTCTCAACTGGCCATCGGCTGTCCGCAAGGCCATCTGTGCGAGGTATAGCATCAGCAGCGATGAGTCAAGGAGGCAGTCCGATTGTGGGTGGAGTCGACAGAGTGGGAGACTGGCCCACGATCGACAAAGCCGGGACTGACACACTCTCGACCACCATGGCACCCAACAGACACTCGGTCAAGTACATCCTTCACCACTACACCAAGCCTGGCCGCACCATAGGAGTGACGTTGGTGGACGGCGGCACTTTCCCGATGCTCAGCGAGGTCCCTGCTCCATCGCTCGAACTCTGCGAGCCACTCGATGATATCGTGGCAATCCAGTGTACCTCGGGAACAACTGGTACGTGGAATAGTCAGGAAGAACGGCAGAGCATGATGCCGGATGGTGGACAGCTTGGGGCATGACATGAAGCAAGAGGTTGTGCTGACGATGCATGTACAATCAATAACTCTGCTTCCTGCATCCCCGTCGCTCACACAGGCATCCCCAAATCGTGAGTTATCCTGTGGATTCTGATGTTGTGGATTCTGTTTCTGTGTCTACCTGATGCTTGTTCACAGTCACAATTGACCGCATCAACACTCGTGGACTGAATCCTTCTGTGTTTGATGTTGATGGTTGCAGTTTCAAGTTTGCACACACTGGAATGATCACAGGTCGAGCCTCTATTGGAATGCTGAAGAGTAGCGTTGGGCTTTTGCAGGTAACTATGCTTGACATCGAATATCGCATTAATACGTGGGCAATACTGGGTATACTGACAATTGATTATTTTTAGGCTCCATCCTTTGTGGCCACATTCGGCTCACTTCCTTGCGTTCTGAATCTTGGAGGATCTGTGTGGATTCCAAAGCCAACATTCCACGCAGTTGAGAGAGCCAACAACGTCGCCCAACTACTGATTGAAGATGTTTCCTTTATATACCTGGTAAGTAGCAGGAGAATGAGCCGGATATTTAGTATCTCGTTCCTAGCCTCAAGTTACTCATCGTCCCACAGACCCCCACATTCATGAAGTTGGTCATCAGCACCGCCGCTTCCCAGAGCCCGACCGTCAAATGGATGAAAACAAAGTGTATTGCGTTGGGGTCCGAGCATATTCCCATGAGTGTCATGCACATGACGAGGGAGAGATTCCCAAATGCCGAGATCCAGTCGGGATATGGATCGAGTGAGGTACAGTTCATCCGTTCACATTTCATCGCAATGTATTGCACGATCACTAAACAACACACCTCGCCAGGCAGCAGTTGTTGGTGCAATTTCATATATGCGGATCCCGAACAACAGCCCCATCCCAGAGAAGTTGGTCTACAAGCTGGCCAAGCCTGGGGTGCGCTGTCTCCTCTTTGACGAGGAGGGCAATATCGTTGATCAAAATGTCTCCAAGAGCGGGATCCTGGTCTTTGCCGTCGACCCCGACCATCCCGTCCGCAACCACCCCGACTTTGTCAACGCCGATCCCAACGACAGACTGGCCTCCTTTGGCTTCCTCAGCGACGGCTCGCCTCGTGTCTGCACCATGGACTGGGTCGAGATGATCAGCGAGAACGAGTTTACGGTCGTTGGAAGGTGAGTGCAATATCCCTGTGCCCACCGAGTGGTCTGTGCCCTCCTTCCACTGGTCCTCCGCCAATCCATCCCACACTCTGCTTCAACATGTCTCTCACACCTCCAGATTCGACCAGAAGATCAAGGTCAACGGTGTCTATGTCGACCTGAACCATCTCGAGGCCCTGGTCGTGCAGCACCTGAGCCACACCATCGCCGACTGTGCGTTTGTCCAGACCTCCGAGAAGAAGATCGTGATGCTGTATGTTCTCCAGGCCCGCCCCACGACCCGCACCGAGCCCAGCGACATCATCCGGATGACCCAGGATCTGCTTGCACTCGTCAACGTCTCCAAGGTGCCGATCCACAACTGCTTCCAGCTCGACGAGATCCCCATGACCGAGATTGGCAAGCGCGACCTCAAGAAGATCAAGTGGATCGCCGAGAACAACGATCTGCACCAAGGATCCGTTGTGTATCCCCGTCTCGCCCCCAGCGAGGCCCCGCTGTTTTGCATCGCGGCTGCAATCTCTAGCCTCGGCAGCCAGCTCCTCGGGATTCCCTCTCTCGACGGCCGCAACTACAGCATCAGCGGAGCTGGGTTTGACTCGCTGAGTGTCGGCCGCCTGGCCCTGGCAATCAAGGAAGAGTACGATGTCGAGATCTCGCCGATGATGCTGCTCTCGAACGGCCTGACGCCCCTCGATGTCGCCCAGCTGGTGATTGATCTCCAAGGCAACCACCCGCTGATGCCACCGACAGTCGACCTCGACCAGGAGGCCGCCCAGCTCGACGATGCGAGTGTGACGGCCGAGGGTCTCCCTCCACTTGTCTTTCCCGAGTCGCCTCGCGGCATCGTCCTGACGGGGGCCACTGGCTTCCTCGGATCGTTCCTGCTGTACGAGCTGGCTGCCAAGTACCCTGCTGCCAGGATCTACTGTCTGGTCCGAGCCGCGAGCGACCAGGCTGCCATAGACCGCATCTTTGAGACAGCCAGGAAGCTGATCCTCAACCCGCAGCAAACGCACTACCTCGTGAACAATGTCAAGCCGCGACTCGTTGGTGTCTGCGGCGATCTGTCGCTCGACCAGTGGGGACTGACCAACAAGCGATGGAAGAAGATCGGCAAGGAGACCGACATGGTTGTGCACTGCGGCGCCGAGGTGCACTGGCTCGACGACTATGAGGCGCTCAAGGGGCCGAATGTCCTGGGCACGGCGACGGCCCTGCGGCTGGCCACGACCCACCACCTGAAGCCGCTGCACTTCATCTCGGCGGTCGGAGCGATTCCCATGGCACGGGGTGCAAGGACGCCGCTCGAGGAGAGGGTGTATTCCAACTGGAACGTCTCTGGCGGGTATGCACAGACCAAGTGGGTCTCTGAGCAGCTGATCAACAAGGCACGATCGAGGGGAGTGCCTGCGACGATCATCCGACCATCGCTGATTGCAAGCGACAGTGTCTATGGAGGTGAGTCACTGGGTGTAATATGGCAATGTGGTGTGGTGGTGTGGTGGTGTGGTGGTGTGGTGGTGTGGTGGTGTGGTGGTGCAGCAGCTCATCTCAGCTCACTCTCACTCTCACTCTCACTCTCACTCTCACTCTCTCAGTGTGCCACTCGGACGACTACATCTGGCAGTATATCAAGGGATGCATCCGCATCGGAATCGCTCCCTCCAATGCCACCCCCGTGACCATCACCATGAATCCAGTCGACCATGTCGCCAAGGTGGTCGCTGCGATCGCAGCCTCCGAGGTGGCCCTGCCCAAGTTTGTGTTCCACATCAGCGACCCAGAGCGCAGGTGAGATGAGCGAGCGAGCCGAGTGGCAAGCAGTCAGGGAGGGCAGGATGAGTGCCATTCCTCGGCAGTCACTCACTCACCCACACCACCATCCCACACATCCTGTCCCTCGGCCCACCTCGCAGCGTCGTCACCGAGACCAAACTGTTCGAGATCGTCAATGCCTATGGCTGGCCCGTCATGTTCGAGACCCGCGAGCGATTCAAGGCCCTGCTTTACCGACCGTCGCTGCCCAACGGCTCGTCGATGCTGACGCTCATGCATCTGATCCTGAGCATGTCCTTCCTGGTCGACAACACCAACACCCGGTCGATCTATCCGGCCCTCGGTTCCCAGGCCGGGAGGATCGCCGGGCGAGGGCTGCTGTACTTGACCCACATCGGGTATCTGCCACCTCCTCTGAACCCTCCGTCGCCGCTGAGACCCGAGGAGCACCCGCGGCCCAACATCTTCCGTCCCGACACCCACAACTAGCTCGGTGGTGGAGGTCACTGCATGTTTGGCAGTGCCATTCATGGTGCATCCCATGCACAGCCATGGTCCTTCACTTGCACGGTGCCTCACAACTCCCTGACACACATTCCTGATCTATCGCTTCGGAGTCTGTGCACGATATCCAGTGCTTGCCGATGTGTCCCACTCTCACCCCGTCCACATACCCCGATGTCGCCCCAGTCGCCCTGTCGGCAATTGACTGTCTGTCCTGGTCAATATCACAGCCATCTTGGATTCTCCATGTGATTCCTCCGTCTGGTGCGAGTACTTGTGGACAGAGACATGACTGCTGATGCAACAGAGTGATTGGATTGGAGTGTAGATCGCCTGAACTTGATATTCGCCTGGACTGGCACGCTCTGGATGTGGAGTCACTCGAGACGACTGAAATCCCGCAGATTGTCCACCAGAGAACCCGGTGCGACGCAGGAAGGACTGGATACAAGAATATCAGCACCATCGAGACCATCTTGTCGTTGTGGTCCAGACGGTCTTCCCAGACGGCTCGGTTCTGGAGGGCCAGCTGCTTGAGGCGGTTGGGCAGGGTGATGAGCCCGCATCTGAGGTGCATCGCTCCATAGGATGTGTTCCGCACCACTCTGACGAGTCGGGTCAGACAGTGCATCTGTGCTCGACTGAGTACCACGGCTTGCTGCTTCGTGAGCACTTCGAGGGTCAGTCCATACTCGAGCATGGGCCGAACAAAGGTCTTGAACACCCTCGTCACCGTCTTGGCCGAGTATCGGCCCAGACTCATTCCGTGCTTCACCAGCTTGTCGGCGGCACCTCTAGCCTTGTGGGTGAGGTTCTGGATCTGGCGGTCCGTCCTGAAGCCGTTGATGTCGACGATGGCTCCGAGGTACCGGAACTCCTTGGCGACTGGCAGCTCCTTGCCGTACAGGTGCACCTTGGCATCCTTCTCTGGGTGCTGTTCGGTGAACATCACCTCGCACTTCGGGGGCGAGAACTGGTATCGATTCTCGATGCTGTGGGCCTCGCAGATGTCGAGGAGGCGCTGGGTCTGGTTGGGGCGGCAGATGAGCACACCGCGGGGTGGCATTTGAGCACTACGTTTATGGGCATCATAAGAGCCCTCCGTAACCAGAGTGCCTTGTGCTGGTGAGCGAGAGCGCTTCTTCCCGTCCATGCACAGCGGCCTTGGCGCTCAAATTGCCCTTGGTGACCGGATAAACATGGAATATCGGAGTTGGACAAGGAGGATTTTGTCTCGATCTGCTCCATGGAGTCGCAGGGGTGGCACCACATGGCTTGGTTGGTGCTGCGAGAAAGGGGACGATGCAGAGAACATCCAAATAGGAATTTTGTGATCATTGCGGTCTGCACCATCGCTTTCTGCTCTTCGATGCAAAGCTCCCTCAATCCGTCGAGGAGTAAGAGCCGGAAGATAAATTGAGACAGCGCCGTGCATTGAAAACCTCATTACCTGCCTCGCCCTCAAGTCGCCAGGTCAGTTTTTGCTCCAGGACGGGGTCACTCGAGTTGCTGCGACCATCGCCGGTGTTGTGATCTCTGTTGCCCATGCTGTCGCCACTCTGCTAAAACCCATGCTGTCATGTTCCCATGCTGCCGGTCCATCTGGGCTGACCTCTGCAATATCAACTTGCATCTCCATCGACTCTCTCGGTTAGCAGACCCAGGTTTCCATTTGACGCCCGTCTCCAGCCCTCCCCGTCACACCTCCAAGATGAAGTCCAAGCTCGCTTGTCTCGTCGCCCTCATTGCTGCCTCTGCTATCCAGGCTCAAACAGTCACCGGTGCTCAAATGTGCGCCAATATCGGCTTGTGCATCAAAGATACCAACGGCAACTACTGCTACGATGATGTCATGAGCGATCTCAAGATCGTGCAAAACGCCGCGGATATCCCCACCATCCAGAAGTATCTCTGCACCGAGTGCCTTCGCGACATCGTGTTGTGGGTCGAGGCCAATCCCAGAGCTCCTGCCAGCACGATTGCCCAGTTCCAGAACTTAACTCGGCAGGTTGATCAGGTCTGCGGCTCCGACTTTCTGCCTCTCTTCCCTCCCCCTGCCTCCGATTCACCTACTCCTCCTGTCGTTATGGGCGCATAAGTATGGGGGGAAGGCAGCGGCCGGATAACTTCTCGTTCATTTGTTTCGTCCACGCAATATTTGATGAGTTCGGACTGGTTGCGCCATATTCGTAATTCAATCCGACAGAACGGGAATCCTGGAATTGCTCCAAATTTGGGGCGATCACACCCATTGGCACAGACCAGGGCTCTAGATTATTTGGATTGAAAGGGCTCATTGCTTCCACACATGCCCTTCGCTGTCCTCGTGTCGTTACATGCCACAATCCCGCCGGTCCCAAATTCGCTCGTTCCAACCCCGATCCAGCTCGTCCTGCTGCCTCCATTCGCGGAGGGTGGGAGACGGCTGGAGCTGTCTGGTCGCCTTTGCTTCAAAGCGTCCTGTCTTTGATCGTTGGTCGCCCTCGTCTGCTCGCCCACATGCTAGCATCGGACTCCTTAGATATATTGTTTGTTTACGATAGTTGTATTGATTCAAGACAACATGCCATCAGCACCATGCGGTACCCGGCAGTGAGCCTCCAAGCACGCTCACACACCCCTGTTGCGGCTCTCGCCGCCTCTCCAGCCCACACGGCTGACCATGCGAGTGAGCACTTCCTCCAGGAGGTCCCACAGGAATTCAACTGTCTCGAGGTCCCGCTCAGGGATTCGTTCTCTCTGGCCATGGGAGTTCCTCTCAGGGATCTCCTCAAAGCCCATCCACGGCTTTGTTCGTTGGGGTCGCTGTCGTGGCCTCGAGAACCTGTGCGCCCCAGTCGCTCTGTCACTGCTCGGTGTGGGGAGAGGGCTGCCTCTCTTGCTGGTCATGGGAAGTGGTGTGTCCACCACTCTGTGTAGGCAATCCGCAATTGAGGTTCAGTGCTCCGTGTGATGTTGAGAGGGCTGTGCGGAACAGCAAGTTCAGGCAGAAGGTTTGTGCCCGATGGAACCGCTTCTGTTCGTTCGTTGGGATGGCGTCGAGGGCGAGGCCGTATTCCATCATCGGCCGCAGGAACGTGCGGTATGCAATCGTTAGGGTCTTGGCCGTGAGGTTTCCAAGGGTCTGGCCCATCTTGGCCATGTTGGATGCTGCTTCTCTTGTCCTGGTCACCATTCGGTCCTGGTAGATCGTCGATGAAGGCGCTGAACATGAGTGGGCTCAGCACCGATCCGTGGATCAGTCCTTTCTGGAGCCATACTGGCTTGGATCTTCTGCCCTTGCTGGCCATTTGGATGGATACCCGGTCAAACATGGCTTTGAGGAAGCCGAGGGCGATGCCGTTCATTCTTCGCTGCTTGAGCTTGGTCCAGAGTCTCTCGCGCCATACTGTGTCATAGGCGGCTTTGATGTCGAGGAACACCAGGGAGTACTCCTCACCGTTCATCTTGTGGTGCTTGATCAGGGTGTCCCCAAGCCTGTGTGTGATGGATATTATGGTGAATTGTTTGTGGAGATCGTTGATGGCGATAACCGGTGCGACATTGATGGGTCCCGGAAGTTGGGATAACATCTCGATGGATCGAGGCTTTGGATCGTCCAGACGGTTTCCTCTGGGACCTGGTGGAATGTGACAGATGGAAGGGAGGACCAGATATGGCTGGGATCAATAGACTCGAGCGACTCCTTGTGATTCAACAGGTGAATTGACATGTATTTACTCTTCTGGGCCTTGGCCACCCTCCTTGGCAGTGAGGCACGCGGTGATGTGTGTTGATATCTCGGTGTGCGCTCTCGCTCGATGAGGATCCCGCAGAATCGAGATCAGGTGATAGCATATACACACTCAAGCGCAATTCAGCCGTAGGTCACATCCCCGCACAATATGTGGAAAGCATCTAACAGTGCCACAGTCTTGAATGTCAATTGTCTTTGTGGGCTGAAGACAGTCGCTCCAATGTGCCAATCACTCACCCAATCGATTGATGTCACTCGAATACATCTTCTTGCCATGAATGCCGCAGTGCTAAGCCAATGCTTGTCGAACTGACACAGCATCGCTTGAATGAAGGGACAGACACATAAGGGACAGCCACATAATCGTGCTGGCATATTCGCCCTTGGCATCGCGTCATTGAACCAGTTGCCCATCAGGACCGCCGTTGATTGGAAAACGGGACACTGGATCTTTTTAGGTTGCCGTCTGGACGACTCCCTCGGATATTATCAGAGTTGGCAGTCGACCTCTAGCTTTCGCTCCTCCTCCCCACCGTCTCGATCTGAGCGCCGCTATCCAGTTCATCCAAAGTTGGTGGTGATTCTCACTGAAGCGATCAGACCCTTGTTGGCGCAGATACTACGCTGCGATACACATCATGCTCCCGCACGCATCACGGTGGCTCCTGGCCTGGTGTTTGGCCGCATCGCTTTGCTTCCGATGTGCAGGTATGGCTGTTTGCATAATTTCCGTCCAGGCTGCATCCACCCCTTCGCGACTGTCATTACCTATGCGCTCAGTAACCTGAGTAATCTTCTCGTTCTGCGCATAACCGCGACAGACGGATGGGTCCTGGTCGAGCCGATACTCCTAGGTGTTGGTGCGGATGCCCCGACGGAGGTTTACTCGGCACTAGCCAACTACTACTCAACCTACGATCCATACTTCAACTATGCCTACACTGGAATCGGCTCCGGAGCGGGTCGTGCGGCCCTCGTCGCCGGATCGACCAACTTGACCTGGGCAGCGTCCGATAGCGTGCCCTCCAATGTCACATTTGTCGGACCTGGGAACATTGTCGGGCAGTTTGTCCCAGTCCCCTCAGTCATAGGGCAAGTACATCCTCCTTGATTTCCTGGGCGGAATCTGTCGGTTGCTCACTGTTTCTTGGATGCACGCAACAATCGTGCGACCACCAGAGCCATGCATTGACACGATCCCTGACATCCCGATCCTATTCAGCTCCGTGGCCGTCATCTATCACTTGAATGTCACCAATCTTACGCTCACGCGGCAAAATGTCGCCGATATCTTCACCGGGAAGGTTGTCTACTGGAACGACACTCGGCTGGTTCAGCACAACCCTGCACTGACCTCCATCAACGCGCGTATCCAGGTCATCGCCATTAGCGGTTCCTCTGGAATTGCCTCCAATTTTCTATATGCTCTCAACAGCATCGACCCAACTCTGAACTTGGGCAACTCCCTGTCGTACCCGCTTTCGACATGGGGCCCGGCCACTGCAGCATTCTACGGCTCCAGCAACACAATGGTCTCGGACGGCATCCAGGTCACTCCGTACTCGATCGGCTTTGTCGACTACCCGTCGGCCTCGACAACCCTGGCCTCTCTCGCCTCAGGGCTGAACCTGTATGCCATCGCAAACATCATCAACCGCAACGGCGATGTCGTTGCCCCATCCATATACACGATGTCGGTGAGTTTCCAACAGCTGTACTGATAAACCAGCGACCGTGAGAAACTCTATCTGCGGACAACACCGCTTGAGCGATAAATTGGCGAGGGCATGACCGGCAGCCCCAATCATACGCATGTGTCCCTGAGCGGCCAGTCGGCTCACTGGACATCGATCACCCACTATCTCTTATTTCCTCATCAGAATGCCCTTTCCACAGCAAGCACCACAAACGTTTCGGCTCTGCGACACTTCTCGGGCGACATCGACACATTCATTCGCTCGACCTACATCGACACCACCACGCCAAATGCATATCCGTTCATGGAACCGTCTTTTATTCTCCTTCGGCAAGACTCCCAGCCCTACAGCATCGCCGAAGCTCAAATGCGTGCCACACTTCGTTTCCTCTTCTGGATGCTCTTTGACGGGACAGAGACGGTGGGTAATCCGCGACATACTATGAACGGCTTGTGCAAGTGTCTGTCTATGGTGATTCTGTACGGCAGATCGATCTGAGTATGTGTGAACTGGTGGCCCTAACGCCATATATGTGTCTGGCCATCATCCTTCAGCAACCCTCGAATCGATCGACAGCATCGCCTTCAACCGGCTCCTTCTATCTTCAAAACAAGTACATGCATCTCCAGGATCCCGATTTTCGACGCTTTGCGTATGATGCACTCAAACTGGTCACCCAAAACGGAAAGTTGCTCTTTGATGCATCTTCTCCATGCAATCCGTACTTTGACGCCAATGGGACCTATATAACGGCCAACTCCTGCAAGCACGGGTACTGCATCGTCGATGGTCCGTTTCAAGACTCCTCAGTGACTCGGTGCATCTGCGATGCTTGATTCATGAACAACATGCAACTGGATTGCTCTGAGCCATCCGCGCCATTCATGATCCTCTTTTACGGCGTCGAGTCCTACAACACTGCCATTATGGCGTTCCTGAGCATCACTGGGCTCATCAACGCCGCCATCCTGGCCATGCTGTTCGTATTTCGAGAAAAGCCAAACATCAAAGCTATTTCGCCGAATTGCTGCTACATAATCGTTGTCGGGGCCCGTAAGTTGAGTCGACGCACATTTTTTTGGAACCCGACAGCCAGAGCCGAGCTCAAGGTGGAAGTGCGCCATCAGTTCAAGCGAAGGCCGTGATACTACCCGGAGTTTTGATCTGACTTTTGTTGGTATCGGTTCTAGTTTTTGGTCAAATCGGCGCACTATTCTATTCCGCCGAGCCCAGCACCTTGGTTTGCTCCAGCCGGATGTTCTTCCCGGTCATTGCCTTCTCCTCAATCTTCAGGTTTGTTGTCGTAAGAGGATCATTATCCCCCCCCCAAAGCTCGAGAGATATCTTCTCTTTCATGAGCCCTCGCACTGCCTGTCGGCTTGGATGATAGCCGCATGCTCGCTCGCTCACTCGCTGACTGCTGGTACTCTTTCTTGCCGCCAAACTGCATGCAGCATGCTCTTGATGAAGTCTGTGCGGATCTACATGATCTTTGAAAACCGACGCATGCGTGTCTTCAAGACGCCGGACTGGAAACTCATCCTCGCGACGCTTGTCGTGTTGGTTGCCGAGATTGTGGTGTGTGCAGCATGGGTTGCCGTGGAAGGCCCCACGGCCGAGGTCGAGGGCAGTTTCTACGGGCTGGTATGCACGGCGACGTTTTCGCCCACGGTGGTGCCCGAGATTGTCCTCTACGCCATCAACGGAGCCATCATGCTCGGGTGTGTGGCCTTTGCCTATCTCACCCGCGGTGCTCACGAGCGCTTCCAAGAGTCCAAGGTCATTGGCATATGCAGCTACATGGTCTCCCTGACGTTGGTGCTGTGCCTTCCGATCGTCTACATTCTCTCCGGAAGCTTGGACTCGCAAGCACTCTTCACCGTGGGCCGCGTGATCCTGGCTTGCTTGATCATCACGATCTCGTCGTTTGTCCCTGCAGCGCTGTTTGCAGGCAGGATCATCGGCGCCCTCCGCTCTGACCCTGGCGAAGATGAAAAGTCGGGAGCCCCCAAACCCATGCACACATCAGATAATTCCAGCATCCAAAGTCAGGGCATGTTGTCTGCAGACATTGTCACCTACGTATATGACTGCGGCGTCCAAGGTCTCAAGTTTGGAGGTGCCTGGGTGTCATCGACTGTCCTGGTGTTTGTCACCCTGGACATCATCGAATTTCGTGATCCCAGTCTCGACGGCCCCATCCAGGCAAGCTTCCGCTTCTCGGCATGTGGATGCGAGCTCTGTGACCCCGAATCAGATCCCGAAGGTGGCAAAGCACTTGCCCGAAGCGTCAAGCTCCGAAACAGCAAGTCTCAGCTCACGCTCGAGTTCGGATCAAAGGAGACAGCACTGACGTTTTTGAACAACTTCAAGGAAGCCAAAGCCAAGCCTCGTAATTCCAAAGTCAAGGAATCGGGGCCCTCGGTGACCTCGGAGGACAATTGGGGCATATCGCCAACGGAATCCTGGGCAATCTTGAAAGGCCCAGCACCGCCACGAACCGAAAGTGCAAAACGATCGTTAATCAGGAGTCTGGGGACGTCAGCGCATCTGGAACAAACGATCGAATCATTGCTTCTAGATTTGACGAAAGCATCGACAGCCAGAGGAGCTGAATCAAACCAGGAATATGTGGTCATGGTGGATAGAACTCCGGTTTTCAATTACATGGGGGGCTTTACTTGATGTACCATTTTTAATGCTTCGGGTGGGGAGAACAGGAAAATAACCTGCGGAACGCCCCGTCTCCGTTTCACAGTTGAGAGTGCGGGCAGCCCGGAACGAGCCGATATTGCTCCATTTCGGACAGATATGTCAGCACCTCTCCGCCAACATGAGAAAGATAGACGGGCCTCACAATTTATTGTAACGGCGAACGCGACTGGATTGTCCTGGACAATGACATCAATGACATTCTCTTACTATTGGGATGGCAAATACCGCTCCGGACCCAGCGGGCGGACTCTTTCTGTTTCAAAAGCGCACTTTTATTTGCGTGCGCCAGCCCTTAGCATCACTGATACTCGACAAATCGACGTTCTGGAAGGTGGCTACATGCCTCCTTCCCTGATGGCTCCCCACGATGTGCTTCGGACCACTTTGAACAGCGCCGTGAGGCAGTGCATCTGGGTTCGGTTGAGTGTCTTGGCTTGTTTGGCTTCGAGCAGATCGAGGGACAGAGCATACTCCATCGTCGGTCGGACAAAGGTCTTGTAGACCCGCACCAGCGATCTGGCGGTCATGTTGCCGAGGGTGTATCCTTGCTTTGCGATCCGTTGGGCCACTACTTGGGCTGTCGCCGTCATCCTCTGGATCTGTCGGTCCATCTGGAGGCCGTTGACGTCGAAGGTGGCTCCGAGGTACTTGAACTCCTTGGTCGGTTCAAGTCATGCGATCAAGACATGTCCGGTAATGATTGCAGCATCACCACCAACCAATTCAGTTCATCCCAACAGCACCGCAACCCGAGACCACCGATGGATAGAGTTGCCACTAGATTAGTCTCAAGCGCACATATATGTGTGTATTCAGGATCCATTGACAAAAAAAACGATTGCAAAAGCGGAGGGGGTCCTGTTTCCACGCTGCGAGCACTTTCATCGACAACATAAATAACTTGATAAAGGAAAAACTCTGTTGCTGTAGTAGTTGTTTTTTCTTCTGTCTTTCTTTCGTTCTTTCGTTCTTTCTTACTTTCTTTCGTTCTTTTGCTTTTGCTTTTGCTTTTGCTTTCCTTCGAAAAGGGGCTGATGTGTTTTGTGCTCTATGAGATGGGGGAAGGGGCAACAGATGCTTGAAAATGCTTGGGGGATGGAGCTTTCGCTGGTATCGGTGTTCATCCTTCCCGAGGAGGCAGCAGCAGAGAGCCGCCTTGGTCTATGATTGAGATTCTCAGGCGGGGCAAGCTTTGCAATCTGGCACAAGGAATATCAGAGCTCAATCGACGGAGAGAGAGTGTAGAAATAAAAGGGAGAGAGAGAGATAGGGAAAGAGCGCGGCAGACACAAGTTGAAGCCAATCCGTCTGGTGAAAGCAGCCATCGATACCAGCAACTGAGCCCAATCTTTAACCGCGATCTATACCAGCAAGCTGGGGAGGGGTCTTTGACAATGTTTGGTGAAGGAAAGTAAAGAGGGATAGGTACAAAGGAGGAAACAAGATAAAGAGGGACAATTCGATGAACAGGTAAAGGCACAGCAGCGGCGGCCTCATGGGCTGGGAATGAGAGGCTGACGGTGAACAAGGCGATATATCCGAACGAGTCGAGGGACATTTCTCCAGAGCGCTGCCCGATCAGCGCCAGACACTGAGGTTGTCGTTGGAGCGGACGAGATGGTGCAGCGTCGAATCGAGGTCGGGAATCTGGTGCGAGGATAGACCATACAGAGCAATGGAGCTGAGCCCTGTCAGGGACTTGAGCGGCTCGACGGAGCAGAGTGCCTTGCAGTCCGATAGATCAACATCGCTGAGTTGCGTGCAGGGACGAAGTGCCTCGATCGATCGGAGCGACTCACAGCCAGTGAGATTGATCGAGCGGAGATTGTGGCACCGGCTGAGCACGCTGATGGACCTGAGGGTCTTGCAACGGGCGAGGCTGATACTCGTCTTTTGAGAGAGATCCTCCAGGCTGGCGCACTTTGCCTTCTCCAGGATGATGGCGAGGGATTCAGGGTCGACCGGCTCCTCCTGGGGCACGTCACTCTGGTCGTCCTCGTCGATCTGATCCCAGCGATCCTGATGGCGCTGGCTCTCTTGCCGGTGCTGCTCCGGTCCGCCAAGCTGGCTCAGCTCGTCAGCGCGAATCTCATTCGTCTCCATATCCCCGACTGCCGCAACAGAGTCCGATTCGACAAAGAGACCGGACCCGCGGCGAATGCGGTCGTCCACCGGCGCGAGCTCAATGGCTTCGTCTTCGACGCGGCCTTCACCGAGCACCGACAGATCAACCGAGAGATCGGAGAAGGAGCAGTCGGGCTCGGGACAGTCGCTGCCGGCTGGTGCCTCGGTGCCGTCGACGGACTGAGATTCCAGCTCGAGCTGGCTCTCGTCAAAGGCCATATCGACTTGCAACTCGTCGTCGGCGGGCGCGTCTTGGTCCTCAATGTCTGTGGGAGGCTGTGACTCGGCAGCGTGATTACCGTTGGGTTCGGCTTCGAGAGACAGGACTGGGACAGATGCTTCTTGAGGCAAAGAAGCATTATCTGCAGAATCAGGTGCTTCTGCGTGTGTGTCAGCAACGACCGGAGCCAAATCTTGCGCTTGTTGGGGTGGCAATGTGGCCGCATTTGACTGCTCGACAGGGTCGCTCGGGGTGGCAGCCAAGACAGGAGCCCTGTCCTCGGCCACGACTGGGAGGATGGCGGCTGGGCTCAGACTGGGCTGGCTTGTGGCGGGGACGACGAATGTCTCGGCCGGCTCTTGGTGCTTGATCGGTGCGCGAGAAGGCGTTGCGGAGGTCGATGGCTTTGCGATATCGCTTTGGGCTGGTTTGCGGGCGAGTGCTCCAAGGAACCCCATGATCAGGTCGGTGCCGACGTTCTGCGTCAGGTTGCCGGAAAGCAAGGTCTCGGGCTTGAGGATGGACCGGACAGTCAAGTCTGTCGCTGAGGGCTGTGGGCCGAGAGACTTGAGGGCCGTTTCCATGGCAGCAACTCGAGAGTCCAAGATGCTGCAGCGGGCCTCGAACTGGGCGGCCTGCTTCTGCCAAGGGCTTGCCGGATCGGCGATATGCGAGGCGACGGCCTGGACGAGGGCCTGCTTGCCACTTTCGCCAGCGAGGACGAGGGCACCCGAGCCCGTCATTTGGCCGGACTCGAGAGCACTGACCTGGTCGTCGAGCTGGTGGATGCTGCCGTCGACGAGATCCAACTTGAGAGTGAGCTGGCTGAGGTGGGCTTGGAAGGCCGTGCGGTCGAGATCCATATCGGCGGCAGCCTCCTCAAACTGGGAGATCTGCCCAAGCAGCTGGAGCTGAGCAGCGGCGGCCTTGAGCTGAGCAGCCTCGACCGAACCAATGCGGTCGCAGAGGCCCTTGATGGCGGCTTCGACCGAGCCAATGCGCGAGACCTTGGACTCGAGGTTCTGGAGCCGGCGCTGGAGCTCGTCCACGCTTTGGGGGTCGAGCGAGTGGTCAGCGCGGATCAGGTCGGCGATTTGGGTTGCCACGAGATCGGTGGAGGCAGGCCCGGCTTGGTTGCCGAGAGTGTCGAGTGCGGTCTCGAGCTTGGTGACCTTGCCGGCGAGCTGCTGCGACTTGGCCTTGAGCGAGGTGATTTCGGAGCGAAAGTGGGAGACAATGAGCCACAAGAGGCCGCTCAGAAAGAGGTAGAGCCATGTGAAGGAGCCGGTTGCAGAGGAAGCGTCATCGTACACGCTATGAAAGCCGGTCATTGGAAACAGGCAAAGGACGACCAAGACGAGGCACAGAGAGGCGAGAGCAACGGGTCGTCCTGGCTGGGGTTTGTGGGTAGCAGCGAGATGAGAGAGCAGAAACAGCGCCGAGGAGGAGGAAGAGCGAAAGTCGACGCAGACAAAGAGGATACAGATACGGTCGAGGAACAGGACAGGGCTCGATGCGATGGAGGTTCGAGCTGGACGGACGCAAGTCCAGGCGAGGCAGAGGGGAGTTGGAGAGCGGATGGCGGCCAGAAGGAAGCGCCCCAGAATGAAGTGCCCCAGAGGCCGGGGACGGAGGGAATGGACGGACGCGCGGCCCGAAAAGGAAAGAGCGCGCCGCGGCTGTCGCAGTGCGGCGCCAAGCTGCGCACAGAGACTGCGTGGCCGCAGCACATCCAGAGCGAGGCTCGCCACATGCACTGCCACATACACTGCCACGGTCTCTGCCACAACAGTCGGACAGCACCGTTGTCATCTCTGGCTTCTGGCACTCAGATATCCCTGGATGTGCATGCTGGCGCTGTCCACCATGACCGAAATGCCCTCGAGTCCCGCGATGTGCATGTGCAGCGCTGCAGCCGTCCGCGAAAGCTGAAGCACAAGGCTGAAACGCTGGCCGAAACGCAAGCCGCAGCGCAGGCACCAGCGATCGTCCAGATCAACCTCGACCGCGTTCTTGCCGCCGATTCCCGCTCTCTGCCCTTCTGCCCGTTGGCAATCCAAACATCCAGCGCCACCATGAACAACATTTGCGTCTTTTGCGGCTCTTCCGACGGGGTCTCGCCCGTCTACACCGAGAGTGCTCGGCAGCTCGGCAACGAGCTCGTCCGCCGCAACATTGGCCTGGTCTATGGTGAGGCACATATTCTCGATGCCGCCGCCCCGCCCGCCTTGATTCCATCGACCATACCAGCGGTCGGCCGGCTCCTGTGTGTCCAGTGTAGCTGACCTCGCTTCGCCTGCACTCTCTCCTATCGTCGATAGGCGCCGGTCACCTTGGATTGATGGGCACGATCGCCAAGACGGTTGCCAACCAGGGAGGCAAAGTCCTTGGGATCATCCCCACAGCTCTCTCGCGATTCGGCAATGGGCTGAACATGATCGGCGAAACGATCGAGGTCAAGGACATGCACTCGCGCAAGAAGCTGATGGCCGATCGGTCCGATGCCTTTATCGCGCTCCCGGGAGGATACGGTAGGCGGGGACGACTGGGCTGATGTTCCAAGCAAGGCGAGTCGAGCGATCAGACGTCGGAGATGTGGTCCTGTGCGATGCGTCCTCCTCGTTTGATGGACAGACTTTTGGAGGATTGGGCTCATACGAGTGCCTGCTCTCGATAATAGGCACATTCGAAGAGCTGCTGGAGACCATTACCTGGTAAGCAGTCCGTAGTATAAAAGGAGAATCGGCCAACCCAAGATGGGGATCCGGCCCTGAGACCCGAGATCAGATCAGATACCAAAGAGGGCAGAGATCAGGTCCTGATGAAGGCTGTGGTAACGCGTAGGTCCCAGCTCAACATCCACTCCAAGCCCATCGGCATCCTCAACACCAACGGCTTCTATACGCACCTGATTGCCATGATCGACCACGCAGTCGCAGAGGTAGGTCGCCGCCGATCACGTCCCGAGGCGCTCGCGATCGTCCCTGGGTGCTGACACTCGACACGACGCTGCCGCAACAGGGCTTCATTCGTCCCCAGCAACGCAGCCTGGTGATTGTGCACGAAGACCCAGTCAAGCTGCTCGATGCCCTTGCTTCGTACACCAAGACCCAAGTCAGCGACTTTAAGCTGGACTGGTCCAGCGCTTGAAGGATCCTGTCGGAACGCCCATGATAGAACATGACATGATGCAGACCAGAGCAGACCACAGATCAGACCAGAGCCGACCACAGACCAGAGCCAAACTGTTGCTGCTGCTTGCACAGTGTGCGGGATCGCTGTGGCCCGGCCGTGCGACCCGGTGCGTCACCCTGCAGGGCGCGCCGTGTGACCGTGACGCTTCATGAGTCAGCCATGCCATGTCGGTCCGTCTTTGCGTCCTTTTGTCCTGGGCTGTGTGCCTCTGCCCGTCTTGCCGTCGTCCATCGCTGCCGCGGCCGTCTGTCCGTCTCTGCTGGGCTGTCGCCTCGTCCTGCCGCTTCTCCACCCACCCACCCATTTGAACCCTCGCTCCCACTCATCCAAGTTCGGCTGTCAGCGTGATATCCAGCAGCGACAGCACACAGCAAGCACAGGCAATCCCATCATCGACTCAAACCTCAGTCCAGTCATATCCATTTCCCACCTGCTTTCGTCTCAGTCCGCCCATCCGCCCATCCGCATCTTTCCTGCTCGCTCTCTTTCTTCCCCTCTCTCGCCCATCACGTAGAGCCGTTCGCTCATATATCGCTGCAAGAACCCCATCCTATCTACCTAAGCACACTCTCCCTGACTCTTCCCTGATTCGACCCGACACTCGACCTGACACTCGACCACCGCCTCGCTCCCCAACATGACCCAGACAACCTATCCGACCTTTGCCCATTCGCCGCTGCGCTCCTCGTGGGTCCCCGACCCGCCTTTGATGCGGGACGGCGAGATGCGCAAGAGTCGCGTCCGGAGCCTCAAGCTTGGCCAACACGACACCTCGTCGTTCGGTCCGCTCCTCCCGTCGCCCAGGGTTCATCCGTCCAAGAGCTTCGATACCTTCCCGTCGATCCTGCTGAACGCCGAGTCCGGACGAAGGTCGCCCGAGCCTCGTCGCACCCGCTCCCCAAGCCCGACTCTGCCCGAGGAACGAGTGTCTCTTCCTCTTCCTCCTCCTTCCCCTCCTTCTTCGCCTTCTCCTCTTCAGACCGAGAAGCCCGTGACGAGGCGGCGATCGGTGTCATTCAGAGTTCCGTCAGAGAGCACTCCAGAGCCCCATGGCCCCAAAAGAGCCTCATCGTCTCCACCTTCCACACCCACTTCGCCCCCGGCCTCCCCGATATCGCCGCCGCTTTCGCCATCCTCCCCAGTCTCGCCCACCTCGCCCACCTCGCCGGCATCGCCAGTGTCGCCAGTATCGCCGGTGTTGTCAGCAACGCCCCCGTCTTTGGCTTCCATGGCCTCATCTCCTGTCCTTGACAAAGCTGCCCACTCATCACAAGAGTCTTCATGCCAGTCGCAACCGGCGTCATCGAGCAAACCCGAGTTACCATCTGTATCATCGAGCGCGTCCACACCATCTTCTGCATCATCGGGCACATCCGTGCCGTCGTCGGCAAGCACCGGTGCTGGAGCGACCCAGCCGCGAAAGCTTCATCGGGGCCCGGTCTATCGCATTCTCGACCTCAACGAAACCATCCGTCAGGCACTGCATGCTCGCCATCAGCTCTCGCACCAGATTGGCGACATGGTCGAGGAGATTGTCGATCTCCACACCATCAAGACGCGCCAGGAACACCTCAAGAGTCCAAGTCAGGCGACTCCGACCAAGCTGCACACCTCCTCGTCGATGCCGAACTTGGTCGCGTTTCTGATGCCGTCGGCCCGGGATGCCCAACCGTCTCCGCGTCCCGAGAGCCCTGCACCGTCGTCTGGATCGCGGTCCAGCGCTGTGGCAGTCCCGTTTTCGCTTGCATCGGCCACGCTGATATCCGCCCTGCCACGCCTGCCGTTGCTCGGCTTGTTTGCCGAAAAACGCAGCGTGAAGATGGATCCTGCCAGCAATGCCAGCGTAGTTGATGTCGATGCTGATGCTGATGCTGATACCGACACCGATGTTGCGGATGCTATGGATGCCACAAATGCCATGAATGTCATGGATGCCATGGATGCTATAGATGCCATGGATACTACTATGGATGCTGCAGTCCCACGCATGGCACCTTCAAGCACACACGAGAAGAAACGAGGTATCGCCAGTCTGAATGCCAACAACAACAACGTCAACAACAACGTCAACAACAATGTAAATAACAGCGTCAACACCAACAAAAGCAACGACCGCAACAGAGCTGAAAGTGACCCGGATGAGGCCCTGGAGTATTACCAGCGCGGCCTCTTCAAGACCCGCAAGCGATTGGCTCTCAGTCTCAAGTACGACCTGATCGACGCCGAGGAGCGGGTCGCGCAGTCGGATTTGTTCATTTTGCAGTCGGAGCTGCAGCGGCTCGATGGGCGGCTCAACGAGCTGTTTGCAGAGCGCAAGAACATCAAGCAGATCCAGAGTAAGTTCGAGAGACGGAGCGATGACAGGGAGACGCTTGTGCTCGGCGTGTGACTGGGGTGGAAGGGCGGCTGGTTGGGCGGCTTGCGGCTTATCTGGGCGAATATCGGAGATGGCACGATTGGTGTGCTGGTGATGGCGACGATGGCAGTGACGATGGCGACCATCGCGTCTCTGGAGATGGCAGGGGGGGGGCACCGACATGTGCCGCGACATGTGCCGAAAGCCGCCTAAACTCGGGTGTGGCGCGGGGGGCTCGCCGTGCCTCCCCATCACCGCTTTGGCCGTGCCCATGGCGATGGCGGCGCGTATTGGTGCCCCCCCCCGCTCGTCCGCCTCGGTTGGTGCTTAGTCTTTGGGGGCCCACTCTTCTAGGTTGGTGTGTCTCTTTCCCCCACGCTCAATCAACACGGGAAAGGCCCCGGTCTGCACTGGCTCATCGAGTCTCTCCTTGCCTCTGCCAGATCGCTTGCTGTTCTCCCCCCGCAACAACTTTAGCCTTCGCAAGAGGGTGCTGCTCAAGCGTCTGATCAACGCCATCTCGGAACAGCAGTTCGAAGACGACAACGACGATAACATCAGCGACGAGGGCCTCAAGATGTCGCTGTAGCCGTGGTGGCTGCGACCAAGGGCCCGCTCAGTCAGCGCCCCCCAGAGTCGAATGCAGAGGACGCGCCACCTTTGCGGCTCGGCCGTGGCGGTCTGAGCCATCACATGTGCTGACCTGGTGTCAGCGCTTCCTGGCGCGGACTGGCCAAGGGCCGGCTCTGGGAACCCGGGTGGGGACTGACCGTTTCCCCGGATGCGGCGGTTGGTATGCTATCGAACGGATGGATGCAGCAGGCCCGAGCTGCAATGGCGAGTCCACTTCGACAATATGGTTGATGCCGCTCTCAAGATGCGATGAGGGTCGCACTGAAGCTGCAGCGCAACCCACTCCCGGGATGCGGTTGATATCGATGTCGATGTCGATGTCGATGTCGATGTCGATGTCGATGTCGATGTCGTCCGTCCAGGCTGCATCCTGGACACACTTGATGCGCCGCGACAAAGCACAGGCCGTTTCCCGAGCTTGGCCCATCCAGGCGATAGCCGGACCCACCTGGCCCACCTGGCCCAGAAAGGATACCCGGGAAACCTGGATGACTGGTGGGCGCTGGACCACCGTCGGCGCCATTCTTTGCGTTCTATCCGTCTCTGTCTTTCCGTCCTTTTTTTCATTTGCGCCGTTCTTATCAACTGATCCAGCACACAATCTATCATCGTCTCAATACACTATGTTGAGGGGGGGGTCTGACTCGCCCATCGAATCTTCGACAGCCGTCCTTCTGATGACCCGGCTGACCAGCCCTCGTGAACGGCGCCACAAGGTTCGCAGCGAACCAGTCGAGATACCTGGATCTGCTGGGGGAAAGACCCCGCGACTGGCGAGGCAAATTGGCCGTGGGAGCGGCCGATGAAGCGGAGTGAGAAACGTGTTTGTGTGAGAGCAAATGAGCCGCCGGAGGAATTATGCTGATGGGGCGAGGCGTCTGGCCTCGGAGATGTGTGCCAGAACGAGATCCTCGCACAGCGGTGATTTGAGTTTGCCGCCGCTGGGCTGCTGGTGACCAGACCGGACCTGTCACATGGCGATGGTCTGGGCGTGCCACCTGCCGAGCGGCCACCCCCGGCCGCACGAGAAAGGCGTCGGTGCGAGCAATGCAAGACGGGCGATGGCGAGCAGAATCTCTTGGGCCACCAGTCAGCCAGTCAGCCGCCAGAGAGCGGGTGGGGCCGCCACACCCACCCCGTTGCTGCCGAAAAAAAGAAAGAGAAGGGAACTGCCTCAGTGCCTGGGCAGTGCTTGGGCAGTGCTTGGGCAGTGCTTGGGCAGTGCCATGAGAGCAGCGGGACAGGGGTGGATCGAGATGTACTTGCTGCCGCGGCTGGGCAGGTGGGCGGCACAGATCGCGCCAGCGCGAGATTGCCAGCGACCAAGGAGGACAGGGGCAGAAGCCATGCACTGCGCAATGGTTGTCATGGCCATGCACATGGACAAGCAGGCCCAGCCGGAAGGACGAGATCGTTCGCGATCGGGAAGACGCGGGTGGCAGTGGGGGGAGGGAACAAGGGAGTCACGAGCCGGCGTTGCGGAGGGGTGGCAGGTGGCGCTCGTGCCTGAACAAAGGACGACCAAGCGCGGCTGCACCCCTTCAAGGCTCAGTACTGCGCGAGTGCACGTCGAAGCGGGTGCAGATGGAGTGGGGGTCGATGGAGCGAGTGCAGATCGATGGAACGAAGCGATGGCGATGGCTCGAGTCGGGCAAGCAGCAAGTCCAGCGACCAGTCCATCGATGCGGATCTAGAATGGCAGACACAACAACACACTCAACAGTAACAATGCCGCCGCAGACAACGGCCACAGCCACTGTGCAAATTTGACTCAGCGCCCTGTCCCCCCCCTTCAAGGCTGCGCGCAGCCTCACACAGACTGCGTGGCACAGCACACAAACTGCGTGGCGCCTGTCTGTCGGTGCACGCCCCCGCCAACAAGGCGCCTCGCGCCCTCTTTTCTTTTCGCTGCCGTGTTTCCCCGCGTTGCCCTTTGTCGCCCGCGGCCCTCCCCTGTCTCACCCCCGACGCTGGCTTTAAATACGCCCGGCGCCCTGAAGCACATCCTCAAGGCCCTCCAAGGTTCGGCGCTGGCCAGAAGAGAAAAGGTGTCCGGCACAAGGGCCTCCCTTACCTTTGCTGCAGTTGCTGTCGTCTGCTTGCCTTTGGCTTGTCGTTTGCTTGTCGTCTGCTTGTCGCTGGGCGCTCCTCCACCGGCGTCTGCTATATCGACCCCTCTATCGCCCCGGCCATCGCCTGCTCCGTGGTCTTCTTTCGCCCCAGGACCTTCTCTCTTGCTTGGATCCCGCGGCCTGTGCTGGAATCCTGCGACTTGCGCTGGAATCGTGACGCACCACACCGCCTGGGAACTCGACACTCGCGCTGGACTTTCGCAACAAGTGCCTCAGTCCCGCCCCGAATCCCACCCCGGATCCATCTCGGTCTGAACGTCTCCCCAGGCTCTGCAGCAAGCAAGCACCGAGCCTCGTCTCGCCCACGGCCCACTCCCCTATAGACTGCCCACTACAACTCACCATCTTCGACTCTGCGCCAAGATGTCCTACCCTGCCAAAGAGATCGAGGCGTCGATGGACTACGACTGTGTCGTTGACCTTCTGCACGAATCCAAGGCCCCAGCCGTCGCCTCCACCGACTCTCGATCGCTGCTCACCCACTCGGCCCTCAAGTCCTTCATCATGGGCTGCCCCATCGGGCCCATCAAGCCCAAGCCCAACCTGCGAGTCGGCATTGCCTTGCCCGACAGCCCCGAGCTGGCTGTCTGCCTCATCACCCTCATGACCTACTGCACGGCCGTGCCGCTCAGTGTCAGCCTGACGGCCGAAGAATTCGAGGTCGAGCTCAAGAGCTTGAAGGCGAAATGCATGATTCTGCCCGTCTCCATGGCCGAGGTGCGTATCTCGATACCATGTTCGGTGTCGTCGGGGGGCTGGTGCTTTTGTGCAAGCCGGGCTGGCTGGTTCGCGGATGGCTGTTCTGTGCCTCGGTTCGCTCTGGAACCCTGTGCGCGGTGTGTCGGTCGGCCATTGCACCACCGGCTTGGCATTGTCGCTGCAGCCAGCACATTCGACTGCCCTATTCTCGATGCTGTTCTCGATGTTCTCGATGCTGCTCTCGGGTGTCACTCACCTCCATTCGGCCCTGCTCTGTCGCTTCCAGGATCCCGTCGTCAACCGTCTCGAAGGCCTGGGCATCCCTGTCTTCCTCCTCACCCCCGATTCCCTAACAGCTGGTCTGTTTTCGATTCAAAGCTGCCGCCAGCGCCAGGAACCGCCCAAGGACAACCGGAGATCGAGGGCCTATTCGATGCGACACGAGTACTCGGCTCCCGAGGACGAGGCCATGCTTCTCCGTACCTCCGGAACCAGTGGCAACAAGAAAACGGTGCCCTATACCCTGCGCACGCTCCTGGTCGGCGCCATGTGCGTCGCTCGATCGTGGGGCCTGAAGGTACGCACATGATGCCAGACAAGCACCTTGGCATTCCTCCTCGCTGCCTTCCTCCGCGCTGCATTCTTTTCTCCCAGCTTGGGACATCGTGCTCGCTCATTCTGTCGCCATCGTCTGGCCACCCAATTCTCACGCGCTGTCTCGTTGTGTCGTCCGACAGGAGGGAGAGGTCAATCTCAACATGATGCCCATGTACCACGTCGGCGGCATCGTCCGTAACTGTCTTGCCGTCATCCTGAGCCGATCGTGCGTCATCATGACCAAGGGCTTCGACCCGGTCGTCTTTTGGGACATCATGGAGAACTCGCAGGTGACTCCGACGTGGTATTTCGCCGTCCCCACCATGCACCACGCCATCCTGCAGGAGGGTCGGCAGCGCTTTACCGGTGCCAAGAAGGTGCCCACTTCCATTCGCATGATCTGCAATGCCGGCGGCGGTCTGCTGCCGTCGCTCGCTGTCGAGCTGCGTGAGTACTTTGGGTGCACTGTCCTGCCGTCCTACGGTATGACAGAATGCATGCCCGCCACCACGCCCCCGCTGAACTACAAGCTCGACCGGCCCGGCACATCCGGTATTTCTGTGGGTAAGTGAGTCCCACTGATTCACCACTCTGTGGCAGCAGCACCAGCATGCTGTGCTGTCGTCCATGATCACTGGATCCCATTGGATCCCACTGAATCTCATTGCATCTCATTGCATCCCACTGAATCTCTTTGGAACTCTGTCATCCTCTCATTCCCAACTCACCCGCACTTTCTCGCCCAGGTCCCGAAATCGCCATCTTTGACGGCAACGGAGACCGCATGCCTCTTGGTCAGATTGGCAACATTGGTCTCCGCGGCGTGCCCTGCTTTGGCGGCTATGAAGGCGACGAGGCTGCCACCAAGAAAGCCTTCAACAAGGAGGGCTTCTTCGACACGGGCGATATGGGATACATGGACAAGGAAGGATATCTTTGTGAGTGTCTGGTGCCATTTGATTCCCTCAACGAAAGCTGCTGCTGCTGGCTAGAGGATCCAATCTGAATCGCCTTGGTAGTCTGCAGCGCCCGTCCGTCTCTTGATTTTGTCATTTTCCTCACTCTCGCATTCCCACCATTGTCTCTTTTCCAGTCATCACTGGCCGCTCAAAGGAAGTCATCAACCGTGGCGGTGAGATTATCTCGCCCGTCGAGATCGAGGATGCCGTCGTCGCCCATCCGCGAGTCCAGCAGACCCTGGCCTACTCCATTGCCCACGATGTGTTGCAGGAGACCATCGGTGTTGTCATCGTCTCTGAGCCCGGTGCCCCGCGAGTCGATCTCAAGGAACTGCAAAAGTATGTCTCGCTGACTGAGCGCACCGCTGGGTGGTTCTATCGAGTGCACTGCTGAATGGTGGCGCTTGCCCATGCCTCGTTTGTCTGGCTCGCGGGTCGCTGCCTGTCAGCGTTTCGTATTGCCCTGATATCCGTGGCCACCGGCTCCGGCTTCTCGGAGTATACCGTCGCTGACCGCACCCTTCCTGTGTGTGCCTAGCTTTGTTTCAAAGACCCTCCACCCCTCCAAGTGGCCCCAGGCCATCTGCTATATGGACAAACTGCCCAAGAACCAAGGCAACAAGCCCCTCCGTATTGGCCTGGCAACCCGCCTTGGCATCAAGGAGATGACAGACAAGACCCCTATGTACGACCGTCTCTTTGAAGCACATGCCCCTCCCGTCACCGCCAGCATCAAGGAGCCCATCCCATCGCGCCTCGTCATCATCAACGAGGAGCGAGTCAAGCGCCTGGCCGAGAAGCACCCAGATGTCAAAGAGGCCGCTGTCCTGCCCAACCCGGACGGCTCCATCAACCTCTACATCGGCACTTCGTACACCGGACTCGATCAGGCCAGCATCAAGAAGCACATGGACGGCCGCATCCACGACTATGAGCATCCCAAGAAGGCCATCTTCATGCCCAAGCTGCCGCGCTTCTCTGATGGAGAACTGGACTATGACGCCCTCGAGAAGATGGGCAGCGCCAAGGGCGGCGACTCGGAAGGCATGCCCCCGATGCAGAAGATGGTCGCCCAGATCTTCAAGGAAGCGCTTGAGCTCGACCACATCCCTGGCGCCGGCGACGACTTTTTCGAGTTGGGTGGCAATTCGCTGACAGCCGGTCGACTTGCCTCGTTGATCAGGTAAGCCCCTCACCGTCCAGCAACTCCTGGTCGTTTCAGTTCGCCATATTGACTGTATCGCCACGCATTCTTTGGCTGTTCAGAAAACGCTTCGATGTCACCATCGCCGCCATGATGTTCTTCCAGAGCCGCACGGTCGAGCAGATTGCCGGCTTGATCTCCGAGATGCTCCCTGCCGACTTTGTTATGGAAGAGTCCGAGATGGGCGCCGCCAAGAACCGCCCGCCCCGCCCTCGCAAGCCCAGCCCGGCAAAGTCGTCTGTGGCGCCCGTGACCCTCTTTATCCAGGCCCTGCCCTTTTTCTTCGGCCCGTGCAAGGTCGTCCTCCAGTGGATCACGTTCGCCTACGGCCTCAAGCTGCTCGAGTTCATCTATGGCATCTTTTTCGATCAGCGCCGTACCCCGGCCATCCGCACGCTCATGGTCATCCTGTCGCTGATTGGCACCAAGCTGTCGTTCTGGACGATTCTGCCCATCCTGGGTATCCTCACCAAGTGGATCATCATCGGTCGCTACAAGGCCGGCAGGTGCGTTTTGCTTCCCCCTCACCCTATCGTGTCTAGGGTCACACCGTGCTTCATCGCGATTCCCTTCTGGTCTGTGATCAATTGCGCCGCTCGCTGACAAGTACTTCTTTCTGATCCGCCATCTCTCTCCGACACAGCTACCCTCTCTGGGGCTCCTATTACCTGCGCTGGTGGTGGGTCGACCAGGTGCTCAACCTGTGCGGCCACGGCATCTTTGGCGGCACCAACTTTAGCCGTGTTCTCTACTTGCGGTTGATGGGTGCCTCCATCGGCAAGAACGTGCACATCGACTCCATGACCAACATCCGCGAGTTTGACCTCGTTCGCATCGGCCATGGCTGTGCCTTTGACACGAGCCGTGTCCGCCCCTTCACCATGGAGACCGGCAAGATGGTGCTGATGCCCATCCGGATCGGCCACTACTGCGTCGTCAACGTCAGCACCGTCATTGCCCCTGGCGCCACCGTGCCAAACAACACCGTCTTCCCGCCCCTGTCGTCCTCGTACGAGCTGGAGGATGCCTCGACAAAGTACACGCCCCTTTGCCGAACGACAGCGCCCTCGCCCAACCTTTTCGTCAAGGCCCTGCTCGGCTATCCCATCCTCTTCCTCGTGTGGTTCATATCCTCGATGCCGTGGATGTTTGTGCTCAACCGTATCGCCCAAGTTCCCTTCACTCCCGATAACTCCCTGACCACATCCTTTGCCGAGATCCTGCTCTTTTTCGGCAACCCGGCCCGTGTGGGTCTCCACATGGCTGCCGTGTGCTGCAACCAAGTTCTCAGCCCGATCGTTGGCCTGCTATGCTGCATCGTCATCAAGCGTGTCTTTATCGGCAAGTTCAAGGCCGGGCCGCGCAAGATCACCCAGCTCAACCTGCTGCGCTACTGGCTCATGGAGGAGCTGCTCGGCGACGGCACCTTCCGCGGCGTCTCGGCCCTGATCGGCAAGCACTACGAGCTCACTAGCATCATCTACCGCGCCCTGGGCTCCCGCGTCGGCAAGCGCATCTACTGGCCGGGCACGCCCGTCAAGGTCTATGAGTTTGATCTGTTTGAGGTCGGCAACGACGTCGTCTTTGGCTCCCGCTCGCACATTGCCAACTCGGACCACTTCCAGAGCGCCAAGATCATCATCCGCTCGGGCGCCATGTTGGCCGATCGCTGTGTGCTGCTGCCGGGCTGCACCATCGGCCGTAACTGCGTCATGGGATCGGGCGGTCTCGGCAAGGCCTTCACGTACTATCCGGACGGATCGATCTGGATCGGCTCCAAGAACGGCGGCGCCACTCTCTGGGACGCCGGCGACCCGGTTGCCGCCCGCTCCCAAGACACCCGCACCCCATTCGCCCGCGCCTTCTATATGGGCACGGCCAACTTTTTCGTCCTGCCCGAGGCCATCTGCATCCTCTACAGCACCTTCTTCGAGGCCTTCACGGGCTGCTACTGGACGATGGGCATCACCGGCGCCGCCATGATCGGCCGCATCGCGGTCATGCACAACTGGTTCGGCAACAACATCACCTACCTGTCGTACTTTTGGCCGCTGTTCTTCTTTGCCACCGCGACGGGCACCTTCCAGGTCCTCAGCTTCGGCGCCCTGTTCATCACCATCGCCATGAAGTGGATGACCATGGGCAGACGCAAGGTCGGCCGCTACGACTGGGACCTGTCCTCGTACTGCCAGCGCTGGCAGATCATGCTGGGAGCACAGTCGATCCGCCACGGCCTCCTCGATCGCATCCGCGGCTCCTGGTACATTGTTGCCTTTTTCCGGGCTCTCGGCGCCAAGGTCGGCAAGCGTGTGTGTCTGTACCCGACCGGCGGCGATCCCATGATGACCGAGCCCGACCTGACGACCTTTGGAGACGACGTTGCCCTCGACCGGGCCAGTGTCGTGTGCCACATCAACAGCAAGGGCCAGTTTGCGCTCAACCCGCTGGTCATCGGCAGCGGCGCCGTGCTCCGGGCCTACTCGCGCCTGCTCTCGGGTGCCGAAATGGAGGAGGACTCGACCCTCCTCGAGCACACCCTCGTCATCAGTGGCGACATTATCGAGGCCGGCACTGTCTGGCAGGGCTGGCCATCGTCCGAAGTCACCCCGAAGGCCCCCGTCATCCCGGCCCGCAAGAACACCGACGGCAAGGCGACGCTTGGCCGAGACGACCGAGCCGGCACCATTCGCGGCTCTGCTCGCTCCACCAGCCGCGCCGGCACCCCGAACACAGGCTCGGTGACTCGCCAAGGCACACTCCCTCATCGCGGCCAGAGCATGTCCCGCAGCAAGTCCAACACCCGCGAACGACCGATCCGCGGCCAGTCCGACTCTGCGGAGCAAGACCGAGAAGGCGGCCAGCGCAGAACTCGCCGCTACCGCTACTCGCAGTTCCACGGCACCTTCAAGCGCTCGACGGCTGTCCAGGGTCGCTGAGGCGGCTGAGCAACGCATGCTGGAGCTGACAGCGTCGCTCCGGTGTCTATCTGGCATCTCACTTTGGTGTCCTTCACTTTGGTGTCTCTCTCCCATGTTCCCTTAAATTGGATCATCTCTCATAGGGATAATATAGCAGCGTACCCATTTTGAAACAGGACACCTTGCCTTGACTATAATCCATCATGGCCGTCCATCGCACCCTCGATTTTCTGCGACGCTGCACTGCGATACTGCCCCGCCCTGAATCGCAGCGTCAGCGTGGCGCCCAAGCAACCCGCCGAGGTGCCTGTTGGGACGCGGCGGCTTCTGGTCCTTATCACCCAGGCGTGCGCAAAGGGCGATCGGCCCAACCCGACTTGCCCATTCATCGTGCACGATCGATCGATCGTCTGGGTAGCCAGTGCATCCACCCACTCACATCCACTCATCCGCCCCATGCCACCGCCGTCGTTCGATCCCGACCTCGACTCGTTCTATGTCTTCAAGCAGCTGGGCGAGCGACTGCTGGACATTGCTCGCCGTGCCAAGAAAGAAACCATCATCGACACCTCGTACTTTATGTGCTTCTACGGCGAATGGCACCACGAAACCCTCTTTGAGCTGCTGCTTGAGCGGCTGGACGTGATCCAGGTGAGCAAGCGGGCTCTCCCAGATGGACAGATCGACACTTGATCGCAGCAGAGCCGTCGACCCTTCTCGCACCCAATCCATGTCGACGCCGACCCCCGGACCACTCATCCGCATGCTTGGTCCCAGCCCATCCAGCGATGGAGGATCATGATCCTGCTCGACTATGTGTGCGATCGCACCACCTTATTCAAGTCCCACATTGCCGAGAATTTCGAGGAGCTCTTTCGGCTGACGATCCCCAGCAACGATGTCTCATCCAACGGCGTGCGGTTTGTCAAAAAGATCCTGAAAAAGTGGGCCAAAGAAGGTTTTGTCCCGACCAAGTCTGTCACCGCTGCCGAAGAGCGGTTGGAGCCTTTCCAGGGCGTCATGTAGGATTCTGTTATGGGGGGTCTTGGAGGAGGCGAGAGGCGGGAGGATATGGCCCTGCGGCCCTGCCTTCCTTCGTGGATGAGCCGACAACGAATCGGCGGGCTGCAGTGGATTCTAACAGTCATTTGTCCCGCTCGCAGCGATGAGCAGGGTGTCGCTGCCGAGAGGCGCTCCTCCGATCCCCATCACGATCCCAACGTCGTCATGGGCCTACATGTCAAGAAGATCCAGGACAAGATTGAGACTGAGCGAGAGCAGGTAAGCTGCAGCCGACTCCTCGAGACCTTTTGCTCCAGGCTTCAAGCAACCGCAACTGCAGCCGCGAGCAGGAGCCTTCGCGGGAGACTCTGACCGCCTGGCTGACTTTGTCCGTCGTCGGAACGGCAACAGCACAAGCGGAATCGAGAGGCATATTGGCTGCAGTCCACCAACGACATCGACATGCGGAACAGCTCGGGCCATGCGATCGAATTCTCGAGGCTCTGGCAGACGCTGCCTGACCTCGACCAGCGCGACCTCTGCGATCTCCTCCACGAACATCAGACCTGGCTCATGGACACCTGCGGCGAGGACGAATGGGACCGGTTTGTCGAGCGAGACTGGGAATCGGCCCCCGCCGACCCGCTCGTAGCATCGCATCCATATGACTATCATGCCGGCGTCCATGGCGAGGGCGGCTATCCAGACAACAGCATCCACGGCCTTGAGCCTCCATACGCGGCCGCTCCGGATGAGCATGCCCGCTCCTCACTCGGATATGCGGGTTATTCAGAGCCGCCTCTGGACGCACATCCGTCTGGCTATCGGTCGGACCGCGATTACGAGCAGCCTCAAGGCCAGGCGCCGCCGTCCTCCCAGCAGCAGTCTGGATATCAACACCACGATTCGAGCAAATACGACGAGCAGTACTCGGCCTACTACCAGCAACAGCAGCGCCAGAGGCATCCCGGCTCGCAACATCCGCACGAATCTCAGCACGATTACCACTACCAGCATCAGGCTGCGCCAGACTACCACGGCTCGAGACAGTCGTCGCAGGGCTACGGCTCATACCCGTCATACGAACGCAGCAGCACCCGAGCGGAGAAGTAAGACAATTACTCCGGTCGTTGCTGGAGAGCGCCGAGAAGCAAGCATCGCGATGCCAAAGGGGTCATAGGTGGCTCTATTCGGCTGGGTCTTTGGATTGCCTGGCAAAGCTGGTCCAAGCCAGCCGCACACAAAACGACGACCTCCCCCAGGCAGCAGTATCGCCATATCATGCGTGCCGCAATCAAGGGTTGTAGTCGTCAACCAGCAAAACAATATCGACTTGGTCGCTGACACCTGGACATGTGGGGGCGGGGGTGGGGAACATCAGTGCCAGTGGAACCTGCCATCCAGACGGGATGCTGATAGTCCACTGGGCCAACTGCAAGCAGTTGATGGTGTTTCATTGATGCTGCGCTGCGTCCATAGTTGCGCAATACATACCCTGCAGGAGAAGCTCGCTTGCATAATTGACGACCTTGGCTTTCTTTGCGGCCTTGAGGGTGCCGACGAGGGCCTCGAAGATGTTGGCGCAGCGATCGTCCTTGACGATCACTCCAAACTTGACCGAGTATTGTCCGGACGCTGGCGCCGACCAGGGATCGCCAGGGATGGAGAGGTCGAAAGGAACCAAGGCGCAAGGCTCAGTCGTTCGAAGCAGTGCTGGTGAGGTGGGGAGCCCCCGGCTGACATCCAGCAACTAGTTTCGCGGCCATGTGGTCAGGGATCGGATCGACCCTGGCTCGATATGAAGACTCACCATCGCAGGTACCGAGACGCTTGATCTCGCCGATGAGCAGCTTGATTTCCTGGGCGACTTGAGCGGGAGTCATCTCGCAGCGGGTGTCGATGCAACGGGTGGTGATAGTGTGATGGCGGGCAGCAAACGTTTCTTTGGTCGATAACACAGCCCAACGATTCTCCACGGCGCTTGGCGGTTCGGCTGGTGCTTGTCGATGTGCTTCGATTGCTGTTGGTGCTCCTGCACGGCTCCCGGGGGCACTGGCAGTGTCGGATGAGATGAGAGGATGGGGGGCAAGGCCGCCCGCTTTCCTGGCGCCCTGGTCGATTGCCCCAGCCCAGGGTGTCCCGAAAGCCTTCTGTCCTGATCTGCCCGCCTCCTCCCTCATCGCCGTCGCCGTCACCATCGCCAAATCGCATCCGCCCCCAATGAACCCATCGACAGCAGCGACGATGCACCCCATTCTCTCGCGTGCAACCTCCCAAGAGATCCAGGTGCTCTATTCGCAGTTCAAGAACAGCCTCGATCTCCTGATCGACCATGCCGCCAAGACCCCGATACCCGAGCTCGAGTCAATGACAACCCCGTTGACGGAGCGCCCGCCAGGTGCCTCGGACAAGTCGATCGAAGAGGGCACCGTCTATCTTGGCCAGGTGTGCTCGACCATGGAGGAAATCTTCTCGCATGGCTTCATGGGTAATGACAGCAGCGAGCCTGCCAACGACGGTTGAGCCCAAACGACCTCGACTGCCGCCCATTTCATGCATGGCTGCGGATGAGCCATCGGTCGCATGCGCTTATCCATGACTCTCCACCCTCCCCCTGCCCGAATGCAGCCAAGCGGAGCTGGCTTCGGACCAGAACCGTCTGGGATTTCATCGAAGAAACCCTCCGCAAGTACTCGAGCGAGCAGATGGATGTCCAAGCAACCCTGGCCACCGTCAACACCATGACCGAGGCCAACCCCAGCATGCGCACCAAAGTTTGGATCCGGCTGGTGAGAAATGGCTCTTGGAGTTGCATTCGGCGCCGCCGGAGTGCCCCGCATATACCTCGCATATACCTCGCATATGTCCAAAGGCCCCGCTCGAGAGGCCGCAGCGACGCAGCATGTCGGTGGCTGACGAAACAGTCCTATTGTCCCCGCCAAAGACGCTGATGCAGCAGACCCTCGGCGACCACATCCACACCCTGATTGCGAATCGGACGGTGCTCGCTGCGTGGTACGAGCCATGGGCATTCCTGATGCAGCCCGACAAGGCCGACCCGCTCATAGGTCGGTGCATCTCCTGCATGCAACCACAAGCCGCCGACTCGGTTCAGACCTGACCAGCAAGCCCTCCCCCCCTGCCTGGAGTGAAGCACCCATACTGCCGAGCATTCATCGCACTCACGCCGAATGCGGGGGGTTCGATAGCGTACGATTGGGCGCCTTTTCTGACCAATTCTGCGCTTCGGGTCATTTCCCCTCATTCAGGAATGCTGCAGGGTCTGACGCAGCTCGAGTTCAATCTCTATCTCAAAGACGAGTCGTCGGAGCTGCTTACGGAAAGCAAGAGGTTAGTGCGCTGGGTCGGTCCATTTGGTCGGGCGTCAGCACTATCTCGTTGCCAGCAGTATATATGCATGTGGACAGAATGAATGTCCTGATATTCGTTTATTGTGCCGTCCAGTCGAGCGCCATCCACAAGCACTACAAATGCGGCCAATGCTGCGAATGAGCTCCTCAAGACCGGCATCGCGGGTATCGGCAGTCTCACCGAGAGCATCAACATCAGTGGCATCGCCGCGTCTCTACAAACCAAAGTCGAAACAGGTGCTCGGAGATTCTGAGTGTAGCCGCTTGTATTTGTGATGGTGCAGTTGCGGGAGTCGCTGCAAATCAGGCTGCCAGTGCGATCCGATATGCACTTGACCTGAATGTCCATCCTAAAGCAGCGGCTGCCTTTGTCTCTTAACCCTCGACTATCACAGTGCGCACTGATGGAATCAATCTGCTCGCCGAGTCCCTCAAATCCAGGTTCGTCCGCGAATAGCATGCCCCCGACCTCGTCAGCACCAAATGCCGTCGTCCGCGCTAATCCGACTGGGATACGATGGTGAATTCGATAGATCCCTTCCAGTCTCCTCGCGCGGTGCAGGCGAGGCTAGCGAAGAACTTGAGAAGCTTCGGACTCAGCTCGAAGCTGAAAGAAACATCCGGGTGCAGCTGGAAGTCCAGATTCTGTCGATGCAGCGGGCCAAGGACGACGACGAGCTCAAATTCAAGTCCGACTTGGCCAAGATGGAGCAGAAGGTCCGGGAACTTGCTCAGTCGCTCGAGGTACATCCAAGTCCACGGACAGCTCGCATTCAGGATGCAGTGCCGACTCTGTGCTCTTTCTGGTGGCCTGGGGGCCATTGTCCGACTTTGGTTATGCCTAGTCGGATCCATGCTCGACACGTTCATCGATTTGATTGTAATGAGATGGGGCTGACACCATTCTGTTGCGCGACTCTCTGCTGCACAGCTGAACGATAACCGCCTCAAAGCGACCCGAGAAGAGTTGGCACATAGCCTGCGCGACCAGGCTGACCTCAACGCCCAGCTGGACCGTGCTCGTATGGCTGCGCGCATCGCCAAGGTCCAGCTCGAGAAGCTGCAGAAGAGCCAGAGGACTGCATCTGGGTCACAGTCGCAAGACAGCGCCGAGTCGCTGGGCAGTGCCCCACGCAGCCCCGTCTCCGGTCCAGCCTTGCTCTCCATCCAGACCGGACGGACAGAGCCAAGTCTGGAGCGCGACACTGTTCAGTCCAGAACCTTGGCCCGCTCACCGCTCGAGCCGCGGGGCGACACTGGGCTGACTGGAAGCGATGAACTGAGGTCGCCCGAGGGCTCGATGGAATCCATCGGCGATATCCCTTCGTCTCTTCCGACGACGCCGATCACCTTTATGGCAGCCGATTTGCCGATTCCCGGCTACCAAGATGATGCATCCAGGACCAACGAGGCTGCCGGGCTGCCGCACTCACCTACCACTCAGCCAACGGATGGTGCTAGATCCAAGCGACTCTCGGCTGCTCCGCCTGGGATGCTGCGCCAAAGCAGCGCTGGTCAGAGCAGTTCAAGCCAAGGCGCTTATGGCACCAAGAGCGCAAAGAAAGGCAGTCGCAACAGCATCACTCTCGAGTCGCTCTAAGCAATTTGTCACTTTGGGGCAGCTTCCCTAAACAAAGAAAGCCACGGTCTGAAATGCACACTCGGGAGCAACAGCGATTGGATGGTGCTGATCAACGAGATCGTCTCATTTGGTCTCCAAGGATGGCCAGCGAGAGTGTGAAACCACGTTGTATCGCTGCAGGCTAGCGCTACCAAAGCCAGGGATGGGCGATGATGACGCGGCGCTGTGATGGATCAGTGTGGTGTATTGTGGTGGTTGTGGTGGCGGCGGGAGTAGCATCAACGATCGTCTGGAATCATGGCAGAGTTGCTATGCAGCCACACTCGGCGGTAACGACTCCGACATGCAAGTTATGTCGATTTTCAGGACCGAGTGCAGGCGACACAGACAACGTGCAAAGGATTTGTTGCGCAGGATATCAAGGATGACAAACATTTCAAGGATGGCAAACATTTCAAGGATGACAAGCATCTCAGGCATCTGAAGCGAATCGGCGGCTCAGCTCAAAGCTGAGCACATAGCACTCGTCCAGCAGCGAGATCAGAATGCCTTGGCCGCGGCCGGCGACGCCTTCCGGGCTCAGGAACTGTCCATCGACTCGGCTCTGGTCGATTTCGAGCAGCTTGGACTCGAGGACCTCGGCTTGCCGAGCGACCGACTCGTTCCAAGATTTGAATGCCTCGGGGTCGGCCGACAAATCCGAGGCGGCGCTGTCGGCTTTGCGGAGCCCCTCCTTGATCCAGCGGGAGTTGCGCTGGTTTCGCAGGGCCATGAGACTGGTGCGGATGTGCACGAGGTCCTCGTGGATCGGCGCCAGAGCCGGATCCAGCGGATCGAGCGACCCAAAGAGCTTGCCGGCCTGGGATAGAGCGTCTCGCAGGAGGTTGGCAATGTGCTGGGACGCGGCGCCGATCTCCGAGGCCATGTCTGTGCTCAGGTAGGTGTGTCGGAGCGATGTGAGGCTCTCCTGGAGCGACTTGACGGAGGGGACCGATCTTGAGTAGTCGCGGGCAGAGCCCTGTGAATCCACCGAGCCCGCACTGGCGGCGGTAGTGGCATGGTCGACGAGGAGGTTGCGGATTCCCACGAGCCGCTCGATGACGGGCTGGCTGATTCTCTGGACATCGGCGGTGAAGCTGGACTCGGCCATCTCTTGGGCGACGAGACACTGGTGGATCAGCTCGTAGGCCTCATCCAGCAGCTCGTGAAGGGCTGCCTGGCCCTCGGGCACTGTTCCGTCGAGCTCCTCGAAGCGGCCGTGTTGGCGGACGCTGTCGATGGAGTCGACAAACTCTTGGAAATGGGACAGGTCTGTTGGATCGACAGATGCGCCGCTCTGGTAGTCCATGAGGATCTGGTTGAGGGATGCAATCGAGACTTCGAGGCGCTTCTGGATCGGCACGAGCGAAGGGGATACTGGCGGAGCGGAAGTATATCAGTGTCGACTGTTCACGCTTTGATCTGCTGCCCGGGACCCGATGCAGAGCGATAATGGGCACAGAGCACAGTGGCAGAGGGACGAGCAAGCTGCAGCCCATCAAGCAGGAGCATTGGCGAAAGACATACTGGAGTTGTCTTGAAGCACCAGGATACGCGACAGGCGGTAACAGCGGGCGATGAGAGAGGCCACGATCGCCTGTCCGCTTGGAATGGCTCGAGCGCCGACAGAAGCGATGGAGTTGTCTTGGGCCGGGACGTTGAATCGTCCGTCGTGCTTGTTTTCGTTTTCGATCTGGTTGAGGCGCTCCTGCAGATGCCGCAGGGTCTCGGAGCGCACATCGGGATCCAAGTCACTCTGGTGGCCCAGCGCTTCGAGCTGAAGCCGGATGCTCGACAGCTCTTCATAGAGCGGCATACTGATGGTGGCAAAGCACACGAGTGAGTGGCGGGGCAGAACGCTCATGGGTACAGCCAACCTGGATCTACGATGCTGTATCGCAAATGCACAGTCAATGAAGCATGGGGGTCGAGGCCGAGACGATGCAACGTCAACTCACAGGCTGTCGTCGATGCGCCAAAGGGGAAGAATGACCTCGTCAAAGACGGCCCAGATCTTTTCGACGAGGATATCGACCTTCTCTCGCTCTTGTTTGACGTGGGAGAGGTATGCGTCGTAGACAGAGTTGGAGGACCAGGTGCGGATGGCATAGTCCTGGACCTGATTCAGGCTGGGCGAGCCGTGCTTTCTGAGGAGCTGCAGCTCCTGGTTGAGCACGCGGAGATGCTCGACGATGGGCGACTCTGGAAAGACCATTTTGGAAGTCGAGGCGGACTGGCCCTTGCTGCTGAAAGTGGCAGAGCTGGCAGGGGCGGTGCTTCTGACCGTGACGTTGCTGCAGTTGGAGGACAGAACAGGATCAATCATGGAGGGCAGCGGAAGCAGTGGTGGGTGTGCTCAGAGGGTGGTGTCTGCGGAGGTGAGATATCGCACTGCGAGAGCGAGCAACAGAATATCGTCAGGCAGAAACGCTGAAAGGCTGCCGACGAACAAGGGCGAGGCCAGAATTTATAGTCGTGCGGACCGGTCATGGCGACTTGTCATGGTGACGGCGGATGGAGGATGCGTCATGGCGCGTCACTTTTGCTCGGCGGGTGTCTCCCGGGGTGGAGAGGAGAGCCGACCAGGGGCTTCGATCGACGGGTAGAAATGGACGCGAACAGGCGCCGAGGTGCCCGAATGTTCGGCTGGCCGGTTCGAGTTTCGAGGAGGATGCGGCCGATGCTTGGTGCGGATGGATTGTGCTCGTGCACATCGACACGTTTCATACCGATGGCGGGTTTGAACTCGGTGACGGGCTGTGCGGGTGCCTGCGTATCGAGGGTCGTAGCGACACTCATATCGGGGGCCGCACTGATAATGCATATCGAGGGTTGTGCTCGATATTGCCGAGACAGGGGCCACCATATCCCTGTCCCGGGATTGTGGAGTTACCGGCCAGTGCTGGCTTGCTGGCGGCGGTGGTGGCGGTCGATTTGGACAGCCCAGACCCTCCATCCAGCAACCAAGACAACCGAGATAATCGGCATATCCAACAGTCGACGCTATCCAGTCGATGCTATCCACTCGATGCTATCCAGCCGATGATATCCAGTCGGTGCTATCCAGTCGGTGCTATCCAGTCGATATCCAGTCGGTGCTATCCAGTCGATGATATCCAGTCAACTCAGTCAACAATCCGTGCTGCTGCGCACCCCCCAGCCAGCCGGATCGATCCGCCGTGTCGCAATCGTCCTGCCGTCGATTCTGTCGTTCGTCCCCATCCGCCATCGCCTCCTCTCCTCTCTCTCCCGTTGCCTTCATCTGCAAAGTCCCCCCCCTGCTGCCTGCCTTGCCCTGGGGAGAAGCCAGCTCAGCTGTTCCTATTCGCTTCCTGCATCTGCGCTGCTGCCGTCGCCGCCGCATATCCCATCGCCGTTTCCGTCGCCAGCTGCCAAGTGCTGCTCCTGTCCATCTGCCGCCAGCTTATCGTGCTCCGCGCCTCGGCCTACCTGATTTGAAAAGCTAAATATGTCCACGAACCCCACTGCCCCTGCTCGCTTCGACTCGATGGCTGCCAGCCGCATGGGTCTCTCCGGCTCAGTGTCTCCAACCGCGGCAACACATTCGGTGTCCCGGCCAGCTCTGTCGCCGACTCCGGCCATTCCCCCCAAGCGACACTATCCCTTTATTCGAATCATCCAGGAAAACAACGTCACCGGCATTCCATGGACCTTCCGCTGCATCGACTCGTCGCCCTTCACCATCTCCGGCAGCATCATCATCACCAACATCTTCTCTCCCTTTGCCTTCCGCGACTTCAATGTGTCCTTCTCCGGGTTCTTCGACAAGGCCAGCCTCCTCGGTATCAAGCTCATCGAGACTCTGCCGGTATCCCTCTCGTTCCCGGCCGATCACCTTGTCGCCGGCACCACTGACCAGGTCACCACAGGCGTGCACAGGATCCCCTTCACCATCACGGTTGATCCGATGAAGATCAACTTGCCGTCCTCCATGCGACACAAACTGGTAGGTCTTGGAGACGATGACACCCCCATCCGGATCTGCGACGATTGCATTGGCACACGGCACCCCCCGGCTCGTCTCCGTTCTTCTACTGTCCTCTGGCTCGCCCAGCTGTGTATCCGGTCCGGTCTGTCGCTTGTGTTCGTTGCTCCTCTCCCTTTGTTCAACCCTCCCCTCCGTCCCTCACACAATCGCACCGCCGCATCTGTCCGATCGTGGCTGTGCTGCGCTGCAGCCGAACGATCTGCCCAGCGACCCGCCTCTCCGCTGCACAAACTGTTGCGATGCTCATCCTGCTGCACGGCTTTGGCTCATCCACGGCAGGCTTCCTTCTACTACCAAGTCCGAGTCAACATCTTGGCCCAGCACTCGAGCACCTCCGGCTTCATCAGCCACATGTTTGATCAGGATATTGCCCTTCAGCGCATTTCGCTGAACGAAATCCTTGCGGAGCATGAGCCCATCACCATCGAGCATCCCGAGCTCCGTGACCCTAAAAAGTTCGGCGTCCAGGTTGTGCTGCTCGATCCCAGCTTTGCTCCCGGCGACATTATCAAGCTCCGCATCTCCCTCTCGTCGATTCCGTCCTCCGGCATCCATTCGATCGAGTTTGAGCTCTACGAGTTTGTCGAACTTCTGGCCGGTGCCGGTGCCGGTGCTGGTACTGGTGGTGCCAATGCCAACCAGCACCTGCCTCGGTCCGAGAGAGCAGTCTTCCGCTTCGCTCACCAAATCAACTCCAAGGAAAAGGAGCTGCAGCTCGCACTCGATATCCGCATTCCTGGCTCGGATGCCCAGACGGCCAATCGACCACTCCCCACTGTGAACGCCCACGGCCTCTCTGTCAGCCACGCACTGGCCGTTACTTGTCTCATGAACGACCGAACAACCGTGCCTCTCTCAAAGCCGATCCCGGTCAAGATCCTTCATCTGGAGCGAAGTGAGCGCGAGCGCCTCGCCCAGGCCAAGATCATGGCCTAATCCTTTGCAGATGCCCCCAGCCGCTCAGATCGGTGCGCATCTCCCCATTCCTTCTGACACGCTGCTGTGCGTAGCCTTGCGCCATCAAGTCTTATTTGCTCGTCTGTGTGCTCCTGGGACACGGTGTGGCTCGTGCGCATGATGTCATGATCGATCCTGTCGTTCCTTTTCTTTGACATTTCTCTCGTCTCGCCCCCTTCCCCACATTTTTCCTTCTGAACAACCGTTGCTCCTTGCGGGTATCCGGTGCCCTGCACTCGCCTCCCGCCTGCCTGCCCCCGAACCACCAGTCTGTCTTTTTCTCATACATGTTGCGTGCCTCTGCACCGAGCCCTTCCCCTCTTGCAGGAGGAGGCGACATTGGCTGTGCGCAAACAGAGCCTCCATGAGTGGCATGAAATACCATCTCTTCCAACACGATGTGCCCTGCACAACAAGCTTTCTACGGGCTGCTCTACTTCTTGCCCTTCTTGCCCTTCTTGTCCTTTCCCTTGACATCCTGGAAGGAGACACATCCACCCAGTTGGGTGCGGGCATTAGTCTCGATTGAACGCCGCACAAATCCACATGCCGCTGCACCGATGGCAATACCTTCTTCTTGAGCTCCTTTCGAGTCTTCCAGCCACGCCACATTGCTTGAATTTTGATGGCGGCCTTGATCCGGATGGCCAGCTTCATCTCCTCGTCCTGGCAACGGGAGGGGGGGGGAACAGTCAGCAACCAAGGCATCGGGAGTCAGCGCCACAGGGACCAATCCGTCAGCTTCACAGGATGATGTATGCGCATCTCTGGGGTTACCTTCTTCTTTTCCTCCTTGATGCGCTTCTCCTCTTGGATGCACTCGTACTCTTTCTGAAGCGCAGTGTACCGCGCCTGCAGTTCATCCAACTGCGACTTTTCTTCTGTAAATATGGCCTGGAGCGTGTCGCCAAGCAGATGGACAGTTGATGCATTGTGCAGAGCAGTCAGATCGGCAGAGCGTGAGTGTGAGTGAGTGAGTGAGTGAACGGCGGTCGCTGCTTGTGATTGCGTGGTGTTGCCCAGCTCGACTCCTCGCACGGCCTCACCTGGATATCTTCGAGCTCGGCCTGCTTCTCCTCCATATCCTGGTCATACTTGTGGATCCAGTTCTCAACCTCGGACTCGACTTTGAACTTTTTACGCCGCAAATTGGCCTCTTCCTCGCGGTTCTTTTTGGTGGTTTCTTCGAGCTGCTTCCGGAGGCTGTTGATATCGGTCATCAAAACGGATTCCTGGGGACAGTGGGTTGTGGGGTTCGGCAGAGGAATCAGTGGCAGCAAGGGGCGCCACATCGAAGTGATGTTTAAACCTCACCTTGTCCTTGAACTGTTGGACATCAGCGTCTTCCTTCTGCTTCGAGCGACTCTCGAGCTTCTTTGTCGTCTCTTCGGCTACCTGTTTGATTTGTCGGAGCTCCTCTATTGCGTCATGTCGGCCAACGGATGTTACCACAGCAACCTCGGCCAAGGGGCGGATTCAGCAGTCCGATTCCGCGCCATTATCAGGTGTCCTGAAGCCATGCTGCCCAGACTGCAGATTACCTTTGAGCCGCCGAATCGTCTCGTTCTTTTTGTTGATCTCGTTGGAGCGTTCCTTCTTGGCTCTTTCGATCTCTTCTCGGAGCAGTTGCACGTCGTTGCTCGTCTGGGAATCGACAGCGGGTAGTCAGCGAGACGAATCGGGGGCCACCCATTGGGCTGCCGAGTCAATGCAGCAAGTCGGAACAGGGCAGGCAGCTGACAGACCTTTTTCTCTTTGGCAATGATGATGGCGAGTTGATCTTGCTTTGCATTCTCCTCTTCGACAGATGTCTTGAGCCGCTCGTAGACGAGCTGCTGGATCTCCTGCATCAGCGTTTCAAAGTACACCACGGAGCTCTGGCGGGTGGCCTTGAGATACCTGAGCTTGGTGAGGGCCGTGGCATTCTGCAAAAACATCCGACAGACCGACTTTGTCGAGGACTGAAGCTGCTTGGACAATTCTCGGTATTCGTTCTGCCAGGAAGAGCATCGGTCAGAACCTCGGACACGAACAGCCGTATCAAATCATGGAGAACGGAGGCGGATTCAGGGTCTGGCATCATCAAGGAATGAACATGACAGGTACCGTCAGCGACTGAACAATGCCTGGATCGCGTGCCGCTTCTCGGCTGTCGCTAACTGCCTTCAGCTTTTGCTCGAGAAGCCGATGCTCCTGGACGAGAGGACAGCACCACAGGTGAGACCGCAGATGAGACCGATGAGACCACGACGCGATGCGATTGCTGGCCCACCGTTATCACCAGGACGGTATCTGGGCCGAACACCGTCGCCACTCGTCTGTCCATGTGGTCGGGCAGGCTCCCGATGATCATCAGCTTCCGCTCGATCTCCTGCAGGACCGACATGATCCGCTGCGCCTCGACGTTCGAGAGCTTGCTCGAATATGAAAAGTCGTCCGCCGGCATATCTGACCCCGCGGCATACTGCTCGTGTGGTGTTCCGCCGCGGCTGATGGGTGGGAGCGGTGTTTCCTTGGGGAAGCTGAAGGATGCGGCGTTGTATCCAGAGGTCTTCATCGTGGGTGCGAACCTCAGGCAGGGCTCCCAGATCGGGATGAAAAGCGTATTTGCGAAACAGAGGATCAGAGCACACCTGCCACTGCCTCTCCGGGTTTGTCCCCGCCTCCTGCTCAGACATAACGGCGCTTCCGCCACTCAGCACAATGGCTCGGGCCGACGTCGCAAGGACGTGCTGGTGATTGGGGGGCTTCATGTGACTTGGGCGATTGGCACTGCCAGGCAAGCGCTCGACAGGATGATTGACCAAGGCCGAGTGCGATGCGCAAGGTGGAGGCGGCGAGGACCAATTTCGTGCGCATCCTGCATCCCGCACATCTTTTGCATCCATCCATTTTCCGGCATCCGCCAGCCAGCGATACCAGCATCTCCAGATTGGCCGGTCTTGTCGCTTTGGAGGGCTCTGTTCTGCGCCATTCCATCAACGCACACACATCGAGCCAGCAACACAGTATACTCTTACTTCTACCACACACACCATGAGGCAACTGGACAAGGCAAATGCAGTCGATGAGGAGCTACACGACCTCAAGCTGCGGTTTGAGCTGCTAGGTTCGAGACACTGCTGCACTTTCGTCTCCGTGGCTGCCGCCGTCTCGTCGGCTACCAAGTAACCCACGCACTTGACTGCTCCCGCTCGTGCTGACGGCTTCCCACGCCCTGCCTGCCTGCCTGCTCACTTGTTCCGAATCGGCTGGCGCAGAGGGTGACAGAAAGGCGTACTATGAAACCAGCCAGTGGGCCATTCGGCAGAACAAGGAGGAGATCAGCACCATGCGGATGCAGAACCGCGAGCTCTGTGATGCCATAGCGAAGCTGAAGAAGGTCAGTTCCTCCGAGCCGCAGAGATGTATATCCGCGCGCCGACCGCTCGGCTCGACACCGCACCCCCCGCAGCGAGAGGGTTCCACATTCCGTACTGCACGTCCCCACATGCAGCACCATATTTCACATTTCACATTTCGCATTTCACATGCCACGGCCGCTCCGTTGTTTCTGACATACCACTGGCGCTCCAGAATGAAATCGAAAACAACTGCAATCGACTAACAATGACGGAACTAGAAAAGTTTGACCACCGAATATGCGAAATCCATAAAAAATACGACGAGCTGCAGGCCGAGGCCAGGATGAAGGAGGAGCGTCTGCGGGAAATGCGGGACCAGATGGCCGACCTGCGTCGAGAGGCTGAGATCGTCAAGTCCAATCTGAGAGACTCGCCGCAGGCAAAGGTGCGGTTGATTGATGAACTTGGTCGTTGGTCATCGACGATGCAGTCGCTATGGAGCGGCGACAAGTGGATAACGATGATTGATGTCCCGCAGGAGATTCGCATGCTCGAGAACCGCTTGGACAAAGCCATGATCAAATACAACGAAGCACAGTCGATCCGCAAGACATACGAGCAGATCGTCAAGCGACTGCAGGACGAGCGCCTCACCTTTGATAATCAGCTCGCCAACTTTGAAAAGCTGCTCAAGGCCAAGAAGCAGGACGCCTTTGAGCTCGAGATGATGTCGCGCGATGCCAATCATGCAAAGGAGGTCGCCAAGGCAAGTTGTCGACCGGCTTGACGGGAGAGACTGATGAAACAGCACTCGGTCATGCGAGCTGGGTGCTCCGCCGACCGAAACGCCAGGAGGCACCGTTTGGATCGGTGCAGCAATCGCGCTTGCGACACCGATGCATTGTGGCTAGTGATGCCGCAATGTCATGAGCGCACGGTGTTGGAACTGAAGAGACGGTTTTAATCGGGTTTGATTTGATACTCTCCAGGCCGAGCTTGCTCGATTCGAACAGCAGATCGGCGAGGAGAGGAAGCAGCGCGAGAAGGAGCTCCAGTCTCGGCGTGAGCTGGTGAAGCAAAAGCTGGAAGTGAACGACAAACTGGATCGCAAGGTAAGATGCTGCAGCCACATGGAAGGGGTGAATGAGGATGTGCCGAGCAGGCAAAGACTCGCCCACATGGGCGCCGACGCGGCCCCAGAAGACCTAATGTACAGCACGCCGAATTGATATGCGATTTGCACGGGAGACTTACACTCACAATGCGCACCGAAAGGCGTTCCTCATAGACGAGCCAACCGATCTCGGCAACAACGCAGACTCGTCCAAGGACCAGTACGACGAGGTCAAAGAACGCAAGCTCACAGAGTACGAGGAGACGATGCGGCTGATCAAAGAGGCGACCGGCGTCTCGGACATCAACGAGGTGATTGCAAAGTTCCAATCCCAAGGCGACACCAACAAGCACCTGACCCAGCTGAGGATGAGCAAAGAAGGCCGCATCGAGGAGCTCAGAGTCAAGAAGCAGCAGGTGCTCGGAGAGTTTGAGGAACTAAAGTACTCTGGCGAGGCCAAGCATGCCCACGCCAAGCACCTCATCAAGGAGTTTGAGGACCACCTGCGAGAAGCGCAAGAGCGGTGCGCAGATGCAAAGTCAAAGTACGAGCGCGTGGCAAAGCTGCTCAACAACACAAAGTCCGGCATCCAGCATCTCTTTGACAAGCTGGATGTCATTGCAAAGGTATGAGCCGAGATGAGCCGGCGAGGGCTTTCCACCGGCGCCCGATTGCATGATGCGCTGTGAGCAGACTCGCTGGGTTGGCGCATACTCCAGCAATCGGTACCTTGGATTGATGCTGGCTCGATTGTCTACAGGTCGAAAAGTCAGAGAAGATCCCAATGTCAGACGAAACCGTGGGCACGATTCTGGAGGCGTGCATTCAAAAACTGGAGACACTCGCCACAGGCATGCAGGACAAGGAGCTACCCGAGGTATGGAGGGCCAGGACCACTGGTTGATGTTTTGTTGGTAGCGGCATGGCACATTGCTTCAGCTCATGGCGGATAGGTTCGCGAACGCAGTAGTCGATGGTGACGGAGGGTTCTGGCACAAGAGTTTGGCAGAGTGCGGCCAAGTGTGCATGGCTTGTGATGGCGACGCTGACTGAACCGAATGAAACTCGACAAAGCCTGCAACTACGCCGCCGGCACAACAACAGCCCGGAGAGGTTATCAGCATCCTGCAGGTCAACCAGTCGACCTTGCCAGTGTACAACACCCGAGTCAAGATGCGTCCGGTGGAGTTCGAAGAGGAGGTTGCCGAAGGTACGGTGGAGCATTCGCGATCGGATGTGTCTGGGTGGACTGCAACGCAATCCAGTGCGACAGAATACCTGTTGCACTCGATTGTAGACAATGGGACTGGAACCATGTTCGACGAGCAAGACATACATTGGTGTTTCGTCGATACAAGGAGACATCAGCTGAAATGTGGTTGTCCCTCTCGCCGCACGCTGACTGGTTGTGTGTTACCACCATCCCAGACGAAGAGAACGACGACGAGTACGGCGAGGTTCCAGACCGCGAGGCCATCAAGAAGCACACCACACAGATGCTGAACGCCAGACTGAAGACCAAGCAGGCCAAGAAAGTCAAGAAGAAGAAGAGTTCGTCAAAAGACGACGAGTAGCGACAAGGATGGGCTGGGTGCGGAGGCTGGGAATCGACGACCGACAACGGCCTCCTCTTGAGGCATGTCGCATCCTGACTGGTGCTGTTGTGGGGCAACACGGCATATCAAGGGTTCTGGCTGTGTTGGTTGTACTCTTGAAGAAGCCTTGATTGCAATACATGGATATGCATCTTTTGGATTCGGACGGGTTCAATTGCCGCTTTGCACGGGTTGGCGTGTAGTGCGCCTGCCGATGATGCATGGCCGATCACGTCTGCTCGCAGGCACAACCAGGGCCATGCGCACGCACGCATGCCAATCACAGCCCAAGCCTTTATCCTTGGGAATGTGTGTCATTCCGCTGTTCTTTGGAGGAAGCATCCGTCCTGCGCGCAAGCAAGCTGTCCACGCAAAGGGTTGAATCGACGCGAAATCGACCGCAGATATGGCAGGTCTATGTCATGCCAAGTTCCAGGCACTCAGCCAGAGGGCGGGTCAAGCGAGTTCTGGCGAATGTCCACTGCCGAACCAGCGCCTCGACTGATCATGCACATTCCCACGCTCTTTTATCCGGGCACCGGACCGCATAGACAGAAACAAACCAGATACGCGCGAGACCGAGGAGCCCAATATCCTGAATGAAGAGGACCAGGATAGTTTCTACACCGGCGGGCTCTTCAATCTCGAAATCTCGCCGGCATGGAAGTGCATCGAGGGGCTGCGTGGAAAGAAAGACATTTCCGACACCAAGTACGGAGGCTACTGCCGTGTTTTGCATTCCAGGGTCGAGTGCGCGATGGGCAGCCCTCGATCCATGCTTGGTCGGTAACAAATATGCATTTCCCGTGGACAGAATCCTGGACCTCCAGGACAAGCTCCGGGAGCTGCACAAATTCCAGCTGTCCGAGGTGGACTTTGAAAAGCTCCTGCTGAAGAAGGTCAAGCAGCTGACCCAGGAGGTGTCGAACCAGCGCATGGAGATGGATCGCACGCACTCGAAGCAGTTTGCCAACAACTCACAAATCGGTGACCTAAAGCGCGAGCTTTTGAAGGTTCGTCCTTGAGTCTCGTGTGAACAATTCCGGGACAGCGGAGATGCGAGCTGCACGTCAAGCGAAGGATTTCACTCGGCGGTGCTCAATGGAGCCTATGGCGCTCTCCAAGGGATGATGTGCTCATGTTGGCGGCCCGCCTCCTTCCTGTCCATACCCAGGTGCAAAATGAAGTCAACCTGGCAGCGGAACGCGAGAAGAAGCTCCGAAAGGACATTGACGACGCCAGGACACAGAAAGATGAGCTTGAGGCCGATATCGAGGAGATCCGGCGACACAAGGCCGACATGCTGGAGCCGCAGTTGATTGCTTCAACCAAAGAACTCAAGCTGGATGTTGTGCAACGGCGGCATCAAGTTGAGAATCTGCAGAAGGATATGGAGGAGAAGGATATGACCCTCGAGGCTGTCATCAAGGAGAAGGAGCGACTGGAGGCCGAGACAGAGAAGCACTTTGTTGCGCTGGCCAAGGCGACAGAGATGCCGCAAAAGATCCTGTAAGCCGAGCAGGGACGTTTGGGAGGAGAAACCGGCATTGCCGCAAACCATGACATAAATGAGGGGGCAGAATCAACGACGTGGACTCACAGCCAACCTCACTCAGGAAACAGTCCGAGATCCTCCGTGACGCTATCGGGTCGCTGGTGATCGAGAACGTCAAGCAGACAACACTTGCACAGCAGCTGGAGAAGGAGCTCGAACGACTTCAGAAGAAGAAGAAGGTAACAGTCCTAAGCCGATTCGTGGCTGATGTTGAGCACAATGCCGTCTGGTGTCTGGCCAAGTGTGTTGGTCGAGATGGAGAGCAGACGCTGCCTCCACCCTCAAAGTCGCCTTGTGGGCTGATTGGCTACGGACTCAGGAACTGGAGGAACACAAGCTCGAGCAAGTCGCAGACTACGAACAGCGCCGAAACGAAATAGAGGAGATGGAGCGGCAGTGCAACGACATATTCAAGGGGCACGAGATGGCCAAGGATCAGCTATCGTCCCAACGGGCCGAGAAGGTGCGCCTCGAAATGGCCTTGAAGAAGGTCACCCAGGATGTAAGTTGCTCCTGGTGACTCTGGCACGCAAGCCGCATTGCGTGAGAATGGTGTCCACCGAGCGATCGAGATATACGGCCGGCACAGTAAAATAACGACACTGTCCTTTCGGATCAGTCCAAGCGAGAGCACGACATGCTTTTGCGATCAATCCGTGAGAAGGAGACCTACGTGAAGCAGTGCCGTCGACTCATCACCACCATCAACAACATCAAAATGGCGACTCCGACGATCCAGAAGCAGCACGAGGATTTTGTCCGGGATCTGGCTTCGCACGAGCGACAGTCCGAGGAGCAGAAGGTGGAGATCACGAAGCTCAAGAAGGAGGTCGATCTGGCCATCTATGACTTTCTGAAGCAAGAGCAGCTCGAAAAGGCCGAGGCAGACAAGCTGACGACGCAAATCCTGGACAACCGAAAGCTGGACGAGAAGCTCGACGAGGCCATCAAGACAAGCACGGACTTGCAGCGGCAGCTCGAGACGCTGTCGATAGAGCGAGATCTCAAGGTGATTGTCGATGCAGCCGAAAAGATCAAGCATTGCGCTGCTTGCGAGAATTGCCTGCAACCCAACCAAGGCTATGCTAACCATCGTGGTTCCCCAGGCGCGAGACCTCATTCGAGTGCAAAACAAGCACAGGACCATCAAAGAGGATCTGAACTTGAAAGAAATCGCCATTCTGGATGCCTCGAAGCGCTGCCAAGAGTCGTTGACGAGGCTGAAGGACTTTGCCGCCCTCTACGAAGTTGTGAAGAACGAGCGGAACAAATACGTAAGTGCATGCGACTGGGTGGGAAGGCGATGGCTTGAGCCGACCAAAGCTGTGGAAAATGCATACTCCCTTGGCAGAGTTGTCTGTCATTGACAGCGTTCATGTGCGTTCATGTGGCCAAACTGATTCAGCGCTAATTCAGAGCCATGCATCTGGAAACCTTCCCACACCGCCGTTGTCACTGTGCGAATCCAGCTGAATCTGACCCAGGCAACGATGCAGCGCGCTGCCGAGATGAAAGAAAAGATCAAGATCCTGTCCAACGAAATCGAGATTCTTCGACACGAGATTGTCCGGAAGGATCGCGAGCTGACTGTGGGTGCCGTGTCGTAGTCGCATTAGGCATCGACACCGATTTGATGGAGCACGGTGCGGGCTTTGAGCCCAAACATGGACAGTCATCTCTGGTGCAGGGCATGCTGATCCGGTGCTGATATTGTCGGCGACTGTTCCGGTATTCGATGGTGAATTGGACACAGAAAAAAATGCAAGAGAACACGGCGGCATATTCACTGAGAGACACGGCGAAGAACGAGGCCAACAAGAGCCTGGCGCTGTACCGCGAGCGAAGAGGTATGGTCTGGCGTCTGCCGTGGGAACACCAACATGAAGTCTGCTGAGCTCGCTGCGGCCACATCGGATGCTGAGGCCGTTTTGGTCCACTTTCCGCTTTTGGCTCACTGTGAACCAATCATGTACCGAATCCGCTCGATGGAATCATCCAGACCAGATTAACCAGCACCTTTCCAAGATCGAGACTCTCAACTCGCTCATCAACTCGGCCGAAGAGGACATGTTCCAGCTCAAGCTGCGGTACGAGGCTGCCGTCAAGGAGCGCAACGCCGTCGGCATTCATCTCCTGGACCTCAATGATGAGCTGTGTATTCTGTACGAGCGACTCAACATGCAGGAATCGATCCAGATCAAGGGCGAGCAGTCCCTGACGGAGCTGGAGGACGAAATCCGCAAGCTCGACATCATAAAGCAAGAGGTTTACCGCAAGGTCGAGCTACTCAAGCGACGAGTCCCGCTCGTGGACGAGTTCGACAAGGAGGTGGAGAGGCTCCAGACGGAGCTTAACAGCGTCCGGGAAACCGTTGCCAAGCTCAGCGCTCAGATCGAGAGCCCCGACGATCCCAACCGATGCCGGGATCTAGGCGGAGCGGATCCGAGCCAGAAGGAGCTTCTGTCACGAATCAAGCACCTGGAGGAGCGGCTTGCTGAAAAGGAGGTAGTTGGAGCTGGCATGTCCGAATTCCGGGCCAGAGCTGGCATGTTCGAGTTTCAAGGCTGTGACATGCAGCCGAGTGGATGACGCCCATCGCGTGATCGTGGCGGACCTGGGTGCTGACCGATGTGCATTTGGTTTCCGCCAGGAACGTATCCTCGAGAAGGACCTGATCCTCGAGGAGGTCTCGACTTTGACGAATCGACTACAGCAACAGACGCAGGACGGACGCAGCGACTCCAACCAAATGTCACTGAAGCTCAACGAGTTGACCAAGAAGATCAAGAACGTCACCAAATCGATGATGGCGCGTGTGTCCGAGCTGTCCATGTACCAGGGCATGGCGATGAATCTGTATCAGGAGAAGAATGAGAAGGTATGGAGTTGTGCAGATGGCACGAGGGGGGGGGTAAGAGATGGTGATGAACCATTGTGGCGGCAATGATGGTTATGGCGGTTGCGGGACATGACATCCGAGGGAATGTTCTGTCCTGTTGCCTTGCCGTCATGCCGAGATCGCATCCACGCAAACGATAGTCACTCAATCAGCTTGTGGATCTCCCGTCCCCGCGGTATAACCACAGGCAGCCCTTCTTGCCGAAGTCCAGGCTCGATTCGAGCGCGGACAAGTACCCTCGGAGGAGATCGAGAAGGAGTTCATCCGCATCGAACGAGACCGGCTGCGCCGCGAGAAGGAGCTGCAGGCCAAGATCCAAAGACCGTACAAAGAGGGTGGATTCGTGGCGATGTAAGTGCTTGCCGAGACAAGAGTCGGCGGCGACTGCAGAATACGACTGAGCAGCAGCAATAGAGTGGAGTGGAAGATGGTGTTGCGGAGGCAGAACATGCCATGTCGTCCCAGCTGCCGGGTTGAATTCCGCTTTCGATGGTTGTGCTTCAGCGCCCTTGGCCTCTCATTACTCACCCTGGCTCGCACTTTTGCCTCACGAACCGCATGCCACAGCGAGGACGATCAGTTCTTTGTCTACAATGGCATCCGAACCACGGCCGAGCCTCGGCCAAACGCATATGTCCCCGACAGCTCCGGTGTTGGCGAGCTCCCGATTCCCAAGCCGTATGGCGCTCATGCGCCCTACAAGCCCTCCGAGTCCGGCGCTCAGATTCGGCACTTCAAGAAACCCACGATCAAGCCGGTGGAGGTGTAGCGGAGGGGGACGAGAGCGCAGGATCAAGACACTCATGTGCATGGCACGCATGGATATGTTGCACGCAGTCCACAGATTCTGATGGACGGATGCCCTTGTGCAAGCACATTTGTGGTCTTGAGACCGTCATCGCGATAGATAGAGACAGACAATATGAACGGAGGACTCGACTTATCGAATCGATGATGTTTACTGAAGAAAAAAGCGAACAGGTGGCAAGAATATGAACATCAGAGGCCATCGGAGCCTCAGAGGTGGATCGGGCGAACTGTCAGAGCGCATGTGCTGCATTCCACGGCATCGCTACGGGCCGGCGGTTGTGGCCCAGTGTTGCATGCGGTGTTCTCTTGTCCTGGCAATGGCGACGGATGCTTCTAACGGCGTCCAGGGGGAACGTACTTGCCGGGGGTGTTGGCGGGCTTGGGCGAGTCCGAGCTGCGGGCAGGGTCCCTAGCAGGGCCACGGGGACCATCGCGAGGACCATCGCGGGGGCCATCACGAGGACCATCGCGGGGGCCATCGCGGGGACCGTCTCGGAGGCTCGAGAACCGATCATCACCGCGAGGAAGGGGGTTGTTTCGACGGAGAGGCTGTGTAGAGCGACGCCAAGTGTCTGGCTCAGCAGGTGAGTCGGCCGCAGCGACAACAGGGCGACGGCCAGGGGCCGCAGGAGCGGCGGACCGTGCACCAAATCGGCTGCTGGGAGGCTCGGCGCCGCGAGAGGCCAGCTTCTCCTCCATGGCACGCTCGCGCTCCAATTGGCGCAGGCGCTGCTCCTCCAGTTTCCTATTGAGCAAGGCGGAACAGGATCCAAGGGTGAGTAAAGCGAGTCGAGCGGACCAGCATCATCCTTGCGGATATGGGATGGCTGGGGGCTGCTGGGACAAGCAATCAAAGTGCCACACATGCAGGAGAATCACCGATCGACCCACCTTTCGCGCTCGGCCTCCTCGGCAGCAGCAGCTTCCCGGAGAGCCTGCTCTTCCGCCTCTCGTTGGGCAAGCTCCTCGGCAGCACGACGCTCCTCTTCCTCGTGGATACGGCGCTCTTCTTCCTCGCGCTCGCGCTGCTGACGCTCAGCCTCGCGTTCAGCCAGAACCTGCTCTCGTCGGGCCTCCTTCTCGAGCGCGATCTTGGCATCGGCTTCGGCCTTGGCGGCAGAGTATTCCTTCTCGCGGACAGAGTCGATGCGTTGGCGGAAGACGTTGTAGTCGTCGAACATACGGAGCAAGCGGTCGCGCTTCTTGAGATCGGACTCGTGCTGGGATCGGGCAATGTCGAGCTGGGCCTTCGTCAGGGCATTGTGGATGGCGCGATCGGTCTTCTTCTGGTGCTCGTAGTCCTTTTCGAGCAGAGGGATCTCCTCCTTACGGAAGGCACGCTCGAGATGATCAAGATGCTTGAAGGTGGACTTGAGCTTGGTGTTGAGCTCCTTCTTCTCTTGCTCGAGCTTCTGGATCTGCAGGCGAAGCAGCTCCGAGGTGTCCATTTCGTCGACCTGCAGCGTGGTTGAGGATTAGGGAGGGAACGGTCGGCAAAAACCCATGCAAAATATATGCGGCCAAACCCATGATAACACGCAGCAAGAAGATATTAGGAGAACACTCACATCCTCGGTCTTGAGGCCCTTGGTCTCGCCAAGGATCTTCTTCTTGAGCTCGGCGTTGGCAGCATCCTCCATGGCCTTCTTGGTCTCGGCCAAGCGCTTCTCTTCGCGGATGCGGGCGTCCTCTTCCATCTTGATGCGGGCAATCTCCTGCTCCTTCTGGATGCGCTGCTGGCGCTCGAGCTGGAGCTGACGCTCGCGACGGGCAACGGCCTGCTCGCGCTTCTCCTTCTTCTTCTCGATGATAAGGCGGCGCTGGACAGTGAGGTTGTGCTCCTGCTCCATGCTCTGGAGGGCAGTGACGACGGCCTGCTGGCGCTCCTGCTTCAGGCCCTCCTGGCGCTCGGGATCGATGAGGGCGACCGAGGTCTGCAGACCCTGCGAGAGGCGAGTGAGCTGGTAGCGCATCTGCTCCGAGGGCAGGGACTGATTTGACGCAGTCGATTGGGGAGACAGGACAGATGAACGAGCGCGAGGGTATTAGCATCGTTTCGTCAGCTTCAAAGGATCGCGGAAGCCGTGCAGAGACAGCGAGACACGATGCAGATTGCAGATTGCAGATTGCCATTGAAGCCACAGAATGGAGGCATACCTGGAGGCGCGGACCGGCCGAAGCAGCACCCTTCTTGGAAGCAAACAGATCGGTTTCGAAGGTGAGCGTCTGGGTCTGATGGTTGAGACGGATCGAGAGCTCGCCGTTCTTGCAGCCGTTGACGATGAACTTTTCGATGGTGTGCGAGTCAAGGCTGTAAGGAGCGGGGAAGTCGACGAGCTTGACGAGCGACTTGATCTCCATGGTGGTGTAAACCTGCGAGAGCTGCTGCAGCAGGCGGGTGAGGATGACCTGGTGGAGGGGCTTGATGTACTTGGTCAGCTCCTCGTTCTTGGCCAGGAAGGCCATGATCGGCTGGATCTTCTTGCAGATCGACAGAGGGTGGAACTGGACCTCGAGGATGTTGTGGAGCTCGCGGAGCTCGGGGCGGACTCGAGAGAGCACGTTCTTGCCGAGCTGGGTTGGCGGACGTTGGTGCGGTGAGGCAAAGTGAAGGGCCGGTGTCAGACAAAGGCGGGAGATGGGTCAGGAACAAACCAAGTGCTGCGTGGCAGGGAGGGAGAGGCGCTCTTACCGCTTCCTTCAGCAGGCTCTCTCGGCTGGGGGCACGGGTGACGCGGAGCAGGTTGGTCAGACGCTGGGCCTTGGACTTGTTCTCGTCATCGGCTCCGCCAAGAGGGTGTGCGGTGGAGATGATGGGGACAGCCAGGGCAGAGAGCAGCACAAGGGAGGCCATGCGGGTGTGCTCCTCCTCGGGCAGGTTCTTGTTCTGGCGGACGACAGAATAGTACTTGTTCCAGGCAGCAGCGTGGAACAAAAAGTTCTCGCCAACGACAAAGATGCGAGCAAGCTTCTCGTAAAAGTTGGCCATCATGAAGGTCTTGGGGGGCTTGGTGGACATGGCGAGGAGGTTGTGGATGTCCTCGACAGACCGGAAGGCCTCTTGCCAGAGCTCCAGGTCGGCGGCGGCGTTGAGCTGGACGAAGCGGGTGTCGAGGTGGCGCTGGAGGGTGTCGGGGTCGTTCAGGTTGATGGAGTGGCTCTGGTGAGCATACTTGGCGGCGGTAGCCAGGTGCTGGCGCAGCAGCTCGCACAGACGGCGGAACTCGGTCTTGCGAGAATACTTGAGACAGAACTCGAAGGCCTGGTTGGAGACGAACTGGTAGAGGACTTCCAGGCGCGGGTTGTTGCGCAGAATGTCAAGGGCAGTGCGGTAGCCTTCCCAGAGGAACTTGAGCCAAGGAGTGACGACCTCGCGATCAGTGCGATCCTTGTTGTCCTCGCCACTGACGGTGCTGAGGATGATGGACTCGGGGGTCTCGGTGGCCTCGAGGTCATCGATGGCGCCCAGGGCGATCTTGTCGGCCTGTTTCTGGGCCTCGGTGACCTTCTCCTCGGACAGAGCAATGAACTTTTTGATGACCGTCTGTAGAAGAAGAGACGGCGTGATGGTCGAGAGTCAGGAGTTGAGGCCAAAACACAGCCTCCAGTCGCGATCAAGCACCCCGGGATGCATGCTGCCGGAATAAAGTAATAGGACATGTCTCCAAAGCAGCCGCTGGATGAAGCGAGCTGTTCCGCTCGCCCAAAGGACAGCCGAAAAGCGAGATCAAAAGACATGCCATATCGGCGGCCGGATCGGTGGCGGACTCACATCGATGGTGGTGACGGTGTTGTTCTGCGAGATGTTCTTGTACTGGTGCAAACACTCTCGGGCGACCTTGCCCTTGCGCAGGAGCACACAGAGATCGACAAACTTGAGCATGATGGGCTCAAGCAGGCTCAAGGCAGTGTTTCGGGCACGCTTGGACATGATGAACTCGTGGAGAAGCTGGAGGGCAGCGGCATTCTGGCCAACAGCGACCAGCTCTGAGGCATTGCGGTGCAAAGGGGGACAAGGGGAACCGATAATCAGCCAACAGAACAAGCGAGGGCGGAGACAGCGAGTCCGGCGGCAATGAACCGGCGAGGTACATCACATATCCCACAGGCCCAGATGACACTGAACAAGTCGATCAGCAGTCCGCGCTCGCTGCGGGTCCAAGATCGGGCGAGTTGCGTATCCCATCGAGTAGGAAAAGCATGGTGCCTGTGCAGCAGAGGCACGATCGGGAATCATGTACCTTCGGCTCTCTTGAGAGCATTTTCGGGGCGGTAGTAGGACTGAACCATGTTGATGAACGAGCCTTTGCTGGACGATCAAAGGACAGGCGATCTGGACGAGTTGAGAGCGAGGCGGCATCGCGGCTGTCAGAATGACAAACTCAAATGTCTCCAGAATGCCGCTGGGGGAAGATACGGAGGCGAGGAGCTGCATCCCAAAAGAAAGACGTGGAAATTCGAGCCAGACGCAGCAGGATATAGAGGCGATGCGCTGGAGATCGTTCTATAGGCCTATCGGTGCTGCCTGGGCAGAGCGACGGCATGCGGACACTCACAAGACCTCGACGGTCGTTCCAGACGCAGTGTAGGGCGGGAGGGCAGGCCGCGAGGCGGTTCGGAGCACTTGCTTTCCTGACGGAGACCCGGCCGAGGATGTGGACAGAGGGAGAAGCAGCTGGACGGCCGCGGCACAATCGCAATGACCAAAGGAGCGAGACGCAGAAAAAAAGATTCGACGCGTCACGTGCAGGCGTGGCTTGTGGGGGAAAGGCGCAAGGGCAAGAGGAAAGGAAAAGGGGGAAGACGGCGAGGCGCAAGGGAAAAGGGCTGAGGCATGGCTTGGTTGTGTCGCAGGGGCACCACACAGCCCCTGAAAGATCCAGGACGGAGGGATGAGAGGGGGAGGGGGAGGGGGAGGAGGAGAGGAGAGGAGAGGAGAGGAGAGGAGAGGGCCTGCGCCTGCACTGGCTGCGGACATCGGCATGCACTGACCGGGTCTGTCTGTATTGACAGTCGAGTGTCTGCCGTTGCAGACGCACGAGTCTCGATCTCGACGCCGAGTTCAGCAAACGCAACTCGATGCAGATGGAGGCGGAATCGCAAATGCAGATGCGGGTGGATTCGTACATACGCCAGTAAATGCAAGTATCCTTTGGTACTCAGTTGCAAGCACCAATATGCACCGACAAATATGCATCCGGCTGTGCTGCATCTTCGCCTGAGGGTGTCTGAACTACGACACCCGCCGAGGTGATGGCACCCAGCCTCCCCAGGCTATCTCTCGCTCGACTTTGTGCCGTTGTTCGGCTGTCTGTGTGCGACCCTTCCAAGGTTAGCCAAGACACCCAGATATCATTGAGGAGCTGTGCCAAGAGAGCGGCGTTCGTCCATCGGTGTTGTTCGGATGCGGTGCCGTTGGGCCGTGACGCCGTCGCAGCTGCCTCCAGTCGTCATTGTCAAACTTCGTCTTGACTGGAACATCCTTGGTTCCCACTGGCCGAACTACTCAAAGTGCTGGGTCCCCGGGTGGTGGCTGGATGTGTATCCCTTGCCCCACCTCCGCGGTGTGGATAGTCGCTGTGGATGACATGATGTGTGTCTTGCCGTCCAGAAACAAAGCGGCAAATGCAGGAGGGGGGGCACTTGCGTTTCGTCGGCTTTGAAATGGCACTGCGTTTGCGTTTTTCGGCACCCCCGACATCTTCGTCTCCATCACAGCCCCGTCTCCGTTCAGTTCCGGGACGTGCTTCTGATCCAACTCCAATCGCCGGATCTTGCTCTGGCCGCCGTCCCTCCTCTGCACTCATCCGGCGTATCGGCCGTTGTCAAAACCCACCCGCCTCCGTTCCTTTGCTCAGCGACGCTGCTCACCTCGCAGTCGCTAACTTCGGACGGCCTCCCGACTCTGTCGTTTCTATGCACTTCGCTCCATCTGCTCCCAAATACTCCACGGCACTCTCTCGGCTGCCTCTTTAACTGCGATCTCCCCTGACAGCTGCAGTCGCTGACGCTCAAGTCTGTCCTTCTGCATCGACAAGAACGATAACAACAACAACAGCGGTGTTCATACGGCTGCGAACATCCTTACCTTCCTTTCGCCCACTTCGCTTCTCTTGTCGCCCACTCGGATCTCCGTCTCTATCGCTCCTGACGCCATCCCCCACCTCAGCTTTTCCTCCTCTGGCCTCCTCTCCGACTCGACCAGTTCTACACTTTCCAGACGCCCTGACCACCTGTTTGCACATCCCCAGCCCCCCCCCTTGCATTATCGGTATTCTCATCGACCTCGCCCTCCCTCCGTCCTGACCCTTGTGCAAACTTTGCCTCCTTCCGCTGCACCGGCGGCCCATTCCTGCCCACTCCTGCCCTCTGTACGCCCGTTTGCTTCGACTGGAGCTCTAGAACACCATGTTCCCTTCCTCGGGTCCATCTGCATCCTCGATCACCCCGCCGTCCTCGAGCTCGCTGCAAGTAACTCCCCACCCCAATCTTATACCCGATGAAGGCTATGCCAGCGTCATCGCCGAGCTCACTCGGGATATCACGAGTCTGCGGCAGGCCAGTGATGTGCTTCTCGAGGAAATCAAAAAGAAGGAGATTCTTCTCGATTTCTACATCCAAAAGGAGGATCTGACCCAGCAGCGCAAGCTCCACATCGACAATGGCGTCTCCATACTCGGCTCCAAGATTCACCCCTGGGGCAGCTCGGCCACTGGCCCTCCCCCTTCCAACCTGATCGACCCAACCCAGCGCACCTTCCATAACCCCATGATCCCGGGCTCTCATCTCGGCTCACCGTTCGTAGATGCTGTATCGGTGCCGAAGCCGCCGCCGACACAGGATCTTGGCAGGACCGCAGGATACAGCAGCGACGGTCCGCTGGCGTCGATGCAGCACACCCATACGCAACACTCGCACACGCACAACCACCACCCGCACAGCCAGCACGGATCGAGTTCGCTGGCACGCACTCCATCTTCGTTGCTCTCCCAGCAGCACCAGATCAAGCCCCTGATTTTCCACCAATTCCAGCCATCGGGTCAAGCGAATCCGCCCCTTGGGTCGCACATCGAACTGGATGCCCCAGAGATGCTGTACCAGAGTCTCGACGAGACGCTGCGCTCGGGTCCGCTGTCCATCTTTTCGGTTTCAAACCTGATTCCGACACAGTTGCCGATATCGGCAGACGACCATTCGTACTTGGACCTTTCTCGCGTCGGCCACTTTGGGTCGTCCCTGCCGTCGCCATCAGATCCAAGCTCTCCCCATCCCCCAGGACCCGGCTACGATGGGTATGTTCCTTCTCCGCGTAAGCCAGATGCCGCTGTTTGGGTAGCGGCTTCGGTGCTCTCAGCCCAGCAGCCGACGAGCCAGGGCTCCTCCAGCCACTCGGAATCACCCCAGCAAACCGAACCCGAGCCCGCTCTGATCGAGTCGTCCGACGTGCTCGAGTCCCGGAAGCGCAAGAACGGCGTGGAGATTGTTGGCAGGTGCAAGAAATGCGACCGCCCGCTTGCCCACCTGCATCTGCATGGATACAATGACCCCAACAATCTGTGCAGCATCGAAATTGTCTGCCCCACCTGCGATGCTGCCTCTGCGGGCCCCGACGGCCCCGACGCCCCAGATTTGTCAAATGCCTCGCAGGACTCGAAGCGCCTCAAGAAGCGGCCCAAGCGCCGCGGCTCTACCGACAGCTCTGTCCTCGACTGCTATGTGTGCAAGCGGCATATTGCCTACGGTACCATCCATGCCATCAGCCTCGACACTCCGTCGACCAAAAAGTTTGCCAAGCTCGGCAACATCAACAGCGATCCAAGCGCGAGCTCGGACGACCCCGACGGCGCAATCTTCGAGCAGCCGACAAAGACCGTGGTTCCGCCCGTCGGCGCCTTCATCACCGACGTTCTCAGCAAGACCGAGATCATATGCATCTCATGCAACAAAAAGTACCGGCTCTGCACCGACTGCGGCGGAGGCGGCAAGTGGCGCACGGGCAAGTGGCGGCCGGTCGAGATGTTCATGAAGGGCCGCAAGACCTGCAGCCTGCAGCACGGGCGTGTCGGCAACATCCCGGCCGACAGCAACCTGTGCATCCTGCCGGCGCAGAGCTCGCCCGACTCGCCTTTTGTCACCCGGGACATTATCGAAATGTACGAAAACACCATCCTCAACACCCTCGGCACTCCTGCGATCCTGGAGAACTGCGTGCACTTTCCGACGTACGCCTCGATCCAAAACCGCATCAAGGAGCTCATCTCCGAGATCAGGCAGCAGCTCGATGACCCAGTCTCGCACGATAAGATCCGCTATCTCATCACCTGGACTGGCCATATGAACAAGGCCCGCAAGCTCAAGCGAGGCTCCAGCTCAGCCCTCTTGAACAGTGCCGACGCCGGTAGCGGCGGGGACGGTGGGCGTTCCTCGGGCTCGCCGCAAACAGCGGCCTCTGTGGCTGTTGGTGCTGTGACAGAGCGACGTATCCTCTGTTTCCAGATCCTGACGGTTTGTCTCAAGAACCAATGCGCCGAGGTCTCGCTCGGCGAAGATCTCCGGAGCGACCCCACCTATTCCAACTTCCATCGAGTGACCATGTACCAGCTACTGCAATATGCGCTCAGGGATCTTGCCAGCCGCAACCTACCGCCCATCAAATATGTGTGGCTGCCGACTCGCAGCAGCGCCACCTACTACGGGCCCTGGCTCAATGCGCTGCTCAAGGTCGGGTTCATCCCATGCGAGGAGTTCATCGAGGCGCGCCGGGCAGAGGGCATCCATCTAGAGCCCGAGTGGTTTGTGGATGCGAGCCTGCCGCCGTCGATTGCACCGCAGTTCAGGAGCTATGTCATCAAAATAGAAGACTATCTGGTGCCCAGCGATAAGGATCCCAAGTAGCTGCGACCGAAACGTCTGCCGTTCACATGCGGCCTGGCTGATGAATCTGCTTCGACCCACCCTCTCCTCAACGACACTTTGCGACCTCGCTCTTCCCTCCCTCCTCCTGTCTTTTCTCTATCGCTATTCCTTGTATAAATACAATCTGAGTGATTTCCGTGTGCTTGAATGCGAGACGGACACTGATGGCCCGATGGTCATGGGTAAGTTGAGCTTTGTACACAGACTTTATTGCCTCGTGCAACTTGATCGGCAGCGCGCTCGGCCACGGAGACGCTCAGTCCCTCCCTCATGCAGTGCGCGGGGAGGGGGAGCACAAACAGCCCGTCCATTGACAATGCAGCAGGGTTGCCGCCTCGGTCCTGGAACGTCCAGCAATCGCCACGCCCGTCCGGAAGCAGCTTCTGAGTCATCGCGCATGTGTGTCCCCAGGGAGGGTCGGTGGGGAAGCGAGATTTACTTTCTCTTTTCCATGTTGCCGACAATGTCTGAATCATGGATGGTGGGTGATGGGTGATGGGTGATGGGTGATGGGTGATGGGTGATGGGTGATGGGTGATGGGTGATGGATGCAACAAGGTCAGTCGGTCAGCCGCCCGATAAAAGCTACCAAGGGGGGGGGGAGCAGGGCTATCGCATCGATCAAGAAATGCATGACTTGTCTACCATCGAAGGCATCACGAGACACTTGCAGTGTCTGCAACTGAATCCAAGAACAGCGATGGCGTCGGACTCACCCTCAAACTTGTTGATGTGGCGAACAAACCACTCGGCAACACGTCGGCCGACCTTGGTGTCAGCAATATGGACCATATCCTGGTTGACGTAAAAGTCCAGGTCGGAGGTGGTCACGAACTGGCCCTCGGCGAGACTACCGCTTTCCCATCGACGCTGGCGGGTCTGGTGCTTGTAGACCATCAGATGGGTGCTGTGGGAAGGAGCGCGGCGGTTACAACGTGAGCGATGGTGCCTGTGTAAATGAACTAGACCCGGTGCCGTCGCCGTCGAGCGACTGCCAATGGGAACACCTCATCTTGCCAAAGGACACAAGGAAAAATGGGCTGAAGCTTACCCAACTTGCTCAGCAGTGACGTCCTCCAGGAAGGTTGCCAGCTTCTCGGCGTCAATGGTGGTGTAGAGCTTCAGGTACGAGCGGATGGTGGGGGCCAAGAGCTGCTGGTTGACCTGGGCCAGGAAAATCTTGAGCTGGTGGCGAGTAGGCTCCTGGAAAGACAGACAAACAAACGATGGGCGTCACTATGAGCGAGTTGGATTGAGGACAGGCGCGAGGTGCATCCAACCACACGCACACATCCCGCACACATCGGTCATATAATCAGCAGCAGCAATCCTTACGTTCGAGATGTTGACGGCAACATCGTAGTTGGGAGCCACGGGCGAGATGAACTTGGGGCAGGCAAAGTTGAAGAGCTCATCAAAGACGGACAGAGCGTCATCGCTATGAAAGTAGTGTCACGAGGGGGAGCAGATGGTTAGTACTGACCACCCCGAGCCACGAGAAGGCGTCGTCCAGTGAACACCCTAAACAGGACTATAATGCCCGCAGAATTGCGAGCGAAGGCTGGAGGCGCGTACCCTCGTTGCATCTTGAGCATGTGCTCGCCGTACTTCTCCCTCAGGGTGCTCTGGACCTGCAACCACGAGCCAAAGGGAAGTCGGAGTTAGTTGTGGTTGCTGGTTGTTGTTTGCTGGCTGTTGGTTGTTGTTTGCTGATGCAGTTGGTCTGTGACATGCACTCATCCGGCACCCAAAGGCAGTCAGCGACTCACGTTTTCATCCACTTTCTGGGGGCACAGGGCGAGGCACATGGCCAGCAGCGCGTACATCTGCTCACTCTTCTTGGCGATCTGAAGAAAACCGACGCAGATGATCATAATCAGAAGACGTTCTCAGATCTCGACATGCGCCACACAATGGCATTCGAGATCCCAACAAGCAACGGCGTTCGGTAGAGGGCCAGTACAACTGCTGCGCCAGTATACCCGCAACGCTAGTACATATGCAGTGCAAGTACATATGCGGCGCTAGTACATATGCGGCGCTAGAACATGCGGTACATCAAGGGACGGTTGTACTGACCACTTCGTACTGGTATGAGCGGGTGTGGTAGTGCTTCGTCCGCGAAACAAAGAGCAGGATGTGCGAGAACGACTTGATGGCATCGGCGTATCGCTTCATCATCATGTACGCAAAGCCAACATAGTAGTAGGTGGTGACGTGGCAGGCGGTAACGCGAGCGAACAGACCCTGTTGAAACGAAGCAGCAATCGGAACATTCGTCAGCGACAGCGCTGCCACCCGTCGAGGGAGTCGGACTCTGCAGTCTTGGTGCAGATGATTCCGCATGGATGATCGGCCGACAATCCACATCGAAAGAAACACCCCCCTAAACGCACCTTCTTGTTGGGCTCGACGTTTTCCATGGTCTTCAGGGCAAGGGTGTAGTCACCAAGGAGGCAGTGGACGCGAACCAGACCAACGATCGAAAAGTATCCAAGGGTGCGGTAGAGGGGACGGGAGCCGAACTCGCCAGCGGCCTCGCTATCAACACAGAGCAATTTAGCCTCGCAGCACCCGAAAGCACATCCTCACGAGCGCAACCACCGATCGACATGGCGACAAATCTACACTTGTGCCTCTGGCCGAGCCACCTCTGGCCCACAGACAGTGCCTGGCTAGCCGTGGCAAGTGCCGGCCCAGTTTGCATCGTTGACGCTACTCACAGCATGTCGCCACCGTGCTTGCTGACCCAGAGCTGCTCGTTGATGCGGGACTTTTGGACAAGCGAGTACAGCACGTTGAGGACGTTGTGGACATTCCAGACCTGTTTCCCGTATATCAGCGCGCGTTCAAAACCGGCAGCAACAATGGTCGCCGTGGTGGGATAGAGTCACAGTGGGCAATCAGCAAATTGCAGGGCATTGAGCAGAGGCCCGACACATCCCGATGCATCCCAAGGCATATTGTTGCGCCCACGACAGGGTTGTGTCTGCCTAAACCGCCAGCGGCAGGCGGCGACGATCCAAACAACGAACGACAGGCTGCAGATATCGTACATCAGGGCGCTCTTTCAGCAGAAGCAGCTCATGGTCGTTCTTGCTCTTGACTTTGCTGCGGTACTGGGCAAAGGACTGGAACTGATAGATAAACTCGTCGATGATGTCCCAGAGCCACTGGTTGGGCAGCTCCAGATCGATGGGCTCGGTCGATTGGTCTGTGAGAGGATCCGCATCACATCGCAACAGAGCAGCAGGAGTCAGAGAGATGAGCGAGATGAGCGAGATGAGAGATGCCGGCGACGCGCAAAACAGCTTGGTCTTGGATAAGCCCCCAGAGCCATTCGGACAGCAGCCATAGACGACAGCAAGACGGCGTACTGAGGATGTAGTTGAACAGATCGCAGTAGTTGGTGTACGACTCGAAGCGGTCATCGATGCTGGGCTGGAGCTTGGCATAGATGTGGCGATAGTACAGCTCCTTGTACAGGATCAGGAAGACGGGATCTGCGAGAGCAAACGCGGCGAGGCCTTAGTGCTGTGGCCGACCGGACAGGGAAGAACACATCCCTCTACGCCAAGTTGCTGAACCAAACAGTCATGCGAGGACGGCGCACCATCGTTGACGATCGGGGCGATCGAAGACGCATCGGGCCACGACGCCTTGCTGTAGAACTTCTCGGTGAGCTTGTTGAACGAGTTCTCGTAGATCGAATGCAGGTCGTAGACGGAGCGCTCGTTCAAGTTTCGGTGAAAGTAGAGAATGAAGTTGCGGATGGTGTCGGGGATATCGGCAACAGGGGCGACCTCGGCTTTGAACCAGAGCCCAAGTGAAGACCGCGATCAGAGACAGAATTATCATCAGAATCAGCCGGGGGGGGGGCATCCGCCAGATCAAAGCCCGAGGGTGATCGAGATGATGCATGCGCCAATTCGACCAGATCCAAGGGGCGAGAGATCCCATCGCAGGACCACGATCTACATGGCCGTCTGACATGCTGCTCCATAGACAGTGCGTTCATCCGCGGCATTCGGCATACCGTTCTCGACAAGAGGCACAAAGTCGTCATTGTAGACGGTGGGGAGCTCCACCTCGTCATGAACTTCGTCCTGCAGATGAGGGGACGGAAGTGAGTCGGTGCGTCGTCCGGATCGGCATCCACGAAGATCGTGCGCCTGCCCCGCACACACACTGCGTCGGGCAGCCGCAGGGGGCAACGTACGTCGTCGTAGGGCTCGGCCATGGCTGCTGGTCTCGGTTCAGGCGGGCGTCTGCGGGATGCGGTCGAGTGTGGTCGAGTGTGGTCGAGTGCGGCCGGGCTGGATCGCTGTCGCTGTTCTCGCTGTCGCTGTCGCCGTGCGGTTTTGGGCGGTCGCGAAAAAAAAGTATCACGTGCGGGCGATCGATCCAGCGCGCGGCTCGATCCGGCGTGTCTCGGCTGCAGCCGGATCGAGTGTGCCGAGGCGCATTTGCCGGGACGGCTTGCCTGCCACACCAAAACCGCATTCATTCTGCTGTGCGCGACGCACTGCTTGACCACGCACCGAAACACCCCGGCGATAAGACATCTCGCCGAAAGCCGACCGCCCAGATGGAAGAGCCGCCGCAGCCTGCACCCAAGAAAGACTGGTCGCATCTCCCGACCGCCAGCTTCAACGTCGAGACAGGCACATGGTCCAAGCTCAGTAAGCGATGGCCCAAGCAACGAAACCTCGGGCCGATTCCGGCGAGCGAATGATTCTTGGGCATATGGCTTCACTGAACCGCTGGTTTTTCGCGCAGATGACGATGGCGTCCGCTACGAATGGGACGACGACAAGCAGGCCTGGTTCCCAATGGTCAGTGGTCAGCCACAAATCCACAGCGATCTCGCACGGCAATCGGGACGAATGATGGCCTGCTCTGGTGCCTCAATGTCTCTGGAGCATGGTGGGCCCGATCTTGTTCGCCGGCCTGCATGCTTAACCCTCTCATTTGCATCCAGTGGGACGAAACTCTGATCCAGTCACAGCAGTCGGCATACAAGATCGATGGCGTCGAGGAAGAGGTACGCCATGTCCGGGTCCAGAGCCAACCGTGAGCAATCGAGGTGGACGATCGACTCGGCTGACATTCCATGCTGCGATCTTGCAGGAACCTGCCGCCCGGCCCCGCGACAAGCGCAAAGTGGTGTATACCGGACTCGACCAAGGCGTATGTTGCCGCAGCCGCGAGTGCAGCATGTGCACACAGGCGGTCCGCTTGCTCGAGGATCCATGCCCGCAGTCCTCTCTGCGGATCCATTCTGCAGATGCCCAACGGTCATCGTCGGATGGTGATGTGTGATCGTCATGATTTTCGCCTTGTGACTCGGGCGCACTGGCCCGGCCGACCGAGCCGTCGATAACCCACTCTGATCCCCCCAACAGGACGACAGCCAACACCAGAAAAAGCCAAAGCCAGAGGCAAAGAAGCCACCAAACACATCCATCTACGTCACCGGGCTGCCTCCCGACACCACCGTCGACGAAATGAAGGACTCGTTTGGCAAATACGGCATCATCATGGAAGATCTGCTCACGGGCCAGCCGCGGATCAAGCTCTACAAGGACCAAAACGGCAACCTCAAGGGCGACGCCTTGGTCACATATTTCAAGGAGGAGAGTGTCGCCCTGGCCTGCAATCTGATGGATGAGGCCGAGTTTCGGTTTGGGGAGGCGTCCAAGATTCGGGTCCAGCCGGTGAGTTCTCACGGAGCAGCTAGGCGGGCACCTTGCTGCTCAAATTCAGATCGCCTGGTCCTTACTCACCGGGAATAAGGGCTGCATTCTCGTCAAGCGAGTGCCTACACTGCATTCGTTGCTGCTGACATGTGATGCTTCCGACCTCGCATGATCCAGGCTGTGTTTGAGGCGAAAGAAAAGCAGCCGCTGACAGAGGAGCAGAAGGCTGCAGCCGAGAAGAAACGACTTGATAAGCAGCGGGCCAAGAAGCAAATGCAAAAGCTCGAAAAGTACACCCTCGATGCATTCACTCATGAGGACCCTGCCAGAGTGCCCATGGGTGCCACGACGACTTCCATACCCCACGCTAACATGGCTGATTGTGTGCACAGGCGCCTGGATTGGTTCGACGACGAGGTCGGCAAGAAAACAGAAAAGCTTGCCAAGACCATCATTCTGAAGCACATGTTTACCCCGAAGGAGATTGAGGTATTTTCATTGCAGACTCCAGCGCCGCACAGCCGCCACGCCGGGCCAGGCAGCTCGCAGAAGTGCCGGAACGAGCGACTCGCTGTGTAAATCGCTGTTCTGGGTGGGATTCTCGGTGGAGCCACTCACGCCAAAACTTCACCCATTTCCAGGACGACCCGACCCTCCTGCTTGATCTGAAGGACGATGTCCGCGACGAGTGCACGCTGCTGGGCGAAGTTACCAATGTGGTCCTCTACGATGTGAGTGGCCATTCTGCAAGAGACAGCCCGGCCTGGCTTGTGCTTTGACGAGGCTGTCGAGACCACCCGACAGGCGCTTGCTCCCCATGTAAGAGCAAGGGCAATCGACTGGCACTGCCTGTATGCTGATCTACTTCGTGTTGCTCGCCTCCTCCCGGACAGAAAAGCGAGGATGGCGCCATGAGCGTCCGTTTCAAGGATGCAGAAAGCGCCGAGCTGTGCGTTGCAGTAAGTATCGGACAAGCCTGCCTGTATGATCGTGCCGCATGCAGAATCATGGCCATCGGGCTGGGGCTACGGCGCCCTGCGGTGAAGTGCCTCGATGGATCAGACCGATGCCCTCGCAGCAAGCACATTCTGTGCACGGCTAACAGCAGCTTCGCCCCCGACAGCGTATGAATGGCCGGTTCTTTGCCGGGCGCCGCATCGAAGCCTACCACTTTGACGGCAAGGAAAAGTTTGAAAAGTCCAAAACCAAGGGCGAGAGTGAGGAGGAAGAGAAGCAGCGAATCGAGGCATACGAGAAGTGGCTTGAGGACCAGCACTGAGCAGCGCCGAGCAGCGCCGAGCAGCGCCGAGCACTGCAGGACATGTCCGCGGGCCCAGCATCGTGGTCCCGCCCTGCCCATGTGCAAGAACACGCTCCGACCGCCGGCCCGCTCCGTCTGCTGGTCTTTCGTCTTGCGCCCCTCATCGTGCCCTTCTCCCATCGAGTCCGCCGTCGTCCACCATGCGTCTTTTGCATCTCTCGCATCTGCGTGCCGGTGCGATTCGCCTGGCCCAGCGACACCAGCAGAGATGTCTGGCCGTAAGCACCCAGCACACCCAGCCGATCCCATTGCCGTGACGACAGCCGCTCGGCTCTGCCATCCATCCCATTCCCGCGATGCACACATCCTCCGGCACGGCCGGCACCATCGACAGACCTCACAGCAAGCCAGCTGGCTCGGAATAGACTCTCCGGATATGCCCTGCCCTTGCTCACTCTCCCGCCCTCGTTGATCGCAGACCCTCGGTCCGCAAATCGTTGCTGCCAAGAAGGCCATCCTCTTTCCCGGACAGGGCTCGCAGGTGGGTGAAGAGAGAGGCATACAGCCCGCAAGGGTGCGAGGCGCTGGCTTCTGCAGCCCTTGCATCCAGGCATGAATGTGTGCGCTATGCTCTCTCTTGCTGCGCTCGGCGTCAGTGGAGACCGGCAATGCTGCCCAGCATACTGACCCTGGACAACCCACACCCGCCAGTTTGTCGGTAGGTCTTGTCCTTGAGGGCCAGTGCTTGTCCCCCAAATGTATCTCGCGTTGAAGCACCGCCCGCAACAACTAGCTGACGCCGAGGTGATTCCAAGGCATGGGCAAGGATATCTATGACGAGTTTGCCGTCGCAAGGGAGGTCATCGACGAGGCCGATAGCGTCGTCGGAGGCGGCCTCAAGACTCTGATGTTCGAGGGACCACAGGTATACTGTCGCTGCTCTTTCATCCACACACCCGGCGCTACGGCTTGGCCTGCTCCCTCGAGCATGAGGGGCTCATGCCCCGCCCAGATCTGATGCGAATTCTCGTCTGGTCTGCAGCCCCAGCTCACTCTGACGAGCAACGCGCAGCCAGGTAAGGCTTGTTGGGGGCGACATCCCTCGGGTCGCTTGCAAGACGCCATCAATCCACAGATCGCTGCGACTTTCGGGTCGGCGGTTCGGAAGGGAGCAAAGTGTCCGAGGCACTGTGACCGATAGCAGTGTCCGGACTGACTGCTGCATCGCTCGGCGGAACACAACGCTTCGCTCTCTCGCTGTCCGATTTTTGAATCCAGCCATCCTTGCCCACTCAATCGCCCTCTTCCGGGTCTTGGAGGTGAGCGATCCTCACGTCAGTCCGCCACAGCCGAGCCAAGTGATAGAGATACGAGAGCACCGTATCGCACATAGCCTCGACTCGGTCTCAACGCTGCACAGGGACACATGCTGACATATGCTGTTCTGTCTGCTGTAGAAGGAATACGGATCGCCGCTCAAGAACTGCGAATATGTCATGGGCCACAGTCTTGGAGAATAGTGCGTTTTATAGTCGCCATCGTACAAGCAGTGAGAGGAGGGATCTCGGCGCATGCACTCAGCCGCTAAAACCCCCCCGATTGCCCCTGCAGCACGGCTCTGGTCGCGACGTCGTCTCTGAAGTAAGAGGACTGCAAATACTTGGTGTGAATATTGGGTCCCTGGCGGTGATCCCGACAGCGACTGTACAATCACAGACTCACGTCCGACTGTTTTTTCATGCTGCTCTAGACTCGAAGATGCCGTTCGATTGGTGGTACGCATGGCAATACTGACAGATGCAGAGGAGCATGAAGTCATTGATTCGCTGGTAATCGAGCGGCAGACTGAGCGGCATTGTGTGGCTGTGACAGAAACTGAGAGGAGAGACCATGCAACAAACGACGAAGGATGTGAAGACGATCATGCAAGCCCTGGTCATCAAAGGCAACCACCTCCATGAGATCGAGGCCTTGATGGCGAAAATCCAAATCAATCTGCCTGCAGGGGAAGTGGCCGAGATCGCCAATATCAACAGGTATTGTGCTGAGAGCCTCTGCTGTCTCGAGCCGCAGCAACTGCCTTGGCGTGTGAAAAGGATGCTTTCGATTCGATCGCCACCATCATGCTCGCAGCGACAGACATGCATGGGTTTTCCACTTGTCCATGTCAACGTCCACGTTCCCATGGAATAGGAAGCTCTTCGTTCTCTGGGCACCGGAGCACATTCTAACATCTTGCCCACCACCGCTTCAGTCGCAAACAGGTTCGCTGCGTTCTGTTAACGACCTCAAACGCACCAACAGGGACATGCACTGCCATGAACTGACTCGTGGCGTCCACTTTGCATCCCCAGATCGTGCTCAGCGGCACTGTTGATGGGATAGAAAACGCAACCTCTCTCATTCAGAGCAAGGGGTACTCTGGCCGCGCCGTGACGTTGCCCGTGTCGGCTCCGTTCCACTGCCGCTTGATGGCTCCTGCGGCCGAGTTGATGAAAAACGCGCTGATGGCCACCAACTTCAAGCTCCCCCAAGTCGAAGTCATCTCCAACGTAACAGCGCGTCCTGTGAGTATCTCGGGGAAAGCCACCGCCGAGCTTGAGTTCGCGGTCGAGATTGCAATTCTTGGTGATTGATCGTTGGACGTAACCCTCGACTCTGAGCATCACCGACTCCCCCCTGCTAACGTCCGCCGATATTGGCAGTTTGATAATGCCGGCGAAATAGGATACCTGCTCTACCGCCAGATTGCCGAGACCGTGCAGTGGTACCGCTCCCTCCAGTATGCCTTCCACGACGAAGTGCACGAGTTTGTGTGCATCGGGCCCTCCAAAGCTCTCTCGAATCTGCTCAAGAAGGACCACCCTGAGCTGACGTCGAGGTAGGGGGCAGGAGGAGATGGCCGCCTGATGCGGCTTTCTGGCATCGGCGGTGTTCTCACACCCAGGCCACTACAGCCCAGTTGCATGTCGTTTTCTCACAGGCATATCCACAATGCTCCCTCCAGATCCATCTGCGACATAGATGATATCCGGGCCTTTGGCAAGTTGTTGGCCGAGAGGCCTTGATCAATAAACAGCACTGCGGGGGTTCACAGAGCCGCAGCGTTTCCCTGCTGCACAAACGCAGGGCTTTCGCTGAGGACGATTGCAGGCGCTGTTTGGTCGTGGCTACGGGCTGCAGCCATAGCCATGAAGGTGGCTGATCGTTCGGGTCATGATGCCCCTCGTGGATGAGCTCGTCAATATTACGGCCTATGAACTCCAGAGTGGATCGCCCAGATTGATTTGGTCAACGATCAAATGGTCTATTGAACGCAGGCCTCCACAGGCTACATATTCGATTGCAACGAGGCAGTACCCCGTCTGTTCCCGCACCGCTCGTGGGTCTGGAGTGATCCGCTCGGAGGCAGGATCCGGGCTGGCGGGGTGAGGCGCCAGAAGCTCTCCAGAGCCATCCATTCGCAGGCCGAGTATCGAGGAGAGCGACTGGCCGATCAGAGGGGCAACCCGGGAAAGGAGGCTGTCTCTGCCGAGCCCGCTGATGCACGGGCCCGCTCTCTCTCCCTCTCTTTACCTGCTCTCCTGGGTCCGCGCCGCCATCTGCCGGAGTCTGCTCGGCAAAAATGGAGAATAAAAGCAAGGGCAAGGTAAATGGTAGCTTGCAGGACGCCTGGTCGCCCACGTCTGCGACCGGCCGAATAGCCGGCCATCCCATGGATCGTGTGCCTGCCCTCCCGCGGATACTGCAGATGCTCGGTGCTTGGTAACGAGGAGCACCAGAATAGTCGCTGTGCTGCAGCGAGCCATCAGGGTGCAATGTGTTCTCGCGTGCAGCAGACAGTTGCGCTTGATGTCGTCATCTCAAGTGCTGCAGCTAGTCGACACGCTCGCTAACGTTCGCTAATATCCGTGGGCATTCGCTGATGCCTCCGACACGTCCAGAATGAGCCGGTGAAAGTGTCCAATACCTACTTCGATGAGTTGCTGGAGCTGAGCGATGGCGAAAACGAAGGTGGAAGCCGAGGATCGCCACCGTCAGGTATTTGCTGCTGTTCTTGCACGAAGCCCGCTCCAGGGCAAGTCGAGTTCAAGATCCACGAATCTTCATGAACATTTTGCATTCAAGGAGGGCCTATCGCGACACCTGCCATCGTCGCCATCGCCATCGCCATCGCCGCGCTGACAGGTCGACTTTTGCATCAGAGGAGAAATCAAGAGGGGACAGTCCTCCGTCTGCGACCATGTCGGATTCCGAAGAAGAATATGACCACGACGACGACGACGAGCTCTACATCAGCGACGACAACATCATGGTGAGACTCGAGCGCGGCATCGCACCGGCTTGATATCGCGACAGACAGCCCAATGGGTTGTCGCCTCTGGGTCTCGATGGGCTGCTCAAGTCAGCGCACCGCATCCGTACTCATAAAGGCTCATTCACGCCAGAGCACCGGAATGGCATCCAAGTCGAGGAAAGATGGGATGGAAATGGGCAAGTACTCTTCCCGAGCCGACGGAAAGCCTCAGGATCTTGTCGCGAAAGAGAACAAACCCAAAGCTGGAGGGGGTCGTGATCCTGGCAAGAAGAGGCACAAACCAAAGGAGCACGGTGATCCGGAAGGAAAACCCAAAGGCCCTCATGGGAGGAAGCAAGAGCACGACGACGACGAGGATGAGGACGAAGACGACGATGACGATGAAGACGGCGACGAGGAAGACAACGAAGATAACGACGACAGCGAGAACGACGATCACGATGATGAGCGCGACGATGACGACGACGATCTTGTTGAAGGCTCCGCACAGAACAAAGACAAGAAGTAAGCCGAGGCTGGTACTTGCCTCTTGATGCTGAGCGTTGTGTTGAGTGTTGTGTGTTAAGTGTTGAGTGTTGTGTGTTGAGTGTTGAGTGTTGAGTGTTGAATGTTGTGTGTTGAGTGTTGAGTGCTGGGAAGTGAGCAGATATACCGACTGACAGCCCCTTCCTCACAACTCCTTCCTGACGGCTTACTCGATGCCGAAATTGCTGCATTCCCTTCGAACTGGGCGTGGAGTAGCTCTGGGATGTATGCCTCATCGGCATTCAAGGATCTGGCCGTCGGAGACGACATCAAGGAGCTGTTCCAGTACATCTCGCGGTACAAGCCGCAAGATATGGACGTTGACACACTGCTCAAGCCATTCATCCCGGACTACATCCCGTCGATCGGGGACATTGACGCCTTCATCAAGGTGTGTCTGGAGACCGAGTGCTGCACCGGGGGGACTGGACTGGATCGGCAGCAATCGCGGTTTGGTAACGCATGACGATATTCAGATCCCGCGGCCAGATCACAAGCCCGAAGCGCTGGGGTTGATGCTCCTGGATGAGCCCAACGGGAGGCAATCCGATCCCACAGGTCCGTGCATATCCGACGAGCCGAGCAGTCCAGCATGCAGCCTCATTGTCAAGAGAGTGCCGCCCGCCCTGCCGCCAGAGCACACAGCAGTCACGGAGTATTGGGGGCTGGGGGTCGAGGCGAGACATGACCATGACCGTCTCGCACTGACACTTGCCTTCTGAACAGTGCTGGACCTCACTCTGAGGGCCGTGACCAAATCCAGCGCACCCATCCCTCAGATCGTCCGGTCGATTGATGCAGAGACGCTGCGCACAAAGCCCAAGCGCATCGACGCCTGGATCGAGAGCGTCAAGGAGCTGCATGCCGCAAAGCCGCCTCTGTCTGTGGCGTATTCGAAGCGGATGCCGGACATTGAGGACCTGATGCAAGTTTGGCCTCCCGAGATCGAGGCAGCCGTCAGCGAGGTAGGCTTCTCGGCGGCACCGTTCATCCTGGCACAGCATCCTCTCGCATTGCGGTCATGCCTCGGTCGGCCCCCGGCAGGGCACTGCGTCTCGCTGATGGTACTCTCTCCCGCAGATCGTCTTGCCCAGCCCCGCCATCGACCTGGCGCTCCCCCTCTATGTGCAGCTCATCAACACAGTCTTGGATATCCCTGTCAGCACAGTCTCCTCCAAGCCTGGACCGCAGAGACCGTCGCAGCCGCCGCCGCAGAGCCACGCGATGCTGTCCGCCGGCGCTCAGACAATCGAGTCCCTGCATGTACTATTTACCCTGTACTCGGAGTTCAAGAACTCGCACCATTTCAAGGCGCTGCAGCGCATGTCAGGCGATTCTCAGATGGAGCTCGGGCTGGAGGGCGTGGCTCCGGCGGCCAAGTAGCTAGTAGCGCAATCGTGAGCGGGGCGGACGGCCCAATGCATTGCAAGTATGCTGATCGTGCACACCAACAAAGAGATTATGCCGAGTGTGCATTGAACCGCCAGTAGATGCGAAGCGCCGCTCAATCCATTGCCATCATAGCCAATACACACACACACCACTGAAAGTGATGGCGAGATCGGTCTGTGCTTGTAAGGAGATGGTGTATTGAGAATACCAGACGAGGATCGGCCAAAGACCAGCTCGTCGCGCGGATGACGAAAGACGTGCGATAGCCACAAGCAGGTCTACAATTCTTCATCGTCGTCGATGCCGACCCACATCAGAGTGGAGTCGTTGTCGATCATGACAAACATGTGCTCGTAGGCCGGCAGCCGTAGCGTTTCCCAGACTTGTTCCTCGCTGTATCCCTTGGCGATGGCGCGTTCCTTGATGGCTGTAAACCGAAGGCTTCGCTTCATCGATCCATCGGCATTCTTGGACATTTCTCTCAACAAGCCGAAGATAGCGGCCGTAGGCTCCATCGAGCGGCCACCGCCGTGACGCTGCTCCGTCAGCGAGGCTTTGGATACATCAATCAAGCGGAGGGCTTCATCCACATCGTCGATGGCGATCTCGTCCGACTGGCGGAGACGGGCCTGGACACAGCGCCAAATGCAGAGAAAGTATCAGCGGCGTGAGATAATGAAAGCTGGGGAGGTCGAGATAGCAGTGCAATCGTGGCATGTCTAAGCTTACCAGGGCGCTGGACAGTCGAATCACACTCAGGAGCGTTCTGGCGGTGGTATACTGCAGACCCGACATCTCCCTCATCTTGCTGCGCAGATGAGCATAGGCATTGACCATGTAGTCGCCGACATTACGAGGCACCTTGGGCGAGAAGGTCTTGGCTTTGGCAATGTAGTGTCTGCGCGGTCCGGGAGCAAGCTATGAGAAACGCGATGGACACGAAGAGCAAAGCGACACGGCAAAGCGAGCAGGGTGATTCCGTCCAGCGCACCTCATCATATCGATCGACAGGAGCTCGACCTGTCGGTCTCCCGTCGGATGGACGCTGTGCATATGGACATAGGCGACGTGCTGAGCGAGTCTGCGATGCAAACGGGTTGGAGCGAAAGACGGATGAGTCGACGAGCCCGGAGCGATGCCGACAGGACTCTGAGTGTACGGCATTGGCGCCCAAATGCAGCACAGCAGCATTCCAGTCCACAAAGTTGGTCATGGACAGCACCTCAAATCGCGATCCAGATCGGGCTTGTCCAGCATCAAGAACAGCAGGTCAAATCTGCTGAGGAGAGCGGGTGGCAAGTTGATGTTTTCGGTGGCGGACTTGTAGGGGTTGTATCGCCCGAACTGAGGGTTGGCGGCAGCTAGGATCGACGTGCGGGCGTTTAGAGTGGTTGTGATGCCCGCCTGCGAGAGTCAAGGGAGGGGCCGGTCAGTCAACGTATGTCGGAGCATTACAAGTGGGAGCGGCACAAAGACATGCAGGCCGCGACAAATGCCAAGCCAAGCTTCAATCTGGTGAGCCCCATGGGCACCACGAGACAGGAGAAGAGCAATCGGCGTCCCGTATGTGGATTTCCTGACTGTCGGCCTTGGTACTGCTGCAGTCCTCGGCAACGAATGACCAGGTCAAGTGGGACACTTGCCTTGCTGATGCTGATGGTTTGCTGTTCCATGACTTCATGGATGGCCGTGCGATCGTTCTCATCCATCTTGTCGAACTCATCGATACAGGCAATGCCGTTGTCGGCCAGGACCAGGGCGCCGCCTTCGAGGATCATCTCGTCTGTAACAGGGTCGCGGATGACACTGGCGGTCAGACCAACACCGGAGCTGCCTCTGCCCGTGGTGTAGACGCCGCGGGGCGAGATCTTGCTGATGTACTTGAGCAGCTGCGACTTGGCAACACCGGGGTCACCCATCATGCAAACGTTGATGTCGCCGCGGATCTTCATGCCGTCGCCCGTCTCCTTTTGCGCGCCGCCGATGAGGAGCAGCAGAAGCGCCTTCTTGACGTTCTCTTCGCCATAGATCTCAGGAGCGATGCTGCTAGCCATACGCTCGTACAGGTTTGGCGACTGCTTGAGCTCCTCGATCTGCTCCTCGATGGCCTCGGTTGCAGTCATGTGCGTGTACTGTTTCTTAAGCTGGACGATGTGCTGGGCTTCCAGATAGGTCTCGGTGATGAGGCCCGCTTTCAGGGCCTTGAATCCGGTGTGCGGAATAGGCAGGAAGATGCCCGATATCAGGACTGCCTCTCCGGGATTCAGAGCGCGAGTCAGGTCCTCGTAGACGTGAACGGTCATGGAGCGAGGGATGTGGCCCATAGGAACTTGGTCGGGCTGGGCGAGGCGGCACAAACGACCACGGTGTCGTGTTAGAGAATCAGCCCATCCCCAGAGTCGCATATCAAACAGCGTCCAGGCGAAGACGGCACAGAACGCTAAGCGGCCTCGAGCAGCACCTTACCATCTCTTGGATCTTGACCTCCTGGAATTTGAGAAAGCGCGAGGCCCGGACCTGCAGATAGAGCTTTCCCTTGTATCCGTTCTTCTTGCACTCCTCCGAGCCGCACTCGGAGAGCATCTTGAATGTCCTCGAAGTCACCTATGCACCACACGACCAAGCCCGATGGTTAGTGATGCCAGCCAGGGGGGGGGCAACGAACACAAAACACGAGAGCGCACCAAGACCGAGTCTAATCGGCGTGCGAGACCAATACGCCGGGAGGAGATCACCGAGCGCAGCCCAACCCCGCAAATGCATAAACAGCACACACCACCATCACCCGCGCTCGTTAGGGAAGAAAGCGAGTCCCCAGATGCTCACCGGCTGGAAGTTCTCGGCGCCACAGCGATCGCAGGAATAGCAAAGAATCTGGGCTTGGGGCTTGACGTTGGTGACTCTGGTGACCATGCCCCGGACTGTGACGAGATGGCCGACGTGCTTGCCCTTGATCTCACGCACAGCCATAGCCTTGGTCTGGTCTCGGGGCTTGATGTACACGACGCTGGAGGCCGTCGGGACATTCCAGCAAGACAAGAACAGAACCGCGAGTGAATATCTTAACAACCGGCTGGTGAGCGCCAGGACACCGCTCCGAGTAGCAGTCGAGGGCTAGGCAAGGCGAGACTAAAAGCTCAAGGAGAACATACAATCGCCGCGACAGAATGGGCGGAAGACTGCCCTCGACTGGATTGCCGAGCTGGGCCAGGTGCTGTCTGCGTTGGTAGATCAGCACATCGACCGAGTGGGAGTCGATGCTCGGCTGCAGATGCCATGGGCAGGATCATATGCGTCAATATATGTCAATGCTGCATCGTCGCTCTGCCAGTCAAACAGAACCGGGTTTCCAGTCACATTGCCCACAGCCACACCGGATACAGGTGCTCGCTGGACAAAAGACAGTATCGGCTGCAGAGAGACGACACCTACCGGCTCGTTGTTCTCCGGCATGATGTTCTCGATCGCCCGCGTGAAGAGATCGGTGTAGCGGGCAGTGTTGGACTCGATGTTCTCGATGAATTCGAGGTCCGTGGGATCGTGCTGCCGGATGGGATTGGGACATGTCAAAAGCAACCAGAGGCCACAACGATCAGACAAGGCGAGAGGCAAGGCGAGAGGCAAGGCGAGAGGCAAGGCAAAGACAGCATCATATCGCCAGGGTGAACACGAGGATCCGGGGCGTCGGTTGACGAGCGACTTACGCTGGCCACGTCATTCATATCGATGGTGATGGCGCCTCCTCGTTTCTGGGCGATCACTTTCTATGAACATCAGGCGTCGCCGGTGGTGGTGGTGGTGGTGGTGGTGGGGAGACACACAGTCAGCATGGATGTTCTCGGTCGTGCCAACAAACAGCACTCCACTCCACTCTGCCCCGTGTTGCTCAAAGATCAAGCTCGGGCTGGGGGCCACGCGGACTTACGATATCCTCCAGATACTTGAAGTGCAGCGTCGGGGTGGCCTGGCGCTCGTGGACATTGTCGTCGACCTCGATCGTGAACTTTTGCAGAAAGTTGGTGATCTTGGCTGTAGGAAGCCCAGAAAGCAGAAGGGACGGAGGGTGTTGGTACATTCCAGCACACAGTCCAATCCGCATTCCAGCACAGAGTCCGATCCACATTCCAGCGCACATTCAGGCACCGATGACGAGGCGCTGTGGCCTCTCGCTCGACACAGATCCGCCCAGACTTTGACCAGATCTCACGGACGACTGGTGGCATCGTCCAGGCGTTCTCAGACTCGCGATCTTGGCCGCAGGCCAGGCCAGGTGCGCCGGGGTCGTAGAGCGGTCCGGACCAGGCCCTGGATTCCGGCGATCTGTCTGCAGCCTGCAGGAACGGGTCCTTACTCAGCTCCTCCTGGTAGTTGATGCGGATAGGTGCCGTCGAGGTCATGCTGCCGGATCGCCTGGGATCGGTCGTCGTAGCTGCAGGGAGCGATAGAGGGGCGAGCTGGCGGCCGCCCAGAGCCGAACCGCGACCAGCCCTCAAATCGGCGCTGCGAGCCAGACATGATTTCCTTTTTCGCACAAATGATACACGTGATAAGCCGGGACGGCTCGGCGGCACATCTCGGCCAGACACAGCCCTGGCAGCAACCAGGACCATCATCGAGCGGCTGCCTGTCTGCACACCATCCAACGCCGACCGCCGCTGCCGCCACAACCACCGCCGTCGCCAGCCATGTCGCTACAGTCCCAGAAACCCATCACCCTCCGAGGCTCGGCCCAGATCGTCGTCGAGTTCTTTGGTAAGGGCCCCGAGTGTCGCCGGATCCAAACTCGCTGTGCGCCAGCCCTCCGACTCGTCGGCATCATGGATACATGCCGGCAGCCTATCGACAGCCGCGTCCCGCCATTTTGTTTGCGACAAGCTGCCCGACGGCGGGCGACGGACCCGCAAAGCGAGCTTGCACCGGATCTTTGGTGCGGTCTGGCAGGTGGGCAGGCGGGCAGATGACTGACTGCGGTCCATCGATGCATAACTTCCCTCTCTGCAACTAGAATACGGAATCCACACCATCTTGTACCAGCGCGGAATATATCCCGCCGAAGGTAGCGTGGAGTAGCGAGCAGCCGTGATGGCCGTGTTGGTCAGACACGGCGTTCTATGCGACTCGACTGAGAGGCGCAGATGGATTTCCACAACGACGCATCACGTTCGCTGCGACGGCTATGGACTGGAGGATATGGGCTGTGGTGGCTCTGCTCGGCGTTGGCATTCAGATCCACCGCTTACTTGCTCGCCAATTCGCCCACTGGAAATCTGCGCCTGACGCGGAATGGCAAACGGCATGGCGAACGGCTCGCTGCAGACTTCAAATCCATCAAGAAGTATGGACAGACCCTCCTTGTGAACAACGACGACAATGTCAAGGCATACCTGAAGCAGATTTTGATCCAGCTCGAGAGTAAGCAGAAGCGCGAGAACGAGCTGCCGATGTGGTGATCCCGATGACCAGAGTCGCGCAACGCAGGTGCAAGCGTCGACGATGCTTGAGGCGGAGCAGGATGATGCAGCTGGATGGCGGAGCAGGATGGTGAAGCTGGATGGCGGAGCAGGATGCAGGCAGGTCGTCAGGATCAGAATGGATCGGAATGCATTGACTCGACAGGGCATCGATTCTTTTCCCTTGCAACTCACTCCCATGTTCCTCGTTGCCCTCCTTGTGGAATGCAATAGAGTGGATCATGGCCAAGACAATCAGCAAGCTGGTATTAGTGATCAGCTCCAAGGAGACCCGCGAGGTACTCGAGCGGTGGCAGTTCGACATTGACCTGGTCAAGGACGACGACATCACGACCCAGAAGAAGAGGTAAGGTGTGTCCTGCGAGGACATGCACCCAGGCGTGTTGGCGGGCGGGGGGTCTCTGCTTGCTTCGTTGATGATGGGTCTGGTGAGATCATCGGAGCTCTTTCCTGCCACCCACTGGTCCATTTGGTCCACCCATCCGATGGTCGTGCCCAGGCAGCGACATGTCCCCAAGCCTCATCGACGCAGTCCCAGTACCGAGTCGACACTCACCTCGAGACTTCCCCCCCCCCGAACAGCGGCGGCGCAAACAAAACGGAGAAGGAGATCAACATGGAGATCAGCGCGATCATGCGCAACATTACCGCTTCTGGCAGCTTCCTGCCCATGATCGACGAGCCCTGTAAGATCGATCTCTGCCCTCGACCACCCGTCGTTCCCACGCGGCTACCGTGGGCACGCGCTTGGCTGGTCCTTGGCGTGCCATCAGCCCGCCATCTGAACCGTCTGAGCCGTCCGCCCACCATCTCAACCATCTGTGCACCATCTGGACACCAGCCCATCTGCCCGTCTGCCCATCTGATCTCTTTCTGAAGGAGGCGGCGCGCAGGTCCGTCTACGTCTGTGGCAGCCACTGACAAATTGTTGTCGTTCGATGTGTCTGTGGTGGCACAGGTACCTTCAATGTCCTGGCATACACCGAGAAGGATGCCGAGGTCCCGACCACGTGGGTCGACTCGGATCCCAAGATCATCGAGAACGCCGAGCAGGTCCGTCTGAGGAGCTTCTCGACCAACATCCACAAGGTGGACTCGCTGGTGGCCTACAAGGTGGTGGACTAGGGCGGCCATCGCACCGACGCTGCCTTCGACTCGGCCCGGTGCCGATGACACGACGCAAGTTGCGGCGACAGGACCGTTCGAAGACTACCGCCCAAGGATGCTCTCGACGATGCGCACCGACCCAGGCGGCGACTGTGAAGACAAACGACGCTGGATGTGGTCCTGGTAGTCTCTGCGACCGCCCGACCCTGCAACCGGCATGCTTCTGTTGCTTAGGCACATGCGCCGCACCGTGTTACGACAATACAGCAGAATGGAACAGCCTCTGGACAGGTGGTGTGGGCCGGTGACCACACATGACAGATGCAAAGGGAAAGGCCCCATCTCGACACAGTCGCCTAGTACTGAGCCACCACAAAGCGGCTGCCCACCGGCCAGCCGGATCGCCGCTGGGGAAGAAGAGGGGTCAAAAAAGAAAGGCGCACCGCCCGTGGCGATGGATTCGGCTGCTGCTTTGTGTCGTTCGGGCTGTGGAAACGAAGACGCGAACAGGGCAAGAGTCAGCAGAGAAGGGACATGCGCGTGACGCCGGTGGCACCGGCAGATGACCTGCCGCCACCACAATCCAGAATCAACACGGCCCCCGCTGATGTCCTCCCCCACAGCGACAGAGCCACGACCAGCCCACCACCAACCACCCAGACCTTGTTCGGGGCCAAGGCCAATCTCTGGTGGGGCGCGGGCCAAGGTCATGCGCACGTTTCCCATGCGGCTGCTGCGTATGCGCTCGTGGATAGGCGCTGATGGGACTGCCCGAACTGCTCTGACAAAGATGCCGACTGAGCCGCCGGTCACTGTGTGGAAGAGCTGCGTTCGGCTTACGTCGATGAGGTCCCGGGCTGAAGGATGCTGACTCTTGCCGCTGGCGCGACCCCGCGGCAGGCCGGCAGCATACGGTCAGACGGAGGCGGGCCTTGACAAGGATGGTGGAAAGAGTACATCATGGAGAGGGGGGCTGGGCGAGATCAGCAGGTCTGGAGATGCCGGGAGCGGCTGGGACGCAAAAGGAAAGGAGGAGCGGGATTGGCGGCGATGGGAAGGTCTGGGATGACGAAGGAAGGATGGTCGACGGGTGCAAAACGCAAGGACAACGACGCGGCAGGCAGGCCCGAGGGATAGATCGGGGCCGACATGGGTGCCGACATGGGTGCCGACATGGGTGCCGACATGGGATACATGGACACCAGCACCGAATGCCGACAACGCAGTAGACCGAATGCGGCCACAGCTAAAGTATCATGGCCGGGTCTCGGCGACCACGTCCGGGAAAGCAAAAGCCGCAGATGGAAGCGCCGTCGACCGAGGGACAGCAGAGCAGAGCAGAACAGAGCAGCGTAGAACAAAGCAGAGTAGAACAGAACAGAGCAGAACAAAGTAATATACCAGCGATGCAAACGGGAAAGACCGGGCAAAGATCGGCCGTGGGCTGGTGCGCTGCCGTCGACAAGGGAGAGGCACCGCCGTTGCGGGCAGTCGAGGATCCCTCGCGGCCCTGGCTGCCCCCCCCTCCCCACACCCTGTCGATCTCGATGCCTTGGTCTCCTGCTCAGGACGGTCGTCAGGCTGCCCGCGCCTGCTGCTCCGGGGTATAAATACCCTCCCTGGAGGCGCCTCCCTTCCAGTCCCCACCACCTCGAGATCCGCCAGCGATCTCGATACCTGACTCCCAGCCGCTTCCCACGCAGCTCCTCACTTTCTCATCCGCTACCACCACCTCTGGTCCTCCATCCGCCCCGATGCTCGTCAACGCCGGCTTTGCTCTCACGGTCTTCCTCGCCCTCTCGGGTGCTGTCGAAGGCGCCCGCACCAAGAAGGGCGGCAAGTGGTCCAAGTACATGAAGTCTCTCGACAAGGTCATCGGCTCTGCCGAAAACACCGCCCGCATGTCGACCGAGGCCAAGAGCCTGTACAAGGCCTATGTCGCCAACAAGAAGGATGCCAGCTTCCAGAGCCTCGTCTCTCAGGTCAAGAACAAGACCGCCTCTAGCAAGGTTGCCGCCAAGGTGGTTGTCAACGACCAGTCCGTCAAGAACATTGCCACCCAAGTCTTTGTAAGTACTGGAGCAAATCAATGTTGAGGGGAACCGGCGAGAGGAAGCAACGGCGAGGGATCGACCCAATGGGGTCATGTCCAGCACTTGTATCAGTCTCGTTCCCACGGAGGTGGCGCATACACATGCCGCGCTCATTCCCATGGATCCATCACTCACATCTGTCCATGTAATCAACCCCATTCCCATACCACAGGGAAGCAACCCCTCGGCCAAGCACATCGCTGCCACCCGCGCCGCCATGCTGCCCTCTTCGTGGGACTCCCGTAACTCGGGCTGGGTCTCCGCCGTCAAGGACCAGGGCCAGTGCGGCAGCTGCGTTGCCTTCTCCTCGGCTGCCACCGTCGAGAGCACCTTCCTGAGCCAGGGCACCACCATTGACGTCTCCGAGGCCGACATCTTCTTCTGCCTTGCCGCTGGCCAGGCCCAGTGCAGCACTGGCTGGGAGCCCGATGCGGCCGCTAGCGCCATCTCCCAGAACGGTGTCGTCACCGAGGACTGCTTCCCCTACACTGCCGGCACCGGCCAGGACCAGCAGTGCAACGACAGCAACTGCCAGCGCACCGGCGGCATCTCCGAGGCCTCGTTCGGCAGCGTCGACGAGATCAAGCAGCACATCATGACCTACGGCGCCGTCTTCACTGGCTTCACTGTCTACAGCGACTTTGACAACTGCTGCACCAACAACCAGATCTACATGCAGCAGTCCAACCAGCAGGTTGGTGGCCACGCCGTCTCGATCGTCGGCTGGGACGAGGGCAACCAGGCCTGGCTCTGCAAGAACTCCTGGACGGCCTCCTGGGGTACCGATGGCTTCTTCTGGATCGGATACGGCCAGTGCGGCATCGGTGCCACCAGCCAGACCTTTGGCTTTGCCGTCTCGGGCAACAACCCCAACCCTCCTTCTCCCGGTCCTCCCGGCCCTCCCTCGCCCCCTCCCCCTCCTCCTCCCTCGGGCGACTGCACCAACGCTGACCCCTACAGCATTGTCTGCATCGACTCGAGCGACTTTTGGTACTGCGACCCCGGTAAGTAGCAATTCTATTGAAACAAGCTGCTGTGACTGACCCGATCGACAAGCACACCACTCCGATCCATGACCCCCGACCTGTAAGCCGACTTGATCTGACCAACTTTGTCTCTCTCTCTCTCTCTCTCTCTCTCTCTCTGATAATCCAGCTGGCCCCATGGAGTACTCTTGCCCCGACGGCTCCTCCTGCACCGGTGACATCAACAACCCCTGCCAGTAAATATTCTGTGGCTCGGTGATGCCGCCTTTAGCGCCCTGCTTTCCCCCTCCACTCTCGCCCTCTGAACTCACGAAACCAAACATGCCACAAAGTCGATCTTTGTGGCATATCGCCGCTCGATAACTACCACCGTGACTCTCCCCTTGGTGTCAGATGGACAAACGCTGTTGCTCGCTGCTGTGTCTGTCCGGCTGTCCACGTCTTGTAACTTTGGTGAACTGCTATGTGCTTTAAGCCGCGCCCTCCTTTATGTACAATGGAATAAAAACCGATTCTCCACGAGGCTCATCCAGCGAGTTTCACACAGCCCTCCGTTGGCATACTCACACAGACATTGCCAATGGGAGCGGATTCAGCTGACGAGCTTGCAATGTCCCACGGTCGTCGTGGGTGTTCCTGGACCGGCAAAGGAAGGAAACGAAGGGGTCGCGCACTCGAGGGATCAGGCAGCTTGGAAGTAATTTGAAAAGGAAAGCACCAAGACAGCAGCGGTCGTGGTGTGATTTATTTGAGCAAACGTTGAGATTTGTATGGGCAAGGAGACAGACAAGCAAGAAGAAGTGGAAAAAGAAGAAAAAGTTGAGCGAATATAGTGTCGTAAAAAGGAGAAAGGGAGGGTTGAGGCGACAAAAGAGTCGCACACCATAGGAGCGCATCGAGACGATTGCTGAATGGTACGCTGTTGAATTTCATGAGGATAGATTCTTGAGAGTGGCAATTACAGACGTCGTAACGATCCCCCTTCCCCTTTCAGGCAGAGGTGTCGAGCGAAAGGGGGCGGGGAAGTGTGGATGTAGTCGGAGAGCAGAACGACTCGTGAATCGAATACCATTGCGTCAATTATAGGGGGGGGGAGGAAGGCAGAGCTGGAACAGGCACACCACCAACCGACGGAAAACAACGCATCACAAAACAAAAGTACATTCAAACAGAGAAGGCCGCGATGGCAGAACTGGGAAGGGGAGGGGAGACATGAGCTAGGGAGGAAACGACAGGCCGAAGGAGTCATCCCAAGCAATTCGAGTCTTGAGGACCCGTCAGGCCGGGAATGGAGGGAAACGGAGTGGGAATAATGACATAGAGGTGCGGTCTACCAGATATAATGTACCAGGGTGCAGCGAAAACGACCAGCAACAGGGAGGCGGCGCTGTCGTATCTACAGCGTAGGAGGCGGCGAGCTGGTGGTGATCGAGGTGCGGCCCGAGATTTCGGTCGGCGAGTGCTGCGATGTGTATCCAGAGATGGCGGGCGAGTCGATGGTGCGCAGCGCGGAGAGGGGCAGGGTGCCGACGCAGTCGGTGGTCTCGTTGTGGCCCTGTCGAAAGGCAGCCGTTGCACAGGTTGAGGGGTGAGTCGAGGCAGGAAGGGAGCATCCACGAGCTGTACGAACGCCGTACCCTCATCCAGAGACAAGCGCACAAAGGCATCACCAGCCGCAATCTCAGGCACACTTACATGTCCCCATCCGTCGTTGAAGATACTGAGCAGCACGACCATGTCGCCCACGGACAGATCGATTTCGTCGCCGCGGACAGCAGTGTACGGCTTGTCGACGACCCACTTCTTCGAAAACGCCGTCGGAGCGGGCTTGTTGATCGTCTCGACGAGGTGCTGTTCGACGGTTGTCTTTTGCTTCTCGACCTGGGTCAGCTTCGAGCGCGAGTGTCGGTATCGGCGGTACAGGAGCGTGACCATGACGCCGATCATGATGATGGCGATCGAGACACTGACGCCGATGATGATTTGCGTGGTCTGGAAGCTCTTGATCTGCGCCGAGGTGGCATTCTGCTTTGCGGCCTGGATTGCGTTGGTGTAGGGCGTGCAGCACCAACCGCGGGTCTGAGTTGAATCCGAGCCGGCACCGTAGATCGCGGAAGCACTGTTGTAGTCGGGATTGCAGAGATCGTGGGACGCGGCAACGTCGGGAACGTCGAAGACGACGACGGAACGGACAAGCGAAGGAACGTAGTAGGTCGCCGTCTGGACGTATTGCATGAAGCCTGCAGGTTGCGCGGCAACGGCCAGTTGAATTGGTCAGTTGAATTGGTCAGCACACAGACATTCGAAACACAGGTGGCAATCGAGAGCAGCAAGGACAGAGGGTTAGTAGGATTCCAAGCGAGCAGACCAAGGCGATCAAATATGCTCGGCAGACATACCGCAGCTGTCGTTGTAGAGGGCCGTGTTGTTGGGGTTGCCCTGGCACAGCGTCTTGTCGGAGCCGATGGTGAAGATGTCGCCGATGCCGGGAATGCCGTCGACAGGCGACTGTCGTCCGGTGAGGGTGATGTTGCGGCAGGAGGCATCGACATAGCGGGCGCTTCTGGGGAACGAATCGCGGAGGGCGAACGTGGCGACCTTATTGCAGCTGTCGAGGGTCTTGTTGGGCGAGGGGCCGCAGTAGCTGGCCGCGCTGCTGCGTCGCACAATGGTGTGGCAAACGTGGTCGCGGAAGTAGCGGATGCGCGAGGCGAACTTGGTCTGTGGGCGGGGGAGACAAGGCAGGTTGTGTGACGGTCAGGGTGGTTCAGCCGGCACCGTTCAGCCGGGTGTGTGGGCAGAAGGGAGGAAGCAGCCAGCAGGGTTGGGCGACTGGCTTCCACCAGAAAACGCATGGATCGACGACGACGACGTATGGGCCGACGAGGCAGCAGCATCAGCAGCACGGCGGCCGAGCAGAAAGTGGGGAGATGGGAGGCGCTGCAGAGCAACAGCACATGGGCCAGTAGCAGACCAACCACATCGAGAGGCAAAAGAAAAGACTTGCCGAGGCAAGCAAGGAGGCAGACGCCGTCCTTTCTTCCCTCGAGACGAGGCGAAGGGACGGCCTCGGTCAGCAGGTCAACTTACGGCATCGTAGCTGGCGGACGGGTTCTGGCAGACATTCTGGAAGGCCAGGAACATGGCGGAATTGGAGCCAGTCCAGTACGGGCCATTGGGATCCTCCATCATCGAGATGGCGGCGACCATCTGAGCCTCGGGCGACGGCAGCGAGAGGTTCATGATGTTGGTCTGGGTGATGTTGGAGACGATGTCGGCGTGGACATAGTAGCCGTCAAAGTCGGTACAGTAGCTGCGGTTGCATTACGGAGAGCGGGGAGGGGCAGAATCAGACACAGAAGGCGTGAGCCAGGGGGAGAAACTCGGAGGACGCTAGGCCCGCTGTCGATGTCGAGAGGGGGCAACGACGGATCGATGTGGGCAGGCGAGACGGAGCCAGCAGCCGCAGCTGTTGGGCTGCATATGGCGGCAAGGAATGACGCTCGGAATGAAAAAGCTCGGCAGACTGATTACCCATCAGGGAGCGTGGCGTTGTTGAGGATGAAGCAGTTCTTGAGGTCGGGGGTCGAGGAGCTCATTTCACATAGACCGTCAGGGTAGTTTTGGTAGTCAACGAGGTAGAAGGCTCGACAGAGCGATCACTGGTGTCAGGTGCGACGACCGAGGGGGAGATGGAGGGGAAAGGAGGAGCGGATTGCGAAAGGTGTCTGCAAGTCCGGGCTGCTGCTTGTTTCCTGGGGAGTGGGAGGAGTGAGTGGGTTTCCGAGGGAGCGCAGAGTCGCAGACTGGGGAGAAGGAGGAAACCGGTCTCGGTCCAGACGGAGCCACAAGTCCTTGCGAAGGAAAGAGCGAGCTGCTGGTGCTGAAGAGCAAGCAGGACGATGTCGACGGAAGCGATGTGCGGCCCAGGAGGGTGGGAAGAATCCGCGGCGACAAAAGCGAGGCGGCCGAGGACGGGCGAAAGCATCCCCGGCGAGAGCAGTCGGCGAGACGGTGCAGCCAGGCATCGCCACTGTGTGTGTGGTGCTGCGCGAGCCAGCGAGAACGGCGCCGAGGGCGGCACCGAGAGAGCCAGGGCGCACACACACTGTGCAGAAAGGACAGAGAGGGGAGGACAGACAAGGCCGCGGCGTCGGCAAATGAAGCGCGGGCCATCCTCCAGGGCCGCGCAACAACCACAGGACTGTGGGACAGGCCAGGCCGGCCCCGCCGCCGCCGGCGCAGCGCCGCGTTGCCGGCGTCTGAGTGGTTGCGGCTGCGGCGGAGCGCGCGCATCACGGCAAGGAACGGCCTTGCTGCGCAGCCGCGCTAATCGCCGCGCGGGTGCGCCGCATTTGTGTGCGACGGTGCGCACCAATGGCAGCCAGGCTGCGCGGCGCGTTGCCCCGATGCGCACAGAGGACGCAAGGGCAGCAGATGGAGCAAGGGCGCAGAAGGAAAACCCTCTGCCCTGTGCGCCACGCAGAACAGGCACACGACCAGCCGGGTGCGCGTCAGGCATCAGTGTGTGTCGGCCACAGAGACTGTGCTTCCGAGTGCTTGCAGGGACAGCTGCAAGGAGAAGGGCTGCCGCGCCACAGACGACGGTGGGGCGGCAACGTGACCGGGCTGGCACACAGGAGCCAATCCCAGCGCGGTGGGGCCACAGAGCCCTGTGTCTGGTGCAACGGGCTCACGCGGCCAAGCCAGACCAGGTTTGTTTGTCTGGCCGGCGATTGTCCTCCACCCGTCACAGCACAAGGCCCCACCCCGCGTATCACCCAGCACGACACAGATGTCCCTGGTGGCGGCCAAGCGAGGCAGTGTGACCTGGAATGCATCACCGCGTGCTGCCAAGGGTCCGCTTCCTCTGCAAGTGAACGATGCCCGTTTCGGTCTCCATATGCTGCACAAGCTGCACATATCCGAGCTGTATTGACAGCGACGATATCGACATCGGCAAGATCGAGCTCGACTCGACTCGACTCGATGATGTAGAAATCCATCCAGTCAGAGTCACATATCCACGCGAGCCGCGGATCATGTCCCGCGTCATCGTCGGTCTCGGAAGCTGCTTGCGCCTGGCACAGACAGATATCGGCTGCTGCTACCGCTGCCGCTGCTGCTGCTGCTGCCGATGTTGTTGATGCTTGTGCTTGTGTTGCTCCGGCTCGGCGCAGATACCGAGCGCATGGTCAGCGGGAACGGCTGCAGCATCATCGGCGAGGGTGCATAGCCGCTTTCGCTCATCATGTCGTTCTCCAGCTGCATCTCAAAGGTGGTGTCAGACGAGGACGTCTGTCCTTGTGACAACGTCGAGCTGGTTCGAGTCGACAGTCCCGAGCCGGTCGACTCTCCATAGAGGAAGCTAGAGAAGCCACCAAAGTGCGAGAAGCTGTGCGGGCCCTCGTCCAGGTCCACCATCGAGCACAGGTCGTCGTCGCTGTGCAGGTCGCTGAGCTCGTACTCATAGTACTTGGCCACAGTTGCCAGGGACAGCGGTTCGCCAATGAGCTTGGAGCTGGACCGCAGCATGCTGGGCAGCGACGCAAACTGCGGGGACGACATCAGCGATGAGCTCGGCGAGGGCGACAGGCTGGGCGGCGTGAATGTCGGCGATGGCACGCCGGATATCGACGACAGCGACGACGACAGCAACGACGCCGAGCCGTTGAACGACGGCTGCTTCACTTGTGCGCGCCGCGGATAGATGGCAGGGCCCAAGTGGTTGTCCCGCTTCTTTGGCCGGCCCGAGACAATCGAGTATTCGATAGGGTACTTTGTGAAAACTTGGATGTTGAAGTCCGGCGCCCCAAACGTTTCCTGGTCGCCTTGGTGGAGATACAGCGTCAGCAGCGAGTGGGGATGGCACGGCGGAACGATCTGGAAGAACGGCTGGCTGAGGCTCCAGGCGGTTTCGTCAGATTCCATGTAGACGGCCGTCTCGGCGTCGCCCGAGTGCCATGTCGTGGAGATTTTGAGGCCTTGCTTCTGGTAGAACTCGACAGCCGAGCAGGTCGCATACAGAAAGATGGGCCTGGATCGTTCGATCGAGATCTGTTTCATGCTATGGGTGGCGGTGTCGCAGATTGACACATGCCATCGGCGGCGACGGATGGATTGTGCGTATTTCGACCACACACAAGTCCAAGGGTACGCATTGCAGTCACAGGAGTTAGTCGCTTTCTGGTCTTGGTCTTGGCCTTGGTCCGTTCCGTTCGGGCACAGCATAATATTCACAGGCAGACATGGCCCGACACTCCTACACCACAAACCATCCCAGCGAGCCACGCGACATGCGGCCATCGTGTGATCAAGCACCCACAGCCCAGCCCACCCCACCTCAGCGCGACTGCTGCTATCGCGGCAGGCCGCCGTTCTCGCCACGAGACTTACCGGTTCATCAGGAGTGAGCCGATTCCCCGCCTTTGGTAGTTTGAGGCAATAGCCAGCGTATCCACATAGACATAGCGCTTCAAGACAACGTACTTGACAACCCCCATGACTTCGTTCGTGACTTCGTCCACCACAATCTCGCACGAGAGCCCATACTCAAAGATCGAGTCCAGGGCCGACGTCGTGATGGCGATGCGGTTGAACTCATCCACCAGGAGCTGGCTCGCGGCCTCATACAGGCTGATGAGCAGGTGGCTCTTGAGCACCTCGTTCTCGTCCCGGCCATATATCCGCACGATGCGCACATGGCCCTCGGGATTGAGCGGCAGAGACTGTCCGAGAACATAGACTTGGTTTGACGGAAGTGGGATCGTCTGGTCCGGGTCGGCGTCCAGGTCGCACATGTACGAGTCGGTGATACGCAGGTAGTTGCCATGGTTGCGCCTCGTGTTGCGGAGGCCGCGGGCCGGCGAAACTATCAGAGACACAGAGGGTCAGCAATCCATCGCAGTCATGTTCCTCCACCGACCCAATGTTGCTCCAAGAGTTCGTCCGGAGCGACTTTGAGCCAATCCGGGGGCCCTTAGTGCCCGTCCGGTTATGTACAAAGGGCCACCGATGCCACGGCTCGACGGTGCATCAAAATACCACCACAACCTCATCATTCATAACAACCCGCAAAACACGCAACCATCCCGCTGCCGGACTGCGGCAACCTCTTGCGCGACTGACTCACTTCCACGGCCTTCCATGAGTTTGGTATTGCGATCCAGGCGGCGGCTCTCGGCTGCGCGGGCCCGTCGAATGGAGCGGAACGAGCTTGCAGAAGTGGATTTGAACTTCCCAGGGAAGAGCAGCCGCATCTTGGCCAAGGTCTTGGGATATTTGACAACAACTTCATCAGAAACATGGGGGGTGGGTGGGAAGCGAGAAAGTCAAGCACCCAACCTGTTAGATTCGCTGCTGTGGTTTGATTGTGCACAGCCAAACGACGACCACACCGCCAGCTGGGATCCAACAGGGCCCCGTCACTCGGCACTCCTGTCAGGACAAACACGAACCCTCGTCCGACTCGGCAAAGGATTGAAGTTTGCTGAACAGCCGCTGGTAGACCGTTCGCGGGATGGACTGATTCGGGTCTGCGCAAGGAGACGAAGGGGACGCCGGTCATGCAAGTCGGTGGTTGTTAGCTAGACAGGTCGTCACACGTATCGATTTCAGCCGAGTACATCATTCTCTGCCGTGCCCAGGGGGTTGCCTCGTACGGGAGTGTGGGAATCGACCCGATGGCGCCGACACTCACCGTTGGGATTGTACTGCGGAATGCCCTTGAGGAGAGGGTCGTTCATGAGCGACCGAGCCGACCGGGACTGCGACGGCGTCTTCGGGGTCGGGATCGGGATGGGGGTGGCGGAGGCAGAGCGTTGAGGGGTAGCATAAATAGGGGTATGTGTCGCTGATGAGAGTGGCTCCACAAAGCTGTGAGGGTATGCAGGAACTGCATTTGCACGGAAGCAGAGGAGAGGGAGTGGCGGCCCAGTCGCCAACGAAGGGGAGCCGAGTACAGACACCAGAGTCGGGTCAGGGAGGCAGAGCCAAGCAGTTAAAGGAGGCAGAGTTAGTCTCCGGACAGCATGCGAGCGCCCCAGAAGAATCCGGGGGGGGGGGAACAATAAGACTGAGCAGGGCGGAGGGAGAAAAGGCAAGCACGCAGCAACGTGTGGGGAGGACCACAGCAAGACAAAGGCCCATGTCCGAGGAGCGCCGCCTGTTTGGCAAAAGCCCCCCAACGGCGATGATGATGATCGGCGGCATAATCGCACAGCGGCGTGGGAAAGATGCAGAGACGCCAGCGCCCCCGACTGCGGCTGCTGCCCGGCTGGGCACCAGGCAAGGCAGCGGGCTGAATCGGTCCCCCAGAGAAGACACTTGCACAGCCGCCCACACCAGTGGCGGCAGCAAATGATGGCGAGCGAAGACGATGACGATGGCGACAACGGAGAGACGCTAATGGCGGCGGCGGCAACGACAACGGCAACGACAACAGCGGGGACCCTTACTTCCACGGCGTTTCGCCAGGGCAATCTGGCGGTTGACTGCTATTCGCAGCGCATGGAGCTTGGTCCGATATTCGGGCAGGAGCTGGAAAATCTGGACGTGGGGAGCCAGCCCGCATCTGGCCCTGTTGTGCAGGTGCAAATCCGCACTGTTGACGGCATGATCACCTGTGAGGCCCCCACACCAGAGACGGCAAAGGCGATGATGGATGGTCGAAGGATGAGCGGCCATAGCGACGGTGGTCATAAGGGGGCGAGTTGTGCGAAAACGGTCCCATCGGCAATCGAGACAGCACAGACGAGGAGCAGAAGGGTCAGGATGGCAACGGAACAAGAGAAAAAGGGAGAGGGAAGAGGATTACGGGAGAGTGCGGTATCACTCAATCGAGAGGCTAGAGCCTCTGGCAGCCGTTGCCGCTGCCGCTGCCACCGTCCGCCTTTCTTCGCCTGTCTCTCCATCCAGGTGCACTCGCTCATCAGGCGGCGTAGGACTGGGAGTCCAGAAGAGCGGCTGAGGCAAGACAAGTTCAGGGAAGGAGGGGAGGGCGAGAGAGGCAAGGCAGCAGCAGAAAAGCGCAGAATCCCGGTCCGAGGCAATACGTACACGGTCCAACGTTAAAAATGCGTTCGATGGAGACAAGATGGTAGTGGGCTTTTAGTAGCACTGCTTGCCCCGCATCATCCCCGCCCCCACGACGTATTGCAATCAAACGAAAGACACGAGCCGGGTTGTGTGAGGAGCGATATCAGAGGGTGGAGGGTGGCGGCGTCGCCGAGTCAACGACGCACGGACAGAGCAAGCGCAGAGGAAGAGCAGAGGAGGAGGAAGGCGACGGTGTGGAGAGGCAGACACGAGGAAGACCGAGGACATAGAGCCAAGGACCCACGATGGCGATGGAAGAGACGCAGACGGAACGAGCAGAGGTTAGTCTGGCGGAATTGCCTGCAGAACGGTCGTCGGCGATCGAGCAGTCAGGGATGCAGCAGGAGGGCCCAGGACGAGCAGCAGAGCAAACGTTGGGGGATGACGGAGCGTCGGTCATGGAATTACGGACAGTCTTTTGGAATCAGGCACTTGCATATGTGCAGGCAGATGGTCGGCTCCCGTTTCCTCCGGGAGGAGGGTGGGAGGATGTTCATCAAACGGGAGCGGGGCGAGAAGCACAGATGGATCGGTGGCTGGATGGGATGCTGGTATAGAAAGGGATCAAACAGATGGAGACACGCTGGGATGCGGTAGAACAGACGGCGACGACAGCAGAGGCGATGGGCGATGGGCGATGGGTGACGGGAAGACAGAGATGCGATGATAGACGGATCGACGTGCGGATCGGTGGATGGGGGGGCTCAAATACCACGCCGGACAGGCGCCCTAATCATGTGGAGGCCCTTGCCCTTTGTGGTCAGTGCAGGTCCTTGAGGGGCGGCGTCGACTCTGCAGCAGCACAAGCGACGAAAATACAGCGTGCGTGGATATTCTGGGGGGATTGCATGTTCTGAGGGGATTGTATGTTCTGGAGGATTGTATGTTCTGGGGGGGGGGGTTGCCCAGGCAGGCACTCTGACGACCATCGCCCAGGACCATCTCGGTGTTCGTACGCATGACCACATCGCCACGAATGAGCAGCACATCCCGCAGGCGTCCTCGGCCTCTTTATTTCTGCGAATTGTACTCGGCGATGGCGTCCTTGATCTTGGCGACGACGCTCTCGGCCGTCTCTTGCTTGCCAAAGTGTGCCTGATACCGGCCGCTGGGGTCGACGAGGTAGAAGAAGATCGAGTGGTCGACCAGGTAGTCGGTCTCATCATCGTCGACGGCCTTGGGCGGGGCACTAAAGTACAGCCGGTAGGCCTTGGCAACCTTCCTGATCTGGTTGTAGGTGCCCGTCAACCCAACAAACTTGGGATGGAATTCTGGCAGAGACACGCAGTCGGGCGGTGGACGGGACGACAGGACGGGAGGATCCGCCAAGTGGGGCATGTACCAACGGAGCTTGCGTCAGTGGGTGTACCTCGTTGCAGGGACGACCTGTGCGGGGAGCTGTGCGTTGATGCCAGGCGCAAATCGGCACCCAGATCAATATCCTCCCACGGCTCACCTCGGATGTACTCTCGGATCGACTGGACAGAGTCGCGCTTGGGATCGCACGAGATGAAGATGGGAACGATTTCATATGGGACGTGGTTCTCCTTCTTGTCTGTCGTCGGTGGTGGGAGATGTGCACAGGAAGCGTGAGAAATGGCGAGCGGCCGTATCGCTGGTGTCGCTGGCTCTATCGGCTGCGGAACAGTGCCGATCCACAGACAATGCCGCCAGCGATCCACAGGCAGCGTCGTCCAGAACTCATGACCAATATCGCTCAGGACCCATGGCCAATATCGCCCGGGACCCCTGTGGCAGCCACAGCCTGGCCCACCGACGGACCACCGCAGCCGGTCCACCGGTGCTGGTCTCGCTCTGGTCCTTACCGAACAGATCGACGATGGCAGCCATCTTCTCGAGCTCCTCGGGACAGACATCGGGACAGAAGGTGTAGCCAAAGTACAGGAGCATGTACTTGCCCCGGTAATCCATGTCGGTAACGGGGTTGCCTTCGTGGTCGACCAGCGAGAAGGGGCCGCCGACCAGGGGCTTCCCGACGGACTGGTTCTTGGACTTTTGGCGACGCTCCTCGACCTTGAGCTTTTCGTAGTGGAACCATCCGAACAGACCCAGGCCCGACAGGCCAATGAAGCCCAGCGATCGAGCGAGCAGTTTCTGGATGGGGCGAGGCGTGTCAGAGTCAGAATGGCAACAGGGGCATAATGCAGACCCAACGTGGCCAGTATTCCATCAGGACGATGCACAGGATGCGGCGAGATGATGCTACAGGGCTAAACAGCATCATTCACACCAGCCGATCAGGTCGTTGGTTGACGCATGGTCAAGCGGTGCCGATGGCGACGATATGCAGATTGTGCGTCGGAATGGAGACTCGCAGAATCACAGACGTACGAAAAAGTCGCCCCGGCTGAGGTCAGACTTGGGACTCTCTGGCGATGCTGAAAAGGATCGGGCGAGAGGAGCACAGGCAGCACGAACGCAGGGACGAGCGAGGGCCTGGTGCATCGATGATCGCGTGAATGCGATAGGCCAGTTGCATCCGACCGAGGCGACGGCAGGGCGTATTCGCATCGGTGGATATTCGCATCGGCGGCGATTTAGATATCATCGCCATGCGTCGTTGGGAGCAAGACCACCGTTTGGGTATGGCGGATATCGTCCGAGCAGTTTCAGGTTGAGGGAACGGCAGAGTGATCAGGATAGCATCAGCACAGCATGCGAAGATTTGATCTGGAGTCTGTCCACGAGCCGGCAGAGTCGCTTGTAATGCCTGCAGGGGATCGTCGAGTGAGGCTGCCGTGCATTCGCATGATGGAGACACGGACCTGGGACTGCCTCCAGGCCGAGAGACCCGAGACTGCTCTGGATTGTCTGGCGATGGCGGTTCGCAGCATGTTGAGTCGATGGCGGGAGCCTCGAGAGATGTGCAGCTGGGGACGGTCGAGAGATATCCGATTCGGTGCAGGATCCAGAGCGATGGTGGGCAGAGACAAAGCGATGATGAACAGAGACAGAGACGACAGAGCGATCGCGGCTGGTTTGAGTTTTTTCGGTCGCGGAAGAGTCACCAAGCATCATTATGTAAGCCTTGGAGCCGAACTGAACATGCCCTGGATCTGCATTTGCATCTGCCCCGCATCTGCATCTGCCCTGAATCTGCATCTTTCGGAGCCCCTTGGACTGAACCCCCCGCCCACACCATTGGAATACGACAGATCTCGACCGGCATTGGGACGACCCTCCGTTGCCTCTCCTCTGGCCACACTGTCCACCGCATCCGCACTGACCACTGCATCCGCACCTCGGCCATGACTGCCGACCAACAGCAGCAGCAGCAGCAGCACAGCTGGCAGCACATCACCGCTGCCGTCAAGCGGGATCTCGAGCCGTACGGCATTGATCTGATTGTCCCGTTCCCCGTCGAGCGCTACAACGAAGACGAGCACGCAGGCAAATATCCGCTGCCCGGCTCGACCAACCCGGCCAACACCTCGACCCTGGCCATCCTCATCGGCAACCACAAGCGCATGTGGGAGCCGTTCCTGGAATACCTCGAGGAAGACCCAGCCACGCACCTGGACAACAGCGCCCATCCGATCAACGACTTTGTACACGACCTGCTCCACAACCGCTTGAGCAAAGAGGACATTCCCGAGTTCAAGTACCGCTACCCGCACGACGAGGGCGAGCGCTTCACGCACTTTCAGCGGCTGGCCCACATTGCTGGCCTGGCGTATTTCAACAGGGTATGGCTCTGTCGCTGATGGCGTGGTGTGCTGATGTCGGGGCTGATGTCGGGATGTGCTGATGTCGGGATGTGCTGATGTCGGGATGTGCTGATCGGATGCGGACGATCCTCGATGCCCCAACAAAATCAACTGATCGATATGTCCGATGCTTGTACGTGCCCAACCCCTTCCATGCACTCATCCATGCACTCGTCCATGCACTCATCCATACTCATCCATGTATGCCAGACTTGCTATCTCTGCGTCTCGCCCATCTACGGGCCCTGGCTCGCTCTCCGGGCCGTCCTGGTGTTCCCTGGCATCCAGGGCCCTCCCCACCAGCCCGACTACGAGACCGTTCCGAACCCATATCCCGAGTTTGACGACACGCTGCTGCAAAAGACAAACGAGATGATGGAGCGGTACAAGGCCAACTACGAGGCCGGGTTCAAGCTCGACTGGCGCAAGCTCGTCGAGATCCGGACGCTCGTCGGCGGGTTCCTGAGCGCCGAAGATCAGAGCCTTCGCAAGTACACTGAGGAACAGCTGACGTACCACTACACCAAGAGCAAAGCTGTTCTCACCGAGGCCCTGGAGCGCCGTCGCCTGGAGCGCCTCGGATCTGCATAGGGGCGGATCTGTTCGAGAGATCTGCTGGTGGGATGCGATTCCTCGAGATCGATCCAGGGTGCTGAAAGAACAACGAGACGCATTGTTTTTCGGGGTCATGAATCAAGCGATAGCCTTGGATATCCGTCCTGTCTTGGAATACGGCTTGGTTGAAACGAAACGGGGCAGCGTCCCGATTGCCATCCTGCACAGCCCGTTGAGTGTGGTCTTGGACGCATCTGGTCAATCTCCTGCCGCGATCTGGATGGTCTGGATGGTCTGGATGGGATGCTGAGTGCGGTGGAGGCGGGTCCTGCTCGGCTGGAGCTTGCGTTTTCCTTTCCTTTTCCATGGCCTGGCTGCACGTTTCCGGCAATGTCCAGGCGATGCTGCGCTGAAACGCAACAGGGATTGGCCAAGCGATGCACATGTGCTCCGCCGCTCAGCCATGCGCAATGCAGCGCCGGGCTTGTCCACGCTTGTGCAATCCGCCATGATGAGTTTCGTTCGCTTGGTCGCTGCGATGCATTGCACACTTGCGAATTGATGCATCTATCGACTTGCCATGTGCATCATGCCCCTGCCGATTGTTTGCTCGCTCGCGCTGGACTGCATCGCGCTATTCCCGTCCTCGCCCGCCCCAACATCGTCTCCTCGGCGCCGAGAATGCAACAAAGTCGCCAAAGATAGAGTAGCACGGGGCTTTGCAAACAAAACGCTTGCCCAACAAAGGCTCCCGGGCCAACCGCCCCCTCCTTGGCCCGTGGTCCTTGGCCCTTGGTCCTGCCGCCCGTCCCTTGCCCAGGCTCTGCCCTGCATCGCTTCGTCCACCTGCATTCCATCGTCCACCTGCTTTCCATCTTCCACTCGCTTTCCATCTGCCTCAGGTCCGGCTCGCTTTCCATCTGCCCCAGGTCCGGCTCGCTCGCTTCTGCCCGTCTGCCCCCCCGCCTCGCTTGCCTTTGGGCTCCCGCTGTCGGCTCGCCATCCAGCTGTAAGTTGACTCACTTTGCTCTTTCGCCGATCGAGTCCGGCTCTGTCCCTGGAATGTCCTGACGTCCTGTGACTGTGCTTTTGCTTCTGTTGCTCTGCTTCTGCTATCCCGCTCACTGGACTCGGCTGTTCCTCATACTCGGTCCATCTGCTCATTGGACTCGGCTGCCACCGATCCAGAGCTCGCCGTTAGTCCGCCTCAAGCCACCATCCCAATCGCCGCTTCGTCAACATGAGCGCCGCTGTTTTGCATTCTCGTCCGGTTACCCCCCATCGAACCCCCACGCCTATGGGTCGCAAAGGCACACCGGCGCCGTCGGCCCCGCCTTGCGCCATCCTGCCGCTGCCCGGCTCAAACAATTCCTTCGTCAAGGGCATCCCCGGTCTCACCCCCATCACCGTCGAGGGCACCATCCTCATCCCGCCGTCCCAGACCCTCATCACCTCCGTCACCGTCTGCTTCCACGGAGTCACCCACATTGCCATCCAGAAGCGCAAGCTCAACAAAGACGTCTACATCTACGATAAGGACTCGATCGTTCACATCAACAAGGTCGCCGTCCTGGTCGACTCGCCCAGCAGCGACCAGCCCGTCGACAGCTCGTCCGTCGCCACCAGCAGCGTCATGCAGCCCATTCGCGCCCCGACAACCCCCGTCCGCATTCCCTTCAAGTTCTCCATCTCGGCCCGTCGCGCAGCCAAATTGCCGGCCTCGGCCAATGCCAACAAGGGCCCCGACAGCGTCGCTTCGACCGTCTACTACATCGAAGCCACCGTCGTCGAGGAGGAGATCTCGTCGACCCAGCAGCTTGCCGCCGCCTTCTTGACCACTGGCACCACTGCCAAGCCCAGCCACTCGACCTACCGCACCACACAGGTGCCCTTCCACTTTTACACCTACAACCCGCTCTATTATCCTCAACTGCTGCTGAGGGAATCCTCGGCCCACACCGAGTCGCTGAAGGACTGGTACTCTCTCGACATCGACAAGACTGTCCTGGCCTCGGGTGACACGATCCGCTTCAAGTTCCGGCTTTTCGAAGACATTGGCTTTGTGATTGTGCGGCTGGTCGAGTACCAGTCGCTGTTTCCTCGCAAAGTCGCGAGCGAAAAGTGTGCCTTCCACGGCACAACCATCTGCGACTGGGAAATGAACGGCCGAGATCTTCGCAGCGTCGAAGAGGTTGGTGTCGCAGAGCTGCGTCTCTTGCACCGAGTCCTCTGCTCGGCTCTTCGCTCTTGCGCCAAACACAAATCTGTCCCTCCCCTCTAATTCTGTGGATACAGAAAGCAAGCTCCTGCTAACATGGTCCTTGCTTCCTCTGTCGTCTGCCTTTGCACTGTAGTTCGAGTTTCAGCTGCCGTCCATCTCCAAGCCCAGGCTCGAGCCCACAAAGCTCGTCACCCACGTCGGCCCGCTCCCACGCCGCATCCCAAAGCAGAAACGCGACCGCGATTTGGATGGCCCGCTCTCTCCCAAGACCCCGACAGCGCCCATCCCGGTGGATGAATCGGACGAGGACGACGACGAGCGGCACAAGGATCTGGATCCTCTGGATGTGTCCGAGTATCTTGGCATCGCCCCTTCGACCAAGGTCTATCACTCCAAGGACATGGTGATGCACATTTCGCACGCCATCACCATCTTTGTCGACGACGGTACCGATCCCCAGCAGTCTGCGTACCGCTACCACACCATTCCCATTTCGATCACCTCGCCCTCGCGTGGACAGTGGGAGTCCATGCTTGACATGTACAAGGACGAAGCCATGGATGCCGTTGCCCGCCGCGAAGCGCACTCTGGTAGCGACACCAGCGGCGACGAGTGGTGGTACCCGCCCGAGACCAAGGACGAGCGGTTTGCCGAGGATGACACTGCGCAGGCCGCCATCACCCAGAGAAGCCGCCACGTCCGCAACATCAGTGTTGCGCTCTCGAGCATCTCGGCGACCGACCTGCCGCCGTACGAGTCTGACGTGCCGCCCTACGACGTCGCCACGATGGCAGCGCCTGTCGCCAAGACCACGGATGCCAAAGAACCCGAGGCCCAGAAGGGCAAGTTTGGCTTCCTCAAGTTCTGGGGCAAGTAATTTAGCTGCCTTGAAGCCAGGATGGTCAGCGATGGCATGCCTTGGTTTCTGTCCCGGGCCCTTCTTCCCCTCCCTCCCGTCGCCTTCCATCCATCCCATCGAGAAATCCCCGATTTTTACCCTGATGATCAAGGCGCTGCCATGCGCCGTGTACCGTGTGCCGTTTGAAGAATCGTTGGAGCAAGCTGGAACCAAAAATACGGAGTATCGGACCTCCTCCATCCACCATCACGAAAGGAGTCGCCATCCACACACACACACCATCAAGTCATAACGCAGAACAACCTGCTCGACATTGATCGGCAACGCACTTGGCATATCCATTCAAAACCCACCGAAACAGTCTCTGCCATGGTCGAGAGAGCTCGGCGCTATACCTCCGCACAACACACACTCCTTCGAACCTCATATTCTGCTCGCCGCTGCTCTCTCGCTCGCACTTTTACTCGCCTGCTCGAACCTGATTGGGCTCGGTCTGACTTTGCTCGACCACCAAGCTTTTTTCTTCCACCTTGAGTCATCTGTCCTTGGGGGGGGGGCGTAATCCAACAATCGTCCTCCTGCGTCTGTTCTCGAGTCATGTCCATGCTCTCTGTTTTTCTGGTCAATGGTTGGACACGTTTTTTCATCTCCCTCGCTTTTCCACTCAGTGTCATGATCGATACTCTTGTTGATCTTGGGAGCGGCAAATACACTATTGCATTCCAGTGTCCAATGCCATGCAAGAACCGCCGCCAAACAGAGACATTGGAATGAGGGGGGGAGGGAGGGAGGCTGTGGTGGCGAACAGCGGGTTTGCAATCGGTCGGACAGCCAGGAAGCGGTCTTGGGCACCAAACGGTTGTCTGGTTCTGGCTGCTGGCCGCTGACCGCTGGCCGCACCGATCCCGCTTTCGGGACAACAACCGCCTGCTCTGGCGCTCCCCACCGATCCGCATCGACCGCCCCCATTCAAAGCACCAGCGCATTGTGGTACCGTCACATTCTCCTCCTCCCATTCATTCTTATCATCATCCTCGGATAGGCCATTTTATCGCGGCCGATCATTGCTCTTGCCCCACGACACAAAGTCTGTCCCCCCCCCCTGCAGACCCAAGATCACACCCAGCACTTCCTCCTCCTCCTCCGTCGCATTCACAGCAAGATGCAGCCCAACTTTCGCAAGTTCTACTACAAGTCTCTGGGCGTCCAGACCATTCAAGCCAAGCTCTCGGTGGAAAACGTGTTCGGCGACAAGGTCCTGGGTAAGGGTGTTCAGATGCGGAACCGAGGGTCTATGTTGCGACGACCAATGGATTGAGCTTGCTGCGTTGCGATAGAAGTATGGAAGGGAGCAACTTGGGTATCGGTCATATATCTCCACACATCTATATTTCACTCATGTATCCACGTCTCTTCGTTGGCTGCCAGATACCGAGAATCTAAGGAAGCTTTGTCTGTGGGTTCGCATCCCGCATTCGGATCGGGTTTCTGTGTGGAAGGTATTGCTCGGTAAGAATATCACTCTCGGAACCTCCCTGGCCCCTCATCTCTTTCGGCTCATGCCTTGCCACTCACATCGCATTGTCTCGAATGAATGAACGAACGAACGAACGAACGAATGAATGAATGAATGAACGAACTGACTGACGAACGCTTCATAATGGCTGCAAGGTGTCCTGCCGCTCGCCAAGGAAGCTTGGAGCGACGTCAACGAGCAACGACAGTCCCAGTTTGAGGCCCTATGGACCGCCGAGCGACTCTTGTTTTCATCAACATCGTAAGTGGACAGGAAGGTGTGGTGTTTGGGGAATAGCCTTGGGACGAGGCCTGGCTGGACCGAGATCATCGTCATTGGCTCGCATCAGCTACAAGAGTCGTCCAGCGACAATACCGGTGGCTTTCCCCGACTCAGAAACCCGGCTTTCTCAACTTTTCGCACCGCTGGCCTTTGGCATCGGGTGGGAGGTCGCCCAGTGAATCGCTCCGACAGCCGGTGCTCGATCCAGATGCGCAAGCGACCAACCTCGATGCGGCCGCACACAAGATCCATCGCATGCTGCGGCTCTACATGGCAGCGCATAGCCGGTCGCTGAGTCCGTGGATGCAGATTCCGGCGCTCTCGGACCAGTTTGTGCATGTTGCCAGAGCCTTGCTCGAGATTTGCGATCTGAGTTGCATGGATGCGTTTTGGCTGCTCAAGGGCTTCTGGAAGGGCCTGGAAGGCGAGACCACAAAGGTAGATGAGACTTGCCCAATGCTGGAGAGAGTCCTCCCCCCCCCGTTCGACAAAATCCAAGCAATGTGCACACTGCCAATGTTCGCTGTGAAGGGAAGCTGATAGCCTGTCCCTCGCGGGTACAGGAGTCGATCGACAATCATGTCGCCGTGCTGAACTCGCTGCTCAAGACACATTGCGAGCCGCTCCATCTCCATCTCGAGATCATGGGCGGTGACTTTGCCGATATTTATGAATGGTACGACCCGGCGTCGCTATGGTTACTCTGCTAGCATCAGCGGCAGCCCGGCATGCGTCGGATCGATTAACGCCCCCACTATCCGCCTTCAGTTGGTTCGGCACCTTGTTTGCATGCATCATTCCATCGCAGCCTCTGGAGAGGTGAGTCGCTGGATTTGAGTGAGCTACCGGGAATGAGTGAGTGTGGCTGGATTCGAGTGCAGATACGAGTGCCAGGAAGAAGGCGCCTGGAACCATGTCGACAAACTGCACAAGCACCAACACTGAACGAGATCGCTTCGTTCCATCGGCACACCCATTCAAACGCAACGCCCACCTCCGGATACATCGACACGCCGATACATTTCATGTGTCTACTCGCTTTCGAATGTCCTTGGCATCCTCGTCGAGCCCTGCGCACAGTATCTGGGATATTGTGGTCGGCGGGGCATCCGCTGTGTTTCCGTACATTGCCCTCGAGCTCCTTCTCTCGGTCAAGACTCGACTGCTCTCTTGCCGAGACGCAGCCGAAATGGTCGCTATTGTCAAAGATGTGAGTGCCCGCTGCGTTGTGAGCGCGACTGAATCGCCGTGAATATGCTGAGGAGGCAGTACTTGATTTGGTTTGTTTGCTTGACAAACAACAACTCCATCCCTCTCTCCGTACAGATCGAGAATGTCGCCGATATGGACAGCGTCGTCAATACGGCCATCGGCCACTGGGAGAAGCCCATTCTCGCCACAATGTCCAAAGACAACCGTCGAATTATAGGGTATTGAGCGGCGTCGGCCCTCAATCCTTGGCCCATCATCTGTCCAAATTGCGCTTTGGTATCATTTGCTTCCACCACCCGGAATGCCGACACCCATGTATCTATGTTCACAATCAATCATACTCTTTGCCCTTTCCTTCGACACTTGCATCACACAGCGAATCAGATAATATACGCATCGTCATTGAACAGAGGCGGTCACAGACGAGGGCCTCTGATTCTTCGAGCGCAGTGCAGGGAATTCACTCTTACCGAAGCTTGACAACAATGATCGAGAGCAGCAATGGCGGTGTGATGACGCAGCGAGAAAAATAGTCAACAAGGCTCCATGGTATCCGCTGCCTATCGCTCTCGGCTCTCTCCCTTTACCGCTATATTCAGACACCATAGCTACCATTGTAGTGTTTATAGGGTGTAATTTCGCTGGTTGACATCGTTCGGAAGCAAGCGAATCGATTCCGAGACCACAGAGTCGAAATAGCAACGAGGCTATCTTGCTGCACCCAAATCATTCAGAACATGTGGACCTTTCGGCCATCTCTTTGGAAAATGGCCCCCAGTTCCTTGAACACGGGCATTTTCGTGTGGTTTTTCGGCTGCCGGACTCGGCTGAGCTTCGGCATATCGGGAAGCCCGCCAGTCGAAGCTAGATTTTGTACTTCCTTGAGGCTCAAGGTCGTGACCGAGTCCAGACTCGGAGGTAACATCGAAAAGTTGCTAAAGGTCGAATGGAGCTCGAGATACGAGACCTGCGACAGATGCGGACACTCACGCAGGGATTTGAGCCTCGACAGGCGATACGGCGGCGACACGAAGCGCAAGTCCTGGAGGGCCGGTAGAGACTGCGGAAGGCCTTGCAAGTCCTCCAGCGCTGTGGAGAGCACGAGAGCTTTGAGGCTGGGTGCGGCTGGGAACCCGACAAGCGATTTGAGCCGCACGCAGCCCCCCAGATCGAGTTCGGTTACGTGAGTCAACTCCATGGGCAGCCCCTGCAGACTCAAAAGCGAGCGCGGAAGTATAATGTGACTCAGCTGCGGTGTCTGTGGCAAGCCGTCCAGCAAGGTGATGTTGTTGCAGTCCCTCATATCAAGTCGTTCCAGCGATTCCAGCTGGACAGCTGCCATGTCTAGGCGCTCGAGACAGGGCGGGAAGGATAGCAGACGGATCCTGGGCATGTTCGGAAGACCTCTGAGGGACGTCAATTTGAAGCAAGACTGGAGACTCAGGTTATTGACCGAATCGAGCACGGGGGGCAGTCCTTCGATAGATTTGAGGGTGCTTGGCAGATAAAGGCTCTCGAGCTTGGGCATCGTGGGAAACCCCTTGAACGATTCGAGCTTTGCACAGCCAGCCAGATCGAGCTGGTTGAGCGAAGGAAAAGTCGAGGGCAGCCCTTCGAGGTTCTTGATGGGGGCGACGAGCGAGAGATAGCAAAGCAACGGAGCGGCCGCCATCCCCTTGAGAGACCAAAGACCCGGCGCCTCTATCGTCAGCGACTTGATCAAGTCGAGTCGATTTGGCATGAATTCGAGGGTACCGATTGATGCCGAAAGCGTGAGAGTGCTCATTCTTTCCAGCTGCACAAGTCCATTTGCCGATCGCAGTCGCGAGCAGGCCGATAGATCGAACTGCCTGGCCAAGCAGATGCATTTGGGCACTCGGTCCAGCGACTCGATTGATGCGGGAAGAACGAGAGATTCCAGCTGGAGCTTGTCTGCGCTGTACGGCGGTCCTGAGTCCTCATGTTGGCCTGCAGATTGGTCTGCACCTTTGTCCTGCCCCCTATCTTCGTCGGCGGGCAGACTCGGCGGCTGGCAGAATTCGTCCAAGCTCGACATCGACCCAGCGATCGTTAGCGAATCGAGCTTTGGCGCCAATGAAAGCGTGTCGGAGAGACCTTCAGGTCTATCCACAGTGATGTAGTTATATGCAGGCTTTCCGAGCAAGCCACAAAGTGCATCGGACCCGCTGAGCGGTAGTGTCATCCACAGCTCGCGCAAGGATGAGGCTGCAGAGCGGGAATGCTGGCCCTGGTCAGCGAGACGATTGCGTTCGCGAGATTCCTTGACGCAGTGGATCCAGTCCCAGATATCGCTGAGACGCTGGTTGGACTTTGGCAGCTTCAGTCTTATCAAACGTGGAAGCGGCGGAAGACCCTTGAGCGACTTGAGCCGGCACGAGTCCAGCATGTCCAGAGTTCGAAGCTCCTTGAGCTCGGCTGGCATGCCGTCGAGTGATTCGATTGATCGAGGAAGTCTGAAAGATTCTAGACTCGGCAATAATGGCAGCCCGACGAGGGAGGTGAGCTGCGTGCACTCACCAAGGTCGAGCACACTGAGCGCCTCGAGATCGTGAGGAAGGATCTCGAACGTGCTGATGCTTGCTGGGAGCCTGAGCGTCGTCAGTCCAGACAACGGCGACAGCCCCTCGAGGGATGTGAGATGCGCACACGCAGAAAGATCGAGGATATCGAGTTGCTCAAGCTCCTCTAGGGGATAGCTGAGGCTGGTGAGTGAATCGGGAAGCGTCAGTCTCGTCAGGTTTGGGATCAGAGGCATGCCCTCCAGGCTCTGGATTGGATTGCCACATGCAGTCCTGACAATCGCAAGGTGGTGGATCGCGAGCAGCTCCGGCCAACCCGACAGCGATGCAAACGAGCAATCGATAAGGGTCAGGTCGCCTGTTTCATCCGAGAGTAACAGGGCATATTCGTGCGGCAGGAGCCCAGCCGCCTGGGCTTTAGTGTGAAATGGATGATAGTCGAAGCGAATGATCCGATAAGTTTCGCCAAAGATGGATTCGTTGGTGCATTCTCCGCACGTTGTCTCTCGCATGATATTCGATGCATCGATGAGGCGGAACTTTTGTGCGGGATCGAGGTCTTGAAGTTTCGATGGATCGATGTACGCCGTGCAGTGACAGTGATGCACCACGCTCTCTTGCATGGCTTGGTACAAGAAGGCCGAGAGTCTTGACTTCAACGCAGGCGACCTGGCAAGGGCCCACCAAAGCTGAAGCTCCCTCTGGTACGCCTCAAGGCTTCGGGGGAGGTCATTCTTGCGGCTGAGGAAAGAACACACTCCCTCGAGGACGGCTCTTGGGTCAATGCTCGGAACACTATCGAAGATCGACTTTGTGAGCCCCAGATGACTGTAGAGCTTGTCGATCCACTGGTTGTTGCCAACGAAGGACAGGATTCCGGCATAACGTTTGGCGAGGCAAGGGAGGCGGCTGAGGGCCGGCAGGCTGACAACCTGGACAAAGGCCTCGTTGCAGATCAGGATGGTCAGGAGATCGTGGCTGTCGAGAGAACACTGGGTCTCGGCGTGCTTAAGCTGCGACTGCATTCGATGAAGCAGATCTGCAGGTGCGGAGTCGATCCTCGCAGATTTGACCGGAGAGGAGCGGTTGGCGGAGCGCAGCCTCTTTGGTCCCATCAGGAGGGGTGGGTAACGGCAGCAGGGTGGGGAGGAGAGGCAAAGGAGGGCAAGGCCAGGCAAAAGAGCAGAGGAGCAAAGCAGGCGAGGAACATTCGTGGTGGGTCGTGCGGTGTGGCGGCAGGGATCCAGGGTAATCTTGTAGCTCGGATGCCGATCAAAGTCTTCGATTCATACAAGCCACACGAGCCATCTGGACAGCCTCGTCGAGCGGTCTCTCGCCAGCCGAGCCTTTCGATATCATTTTCCTGGTCAGTAGGATGAGGTGCAGGCTCGACGTTGACCGGGGTCGTCATTGTGGAAACCACTCACTTTCTTTGGCGATGTAATCAGGAGGCAACATTGTGGCTGAATCGCCCGATCAGCGACGCCATCCATGTTGGTGCCGATGTTGCTCCAACCGTCGCTGGTGGACAGTCCACGAGCATTCAGGTGCCCTCCACCCTGGTGCCTGGTCGGTACATGATGCAACTATGCTTGCCATTGACAACCCAGAAGCTTTGCTACGGCGGTGCCATTGCGCTGACCATCCAAGCCGGATCAACGCCCCCAACCACCACCACTACCACTACCACGACAACCACTACCACCACTACCACTACCATCACTACCACCACCGCCACCACTTCCTCCTCCTCCACTCTCTCCTCCTCTTCCACCTCATCAGACGTAGCTTCAGTGCCACAGGTATGCAATGACGCACCCACAACTGACAAATGGAGGGTTATCTCACCGACACAAATTCACAACACTCCTTGACACCTCACATCGCTTTACGATCCAGCTCCCCACAGCAAAGGCACCTCCTCCAGGCATCCTCACAATGAGCTTTGGAAATGGCTCTCCCATCCAGACTCAAGATCCAGTCCGACCGCAGCCCATCCCTGCTGCTGGCTCTCCAGCCGGCGGCGCTGACTCGAATACTGCAGGCCCCGATAAAGGCTCCAACTCGAGCACCATCATTATCACGGCATCGATCGTCGGAGGCTCCATCGTGTTGACCGGTGTCCTGGTGGCGTGCATACAAAACCGACGGAAGGCTGCCAAGCACCCAGCTGCCAGCCACCATCATGATCTCAGTAACATCGATCCGAATGCTGGGGCTCCCCGAGATCAGCCAGTTGCACTTCAGGATCATGAAAAACAAGGTGGAACGTATAGGCATCTTGATGCTCCTCCTCGATCGTCACTACTCCAGGCCACCTCAACATCCACCAGTCCCTCCCAGTCCCAGCCCCTTCACCATGAAGTACCCACCAAAGTGAGGCTGGCAGATTTGCCGCCGCCCTATTCGATTGCCTCCTCGTCCACAGGCACCACGACCACATCGGACCGCTCGCTGTCGCCTTCTGCTGTCCAGGGCTATGTGGTCGTTCCGGTCGCGGGTGCTGCACATCCAAGACTCGATTTTCGAGAGGTGACGACGACCCGCCCGGCAGTCGAGCCAGAGGAAATTAGCATCACACTCAACCAGCGAGTCGTGGTCCTCCAGGAGTTGCCCGATGGCTGGGCTCTGGTCGAGAGCGACAAAGGCGAGCGAGGCTATGTCCCACTCGACCATCTGAAGAAGATTTGAATACGAGTGGATCCAGACCAAAGTGGATGCAGGCATACGCATATCATCTCAGCGGTCGGGTGTAATGGTGTTGCCACAAATACTATGGGGCAATCGTACCCCTGTTGTCTGGATTGCGAATACATTCACGCCGACAAGTGCGTCGCTATATATTGATTCGCACATGCAGAGGCAATCGCTCGAGATCTTGAAACAATGGATTGGCTGCCAGTTTATCATCTGCGGTGTGTGAACATGGCCATAGTTCGACCACATTATGGCATTTGCTTGGCGGTGCATCGAGACCGGCCGGATGGCTATTCCAATGGGGCCTCGGAAGAACCAGATGACGGAGCCAAAGCAACATGGCCAAGAAGGAAAGACGAAAGCAAATCGAAATCGTCACGACAAAGGACAAGTTGCTGGATCTGATATCTCGGATGTTGTCCGCTGGCGGTAGTGAGAACCCGATGCGACGCAGGAAGGACTGGATGCCGACAGTGCAATCCACCACCATCTTCATCACCATCCACCACACACCACACACCACACACCACACACCACACACATCTCAATGTTGGATCAATCGTGTTCAGTGTCTGGCAGTCAACAAGACTCGGCCGCAGAACGGAAGGGCAGCGAGACGACACTGATCGATCGGTCTGCCCAGCCAGCACAACATCAGTGGCGGCCGGTGCGGGTGAAGGGACGGACATCGGGATACTCCTCGTCCTTGAGCTCGGTCTCCGCCGCCGTGGGCTGGTCGAGATAGGACACCCGATCCAAGTGGAAGAGACTCTTCCTGACGACCAACTCGGGCGAGGGACACGGCGTCGGGTAGATCGAGCGAGTGTTGGTGTTGTCGACCCTGAAGGACAGGTCCATCAGCATCCGCATGAACGCAAGCAGGGCGTGGTTATCGGGCGATGGGTTGCGCCAGATGATGGTCCTGAACTTTTCGCGAGTGTCCTGCAGGACGGTCCAGCCAACGGAATCGGCGATCTCGAAGACACGCTTCTCGGTGATGACACTGCGAGTGAGTGAGTGAGTGAGTGAGTGAGTGAGTGAGTGAGTGAGTGAGTGAGGGGTGATTGCGATGGCCAACGATGTCCGCCATCAAACATGTCCATCTGCGACCCGCTCAATGCCAAGCACAGCATCGACTGACACCCACACCCACACTCACACTCACCCTCCACTCCACTCCACACAATCCTCACCTGTGCTCCGAGTCGCTGATGTGGAACACAAACTTGGACAGCGCCTCCTCCGAGCTGACAATCTCGGCAATCACCTTGGCAACATGGTCGACTGGATCCATGGTCCAAGTGACGGGACTGGCGTTTGCCGGGCAAATGCCGAGCTTGATGCATCCCTCGACGTATCGCCAGATATAGTCGTCTGTGTTGCACACTGGAGGATGGAGTGAACAGGGTGAGAAACAGTGTCGGTCGATGGATGGGTGTCGCTTGACAAACAAGATCATCAACCCATGGCCAAGTCGAGGGAACGAAGGAGGGAATCCCCACCACCACATCACCTCCTCACCACATCACACATCACCACACCACCACGGCTCACCTCCGTATCCGCTGTCGCCAGCAATGATTGCTGGCCGAATGATGGTTGCAGGCACGCCCCTCGATCGTGCCTTGTTGATCAGCTGCTCAGAGACCCACTTGGTCTGCGAGTAGCCGCCCGACAGGTTCCAGTTGGAGTACATTTTCTCCTCGAGCGGCTTGTCGGAGCCCTTGGCCATGGCAATCGTCCCGATGGTCGAGATGTAGTGCACCACCTTGAGATGGTGCGTCGTGGCCAGCTGCAGCACCGTCACCGTGCTGAGGACGTTTGTTGCCTTGAGCTCGTTGTAGTTGTAGAGCCAGTGCACCTCGGCGGCGTTGTGCACAATCATGTCGGTCTCTTCGCAAATCTCCTTCCATCGCTCGTCCGAGAGTGCCCATCGCTCCTTGGAAACGTCGCCGCGCAGACCAACCCACCGGTCTCGCACGTCATACCACGGATCGTTCTTGTTCCGCGATGCAATCACCAGCCTCGAGGCGTTGGAGTAGGTGCGGAGGAAGGCCAGTTTCTCGGTCTCGGTTCGTGCCAGACAGTAGATCTTGGCTCGAGGGAACTTGTGTGCCAGCTCAAAGATCAGGAATGCTCCGAGGAAGCTGGTTGCACCCGTCAGGACGATGCCGCGGACTTCCTTGGGATAGACAAACGGAGGGAAACCCTCGGCCGTCACACTCGCATCGTCGAGCTTGGCAGCCTCGGCAGCCAGATCGATTGTCGGCGGAATCACCAGCTTGTCGTCGAGAATGTCGACGACCAGCTGGGCGACATCCTTGGGACTCATGCTGTTCGACAGCAGGATCATTGGCGAGATCTCGACACCGTACTCCTCCCTGAGGGCGAGGGCCAGGCGGCCGATGCTCAGCGAGTCAAAGCCGACGCCGCCAATGTAAAAGTTGCGGCCGTAGAGACCAGGGTTGTCCAGGATCTGGCTGCTGAACTCGGAGATCTTGAAGGCAATCTTGGTCAAGAACGTTCTGGTGACCATGAGAGCCGGGTAATCGACCGCCTGGCCGTACTGCTCGACGTTCTCGGCGATGCGCTTGAGCTTCTTGAGATCGACCTTGCCCGAGTCGTTGAAGGGGAACTCGTGGAGCCTGAGGCAGTTGTGGATGGGGACCTTGGAGACGTTCAGCAGCAAGAACATGTCCTCGACGACTCGGATGATATCGGCCGAGGTCAGGTTGGGGTTGTATCCTTCCTGAAGGATGTAGAGCAAGATGATCTTCCTCTCGGAGGTGTGGATGAAGTAGCAGTCGGCGATGACCTGGGACAGGTGCTTGTGGACAAGCTCCTTGAGGCCGTTGAGGTCGACATAGACACCGTTGACTTTGATCTTCTGGTCGAATCTGGAGGGTGAGGTGTGAGGTGTGAGGTGTGAGGTGTGAGAATGAAAGTGATCAGTATCCAGCGAGCAAATGGATCGGAACCAAGAGTGTGGATGGCAGTTCTCATGGATCAAGCACACAATAGTCTCCAGACTCACCTTCCAACAACACTGAACTCCTTGTCGCTGACCATCTCGACCCAGTCCATGGTGCAGACTCGGGGCGAGCCATCCACGAGGAAGCCGAAAGTCGACAGCTTGTCGTTGGGATCAGCGTTGACAAAGTTCGGATGGTCCTTGGCAGGATGTTCGGGATCGACGGCAAAAACCAGGATTCCGCTGTTGGAGTACCGTGGATCGATGATCTCGCCTTTCTCGTCAAAGAGAAGGCAGCGCACGCCAGGTTTGGCCAGCTTGTAGACCAGCTTCTCTGGGATGGGGCTGTCGGCTGGAATCCGAAGAAATGAAAATGCTCCTACGACTCCTGCCTGGTGGAGTAAGTGCGTCAAGTCATTGCCAGCTCATTGATGATGCAAACCTAGTGACGTGGACTGTACCTCACTCGAGCCATATATCGACTGAATCTCGGCATTTGGGAATCTCTCCCTCGTCATGTGGATGACACTCATTGGTACGAGTTCTGCGCCAATCAATATTTTCTTTGTTTTCGTCAATTTGACATTCGGGTTCCGGGAAACCGCGGTGCTGATGATCAACTTCATGAACGAGGGAGTCTGAGGGAGGATGAGTGACATCAGCATGTGAACAAAATTACTCCCGAATATTTAGTTGTCCACGACCTACTATTAATACAAAGGCAACACCGTCATCCAAGATTTGAGCAACATTCCTTGCTTTCTCGACAATATTGTATGTGGGCTCTGGAAGCCACACGGATCCTTGAAGATTGAGTGCACTGAACACGAGTGTCAATGTTGCCGCAAATGACGGGGCCTACGAATAGTCCATTGTCAGAATATCCATCACTAAATGCTCGTCGATGTGTTTCATCGCGACCTCCATTCTTACCTGCAGGAGCCCGACACTACACTTGCTGATCCCGATGGATGTTCGAATAGTGATAGCTCCAGTGTGTGGGAACTGGAACCTGCAACAATCAACATCAAACACAAAAGGATTCAGTCAACGAGTGGTGATGTGATCACTTTGGGAATGTGAACAAGCATCAGGTGCGACACAGAAACAGAATTCACAGCATCAGAAGCCACAGGAGAACTCACGACTTGGGGATGCCTGTGGGAGTGACGAGGAGCCAGGATGCAGGACGAAGGAGTCGGGTTGTGGGTTGGATATGCATCGTCAGCGTATCACCTTCCACATTCACCGCATTCACCACACTCACCACATCCACCACACTTACCATCTTACTCTATCCACCACTGCACCATCTGCTTTGCTGCTGGACCATCACGCTCAACCACCCCACATACCCGTTGTTCCAGAGGTGCAGGCGATCGCTACTAACTCATCAAGGGGTTCACAGACTTCGAGAGACGGGGGTGGGACGTTGTCCAGCACTGGGAACGTGGTGGCATTGACCAGCGTCACTCCAATGGTGCGGCCAGGCTTGGTGTGGTGGTAGAGGATGTACTTGATGGAGTATCTGTTTCGATTGGAGTCAAGGTCGAGTCAGGTTGGGCACAGAGGTCTCCGGGATGTCAATCTCCTGAGACACACGTGAGACCAGCACAAGGACAAACCTCTCGCACAGAGCCTTGCGGGCAGCAGCAGGCAGATTGAGAGCGAGGTTGAGTGTTTTCCTGGATGGCAACAAGGGACAGATGAGACTCGATCCTGGTCATGGCAGGGACAATTCCCAGTCATGTCATGCACAGACAGACCAGACCAGACCAGACCAGACCAGAGATACTCACTTGCCCAGCATCCACACAGCAAATGAGAAGATCACCCAGCTGGCTTCGGCCTCGCAGAAGGTGCCGATGACCTCGTGGTCGTCGTCGTTCCAGCCAGGGAGAGCCTTGAGAGCCTGGGCGACCGAGTACGCCTGCTTCCACACACGGAGATAGCTGAGTCGCTCCGAGGCGCCGCTCTCATATGTGTTGATCAGGAGGGCATCGGGCTCGTCGCGGGCAATGTTGACGAGGCACTCGACAGGATGGAGCCAGGGACCCAAGGGATCGGGCGGAGAAGGGAATGTTGGTTGTTGGGAGACAGGGGTCTGCGAGGAGACATCTCGGTCGTCGACCGGGTCTGCGGACCCTCCAAAACAACAGGAGATGGCCCTGAGCATGCCGGGGTTGGGATGGAAGCGACAAAGGTGCCGATGCCAAAGCCAGATGGGGGCAGGGGAGCGAGGAGGGAGCCGAAAGGGCGAAACGAGACAACGATGACGAGGGGAAAGGGCGAGGGGAGCGCCTTTTGTCGGTCTGGGCAGCCAGGAGATGACGGCTTGGTCTGGCTGCTTGCCAGATTGCATTGAGCGAGTGCTCGTGCTTCCTCTCGAGCTGCTGAGTCTGCCAGCGTGACCGGCTCTGTGCTTGGGCGGTGGGTCTGGCTGGTTGCCCCTCGATGCTGTGCTGTTGCCTCGCCCAGCAAGCTGCTTGCAAATCCACTGTTCAGCCAGCGAACAGTTCACTCGGTGGGAACACATGGGCAAGTTCGACACTCTTATGTCTTTGTTTGTGTCTGGCTGGCGGATATTCATTGTGGCCACCAACAGCACAAATCACACCACGGCACACAACGCACCACAGCACAAATCGCCCCCTCACCCAGAGGAAGAATAATCCGTCCGCAGTCCAGGGACAGGCTCGATTTGGTCTCTTGGACAGAGGTTGATGATGATCCTGGTATGAGGACACCAACTCTGACTGGGTCGTCCCGCAACAGCACATCTTGTGGGCATCATCGAACACACAAGTGAGACGAGCCGCTTGCTCAAGTGCAATCTTGCAATCGTTGTTCGTCGTTGGTTGGGAGCACGGTCTGGAGGCCGCGATTGTTTCCAGTCCCGGTTGACATCGCTCGGGTTTCGCTGATTTCGAGAGCATCGCCTTGAACATATTCGGTCGATCTCCTGTGGTGACGATCAGCCGGCATTGATGTCGCGATGTGAGGGTGTGAGAGATGCATCCATTTGAATAATGTGTGTGTTCGCTGTACTTGGTCATTTTATTTCGCCAAGCGTTCTTGGGCATTTCATTTTTGATGTATGAGAGAAGCATATTCGATCAGAAGCGAGAGATGGAGAACCGAGTCTCCCCTCCCCCCAGTCGACTGGGGTGCAAAGGCAGGGGAGAACGAGATTGTACAGATGCTAGAGAGAACACAATCGGAAACACAAAACAGAACAAAACAAACGGAAAATGGGGACGAAAACAAAGCGAAATGAACACAGATGGGGCACCGAGAATCATGGGATCGGAGCCTCCCACTCGAGAGTTGGGGCAGAGACACATCACAATCCAACTCAAATCTGCATGAACAAACACACAAGCAAACACATAAGCAAAAAAATAAAAGTCTAAAAATAAATATTGGGTAGTTCTTTCGTTTCTGTTGAGCCGGAGGTGGCGGTCTTGGACGAGTGGAAGACGCACCATGGATTTCAATGGACATAGGAGGCGACGTGGGATAAAAGGCAATCGCAGTGCTGGGGTTGGGAACATGTGTCCCTCCACACTGATCGATGGAGGGACAACCGCAATGGGTGATGCTGGAATGGCCAGCTATGAGTGACTGGGGTCTCCGCCAAACCGGCGAGGGCCACTCAGGAGTCAAGTCGACCGAACCAAGGTAAACTAAGAAAGAGCCAGGTTGCGGTCCACTTCCGGACACTCGATCCATGACAGCATGAACAGAGAGGGCAAGTGGGAACGTGGTCATCGCTCGGTATTGACTCGACGAACAATCAAAAGAGCACCAAAGGCGCAAAAAGAAGAGTGTTGCAAGATAGAAGCCAAATGGAGAGGCCGGATGGAGAGGTGAGATAGAGAAGCCAATGGGAATCCAGTTCCAAAACGAAAACAAAAAAAAAGTGTACATGCGGTTGTATTGATTGCGGAGGAGATTGGGAGTGGTGCGGTGGAAGATGTGAGGGCGTTGAAAGGGGATGAAGTATGATGATTTGCAGACATGCAGCACGGTCGAGACAAAGCGCTGGGGCGGAGATGCTTGAGAGAGAATGTGTGCAAGTGACTGGGGGAGAGGGGGGTGACGATTGCTTGATTGCTTGATAGCTTGTTTGACGCTGAGAAATGGATGCCGGTGACGGCGGCGACGGAAAGGCGTTGGATGTTGGAGAGGGCGGTGGCGTGCGGTGCGGGACAGAGCCAGTCTATCCCATCTGCGCGGCGGTAAGGGTCGCAGAGTTCATGTAGCCACTGCCGTCACCACGGACTCCTATGCCGCTGCCGATACACTGGACCTTCTTTCCCTCCATGACCGACTTTTCGTGCCGCCGCAGGGCATCTCTGCGCGAGAAACCCTTGCCACAGAGATTGCAGTGGAAGGGCTTCTCCTGGGTGTGGATGTAATAGTGCCGCTTCAAATCTGGAGAGGGTGGGCGACAGGAGTCAGTCGTGGGGCCCTCAGAGACAACGGCGCCCGTATACACAGGAGCGGTGATGCCAGTCTTGCTCATCGTTTGCTTGCTTCATCGTTGGCTTGCTTCATCGTCGCCCCACACCCAGCGCCATAGCGGCGAGTTCGGGCACCATGCACACGACGGCAGTTCGGCCGGCATACATACCATGGCTCCGGCTAAAGGTCTGCGGACACAACTTGCAGTAGTACACCTTGTTCTTGCCTGGGGTGTTCTCGGACGAGCCCTTGTTCGGGTTCTGCTCGTCGTCGTCGAGGTCGTCATCCTCGTCATCAAGGTCCTCAGCATCGGACACGGGCGCCGATTCGTCGGCGAGTCGACGGCGTGATGATTTCGAGAACTGGTTAGGGGTATGAACTGGCGATCGGTCGCTCGAGGACGATGGCGAGGCACCGGGGTTGGCCAGGCTCCCAGAGTGGCGGTCGTCGGGGGACTGCTGCAACTTGGAGGCCGTGGCGGGGTAGCTCTGGTGCTGGGCCGTGACAACAGCCGTGTTGTGAACTTGGATCTGGTGCTGCTTCAACAGCTCGACCGAGGCGAATGAGACTCCAGTGGGGCACAGGGTGCAGCCAAAGCCTTGCCCAGACATCTCCATCTGGTCCGGGCGGATATAGGTGGCTGCCATGGGGCGGACGTAGCCATAGGATCGGACACCGTAAGGGTGCGTCTGGTAGAGGCCCAGTTCGTGGCCGTGGTAGACGTCGCGGCCAAGCGCCAGGGCCATACCGTTGACGTATGGGTTCTGAGCACTCAGGCCATCGAAAGCATCGCCTTGCAGGACGCCAGGCGCAATGGTGCCAGAGCTGGGGCTCTGTCGGTACTGCGAAGAGGGCGAGGCCACGGAGCGGACGCCGGCCACCTGTGGCTGGGAGCCGGTGCCGTCGGATGAAGACTGCGAGAACTGGCGGACAATGGCAGACTGCGGTCGGTAGTGGGGATGGCTCTGGGAGCTGATCATGCTCATGGTTTTCGGCTTGGTGCTTGCGACGTGGTGGCGCAGCTTCTGGTGTGGGTGCAGGGCATAGGCAGCGGGGGCGGCAAGGGCCGAGGCAGTGGCGCTGGCGGGGATCGAGTACGGATGGGCGTGGGGGAGGTGGGTATAGTTTCCATGGGAGCGAGCCGATCCCGTCGACGATGTGCGAATGGGGCCGCCGCCTATCCGTTGACTGGGCTCGGATGGTGACAGGTAGTCGAGCGCGGTGGGGTGCAAGATTGAGCCTTCGGGCGGAATATAGCCCGCGAGGGACGGGGCCGCAGCGTCGGGGTGAGTGGGAAGCGACATTGGCGAGTTGACCACAAGGCCAGTGGTAGGGGTGGCTGCATTCGAGACCACGGCCTGGTAGTTGGGCGACGTTGACGGCGTGGGCAGATCTAACCAAAGCAGGTGGCAGTGGTGGTCTGTTAGCGAGGCTGTTCACGACTGCCACGGCTGTCGGTTCCAGCGGCTGGGACAGCCAGGCCGCTGAGCAGGCGACAAAGCGATGAGGAACCAACCTGTGGGCTCGTGCGCATGGATGCCTCCAGGATAAAGGTCCGGCAGCGACGAGTCGATGCCGCGCTGGACAGTCGGGGCACGTTCCGAGCATTCGTTGCTCACGGAAATGCCATCGCTCATAGGAACGCTGCTGAGGGCGTCGGCGCCTTCATTGGAGCCAACCATCAGCATATTCTCGTGGTAGACCACTGGGACAGCAGGGTTGGCCTGACTGGCAAAGCTTGGAGCGAGGCCGTTCATGGTCTTGACGATCGAGGATGCAAAGTCAAAGGACAGATCGGCTGGGTCGGCCATGGACTTTCGATCGATGCCGTTGAGGAAGTCGCCAACAATGAATTCAAAGGTGGGGTTGTTTTGCAGATCTGCTTGCATCGATGGTGGCGATGAATACGAATGCAGTCAAGCGGGCGGGGTGGTGGATAATGTTAGGAGACTGAGCTGGAGATAGATACACATGCAGAGCCATGGGAGTCGGCAATGCGGCATGCAAGACAAGTGATCAGATCGGACAGTATTGCGCAGGCGGATAGAGGGTGGCTGGGCTGGCATGAGTCACTGCGGGCTGGGAGAAGAAGCATTGGTCCAGGGGCACGGCCTGTGTGGAGCGGCAATCGCCAGGCACAACAGAGCGGTCGCATCGCACGTACCGTCGAATCCGAGAGTCATACCCGAGGAAAAGTCGACCTTGTCGAGGGCAACTTCGCCGGCCCTGAGGTCGCCACCAAGGGCATCCGGGGCCGCTTGCTCTAGTGATGGGTCAGAGGTGCCCGGGAAGGCCATGGCCGACAGATCTGCAGATTTTTTGTCTGGCGGGGCGGCTATGAACGATGAAAAATCAAGTGGCTCCGGGATGGACAAATCATCGAGGCCGCTGGCCGCCGGATCCAGATCGGACCGCAGGCCGTTCGGGCCAAGGAAGGAGCCATAGCCATTGAGGGAGAAGGAAATATCTGTGGAACAGCAGGGGGAAGAGGGGTGGAGCCGTTAGATCTGATGTCGCACGGGTGCTTGGCGATGGATGCAGCAGTCGGTGGGAATGGTGCTGGTGCAAGGAACCCACCGTCGAAGGGACCTTCGACACCAATCTGATCCAAAAAGCTCGATGCCAGAACACCGATGGAGCGCTCGAACAGGGTTGATGTTGGTGACGGAAAGACGGCGCTCGAGGGCATAATGCTGCCGTACCCAGACGGGGCGGCATTGTCATAGGCTGATGCATAGAAGGTAGGGTGGCTCGGATCGTTCTTGGAAAGGGACAGGGGGTATTGCTGCTGCAGGAGGAGCGGACTGGTGCCCTGAGCGGAGGACGACTGCGACGCAAAGGGGATGAACGGGTCGTTCTGCGAGGACTTTAAGGGATAGAGGCCGACAAAGCTGGGGTCTGGGTGGGAAGGGTGCAGCCGATCGACACCCGAGGACGGCATGGACTCGAACGATGTGTTGGCCATGTGGAACGGAGAGAGCAGTTTGGAAATTGGAGCGGGTGGCGGCTGGAAGGGAGAAGCAGCCAGGGTCGAGGGAGATCAGGTCTCTCGTGTTCTTCAGTACCAGACGAAGCCAGCAGGAGAATGCGCCGCAAGGGACGAAGCGGAGGAAGGGCCTGAGAGAGGGGGTGACGACGGACCGGTGCCGAAGCTGAGATGGAGCGCAAGCGCAGGATAGAGGGGCTCGAGGCCGATCGAACCTGGTGAGGGAGGGGAGGGGAGGACGCAAGGACAGGTCAGTTCCAGAGGCTGGCGGTGAACCCAAAGGGAAAAGACAGCAGCCGAACCCACGCACAGCGACAGAGGGTCGGCAGGGACGGCCGCACGCAGGAGCGGGATGGGCTTATGTTTATCCCGAGGGCCAGAGCGAGCGATGGGGAGGATGGCCGAAAGAGCAAAGGCGGTGGGAAAGGAGCAAAGAAGGGCAGGTCGGTGTGGATGGAATGCCCGGAAGAGGATTGAGCAGAAGATGGATACATATGGTCGAGGAGACCGATGCAGGGAATCAAAGGGATGCAGAGTGGGATCGCCCCCGAAGTGCCGGATAGAATACATCATCAAGACTCGATGTCGTCCACAGCAGCATCGGATGGAAGAGTCCCCATCGGCAGCATCGGATGGAGAGTCCACCAGCAGCACGAGCTGGCACCCAGGGCCTTCAGCGGGCGCGGAGGATCCCGCCGAACGGATACGATCGTCTCCAGACGCTGGACTCCGCGGGTGTGCTCGTCCTGCTGCCGGCCCAGGCGCAACAGCAGACGCTGGAGGGAGAAAGGGCAGAGGATGGGCGGATGCGAGTGCCCAGTCTACCCGATTGCAGCGGATAGCATTACTGCTACTGCTTGGCTGGCCGAGCGGTCGCCAAGCAGAGACTCGCTGCATCTGGTTCCAAGGCAACGCAGAGACGATTCGGGCAACGACGAGGCAGTTCCGTGCGAAGACGAAGCGGCTTCATATGCCCCGACGTAGCAGCTGCCGTCGGCCCAACCAGTTCAGCGGCCGCCATCCTTTTCCCTTCTCGCTGGCCAGGAGCTGAGCTAACACGAGGCGGCAGGCTGCCGGAGGGCTCCTCGGCGATCGGATGCAGATGCCGCAGCGATAGCACATGCGGGCGCCATGGTGAAAGGACGGTGACGGTCATGACGGCGACGGCAAACGGACAACAACATACCTTGCAAAAGAAAAAGAAAAAGAAATAAAAGCAACTGGCACTCGAGCGTCTACGCTTCGAGCAACAGGGACGGAAACGATGCGGGGTTCGGCTGGAAAGACGGGTCCGTACTGGCGGCGACGGCGGGAATCCAGGTACAGACAGACGGGATGCTGGAGACGATGGGTATGGGCAGCGGCGATCGGGGCAAGAAGACGACGGAATATCCAGACGGACAAGAACGGCGCTGGAGGACAAGCGGCCGTCGAGAACGGCACACCGCAACGACGGACAAGACCCGCGGGGGCAGAGGCTCGCCCCCCGACAACGAATGCAGGTTGGCTCGGGATGGTGGGGGGGGGGCCAAGCCGCGGATGGGAACGGGCTTGCAAGGCAGACAGCCTGGCTGTGGGCACAATCGCAGCACCAAGCAGCACAGCCAAGCGCAATCCAGCGCAGGACAAGCGCGGGGGGGGGAGTAAGGCTGGACTGCAGTGACCCCTGGCTCTGGGCAAGACGAGTGTTGTGTCGACGCAGCGTGTTGCTTTCGGCGATCGCAGCACCACTGGTGAAGGGCTTCTGATGATCGGATGCGCTGGGTGGACGGCGAATGTTCTGTTTAGAGTGAGTCTCATGAGCATCGTGTTGATGCGATGGTGATAATTCTGCAGACGCGATAACGATGATTTTGTTGCTGGAGCGATATCATGCTGGTGCATTGTTGGTGCATTGTTGGTGCATTGTTGCTGCATTGTCGCTGCATTGTTGGTGCATTGTCGCAGTGGGCTGGCTCGCTCGCCATTGGCCCCGGTGTGTCGCGGTCCACCGGCGCAATCGGTGCTGTCACGCCCATTGCGACAGTTGGTGCGCAGCAGAGCCTTGCGCAGCCATCGCTAATGCACTAGTTTGTGCGCGCCGGTGACGTGCTGTCCTGTGGGCGTGACTCTGCGCGACGCGCCGCCGAGAGGAGCACGCTGCCCGGCTGCTGGCCAATCGGCTGGCCGACAGAGCACCACACACACACGCGGCGCTGACACATCACCGGCGTGTCACACAGCACAGACGCGACTGCCAGCAACACGTGGAGTCGGGACTGGCCAATGGCGTTGCGGGCTTGTCGAACTCACCAGCGACAGCGATCCATTTCCTGGTGGTGCTGCTGCCCGCCCAACAGCCAACCGGGCTCGTCGATCGCGTGCGCGCGGCGAGTGGTGCGTCGGACTCGGCCCCGTGTGAGTCCGTGGCATTGTCCTGCCCGTTTTGCTGCTGTCGCGCTGTCACAGCGGCGGACTGCACTGCCACCGGCAAGCCAATCCAGCACGTGCGCAGCATCCCACCTGTGCGACGCGGTCGGTGTGTGGCGGACCCCCTGGCACCGCGCGCGTGCCTGTGCGCGTCGCTGGCGCTGCGGCGACTGCGGCCGACTCGGCGCCCGCGCCCCGGGGCGGGGTCCGGCCGCCTGGACCAATTGCACACCGCTCGCCGCCTGTGTTGCACGGGCAGCCACGGACCAATCAGCTGCGCGTATTGTGTGTGCGACACACGTGTGGCTTGGATCCAGCCACCCAGCAAACCAACAAACCAGCCAACAAACCAGCCGCCGATCCGTCCCGGAGAAGCTGATCCTGCTGTCGTGTCGCTGAGTCGCCATCGCCCATCACTCGGAAGTTGCCGAGATGATCAGCTCGGGCAGCATATGGCATATCGGACGCAGGATACCAACGACTACATGTTCGGGCGAGTGCTCCGTTTGTTTCTGAATGCAGCGTCGTAGCCATCGATGCGAGCACCCGACGCTGACTCGCTGTGCACAAGCTGATCGCCACTGCGAGCGCCTCGGTGCCACCCCGCCTGACAGAACTTGCTATCCCAATGGCGATCCGGATCCGGGCCATCTCCGGTGCATCGCTTCCGTCGCCGGTGTCTCCGTATCGGCTGGCCTGCCGGATCGGCCTCGGGCTGTTGTGTCGATCGGCCGGGAAGGGCTTCGGTGCCCTTGCCAACCCTACGAGCCTCGGTCTCGTCGGTCTCGGTCTCGGTCTCGGTCTCGGTCTCGGTCTCGGTCTCGGTCTCGGTCTCGGTCTCGGTCTCGGTCTCGGTCTCGGTCTCGGTCTCGGTCTCGGTCTCGGTCTCGGTCTCGGTCTCGGTCTCTCCCGGTCTCGTGTTTCTGTGCTTGTTTCGTTGGCATTCGTTTGTGCTTTCGTCAACCTTTGTCGAATTCAAGTGTCGGATCGGCCTCCAAACGACGCTCGACATCCACCTCTTCAAACACATTCTCCCTCCACGCACCCTCGATCCACGATCAAATGCCCCGCTCTCTGGCAGGCTTCCTCCCCCTTGTCCATCGGCATCGGGCTCACACCATCATCGCAAAGGGTGCCGTTAATGGCGCTCAGCGTCTCCTCCATCCGACATCATCAAGCGCCTGTCCGTCTGGCCTGCGGATCCTGCCTCTGGCTCGTCCGTACTCTTCCCGCCACCAGGAGCACACCGTCCCGATCGGAGGATTGTCGTTGCCTGAAACCACCCGGGCATCGCTGCCGCCACGGGTCAAGCAACTGGTCGAAGGCTTCCCATCGGTCGTCACATATCCGATCCACTGGGGAGAGCAGGATGTACGTATCCTGCCGCACCACTCAACCGTCTGCCCTCGGTGCACTCGGCACTCGGTGCCATTCGCCTGACTTTGCTGCCATATCGACAACGCTTTCATATCACGCCGTGCCCCGCCTTGCCACAGCCGTCGAGCAGCATCTAACTCCAACCGCTCTGTCCAACGACAGGTCTTTCAGCACCTCAACAACGTCCACTACATGCGCTATTTTGAAAGTGGCCGCATCGCCTACTTTGACCAGATCCTGAAGGCCAACCTCGACCCTGTTCAGGCCCAGGCTTACCTGAGCCCCATTATGACTCCCCCGCATATCGGGCCCATCGTCAAGTCGTGTGCGCTGACCTACCGAGCCCCGGTCACCTATCCCGACACCGTGACCGTCGCAACCCGAGTCCCTCTTGAATCCTTGAAGCCCGATCGCTTCACGCAGTCCTGCATCATCGTCTCGCATCGGCTCAATAAGGTCTGTGCCGAGGGCGAGGCCGTCATCGTGTCCTTTGATTTCAAAAACAACACCAAGACCACCCTCCCGGAGCAAGTCGTCGAGGTGATCAAGAAGGTCGAGACAGAATGGTCCGCTCCGGACACTCCTGCTTTTGAGGGTTAGAGCCACTGCCACACCCACTGCTACCGTCCGCAGCCGTAGACGCCGGCCAGTGATAGACGACCGGGCCGATCCGATGTGGATTGTGGATCCTATCACGGCGCTGTATGCGATCGGCCTTGTACTTGCCCCATGTCCTGCTCACCGCGGCTGTCCATTCAAGCCTGCAGTCGCCGTCAATATCACTTTTGCATCAACAGGCACAGCCTGCCGAGCTGGAACCCGCAGCCAACCCTGAACATAGTGTCCCGGTCGATGGCCGTGGCCATACGTGTCCATGTTCATGCCCATGTTCGTGGCCGCCTCCGTCGTGTTGTCCTGCCGTACTCATGCAACGGCCCTGCATCCATCCCAAGGCTGCATTGGCTTTTCCCGGCGCCATTCTGCCGCCGCATCTCGATAACGGTGGTTTGCATGGCGGCGTGCCGCACCGACAAAGCACCCGGCAGAATCCAAGAGCCCCCACCGTCGTGCACCGGAGACGGCCGTTCGTCTTTCGGGTGCGGAAGCGTTCTCTTTCCCGGGACAATACCCACAGCCGTATGAAAGTGTCGGCGACCCATGAGCGGGGTCCAGCGAGCCCAAGGGACCGCCAACAACACAAGACTACCAGCTTGCGACCCAACCGTCCTGTCGAGACCCTTCGGAGCATGGCCCTTGGCCCCGCCTTGCCCTGGCACCCGCCGCCTGGCGTCGCTCGAATCCGGGCCGCCGATGGCATCTTTGGCTCGGCCTCCACTGCTCCCGCCGACACAGGGCTGGAATGCAGGACAGCCACTTTCCTCGCCGGCCTTCCTCGCCGGCCTTCCTCGCCGGCCTTCCTTTCGTCTCCATCCATCGCTTGCAGGCTCCCTCGCTCATCGCAAGCCCGTTGCTCCCTCCTCTCTGACATTGCTTGAGACCCATCCCTGCCCCTAACACCTCCCCGGGGCATAATTAGGCAGCGCGAGCCACCTCAGTCTGCTCGGGGCTGATTTCTTGCCGCCTGCATACCGTCTATCTGAATCTATCTGTATCCACACATCGTATTGCTCTCCCTCGCCTGCACTGCACTCTTCCTTCCCCCGGCATTTGCCCCCTTGGCCCCTTACCGCTGGCCCCACTTTCTCTTCAAATACTCCTCGCCACCATGTCTAAAGATTCTATCATGTTCCATAGTCTGCTCGAGTCGATTGCGTTCCAGAGCGGCGACCGTCTCGGCCAGACAAACTGGAGGCTCTTGAGCGTCAGGGCCGGAGACGACGGCCAAACCGAGGGTAAGCAAAACCGCCTCCTGGATCTGTGCTGCGTCGAGGGCGCCCTTCCATACTTTTGCTCCTTCGTCTGCTGCTTCCCGTGAGGAACCTGCACAAAAATGCGTGGCCACCACAGGGGAGGGGTCTTGTGGGTCTTGCGACTCGCGGCTGATCGCAGGGGCATGTGGGCTTCCTTCTGTCGCTCCAGGCTCCTCTATCGAGATCGTCAAAGCCGACCCGGACGAGCTCTTTGATGAGTCTGAGTACAGCGCAAGCGACGACGACAACGACGATGGAACGGCGCCCAACGAAGCCGTCAAGCTGATCAGCCAAGCTCCATCGTCTGCCCTGGCTGGATTCGTGCCAGCTCCTTGTTCAGGTAGAGCTATGTCCCTCGCCCAGATCCATGTCCATGTTCATGCCCATGTTTGTTTCCCTTGTTGCCATGCGATTCCATCACTCCCGACCGAGGCAGCCCCGTTGCCGGTTGTCGTCGCTGCACTCACCCTTATCGAAACTGCGGTTGCAGACGACAAGCCAGAGCCAAACGTCGACTTGCTCACGCTGCGGGTATGTATCGGTGACTGTGGTGCCCGCTGGGCAGCCATCGACTCTGAATACTATGTGGCCTTGCAGTGATGGTCTCTCGCTGGTGCAAATGCCGCTCCCGCTCTGCCATCAGCGCAGCGCCACCCCACTGATCCCAGGCGGTGCTGTCGCTTCGTCGACTGCACTTCCATATCGCTCCAACTTCGGTCTGATACATGTCCTCCGCATCTGTGTCTTGGCTACGTATCCCTGTCGATAGAAACGATTCAGCGATCTCCTGCGGCGGCTCTCGCAGTACTGCGGCCTCATGCACTCGTCTCCATCCATCACGGTCGCAGACTTTTGGCTCGAGCGCAAGCACCAGTTCGGCGAGCTCATCAACTTCTTCCTCGACATCTACGAGCAGTTCCAGATGCTGAACCAGAATCTGTCGAGCGGCCGGATGGTCAAGCGACCGGTCCGAGGTGCAGACTCTCACGGCCACTCGCAGCACCTCCACTGTGTCGCTACGGTGCTCCTCGATCTCATGATGTGCAAACGCGCCATCGGCACCCTGGAGCTCTACCAGGCCGTCGCTCGGATCGAAACCGAGCTCACAGCGCCAAAGTTCCACTATGCAAGTTTCCGGGGTGTCGGCGTCATGTACGAGGGCCACGCCGCCGATATCCAGTTCGACATCAGCAAGGCCGCCCAGAGCTTTGAGCGGGCCTTGGGATATGCCCGCGAAGCCGAGGCCCTGCTTGGAACATCAATCGAATGGGCTAGTGTCTGTGAGTTGGATCTCTTCAAGACACTCAGCTGGCTCTGCGGTAAGTATTCCTCGTTGGCAAGGGGAGGAGAGTCAAGCCGGCGGTCGCGTGGGAAGCGCGGCCGGTACCGATTGCCTGCCTGTCTGTACCGGTTTTGATCGTTCATTTGCGTCGTGTGTCCCGGCTGCTTCTCCCGCAGTTCTCTTTCGTCTCACCAACCAAGTTACTTCGCTCGAGGTAAGCCGATGCAGCTCCCACACAACCCGCTGTCGATGCAATTCTCACTCGACCCGAAGCCGATGCAGTTCCCACTTGCAAACTTGCTCACCTCGCTCATCTCGCTTGGTCCGCTCCCGTCCAGATCACCACCAAGCAAATGAAACAAGTCAACTCCACTATGTGTGAGATCGCACTGCGCGAAGCCCATGCTCTCATTCTCCAGAACTATCCCAAGCCAGCGGACGCATCCGCCCCGGCCACCCAGAGTGCTTCGGAGCCTTTGTCCAGACCGGATCCAGTCCAACCCCGACCCAAGGACCAGCCGCCCCAGCGCCGCGTGACTTTTGCCAAAGTTCTCGCCGTCGATATTGATGACGAGCTCGAGGACAGGGCTAGTACCGAGACTGCATCCGACGACGATCCCCAGCCTGTTCCAAATGCCTCGCCCAAGCCGCTCCGCTCCGCTCTCCGGACCAACGGCAAGTACAGCTCGACGCCGTCTCGAAGTCCATGGGCGCATCTCTCCGACACCGCTAGGCTTGCCCGAGGCAACCTGTTCCAGCTGTTTTCCATCAAGAACACTGGCCACGTCTCCGATGCACCACCACCGCCCGAGAATGCAACAGTGCCGCCTCGAAGCAGCACCGGGGGCTCTCGCGCCACTCGGTTTCTATCCGCCGGCCAAAAATACCGATTTCCTTCGCTCGACAGCCTTAGACGCGCTTGGGAATCGCAATTTGCGGCAGACTCGCTGCTGCCCTATCACCATAAGCCCCGAGACCTGCGGCCCGTCTTTGTGCTGCTGCTCCCAGCGATCGCCTCCAGCGCCGAATATGCGGCGGAGCACTCATACAACCTCTACTTTGCTCGCCACTACTTTGCCCAGTGCGAGTTTGAGGCACGGACGCTGCGCATCGGCTCGGCCAGCGTTGAATACGCCATCCGACAGAGCGACATCCTGAGTCGGCCAGGCTCGCTCGAGATGTCGCTGGCGCACTGGCGGCTCTGCCTCCAGCATCAGATGGGTACACATGGACCTGGCCATCCCAAGCTCATCCCTATCTTCATCCGCGTGGCCGAGATTGTGAACCAACAGGCGCGGAAGGACCCGACCCTCTACCGAACCTCAATCGACCTGGCCAACGAAGCCCTCCGACAGTGCATGCGCGCCGCCAGCAGCAACACCATGCTCCTGACCAAGATCACGCTGCACCTCAGCGACACCCTCGTCCGCAGCAACCAGCTCACGGCAGCGATCGAGAACCTGCAAAAGGCAGAGCTGATGCTCATCCAGCGGGCCGGGCTCCGAAGTCGACATCCTGTCGATGCACCTGATCCTCACAGGGCCGTGGGGGCTGTGGACCAGGACGAAGTGTGTATGATCCTGGTGTACTCGCTCATGGCCGACTGTTACAGACAGACAACGCATTCGGCCGCCCTGCGCGGCATTGTTATCGACAGAATCCGGGCACTCTGCCGTGAACTCGAGAACCAAGACCACCGAGAACATCTGCACTGGCAGCATTCGCCCGCACACCAACAGCAGCAGCAGCAGCATAGACAACAGCCGTACCACAATGTGGGTCGCCATACTGTCCACCCAAGCGAAACGCAGGGTCTCCTCTCGCCCGAGCTCGCGGGGCAGTCGTCCGACCCGACCAAGACGTGGAGACTGCACCTTCCCAAGATCTCCAGCAAGTGGATGCAGCAACGCAAGCGCGGCGATTCCGACAGGACGCAGTACGTGCGTGCCAGACAACGAGACCGCCTCGACTGGATGCTGGTGGCGGCCGTTGCGGGTCTGGCTCTCGACTACATCCTGATGCACAACAACGAGGCAGCCGAACGCTGCGTGCGCGACGAAATCATGCGGCGCAAGAGCGAGCACCAGTCGTGGTTCCGTCCGGCGAGCGGGGCCGAGTATCCGGACACTCGCCCAAGCGCTGCCGGACCCGGACGGTTGTCTCCGCCGATGGGACAGCCCGCATCTCTTTCCTCCGAGGCCTCTGTCCGTGCGCACCGCTCGCTCTCAGGATACGTTGCCTCCATGTCTGGCCACAAGATTGCCCTGGACTTTGCCCTCCGAACCCGCCTCCAGTCCGACCGTGTCTGCCACATCAAATCAACCCTGGTCTTTCTCGGCTCGCTGCTTGACGACATCCGGTCCAATCGCATCCTGGATACAGAGCGGTATCGCGAGGGACTCCAACGTACGCCGTGGACTGTGCTCTATGCATCTGCACATGTTGCTCCGACTCTGTTGCGACACCAAGCACTATCCGTGTTGGAATCGGATGGCTCCAATCGAGACCGCAGCGAATCCGGCACCGCTCATCGACATGGGCAGCTCCCCATGGATAGCACAGCAAATGCCCTGGAAACTCCTGATCCGCTATCGCCCTCATCCGGCGTATCCAGAGGCTTCGGCTGGGACAGTTACTTTGACGAGGCAGTGTTTAGCTTGCTGGACGACATGCACCAAGATCCCTTGATTGCGGCGTCCTTTGAGATGCGGACGCAGTGCGGCCTGCCGGACTGCCACAAGTGGGAAGATGTGCCTCAGGAGTTCCAGCGATGCGAACACTGCGCGGTAGTTGCCTACTGCTGCGGCCAAGTAAGTTGTGCTCGCGGATGGTTCGCGGGCCGATGAGTGCGGAGTGGTCTATTCGGATCTACTGTCGATACGGATGTGTTGTCGTTTGGCCATCGGACTCTCCTGACAATCGCACTTGCTCGCCGATCACCAGCACGCAGATCTGCACCACGAACAGCACTACTACGAATGCTCGCGCTCGCGGACGCACCAGTCGACACCATCATTGTACCACGGCATTGCACGGCCTGCATGATGCGCTGGCGACGTCGACTGGCGCGAAAGATACCCCGCAGTCACTGCAAGCCGCCACCGCGATGGCAATGAGGGAGGGTGTGGCTCATGTTATCGTCTGGCGGCTCCCCGCAATGCGCACTTGAATGATTGTCTCTATCGCTGCTGTCTTGCATCGCCCGAGGGCGCAGTGGGTCGTAGGCGATGCAACCAGTCGATGAAGGTGTGTCTGCGGACATTGATTTGGCGCCGAGCGGCACAACACCAGTGCATCGCCGCGGTCACGAGCCCCCTGGGTGGGCGAGGCCAAGTCGTCGCCATCGCCGTCTTGCTCCTCTCTCTCGGTCGGACCACGAATCGCAGCGAGCCCAGGTGAGCTGTGGATATGCAGCGCAGAGGACGCCGGTGCACACGCAGACCTGGCTGGGCTGCAGCCGATGGGGCATATTCCAGGGCCAGGGCGATGTCGTGTGGATGTTTCTGCCATCGCACTGCATCGGGGACAACTCCCAGACCTCGCCTGCCTCTGGACACCCACTTCCTCCGACAGCGGCACTGGGAAGCACCTTGCTGTCGATGCTGTTGGTCGCAGGCGAAGCCAGCACGGCCCCTTGGTCCTTGGATACAGGGCGGCGTCGTGCCGGCGATGTTGGTGGCGGATTCCAAGACACCATCGCGCCGATATCCTCTGCGGCTCATCCTTGCCTCAACCACGACTGACCCGGTCTGCCCTCACTGTCTGCTCTCCTCGTCCCTCCTCCGCATTCCTCACTCGCAGTGGCATTCCCTGAACTTTGTCCCCGTCCCTGGCTCCTGTTCCTTTGCGATTCCTTTGTCGCATTCCGTCTCGCTCGCTTCGTTTTCGCCGCCACTGCCTCGTCCCTGCATCGTTCGTGCTGTCGTCGACATGCCTGCTCTCCACCAGCCCGTCCCTGACTCCACCTCGGAGCAGACTCCTCTCCTGCGCACCCGGTCCGCCCGCGAGGATGTGGATGATCCCACCCGAGCCAGCAACAGATCCGTGGTTCTGAAACTCGTGGCGATTCTGTTGCCCGTTGTCCTGGTCGTCTCGCTGTCGCTGGTATACTTTGTCTACATCCCGGTCAAGATGGAAGGTGGATATCGATTGTCCGATATGATGGCGGGAGCGCTGGTGGAGCATAGCATTGAGTATGCGAAGAATATCCGGCCCCCATCGACGATGAAGATAGCTCAGTGCTCCGATATTTGGATGGTTCTCTCGGGGCAATTGCGGATCGGCCTACATTCTCAGCTGCATTCTCAGCTGCATTCTCAGCTGCATTCTCAGCTGCATTCTCACCTGCATTCTCACCCTGCATCCCGCCTTCTTCCTCTGGCCGGCTATCCCTTCAGAGGCCGCAAACCGACCCAACAGCACTGTCCTCCACGAGCTCTCGATCCTGTCGCTGAATCCAAACAAGTCCGTGAGCATCTTTATCAACACCACGGCGCTGTTCCCCGACGACGACCTGCCCTTGGTTCTTGTTTCGATGCAGTCGTCGCGCGAATACTTTATGAAGCTCGGCAAGGAGCCCCACAGCGGATGGGCCGACAGTGACGGCTACTCGGCACAGGCTGGTATGAGCGCAATCTGGTGCTGCAAAGAGCCAGTGACGACAGCCGAGATGTGCTGCTCCTGGTGACGGAGGGGAGTGCCAAGCATACCCGAGCAAAAGATGGGCTCTGAATCGGTCCCCTCTCGATCGCCACAGGCAAGTGGAACCAAGACTACACTTTCAACACCACGCTCCTGGCTTCGGTGGTCGTTCCAACGGTCGTAACGCCGCCCGGGGCTCACAATGTCACCGCCGCCTTTGTCTCGGTGGTCGAGCAGCTCAACCTCGACTATTACGCCGATTTGCTGCACAAGCTGATGAAGCATGAGCCGCTCGAGAACTTTACGTTCCGCACGCTCTCGATCCCCTCGATGGTGATTCCCTGGCTCGGAAGCTGGAAGATCCCTGTCACCCAGGACATTGCCGTCTCGCCTGGTAGGTGCATCTTTTACGCCATCGCTAATGCGCCTGGCTGTCTGCAGCCCGATGTGATGGCGACATCAACCTTCCGCTTCGAGCACGATTGCTGATCGTTCGCTGATCGTTCGCTGATCGTTCGCTGATCGTTCGCTGGCCTATGCCCGTCAACACGGCCGCTCTCCCGACAGACGAGCCCCTCGATACATCCGTCTTCAACGTCACCACCGACAGCTACTCGTACGGCACCGACCCAAGCAACCCCCTCAAATACGTCGCAAACGCCAACCTGTCATTCACCAACCCCTATCCGGTGACCCTCAAGGCGCAAAGCCTGAGCTACCATTTCAGCATCTACTACGAAGAGGTCGAGATTCTGCGTGGTGCGCTTCCTTCGTCGACACATGTCGACCAGGGCCGCAACCACGGCTTTGGCGTCGAGTTTGAGAGCGTTGTCTCGGGTACGGGAAAGCTGATGGAGGTCTTTGGACGGTTTGCCGAGGGCGAAGACACCGACTTGGTCGTTGGCAACTTGCATCTTGGCTACCACTATGGCCGCAAGAAGCTGGGCTGGGTCGAGAAGCTCATCGGCGACCTGCGCTTCGATTTTGTGCTGCCTGGAGCGCAGGACGAGGGCGACGACTTGAAGACGCTTCCCGTGGCGACGACATGGGCAAAGGTGGTCAGAGCGCTCCTGACAAGATCATAAGCCCCAGGAGGCCCTCTCGATTTGGATCGAGTGTGCTTTGTCAACCGGCGCCATGTCATTTCCGGCAGTCTTCATGAAGAGCCTGTGCCACCGTCTTCTCCCGACAGCCTGTCGCCTTGCTTGTACGAACGCAGCAAATCTATGCCAGTGTCGACACCGAGTTTGGTCACCGCTGGAGGTTTCAGGAGAAGGACCTGTGAGACTGGCCGGCGCCTGGGAATCTGGGAGAAACAAGAGGCAGGCTCATGCGGGTGGTGGTGGGATGTGTTGCCGCTGTGGCATTCCTTGGAGCTGTGCAGCTTGCTGCTGGCGGATCTCATTCCGAGTCGATCTCATGCCGAGTCGATCCCATTCCGAGTCGATCTCATTCCTGGTTGAACTTGCTGCTGTGTCGGCCGCCAGCCAATCAGCGGCCGCGGCTGGCTGTGAGTCAACGTGCATGGGCGAGACGCTTCTCGCTGCGCCGAGGACACAGCCCCCGTCTCGCCCGCGCCGGCCCTTTCCCACGCCCCGCCCAGGCCAGCTCACCACCAGGCCCAATGACTCACCTCTGGCGGCTCTGACGCACATCTACTCCATCGGCCCTTTCTCGCCAGCTCGGTGCCCTCCCCGATGCATCTGCCTGCACCACTCGCACTTGCATCCGTCCGCTTGTCTCGGCGCGTCCAAACCCTCGATGATTCACCCGTCCATCCCGCCGATGATTCACCCGTCCTTCTCGCAGGCTGACACAGCGCCGCCCCAGCTCGCCATGAGTCGTCTATAAAGCCGAGCTGACCCCTCGCAGCCCTTCGCACTCGTGCCCCTTCGAATCACTTCTCCCAGTCGCAACACCCCCTTGCGTCCTGTCCCTCTGGATCGAACACCTTAGGACTTGGATGGTGAGTGCTCTGCACACATGGCAGTCGGGTCGGCACGTATTTCGGCGCTGGTCTTCCGCTCTCGATTGCTCGCTCCCAAAGAATCACCCCGATCTGCGTACCTCCTCGCCCATTCCAGTACTGATGTTTCCCTGCCTTCTTCCGGCCCTGATCATTCACTTTGGCTCACCCATTCACCCGCTCACGCTGTCCGTTCATCTCCGCAGCACCTTTGGACCAACTTGGTTGCTCACACAGCCCTTCAGAACCCCATCTGCATATTGCACCACACCAGTCTACTGTCCAGCCCACCATGGTTCATCTGAATGATCTTGTCAACACCTTCAAGAAGCGATCATCTCGCTCTGTGGTACGGCCCCCATACATTCGCATTCACACATTCGCATTCACGCACATTCCAACTCCCGCACATTCCAACTCCCGCACCCCCTTGACGACCCATCTGCTCATCGTTTGCTCAACAGAAGCGGATGCCGTCTTTTGAAAACATACCCCATCCCGCCGAGCCCCAGAATGTCGAGTCGGCCTCCAAGTCGTCCTCGGCCACGCACCCTGATGATAAGCTTGCTCTTGAGCCCGTGGACGAGGAGATGGACAGCCTCAGGCTCGACTACCAGATCCTCGCCGACGATCTGGTCCAGAAACAAGAAGCCATCGTAAAGCTCGTCCGTGAATCCGAGGAGCAGGCCTCGGCCAGGGAGACCCTCGAGTCGCAGATTGCCGGCTTGAACTCCGAGCACCAAGCCGACCAGGCCGCCGTTGGCGCCCTCAAGTCTCAGCTCGAGACCCTCCAGAGCGAATACAACCAGCTCTCTGCGATTTCCAAAGAGTCGGAGCTGAAGCTGCAGCAGTACATCGACGAGAAGCAGCGCGCCGATGCTGCCTTGCACTTCCGCGAGACCGAGCTCAGCACTCTCAAGCATGAAATCGAAATCCTGGCAACAGACCTCCTCAACCTTCAAGCGTCCGAGGAAAAGGCACAGAGCGCACTTGCTGCCGAGCGCACCCATTCTCGGGACGCCGAGCATGTGCTTGCTGCCGAGATCAAGCAGCTGTCGGAACAGGTCCAGACCTTCAAGAGCGAGGCGCAGCAGCGCATCCAGGCACTGCTGAACGAGACAGAGACCTACCGCCTCCAGATCAAGCAACTTCGCACCGAAATCGACTCGGCCAGAGACCTATCCCACAACCTGACGCACAGCCTCGACGAGAGCCGTGCTCAAAGTGCCAAGCACAAGGCGGACCTCGAATCCAAGGCCGCGGAGCTGGTTCAGGTCCGACAAGAACTCTTGGCTTCGCAGTCGTCTTCGGCAACCCTGGTGAGCGACGCTCAAGCCTCCCTCGAGTCGCTGCATCAGGACCAACTGACGGCCATCCAGGCTGAGCTCGACCAGTCGGAGCAGGCCCGCCGCGCTCTTCAGAGTGCAGTTGATGACTCCAAGGCCAAGATCGAGGCTCTTCGGCACGAGCTCGCTGGCGCCACCGCTCGAGCTGCCAAGGATCGCAACTTGTTCCAGCAGGAGCAGGCGGCGCACGATGCCAAGGTCGGCGCTCTGACCGCTGCGCTGTCCAAGCACGAGAGTGAAAAATCAGTCCTCAACGAGATGATTGTCGAGCACAAGTCCCTCTGTGAGAAATCCAAAGCCGAGGCATCCGCTCTGCAGCAGAAGGTCTCAAGCCTGAGTGGCGAATGCGAACAGCACCAGGCCAAGCTGACCGAGCAGGATATCCGAACCAAGGACCTAGTAGCTACCGTCGAGAAGCTTGAAAGTGAGATCTCTGACAAGAATGCGCTTATCGCTCAGCTGCGAACGGTCGAGGAATCGTATCGATGCCTCGAAACAAAACATGCCGAGATGCGCGACCAACATTCTCGGTGCCCTGGCCCAAACGAAATCCAGGCTGCCATCGACGAGCAGCGCCGCATTGACGAGGCTGCACATGCAAGCACCATCCAGGAGCTTGAGCGCCAACACAAACAAGCCACAGATCGTCTGTCTGCGGCCCACCAGCAGGCAGTCGAGGACAAGGCTGCCTCAGAGATCGAGACACTGGCCGCCATGAAACAGCGCATCGAAGAACTCGAGAAGCGGAACACTGTGCTCGAGACTCACGCCGCAACCTTGGAGGACTCGTACAAGGCCAAGGTGTCCTCGCTGGAGGCATCCCAGCGCCAGAAGCTGAGCGAGCTCGAAGCCTCGATCAAGACCCAGCTCGAACAAGAAAAGTCACAGGCCCTGGCGCAGTCTCGTGAAGAGCTCACCGCCGCACACAAGCAGACGGAGGAGCAGCGCTCTCTCGAGCACAGCAGAAAGTGCAGTGACTACGACGCGCAAGTGCAGGCACTCAAAGCTGCTGTCGAGCAGATCCGCAGCGACTCCGAGAAAGAGTGTGCTGGTCTGAAGGCGCAGACAGACGATCTTCAGAAGCTGCTGGCGGCAGCTATGCTCGAGAAGCAACAGAACACCCAAAATCTGCACGAGGAGCAGTCCAAACACGGCCATGCTCTGCGTAGCCTCGAGGCAGAGAAGGCAGAGCTCAACAAGAGAGTCTCAGAGCTTCAGAGCGGCCTTGCCCTGCTTACGACCAAGCAAAAGCGCGACGAGTCCGAGTACAGTCGCCTCGCCGGTGAGCGGCTCCAGATGATCCTCGAGAAGACCAGCAAGTACCAGGCGGTCTCGGACCACCAGTCCGAATGCTCCGAGGGAAGCAACGGCGCCAAACCCGCCGACGACGCTGCTGGATCGTATTCGTGGCCCGAGCTCCTGAATATGCTGGAGCAGAGCCTGCAGAAAGCCGAGGACGAAAACAGCACCCTGTCCGAAGAGAAGAAGAAGCTCGAGGGCAGCCTGTACGATCTGCGCTACCAGCTGGAGCTGTGGAAGGACACCGCCGCCAGCCTCGAGGTGGTTGTGCAGTCCCTCAAAAGCGACAGCAACAACAGCAAGAATTGGTGGTAGAGCCCAGATCTCCACACCCATCCTGAAACCACCCCCCCCCAACCTTCACTTCGCTTCCGCTCTATTTTTTTGGATAGCCATCCTTTGGAACTGGCTGTTGAAACCCTTGCAGCATTATTGAATATGACAACACCTGATTGTATAACAAAAATCAAGTGTGTGGCGAACTGCGATGGCCAGCGCCCAGGGCAACACGATGTGTGGTCATTGGTCCAAAACCTGGGTGTCTCGCTACTTCCCTCCAAACAGCAGCAGAATCACAACCACCTGATATTTGATTTCGATAATCTCAGGAGTTCATGCTGACTTTGCCAATCCTATCCTGTCGCCGCACTCAATCGCCAACTCGAACATGCCCCGCATATTGACCAACGCCATGATTATCGATATGCTGTTCGACTGTCGCAAGTATCGACTGGATGTGCTCATGAAAACTTCTCAGAAATCGATCGCACAAGCCAACTACACATCTCTGATGGGTCCTCCCCTGGCAAGGAATTGCACCTGGTCTTCAAGCAGGGGAGCTGCGCAAGTCGCTCAGCACTGATTGTATTATGTTCCATTAACATTCCGAACGGCATAGAATTTGGTCATCCGCGATACTGTCTTGCTGCCCACTCCCGCCGTTACTTATACGGCTGTTGCTGCTTTCCATTCACATCATCGAACTTTAGAGGGGGGGAGAGGGGGGGGTACATATCAGAGATACGCAGCTCAAGAGGCTCTTGAAAGTATGGCGTGTCTCGAGCTGGCGTTTGTTTAATCGCTGCAGGTTGCCGTCTCAGGCTGACACTGGGTTCCGTCGGCACAGTTGCCAAGGACCACCCAAGAACCAGCGCAGATCAAGACGGTGTTGTCTGGGCCGCAGGAATAGGCGCCGGTCGAGCGACAAGCAGCACCCGAGACGGGAGTGCCCGGACTTGGCACAGGGTGGGAAGCCTCGTCGGTGGTGGTAGGGATGGGGGCATCGGTGGTGGTGGGGATAGGAGCATCGGTGGTGGTGGGGACGGGAGCATCGGTGGTGGTGGTAGGGACGACAGTAGTAGTCGACTTGGGGGTCGGTGGGACGCTGGAGGACTTTGGACCAGCACAAGCAGGAGGGAGGTCCTTGGCATCGACATACGATCCTGCCTTGGCACTGTAGCCGAGGCCGCGCTTGGCAAAGCCAGTCCAGATCTCACACAGATTGGCGCCGTTGTTGTTCTGCTGGTCGGCCTGGATGATGGCGTTGCGGGCACTCACAAAGTCGGGGTTGCAAGGCTGCAGCTTGAGGCCGTCGATGACCAGCTGGAGAGCAATGTTGTTGCCCTTGCCGCTCTTGGAGTTCTGGATGTCGGGCTCGAAGCCGTACTTTTCGATGAGGTTCCAGGCCACCTCCATCAGCATCTGCGTCCAGATCTCGCCAACGTTGTGGACCTCGGACGACTTTGCGACGGTGGCATAGGTCTCGGGGTTGAGGGTCATGTCGGAGGTGTACGGGTAGTGGCGGATGCCCTTGGGGTTGCCGACGGTGTAAGGAGCAGCGTAGATCGGGGTGTTTCGGTTGTAGGTGGGTTTGAGCTCAAAGATGTTGGCAAAGAAGTCACTCCAGCCTTCGCCGAGACCGCCGGCGGTGGTGGTGCTGAGACAGTTGGCCTGGGCCGAGCCACCAGTGAGACGGTTCGAGACGCCGTGGCCAAACTCGTGGGTGATGATCATGTTGTCCATGGTGCCGTCGCGGTTGGGGGTGGTGGCGGTGAAGATGTACATGCGCATGCGGCCGTTCTGTCCATCGGGGGGAGTGGCAAAGTTGGCTGCAATGTGCGATGTGGTTAGTGTGGTTGACGTGGTAGGTGTGGTTGATGTGGTTGATGTGGTTGATGTGGTTGGTGTGGTTGATGCGGTTGATGTGGTTGGTGTGGTTGGTGTGGTTGATGTGGTTGGTGTGGTTGATGGCGGACATGGGGCGACGGCATGGTGGATAACATCAGTTCCAGCATCGTGCGTGTGCCGCCCGTCGACCCACTGCTCATCCCAGCCCACCGCCCACTGCACCACTTCAATGACTCCTGCAGTCCACCACTTGCCCACAGCTTCACTTGTCCCGCCACATGTCAGGCCGACAGACCACGGCCGCCTTGGCTGTGGGCTCGTACCTACCGTTGTTGGTGCCGCTGCCATCCTGGGCATTGGCAATCACATAGTCGCCGCCCTGGCCGCCTTTGCCAAAGTTGTTGGTCTGGAAGTTGCCGCTGGCCTCGTTGAAGCCGTATCGGTAAAAGATATCGTGGGCCATGTTGTTCATGTAGAACAGCTGCGTGATGGCGGCGTTGACGTTGCTCTTGGGGTCCTGGGTGGTGTCGTACTTGAAATTGAAGTTGTAGTCGCTGCCGACGGTGGGGCGGGTGCCCTGGGCCTCGTCTTGGCCTGCAGGGTTGTCGTTCCAGTTCTCCTGGGCATGGACGTTGTTGCCCTTGGTGGTGGGATTGGCACCGCTGCCGTCGTCGTGCCAGCCGAGAGGCGAGATGTCCTGGTCGGCGGGGTTGGCGACCGGCGTCTGGGGGGTTTGCGAGATGTCGCCGTAGTTGAAGGGGATAACGTTGTAGGTAGTGCTGGGCCCGGCCTGGCTAAACTTGTTGACCCAGTTGGCGACGGCAACGACCTCGCCGGTCTGGCTGTCGACAAAGGCATCGAACCAGTCGTCGCCGCCCTTGGTATAGACGTTGATGTTCCAGACCTGCGAGACACCCGAGGGGCCCTGGTAGTACTGCAGCGAGGCCGTGATGGGGAGCTGGGCAAAGTCCTGGGCGCCGTCGATGACCGAGGTTGTGTTGTCCTTGACGGTCTCCTTGAGCTTGCTGGCGGTGAACTTGATCTTGGCCTTGGTCAGGAAGTTGGTCAGGGCCTTCTTGGCCGAGATTTTGGCGGCACGAGGCTCGAGGCCGCGCTTGGTGAGCGAGCTGTCGACCTTGGCAAAGGTCGAGCCGATCGAGAGCAGGTTGCCGTTGCTGTCGAGGTTGATGTTGGCGACGGCGTTGGCGATGGGCTGCCCGCCGATCAGCTGCTGGACGTGCAGGTGGTAGATGCCGTTATGGTCATCCTGGAAGCTGAGGCCAGAAGGCACAGGCGAGCGAGCGGGCAGTTGAGAGCGAGTGGGCAATCGAGAGTGAGCGGGCAATCGAGAGTGAGAAACGAGTCCGAGGGAGGCAAAGACCCAGCGAACCACACCAGGCCCAGGTGCCAACGAGCATGTCGGATCGAGAGCGACAGGAGCCGATATGCACAGGACATGGTGCAAGGCGCCAGCACGGCGGCAGACCCCGGTGCAGACGACATTGCCCGTGGCCCAGCTCCGCACTCTGACCGACGGCAGTACTCACGAGGTGGTGATGGCAAACTGGCTCTGGCTGACGCCGAGCTTCTTGGTCAGGATGTCCACGGCCGTGGACTGCAGCGCTCCCAGGTCCAGCGGCTGGTCGACCAGGTTGCTGACAACGTCGCTGACCTCGAACGACGGCGAGGGCCAGTACGAGTCTGGGAGACTGCCCAGGGCCTTGGCGGCGGCCGAGCCCAGAAGGCCAGCCAGGGCAACGCCCTGGAGCAGGTTGCGGCGGCGGATCAACACCATGCTGCGGGTCGTGGGAGAGGGAGGGGTTGGTGGATGAGACTGGAAGACGGAAGGTGCTGAGCGAACTGGGCGCTGGCCGTGGAGGGAGATGGAGGATGCTCGAACATGGGGGTATTTATCGTCGAGCAGGCCGGGTCAAGCGTATCGTCGGGCAAGCCCATTCCCACCCAAGCTGACCGGCGTCAAGCCCATCGGCCCACATGTCGACCCTGGCGATCTGTTGTGTGTTCCCAAACTGCACCCGATATCCCATGAACAGTGTGGGCGCACCATCGCTTGCCTCTTTCTTTCCTCCTCGTTGCATTGGCGGGTTGGCGGCACCGGTCATGCGGGCAACCCCGGCGCCGCTCATCTGTGGCAGGCGGCTGATTGTTCTGCGCACCAGCAACATGTCTCTCGACACATCCACATGCCGCCAGAGTTCGCGATCCTTTGCTGGCCGCCAATCCACCGCCAATCCACCGCCAATCCACCGCCAATCCGCCCGCCAATCCGCCGTCTTTCCCACGGCTGCACTGCTCTTGCGATGTACAGCCAGAGATCCCGCATGACCCGCACCGATCGCCATGGCTGCGACTGTGCTCCTGCCGTTGCAGACCACATGTTCCTGGACAAGGAGCCCAAGAGCAGCGTCTCGAGCCAGTCAGCAGCATTGGGTCATGCAATGCCGGTTTGATCATGGACCGGCCCGCGCGGTCACATTGCCCGTCCATTGGCCCCGGCGACAATCCAGTCGTCCATGGACAGCGCCGGCATGCGCACCAGGAAGGTACCCTCGACTGCGATGGGCCCGCCTGTACATCCCGGCTCTGGTCATCTGCGGGTGCCTCTCCTTGCTCCCAGCCATGATCATGTGTCGGTGGCGACCTCCGCCGTCCAACGAGCCTCCTCTGCGCCGCAGAAACGAGGCACCTGCGGCGAGAAGCGATTGCCCCAAACGAGCCATTGGAAACGACAGCTTGGCTGCACAGATTGCAAAAACCCGCCGCGGATGTGTCGCTGCCTTTGGGATGGTGGAGTGACCGGGCTTGGTCTGTTCCGAACGACGGGACGCCCTCCGTCCTCGGCGCACCTGCGGATGCCATCCATCAATCTCAGCGAGTAGCAGGAGCAGAAACCCTGGCGATACACATGGTCCACGGTCCCAAGGTGGACTTTCTGCGCAGGCTTCGACATCGACGACGGCACAGTCGAGAAGTATCGTCGCGATCCAGTGCAGCATCGCCGCGATCACTGCTCGAGTATGGTATCGCATAAGAGATGTATTGGGTCCGCAGCGGTCTATCTGCCGTCATCGTTGCAGGGACTTATTGAGGTCTCGGTCGCTTGGAGCTGCGCGGGTCGAGGGTCGATTCGTCGGATGGGTCAGCTATGGAGGGAGTCTGGGCATCTCCATCCGAATGAACCTGCTCAGTCGTGTCGATTGCAAATACGAAGCCCGTCGACGGCTCTTTGCTTTAGACCGAGGAGCGGAGAGTGCTTTCGAGGGAGATGGGTGTCCAGCAACGTGATGGCTCTGCGGCAAGGTCGAGAAAGGCGGGAGTCGTTGAAGCAAGTTGATGATTGGCGGTGTTGGAGGGCTACAAGATGATACACTTGCACCCGCTGCTCCGCTGCTCTCGCACAGCGCCGTCGCCTCCGGTTGCGGCGGGTGCCTCCTTGTCTGTGATGGGGAGCGAGTCGTCACGAATCGAGCAGTGAGCGCCAGGTCGAGGGGCAGCACCAGCCCGCATGTGTTCAAAGGCCCCAGATATGATTGAAAGGATCAGATGTGCATGATTCGAGTGTTGGCCCACAGAGTAGATGAAACGACGATCAGTCAGGGAAAAGGCGTGCGATGGAAGAACAGCATGCAGCGAGGGGCGGGTGATAAAGCTATAGTTCCAAAGCACGGCTCCATGCAGCCCAGAAGTTTAAAAGACCAACGACGAGCGATACTGACTCTCGGCCGCCGGGGCTTCGTTCCGGACGAGCAGGTGAACCGTTGTTGTCTGGCCTTGTGGGGGATTGATCGCTACGAAGCGACGGGCAGAGACGGGTCAGCACGGCCGGTGGGTAACCAAGACCGGTTTGCTGGCGATGGTGCGATCGCCCACCAAGCGAACAGGACAGTACGCACATGAGACCGGGCTCGTTGGCTGGACAAAGGCGCCGTGGTATAGGATCTTCAGGTTCTCGGGTGCGAGCGGTCGGCCGTCGCTCCAGTCTGTAGAGTTTGGGTGGTGGGTTGCAAGATCGGAACGGTAGGGATATGAGGGGCCGATAGCAGGAACGGACCAGCGGGAAGGGAGACGAGCGGAGAGCGATTGCTGCTGCCCGCAAAGACAGAATGGCAGCCGAAATGGTCGGCGGAATAGCTGGCGGAAACGATGGCAGAGGCCGGGTCAAGAGCCGATCGCACCTGTTGGCCACTGCTCGAATATCCGCTTGCGGACGACCTCAAAGGTGTCGGTGGGCAGGACGAGCAGATCGGTTTTGTTGCCGTTGACGAGAAGGAAGCGCAGATTGACCTGGCCGTCCGGAACTTTGTCGTTGATGGTCGGGCCCTTTGGCGGGACGCTCGCCGGAGCGAGTGCTTCTTGGGACATTGATGGAGAAGCGATCGAGAGCTCGACGAAGCTGCAGGGAGAAAGAGCGATCAGCTCAAAGTGGTGGTGCTGTGGATCCGATGCTCCCTGGGGCGGGCCAGAGCGGATCGATACCTGATCGAGCGATGGTGGACAAAGAGCCGCTGGCTTTATGGGGGGGGAGGGAGGGAGAGGAGCGGACCCGGCTGCAGGAGGGCGGGATGGACCTGCTGAGACAGGGCCGACAGGTTGTTATGGCGGAGGGCGGGAACGGCGGTGCCCTCGAGCGAGTTGGACGGCGGACGGCGCTGGTGGCATCGTTCTGTGGAGAACTGCCGATCAGAGCAGACGGACGACAGATTGTTTGGCGACTCAATCAGCTGCCGACAAAGACGGCGACGACGACAGAGATGGATGAAGAGATCGATCTGAAGTGGATCGGTGTGAGCGACTGGAAAAGTATCGACTTTGACGACTGAGAGTCGACTCGGGCGGAAGTGTCATGTGGCTCTGGTTTGGCCATGTTCGGCGCGGCGATCGCCCCTTGTTCGATTTGACATCGACGTCGATCGCACCGCCTGCACAATTGTCCTTCGCAATTGTCCTTTGCAATCTCATCTGCACAATTGTCATTCCCAGTTGTCCTTCGCAGTTGTCCTTGGCAGTTGTCCTTCGCAGTTGTCCTTCGCGCCATGGACAGCGCTGTGGATGACCCCCCGGCTCTGTGGCCAGGAGACGGCTCCTTGTGCCGGCGCATTGTTTGTGGGCGAAAAAGAAAGCCGTGCAACATGGGCTCACCGTTTTACTCGCCCAGCCGGGTCGGGTCCGTTGTTCACAGCCACCACTCATGTTCAACATCGATCTCGTCACGTCACGCCGAGCGCCTCGGGCGCACCTGGCCAGAGACCTGCGTCGTCTGACACCCTCCCCCCGGCGACCCAGGCAGCAATGTGACTGGGCGCGGCCTGCCAAAGTGGAATGTTTGTGAAAACGCCAAGTGCAAAGTTGATGGAAATGCCAGGTGCAATGTCAACCCGGGCTCCTGTCAAGTATGCTGCAGCTCCACTTCCGCCACGCCTGATATACCCGCACCAAACACACTTCGACACCGGCCCCCAACCCACCCGGATTCATTTCGATAGCCGCTTATGCTTGTCCCGTCGCACCATCCACCCTGCCCTTGTCGTTCGCCCCCGTCCCCCGTTGCACACATATCCCTCCCGCTGAGCTCTGCTTGTTGCGCCAGGACGCACCGCCGGCCGCACCAATGGCTGCCGCTCCTTCCCTTTCTGCTCTTGCTGCCCTTGGCAGCGCCCGCAGCGCCGGTGCCGCTTCGGTCTTCTCCACCTTTGCATATATACCCCGAGGGCGGATCACTCTGCCTCCCGCTCTCGTGCCCGGCAAATCCTCCATCATGCGCTTCCTGGCTCTCTGCGTCCTCGCTGTTCTGCTTGCAGCCTTTGTGGCCCAGGCCTCGGCCAGCCAGCGTGCCCACCACACCCACCCCCACCACCACCGGAGCAGCAAGTCCAAGACCACAACCCGACCCGCGCCCCACTCGTCTGCTCATCGGCCCTCGCATTCGCAGCGCTCTTCTACCCACACCACCGCCATCCCCTCGCACTCCCGATTGCCGCCGACCTCGTCCATTGCTCGATCAAGTGCCCATCAATCTTCTGCCACTTCTCATGTGCCTCCCAGCTCCTCTGTCCATCCATCCAGCTCCTCTACCACCACCACCACTCACACTCCCTCCACCACTCACACTCCTTCCACCACCCACACTCCTTCCACTTCCACCACTTACACTCCCTCCACTTCCACTACCCATACTCCTTCCACCACTCACACTTCCTCCACCATTCACACAACGTCCATCCGCACGACCACTACGACATCGACCACTGCCGCTTCCCCCTCGCCTTCTGTCACTCCCAACAACGGCCCTCAGTGTGGCAACGGCGTTTGCGAGGCTGGCGAGCTTTGCAGCACCTGTCCGGGGGATTGTGGTGCCTGCAACGGCCGGTTTGTCTTTGCTCACTACATGGTATGTCCTGGTCAGCCGGCCCCTGCCCCTTGCACCGCCGATCCGCGTGCCGCCTTCTGTTCCGCTGGATCATGGGACTGACATAACGTTCTGCCTCGGCCTCTTTCCACCAGGTGGCTTACACTGACATTGCGCAGAACACCCAAGGCTACATGGCTGAGATCGACATGGCCAAGAGCTACGGCATCGACGCTTTTGCGTTGAACGTCGGCGGTATGATTGTCGATGCTTCTCGATGCTGACTCGGTCACGGACCCGTCTGCATTCCGGCCCGCGCCCTCATCCGATGCACCATGTTTCCTTTCCCGACATCCAACAGCCCAGTGGTACCAGACCTACCAGTCTCTTGTCGACCAGTTCTTTGATGCTGCCGATGCCAAGGGCTTCAAGCTGTTCCTTTGCTTTGACATGACCGCCAGCGGCTCCAACGGCCAGCCCATCCCATACACAGCCGCAACGATCCCGCAGATCCTTCGGCGCTATGCCAACCGCCAAAGCCAGCTCTATCTGCATGGCCGCCAGGTCGTCAACACGTTTGGTGGACAAAACTTCAACTGGAACACCGTCAAGAGCGATCACCCTATCTACCTGATGCCGGCCTTCTTCCTGGCCCCCAACGCCCTCAGTCAGACCGGCTTGGATGCCTATGTCTCATGGAACTGCTGGCCCGTGGGCAGCAAGCCATACTCCTGGAGCTCGAACGACGACCCTCAGTTCCAGTCAGCCATGAGCCAGCTCGGCTCGACGCACGAATACGTGGCCGGTGAGTGCAGCAGCCACAAACGGCGGCGCAGGATGTCTCGACTACTCCTTTGCTATCGCCGACGCTGGCGTCATGCTCTCGACTCGGGCGTTCGTCGTTGAGCACGGGCAGCGCATACATGGCGGGCTGCTCATCATCCGTCTCCTACGCACGACACAGGTATCTCGCCTTGGTTCGCTACCTACCAGGCCCGCGAGCAAACCGTTCACGGCAACCACGGATTCCTCTGGATCAATCGCTGGAGCGACATCATCACCCACAATGCCAACCATGCCTACATCATCACCTGGAACGGTAACACACTTTCTCGCTTCGATACCAGTGTTTGTACATCCCATGACTCGCTGTTGCTGCCTCCTTCTTGGCCTGCCGGTTCTGGCTCACACTGCCCTCGATCCTGCAGACTTTTCCGAGTCGTCCTATGTCACCACATTCCCGCAGTCTCACGAAGCCATCCAGTACGACCAGACCCAGTATCCCCATCAGCCCATCCTGTCGCTTGGACGATACTACATCCAAGCCTTCAAGAATAACGGCAAGTTCCCCAAGATCGCGGTAGGACACTCGCTGTTCCCCCCCCCTAGCACGATTGGCATGACTTGAGTCCGATGTTGCGCCCGCCTGTCCCTGCCCGAGATGCTGGTCCAAGCTCTTGTCTCACACCCGGACCTGTATTCATGTGTGGCAGCGGGACGAAGTGTACTATTGGTACCGCTTGCACCCCAAGAATGCCATCCCGGCTCAGACGCCCTATCCCAAGCCCAGCGAGGCCAATACTATGGACGATAACATCTACGTTGTCACGATGCTCACTGGTATGTCAAGGCGCCGCTGTCTGTCCGCCTCGTCACTGTCAGTTCCCGTTCGACAACAACTCAATCCTCACTGCTCACCTCTCTCCACAGCCCCTGCCACCCTGACCATTCGCACTGGTGCCAGGACGGTCAACGTGCAGGTCGGCCAGGGCCTCCAGACCACCGAGATTCCCTTCTCGCTTGGATACCAGATCATCACCGTCTCGCGCAACAACAACGTCGTCCTCACCAGCCAGGGCGACTTCCCGATCACCAGCAGCCCGGCTCTCTACAACTTCAACTACTACATCAACTATGCCAACTGAGTCTTCCGTTCCCCCCTCCCTCTCTGTCCTAGATCGTGGCTGGTCTCCCCGTATCTGAGAGGGACCAGCCGCATCTTTGCCCATCAACGACATGGTCAAAGACCCATTCCCGTTCTGCTTGTCCTGTCCCTCAAATATGTCTTTCCGTTTGCACCCTCATTGTGCTTCCTTCGACCCTAGAAATATCCTTCTTCCGTATCTCCAACTATGATGTACCCGGCTCAGATGTGGCGCCTCGCAGGCCCGAGCACATCTGCACCTCGTCAGTATAAACCCCAATGATCAATACAGAATCCGATGCAGTGCCCTTCTCTGCCCTTCTCTCTTGCCCCTCGTCCCTTGTTCCTCAATCTGGCTGGGTGCTTGCTTGGGAGCCAGCCCGGGTGCGCAGCGCTGCAAAGCCAGGCCATTTGCCCTGGAGATGCATTTCTCGCATCCCGCACCCGTCGTTCCGACATCGCCCTTGACTTCCAACTCCAAGACATGTCTGCATCGAGAGCCCTACCAGAGAACATCCGCACAGGCCTGCTGCCGCCTGGCCGTCGGTTGTGGAAATGGTCCCGGGTCCCGCCGACCGTCGCAGCCATCCAAGGTGCCCAGAGCCCGCCCCCGCCTTCCGACTTTCCTGCATTCCCACCTCCTCTCTGCCGCTCACCACCCTCCCCCGACCCTCTGGCTGTCTTGGATCGTATGCAAGGCGATGTGCAGCGTGAGCGCCATCTTTGTCCCCCGCACTCAACCTCGGCATCTCCGCTCACTCGCAGCCTCCTTTCCGCAGACTCGATGAACCAGGCCCAACTCACATTCACTGCAGACTCGGCTGCCGATCCAGCCTCCAGCGCCCATCTGCCGAAAGCCGAGGCTCCTGCGCTCCCATTCCCCACCACCTCCTCGATCGTCGACGACACCGACATTGGCTTGTTCGATCTCTCAAACGTCCCTCGACCCCAGAGCGCCGCAAGCGAGCGCCATGGTCCCCTCGACCTGCCCGAGATTCCAAGAGACAACCTTGATGCTACGCCTTCGGAAACAGATCCGTCGACCGGATCGGATATGGCCGCACATGGTCTCGCCAGAAATAGGTCAGCCGCATCAGCGCAGCCCTCTCAGTCGTCGATCAACCGCTGGCTCGTGCTCCAGAGAGGATTTTCGGTCGAATCGCATGGCTCCGCACCGTCCGGCACTCCAATGTATGCAGAATCGCTGCAGCTCTCCATGATATTGGACCACGGGGATGCTGAGCTGCCAGTGGGTGGTCGGATATCACATTCTCAGCCGAGCAGTCTGACTCCGGAGCCATACCCAGAAGCGTCCGAGCCTGCAAATGAGGCCACCGATCTCAAACTCTCATCCGATCAATCAACCGTGGTCGACATCGAGCCGACGCAGCTCGTGTCTCAGTCGGCGCTGGACTATGTAGCTCGGGCCAGCGTCGACAGTGACGTCCATGGTGCTCCTTTGGAGGAGCCGTCAGGTCAGCGCCCAGCAAGTGGACCACGATCGACAGCGGCTCCCATCCCAGCTCCAGCGCCCAAGCGACAGCGAACGCCCCCGATGCCTCGGCGCCAGCTTGACACCCCAAAGACTCCAACTACACCGGCAATGTACGGCCTGCGAGCCCAGGTCTCGATGGTGCAGTCGCCAAGTCGGCAGAGCTCCCGAGACGTTCGCAAGCCCGTGGGCGACTTGGACAGCACACCGCCGTTGCTGCGCTGGAACTCAAGGCCCGCCGAATCTTTCGCCCGAAACCGATACCAATCGGAGGCTGCAGCGCAGTGTGCTCCTGATCCAGGTGAGCGCCACTGCATGCATTCATGCAATCTGCCACTGCGCCCAGGCATGGGTCGAATCGGGAACGGTGGGAGTACGATGCTCGAGCTCATGGCCGATCACTGAGTCGCTTGTCGTGCCCAGATGTGTCCATGACCCTTGCCACCCAACCACTGGGCTCCTTCAACCGCAACCTGCCCTTTCTTGGGGAAGACGACGATGATGTGCGGGACCTGCGCAACGCAACGTCCCGAGCCGAGGGGCAGCCTGCTGGCACATTGCCAGACGACGATGCCTGCCCCGAGGCGCACACCGAGATGGATACAGACAATACGCTCGAGCCGCCGATCGTTCCCGCCGTCCAGGACTTCCCGACCTCGATATACGGTGCCTCCACGTTCATCGACCAGGACGAGGAAGGCGCATCCATGTCGCAGCCGACCCAGGCGTTCAATCTCTGTGAGGGGCTGGTAGCAACTCCCACAGGCACGCGAACAGGCGAAGACGTGCTGGTCCGCCCTCGCACTGCTGTCTCTGCTGTGTCCGTCACGGCGCTCAGCCCAGAGGCCGCAGCTCCCAGAAACAGTTTGGCCTATCCAGACAGCGATGTCCAAAGCGACTCCAGCGTTGGCCGCAAGAACGCTCTTGATGACGAGCATCAGCAGAATCACGCACAGAACCATGGTGCTGGTGATGGCCATGGTGGATACTTGGCTGGAGACGGCGGCGCCGACATTGCCGAGCCCAGATTGTCAACACCAGAGCTACTTCCGGCCCGGAGTAGATCGGTGCTGCTCATCGAGTCCTCGATGCCCACCTTGGACCTCGACACACACAAGAGCTGGATCGCGTTAGAGTCAGTCAACGAATCTCCGCAACACATCCCTGCCTCGCAAGCGGTGCTCGGTGCTCACCAAGCTGGCGACTTGCATTCGCCAACCTCTTTTGTTCCATCCTCTCAGACGCCCTCGATTGAAATCGTCGCACTTGCGCGCAGCGAGATGATCGTGGATGTATCTGAGCGGGTGGATGTAAAGCCTGACTCCACTGGAAGTATAGGCAGCGCACCTCCACGCACCACACATGCCACCGGCAGCTCTTCAGTCCAGCCGCACCAACCTCCAGCTCCACCTCCACCTGCGTTCGCATCTGCATCCACATCGACTCCTGCGAGAATCCAGAAACACACCATGTCGGACGACATTGAGTATACGCCAGATGAACTCCGCCCGGCCAAGCGTCCAAAGAGTTCGGAGGCACCCACATCGCATGCCCATGCCCATGCCGACACCGAGATCATCGATCTCGTCTCGCCGCCAAAGTCAAGCGATGCTACCTCCTTGCAGACCGGGCCGGTTCTCGCAGCCCAAACCCAAACCCAGGCCCAGGCCCAGGCCCAGGTCCCCCTCGGCGCCACTCCCTTCCGGAACAACCCAAACAAAGAAGCTCTCTATCCCATCCATGTGTTTGCGCCCAAGGATCCGACGACAGCCCGCGCATCATATCTGCCGCTTGGCCATCGGCAGCGAGCACTATGGATCACACCAAGCCGAGAGAAGCCCAAGCCCAAGAATGACCCAGTCACAAGTCCAGTCGCCTCTACCTCCAAGGAGAAGCCTCAGACGACCCGTATGCCCACACCTGTCACCTCAAGCCCGCCCGAGGCCGAAACAGGCAACGCAGACTCAACAGACCCGGCTTTGATGCATCCGGTGCAGTCCTGCTCCAACTGTGGCATTTGGATCACCACCGAGTGGCAGGTCGGCCCTGATGGCCAGAAAACACTCTGTCGTCTGTGTGGCAAGTACTTTAATCACATCGGGAAGCTCAAGGGTATGGGCTCGCCAACTTCAAAACAGCAACAGCAACAGCAACAGCAACAGCAACAGCAACAGCAACAGCAACAGCAACAGCAACAGCCCGTGCCTGCTGACTCTGTCGCCAAGCCTCCAAAGCCAAAGACATCGACATCATCTCTCAACGACAGAGTCAAAACGAGAGTGGAGGACGATCTTTTCACGCTTCAGGTGGACATTCCTGAGCTTGATCATCCGCTGGTTGTCTCGCAGACGCACACCCCAGCGGATCCTCGATCGCCAGAGCCTTTGCCACCGATGGAGCAACCGCCACCGTCATCTGATGTGCCGGATCACAGGATCGATCATAGCTTCGACTCTGACAGCAGCAGCGAGCCAGACAATCCACACGACGACGACTACAATCCTGCTCGACGATTCTCTGCCGGATTCATGTCTCCGCCGCGGCGTCCGCAAACACCACGGGCAGCCCCGCCACCGGTAACGCCAAAGGCCAAGATTGCGCCTGCCACTGCTGCTGTCCCGCCTAGGACTGCGAAGCGACAGCGCAACAAGACCGCCGAGGATCGTCCGGCGCTGGATGCACGCTCGCGCTCCTACCTCGATGCCTCGACCGAGCCAGATGCACTGGCCAGGTTCTCAAGCCCGCGCAAACGGAAGTTGAAGGAGGAGCCCAAGTTTGGGCTGTCCACTGCCGCCACCGACGGCAGCCCAGGGTCATACGAAGAAGGCGATGAAGTGTGGGCGATTTGGAAGGACGACGGATACTACTATTCGGTGAGGAGCCGATTCCGTGCCATGAACGCGTCCCGCAATTCTCCCTCTTGGCATCGTCCCTCCTGGATGTACTCTCTCGGGATGGTGGAGCAAGGAATTGGAGCGATCGCAAATGCCGCTGCTGCGATCCAGTCTGATCAATTCGGTTTCGAATGCCCTGCAGGCCACGATTCTAGCGCGGTATTCAGAGTCGAACCGCTACACCCTCGAGTACCATGGCGGTAGGTGCTATTCCTGTGCGGCAGCGTGGTGGCGACGGTCTTGTCCCAGACACGCAAATGTGACCACAGACTCTCGACCCATCTCACCTTCTGCATCCATGCTCAGGCGGCCCGCCGGCAGTCGTCGATATCCATAACATACATCCCCTAGTGGTCGAGAGATACGACCAATGCACCGTGATTGTGGGATCGGACTATTCCAAGAAGGCCAGCGCGGTTGTGATGTCCGTGACCTCGACGGACAAGTCGGTGATCGTCCGTGCCCAGCTTGCAAAGGGCAAGACAGTCAAGAACTGCGTCTTGGCGGCGGTCTGTCTCTCAGTCGAGCAGCTCCGGTTCAACCAGCGGAGGAGGATCGAGGACAGGAATCGCGATATGCTGATGTCAAGCACCCAAAAGTCTCCATCCAAGGATCACTCCCGCTCCGTGCAGACACTCGGTAGGTCGACAGACAGCGACGCCCGCGACACTCGACACAGTCCGCGGCTCTGCTCACCGTCACGCCTTTCGTTTCGCTGGCACAGAGCAACTCATGGGACCCATGCCCCGCTCCAAGAAGATCTTTTCAGCATTTGCGTTCATTCTCACGATGCCGGGCGAAGAATTGGCCCGTTCGGTGGAGACCAGCGACTGTAGGTAGCAGCCTTCTGGTGCCTTCGTGGGCACGCACGATCGTATAGCCCTGGACTGCCGACTACCCCTCTCCCTGACAGCCTCTAATCATTCCCGGCACGTAGTCGAGAGCTATCCTGCGCCCGATCGTGCTTATCTTACGACTCAGATACAAGAAGGCGGCGGCACCATTGTCGACGAGATTGACGACTACTTTGACGAGGGCGAGGGCGAGCGGAGGCTGGACAGGTTGAAGAAGTCCTTTGCCGAGGTGATTGTGATTTCAAATCGGCCGTCGCGGACGAAAAAATTCCTCATGGCGTTGGCGCTGGGCCTGACTGTGGTCGGCTTTGCATGGTAAGCATAATCTGCGCGGCTTTGGCTTGCAATCACCCATCGAGTCGCCGTTCCAGTCAGCGATACCGAGTGACTCTGTGCCGAGAAGAGTGGCTGTGATGGCTCATTCGCTCCGCCACATTCGTGCTCTTCCAGGGTTCGAGACTGCTGTCGGACGGTAAGTGGCAGTGCCGCTCGCGGGAAAGAAAGAGACGTGCCAGCACCACTCGACTTTTGCTGATCCAGGTTTTGTCGCTGCAGAACACAATCCAGAACAAAGAAAAATATCGCATGTCCAACGGCTGGTCGCTGGATCTGGGATATGTGAGTGCGATACACACAGAGCGCACGAGCAGCGGGGGGGGGAGAGCCAAGGAGTCCAGACGCTTTGCCACGACATGCTTTGGTACTGACAAACACACTCCTCTGCTCTGCCGGACTCGGCCGAGGCAGCACTCGGCGGTATCGACCATTCCGCCTGACAAGCCAGGACTCTTCCATGGATATACTTTTCTGAGTGAGTGACTGTCATCGCCGCCGAATCATTGCTGCATGTAGTCCTGTTGCAGCATTCTCACACGGGCCCTTCCATCGAATCATAACTGCATCCCCAGTACTCGGAAGCTACGATCGCAAGGTGGGCCGCAAGAATATGGGTCGGTCCGCAGCCACTTGTCCTGTCTGCATCGTATCCTAACGCGATGTCTCCTTCCCTCTCTCGTGCCTTGAACTTTCGGACTGGACTAGCTCGTTGACTGGGACAAGATCATCCGGATGGCCAGCGGGGCTGTTGTCCATATCGGCAGCATCAACAAGGGCAAGGTGAACAATCTAGAGTCGTACTTTGCCCTGCCCACCAGCCAGCGGCATGCCTACTCCAAGGGACTCGGGGGCATTCACGTCAAGGCCGAGTCTCGCCGGATCGACTTTGTTCTGGTGGAAAAGTCGCAGACACCAGAACGCAGCCACCATCCCGACCCATACTCGTCGATGACGGCGGGGCTGCAGCAGCGAGAGGCGCTGTTGAAGCAGCAGCTCCAGTTCCTGGAGATGCACGAGACCCAGCTTGCCAAGCACATACGCGGACCGGTCGTGACGACCGAATGGGCGATCCAGTGCCTGATCAGCCAGCGGGTATTGGAAGCGGACCGGCATCCGATCTACACCATGGCATGACCTGTGGCGGGGGTGGATGGGCGACATGTAGCTGCCGCGAGAACTGTTTGCAACATGGTCTCTTTCGTCGTCACAGCGTCCAAAGGACAGCAGCGGGACTTGCGCTCGGAGTGTGCTGTCCAGAGCCGGGCAATCCGCCGGCGTCACTGACATTGCCGCAATCCAGCCGCTGTGCAGTGGCTGATGATGGCGTCTCGCTGGTGATTGGGATTGGGCCGACCGACATCGGGGACTCGGATGGCTTCGGAACAAAAGCTGGCAAGCCAGTTTGTGCGTCAGCGGCCGGCTGCGGCATACGGATGGCAGACAAAGCTGCACATCCGAAATCGGTGCTGCGTTTGCCTGTGAGAGACATTGTTGAGCTTTTGGCCGCCATCATCCAGTCGCCTCACTGCTTGACAAGGAGCATCGGTCACCCCAGCGCTCGTTCGACGCCCCAAATCCTCGCTATCTTGATATCTTGATATCCCGCTCTATTGATTGTCTGTTGCTCCGCAAGCGGCCCCCTCCACCCAACAGATTGTTTCCGAGTGCGCCTCGGATTTGCCGACGATGGAAGGTACTCCCGTCCCAGACGAGCCGGGAACACCCAGGAGGCAGGCCCGACCCAAACGGCCCTGGACTGGAACGTCGCTCAAGTTCTCGGTCCAGTCATTTCAGACGTCGTCTTTCAGTCCCTTTGTGATAGCTGCACCGCCGCTCCCAAAGACAGCAGGATATCCGCCAGATCGCATCGTCGACACTGTTGGCCAAGATGTCGATACTAAGGCAGCTGAGGTGAGTAGTCGAGTTCCCACGCACGCTGTCTCCGCCACCAGCGGACCAAGCGCCATTAATTCCGTCGAAGCAAGTATGCTTTAGCCGCACCGGATGGCTCTGACGGATGATGCTCGTCCTTCTTGCTGCATTGGCTTCGCTGCTCTCTAGGAGGCAGACACTAGCGACGCAGGGCAACGACAGGCCGGAGGATCGTCCATGAAGAAGCGACCACTCACAGCGCCGACTCGAGCAGCTGTTCGCTGGAACGACGAAGGTGCAAGTGGTCCAGGCGTTGCGCAAGCTGCAGTCGCAGCCATCGGGACTGTATCTAAACCTATGGCTCCCGCCGCCGCAGATGCTGCCAAGGAGCCGCCTCTGGTGACTTCGATCGTCCCGGTCAAGCCGGACGGCGCCTCGGCCGTGGTTCTGGCCGACGCATCCAAGAGCGGCCCTGGTGCGGCCGAGACAGCCGATGCCTTCGTAAAGTTTGCTGCAGCAGGCTCGGAGATCCCTGCGTTCGGTGGTGCAGACGAGGGACGCAGCGACTTTGCCGACGAGCTGCGGGCAATGCTGCAGGAGACGGCCAATGTCATCGAGGTCAAGAATCCCGAGGCCCTGTTCATGGTGCACACCCAGCTGACGCCCAATGCCCAGTCGTTTTTCCGACCGGCGACATTGATGCCGTTGTCGACACCGCTCCGACAGATTCCACTCGAGACCCTTCCGCCTCCAGACGAGGGTGCGACGGGCTCGCCCCGCAGATCCTCGATCCATCCGCATGCTCACTCCCAGCCGCATTCGCTGCCGGTACTGCTGCCGCTCAAGGCTGCAGAGATTACGGCGCAACAGAGCACCAAGCCGCCGTTCTCGACATCGTCGCTGGTGCCAACAACCGGCCCGATCAGCATCACCATCGGTCCGTCGCATGGATTTGGTCCCCAGAGTACTCGGACTGTGCGCGAGATTCCCGAGCCCGTAGCGAGGCCGTCGGATCTTACGGCTCGGCTGCGAGACGAGCAAAAGCAGGCCCGGAATCCAACCAGCAGCGCCCGCTCGGAAGACAAGACCAGGAGCGGACCCGAAGCCGGAAAGAAGCCCGGTCGCCCAGCGGACCACAACCACAGCTCGTTCACGAGCCTCAACCCCGAGTACGGCTCGTACCATGTTGCCAGCACCATCGCGGAGAAGGAAGATCGCCGGACCGGCGGCGGCGATCTCGATCTGGACGGGTCTATCGCAACCCAGAGCGACGAGGACGAGCGATCGCCGCACCACCACCACTCGCACTACTCGCACCCAAGCTACTGCCAATGCTGCACCGGCAACATGTTCGTCAACCTGGCGCACTCGAAGCGCTTTCGCAACACCACCTTGGGGTCGAGCAACCGGGTGTTGTTCCTGCGGAGGCTCAATTGCGTGCTCGGGAAGCAGTCGAGCCGGCCGGCATATCCGGCATCATGGCACGGCCCAGGCGGTGAAGGCATGCAGTATGCGCTGGGCATGACGCTCGCTGGAAACGCTGGAGATACCAGGGCTTTGGGTCCAGAGTGCACATACGGACGCCTGGACGGCAAGCTGTACCGAAACCCATACGGCAGCATGAGCGCAGTTGGACCGTCGGCCCCCGACGTCCAGAATCTGCCTGGTGGAAAACGTGAGTGGCAGATGAATATGGGCGATGCAGTGAGTGATGGAGTGATGGAGTGATGGAGTGATGGAGTGATGGAGTGATGGAGTGATGGAGTGATGGAGTGATGGAGTGATGCAGTGATGGAGTGATGGAGTGATGGAGTGATGGAGTGATGGAGTGATGGAGTGATGCAGTGATGGAGTGATGGAGTGATGGAGTGATGGAGTGATGGAGTGATGGAGTGGTGGAATCGGTGCCGTCGCTGAAGCCTCTGTCGATTGATGCGCAGGACCGCCAAGATACCGAATGCTGCCAAAGGATACGCCCAGGGGCAGTAAAAAAGGACTGCAGGTTGAAGAGCCGCAGCGGCTCGTCTCCATCGAATCTGCGCTGGATCTAGAGAAGCAACCAAGGACCAAGAACTGGTATGGAGGCGTCAGTGGAGTGAAGATTGATATGGCCAGTTGCAGGACAGCAGACCCGCGAGGGGCCAGACAGCGATGCTGGTGGAGAGTTGATGGCACGACATGGCATGGCATAGCGTTCCTCATCTCGATACTACATGCAGGTCGAGCACTCGTGTTCCCCCGATACAATATCCTGTCGTCCCGCGAGAGCTCAAGGTCAATACCATGTACTCGGCCAATATGGAGTGGGGCCGCAACACCAAAGTTACGGTGCAGGCCGAAAGCGACAGCCACCATCACATCTCGGAAACGGTAGGCGGCGCTCGAAGCACAAATGACTATCATCAAACTCGCTGTTCACGACCAGACGACATCGCTCGGATGATATCGGCAGTAACCCCTCCCCCAGAGCGTGCGCACAGCGATCGATGCCTCTCTTGCTCACGGTGTCTCTTTGCCTCCTGCTCCCTCCATAACGCCTCAGGACCGACTGATGCATCTGCCCTTTGTCGACCACGACCAAACCGAGAACAGAAAGAACTACGCCCTCAAGATCTCGAGCTTTGTTCGCGACAAGAACTCGAGCGACCTGATGTCGCTGATCAAAATCGAGGACAGCCTCAAGGAACGACAATCCAGAGCGCCGCAGACACCCCCCGCCAAGCCCAAGGTCATGCATGTGCGATAACAGTGCTCGCTCGCGCCGCCTGGCCAAAGCGGAGCCGAGTCCCCATGAGTTTGGTAGCTGACCACTCTCGCTCTCCTGAATACAATCAGTACAATCAAGAGCGGAGCACGCAGATTATTGATCTACCAAGGGATTTGTTCCCTCAAACCATTGTGCAGGCCATCACAGACGACATGCCCAATGGGGAAGTGCGCACACGGCCATTCCCACGATGGCGATCCACTCTGCAGCTCGGCTGCCTTCATCCGACTTCCGTAGGTCTCCGCTGCCTCCCTCCTCCATTCGCCCGGCATCGCTATTCCAATCACAATTCCCGCCAGCGAGCTCTCCCGTTCCCGCCCGCCAACCCGATCCGCTCCTCCCCGGGCTCGTTGCTGCGCTATCGCATGCCCCACGTTGAACCGCTCGGTCTTGTCGGCTCTGTCAGCTGCACTTTGCTCTGTTCAACCAGCCAAGATTCCGTTCGGTTGCCCAATCGTCGCCCCTGCGCACGGAGGGGAACAGAAAGAAAGGGAGGTCTTCGGGAATCGCCGGCGGGCGGAGGGATCCAAATGATGGCAATGAGGGCCGTGATGGCGAAATAGCCCAACCTCTCTGCTCCGGGGCTGATTCTTGATCCAGCCCGGACCCGCTGCAGCACGCATCTGCACGACTCCTCTCGACGAGCGATCGATCCCACGGGGCACCCTCCTGAGATCGCTATTGGTGCTGGACGCTTACTCTGCCTGGGCTTTGCTCTTCCGACGATTGCGTCAACGGAGCAGGCGTTTTCCTTCCCCATCCTGCTTTGCTTCTCAGTCATCTCGACTCGTCCTGGATGAACCTGGATTTCTGCGTCAACTCGCTCCATCTACTCGACTACCATCTCAGCAGCAGCAGCAGTAGCGGCAGCAGCAGCAATCACATTGCAGATAGACTTGCTCGCATCGACTGCGATCCTGTTGGCTATAGCCTCTGTGCCAGGACCATCGGCAGCCTCGAGATGGAGATGGACGACCCTATGACGACTTCTGAGGACGCCCAGGGCTCTCTTTCACTGTCCTCATCGGCCACGCTGCTGGCTTCGAGCACCACCGACGACGCTGAGCCGGCGATGCCGGGTCAGGACGAGGCCGCCGGGCTGGCTCGTGGCTCGAGTGAAGGCATCTCCATGGGCATTCCCGAACACCCTGGCGATCGCTGGATCTCTCCTCTGCTGTCCTGCGGCAACCAGTCTCCCAAATGGCAGCATCAATCAGCCAAGGACAGCTCGTCCCGGCGGCATCCTCTGGCTCCACAGCCTAATTCTCGGGACCTGCGCTCGCATCTCTCCAGCGACCTGTCCGGAGAGCGCATCGACTACCTGACCTTTGACCTGGAGCCTCTGGATCTGCACCAGACCTGGCGGGCCGTGGCCAGACACAAGACCCTGTTGCCGGATGGCCCGCGGCTGGAGAATGTGGCCTGGAGAAGGTTCTTCCAGTCCCACTATCATCTGAGAAAGGCCGACCAGGCGGCGATATGGTAGGCGAGCAGTGGCCAGCATTGCGAGAGGGTGGGTGGGAAGCGCACATCGCCGTGGAACAGGATCTCTGCGGGTTCGCTGGAGAATCAATCGATGAGCATCCGAGTTGCATAGTCTACAGTCGCTCGTGCCGGCCGTAGCCGCTGACGGAATACGAAGCCTGTGAACGACGTTCAGACCACAACTGAACGCCTGCTAATCCGGCTGGCCTATCCGCATTCCGATCCAAGGGATCGTTCATCCAAAGATCAGCCCCTCTACGAACCTACGTCCGACACAGTCACAGGCAATCCCCAGCAGCAATCTGCGATTGCAGACCGCTCCGGCCCAAAGCCCGATCGAGATGAATGCAAGGGCAGGCGCGTAAATCGACCCCGGCCGATCTTGAAGTCGTCGACGGGCGACGACTTTATGAGCCAGCTGCGAGAGCTGTATCTGATCAAGACAAACCAGATCCACGACGCCGACAGCGACCATCGGGTGCAGATCCTCTCCGACCACCTGTCGCTCTCGCTCAAGACTGCCAAGGACACATCCGGTGTCTTGAACGGAGCGCTTTCGGACTCGGAGGCCATCGCCGGCGGTCTTCGCGGCGAACCAGACGATGGAGACAGGCCCGAGGTGCCCGGCCGAAGAAAGCATCGTGTTCGATGGAATCCGATCGTCCAGAAAGTCACCCTGCTCGAGGCAAATACTGTCCGTGCCGGCAACTCGGTCTCGCCAGCAGAATGCGAGGATGGAGACCTGCCGATACCCGGAACACACCTCCAGCAAAGTATGTTTGTTCAAGAGATGTTTCTAAAGGCCCCACATGTCTCACACGGAGCCGGCAGCGACGGCAGCAAGAGCCCGGACTGCGAGGAGGACCCATACCAAAGGGACTCGGGCGAGCCTCACGCTCGCAAGATCCATGCTCGCGGCTCGTCGCTGGACGATACGCAAGAGAGCCCTCCAGGCCAGCAAAGCGACGGGACATCTGGGCCAGCTTTCGGTGGGTCCAGTCGGCACTGGTTGCCGGCGTTTGGCGGTCCAGCCGGACGAGGAGGCCCTTGTCGGGACCACTCCGGCTCGGCGATCGATTCGAGGGACCTCTTGAGCTTTCTCGATATCGAAGAAGGCGAGCCGCTGGAGCAGATGCAACGTGTGCGACACCGGACCAAATGGAAGTATGTCGGGTCGTATCACCAGCAGCTGGTCCACGAATCGTCGGCCGAGTCCCTGGACGAGTATGCCGAGGGGCTCGACATTGGTCTGGCAAACAGGATGCTGCCGTGGTTGACATTTATGTTCAAGCTTTCGAGGTAAGTCGCTCGATCGCGGCTGCGAAGATATCTGAATGTGGACATGTGGGCACCACACATTGCAGGGAGACTGACACGATCCAACCCCCAGCGTGCTCTTTATCGTTGCGTACTTTGTGGTGCGGATGTGGACTGCGACGGCGAGGAGGATCCTGGAGTGGATACGACGCTGGCTGCGAACGCTTGTATCGGCCGTGACAGGCCCCTGGATCGCTGAGCGGGCCATAGCTTCGCCGATGCCGTCTCCAACCCACAAGCACGCACCCGAAGCCAGCCAAGACGATAGCACCGGTCCGCACGAAGAACCGGGCCGCAGGACAGACGGGCTCCGACTGAGAACGGCGACGGTCTCGGGTGAGTGCGGCCATGACCGAACCACGGGGCGGATGTGTTGACGCAGGAGCGGATACAAATGAGGGCCCGTATTGCCAAGACGAGCTGGGGTGGGCGAGACTGGACTGGGCTGGGGAGTCGGGGGCGGTGATGATATCGTCTCAGTGAGGACGAGGAAGCAAGGCGAGAACAGTGGGCTGATGATGATGGTCTCTCTCCCGCAGTCGAGGAACTGGACCTTGCCGACTGGTCGCCGGAGGCAGCGCCTGAGATACACGAAGGCCCGGACGGAGTGGTCGATCGCATCATGGGACTGTATGACGGCATGCGCGATGTGTGGAAGTGGGGGCGGTCGCTGGCCCGAGGGGCGTGTCCGATATGACCGGCAAGGCTCTGTGAATACAGGGGGGACTCGGGCAGGCCGACCGGGTATCAGACTGGTGTCGGGCTTGGCACACCGACTGACGCAAGAATCCGAACAGACGGGCACCGTGGGAAACGAAAGTGCGTTGAATCAGCAGCATTCGCCTGGAGCGAGGGCTTGTGCTTGCGCAAGCACGGGCTGGGCGGTCGACGCGCTGTGGGCAAGCCCAGGGGGTACAAGAGCCACAGGACGGGGGCAGCTGGTGAGCAGGCGGACACCGGGGATTCGGGGAACGGGGAGAGCACTCGGCACAGTTGCTGCACAGTGGCTGCACAGTGACTGCACAGTGGCTGCACGCAGCCAGCCCGGCAAGCCACACGACACGCCGGCAAGGGGACCCGCGCCGCGCAACAAGGCCGCGCCCGTGGAATCGAACGCGCCCGTTCCCATCGAACGTTCCTGGCCAATCGCCGCGCGGCCTGTGTTCCCGCGGAGGCGCGATGGCCCACCAATCCGAGCGAGCGCCGCTGACTCTGTGCGCCGGTGCGCGCCGCCCTCCGCTCTATATCAAGCGGCTTCCCGCCCTTCGCCGAGCCCATTTCGGCATCGCCCGCTTTCCCTGGCTTCGACTTTTGGCTCTGGCTTGTCTTCCAACCACCGTCCAACCACCGCCCTACCACCGTTCTGTCAGCGGTTTGCCCTTTCCGCTTCATCTTCTTCGCCACTCTGCCCGACACAGGCATGCTGTCGGCTTTCCCGGCCGACTTCTCTCCAAGACCACCCCGACCGCCACCGCCCACCCTGATTGCGCTGTGCTTCTCTGCCTGCCATGCCTGCCTCGGCCCCAAGTCTCTCTGAATCCACTCTCAGTCGTGCCTCGACGCTCCAGAAGGTGCAGTCGCCAGCAACCGCAGCCCCATCCCCAGCGGCATTCGTTTGACGTCGCGATTTCCGCTCGTGCAGCGGACAGTCGCGAATCTGGGTCCAGTCTTCTTCCTCCCACCCTGCTTCCTCCCACTGGCACGTCCCGCTGGCACGCCTCACCGCCTCGATCTGACATCCTCTGCATCCGTCTCTGTATCCCACCGACTCGCCTCGCCACAGCTCCTCAAGTTCAAGAACATTGGAAAGGTTCGTATGTCTCCGGCTGCCTCGGGCTGGCACCCGCTCGATCCAACAGGCAACTCAATTCTCGCTCTCCCCATATCCAGTTCGGCGGCATTTGCTTCCTCTACTGCTCCATTCTGGGGCCAAGTGTGCCTCAAATCCAGTCGCTCTTCCAGCAGGTAACGGGGATGCTTCCTCGCCTCATCTCTCGCGCTCACCTGGCCGCTTGAGATCATATATGCTCTGATTTCTGGAGCAATTACCGCACACTGCAGGAATACCCGTTTACGCCTCTTGATATCGACTGACGCCTCTTGATATCGACTGACGCCTCTTGATATCGACTGACGCCTCTTGATATCGATGCACCAACGTATCCTGCCTTGCGAACCCCTCCACCAACGTATCCTGCCTCGCCATGACACCACCTCCGACTCGGGACGCAGTACGGATATGTCACGATATCGCTGCTCTTCCTGGCGTTCGCCATTATCAGCGCCATCGGCGCACTCTTCATCATCGAGGCGATGCAGTGCATCCCCGGCAATCGCCACTTCCAGGGCACGATCGAGTACGGCACGCTCATCAACTTTTACTTCAGCCCCAAGATGCACTACGTTGGCCAGCTGTTCTTGTATCTCTCCCTCGTCTTCTCTAGCGCCGTCTCTATCATCCAGTGCATCCAGGTTCGTCGTCGCCATGAATGTCGCTGGTGTTTCTGCGACCCATGGTGTAGACTGGATGTGTCGCAACCGAATTGCTACGACCGACCCTCTCGACGACGCGGCAGCACGTCTGAATCGCCCCTCAATCTCGATATCGGCAATGGCCTCTGCCTCTGCCTCTGCATTCACTCCGTTTTGACACTGCTCGTCCATATTCTCTCCGTCCTCCTGCCATCTGCGCCCCTCCAGAACATGGATTCGATCATCATTGACATCTTCAAGAGCACATGCGGGATCGGTATTGGAAACGGACCCAAAGGCTGGCACTGTGTCGGCAGCTCGGCCGTCGTTCATCCAGGCAACCAATATATGGACTATGGCAACGGCGTCATGCTTGTGACTCTGGGCACGCTGGTACGTCCTCGACCGATACTCTGGTGGCGTCCGAGCTCTGGGGCGACGCAGGACGTGAACAGATGGTCGAGCCAGTCGAGGCGATCATCTCTTGGCATCGAATCGGGTCATCTTTGTGAGAGGGACATGGCAAAGAGCCTGAGCCGGGTGGACTGGATTGCCGGCCATGCTAACGGTTGTGCGCATTCTTGCTGTCGCCCACCGGCTGGTTTGCAGGTCATGGTCATGGTAATCGTTCCTCTCTCGCGATCTAGTCTCAACGACAACATTTACGTCCAGATCGGTGAGCTGCCTCCTCCCTCTCTGCCAAATCTGCGTTCCGAGATTACCTTCCGGACGAACCCGATTTCGAGCCGGGTCGCTCCAGAACCTGCAGTGGACTCACCTTCAGGATCATACTGCCGACATAATCGCCTATTCGCGAGCACCAATGCGCTGACCCTCTCCTGCCCCCTCAATCGCACCTTGCCTAGCTTCGTTCTTTGTCACAATCGCCGTGTTTGGGTTGTGGTTGGGCGTCTCTCTCTATGCGGGCGCGACGAGCGGCTGGCAAGCCATTTCGCCCTTTGGCCAGACACCCGACGGCGGCGCATTCGGTCCGATTATGCTGAGCTATGCCTTCATCACGGTGGTTCCGTCGTGGGTCAACCTCAAGGAAAAGTCCATCAACGTCCAGCGGACGATCTGGGAGTCAGTTGGGATCTCGTTTCTGACGTACATCATTGTTGGGCTCATTCGTAAGCATTTCAGTCATGGAATCAGTCGTGGCCATATCGCTATATCGCTATATCGCTATATCGCCATATCGCCATATTGCCATATCGCCGCAGCATCTGACACAGATCCCTCGCCATCCTCCTCACACGCACACGCACATCTGCAGCCGCCCTGGCCTTCAGCATCGACAGCAACTCGAATCTCCTGCTGGTCTTGAATACCCGAAGCCTGATCTTTCGCATCGCCAGCTATCTTTACGTCATCCTCGTCCTGATATCGTCCATTCCAGTTTACATCATTGTCAGCTACGACAACTTGATGCAGAATAAGGTCTGCTCATCGCGTAAGTGAAGACGGCCATGTGCCACACTCCCGCCGCTCTGCTTGGCCGATGCCTCGACATCTCCGCAATGGGATATGCAATGTGGTTCGCAGGTGCATCGCTGACCAGCCGCCGAGGGTTTGTCTAGACCCAGCTGCGGCGTACGGTGGGCTACTCTGCACGGGCTTTCTTTCATACACTGACTCAACTCTTGTCCGCAGCGGTGGCAATCGTGCTTTGCTATATCGTGCCCTGGCTACTCGCCGTCCCTTTCCTCGGCGGCCCCTGGCTCAGCATCATCACCAACTGGTCGTCGGTGCTGTTTGTGTCGATTGCAAACATGATCATCCCCTTTGTGATCTACCTGAAAGCCGTCAGCTTCCGAAAGGCATACAACTCGAAGCGCGAGCTCACACCGCACCAGAAGGAGCTGCTCAGATCCATCCACAAGCCGTCGAACCGAATCATCGAGTACCTTGACCGGGACTTTGCCGACCCCAGCAATGTCGGCGAGCGCGTGCTCGAATTCATCCGCTCGCTCACCGGATCATCGAGGACGCCGACGATGCAGAGCCGGAGTATCCACGAAGAGCCCGGCAGAGGACGATCGAGCACCGGCTCGCGGGAGTCGCGAGGCTCAGTCGGTGGCTCTCCCTCGAGCAGCCCGGTGTTTGGAGCGATGCTGACTGTTCCCATGGCCGCTGGCCGACAGTCGAAGGACTTTGACCCCTTTCGCGGGCAACCGGCGGCGCTCGAGGAGAACAGGGACATCAAGGATATCAAAGACGTCAGAGACATCAAAGACTTCAAAGACGGCAAAGACAGCAATGCAAGTGGCGTCGATATTGATGAAATGCTGGAGATCTTTGGCGATGTCGTTGACCCCGACCTCGACGACGACGAGCGGAACAGGAACCCCCAGTCGCGGGTGCCACCGTTTGAGATTCCCGAGATTCGCATCTACGGCCCCGAATCGAGCTCCGAGGCCGTGAATGTGATCCAGTTCGCAACTAAATCCTCGATCAAGCCGGCAGCAGTGCCATCCGCAGACGAAGGCCGAGGCGACGACCGCCAGCACGGACTCTCTGTTCAGAAGCTGCGAGAGAAGACGGCCTCGCTGATGTCTCGCCAGACCGGAAGCGCCCTCAGCCTGTCTTTCTACGGCATCAAACCCTGGGGCTGGTCCAGCGGGCCATCCTCGCCGACCACCGCCCAGGAGGTGCCCAACCTCGATCGGCCGGCAAGCGACGACGCATCGATCCGGTCGTCGCCCAAATCATCGCCCCTGGATCCGCCCTGCCCTGAAATCGTGGAGCCTTCGAGCGAACAGCCATCGCCCAAGATGGGATGGAGCGATATCCCGCTGGGAACCGCCACAACGAATCCATACAGCCGATCCAGCCTTTCGATCGCCGAGAGACGTCCCGAGAGCCTGGCCAGCAAGCCGCGACCACAGCCGCCGCTGCGGCAACAGTCGATCGACACGGTGTCGTCCCTGCGGCCGGGAACGCTGCCGATCCACCCGCAGTTTGTGACGCCGGTCTTTCGGTCGCTTCCCAAGTCGATCCCGATCTCGGGGCTGTATGTGGCCTATGCGTCGGTGCTGATCACCCTGGCGGTCTCGGTGGTGTCGGTCGTCAATCTTGTGACGCAGCTGTCGCAAAACTGAGCGCAGGTAGCGAGTCAGATGGCGAGGGAGAGCGCCTGTCGTGTTCAAGTCATGGTCTGTTGCAAATACAATTTACAGTCTATCCAGAAAGAAACCGGACACTTCCTTCCTGGCATCAGCGACACAAGTCTGCTGATCTGTAGACTTCAGTGGGCAGGTCGTGAGATTGTTTCCCGTCTTGGTTGGCAATCTCCTTGATTTCGTTGGTTGGGAAGCATGGTCTTGAATACACCCGGTCGATCTCCTGTGGCGATGATCGACTGGCATACCGAGATCATGTTCCTGGCTGCATTGATGTCTCGATGTGGGAGTGTGGTGGATGCATTCGACCCTCTGCACAGCTTCATGGTTTCTCGATATCAAGATGCTCAGCCTTCTCGAGTCGCTTGGCTTCCCGACAATGTGAGCACACCTGGGATGTGTTGAACTCGTTCACCGAGCACACATGGATCTTGGAGACGGATCGGTCTGGTGGGCCTCTCTGGTGGTGGTGGAACTGCTCAAAGTACCGAGCGAACCTGAGTCTCCGTGGGCTGGATGCATATCCCCTCCCCTGTTTCCAGGATGCATTCCCAAAGGCAATCACCACTTCGGTCTCCTTGGACATACTTGCTTGGCCATGAATGCGATGAGTGGAAGTGTATTCAGGTTCCAGAAAAAACACTGTCATGGCCCAAAACGGGGTGTTCCCATTTCATTCTGGAAGCGCTGTAGTACTCAGCCCGGCACGATCCCGTCGGCGATCATGGAATCGCTGAACGACCACCCGGGATCGATGAAAATGCAACCAAAGATCTCCCGCCATTCGGACATGTTCTTGTCCTTGGCCATGCAAGACTCTGTCGCCGCGCTTGGCTTGACTCCCGTTGTTGTTCCCCCGTTGTCGTTCGCTGATCGTTCCCACACCGACACCGACGATCCCATCCAGCCCAGCCCAGCCCAGCCCAGCCCAGCCCAGGCCCAGCCCGGCCCGATCGGCCCCCGCCCGAGAGCGTCTCCCGACGGGAGAACCGATGGCGCGCAGAGTCTCTCCCGCGCTCATGCCCTCTCATCCTTCCTCCCTCCCTCCCGATCCCCTCCCCAGCTCCGTCTCCGCACCCGGCTCTCATCTTCCCGCCGGTTTCCTTCCTCCCCTTCGCCCGCTGTGGTCGAGCAGCATTCTTCGTCATCCGCGGCTATCCCTCCCGCTCTCTCTCTCGCTCTCTCCCTTGCTTTATCTGCCCAAATCCATATCACCCGCAACAACAATCTCTCAGCACACACCAGACACCCACGCAGATCCGACGCCTCTCCATCGCCTGCTTGGATCACTTACTTCCATTCGATCGTAAGCAGACCCGAGTTCCTCCTTGCTCCTCGCTTCTTTGGCCTGCTGTTCTGCTTCGCCCGGGCTTGGGGGCGGGATGTGCTCTGCTCAATGCTTGTCGTGCCCCCGGTCGTCTCCACTGACCACTCTGTTTCTTGATCTGCTGCATCCCCGTCGACAGGCCCTCTGCGAACACTGTTTTCGCCAGTCGCCATTTGCCCAGTCAATACAAGTCGCTGCCGACACCAGCCACCGGCAGTGCCGAGTGAACCATTCTTGCCCTCAACGTGGGCCGTTCCCTTTCCCATTTCCGTGGTTCCGATACATTCAGTACCTGATCAAACTCAAACGAAAGAACCGAGACATCTCACCCAAAACAAGATAACAAAGTCACAAGAATCAGCCTAAAGAGAAACTCCCATCCCATTCATGCTCACGTCAGACTCTGATCCAACGGCTCGTCCCAAGCCCTCGCTCGCAGAGGCACCTGAGCCATCTGAAGCACCCGCTGCTGCCTCGTCCTCCAATCCCCAGACCCGTCCGCAGGAGCGATCTGGGCCGCCGTCTCACTTTCTCAAGCGTCCCAGCTCGGCCTCCTCGATCTTGAGTCAGATGCACAACGACAAGCTGGGCGCTCGTGCCCATCTCGATCCTTCTCGCCTCGAGCTATCAGACCTACTCGGGCGAGCCGTCCACCGCCCAACGCCCAGATCCACTGCCGGAAAATTGCCTTTCCGCCCCAGTTCCAGGGCTTCAGAGCCCCCCGCATCAACTCGAGACGATCTCGACTCGCAGGACGACAGGGCCGCCGCTGATGGAGACTCTGTCGACGAAGAAAGCACCATTCCCACGATCCGCTGCCTGGAGGATCTGCTCGAGATGGATCCCAAAGGCATCGCGTTGCTCGAGAAGAGGTCAGTACTGTTGCGAGTCGACTCGGATCTTTGGCAATGGTCGGGGCCCGACGCGTAGCCGATCAGCATAGTCATGATATCCATGGCCGCACTTGCTTGCTGTCATTGGCAGCTATCGCGATCTCGCCGCGCCGACACTGATGAGTTGACTGTGTCTGACAATATGGATGGGTAATGAACCCGCTTTAGACAGGACGCTAGGCTCAAGAATGTCGCTGCCAAGCTCAAGCATGTTCAAACCAACCTTGGGAGGTGAGTGTTGCACGGCGGCCGTACTTGAACAAACCACATGCAAGCGGATGAACTGGCCTCTGGCCGAACGATCGGCAGCGCACATTGCCTTGTCGCTAACCCGCTCGATGGCGCCGCCGCTTCTCTGAAACAGAGACTCGAGCAGCACCCTCACGCCTCTCAAGGAAATCTTCTCGCCCTGTCCTGGACTTACCGACGGCAATGGTGCAGCAGCAGCAGCAAGCGCCAACGAGCCCGCCGCTGATGCCGACTCCTCGGAGAGTCTTGTCTTCCAAGACTATCCTCTGGATGCCCTGCTCGACTCGATCGAGCGTCTCCACGGTGCTACCACTGACAAGGAAGAGGAGCTTATATCGTCGTCGCCGTACAAATCAACCCAGGAGGCTCTCGAGCAGATGAAGGAGCTTCAGATGATTCAAGCTACTCGCCAGGCCCAGCTCGCCAAGCTGCTCGAGCTCCGAGATCACCATGAGCGCGAAAGACAGGCTAAGCTGGAGCAGCTCCGAGAGCTGGAGCAGCGCAAGAATGAGCTTATGAAGCTGCGCTCGCAGTTGGCCATGCTTGAGCACCTCAAGGGCTCAAGCGACCGCTCCGATCCTGCCCAAGGAGATTCGGGCCCACCCAAGACCACACAGCTGGAAACCCCAGCAGTGGCCTCGACTGGAGGCGAGGCTTCTTCAGAGCAAGTCGCCTCCGACAAGATGAGCTCCACAACTCATAATGTATCCATCTGCCACGAGCAATGCCAGGACCAGGACGGCCACCACCAATCCCGCCGCACCATCGTCCGAACCACTCTGGCGCAAGATTCCACAGGCAACATTGTCGAGCTGGTCGAGTCCCGGGAGAGTACCCTCCATGCAACCACTCTCGAGGATGTTGGAGTCGGGTCTGCAGCTGTCCAGGTCGAGTCGTCTCACACCAGCACCGTCATCGAGGAGGTCCGTGAGCGTCTTGTGCAGATCAATGAACAAGCGCTGGAGGGTACTGAAGCGACATCGAGAGCACAAGATGTACAAGCCAGCGACGAGCCACAAGCGTCTCAAGAGGACGAAGACGAGGTGATCAGCTTCGAAGAGCATGATGCCTTTGAGCAGCTTCTAATGCTCAAACAGCAAGAAGACGAGATGGGGCGTCTGCGCGAGCAGCTGACCAAGCTGAGAAACCTCAAGGCCGAGCTTGAGAGCAAGCAGTGCCTCCTCTCGCAACTCGACGAGTCCATGCAACTCAGCGCCTATGAACAGGACTCCCCTATCCTTGGTACCCATCGCTCTCAAGCGGCCACCAAGCCGCCTGTCTATTCATGTGCCGATGGAGCCTGTGGCTCGGACTGCGATCGCGAAACCGACCCCGTCGAGTCTGTCTCAATCGACCTGCTCTCGTGTACTCTGAACGACATTGAGAATGAGCTTGAAGCCATCGAGGACCGTCACGAGGCCCGCATGCTGCGGCGCCGCGAGAGATTCGATGCCGAGCCCGCGGGCTGTTTGTCCTTGCGAAGAGTCTCTGTCGACGACCATGCCACCTTGACGGAGCACAAAGACCAGGACGATGCGTTGAGGGCAAGGCTCAATGTTAATCGAGAGCATGATGAAGTGAGCCTCGATGACTTGATGCGCCGCCTCTATGAGGCCTCTGTTAAGGACCCTCAGTTCATGGAGGACCTCACTCGCTCGAAGGCCCATGGAATCGTGAGACCGACTGCACTTGAGGATGAAGGCGATGAGAGCAAGGAGAACATTGACTTTGCAACCAGAGGCCGCCCTTCGATCAAATTTGCCTGGGAGCTCTACGGCGGAGAGGAAGAGGAAGAAGAAGAGGACGAGAGCGACGATAGCCAAGATTCACCTGGCAGCCGAAAGCCCGTGGGTGATAGCGAAATAGTGAACGATGATGCTGTCGAAGCCGAGGAGAGGATCGAAGAAGAGATTGAAGACGACGGCGAGAGCGGGGATGAAGTCAGCGACAGAGACAACATTGTAGGCTCCTTGTTTGGTCGCGATCCAAAGAGACAATTCCCAAGCAGCTTTGAGATCAGCGCCAGGGAGCGCAAGCGACTCAAAGAATCCCAAGAGCTCCGCTCGGGCATGCTTAACGCAAGACGCAGTGACATCGAGACCCAGACATCTCCATTCGAAGATGGGCGTGCGTATGCCGACGTTCAGGGTTCCCAAGACGAGAGCGAAAACGAGAGCGAAGGCGATGACGATGAGGATGACAATGACGATGACGCCGATAATCAAGTCGAGGGCGATGAGGGTGCGCGTCAGAATGTCGACGATGTCGACGATGACGACGACGACGACGGTATCCTTGACGGCATGCTGGATGAAGCGTCGCTTGCAGAAACGCGATCAAAGGTGACCGAAGGCATCGAGGTGGGTCGCGCAGTTGCAGTTAGAGCGGTATTTCGGAAAGATGCCCAGCCAACGCCCGAGGCTGATAGTGGGACCGACCAACATGAGCACGTTGACCGACATCCCCTCTGGCCATACCACAGCAAGTCATCGGCCATCTCCAGACGTTGAGACTCGTCATGAGGGCCGAGGATTTCCCGCCTGGGCAGCAGGGTAGCTACATGGCTCTGTACGAGCGTCTCCAAGCCCAGCTCAAGGATCTCCGGAATATCAAATCCAAGATCGATGTGGTGCAGTTTTATATGGATCGACAAAAGGTAGCGTGTGCCACGAAATAGCTTGAGGGACCTTTTGGGTGATTGGCAAATGCTGAACTCGTGTATTCAAAATCACGAAATCAGAAGGTCGGACAAGGCTTGGGCAAGCTCGAGGACATGTACCAGGGGCGGCGCGATAAAGATGGCCCAGAGCAGCGCGAAAACGACAGCGATGGTATGTGACCGACTGTGAACGATGCCATTTGCCAGAGAGCGTTTGGTTGCGACCGCTTCAAGTAGCATGATTTGGCAGCCCTGCTCTGAATAGGCTTGGAAGTGCCGTGGCTTTTCCTGTTGATGTCCTGCGTGTCTGCGACTGAATGCTCTTGTAACATCTTTGATTCGACTACGACACTAGTAGCAGACGCCAAAGTGCCTCGTGATGAGCAGCCCCACGTGTCAGATGCAGAATCAGATGCAGAGGACAACGAACCAAGTACATATGCTGCCGAGGTGAGGATGTTACCATTGTCGATTGCCAGCTCATCCAAATGGCGTCGCCCATGCATGATGGCTTGGGTTTTATGGAACTGAATACAGAATGGGGCTGCACGGAACAGCTTTGGATGGCATGGCCCTGATCGGACTGCTTATTCACTGCCAGATTCGAAAGGGGCTCGACATCCGCAAGGCCGAAACCCAAAACATTGGCGCAGTCGCTCCTGAGACCCAGGAGCTTCGCAGGTAAGACGGTTGGCTGCTTTGTCTTGTCGTGATGGAAGGCATTGCCAACCCGCGCTGATGCTGGGTGAAAATGGATAGCGGCAACAAGAGGACTGTTGATCACGAGCAACCCTTCATTCTGGTGCAGTGGCGAGGTTCAGAGTCTCTGGGTCAGCCTTGATGATGAGCCCGAGTCTGCAGAAACTGAAAATGCCCCAGAGACATCGAGAGAGACTCGAATCGAGAACGAGGAAAACATTGTCAAGAAGGGCTTTGATTTCCATCGGCGCCGAGTCGAACTCGATATGCAGAGCGGAGCCGTCAGAGAGCTCGACGGCACATCCGAGCATAGGTGTGTGGACTCGACCATGGGTACTCGCTCCCCTTCAGAGTGAGCGCAGACGTCGGGAGCAAAACTGATGGTGGATAGGCTCTGCACAAGGAGCGACATAGACATGTGCAGGGCTCGCAAGGTACCGATATCTGTCGCTACAGGCGATGAGACTGTGGCTGACAGGCCGTGTGCTTTCTTAGACTGTTTGATCAGGTCAAGAGCGAGATCCACCGCGACGCTGCCGCCGTCATTGCCCAGTTCGACACGGAGCCGTACTTCCTCATGATGCTCTTCCGAAACTTGAAGAAGATGGACTCGGTCTATCTTCGACAGAGGCTTTTGCTTGCTCTCGACTCGATTTTGGAGGATCGCGAGAATATGATGGAGCAGCCGTTGTCCCCGAGCGAGCATCCATCCCGCGGCAAGGCGCCGATGGTGCGGTTCCAGGACGACCAGGCTCCGCCAATTCAGGACACGGTCTCCTTTGACTTTGCGAGCCGACGAGCCAGCAATATCCAAGTAAGTTGACTCCTCTCATGTGCTTGATCTCTGCCATAATCCCGAGGGCATCAGTCTCGAGCGGTCAACTGAATCCCGAGTCTCATCTGTACCGAACAGGACCACATCTACGAGGTTAGTATCCTGTCGTCGCATATCTGGGAGTAGCTTTCGTCGCGGGCAAGCTGGTCGCTCTTTCGTTGCCATCGCCCGCCCAAGTAACTCTGGTTCGCATTGTTCCCATGGCACTTCAATCAGTACATTGATCTGGTGGTCACGGACCCATCCTATCCGATGATTACCCGTGCCACACTCAAGACCATCCAACAGTATCTGTTGTCGCTTGATCCAGAGGTGGAGCCGCAAATGCCCGAACTTGCCAAGGAAATGGAGGTGTTCGTGGGAATGCCTGCCACCGACTGCGGCGAGGACATGAAGGAAGTCATCATGGATATCATTGGCAAAGGTACGTTGCTCGAGTCAAGTCGCGGCGTCGAATGGAGAGTGATGCGATCGATCTGATGACACTGGAACTGTTGATACCATCGTCATGATTCTGGAATACTTATAAGGCTTCTCGATGAACACTGCACAGCTGCACCCAAGCAGCAGGCTGATTGATTAGAGCTGGAAAGAAGCCATGGCTGTGCCCTTGATTCGAACGGCTGCTGTCGGGAACAACGGCGATGGTTAAAATTACTGCGAGCTGCTCGTATGCCTCACGCCATCATTTTGCTCGATTTGCTGCCGGGGATTGGTTTTTACTCTGGTCCGCAATATGCGTGAATGCAAACTCTACCCCATTATTTGGTATTCGATGGGATGATCCACAATAATACTCAGTCTTTCACTACATCGTTATGGCATCCGTATACCATGGGGGACGGCGTAATGTTGGATTGAGACTGCTCAAAGCACTGAGCGATCCTGAGTCCGCCTGGACTTGATGGACACCTCTTTCCCTGCTTTTGCGAGGCATTCCCAAGGGCAGCCACAAGGTCGGTCGCCATGGACACAGTGTTTGCCTTGGCTTGGGGAATGGATGGGAGCCTATTCCGTATCAACAACAAAGCCACAGCCCCAAATCAACAGGGGTGTCCCCGTTTCAGTGAGACTTGCTTCGAGTCTGGGTGAGCGTCGTTGGCATGTTCCTCAATACTCTGCATCCCGACCACGGTATCTCGGGGGGGCTCAGGGACTCGGCGTGGTCTCCAAGCTGCATCAAATCGGAATCGCGTATTTATTCCGATTGAGTCGATCATCATCTTTTGTGAATAGCTTAGTTCCGCGATATGACAATGCACGCCATCAACTGAGATATAGCTATCACTCCCTTCTTCCTGCAAATGCGGCTGCGCTTCATTCGATGGGTGTTGGATTGGGGATGAATCCGCTTCGCATGGCCCTAAATAGCACATCTTTCAAAGCCTCTTGAGTGGAAAGATGGTTCGGGTGGTTTGGATCGTCGTAGATAACACAGCATATCTTGAGGCTTAGGGTAGCATATTTGATTGCATGTTCGAAACTGCCAATCCTTCCGAATGCGGTACCAATATTGCTTAGTAATTGGGCGGCCTCTGGCGTGTTCAGATTCTTTTGAAGTTTTGTGTGGATTTGTAGCGACTCTATAAAGTAATCGAGAGCAATATTGTGGCGTTCAAGAGCAACATTCGTGGCTCCCAGGCTATTCAGAATCGGTCCGATGGCGAGATGTTCTCTTGTGCCAAGGATCCTGATATGAAAGTCGAGCGATCGCTGAAAATACAGCAGAGCTTCCTCGTCCTTTTGACTTTGAAAATACGAGTGTCCGATATCGTGCAAAATGACCCCTTCTTCAAGATCGCCCTCGAAGGATTTCGATTGGGTGACGATCTCTAGGGACTCGTTGAAATATTTGATGGCTTCATCATTGTTGCCTTTGGATCTCGACAGCACGCCCAAGCCTCTCAATACAACGGCTTCGGGTCGGCAATTGTGAGTGCCCTTGAATCTTCGAATAACGTCCAGAGCGCGGCGGTAATGATGGACCGCATCGTCCTGGCGATTGAGAGAGCGCAATACACTTCCCAAATTTGAATAAATATCAGCGAGCCCATAATTTCCATCTTCACCATACAAATCAACAATGATCTTGAGCGCTTCTTGAAACCGAACCAGTGCCATGTCAAATTTCGTCTGGGCAATATCGAGGTGTCCCATACTGCAAAGAGCGCGAGACACAGCGGGATGACAGCGGGTGCCATGGTACTTGGTCAAAACCAAAATCGATTCTTGGATGTGGTCATGAGCATCCGCATATCGACGCTGTTTTATGGCAAAACTCGCAAGAGCGTCGAGAACTTGGGCAACCCCCGGGTGGTTTCGTGTTCCAACCAACTCAGTAACCATAGACAGTGCTTCGTTACATTTATCGATTGCTTCCTGGTGCATTTCAAGCGCATTGTACACTATTCCAAGTTGGATCAGGGTACGAGTCGCCTCCAAACTTCCTCGTGGACCACAAACCGCAACGTGGATCTTGAAGGCTTCAGTAAAAGAGCCGATGGCGTCTTCCCTCTTTCCTTGCTTGCTCAAAATGATCCCTATATGATTCAGATTTCTAGCAATGACCGCGAAGTATTTTGTCGGATATAGCTTAATATTGATCGCGTAAGCTTCGCGGAAGTAGCCCAGGGCTTCATCGTACTGCTCGGATGATGCGCACAAATCTCCTAAATTGTCGAGGGCTATGGCAATTTCATGATGCTCGCGGGTTTCAAAGATTTCAATCTTGATATCGAGGGACTCTTGGAGATATCGAAGGGCTGTTTCAAATTGATTTTGTCGTTGGGAAACTATTCCGAGTTCGCCAAGTATTATGGCGACTTGATAATGCTTGCGTGTTTCAAAGGTATTGAGCGATACATCCAAGGCTTCGAGGAGATATTGATGAGCCTTTTCAAATGATTCTTGGTAACAATTCGCTTTACCAAGGTTGAAGAGAACCGTTACAGCGTCCTTGTGTTGCCGTGTTCCGTAAACACGAGCATAAATCCCTATTGCTTCCTCGTAGTGACAAATTGCTTCGCTGTATCGCTCACTGAGTGTTAAAACCACTCCAATGGCGTTGATTAAAAAGGCAACGCCCGAATGCTCTCGAGTCTCGTAAATTTTGGTGAGAATATCGAGGGACTCTTGGAAATACGTCAGCGCTTCATCGAGTTGAAGGAGGTCACATGCGACGATGCCAAGATTGTAGAGCGAGCGAGCAACATTCGGATGCTCCGGAGTACCAAAAATCTTGAGCTGAATGTCTTTCGCTCTACGGTAATAATCCAAGGCTTCTTCAAACTGGCTGCGTTTTCGAGCAATGTTGGCAATCCCAATATAAGTTTCGGCGATGTCGTTGGTTTCAATCTCATTGCTGATTCTGAGATGAATGCTCAAAGACTTTTGGATGAGCACGGCTGCTTCATTGAAGAGATTTTGATCACTCTTGACTCCACTCATATTGCTGAAGATCGCTGCGACGAGTTCTGAATCTTGGCTACCGCCGCACTTCATATGAATCGAAAGAGCCTTCTCTAAATATTCGAGCGCAGATTTGAGTTTTCCTTGTCTCCAATACAGAGCTGCAGTGTTGCCAAGGTTTCGAGCAATGTCGGCGTGTTCATGGCTTCCATAGTATTTGATATAAATTTCAAGCGCTTCTTCATAATGTTTTTGCGCCATATCTAGTTTCCCTGTTTCTATATAAAGATTGCCCATACTCTCGATAATTTCGGCTCGATCAGGGTGATAGATTGTCGAAAAAAAGTTGGCGGTCTTCTGAAGGCATTCCTTGTATCTGAGCTCGGCCAAAGTATAGAGTGCTTTCCTCTGCGATATGACTCCGACACGATGAGCAATGCGAATATGCAGCTCCTTGGTGTAGTGTTCTGGTACAAACTGCTCCGCAAGTTGGTACAAATGATTGGAAAGCAAACCCGCTCTCGCATTCTGAGTTTTGGTTAAATAGAGCAGTAAGAGCGCCACTATTTCTTCGATTTCGCTCAACTCAAGATTGGGGTGAGTCGCGACCCACTGGTGGGAGACTCTCTGAGTCAATGAATGCGTGTGGTACTCTTGGTTGGATCCTGGTCGAAGTAGCCCGCTCTCGCACATCATCGTGACAAGATGAGCAACTGAAAGAGGATAGGTGGTGTTAACCGACTTTCGTCCACTGTGCTCATCATTCATACATTAAACATTTGTGAGCTCATTATCAGGACGCTCGTGCATTCTATTCGAATTTCCACTCACAGACACCACCGCGTGCGCATCGTGCCGAATGAGTATGCACCCGCTTATATATACTCTCACCCTATTCACGATCCGCAGACACAATCCTGACATGGCTTACCTTCGGTCTTGAACTCCAACACCTCAGCAATCTCCTTGATCAACTCGAACTGGATGTTGGTCGGCGCCACCAGACTGAGGGCACCGAACAGCCTGGCTGCCTCGATGCCCTCATCCCCTCGCTTCATCAGCGAGTCCAGCGACAGATCCACAATCACCTTGAGCGACGACCGCGTGTCGTCATCGCCATCCTGCAGCTCCAATGCTCCTGCAAACGTGGCCTCGAGCACCGACAGGGGAGTGTCGTAGTTCTCGGCAAACGTCATGAATGTCTGGATGACGAGTGGATATCCGCTGATCTTGGTCACGATGTTGTCGAGGGACTTCTTGGCTTCGTCCGACACAAGTCTCTTGACAATCATTGGCGACGACGACATGATGTAGTCGAGCGTGGTGGTGTCGTCCCAGTTGACGAGACGGAGCAGATCGTGCTGGAAGCTCGGTGCCTTGGTCTCAAGAGCACTGGCGAATGCACCGGGAGGCAGCGAGGCCAGCCGGGTCGTCACCACCACATCGCCGCTGAACCCGACCGACTTGGAGTGCTCAAACACAGAGTCGACCACACCGATGTCATCGACATTGTCGAGCACCAGGAGATAGCCATGAGTGTTGGCGAGGAACCTCGAGGCATGCTCCTTGATCTCGTCGGGCTTGATATAGGGGAACATCTCGATGAGCCCATCGAGGGCAGTCGACTCGGTCGAGCAGTTGATCCAGAAGACCTGGCGGTACTGTGGCTTGATGCCGATGGTCTCGGCTTTGATGGCGAGGAGGTCTTCCTTGTTGCTCGCATTCATAATGCCCATCATGAAGAACAGGATCTGGACAGCCAGGACGGACTTGCCCATGCCACCCATGCCAGAGATGACGGCGCGGCCAGTCAGGGTGAGTTGCTTGAGCAGGGTGTCGAGGTGGGCGGGATCGAATCGGAACTTGGAATCGCAAAAGTATTTGCGATGGATGGACGTAATGAGATCCATGTTGGGTGGGATGGGATGGACGAGGTTGAGGAGGCGGTAGGACTCGCTTGTGCATCTGGTCGGGGCGGAAGCCAAAGGACTGGATCTGGTTCACTCTGCCGAGGGTCTGGTTGAGCGAGGCAAAAGCTGGTTCGTCGGGGAGAGACACCATGTTCGGCAGGAAGGGAGTGAAGTCATCGACACCATCTTTGGTTTCCTTGGTGGCAATTCCGAGGGGAAGGACAGGCAGGGAGCGATTTGGCATCCTTGAGATCGAGGGCGGTCTTGATCTCAAGCAGAACGCTGTCCTCCTGGCCGGAGAGGGTGTTCTCAATCATAGGTTCGAACGATGCCCAACTGAGGAGCAGGAAGACGGCCTTGCTGGTGGGGAGGGCGCTGATAGAGCTGACTGAAGGGTCGCTGGGATTGTTGAGGCAGTCGACATCGTGGAAGACGGAAAGGGGTTTGCCATATCGACGGAGGGCGACCGAGGTGAGCACCTCCTTCAGAGCCTGGACAGTGTCGGCATCAGTCTGGGCTTGGTAGGAGAGGAACAGATCGTGGTCGGTGCCGTGGGCAGGACAGGAATAGAGCTGGTTGCTAGTGGACGGCATGACTGGATGGCGGGCCGGAGAGCGAGATGAAAAAGCTGGCTGGAAAGACCGGGCTTGGGGCCGGACCAGCGTTGCCACCGCGAATCCTCGATTCGTCGTCGGCGTTCTCTTGGGTTGGCAATGACCGTGCACTGGGGTCAAGCCCCCTTGCAATCGAGTTGGTTAGACCAGGTTCGCATCGAAACTGGACTGAATTGGATGGGTGTTGGATTGGGATGAATCCGCTTTGCATGGTTCCTTGAAGTTGCTATCGCACCCCCTTGATATCTGCTGGCTGCAGTGTATGCCGATGCACTCCATAGTCATCCGCTCATCACACATGCCCCCTCGCTCCTTCCGGTCGTCTCGTATCTGTCCTCGATGGTCCCTCTCGATCGACCCTCTGGATCGCCCCATGTCTGTTCTCGCTCCTTCTGGTCGCCTCTCTGTCCTAGACACCGCGCTGGTCATGTGGGAGTGCGCATTGCTCTTGGCGTTTCCCTGCATTTCCGGCCACTCAAATGTGGGCTCTCGCCGTCCGAGCATCCCTGAACGTCATGCTCCATATCGTCTCTGTCGCCTGCTCGGTCGCTCGCTGAATATCCCCCTCCTTTCTCCCTCCGCTGGGCCCTGGCTCCATCAGTATCAGGTAGTCGCATTTGCCCTCCCCCCAAAGCCCACATCGTATCGCCCCATATCCAACCAGCCGATTCCCCACTCCTGCGTTGCATCCGCTCGCTCGCTTCACCATGCCCTTGCCCATATCCACGGTCCTTGAGGCTTACAAAAATATCGTCACCGAGCTCAACACTCTTGGCAATGCAAAATTCGATCAGCAACAACAGCAGCAGGATGTTCGCAATCTTCGCAGCCACCTCCAATCCGTCGAGTCCAATCTGGCGGACCTTGACCAAGCCATCGACGGAGAAACCCGGCATCTCCAGAAGCTGCAAAAGTTCTCCTTCACAAAATTCAAGACCAAGATCTCTGGCACCAACGCCGAGCAGATTGAAGAGGCGCAGAAAACGCTCTTTCGCCTTGAACAGCAGCGCAACCAGTGCCTCGAAGGACTCGCCGGCTTTGGCCAGCAGCTGGGCGTCGCCGAGGCGCTTGCAGCCGAGCTGGGCGCCAAATGCAACCGCTTCGGCTCCCTCTGTAGCCAGCTGCATAGCCTGCTGGACCAGTACTATGCACCGCCAACCCCAAGCCATCCCGATAATGAAGCCATCCTTTCGGAGCTGAATCAGACGCAGGTCTATCTGCTTGAGCAGCAGGACCGGCTGGAGCGATTCCGGCGTGCCCTTCAGATGGCCAGCGAGGCTGTGCGATATTATCGTCTGGCCCTCGACTGCGTCCAGACTGCTCTGCAGTCCGGCACCACCGATATATTTTTCCGCAATGGCTTCTCCGAGATCAACGAATACGACAACTCGCAACAAGCCAAGGCTGCGGCCGACAAGGCCAACGCGCTGCTTCGGACGGCCATCCATGCGGTTCCGCCCGAGTCGGGGGTCAACGCATCGCAGTTCAAGTTCTTCGACATTGGCAGTCTGTCCGTATTCGGTACACTCGTCTTTGACAACTACTTCACCCAATCTGCAAATCTGGACCAGCTGCAACAGCAGCAGTCGGCGCTGATTCCAGTCATCAACGACGCAGCACACTTTGAAGGATATCTTCGGAGCAGCATAGAGCAAATGCAGAGCAGCCTTCTGCAGCTCGTCGCGCAGCAGTCCGAGATCAAGGCTCGACTACTGAATTACCGGCTGTCAAACCTAGCTTACGAATACGAGAGCGTATTCGGGAAGGCCCTCGTTCTCGAGATTCCCCTGAATCCGGAGTGAGCAACTGACCGACATCGTTCCAAAGGCATACTCACAATTGTTTCGTTTCGACCGAGCCACCCTCCGAGGCTGCTGGGAGGCGTTCATGAATGTTACTGGCATCGTATGCGCAACCCACCCAGCATATGAACACCATACCCAAGTCCCGGAACTCGGCTCGAGCTTGTTGTATTGCCAGCCACTATCGATCGAATACAAAATCGTGCGACCACTCCAACTTCCGCGTCCCGTCAACCGCGACGAGGACAGGCTGGTTCCAGAGGCAATACCCCCACACAGACATCTGCTTATTGAAGCCTTGCGCGCTTTCGATCGGACTCTTCGTTATCTTGCTCGCTCACGCTGAGCCGATGACTGTGCGCGACCGATCCTGTTTCCTTGTCCTTGCTTTCGAGCGTGGCTTCGGCCGACCTTTGGGCAGCGACAGAATGCGCCATCGCAACAGCTGGATCGGTGGCAGGAGCGCCGCCGATGCCGCTGACCCCCAAGGAGTTGGTGGTCCTATCAAGATCTTGCACATCGGTGGACGATACGCTTGGTCCAGTTGCGTGTGGAGCTTGAAGACTGCCAGCTTCGCGGACCGACCAAGTTTCATACGTGTCTCGGGGCGGATTGACTGTCACAGGTGCAGCAGAGGCGTGCGGGCTCTTGACAGGCGTCTTGAAAGCAGTAGGCCTGTTGGCGACTGCACTTCCCTCTCGGAGACGCCGCTCAAACTTGGTCTTGAGAAGGTCGCTCGCCTCAAAGGCGATTGGAATCTCGAACTGGTCGCCACCAGCCGAATCAAAGACATATGTACACTTCTCGGTTCCGTCGTGATACTCGGTAGCAGGAAAGGATCGCTCTCCCCATTCGCGATTGGGATAGGTTACGTGTATGCGGCGAGTGTTGGGTGGGAACAGGTTCATGAGCCGTTCGCCGTCGGCGTTGCTTTCGCCCATCTGGAGATCTAGCTTGGGGCTCCACATGATCATGTGTCGGTCCTCGGGCACAGGATGGAGGCCCAGGGCCTCGTAGACATGTGCGGTAAGGTGTTGGACATGGTCCTGGAACTTGAAGCTGTGGACAATCCCCGGGAAGACTTCCGGATGTCGCTCCTGGACAAGAGGTGCAAGGGCCGCAGCACGCTCATGGATCCAGAAGAACCAGTAGCAGCTCGGGTAGCTTGTTGCATAGCCCCACTGCAAGTGCTGCGACGTAATTTCAAAGTGGATCGTATGCACCGGCGAGATGCCAAAGAGGGTCGCAATGTACAAGATGGCCGGATGGATGATGGGCGAGGACTTGTCATCTGGCGCTCCTCCTGTCTTGCGAGTCTGCTCCGAACGCCACCGTATCAGTTACCGGGTCACCCGACGCAACGAAACTGATTTTGATCGCACTCAAAGGCATGCTACCGCGCCTCGTTGCAAAACCAGCCGCCTCTGCAACTAAATGGTCGCAAGGTGAGACAGATCCGTGAATAGATACGTACCATCCGGACGAGAGCGGCGTTCGCAATACGAGTTGGATACTGTGCCTCGGGATAGTTGACGTTCATGAATCTCCCCAGCAAAAGCTTGAAGCCATAGTCCTCGGGTGTGGCATCGACATAGTTGAAGAACTCGAGCAGCAGATAGAGTCTGAGGTACCCATACGCTCGTGGAAGGGGATGGCATGCGCTGACTGAGAACATACTCTTCCAATAGTCTGGGGGGAAGCTTCCCGGACGCTTGTCGTCCTTGTAGCTGTAAAAGTGGGCTGGGCGAAGGACAGTACCGCATTCAGAATGGCTCCCACGCATTATCCCCAGGACTATGCTGCAGACCAGCGCATCGGAGCACATCTGATCGGGAATCCCAAATGCCCCTCAACGGTGCATACCGAGTCAAAAACAAGAGCACGCCGCCCACCCGCCAGTGATCTGCCCGAACTCATCGGGTAGCGCGGGTCCAGCGCCAACCGACACTCCTCAATACACAGAGCCCTCACTCAGACACACCCATGTTAGATGCCTGTAAAACAGTAGACCTTACACAGTGAGAAACTTGAAGACTCAAAGCAGTTGGGTCTCAGAGGCGACCACATGCCCGTTGCGTCGATAAGGAAGCCATCAAAGTCCCGACACACCACCCGACCTGAGTCGTCTATAACAGCAAAGGACTGTGTTAGCGTTTGAGGTCAAAGGACAGCTGAGGTCAAAGGACAGTTGAGGTCAAAGGACGGCTGAGCACCGCGGCCTCGTGATCTCCTGTGGCAGGGGAAGCAGTTGCCTGCACTCATGACATGAAGGCGCAGCGTCATCACCCGAAGCAACCGCAGCCGCAGCCGCAGCCTACCAAGCGTATTCCGAGCGAGATTCTTCAGGAGCTTGCTGCACAAGTCCTGGGACAGTATGTTTTCATGGTAGCGCCCAAGGGACACAATATAGGACGTTTCCGAATGGACAAAATCAGCCAGATTCTTGGAGATAAGGAAATCGCGTGCATCGCCAAAGGGTATCGTCGTCAGCTCCTCGTAGCTTTGAATTGCGACCTGAGATTCCTGTGAGGCTGGATCCTGCTGATACGGAAGCATAGGGTCGACAAAGATTTCGCAGTTACTCATGTTTCGTGTCATGAACACATGAAACTCCTCAGTCGTGACAGTATTGAGATCGAGATAGTACTGCAGCGCGTTGATGACCCGATCGTAGTTCACAGTGGCACCGCTCTTCAGCTGGGTGTGTGCCACATAGCGAGCCACCGCTTCACTGTGCGTACGAACGACGCTCAGCAGCCCGGCCGGCGTGACGACCAAGGGTGTAGGCGTCCCGGGAGGCGACCGCGTTGATGGAGCCAAGCCATGCGCCTTGTCGACAAGCGCCAGATGTGTCTTTTGAATGTCATTGAGACTCTCGCATGTCTTTTGGACTGCATTCTTCATGGCACCCCACTGCGAATCCGCTGTCCTCCTTTGTTGTTCGAGCTCCTTCTTCAGCTGCTCGCAGCGCGAGTAGAGCTCTTCTGCCGAGCTGCGGAGCACCTCGTGTCGCTGCTTCATGTCATCTTGGTGCTTTGTTAGCTTTTCGTTACGGGCGTGGAGAATTTGGAGCTGGTTCGTCAGACGATCGCGGTGAGCGACGGCGGCCTCGAGTTGCTGCACAATGTCCCTGGTTTCAGTGTCCTTTTGACTTGAGCTCGGGGTGCTATTCTCGTGCAACTGCCGCGCAATCGAGGATTCTCTCGAGAGTTGGCTAAACTGTTCCCGTGTCTGCTCGAGCTCCTTGACGAGCTTGTCGTGATCGCGTTTCTGCAGCGCACGCTGCTGCTCGCTAAGCTTTGCAGTGTTCCGAAGGTCATCGGCTTGGAAGATGAGCTGCTCGAGCTGCTTCTTGAGCGAGCTGTTTTCGGTCGAGATAGATGCCAAGCGATCCTGAAGCTCGCGAATTTCATCGCTCAGGCCATCGCAATTTTGACACTGCATAACGGTGTCTGTGGACGATGCCCGCGAGGGCTCGCGCGCAGCCGAAGCTTGAGACACAAGTTTGCCGCCGGCTCGGTCCTCGTAGCTTTTGAAGACCCTACGAAGCTGCTTATATTCATTTTCGATCCTTTCTCGCTCGTCTTCGGATTGGTGTCGCATTTTCCGTTGCGCAAACAGTGCCTCTTCGTATTCTATCACTGCTGCATTATGCTCCTTGGATAGCTGATTGAATTTACTCTTGTGGATCTGAGTCTCGTGCAGGAGTCGAATGTTTTCGCTTTCAAGGATGTGGATCTGATGTCTGAGGGCATCCAGCTGATGTTGTGAGTCTCCAGCGAGATTGGAGCCAGAGTTCAGAGTCGAGGCCGAAGGTACAGCCGATTGAAACGAGTGAGCTGCAGTGGCCTGCTGTAGCTGATACGTCGAACGTGAGCCTGTCGGGGGTTGGGACAGAGCAGGCGTCTTGAGAGGAACCTGGGGCTGCGATTGAACCGAAGACTGAGTAGCTGTGGTGGGTGGATAATACGCCTGAGGCACAGCGCTCACAGACGAATACGAATACTGTTTAGACATGGATTGAGCTTGCGCCTGCGTTTGGGCCGAAGGTTTCGATTGCGGCAGAGGGTTGGCTTGAGGTTGCGGCTGAGGAGCAGCATGAGGCGGCAGCGGCGGGGCTTGGGACTGGGGCTGGGACTGGGGCTGTAGTGACGAATGGGCAGAAGGTGGAGACTGCACAGTCGGTGGGTGGTTGAGGGGAGACATGGGGCGCGAGTTGGGTGCCAGATGTGAGAGGTTCGATGGCAGCGAAGCCGGACGCGACTCGGATCCAGGTCCCATATTCCGAGAGACGGCGAGGGCAGGGCTTGTTGGGAGTGAACCCCCGGTGATGACTGTCGGCGAGCCTGACTGTCCAGATGCAGACTCGGAGAGATGACGTGGATAGCGAGAATCGGAAGGAGGCAGCTGGAGATTGGCTGGGGCTGATCGAGAGGACGAGCCCAATGAGGCGGCCACCAGCTTCGAGAACGGAATCGCCAAACTATCGTAGCCGTTGAGGATCGCATTCGTCGTCTGCTTGGTCTGTTCCCAGGTCATCTTGAACTGCTCAAAGATCCGGATCAATGAAATGATGGGATGTGGCGAGACGCTTGGTTTGTCGGGAAGAGTGCGACCGATTCCACTTTCCGAGATGATCTTGGCGTAGTCGCCCCCGGCACTGATCTGGGAGAGGCACCTCTCGATCGAGGCTGCAATGCGATCCATTTCTCTCTGCAGTGGATCGACAGACGATCGCCGAAGGACCCGAAGGCTATCAAAGTTGGTCTCTTTCAGGACACCAGCGCTTGGTCTGCCAGGGTCTATCATGCAGGTCAGGGAAAACTGTGTCAGCTAGAGCTGCTGTATCCGACCATCGGGATGCGATGCCCGCCGATTCGAATAGCCGGATCCTTTCTGGGCACGGATGCAGGTCCTTACCGCTGCCGGCCCCTTGGTCAGTGTACTGATGATCTCTTAGGGAACCTCCAGGGTTGGGTGCTGCAGGCACAGCCATCTGCCGCTTGGTCGGATCGGCCCGGCTCGGTTGGAGCTGAGCAGAAGAATTTGTTGCCATAGACTCGCCCAGAATACTTTGGGAATGTTTTGGAGCTCCTGCGGCTGTTGCTGCACTATCTTTGAATGGAGGGTTCATAGTTGCTTAATAGCACCCGGCCAAACTTGGCAAAGCGACAACCACGAACAACTAGATCAGAAGCACTGAGGATCAGATGTCAATTTGATCCGATCGTATTTGATGGCGATGCTGGGGCAGCCGTTGGGCAATACTGGCTGTCAAGCGCACGACCTTAGCAACGTTTCTGCGCTATATACCAAGCCAGTAGCGGTATCTTACCAGGGACCAAGAACAATCTTGACACTAAACACCGAATGCTCTCTCGGTTGTGAATATCGGGACCGCAGGGTAAGGGGCAGGCGACGGACAAAATCAACCAAGTCGGCAGATAAAATTGATCAAGCGATAGATTTCAAGCGCAAGAGTTGATGGTGTTGTGCGGTGGAGTGGAGCCGTTCGGGCCAGGTTGCAGATTCGCAGCCGAGCAGCAGATAGGCGATCAGCCCCGAATGATGTGTTGAGGAGCGTGAAAACCAGCCTCGGATGCAGCAAAGGTGGGCAGCACCTGACGCTGTCGAGGATGATTGAATAGCAGTCAATATACGCCAACGTAATGACAGAGGAAGCGGTCCAAGAGGCCAAATGAGAGCTGGTAGAGAGCGGCGATGTGCAGAAAACGGTGTTCACGACGGGCCAATCCCATACGTAGCGACAAATATTTCGTGGGCCAGCGGAGACGCAGCGAGCAAAGCAAGGCCGTTTGCAGGGGTGTTGGCTCAAGTGCTTGCAGGGGGGCAGCCCGATGGCAGCTGGGCAGATGGCGTCTGGCTGGTCAGATCAGCGAGCGGGGGCGGGGGCCAGAAGGGGCCCGCGAACGGCCATTTGTCGGCGGGTTTGTGATTGTGATTCTTCTGCTGGCGAGAGTGTCTTGGCCGTGCCGTCCGCAGAGCGGGGAATTCAGCGGCCAGGCAGGAGCGAAAGTTGCTTCAGAGCTGGATATGCCCTCCAATGCGACCCGAACTGCCCATGGAATCGGCCGGTTAATTCCGGACATTCTCAAATATCATATTGACGACGCCGATACTTGCAACCAGGAGCACCAAGTCCGCAAAGTGAGATGTGCATCTTGCCCAAGAAAATACACACTCGATCCATACACGGCGCTCTCATGCACACCTTGTCCGCCTGACCTGATCTATTGTCGGCAGAGGCTGTCGATGGCCGTCGATGGCCGTCGTCGTCGGTCGCTTCCTTCACCTTGGTGGTCAAGACATCCGGCTTGTCGCTCTTGGGAACATCAACCCGATTGTCTGTGCAACCACAAACCCGGCTCGAGCCGGGGGGTCGCGTCTTGTGGCAGATCGAGCCGGCTCGAGCCGGCTGCGTCGGAGCCAGCCCGTTGCGTTGTTGGTGGCCCTTGCATTTGTCTTGCATTTGTCTTGCATTTGTCTTGCATTTGCCTTGCATTTGTCTTGCGTTTGCCTTGCGCTTGTCCTGCCTCGCCCCGTCCAGCAAGCTGATCGATCGCCATGGTCTGGCCGAAAGGGAGACCGCGGAAGCCTCGGCTCCCGTTTGATCACGAAGATGACATCGAGTACACAGACGCAAGCAAGCGACTCGCCGTCGACATCGACAACGTGCCGACACCGCATGCCGCTGGCCGTGAGTCTTTCGACCAGGATCCCAGTGACCCTGCAACAAGCAAAGCCCAGGGCGAGCCTGTGTCCGAGACCAACGATGAAGTTGGAAAAAGCGAGCACCATACTCATAGAAAGAGAAAGCATGAAGAGGAAAGCGGCATATCGGATGGCACCCGCCCCGACCACGAACAAGACAATGGCAACGACGGTGAGGAAGCCGAAGAAGGCGAGGACGACGGCGACGGCGACAATGATGGCGAAGGAGAGGAAGGAGATGAGGGCGACGAAAATGAAGATGAAGAGGAACAAGACGACGACGAAGAAGAAGACGAAGGAGACGAAGAAGATGATGACGGTGATGAGGATGAAGACGAAGACGATCCCGATCATGAGGACGAAGACGGCGAGGATAGTGGTGAAAGTGCAGAAAGCGACAGCGATGACGGAACTGCCTTTCGTCGCACCCTCCGACGGCGAGCACCGGCAAACTCAGCCGCAACAACCGAGACACCAAAGACACGAGGAGGAAGAGGGAAACGAGCAAGGGGAACGAGAGGATCAAGAGGAGGGAGGGGATCAAGAGGCAGGGGCTCGAGAGGCGGGACCACCGTCTCCAGAGGCACTCGCGGCGCCCGAGGTTCCCGTGGGCGAGGAACCCGAGGCGGCCGAGGCTCAAGAGGCGGTCGAGGATCGCGCGGCACCGTCGCTTCCCGAGCCAGGGGAGGACGTCGCGGTCGAGGAAGCACCAGGTCCTCCGTATCGCTCGGGTCACCTCCTGAATCTCCGACCGACGAACCCGCCCGAAACGAAGTCTCGGCCCGACGCGCAAGAGGAACAGGCCGAGGCGGATATAGTCGACGAGGCACTCGACGAGGTGACCAAGACACTTCGTCGGACGAGGAGTCGCCCAGTCCCTCTGAGGAGTCGTTCTCCAGCCCACCGAAGAATGTTGCAGACACCCCGATCCAGTCCACAGCCCCGCAGCAAACTGGGCAGATGATGCCAAGCCCAGTTGTCTTGGCGACGCCAACACCAACATCGATCCTGTCGCCACAGCTTCGGCCATCATCCATTCCGAAATCGGCGCTGCATCCGGGGCGCGTTGTCAGCAGGTCCCCCTTTCGATCTATCAACGCCCTTCTAAGCACCGAAGCCCTGCCCAAGACCGGAAGATTGTACTTTTCGGACCAAATGTAGGTGTTTTACTAGCTCGCATGATAGCTTGGTGGCCCGGTATCTAGATCGCTCATGCGCCTTCGTCGCATGGTTTGCCACAGCAACGCTCAAGATGCAGACGATGCTATTCGAGACGGACAGGTGTACGGCTCTACAATAGAGCCAGCAGTCTCCTTCCCCAAGAGCTTTGGTGCAGAGTCCTCGATAGACCAGTTTCGTATGGATGGCCCCAACTCATATCAGTATAACCCGCAAAGCAATGGGCAAGCTGATCCCAACGGTCCGGATGCGCCCTCGGCATCATCCAACAGCTCCAGCCAGGTTTGTTGTCCTTGGAGTAGGCGGTGGCGACCTACTGTTGATCGCTGTTTGCATATTCCTGTTGCCAGTTGCAGCGCCAAAGTTTCCTATACTCCGCAATCGAGCACACTCCCTATACCTGCCAACATTACTGAAATGCGAATCGATGGAAACATAGATGCTACCGATGCATATGGCAGTCCGAAATGCTCTCAGAGTCGAAATGGAATCGGTGTTGAAGAAAGAACTGGACCGGGTACAGAGCGAACTGCTGCGAGCGCTCCAAAACGATACCTTTGTCAGCGGTATTACTTCAAAGATCGCCGAGACACTCAAAGCGGATCACCGGCCTGCCGAGGCCCAGGATAATGTCGGTCACAGGTCGCGATAATCACTGTACAAGCACTCGAAGGCCGACACCCGCGCTTGCCGACCCATTGGCGCATTCCGCAGACAATATATCTTATGGCACGTGCGCTCTCCTGAGCTGGATGCTGGGTCCGATGTCAAATTGGTCGACCTGAAGGCGGTGCCGATGTCACCATTCGTTTAGCACCACAGTGCCTTGGGCCGGGTTATACTTGTGGGAAAGTGGACAACCCAATCATCCGATCCTAGAGCCCGTAACCTTCATCCTGACACATGACACCAATTTGGATTGTCACAACTCTCCAGGCGAAAGTATGAATTCTCGATGTGGGAGAATCGAGTTAGGCACATCGGGCACTCCTCACCCTCATTCGTGAAAGCCTCGTTTGAACAGCACGTCTCAATTATTGGAGTCGATTGGAGGGGCAGCAGACGACGGGCAACATCACTGGTGTTCCTGACAGGCTTCCGCGATCGCATGTCAGGAATTCATGATATCAGGACTGTTGGAAAGCCACCCATGCCAACGGATCTATCCACGCTTTGGATCGTGGCCCACAACAGTGCGGTTTGAGGACGCTGTTTCAGTGAGTCGCTCAAGATACCCGAGGGTCCGGCTATGAGTACGCGGGTGACTAGGCAACCTGAGCGGATCAACAACATCTGTCGCTTCCAAAGTGCATCGTATTCCTAAAGCCACTAGTCCGATACATGATATCACGACGGAACAAGCCCTCTGTTCAAAGACATGCTTTCGTTTGAACAACCAAGACCCAACAAAAATGGATGAAAGAGGCGGGCTTGTTCAGCATCCGGCTCGTGCGGGTAACTCAATCCAAATGGCTCTGGGTGTTGCGACAATGCACCAATCCGATAGGCATGCTCGGTTTGCAGTACCGTCATGCAATGTCGTCATGCAGCACTAGATCCGGCGACCATCATCAAACGCCAGTAGCTTCCAATGCGGACCAAAGAAAGCGGCTTGGTACAGTGTAAATACAAAGAGCGCCGTCAATATCATAGTCACATATGTCATCAACGGATCTTGGAATGCTGGCTGCAGTAGATCGTTCAGTCGATGGAAAATGGCATGCTGGCCAAGGAGACGTCAGGTGTTAGGTCGGAGTCTCCAGATGGATGGAGGCAGGCCGAGCAATGCGGGCCTTTCCAAGCACCAAGCACGCTGCTTACGGAGTGTCTTGATATCATGTTGTGAAGATCCAACTGGATTTTGTACCTGAATGTGCAGGAGGGAATCGAAAAGTCAGCTGCAGATACATGGACTCAGGCCGAGATCCAAGAACTTGGCAGGTCCGAGCAAATGAGCTGCCAAGATTCCGACAGAGCTTGCATCATACCATATCGAGTACGACTGGGGGAGCTGGTTGAGAATATGCTGCTGCTTCCATTTCTTGACAACCCAGAGTTCGATCATGGCCGGAGAGTATTCGGCCTCACTGCCCTCGTCGGTCAGAGATGAACTCGAAAACGAGCTGTAGGTCCAAACGTGCGTGCCATTGAGGATCAATTTGATGGACGGATACTGCCTGATCTCCAGCAAAGCCGCCGTCCTGGTGTTTTCCTGGGCATTCACCCTTGCAAAGCGAAGCGTCTCGTTGGTCAGGGTCAAGTTGCGCAGAGCGCTGGCACCGAGGCCGGACTCGGGCTGATCCTCGTGCAGATGCCAATGTGAAAGAATCGCTTGGGAAAAGGCACACCAAGGGGCATAGGCAAGGACCAGCCAGTCGCCGTTGCGCAACTCGGTATAGTTGGAGTCGGTGATGACGTGCACACTATTGTTCGTGAGGACCTGGGGTTGAGCCGCTGGCGTCGATGTGTCGTTTGCCGACTCGGTCTCGGACAGGGCGGAAACGTAGATGCTGAGAGCCAGCAGGATGAGAGGCGCCGCAAGCACCGTCGACAGTCTCATTGCTCAGAGCCGAGCTGGCTGGCTGGCTGGTGGTGGTTGTGATGGAGCGAAATAACCCCAGAGCGACGACAGAACACGATCTCGGGGGCGCCAAAGCGAGGAGGCGAGAAGCACCAGCATCCAGCATCCCGACTGAAACTATCAGTTTTTCCGGCCCTCGCGGCAGCTCATCTCGATCACCTGAAAGTCACGTTGACGCATTTGGTATCGCCTTGAGCCAATTGACGGTGATGGTGGGCGATTGGTGTGGAGGAATGACCAATTGTATCATTGTTGGAAGCTCCACTCCGATTGCGGGCAAGAACCACCACCATCTGAATCTCTCTGGTGGGAAACCTAGTCAAGCGTAGCTGTGTGTCAGCGAGATGACATGGTCGTTTGGCTATCAGGCAAGACTCACCTTGACAAGATGTCTTCCCACGACTGATTGAGCGTGGGAGAGCGATCGGGGTCGAGTCGCCACCAAGGCCGATCTCGAGTTCCTCTACCCGGACTTTGGCCACATCCTGGACGAGTTTCGGTACAGCAGCGACCAGGACCGCTTCCGGGCCCTCCATCGCCTCTCACACCATGTGAGAATCCTCGCCCGAGACAAGATGGTCGACAATGTCCACAAGTGCATCGACTGTGACATGCCCGCCCTCCGAGTCACCGAGCTGCAGCGCCAGGCCAAGCTGGACGAGCTCACTGCCCGAGGCATTCCCTCCGACGACAAGAGGTTCACCACGGCCAAGTCTGAGCTCGGCACCACCAAGGCCAAGATCAACAAGCTGGCATCCAGGATCAAGTGGGCTCTCAAGCAGCTCGCTCTCGACACTCCTCCGTCCGTGTGCACGATAGGTTCCTCTATGCACAGCCAAGGGCCAAGTATGTCAAGATTGACACGGTCACTCTCTGGCAACTCCTTGACACCGAACATCGTCTTAGACTCACCATGGGACATGCTCAAGGATGAAGGTGAGGACGGTAGTCAACAACCAGGATCGTACTCTGGCGCAGTTGCTTCAAGCTGCGTAGCTTCCCTCTTCCAAGAGCGGGACGTGAACAAGAAGCTGTTCAACTACGAGATCAGCACCGATGGCATTGGATGCACCATCGGTCTCGTCAAGTTTCTGCCTCGAACCGATCACACCGAGACCATCGAGCCTCCTCCGACTGCCGAGCAGCGTATCCAGGCCCACATCGGCGACCCAGACCCCGATCGCACCACTTGGATTGGCATCGATCCTGGAGTCGGCTCCATATTCACGGCGGTCATCCAAGCACCGGGCCGCCAAGACGAGGTGGTCTCGTTCTCCAATGGCCACTACCAGCACATGTGTGGCCATACGTCCAACACCAAGTGGCACAACACCATGAAGTATCGACTCGACATCGAGACCTGGATGTCGACCACTCCCTCGCCCAAGGTGTCGTCCTCGGAGGCTTTCAAGGTCCATCTCACCCATGTCCTGCGACCGGAGCTTCGGGTGCAGCTCGACTTCCACCTTGGCAAGAAGACTCGCCACCATCGATTCACGGGCCACAAGAGACGCCAAGTGGCCGTCGACAGGATGTGCAAGGCCGTCCTGAAGCACGCCCCGATACGGACCGATGTGGTGATCGCCTTTGGCAATGCGTCATGGCGACAGGGCAAGGGATATGCATCCAGCCCTCGGAGGCAGCGATTTGCTCGGTACTTTGAGCAGTGCAGGTCGATTGTGGAGACCGGAGAGCGACGTGAGGTTTTCACTCGGAGGCTGCCAAAGTGATTTGATGTATTTCTTGTGGCTTTGCTTGACGCAAGCGCATCACATACTATGCTATCATGTGTCCCCTGAAAATGCGGTTTCCCGTTGTCAGGGGCCGATATTAACCCCTGCTAGTGCATTTCGCCAGCAGAATATCAACTCCGCGCTGGCCGCTGGAATCGCAGGATCGACAGGCCTTCTTGCCCCGCTCGGCGGCTCATCACAACCTGTGCCATAACAGCAAAGATTTATCGTTAGAATGTGTGTAGTAGCAGCAGCAGGAAGCCGGGCGGCAGGGTACGTACCTGCGACTCCAGTCCGTACCGGGATCGCATCAGGTCCATGAGCTCCTCCGGCCGGTTCTCCCGGATGACGACCATGTAAAATACCCCGCCAGGTGAAAGCAGCTCCTGCAGGGTTCAAAGTGTCGGTCAAAGACTGAGATTAGCCCGGTAAGTGCCGACGGATTCGCACGATCGTCGCATCCACAAGCAAAGTGCTTCGATGGGAGGCAGGCGGCGATATTTACATTGACCACGGGTAGCGTTCGGTCAATGACTTCCCGACCATCGATTCCGCCAGCCCAGGCAGCCTCGATCGATCGGGAGCCAACTTCGTCGCTAGTTGTAACCACGTATGGTGGATTGAAGACCAGCAGATCGACTTGGCCATTCAGTCGAGGCTGCAGGGCTTGAGTCAGATCGGTGAGAACAGCGTTCACTGCAACCTGGATGGGAAGAGGAGTCAACCCGGTCATCAGATCATTGACCGAGTCGGCAGCTACCCACCGCATGGAGTGACTTTGAACATGCGGCTGGAACCCTCGACTGGCTGCGTGAAATGCTGTTCGCATCTCCACGAAACGCCTGCTCGATAAGCCTAGAGATTTGACGACGCTGGGCAAGCAGCTATATGGAGCAACAACGTGCCCAATGCAGATGGATTGTTGAGACTGGGTCCGTACCGAGTTTTTCTGTGCCGTCTGGATGGTAGCTGAGGCAGCTTTGGGATTAACGTCTGTGCAGAAGAAGGCTGATGGCGGCGATTGACATGAGTCGCAGTGCCTTGGCAGCAGAGAAAGAATTCATGATGCGGCGCACAACAGGACCAAAAGGCGATCAGATATGCAGTCGCCCAGCGCGGCCGGGACCCCGGGTGTACCTCGACTTCGAGACCCAAGCATGCTCCCGAGAAAGGCGGTTGCACATCCGGAGCCAGATCTTTGAGTAGGAATGGGGTGAGTTCCGAGTCAAACGCACGTGGATAGGTAAGCCTAATCGAGACAGTCATTACCCGATTTCAACGCAGAAAAGTGGGTCGAGCGTCTCCAGAAATCGATAATCCTTCTCCAGAGCATCGAGCAACAAGAATGTGTCCTCTGCTGGCTCGTAGACAAACTTGTAGTGGCTGGAGTTGAGGTGAGAGAGATCGGGTGTGGGGAATGATGGCCCACTCATGGCTCGGGAGACAGAGGCTGAGTTTCAAGCGAAGTCAGGAACAGAACCACCGTGGAGGAAGAGCTGAGGGCAGACGATCGCGCGGATCTGCAAGTTTTGGCGTCGACGATAGACGATTGGGAAGTTGCAAATCGGCTGGCTGACACAGCCGCGGAGTTGCAACATCGACGCCGGCGAGTTTGCAGAGAGTACGAGCGAGAGAGCGATGCCAGGACCGGCATCTGGCCAGCATCTTGAACGCCCGCGCTAGTCGAATTGTGCCGTGTAGTGCGCTTTCGGAATACAAGGCTTCGTTCGATCTGAAGGGCGACCTTGGCGAGGCTTCATGGACGGGCCGGTTCATGGACTGCTCCCCTCCCCTCCAGCGAGAAGCCAGCGAGAAGCAAGCGAGAAAATCGACGCGAATCACCGTTCTGTGCACGCTGCCGCCACGGAACGGATGTCTGTGCGACCGGGCGCACCCGCCCGAGCCCAGCAAAATGAGGGCGGCCGTCTCCAATTCCTTTTGCTCCTCCTTTCTGTCAATTCGGACTCACTCGTTACAAGTCTTGACACTAACTCTGCAACCATGGTCAGTGCGCCCATCCATCCATCCATCCATCCATCGATCCATCCATCGATCCATCGATCCGCCTATCTATCCATCCATCCGTCCATTTGTGTGTCTGCTGGAGCGAGCTTGGTTCTGCTAGGGCGGTGATTCCAACGATGGGCGGAGCTCGGTCGCCAACAAGAAAGTCTCCAAGATTTATCAATGCGACCAGAGCGAAACAAGACAGGGAGCTGGGTCGTTAGCCAGCCGTGGTGCGGCCAGGACGACACAGCCCGGAGCACCTTTGCACGGACGCTGCAGCGGTACATCGATTTGGACCCTGGATGCCTGTGATGGACGGACTTCCAGGACGCCAACGAATCGATGCTGTGGCCGATGGCTAATGCACCGGGAGAAGCACGCGGAACGATGCAGCCCTGGCCAGGTCACTCGCCACATCAGCCCACGCCGGAATCCGACCGACTAAGCCGACAGGATGCGCGACCGTCACGGACCAGCAGACACACGGGATGCGAGAAGCGAGACAGGGCTGGGCTCATGCCCCTCGATACGCCGTACTAACCGGAATGCCATCGTCGACCAGGCTGACGATCGTGATTACGAAGGCATGACTCCTGAGGAGATTGCCGAGCTCAAGAAGAAGAGAACCTTCAGAAAGTATACCTTCCGTGGTATCGATCTTGATGCTCTCCTCGATCTCTCCAGCGAGCAGGTATGTGCAGCCGGCGTTTCATCCCGACCGTTGAACTGTGAGCACTTCAGAAGCAACCTTCTCACTTACAATGTCCTCTGTGGCAGCTTATGGACATTGTCCACGCCCGCGCCCGCAGACGCTTCCAGCGTGGTCTCAAGCGCAAGCCCATGGGTAAGGCCGTCATTCCGGGGCACAACTGCGCCGAGTGTTGAACCGGGGCCAAGGACTGTGTGTTTCATGGACAGTCGCTCACCCAATCCTTCTGTTCCCACATTCAGGTCTGATCAAGAAGCTCCGCAAGGTAATTGTCGGGTCTTTGCCGTGAGATCCAGGAGGATAGGAGAGTAACAAGCGAGCAACTACGGGAAGGATAGGTGATTGTACATTAAGCTGTTGCTTCCTCGAATATAGGCCAAGAAGGAGGCTCTCCCCAACGAGAAGCCCACCACCGTCAAGACCCACCTCCGCAACATGATCATCGTCCCCGAGATGATCGGCTCCGTCGTCGGTGTCTACAACGGCAAGGTCTTCAACCAGGTTGAAATCAAGCCCGAGATGGTCGGCCACTACCTCGGCGAGTTCTCGATCACCTACAAGCCCGTTAAGCACGGTCGTCCCGGTATTGGTGCCACCCACAGCTCGCGATTCGTTCCTCTCAAGTAAAGGAGAGAATTTTGTCATTTGCTGTTTGTGAATGTTGTAAAAACCATAATAAACCCCTCCGTCGATTCGCAGAATGCTGTCGATCAACACGGAGGTCGACCGAACATACACCACGCCCACTTTTCTTCTGTCTCTGGATCATCTCTTATATTGTGTGTTGATTATGATGAGTCTGACGGACCAAATCGAGTGCTGGGGTGAATGCACAACGCGGGAACAACGCCGGGAGGAGATGCGGTAATATATATAGTCATGTCGGCGAGGGGAACCATTGACGCAAAACACAGGCAAAAATGCACGGTGCATGGGACCGAGCACGGGAGAACACAGTGCGGCGCCACAACAGGAAGCAGGAAGTAGGAAGCAGGAAGCAGGAAGCAGGAAACAGGAAGCAGGAAGCAGGAAACAGGAAGCAGGAAACAGGAAGCAGGAAGCAGGAAACAGGAAGCAGGAAACAGGAAACAGGAAGCAGGAAACAGGAAACAGGAAGCAAGACAATCCAGAACAAATCAGGACCAACATGGCCAGACAGCAGTCTGTGCAATGGCAGTGAGAGCAGCTCAAAGCAACAAGCGATGCAGCGACTGACAGGAGGGAAAGAGACCAAAGTGGCAAAATGGAGAGACGGAATCAGGAAACAACAGGTCCGAGAGGTCCCACCGAGATTCGAACTCGGGTTATCAGATTCAAAGTCTGATGTGCTAACCGCTACACTATGGAACCGCAGTGCGTCTGGGTCTCCCGGGCAGCTCTGTCCCGGACATCACGGCTGATGGCGCGTGGAGGCACAAGAGGAGCGAGGCACGACCAAGCAAAGAAAAACAGAACATTGCAAAACGAATTGCCTTCTACCAGAATCGAACTGGTGACCTTCTGCTTACTAGGCAGACGCTCTGCCAACTGAGCCAAGAAGGCATGGGTATTCCGCATCGGGGAATCGAACCCCGGCCACCTCGGTGAAAGCGAGGGATCCTAGCCACTGGACCAATGCGGACGTGTTGCTCTGTAACGTCCTCGGATCGAACCCCCACAGTGCCGGCTCGACGATTTCGTCGTTCCCGTCGGGCCAAAGCCCAATTTACCCGAAGATATCTAAATGTTATATCTGAACTAAATCTAAACCCTGTCGAGCCAAACCGAAACCAGGTCAAACCGAAACCAGGTCGAGCTGAAACCAGGTCAAACTGAAACCAGGCCAAGCTGAAACCAGGCCAAGCTGAAACAGAGCCAGAGCCAGAGTCAAAACGGCCCAAGCAGCCGGACCAAGCCAAACAAGCCACGGCCCCGATGTCGCAGCGCCATGGCCCGACCCCGTCCTCCAGCCACTCCCAACTCCCAACTCAACTCCCATTCGGTCGACTCTTGCTTCCTCAGCATGACGGCACAACCGAATCTAAACGAAGTACAATGTCCATGTACGTTGAATGGTGTTGATTCATCTCCTGGCTGAATGCTGCTGATCGTCGCTCGCGCTGCGATGGTCTCGGCCGCCGAGATCGACCACAGAAACATTGGAGTTGTGGACAGTCTCTGTGGGGACACCCAAAGGAAATGGCTTCACCCACATAGCGAGTTTATCATGCAGTCCGACTTTGGCAGGCTTGTGTTCCAAACCCATGCGTTCGGTTATTGTTTCAACACCTTGTAATCCCTCATCCATAGTGAACTTATCAAGGAAACCCATTGATCACTTCAATGTCATTTTCACTGGCTTTATTATTAAACAGCCTCGATAGAACAGAGTCCCAGAGCTGGTGTTCCAACTGCGTGCTTCACAGCAGCACCGTTGTCCGGACGAACGACCTGGAACCGAACGGCCCTTGGCAGCTGATACTGATGCTGAAACTTTGGTCGATGGTAAATCCAACCTTCTGGCGGCATGTCGATGAGAGTTGCTCGGGGAAGATGAATGTTTCGTTCCAATTGTTTTTGCTTTAGTTTGAAGAGCTGGTTTTGCACAGCTAGTCCTGTGGCAATAAGCATTTCAATTGGAAGCTTCTGCCTCTGCCGGTTTACTTCGGCGTTTTCTTCTTGTGGATCGTGGCTCGGTTCTTTTTTGTCGGCACTGCGATGGTGGTGATGGTGGCTGTGGCTGAATGGGACGCTCGACTGGGATTTTATCCATGGGCGATCCATCCGTAGATCCCATTTCTCAGGGGTGCCCCTCTGCTGTGACTGGAAGCTCCCTACAATCGTAGCTGTGGCCTGGTCCTGGATTTTAAAGATCCGATTATCGCCATTTCCTGTAGTGCCAGGAAGCTGTCAGTTTCAAATACGTTGAATCATATCACTTAACCTTGTTGACCTATCCATGACATCGACGAGGACGTACCGATGAGTGCGAGGCTGGCACCTTTGCATTTGATATCAAGTCGGGCAAAGGAGGTGCCCGAACTTCGATCGATTGTTCCACGCAGCTTCCAGTCTCCGTTCTTCATCTTGGCAAAGACATCGAATCCGACACTCTGCAAACGGCCATATCCGCCTCAGTCAGATCGATCCATTTCTCTGTTCTCTCTCTATGAATTGTGTAAAGCTTGACGAAACATCGCACCTCCGAAGACTGCCATTGATAATTCTGCAACACTAGTGCTTACACCGGATCTTTCGGAAACCTTCCAAATCTCGCGACCCTCGGGGTTTTGCAGGAAGATCGATGTGTGAAGTGCCACATCCTTCTGAAATGTTGTGTAGATCAGGGCACCGTCCTTGCCGAACCGCACATCGCCGTCTGTCTCGCCGAAGGAAAACTCGATCAATGACATGCACATCTCTGCAAGAAGACCAGCCGCGATCGGGTGCAAGCGTGCCTGGGATGATGCTTGGATTACGTACGGCATTTGTATCCTCTGCTGTTCAGCACAAAATGAAGCTGCCGGTCGGGCTTGAGATCATTGTTCTCGATCGCTGGCATTTTGAGGAGTACTGGCCTGAACTTGCTGTCGATCTCGATGGGCTCTCTCTCCGGACTGCTCTGGCGCCTCACTTGACCCTCTGTTACTGCCGATGGAAGGTCACAGCGCTTGGCACACTTTTGGCAAGCATCCGGATTCGACATGGCTGGGATAGCCGGGTGGCGAGCAGACGTCGGAACGGCTGCAGATGTACCCCGAAACACAACCCTCTCGCAACTGACGCCTGGATGGCAGTTTGAGCAAAAGTGCGGGATCCGGTGAATCAGATGATGGAAGCAATGATGGGATCTGCGTATCTTTGGAGACTGCGGAGGGGCCGACGGCTTTGTCAGCGACGGCATCCTAAGCGTCTCGGATGGAGAGCCTGGGTGTGTTGCGTTCGGGTACCGGATTCGAACATGTTAAATCCAAGGGTTTGACAGAGTTGGGTAGTAGAACATGCATTCACGGAGGGGAGCAGAGTCGTCATCAGTGCAATGTAGCCAGACAGCATCCGAGGGAATCGACTGCTGTTTGAACGAATGCGCTGCATTGCAGTGCATCGAGCCTCACCACTGGGCTTTTCCGAGACCAGCACTAGGTTTCGCAACGAGGCGTCACGAAAGCGATCCAGCTCCGAGCGGATCGTGTCCTGAGTTTCGGTGTCGAGGGTGCATCGCTTGGTCGAGGTGTCGGCAATTTCGAATACACCAGCTGGATTGACGATGGTTTTTGACGGCCGATGTGTATTCAACTCGGATTTGTGGACCTTGACTAATGCTGCTGGCCGCTTTGCACAGTAGCTGTGTCCCCGTCCCATCTCCTCGGGCCACCTCCAGACAGGCTCGGGTGCTTCGGGCATATCATCGGGAATGAGGAACGGGATGCGGGGACGACATCCTGCCATGCGTGGGGAGCCGCTGCGACCGGGCTCATGCGATGGAGTCTTCCTGTTGCTCCAGTCTATTGATGACATGGTGACATCCGTGAAATGGTGCATCGGCCGCTTTGGCAGGGGATGGGCACGAAGACTACGACGATCGCGGCGTGTCTACGTTGGTCGCATTTGCTGGATAGGGGGGGGCCTTGCCGTTGCTCACGTCGGTATCAATCGGGTCACAATTCAAAGACTTGTGCTCGAATGATTCGCTAGGAGAGTTGGTATCTGCGTTCTAGAAACCGGGGCGCACATCTGGCAATCACGCCGAGACGGACTCGGCGGCGACGAAGACAGTGGCGGTCGAGTTCTGGGATCGAATCCCGAGGTATGATGGCCAGGTGGACTCGGGGGATCTCGAACCGATCTCCCTGTCATAGAGCATCGAGCTCAGCTGGAGATATCTCTCGGGAGCTGCCGAAGCAACCGTCATTTGATCGCATGCAGGATACAGGCCGCCACAGTCTTGAATGCACCCGGTCGATCTCCTGCGGTGATGGTCAAGTGGCATCTGTGACCACAGCGGAACGAACCAAAGTCGGTTCGTTTCCCACGCTCTGCCGCACACACACACATGCGCGTGGCTTGGGTGCACGTGACGGCGTTTTTTCTTCGCCTTTTTTTGCAGCCGCGACAAAATCGTGCCCAGATCCTGCAGGTCCGAGCGCCCGCCGTCTTCTCCCTGTCGCCCACACTCAAGGCCAAGCACAACCCTCCCAAGCCGTCGCCATGGTTGAGTCGTCATCAAAGCCCCGCTTCGTGCTGCCCAAGGTCACCGACAACTCGGCCGGATGGGGCCCTTCTGCCGAGTCGCAGTCTGAGCTGGCCGATCTGCCCTATGCGCCCTTCTCCAAGTCGGATCGCCTCGGCAAGATCGCCGACTGGGGAGCCCCGGCCCAAGACGGTGTTCTGCTGGATCGCCGTGGAAACCCCGTCACAGAGGAGCGCTCCAACCGTCGCACTGGCCGCGGCCAGGAGGTCTTTGGTGCCGGACACGCTCCTCTCTTTGCCTATGCCCACTCGGCCGAGGACGATGCGGCCTTTGCTGTCGTCGATCGCTCCACAGGTCTCCGCAAGTCCACTGGCCTGCGATCAAACCGCGGTGGCCGCGGTGGTGCCGGTCGCGGATCGAGCTTTGCTTCCAACCGCAACGCCGGCCCGGGCGGCAAGTTCTCACGTGGCCAAGGCCAAACCGGCGGTTTCCAGCGAAAGCGCTATGGGTTCAACGATAAGCCTCAGCGTGTCCGCGAGTCATCCGTCAAGATCGGCACCGAATGGACGGTCGTTGAGGAGGTGGATCTGGCTCGCCTGAGCAAGCTCTCCTACGAGGTGGATGAAGCCGAGGACATGTAGGTTGAAGGCAAATTGCCCGTGGGATTGACGGCGGCTGTGGATATATGCCGTCGCTCCTGATACGATACGATGCGAAACGATGCGATGCGATATCAATGCTCCATGTGCCAAGTGACGATTCACTTCGTGCCCGACCACCATGAGGGCTCACATATTCACACTGTCTGATGGCGAGAGCAGCACAGATGGAACGTGTGTGCGTAGCTAGTCATCGAGCACCAGACACTAACTGCGTTCTGTGGCCTGCTATATCGTGTCGTTGGCACAGCTGCTGCTACGGCGCGCTTCACTACTACGACAAGAGCTACGATCGTGTCACCGTCAAGGCAGACCGAAAGCTTCATTCGATCGATCGCATCTACCACAATGTCACCACCAGCGACGACCCCGTCCTGCAAAAGGTACGACAATATGCGGTAGCATGGACTTTTGTCCTGTGCGGCTCTCTCATAACTATCGGTCACAGTACATAATTAACTCTGTTGTCGGACTTCCAGATCGCCCAAGAAACCGAAGGCTCTGCTGTGTTCGCCACGGACAACATTCTCTCGGTCCTGATGTGTGGTCCGCGATCTGTCTACTCCTGGGACATGATCATTGTCAAGGAGGGTGGCAAGATCTTCATGGACAAGCGTGATGGCGGATGCTATGGTGAGTCCAATGGCATCGGCCTCTCTGCTGCTGATGCTCTCCATCGTACTATGGCATGGGTTCGGCCATGGTATCACTCCATCGGCTCCGTCGATTGCCTTTGGCTACTGCTTAGCACCCGCATGAGGCTCCGCTTTATACAGTCGCACGAGTGCCGGCTTCGCTCCATTCGACTAAAGCGCCTTTCAATATTGATCACCCCTCTATCAGATAACTTCAGTGTCAACGAAAACGCTGCCGAGCCTCCTCTTGAGAATGCTGAGAAAGATAGCCCCAACACTCCCCAGGCCCTCTCCGAAGAGGCCACCCAGATCTACCACAACTTTGCTCACCAGTGTGTCAAGTCCTCGGAGGCGTTTACTTTCGAGAACGAGAACCCATTCGCCGAGGCTGGTGACTCGGATTCGCTGGCTTCCGCCGGCTATCGCTACCGCAAATGGGATCTTGGCGACGACTTTTCTCTGATTGCACGTACCCAGATCGATGCCGTCATGCACCAGGCTGGCGCCAGCAACTCCAACGCCTCCCAGGTCGAGATCGGGTCGTCGAGCTATCCCCAGAACGAGACCATCTTCGTCAGCCTAAAGTCCCTGAATGAATTTGACTCGAAGGCCCCTGGTGCTGGTGGCGCTCCCGACTGGCGACAGAAGCTGGATTCACAACGCGGTGCCGTCATTGCAACCGAAATGAAGAACAACTCGAACAAGCTTGCCAGATGGGCGGTAGAGAGCGTGCTCTCGGGCGTCGATCAGGTCCGTGTGGGCTTTGTCTCGCGTGTGAACACCAAGGACAGACGAAGGCACACTATTCTGGGCACCTCGTTCTTCAAACCGCGTGAGTTTGCTGCCCAGATGAACTTCTCCATGTCGAACGCATGGGGTATTCTCAAAACGATTGTCAACCTCATCGCCAACCTGGATGATGGCAAGTACGTGATTGTCAAGGACGCCAACAAGCCCGTCATTCGACTGTACTCTGTTCCTCTGGAGACTTTTGAGGAGGTGCCCGAGGATGCTGATGCTGAAGCAGAGGCCGAGGATTTGTAACTTTGTACGTACATAAAGATATTTGTTTCCACTGTTTCTTGTTCTCGTCCCGAATTTCCACCCCCCGTGTCATCCATGCGACGTCCCTGTCGATGACTGCATGCCGCCGCTATCAGGGCTCTCATGGCGCATATATTACTATCGGCCGACCCGGCTTCGATTCGGTTGTGCCGTCATGCTGAGGAAGCAAGAGTCGACCGAATGGGAGTTGAGTTGGGAGTTGGGAGTGGCTGGAGGACGGGGTCGGGCCATGGCGCTGCGACATCGGGGCCGTGGCTTGTTTGGCTTGGTCCGGCTGCTTGGGCCGTTTTGACTCTGGCTCTGGCTCTGTTTCAGCTTGGCCTGGTTTCAGCTTGGCCTGGTTTCAGTTTGACCTGGTTTCAGCTCGACCTGGTTTCGGTTTGACCTGGTTTCGGTTTGGCTCGACAGGGTTTAGATTTAGTTCAGATATAACATTTAGATATCTTCGGGTAAATTGGGCTTTGGCCCGACGGGAACGACGAAATCGTCGAGCCGGCACTGTGGGGGTTCGATCCGAGGACGTTACAGAGCAACACGTCCGCATTGGTCCAGTGGCTAGGATCCCTCGCTTTCACCGAGGTGGCCGGGGTTCGATTCCCCGATGCGGAATACCCATGCCTTCTTGGCTCAGTTGGCAGAGCGTCTGCCTAGTAAGCAGAAGGTCACCAGTTCGATTCTGGTAGAAGGCAATTCGTTTTGCAATGTTCTGTTTTTCTTTGCTTGGTCGTGCCTCGCTCCTCTTGTGCCTCCACGCGCCATCAGCCGTGATGTCCGGGACAGAGCTGCCCGGGAGACCCAGACGCACTGCGGTTCCATAGTGTAGCGGTTAGCACATCAGACTTTGAATCTGATAACCCGAGTTCGAATCTCGGTGGGACCTCTCGGACCTGTTGTTTCCTGATTCCGTCTCTCCATTTTGCCACTTTGGTCTCTTTCCCTCCTGTCAGTCGCTGCATCGCTTGTTGCTTTGAGCTGCTCTCACTGCCATTGCACAGACTGCTGTCTGGCCATGTTGGTCCTGATTTGTTCTGGATTGTCTTGCTTCCTGTTTCCTGTTTCCTGTTTCCTGCTTCCTGTTTCCTGCTTCCTGCTTCCTGTTTCCTGCTTCCTGTTTCCTGCTTCCTGCTTCCTGTTTCCTGCTTCCTGCTTCCTGCTTCCTACTTCCTGCTTCCTGTTGTGGCGCCGCACTGTGTTCTCCCGTGCTCGGTCCCATGCACCGTGCATTTTTGCCTGTGTTTTGCGTCAATGGTTCCCCTCGCCGACATGACTATATATATTACCGCATCTCCTCCCGGCGTTGCTCCCGCGTTGTGCATTCACCCCAGCACCCAGTCCCAGCCTTATGCGCCTGTGGCTTCATTGGTGACCTTCATCTTTTGGTATTCGGCAACCAGAATCTCCATGATCTGCTTGTGACTTGCCCCAACGTTGTCGGTCTTAATCTTCTTCATGTTATCCTGCTCCATATTAGACTGATGAGCTTGACTGACATGGTATGTGTAGGAGGGCTTCCTCATCCCTTGGACCTGCCTCTCTCCTTTTACCCATCGGCTCTGCTACCCATCCCGGCAAATCTACCTTCATAAATACTTGGAACCCGTTCTTCTTGTAGGGCGTGCCATCCCTCTTCAGCTTATCCAATAGTTTTAGCCGCGAACCGCAACGCCCGCAACCTTTTGCATCCAAGTCGATCGATTTGCTGTGCCGTCCGTATCTGACATTCCGTCACCCGTGCAATGGCGTTAGCAGCAAAATTATTGTCTGTATCGGCATGCCGGCCTCTTTGCGCTCGACTGATTCGATCATCTCAGCTTACCTTGCCTTGCAAGCGTCATTCTTGCACTCGTACCAGTATTTGTACGATATCTCATAGTTGTGACAAGTCGTCACTTGGATGTCGGCAAACGCCATCTGGGCCGCGTTTCCCCTATTCAGTGCAGATCTGCATTGGCCTTCGCAGGTTCGAAGCGTGGTGATCCCGGCTTCATCGAACAATGGAGAGATAGTGCATTATACCCACCATCCCTTGAATACTTTGCCATGGTTATCGTTGACGTGATCGATATACCACGACGCTGCATGACACATCTCATGGATCAAAGTCGCTCGAAGCTTCACTGTGGGATTGTAGGACCGGATGAGGTTCATTACATTCTCAGTGGCGTTAGTCATAACAACACCTTCCTCGCTTACCTTCGTCGTCAATGACTTTGGTAGACAGCTCAATCCAAAAACTGTAAACGTGCCTTCCGTCCAACGTTTTCCTGTCATGCATTCCCGTGACATATCATCAGCACCATTTACCGATGCCAACTGCTGCTGGGCAACTCACAGGATCCCAGGGCCTACATCTGCTGGTGACACCGGCCAGCGGTCGTGTTCAACTTGACGCTCCTGTCCATTCGAACAGCCCGGCGTATTAGTGTGGGCGCTGACTCTCCAACGTGACCTATCAGAGCTTCAGAACAAAGCTCATCCTACCAAACAATCGCTGGCTCTTGTGGGAGCTGGTCTCCAAAGACCTTGCAGTTAGCGTCCTTGTAGATACCTATGGCCAGGCTCTCACGTTGCCGTTTGAATTTGGCGAGCAAGCCTTTCAAACAGCCAAGTGTTGATGGTACAGCAACCAGCCAGTCAGCCATTCGGGATGCTCTGATTTACCGCAGCGCCCCAGCCATAGGTACATCCTTACGCCTTCTCGCCACATGTTACAACTATTCAACGTGGCTGGCTGCCATCATTTAGCAGCCACCCAACTGCTCTTGTACTCAACAAGACCTGCAAAGTGATTGGGAATGGGCTTACCCGTCCGTGGTGTCATCGGAACGATGCCAACTCGAGGCTCTTGCGGTTTGGGAGGCTCATCCTGCAGGTGCAGATCCAGCGGGGGCTTGATGTTGCGAGTGCGTCGTGGAGTCCCATCGCTATGCCAGTTGCGAGGCCATTTGCAAATTAAGCCGCTGCCTCTCGCAACCACAACCTTCATGTATAATGGGACGTGCGCAATCGACTTACAAGACGATGATCGATCCTATCAATGCGCGACTGAGCTCCTCGTCCCCATACGAATCGCTGCTTTCGTTTCCATTTTCGGTCTTGTCGTCTAATGCTGCAGCGACTGGGATATCCTCGGCATGCTCGGCGGTCCGTTTGGTTTCTGGACTTCGGGGGCGTCCGATGACCTTGTCGCTGAAGATGCGATGTTCGGCAGGCTCCTCCAGGTCTTCGTCGTCAGAGTCGCTGCGGATCACACGAGTATCGCTCAGCATGCGCGCTTGAGAGACTATGAAAATCCCATGAGTCGAGGACCTGCTCGCACCTGATCGATATTGGGGATGCCGGCGGTTTCTTGACCTGGCTCTGCGGAGTCTGAGGAGACTTTGACCGCCGAATGGGCCGAGCCACCTCGTCGTCGCTATCGCTATTGTGTGAGTAAAGAAGATGATATGCGCTCGATCAGTGACAAGAACCATTCGCTCCCTCTCCTCCCGCAGTGCTTGTTTGCACCTTATTACAATGACCTCCACGGGCTGGTCGACTGCTCCTGGTTTCGTGGCCACGGCGAATGGGGCATCCGACAAAGCCTCTGGTTGGTCGTCTGAGTGATGTGCAGCAGATGTCCTTGAAATTGAACCGTCCTTCGTCTGTCCAGCGCCTATATTGAGCCGGCTGGCCATCTAGGAGCATATACGGAGGTGTTGATTATCTGGGCGCTCTTGTCAACAAGATATCAGCCTCGGTTTGGGGCGGTGATGATCGGTCCCGCACTGCCCTGGGCCAATACCTGCGATGCTAGCTCGTCAAACGGCGAGGCTACTGAGCCATTTTGCTTTGCCGAAGGGCTTTGGCCTGGGCTCGTGGCTGTCGCCGTCACTTCGTCGTCAGAGTCGATGATGTAGATTCGCCGGAGGGGGCTCGTCGGACCAGGCCGGGGGACAACCTCGTCGTCGGAACTGCCCTCGTCGCTGTCAACGGCCGAGGCTTGGAGGCGTGGTGCGGAGCCGCCCATCGTACCCATCTTACAGGCTTGGTAATGGTCGCTGGCTTGCGTTGGCCAGGCGAGGTGCGGATGCTGCTGGTTCGGGAGCTGCATATCTGTCTCAGGGTCGTCTTCTGGGCCGCTCCTGTCCTGGCGGGAGGGCGCACAGGCGATCCAAAGATGGTCAAATTGATTCCGGCTGCGCGCACTGCCACATCCGCAAGTCCGATTCGTGATTTGATCGGCCATCCAGGAGCGGGTCCGCAGTCCACCTTGGTCCTTGATCTGCACCACCAACAGCCCAGACTTCTCGTCGCTTGTTCGTACGCTCAACCAGTAAGTCTGCAAGCGCCGTGGTCATCCGGATCGGGGCGGCGGCTTGCGTCGTTGCTAATGGTCCTTTGAATGCACCCAATCCAGTGATATGGCAGCGGCTTCCTCTCTCATCACGCTGCGGTCTCCTTCCGACGATTGGGGCGGCTGGCCTGCTGCGATCCATGTCGACGATCGGTCCGGCGCAGTCCGAAGCAATCCAAAAAACGATCGTGTCGCCTGACTCGGTTGCTCCTGGCATCGTCGAGCCGGCGCTCAAGAGCATTGGGCACTTTACCAAGGCGCTGGCGGACCAAGTCGGGATCAGCGGGAACGAAATCGCCACGGGTGGTGAGTTGCTTGGACATGGGGGGAGGGAGAGTCCCGGGCGGCGCTTGGAAAGTCAAGAGAGTCCAGGGCGGTGCCAGATCTGCTGCAGTTTCAGTTGCTATCCTTGCCAAGGCACCGAACCCCATCATGCTCGGCCCTGACCACCTCGACGGAATCCAATCTTGACAACGCAGGCTTGACCCTGGCCGTCCTGGGCGCGGGCTTGGCTGGGGCTCGGATTCTGGGCGACATTCTATTTGAGATGGCCAAAAAGCAATTCATGGTTACAGCCGAGTTTGCCAGCAAGTACGAAGCTACCTTTGTTCTGTGCGGATGCAATCTTGTCTGAAGCGCTGTTCCTCACAATTGGGGAGGAGTGTCACGGGCAATGACTTTGTGAGCTTTGGGCTTTGGCATGAGGAGAGCCATGTGTCCCGATGTACCACTTCAGAGTGGCGCATACCCGGTCTGGACTTTTCACAAACACTGGCCTCTCTCCTTGGAACAACAGCGATGAAAGCTACAGGTAATGTGGACATCATCCAGCACGGGTCGTGGGTACCACTTCAGGTCGCTATTCGGCCGTTGGTAGCCAGCGTGAATGCAAACCCAGCAGACTGGCGTTGCTGACAGGACCGCCAATTCCTGTTTCGTAGCTGGATTCTTGGATATCTCTCTGACCACCCTGTCTCGAAGCGTACGACCCGGTTCACAGTGACATCTAGTGTGTCCAAGACCGGCGCGGATGCCGATGCCGTCGCTACTGCACAGGCTCCTCAGAGCGAAGGGTCCGGATTCTCGATTCTGCCGCGGGTGTACTTCCTGCCCTCGCCCGGTGAGTGCTTCCTATACAGCTGCTGATTCACTACAGGGATTTCCCACGGCGCTGTCCCTCGCGGTGCCTCGCTGGCACACATCTGCACATCGATGGAGCGTCTCGCGAGAAGATCGCAGACTCTTGTAGAGCCGCTCAATCACCGAATGGTGACAGCGACATTGGGACTACAGTTTGATCATCACCATATGCTCCAATTCTTGCCTCGAGATCGCTGCTGACTATCCGCAGGCATCCACTTTTTCTTTTACGAGGGCCGACTCGTATGGCTGGAGCGACACCGCCCCAAGGGCCATGGCGGAAGCGAGATCTTGCCCGAGCGAATCACTCTGACAACCTTTGGCCGCTCTCGGGAGCTGCTCCACCGGCTCGTGCTTGAGGCACAGCGGCAGCATGTTGAAAAGGACCACTGCCGAACTGTCATCTACAGTGCCGACCAGTGGGGCAACTGGCGGCGCACCCGGTCGCGTCCGATTCGGCCGATGAACAGCATCATTTTGGACGGTGACGTGAAGCAAAAGGTCGCCCGGGATATGGTCGAGTTCCTGAGAAGCGAAAAGTGGTATGCCGATCGAGGCATCCCGTATCGCCGAGGATACATGCTCTACGGAAGCCCCGGAACGGGCAAGACTTCGTTTGTGACAGGTGCGCCATTATTCTGACGAGGCCGTTCGGCTCGGCCGCTCGTGCTGGCCGGCCTCGGGTGGGGCATGGGATCATGTCTTCACAAAGACAAACATCAGAACGGAGTCTGATCGTCAGATACCTGTTTTGATGAACTCAGCGCTCGCCGGCGAAGTCAAGCTCAACATCTATGTCATCAGTCTGGCGAACAAAGGTCTCAGCGACGAAAGTAGGTCCTGCTATGATCGGATTCTGGCTCGGTGACTGTGCCGTGAGAGCGTAATAGACCGACGCACGTTCACGGCCAATCTGCATGTTTCAAGCAGGGAACTTGTTCCGGGATGGAGGACAGCGTGATGCTAGTTATATATCACTTGCGTCATACACTGATTCGCCATGTCACCCCTTATACTCTCTCCCAGCCCTCACAGAGTTGATGGTCGATACTCCTCCACGCTGTATCTTGCTCCTCGAGGATATTGACGCAGCGTTCGTCTCGAGAGAAAGTGCCGCCGCGGTGGCCCCTGGGGCCAGTACGGCTGCGGCAGGAACAGCGTCGGCCAATGTGACTTTTTCTGGGCTCTTGAATGCCATCGATGGCGTGGCTGCCCAGGAGGGCCGTCTCCTCTTCATGACGACAAACCACATTGAAAAACTGGATCCGGTGAGTTTCGCGCTGGGCGAGGGTCAGACGCATCCATCTGAGTGAGAGTCGGGAAAATGGGAGGTCCTCTGCCATTCGATAGTTACTGCTGATCAATGCCATTGTGAATTGGGTTGGCGTGCACACGCGGTATTACCTTGTCATCACAGCCGTGCAGGAGTAGCGTTCGCAGTCGCCATCGGCCAAGGCGTGGCTCCTGAACTGACAGGGCCATCATTTGACGATGCAGGCACTGATACGGCCAGGACGAGTCGACGTCAAGGTGCTGCTGGACTTGGCGACTTCGTCGCAGGCGCAGGGGCTGTTTGATCAATTCTATCCACACGACGAGACCAGCAGCGAGATCATGGAGCTCTCGATCGAGTTTGCCCGAGGTATTCCCGACCGCACCTACTCCATGGCGCAGCTGCAAGGCTACCTCATGCGATACAAGAACAACCCACAGCTTGCTGTGCAGAATGTGGGCGAGCTGATCCGAGGCGGCGCCCAGGTTCTCAGGAGCGACTAGGACGCCACTTGCTCCACGTGCGAAGGCGAAACCACAGCCAAGCGTCTCGGCATCGCGTTGGGACAGTGCTTCGACTCGCTGGATAGATAGCCCTGCCGGCGATCGGCTGTGTCTCGAGACGACACAGCTTGTTTTTCACACTCGTCGCCGATGTTGCTTCCCTACGATTCGATGTTCGCTGCAACGACTCTCCTCCCTGGGCTGCCTGACTGTCTCCACAGTCATCGCATCAATAGATTCTCCCTGTAGTCATGTCGCCATGTCCCAAGTCGTGCGGCTGACGCAATCTTATTGGGTTGGTCAGGGGATGAGCGGATACGACAGGGTTGAGATATCGGCGCGATATTTCGCTTTAACAGGGGCAAGTCTTTGGTGTATGATCTTTGCTGAGTGGCTTCAATGGGATTTCAGGGTATCAGTGCTTTGAGGCTCGATGGGTTTAGGCTGTTTACGATCCATTCGACGAACAGAGGTCTGACCTTCGACAACTGTTGGTGGCAGCAGTGGAGGTGATCTTTGAGGAGTTGGAGCGAATTAGTATCAATCGGGGGAACAAAGACAGCGCAGGACACGGAACAGCATCACCGCGAAGGGGCAGAACCACGCTCGAACCCATGTCCTCGACAGGGTGCCAAGAATGGTACGTGCAGATGGAGTCTGCTAGCGTTTGTGTATGTGTCTTGCAAAACTCTTGGTGGGTGGGAGGGCAACTTACACTTTGGGATCACCCTGACGCTGAGGCTTGTGTGATGGCAGCATGATGGGAGGCAGCGTAACATTCTCTCGGCTTGATTCCCACGACAGACCAGACGCCCTCCGGTCCAATCTCGGTCTGCTCGCCAGAGATGGCGCCGAGGACCGGCCAAGCGTTGCTTCGATATTGTCCCAGCTGTTCTGCAGCTGTGCAACAGATGCGCTCAGCCTCGGGAGCGAAGCCATCGTGCCCTGCAGTTCTTCGAGCCTTGTTGATGCAGCTGTCATATCGGACATGGACATTGATCCAAGCATCGTCTCGATAGAGCCCGCGTCGGACAAATGTTTTGGACCAACTCCAGCAAGGAATTTACCGGTAGAGTCCGTGTTCTCGACAGCGGCCGGAGCCATCGCTTGCAGCTGCTGGACAAGTGGGTAGATGGCCAGCAGCTCGTTGGTGGGCTTGACTTTCTTCTTGGCCAGCAAGTCCCTTTGAGAATCGATTGCCTGGAGAAGCGATGGAACGACGGACGACCGGAGAATCTTGTTCTGGGTCTGGACATGGGACAGGGACTCTGCTAGATGCTGACACTGCTGCTTGAGGTAGTGCGCTGTTTGTGTGGCCCCGTCCGTGCGGAGGGGAGGCAGCCGATCAAAATCAAAGGCGCAGGGTTATCAAAATTGAAACTAGAGATCGGTTGCATTGACTAGGGGACCAAGACTCGGGGTGCGTTCGACATAGTCAAGCATCCTTTGTCCCCACAGTGCGGACGGCAATACAAAGGGAGCTGTCCATACATCCGTTGCAAGGGATGACGGGCAAGCAATACAGAGGTTGGGATGGCTATACCTTCGATAGACTCATAGTGCAGAGCTAGGAGGAAAACCAGGTACTGTGGAAACTCTCCAGAGGTTGATCTTTGCGTGACCTTGATGTCGTGAGACGGTCGGTCGGGACATGGGTTGTTCATCGGAGCGGTGCATCAAATGTCAGTGCTGCTCTGGCCGAGTACACGTGGAGGACGGACTCGATGCAGCAAGCGCTGCGGTGTCACTCGGCCTGCCTCCACCACCTCGCATACCTTGACGAGATCATGGATCTTGTGCTCGCACTGTAGAATATCATTCAGAAGGCTCGATCTCTGGGTCTCTTGATCATCAGACTTATTCTCTGACAGGAGTATAGCCACCAACCTGCGGTGCATTTCCATTTCTTCTCGGAAGAGCTGTCGAAGATCCGAAACGAGCTTGGCCGAGCAGGCGCCCGAATCAAGCAGCGGAACTTTGCCTGTTGATTTGGTGTGGGTCAGGGGATTGGGCACCTTGCATGCCAGTGTCTTGGTGGTCGCGGGGCGTTGCTGCTGGCGCAAGTGTGCCGGAAACTTGGGCTGGAAATCGGGTGGCAGGGGCACGACGTTGTACTTTGTTTGAATCTGTGGGATTTGGGGGGCAACCATCAATGGAAACGATTGGCGTCGCGGCGTTATGCGGTTGCTCAAGGCAGTGGCGGTGTGGTCTGGAGGGGCGACGAAATCGTGTCTTTGACTCGGACTGCTGCATATACACCGTATCTGTGACAGACCTTGTTCTTGATCGAGCGAGCACGAGTGGCATACTTGAGGGTGTTGACTGTTTCGTCGTAGTGGACTTGGGATGGACTGATGTTCACAATCATGATTGTCCGGCAATGTCCTCCCAAACTATCCTAAAGCCAGAGCCGCTCCATCAGTCGGGTCTCCGATGCAGAAACGACGACAATCCGCGGCCAAATCCAACCAACCAAGGGAGCGATGGTCCACGAGTCCCGCGACTCACTTTGAGCAGCCGCGTCAGTTTGCTGTCGCGATAGTTGATGTATTTCCCCTTTTGTCCCTCTGACAGGGCGTTGATGCAGTTACCGAGTGCCAACAGCGAACGGTTGATGCTGGCACCTTCGACCATACGAATCCCACGATTCTATGTTGTGATGATGATGATTATTGCGATTCAGGATCGAGCCGCAGTATTGGCCCCATTTCGATTGTCCAATGCAATTTGCAGTGAACAGAGTTGTCGAGAGTGAAAGGCCTGTCAGCAAGCCAGTGATGCTCGATGCATTCTCCCCATCCATCATGGCAGGCATCGGTCCCATGCGGTCATATTCGAGCAGCGATTGTAGCTCTTCCCCAAGCACTGACGACGCTGGTGATACTTGCATTTGTCTCGGCAGCTCGCTCTATCGACATGGCCCCGAGATCAGCAGCCACCAAGGAGAGTGTATTGGCGACAGAACCGATAATGCGAAGTTCAAGCCACGCAGCCATGCATTGAGTTGGACAGGCATCAGACGAGGATGTATCGAGATTACAGGAGGTTAGATGATACGGAAGCGCTTGGTGTATTCAGTCCATTTGCCAGGAGCTCCGCGAGTGGTCATTGTGGCATTTTGTTGTCTGCTCCCCGCTGAAACGTACCTGATCCTGCAAGGTCGATTAGTCCCATTTTGGCCGTTCGCCGTGACTTACGCTTTGAATTCGAGACGTCGTCCCACTCGATCTGGATTTGCATGATGGCGTGGCTCCGGGACGACACCTCGTTTGCCCCTGTGGCTTGCTGTGATCTGAGCCGATTTCCCTTGTCCAGGAGCTCGAGGACTTTGTCTGCAGTCGAGACAGTGATCTCATTCAGTCCGGCCACAAACACCGACCCAGAGCCGTCCTCCCGCAGCTCCAGGCACTCAAAATTGGGTTCGGCGGAGAGCAAGTCATAGATGCTCTCGTTGTAGATCTCAAGATACGACATTCTGAGACTGCAAGCTTGCAGGCTGCCCGCTCCGACGGCATCAAAGAGATCGTGTAGCGTCCGGGACATGATTCCGGGATCAGCCTCGGTGCCGAGCATCGTGTACCTGCGATACCGGGTCGGAGAGCAGAGCGGAGGCCGACATTGGGAGTCAATCGAGATGGGCGAGCGTGCATGGGTGCAAAGCGGGTGCCTCTGACACACTCCGAGGCATGTTAGGACAACACCAACGTTTTTCCACATCCAGTGGCTCCTGCATTATCCGTCAGTCAAAAGCGTGGATTAGCATTGCAGCTGTGACTGCGAGTGGTCGTCGTGGATGTGTTGGCGAGAGAAGCTCGAGGGCTGACAAGTGATGGACGTGCACAGAGCGACTCATGCTGGAGGGAAACCAATTGACACGCGAGATGGTGATGGAAGGCAGAATGGTGGGAGTCGGTGTGGCATTTGGTGTTGGGGAGGGCCCAGGAAAGCGGGCGCTATCCGGCAGCAGAGAGTATTCGGAGCAGACGGCAAGAACGCACCATAGGCGAACACGGTGACGTTGTATCCGTCCAGGAGCGAGGGAATGAGGTCCTTTGCTGTCCGGCAGTATACATCGGCCTGGGTATCCTTTTCAGAGAACACACGATCGAAGGAGAAGAGCTGCTCCTTGAATTTTTCTCGCTTGCGGATCTCGTCGGCAGCAGGTGGATGCGGTTCGGTCACCTGGATCGTCTACCAGCCGCAAGTCGGAGCCACAAGAGAGATCCATTGGGTGAGAGCCAGGAGAGTATGCAGAAGTGAGTGGACAGATGCTGGTCGAGGAGCATCCATTGGTGCGTGGGCTGCTGGTGATGGTACCTTTGAGTCCAAGGCAGTGACGCAGATGGTGGGATCCTTTGCTCGCTCCTTTTGTGAGAGAGGACGCAGTCGCACGGCGACCTGCGAGATAACCGCAGCGAGGGCAAGTGAAGGTGATGTTACTAAAGTCGAGAGGATATCGACAGGAGACCGACAGATCGGTCAGGGGTTGGATGCCCACCAAGACATTTGGATGCAGATCGTCGTCGTCCTTGCTCATGGAGCTCTGAGCCGCGGGCACGGGCGATGCGGAGACATGCAAATCAAGAAGCAGGCAAGCGTCGGTGTCTTGTGGACAGGCAGGCCAGCGGCGAGGAGCGAATATGGATGCGGGAGTCGGGGAGAGAGAGTCGAGGTTTGAGCGAGTGCGATACTGAGGAGGGCGGCATTGACGGATGACGACACGGACGAAGCAGAGACGAATCGCAGTGACGGGACACTGCCGCCCCAACCAGACCCAGCGCCTCCTTGACATCTGCGAGGCCCACAGCATCGAGAACCGATACCAGTTCTCGCCTCCGAAGTGCGAGGTGATGTTCACCGAACAGCACCCAGAGAAGGATGCCAAGGTACACCTGTACGGCAAGGAGCTGCCAGTCGCCAAGGAGTTCCGATACCTCGGAGCCATCGTCGACATCAACGGCTTCAGGATGGACCGCCAGATCCAGAACCTCACCCACAAGGCCCAAGGCGCCGCCGACAAGCTGGTGAAGCACGGAATGAGTCTGGGCCGATACTCGGCCAAGACAGTGACGAGGGTGTTCAAGACCTTCGTTCGGCCCATGCTCGAGTATGGACTGACCCTCGAAGTGCTCACGAAGCAGCAAGCCGTGATACTCAGACGAGCACAGATGCACTGTCTGACCCGACTCTTCAGAGTGGTGCGGAACACGTCCTACGGAGCGATGCACCTCGGATGCGGACTCATCACCCTGCCCAACCGCCTCAAGCAGCTGGCCCTCCAGAACCGAGCCGTCTGGGAAGACCGTCTGGACCACAACGACAAGATGGTCTCGATGGTGTTGAGATATTCCCGCATCCAGCCCAGCCTGATGGATGCATCCCTCGGCTCCCAGTTCTACCTCGACGAGTACTGGCGGCAGCTGATCGTGCTGAAAGAGCAGTGCCAGCCGGACTACCCGATGAAGGAGCTGTTCAGGAACGGCCACCACGAGCTCACAGGGCCACCAGTCAAGTTGCAGATTCACATCGATGACGCGCAAGGCTTCGACAGGTCAAAGGAGCTGACTTCGGCCCGCACCGTGACGACGACCATGTCGGGACTGTGGGCCGAGCGAGGGCCCAAGAGAGATCGATACTATCACAACATGATGGTAAGATGGACCCTCGGTGCCTTTCCTGGACACCCGTATGGTCACTATCGGCTGTGCATCTCCTGCACGAAGAGCCGAGGAGAGTTCGTCGCGATGTGCCGGACCCACACCCAGAGCTGCGTCGGAAGAGGCGGCTCGTGGCAACGGATAGTGGACGAGCTCGAGCTGCGGCACCCCGAGTGGCAAGAAAGCGAACACGAAAAGGTCGGCCCGATCGACAAGCTCCTGGACCTGACGAACGTAGTTGGCTACTACGAGCTGGATGGCATGAGAATGTTCAACTGGCAAGACCCAGATATCCATACCCTGTGGCGAACACTCCGAAGGGTGTTCAAGACGCTGATCATCGCCAAGGCGGGGTGGAAACCCCCCAGGCGATAGGCGGCATGGTCGAAGCAGAGCGAGAGATGAGGGCATATGGCTCTCATTTCTCAAGACTGCTCACTAGGTCTATAAGAACTTTATTTTCTATCCTTTTTTTTTCTTTCCTTTCCCCTGATATACTGCTAGGGCCGACCAGGCCTTGATAGCTTTCAATTGAAATATTAAAAAAAAAAAACCGCGACGCTGCCAAAGTGGCCCGTGGGACACTATGAAAAAAATTTCATGTTAATAAAATGAGCGAGAACGAAAAAACGCGCTCTCGGAGCCACCTCGGTCGGCGAGAAGAGCAGTCTCTGGCGAGAGACCCCCGAGGGAAGGCGAGAAGCCTCTCGCCGTCACACACACACACTTTGCACACACACACACATTGCACACACACACTTTGCACAAGGGAGTCAAACACCTCCCATCGACCATCCCAAGAGGGATGGCAACCCCGAAGTGGACTGCCCAGAATATGGGCGACCCGGCATCCACTGTCGAAATGCACAAGAAACAGTGCGAGATACTTACAGTCTATCCAGAAAGAAACGGGACAGTCACTTTCTGGCTTCAGATGTCTGAAGCCCGTTGACTGACTGTAGACCCCAGTGGGCAGGTCGTGCGATTGTTTCCCGTCCTGGTTGGCAATCGAGTGGTTTTGGTTGGTTTGGGAAACATGGTCTTGAATACACCCGGTCGATCTCCTGTGGCGATGATCGACTGGCATACCGAGATCATGTTCCTGGCTGCATTGATGTCTCGATCCCACAGCGTATGGCAGCTTGCACAGCTCCGGACAAAGTGTGGTTTCTCGATATCAAGATGCTCGGGTGACTCAAGTCGCTTGGCTTCCCGACAATGTGAGCACACCTGGGATGTGTTGAACTCGTTCACCGAGCACACATGGATCTTGGAGACGGATCGGTCTGGTGGTCGTCTCTGGTGGTGGTGGAACTGCTCAAAGTACTTGGCGAACCTGAGCCTCCGTGGGCTGGATGCATATCCCTTCCCCTGCTTCCAGGATGCATTCCCAAAGGCAATCACCACCTCGGTTTCCTTTGGTGCCTGGTCGATGACTCGCTTGCACATCTCGTGGACAGTGCGCTGTCGCTTGCTGTGGAGATCGAGTCGCTTGAACCGCCGTCGCCGGGTCAGGCTGAAGTACAGCTGTTTGTCCAGCATGTCTCCATCGAACACATGGCGAATGTATTGCAGGAAGGGAGCCAACCCAGGGATCTTGGGACTTGGTGTGGTGCTCATCCATTTCTGCAGACCAAGGATCTTGTGGGTGTTCTGGATCCACTTGGTCGCCTGGGTGGTGTCTTTCTCTTGGGAGCCATCTGGCGAGAAAATAGCGACGATGGCTGGTTCTGCCCTCGGGGAAGAAAAATTCTCCTCAAATCCAGCGCATTTGGGCTGGCAGAGATACTGTGCAGTGGCGTCCTTGATTCAGATCCAGAAACGCATTGCTCGCTCAATCAGTCGTGGGAAGACATCTTGTCAAGGTGAGTCTTGCCTGATAGCCAAACGATCATGTCATCTCGCTGACACACAGCCACGCTTGACTAGGTTCCCAACCAGAGAGATTCAGATGGTGGTGGTTCTTGTCCGCAATCGGAGTGGAGCTTCCAACAATGATACAATTGGTCATTCCTCCACACCAATTGCCCACCACCGTCAATCGGCTCAAGGTGATATCAAATGCCTTCAACAGACCATGGCCGGATTCCAATTTTGCTGCGCCACATCCAACGTGACTTTCAGGTGACCGAGATGAGCAGCCACGCGGAGCATCCCGGATGCACGATCCAGCGACGATCCGGAGAGACCCGAAGCCAACCCCGGATATCGGCGCGCATCAGCCCGAGTGCGGCTGGCCACAGCGGCGACAGGGCAGACTTGGACACAGGGCAGACGAGGACAACGGTGGAACGTCGGACGGGGACGCCAGTGGCGTTCTGAGCGGAGCATTCGGCCTTTGTGGACGGGGCACAGGACTGGCGGCTGCGCAATGGCGGCGCGGGCGCGCCTTTGCTGGCGAAGGGCACAAGCGGCCACAGCTCGGACGGCCACTGTTGTGTGGTGGCAGTTGTGAGACTGGAATGGGACTGGATTGGGACAACCGAGGACTGCAACTTGAATGTGCTGCAGCATTGACATTGGCATTAACATTGACATTGAAATTGATGTTGATATTGATGTTCCAAGTCGACCACTCCATATCGACTACTCCAAGTCGACACTCCATATCGACCACTCCAAGTCGACCACTCTATATCGACCACTCCAGCAGCTGGATTGCGCTCTCTCCTTCCACGACAGGCCTCTTTGCGCTCTCGAGCACAGCAGAACGGCAACAAAGCCCCCCCCCAAGACCACAACACATCCACCGGTGTGTTTCTTCGACTGCCAAGTGCAACATCCCACGCCCGCCACAAACTCTCCATTCCCGCAGTGCGCTCGATCCCGCACAGCCCTGTCTTCTTGGCTCCTTCTGCTGCCTTGGTTCCTTTCTTTGGTCTCGGCCCCGTCTGTCCTCTCCCCCCCCGCGCCCGCTCTCTCGGATTTTCGGTCGCATCTGTTCTTTCTCCCGGTCCATCCTCCAATCCACCCCCCCCATCACCACCGCCATCGTCGTCGTCTCGCTGCTGGCCCTCCTTAGCCCTCCTCCGACATACCGCCGCCATGTCGATCCAGGGCGAAGCGACCGCCGTCCCTTCCCTGCGCTCTCGTCCTCCCTCGCTGTCACCAAGCGAGGCACCGTCCCGCCCGTCAACTTTATTTGAGGTGCGCTGTGCTCCTCTCGGTCTCCACGAAGCCGCCGGGCCATGCAACGGACTTTGACTGCCTGGCCTTGCAGCATCCTGATCCTGTCTATCCCCTCTCTTCGTCCTCGTCCGATTGCCGCTCCAGCTCCTTCGGGTCAAAAATATCGGAAAGGCAAGCACAGCACCCCCTCTTGCCAGCTGCTCCCTGGACTCTTCGCACCGCAACCATCCAGACTGATTTGCCTCCTCATCTCACAGTTCGGAAGTGTGTGCTTCATCTATGGGTCCATCCTCGGCCCAGGTGTCCCGCAAATCCAAGCGGCCTTCCAGCAGGTACTGATCACAACCACTGCCGTCAGACCGCAGCTCTCCGTCTGCACTCGCCATCTACTTACCCTCTGCTGCTCTCTGTCCTGGCAGTATGGCTGGTTCACCACCACGCTCTTCTTCCTGGCCTTTGCCATCATCAGCACCCTTGGCTCTCTGTTCATTGTCGAGGCCATGCAGTGCATCCCCGGCAACCGCCACTTCCAAGGCACGATCGAGTTTGGGACCCTGATCAACTTTTACTTTGGCCGGCGCTTCTACATTGTCGGCCAGTTCTTCCTTCACTGCTCGCTTGTTGCTGCTGGCGCTGTCTCCATCATCCAGGCTGTACAGGTACTGCACGATATCATGCCATCCCTGCCTTGCAAATCCTCGTAGATCTCACTCATGTGTCTACAACATCCTATCGATCTTCTTGCCCAACTCCTGTTGTCGATCCTGCCCTCGACTGATCTATCCTCCACTCATTCCAATCAACTCGGACCCCTCCACCAAGACCATGGATTCCATCATCGTCGATATTTTGCGGTACACCTGTGGCATTGGAATCGGCGACGGAACCAAGGGCTGGATCTGCGTTCCTCGCGAATTCGCCACACAAGCGACCGATCAGTACTTTCACTATGGAAACGAAATCATGCTCATGACCGCCGGCGCTTTGGTACGAAGTTGCCCTGCACACAAAGGCGCATCGCCTGGAGCGCTCGCTGTGTTTTGGAGGGCATGCTGGTCGCCATCAGAGTCCGGATGACCTCTCACGCCTGATGCTCGAATGAATCCGTGCTCTGGCTCTGAGCGCCCTGTCGACAGCCGTGTCAACCTCGTTTGGCGAAACTCTAACGCTTCCTCCCCGCCACTGCCTTTCCAGGTGATGATGCTGATCATTATTCCGCTGACGCGCCAGCAGCTTAACGAGAATATCTACGTCCAGATTGGTGAGCTGGCCCTTGCGATCATGATGATTCACTGCATACATGTCCGAAAGCTGACTCTCGATTCCCTTCTTCACGTCGACCCGCTTTCCATCCGATCAGTCTCGTTCATCGTCACCATCGCTGTGTTCTCGTTCTGGGTGGGCATCTCAATCCAGAAGCTCGTAACCAGCGGTCCCGAGGCGCCCGTGCCCATGTTTGGCCCAGTTGTCGATTTTGGTGGCGCTTTTGGTCCCATCATGATGAACTATGCCTACATCACCGTGATTCCGTCGTGGGTCAACTTGAAGGTAAATGCCATCGCCCGCTCATTGCCGATCAGGCGATCAAAGCACCTCGTATTCGGTCCAATGCCGATCTGGCTGTGCTCTCGTCAGACTCGACTGGTTCGCTGTTCGCCCGTTGGACGCCTCAGCATCCACGCCTCTGACAGATGACTTTGCTCGTTCGCCAGGATCGGCACATCAACATTCAGCGCACGCTGTGGGAATCGTCCAGCATGGCTTTCTTTACCTATTTATTTGTGGGCTTGATTCGTAAGTGCAAGGCCGTGTTCGACTTGCTTCTCTCGTGGCTATACATTTGTCCAGTGGATACCTTTGAAAGCGCCCCTCACCGAGTATTCCACCGCATACAAGCCTCCATATCCACGTAGCCTCATCGTGCCCACCTCCTTCACCGACGTCCACTCGGCTGGTGCCTAACCCTTATGCTGCGTCTGCGTCTGCGTCTGCGTCTCGGCGGTAATCGCAGCCGCCCTTGCGTTCCACATCGACGACAACTCAAACCTGTTGCTTGTGCTGAGCTCAAAGAACAACCTCCTTTACCGCATCGCTGGATATGTCTATGTCCTGCTCGTGCTCATCGCCTCGATCCCGGTCTTTATGATCGTCAGCCACCACAACCTAGTGCAGAACAAAGCAGTCTCGCCACGTACGTCTTGCCATTCTGTGGAACTCGCAATGTTGGCATGATCGAGGATGGGATTACAGGAGCCACCTAGTCCTTGAGTGCCGTAGCGATCTGCCCTGGTCGCCGTGCGCCACAGTTTCTCATACGTTATGCTCCCGTAATGCGTCTCCCCTGCAGTGTTTGGAAAGTTTTTGTCCTTCGCGGTGCCCTGGATCGTTGCCATCCCGTGCCTGTCGGGGCCTCTGCTGATCCGCCTCACCGACTGGTCCGGCTTGGTCTTCATCGTCATCACGAACATGATCATTCCATTTCTGATCTACCTCCGGGCGGTCAAGTTTAGAAGGGTCTACAACCGCACTCGTGGTAAGCACCGTATCTGTATCACTTCCGAGCTCCGATCTGCTGCGCCGACCGCAATCGACAGTTCCATGCAAGTCTCATTCCAACTGCACGGGCTCGCTTCCTCGCTTCCTCGCTTCCTCGCTTCCTCGCTTCCTCGCTTCCTCGCTTCCTCGCTTCCTCACTTTCGATGATCAAATCTTACCTGCAGAGCTGTCGCCCCAGCAAAAGGAGCTCTTGCGTGAGATCCACTGGCCCTCAAAGACAATCCTCAAGTTCCTCGACCGTCTTCCATCAGAGTCCCCAGATGGCATCGCAAGCATCGGTCGGACTTTTACTTCCTTCATGAAACGCACGCTCTCCAAATCCAAAAATGCGGACGCTCCGATCGAGCCAACCGAGCCACCCCAGCCACCCAACGCCGAGCATCCCTCACCCCGAGCTCCGTATGTTGCCAGGCAGAATTCCAAGCCGGGAAGGAAATCAGGGGCCTCGTTTGAGCTCCCACAGATGCTCAAACTGCCATCGCTTGGACCCAGCTTTGACCTGTCGCTCCGCCGGCCGCCAAGCTCGCCAGCATCCCCAGCGCACACCATGGCGACCAATCCCGATGCAATCAGCCCCTATATCGACGACCACTACTACCAGAACTATCATATTCATCGTCACTGCTCCCCCCATGACTGTGACGGAGAGTCGGTCAATATCGACGAGATGCTGGACTTGTTTGGCGATGTGGTTGACCCCGACCGCGACGATGACGCCATTCCAGTGCCGGACCTCTCTCCACCCGCGGTGATCTCCCAACGCTCGCATCCGGGCTCGAGCACGCTGCCTTCCTCTGCTGCATTTCACGACGCCAACCACGCCCGGCCCAACTCTTGCGAATATTTGCAGGCCGATATTCCAGAGATCCTCATATCCCAAGCCGACGACACTGTCGCTATCACAACTCCGATCATCCTTGTCAACGATGCCGACAAGCCCATGCTTGCACAGGAAGCCGTTCTGGTCCATCCCGATGCGGTAGCTGCGCCCGAGCATGAACAGCCCCAGTCGGACTTGTCGGTGCCGCTGACCACGCGTACCGAGTCCAAAAAGTCGACAACATCGAGTCTCGGCAGCGGCTTGCCGGCGCTCCGGTCGCCGTCCCTGCAGACCACCCCAACTCACGGCATCCAGCCGAGTTCTCCCCTCGGTCTGTCCAAGCGCGCTTCCGAGTCGTCTCTCAAGCCAAGCGATGCCTACGAGCTGGTGCGTCAAGTCTCGCAGCCCGCCTCGGTGACGGCGCGGCTGTCCATCGCCAGCGGATACTCGCTGCGGCCCGGAAGCCTGCCGATCCATCCCGAGTACACGACGCCCGTCTTTCGGGTTCTGCCTCGCAAGTTCCCGATCCCGGGTGTGTATGTAGCCTACATATCCCTCGTTATCACCCTCACCGTTACCATCTGGTCGCTGTATAATCTGTCTCGCAATTTGTGAATCGGGACGACAGGCCCTGCTTGTCGACACTCCAGGCTGCCATCGATGCGTCTGTATCTACTACAACTACCGCCACCACCATCGCCACCACCCACACCTATTCCTCCATCTTCACCCTGTGGATATTTTGTACTATTTTGTTTACCCACCTAGTATCCATATGCCGCGCCTCTCCAATAATCATGTCCCAGGGGTGTTTGGGATCGGGTCGCTTCGACCTCGCCCTGCAACTCTCCTAAGAAATATAAGCACACCCCCAGACACTTCAGACTTGACGCCATGTTCACCGAGCAGTAGTGCATCAAGAGCGGTCGGTATGTGTTGCCGGGGCGATTATTGCGAGCCCGAGGCTGGCTGTTCCGAGTCCATCCGGCGGCCCATTCCGAACCGCCATCTTGACCCAGATCAACCCAGATCAACCCAGATCAGATCCGGCACTCTCTTCGCTCTCTCCCCCGGCCACTCGCTCGCTGTGATCCGAATCTCGACATGTGCCGTCGAACCACACTTTTCCTGTGGCTGTTTCTTGCCACTCTGATCGTCGTTGCTCAGGCCTCTGGAGCCGACGGGCGAATTCAAGCAAAGGGCAGACAGGAGCTCGAGGCCCTCAATCTCGATCAAGTGCGCAAGCACTGCCAGGACCTGGGCATCCCCAAGTGTCTGCGGCTGCGGGGCAAGCGAGAGCTCCTGTTTGCCATCGAACTATCGCAGCAGTTCCCTGGCGAGACCATCCCCGAGATGTTCTACGTGCCAAAGATCGAGGAGCACATGCGCATCGCCAAGCGCATGTTCCGGCTCATCCGCACACAAGTCGAGAGCGATCAAGCTGACGATCGTGCCGGCATCGTCGACCTGACCCAGCGCAAGGACAGGGACGGCATGCTGTACTCGCTCTTCCGGACCGACCCCAGCGGGCCAACCGGCTACGAGGCCCTCTACAAGAACGAGCTGTATCTCGGTCGCTTTGCCGGCTACGACCCCGCCGAAGCCGTCGAGGACTGGGAGCGTCGATGCGGCCAGACTGCCCGTCTGAAAAAGTTTGTCCGGGCCGAGCGGGTCCGGCTTGCCCTCGATCTGCTCAGGCTCGAGCTCCAGGTCCGCGGATACTCGCTGAAGCACATTCCGACTCCTGACGACGCCCGGATTTCTGAGGGATGCGAGCTGAGCCAGGGCTGGGTCAGCGCTCCGGCTCCGCTGGTGACCGAGCTCATGATCAAGTGGCTCAAATATGTGAAGCGGGTGTTTGTCGACGAATGGCAGTTCCACCGCGAGGGCGAGGGCACCCAGCGTCAAGAACTTTAGTTTGAGCATGGTCGATGAGTATGGTCGATGAGCACGAATACGGATATGCCAGAGCAATACACAGATGGACACTTGACACATGAGCAACGGGGACACCCCTCCCTCTTTTATCCATATCAACGCAGCGGTGGGTGTGTGCATTCAGGAGCCAGAATCAAACGGCAGAGAAGGAAAATCACCATGATCAGTACTATCTCGGCAACTGCCACCGTTATGGCGTCGGCTATCGACGGCCTCAAGCAACTGGGCAAGGGCCGGGTTGGGTTGTATTCGACAGTAAGCGCATCCAATACATTCAATACGTTAAATATGCAAATCAGTGCCTCCCCATAACAGTGGCCGATGTTGATCGATCGATTGAAACATCGAATAGCATAACAACGAACTCCCCTCTCACCAGTTGAGTTTCATCCTGCAAACCCCACGGGTGCAAAGAGTGGCCACCATGCCCATCATTATCGATTGATCGACAAGCATTGGCCATGGAAATGCAGGACCTGGGTCCTCCGAGCTCAAGTTTGAATCCCCAGAGCCATGAGGCCAAGAGTGAGAGTTGTGCTTTGATTCGCCATGTGGGTTGAAGAATCAGCGACCACCCTACTGGGATGAGTCAGTGTTTGAGCAACTGTTGCTCGATTACTCGTAGTCCTTGTGACTTGTTCCGGATTTTGAATAGACGCAACTTCAAGCCAACACAGATATCGCGGTTCTTCGTTTATATCGCCCCAATTTCCTTGCATCCAAGAGTCACTGCCCTGATCATAACCTGCCCATGATCGCCTCGGTCATCGGCATTTCCATCAGTATCACTGTCCCATGATGGATGATTCTCGGGTGTCTGTGGTGCTCTCTAAACTGATGGTAGAAATCACTACGATCAAGTCCGGGTGGACTTGCCTCGAGAGAGGGATATCTTCATATCTAGTCCTGTTGCACATCATCACAACCGGCATTCATATCAACTCAATGCATCCAGCTGAACGTAACCAGTGACGCTCTTGTGTGAATTGTCATGGATTTGGAATAGTTGCTCTGTCTGTTACATCAGGAGAGCCCTTCACACAAATCGATCAAAGTACATCAATGGGCAGGCACACAAACCAAGAATACGACCAAGCCCAATGTCCAAGAGTATGACTATGAACTGTCAAGTGGTTCAATATCCACCCCGTTTCTCGGTCCAGCAAGACCAGATCCAACCAAGCCACCAGAATCAATTAATGTTTGATAGCCTGGTAAACACCATACACCGCGCCTCCTAGGATCCCAAGCACAAAGGAGACAAAAACGAGGCGTGGAAAAATTAATCTTATCCATATGAGAAAATACTTCCGTTCCATGAGGAACCAACTTGAAAAGTTCCCATAAATGAACTCATAATCTTTAGAGAAATTGACGCGACAGCCTTTCGGTAGCCCTGATATCCTCGAGCTCGTTATGTTCCACCGATGACCAAAGTTGCCGAATACCAATTTAGTGAGACAAGATCGATCAGAGCGCAACGGCGATTGTGCATCGAGGTGTAGTTGCTTGAGAGATGGCAGCTTCTTGGCCAGTCCTCTGATCCTCCTTATCGAGCGAGGGGTGTGGAGGACTTCAAGGTTTGGAAGAGAGGGCATTTCATCCAACGATTTCAATTCGTGGCACTTCTTCAAATCAAGGACTCGGAGTGGGCTTTCTTCGAGATGTAGATCAGCCAAGCTCACGACGGATTTTGACAGGACCAGCTGCTCAAGTTTTGGCATCCTTGGGAGCTGGCTCAAGACATTGTGTGGTTTGTTTGAGCCCACTGTGAGGTTGATGAGGGCTGGGAATTCCTCAGGTACATCCACGAGGGTGTCAACGCTGTATGCGATGTGCAATTCCAGAAGCTTTGGCATCTCAGAGATCCCCTTGAGTGATTTCAAACCTTTGCAATCACCAAAGTGAAGGCTCGTAAGTGAGGGCAGCACTCTCGGCATGCCCTCGAGGCTCTCGAAAGGACCATTGAGATGGAGTGATTCCAAGCTCGGCGTTTCAGGCATTCCCTTGAGGGATTTTAAATATTCATAACAACCAAAGTGGAGGTACGTGAGTGAGGGTAGCGCTCTCGGCATGCCTTCAAGGTTCTCGAAGGAACCTTGAAGACAAAGTGCCGTCAATTTTGGCATTTCAGGCATCCCCTTGAGAGATTTCAAATCTTTGCAACAATTAAATCTGAGGTTGTCAAGTGAGGGTAGCGCTCTCGGCATGCCTTCAAGGTTCTCGAAGGAACCTTGAAGACAAAGTGCCGTCAATTTTGGCATTTCAGGCATCCCCTTGAGAGATTTCAAATCTTTGCAACAATTGAATCTGAGGTTGTCAAGTGAGGGTAGCACTCTCGGCATGCTCTCGAGGCTCTCGAAGGAGCCTTCAAGGTGGAGTGTCGTCAATTTCGGCATTTCAGGCATCCCCTCAAGGGATCCGAGGTTTCCAAGATCGAGTCTTCTCAATGAAGGCAGCACATTTGGCATGCCTTGCAAACTGGATAGGGGACTGTATGTTTCATACCGGTATTGACCATTCTCATTCGTCAGTCCTTCAGTCATAGAGAACACTTTGGGCCATCCGGACACCTCCAAAAACGAGATGTTGCAGATATTGACACATTTGCCCGCCTGATCGATCCCTGGGATCGTGAAGGGCAGCAGTTTGGAGACATAGGCGTCACCCCTCCGTGGTACATTACGTGAGATCGTCATACCGCGGTAATCTGACCAGATCTCTATCGGAGATACGATGGTGAAATTCATTCTCTCAGCAATATTGATCCTCTCCTCTATGGACAGCTTGTTGGGCGAGCTCGAGTGTTGTGTAGTTGGAAACTGGAACGAGGGGTCGATAACTTGGCAGTAGCGCGAAACTTTTGAGTAGAGCGTTTGATCACGGTAGACTTCGGCCCAGAGTCGATTCTCCTTCTCCAGCATTGATTTGGTCGGTGGCTTTCGTCGGTATAGGCGGATCAGATAGCAAAAGAGTCCCTGCATGACGTCGAGGCGGTTGACGGAGGCATCGACGCCCTGGAACATAAACTGGGCTGACACTTTCAAGCGAGTGGAAAGGAATCGTTCCCACATCCTTTCGGTGTTGAGGATGGCCCGATGTTTCTTTGAAACCCGCAAGAGCTTGGCGAACAACGGCGGACTGGCATTGCTGAAGAATGCCTCATTTGTGATCAGGACCGTGAGCAGGTCGAAGCGAGCGAGGCCCTCTTGAACAGCCAGCGATACCATCAGTGCTTCTTGGGCGGCGAATGGCTTGGCGGGGGAAAGGATGGAGTGGGTGGGGCTTGTCATGAGCGAGACGGCAACGGGAGGAACGGATGGAGGCAATATGGGAAGATGGAGGAAGGGGAGCGACAGGAGGGAGACAGCCGAGGAGAAAACGAACGGCTTCGTCGATGATACCGGTGTGGCTTGGGATATTGAGGCACAGCCAGCACGCCCCGTGCACGGCCACCCTCAGGCTCCTGAAGGCCATGTTCGACGATGTGAAGATCCAAGTCGTCAGCGAGAGCCGTCGGTCCAATCGGATCTGGCTGCAGAAGGGACTGATCCAAGGATCGGTCCTGAGCCGCGGATGTTCAGTGTGTTCATTGACGATCTGCGAGGACGCTTCCGAAGCATGGGAGGTACTCCCTCTAGAGCAACACCGGAGTCACCATCGAAGTGAACTCACTGTGGTTCGCCGATGGGGTGCTCATCTGCCGCCGCAACCAGACACAGCGCCTCCTTGACATTTGCGAGGCCCACAGCATCGAGAACCGATGCCAGTTCTCGCCTCCAAAATGCGAGGTGATGTGAAAGCGTCTCGTTTCAAAATCAGTTTGCTGTAGCACGTCCTCGGCTGAGATGATATGCAAGTCGGTTGATTGATTGATTGATGCGGCGCCTTCTCAGTCCCTTGCCCCACCGCCGAAACCGGGACGAGTCACAGCCCCTCGCTCGCACACGTGATCCTGCGCACCCTGGTCGAAAGTGCTCTTGCCGTTGCCCTCCGGATCTGTCTCCGGGCATTTGATTGCTCAGGCTCCCATCCGTCGCCGCCAACGCCCCGTCCATCTCGGCTCTTCCCCGCGAGTTACTCATCTGCCTCGCCGTCGCTCTCATTCCATCCACCTCCACTCTCTTTGCCAAGGAGTCTTCAGCCATCCGCTCGTGCACCTATCCTCGCCACCACACATTTCTTCAGGCAAGCTCGGAATGACCAAGGACGAAACCCTGGCCGATCAGAAGAAGCAGCAGCAGGCCGACGACAAGGCTGCTGTCTCCAAGGCCGATCCGAAGAAGAAGGAGGCCGAGGAGGAGGAGCTGGTAATGACTCGACCAGCAACGGCGTGGCCGCCCTTCTGCATCGCTCTTGGTGTCAGGACTCGACCGATCTACCGTCGGCACGGCCTGGCAACGGTTCTCCTGGTTTGCGCTCGCGCTCACCCATGTCTGCTGTTTGATTCTCGTTTGTCATCCATCTCTCCGTGCCCATATTGCCCGATCGCCCGCTTGATGGCGACCTCCTTGTCGACCACTCCAGTCCGAAGAGGACCAGCAGCTGAAAAACGAACTCGAGATGCTGGTCGAACGCCTCAAGGAAAACAACGTTGTCCTCCACAAGCCTGCTCTCGAGACCCTCCGTACACTCATCCGAACCTCGACCTCGTCCATGACGGCCGTGCCCAAGCCCCTCAAATTCCTGCGCGCCCACTACTCCACCAGCATCGCTGTCTTCGAGGAATGGCCCCAGAGCGACAACAAGGTTGGATTTCCCTCCTGCTGTTTGATATTATCTTGCTTTGTGGCCTCGATCTGGTTGATTGTCTCAATTGGTCGCTCCGGCTAAACCGGACCCAGTCGACTGAGATGATCGGCTCGTGGTGGCTCCCAGCAGAGCGTTCTCGCTTCGACTGCTCCGCGAGATCTCTCTCGTTTGCTGGTCCATTGCCCTTGTCATTTGGCCTCATCGAGGACAATCTCTGTTGCATATCTGTGCCCAGTTGTTTGAATCGTGCAGCTGCATCCCTCGCCTCGCCTTCTGCGACGTTTTCATCTGCTCGTATTGATTCGGATCGCATTTCGACATGGCCGCCATCCAGAAAGACCTGGCCGACATTCTATCGGTACTCTCCATGGCCTATGCCGAGGAAGGCAAGCGCGATAGCTTGAAATATCGTCTGCTTGGATCTGGCGAGGCTCCTGGCTCCTGGGGTCATGAATATGTTCGGTAAGGACCGCACTCAGGCACACGTAGTGCCCATGCTCGGATATACCACCAATATCCTCCCCTTCAATCGTATTGGTCTTTTGATGCTCCTCCGGTTCTCACATCGTGACACCTCCCCCTCACCTTTTGGATCTCAAGACACCTCGCCAGCGAGCTTAGCGCCGAGTATCTGGCCAACTCCGAGGAGGAAAAGCCCACCGACTACATCCTGGCTTTGGCCCTGGAGCTTGTTCCCTTCTTCCTGCAGCACAACGCCGAGGCCGATGCATGCGATCTGCTCCTCGAGATCGAGGCGCTTGACCAGCTGCCCAAGTTTGTCGACAAGAACACCTATCAGCGTGTCTGTCTGTACATCATCAGGTAACCATCTGTGTGTCTGGCAGAGGTCGCGCATGTGACATATACAGCATCCGCTGTTGCAAGGTCGCTGCTCACCCTCATGTTCACGCTTCCGACATCTTCGCTCCCATACATAGCTGCGTCAACTATGTTGCCCCGCCCGATGATGTGTCCATCCTCAAGACGGCCCACACCATCTACCGCAACCTTGGCCACTTGCCGGAGGCCCTGCAGATCGCCATTAAGCTGAACGACCAGGAGCTTATCCATGAAGATTTTAATAGCTGCCAAGACCCGTGAGTATCGGCTGCATTTGTTCGTACATAATGAGTTCTTCGCGCAATCTTGGGGGACGCTCCAAGAGTCCAGGAACAAGTGCTTAGCCACACCTGCGTCCTCCTCCTTCCTTCCTCGTCTGCGCTGCTAGACTGCTACAAAAGCAGCTCGCCTACATGCTCGCTCGCCAGCAAGTCAAGTTTGATGCAGACGAAGCCATCACCGAGATCCTCAACAACACCCAGCTCTCGTCTCACTTTTTGGCTCTTGGCCGCGACCTCGACGTTATGGAAGCCAAGACCCCCGAGGACATCTACAAGAGCCACCTCGAGAACATTCGTACGTCTCTCGCTGCGGCTGTTCTTCGCTCATCTCTTGGAGCTGACTCCAATTCGTGTCGATATTGACTCTCACATCTCATTCGTCCTTGTCCTTTCTTGGGCATTGTGCTCATCGTTGCTCCCGATGCACCGTCACCGATGACCATGGCGGCTCTCTGGCGGACCCTGCTTGTCCCACCAATGCGGCATGTAGGCTCTGGTGTTACAACCGTCGACTCGGCCAAGCATAACCTCGCCTCCACCTTCGTTAATGCCTTTGTCAACGCCGGCTTTGGCACCGACAAGCTCATGCTGGATCAGGATCAGAGTGGATCGTGGATCTACAAGAACAAGGATCACGGTGAGACTCTGCTCGACTAGGCTCTCTGTGCTGCAGTGAAATGACAGCGGAAGGGGGCCAGATCCCGGCTCGAGAGCTGGCGCTCATACCTACTTGTTGGTAACTGCAGGCATGATCAGCGCCGCGGCGTCGATTGGCTCGATCATGTTGTGGGATGTCGAAACGGGCCTCACCCACATCGACAAATATCTGTACGCCGAGGACAACAATGTCAAGGTAGGCAGTATCCACTCCCTTGGCCCATGAGGCTTTTGCACATGTCCATGCCGAGTGATTACGAACCACTCATCATTTGCTTTGATCATTCAAGGCCGGCGCTCTCCTCGCCATCGGACTGGTTACGGCCGGTGTCAAGAACGAGTCCGACCCCGCCCTTGCCCTGCTCAGCGAGTACATCAACAGCGATCAGTCCGTCCTGCGCACTTCGGCCATCATCGGGTATGTATTGCGCTCGGTGGATGGTGATCGGTTTCAGCGAGCTGATCTCGGACGTGTCGAGTAGACTAACGTTGCTCTCTCTCTCACTGTACTTGCGGAGCTCAGCCTTGGCATTGCATATGCTGGCACTGCACGCGAAGATGTCTTGGAGTTGCTGCTGCCCATTGTCAGCGACACTGGCTTGACCATGGAGATCTCGTCCCTGGCGGCCCTCTCTTGCGGCCTCATCTTTGTCGGCACTTGCCATGGCGACATCACCTCAACGATTCTGCAGTCGCTGATGGAGAGCGAGGACGCACAGCTCAAGGACGGCTACGCCAAGTTCATGGGCGTGGGACTTGCGTTGCTCTACCTCGGCAAGCAAGAGGCCAGCGAGCCCACGCTGGAGACTCTCAAGGTCATCGAGCACCCCATCGCCAAGCAAATCGAGGTCATGGTGGAGACCTGTGCCTTTGCCGGTGAGTTCTGCCTTGTGATGTCTTTCCCTCGGATCTGTGGCAACAAGTTGCGTCGCCGGCCTCGGTGCACGTTTGCATGGCAAAGTAGGCATGCATCCTGCGCATTGGCGCTGCCCACTAACGTCCGTACGAATGGCTAGCTACCGGCAACGTGTTGAAGATTCAAAAGATGCTGCATCTTTGCAACGACCACCTGGATCCCCAGAAGGACGACGACAAGTTCCAGGCCATCGCTGTCCTTGGTGTGGCTCTCATTGCTATGGGCGAAGACATTGGCGCCGAGATGGCTCTGCGGCAGTTCAACCATTTGGTGGGTATACCAACAAGCCTGGCTACTCCTCCACGCTGGGCCACATCCTCAACTGCAATCGCTGCTTTCGCTCGTGACGTGTCTGCATTGGATCCCGTGCCCACATCGAATATCATGCCTCGTCCTGGGCACCATATCCAGGCGTTCCTTGGTCTCGCAAGCGAGTCTGCTTTCTAATTCTACCGTGATTCGATCGCAGATGCACTACGGCGAGCCTGTGATCCGACGCACTGTGCCCCTGGCTCTGGGTCTCTTGTGTGCGTCCAACCCCCTCGTGCACGTCCTCGACATCCTGAGCAAATACTCGCACGACAACGATCCGGATGTCGCCATTTCGGCCATCTTTGCCATGGGTCTGGTCGGCGCCGGCACCAACAACGCCAGGATGGCACAGATGCTGCGGCAACTCGCTGCCTACTACCACAAGGAGCCCAACCATCTGTTTGTCGTCCGCATCGCCCAGGTTGGTTTCTGTGTCGTGGTGCCGCATATCCTCACCCCCCCCCGTGCGCCTATTCGTTGACAGCGGCCATACGGACGCAGTCCCATCTTTCTCGCTGCCAGGCACAGCGTTTTGCTGACATGCATTGTTTGCTTGATTTCTTCCGAAACAGGGCCTCCTCCACATGGGCAAGGGCACTTTGACGATCAACCCGTTCCACTCGAACCGCATGCTGCTCTCTCCTGTAGCTATGGGCGGTCTCTTGACCACGCTGATCGCATTTATGGATCCCAAGTACAGTAAGTGGCCGCATAGCATCTCCGATCTGACAACACCCTGAGACATCAGAGCTCCCCCCCCCGTCGATATGGCGTTTCTTCTGTCCATGTGTGCGTAGCAGAGTTCGTTAACCTCATCGGATCTTGTCCATATCGTACTGTCCTTGCCCAGCTATCCTGGCTCGAGCGCACTACTTCCTGTACTATCTGGTGCTGGCCATGTACCCGCGATTCCTGGTGACTCTGGATGAGAACCTGAAGAGCATCCCGGTGACGGTCCGCGTCGGTCAGGCCGTCGATACTGTTGGCCAGGCTGGACGACCCAAGACCATCACCGGCTTCCAGACGCACTCGACTCCGATCCTGCTGGCCTCGACAGAGCGTGCCGAGTTGGCAACGGAGGAGTGGCTGCCGTTGACGCCCGTGCTGGAGGGCTTTGTGATTCTGAAGAAGAACCCTGAGGTAAGTCGACAGTCCTCTCGCTCTGGCCCTACTTGAGCTTGCACATGAGAACACCACGCCATGTTGCCGCGGCTGACACCCAACTCGTTCTGGACATTGATTCGCTTCATCTCTCGCCAACCCACTCACTGCTGATTCGGATTGCCTCGCAGTGGATGGACGAGGACAAGGACACAAAGTGATCCCGCCGCTGCTTGAGCGTGATAGCGCATCCATTTCCACCCTCCCGAGCATCATTTCTTCTGCCTTTGGTGCTCCCTCCATGGGATCGACTGCAGGACGTGCTGTATCGTTCCAAGCTTCCGTCCTGGACAATAAAATGCGAAATGAGCCCACCTTGAACATTCGTGCTTGCCCCCAGTGGTGTCTTTGTCTTGGTCCCCGGGCGCAGCTGTCGATCGTGGGCAACGCTCCAGCCAACATACAGCTGCCGATCTGGCGGGCTCCGGTTCATGTATCCCACTCGCTTGCCGTTGCATTTGTCGTTGCCCCGCCCTCCTCCTCGACTGCGACTCGGCCCCCATGACAGCACCCACCCGTTGCTGACAAAAGGGCGCCATCAAAACCGAGGCGGCACCGGGCTCTCTGACATCCGAGCGCGGGTCGCCAACAAAGAGCGTGTGGGGTTCATATTCAGGAGCATCAGCCGGATCCGCATCAGCAACGGGCGATCAGGCATCGCAACGACCCAGAGACCCCAGGCTTCTCGCTGGCATCGCTGAGCACTCACCAGACTCGCTTTCGGCAACCCCTCGCTCGTCTTCTCGATCCATCTGTCAAGCGACATGGCAACACCAACCCCAGAAACGATTGCTACCCGCAACCAAGAGCTGCTCCAGTGCTGGGACAACTTTGCCAACGACTTTCGGCACTACGAAAAGATCATGCAGCAGTCCTGGCGACCACTGCTCAGCCACATGGACCTCGGCTCGGCCCGCAGCATCCTCGAGGTCGGATGCGGGCGCGGCGAGTGTGCCAAGGCCATCCTGGGCATGGCCCCGTCCGGCTGCAGCGTCGTCACGTCTGACTTTTCCTCCGAGATGATCAAGGCAGCTACTGCCGCTCTCGAGGCCCATGACGCCCTGCCAAACCCTGGCAGGGAGGGCCAGCTGCGGATCGAGCAGATGAGTGCCCTGGATCTGCACAGCGTCCCCACGGCCTCGATCGATCGGTACATCGCCAACATGCTCCTGCACCTCGTGCCCGACCTGGACGGCATGCTGCGCGAGACTCGCCGTGTCCTCGATGCCAAGACCGGCATCGCCGGATTCACCATCTGGGGCGACCGAGCGCAGAGCCTGGTCTTCAGCCTCCGCCCGGGCCGAGAAGACAGCCCCAACTTTGACGCCGGCCGTGATCTGGATGCACTCGCTCGACGAATCCATGCCGCCGGCTTCTCCAAGGTGCGCATGTGGCGCCAGCCATGCATCTTTGAGCTGTGGGACCCCGAACGGGTGGTCGAGTTCTGGATGCACTCGGAGGGCAAGACGATCCAGGACACTGAGTGGCTCCAGGAGGCCCGCAAGCGAACCACCCGGGCAATCTGTGACGAGGGCAAGCCGATTGGGCTCGAGGCCGTGATCATCCTCGCGATGCCCTGAGCACCGATCTGCGGGAGGAGACATGGATGAGAGCAGTCCATGGAAATACAGTCTCGATCCATGGAAATACAGTCTCGATCCATTGAAATACAGTCTCGATCCATTGAAATACAGTCTCGATCCCGTCGCATGAAGTTCCTTCGCTCATGGAGATCCACTGGTGTGGGCCGTGGCCATCCCGGCGAACGAGTTGCTGGGCCGATGTGGTCGGCACTGGTCGGGAGTGGAGTCGTCCCGCGCTGTGCTCTCGCTGTGTTCTCGTCGATCCTCGCCCTGCCAAGTCCGCTGCCAATGTCCGGTTCTCGTCGGCTCCGTTTCGAATCCCATCAGCCCACAGAGCCCACAGAGCCCGCTCACACCACTCCCAGCAGCGCACCATGGCATCGTCGTCGTCCTCAGCAGGCTCCTCGATCATCTACGGCCTCGTTGCTCGAGGCCCTGTGATCCTGGCCGAGCACGCCACCTCGACTGGCAACTTCACCACCATCACCCAGCACATTCTCGAGAAGATTCCCCAAGGCGACTCCAAGCTGACCTATGTTTACGATAGGTTGGGCATCGCAGAGGATGCGGGAGATGGACCTCAGCTACGGCGATTACGGGACCGCATCGCTCGGATTGCGACAGCACCATGTCACTGGAGGCGTTTCTCTGGCCCCAAGTCGCATAGTATCAACATGCATCGTGCGACTCGCCAGCGCCGGCATTGATGGCCGGATGCTGTTCCGACATCGACCCCGAGCACGGTATGCTGATCGATTTGCGTTCCTCTATCCCAGATATCTCTTCCACTATATCCAGCGCAACGGCATCATCTACCTGTGCCTGGCGGACGACACCTTTGGTACGTTGTTCTGCCGCCGACTGATGTCTGTCAGTCTCGGCCAGGGCACCAGAGAGCGGGGTGATGGATGCCCCTTGCTCATTCACAGGATCGAATGGCCCTCGCTCCGTCTGGCTAAAACAGAACTGCGCTGCTGACTTGATCCCAGGCCGACGCATCCCGTTTGCTTTCTTGGAGGACATTGCTGCCCAATTCGAGACAACCTACGGCGCCCGGGGACAAACGGCCATAGCCTATGGACTCAACGAGTTCTCCAAGACCATTGCCGCCCGGATGGTATGCAGGCTGCAGTCGTCTTGGCCCGGCGTATCTGATCTCGACAATGCCTCCAGCAGCACGGCGACGGACAACGGCTTGCCAAGTGGGCCTTTGGAGACCGCTGCCCCCTTGGGCAAACGGGCGGGGTGGGGGAGAGTGAGGGCGATGGAGCAACCAAAGGTGGCTTGCTGACCCCGACCGATCCAGACCGATCCAGGCTGATCCCGACCGATCTCCATCGACAGGAATACTTCTCGGCCAACCCCGAGGCCGACAGTCTCCGCCGAGTCCAGGGCGAGATCGACCAGGTCCGCGACGTTATGGTCCACAACATCGAAAAGGTCCTCGAGCGCGGCGAGCGCATCGAAATCCTGGTCGACAAGACCGAGTCGCTGAACGCAACGTCGTTCGCATTCAAGAAGCGATCGACGGCCCTCCGCCGCGCAATGTGGTGGAAGAATACCAAGCTCATGGCCGTGTTGGCCGTCGTCGCCGTCCTTCTGGTCTACGTGCTTATCGGCAGCGTCTGCGGCCTCCCAGCCTGGGGCCAGTGCTTTGCCAAGTGATGTTACTGCCCTTGTTACCAGCAATGTGGCAATGCTGTTGTCAATGCGGTCATGTTACTGCGGGCGTGGTAATATTACAACTTGACAATATTGAACCGGGACACCCTGGGCTGTCGCTGTTTCCCGGTCTGAATACATCGCTGTGGATGTATTCAAGACGGGAACAACCGCACGATCTGCCCACCGGGGCTACGCAAGCTCAACAGACCTGTGTCGCTGATGCCAGAGAATGCGGACACTGCCCCGTTATTATCAGCAGCGACTGCACTGTCGATACCGACACCATCGTCGTCCTCTGATATCCAACCCCGGCCCGTGCCCTGTCTTGGCTTTGCCCAACTCCCCGCCCTTGATTTGAACACATCCCTTCCCATGTCCAGCCCGCATCCATGACATTCCCGTGCTCGTATTCTCGTCCGGCAACCCGTCCTTCCAGAGCCACCGCCATCGTCTCCATGCCGCCGTCGTGCTCGCTGGACTGCGAGCGGACGCCCCTCGGGCCAGTTTTGGTCCATTGTCATGGCTCTCCCACTGCCCGCCCCGTCCGCCCCCCAGTCCCTCGTCGCTGCCCAGCTCGTCCCGGCGGAGACCCCTCCCTCGAGCCAGGACGGCAATCTCCACCCGCACTGGTCTCTGCGTCGAGGAGCATCGGCAGGCCACTCACCGATGGTGCCCTTCATCCCCCCTTCATGTCTGGCTGGCCCAGAGCCGGCCTCTCTCGGCGCCAGCATCGATCGATCGTCGTCCAGGACCGAGCCGCTCGTCGTCAGACCTGATCCGTTCGCTGCTATCGCCGGTCTTGGATCTCAGCCGCCCGACTCTGCCTGGTTCCGGCACATTCTCGCTCCACTCGCTGGGGATCGCCGATTCGAAATCCAAACTCGCAACCGCATTTGCTGGAGCTCGCTCTCTGTGGATCGCACCCTGGCAATTTTCCCACACCCGCTCTCGTCTTGCAACTCGGTTTGCGCATCCCTGGACATCCGGGCACAGATCAAACCAGCCTGACTTGCTATGGCATCGACTGCCGCTGCTGCCGATCGACAGGGCAAGGAAGCCAGTCCTCTCGAGCCTACCCTCGAGCGCCAAAGTGCAGATCGCCCGGTGGATCGCCCAGCGGGTCCCGCCGATCTCCAACGCCATGGTCCTCGCACCCATGCTCGGGGTGCTCGATTTCAACGCCACCCGCAGCACACTGTCTCGCTGAGCCCAACCACCACCACCACCACCGGCAGCAGCAGCACCAGCACCACCACCAGCAGCGCCCATATCTCCACTATCACCACCAGCCCGGCTCTCGTCGCCGACTTGCCCGGCTCCCACTTTGCGGGCCAGCAGGACCCCACGTCCTTGGCGACCTCTGGGAAGCACCTGGCCTCGATCTCCATCCACAACCGGTCGCCCAGTCGCCCTGCAGGCTTCGGTCGCTATCCAAAGCGGCCCTCGGCCCTGGCCACCCATCTCCACATGCCGATCTCACGCCAGGATGTCCCTCTGCACTCGCCCGAGTCGAGCGACCACGACAGCGACCTGATGCAGCAGACCCCGCCGTCCATGTCGTTGCCACCGCCGATCCGCCATCTCCCAAGGACGGCGACGCTGCCTGTTCCGGCAAGGTCGACATCGGCATCGCCGTCAAAGTCCCACAGCCTGCTCGTTCCTGTCGTTGCCTCGCCCTCCCACTCGATTGGATACGGCGGGTTGCGCTCGTCGTTCTACCAGTCGCAGAGCCACCAGATCTCGGTCGAGACCTCGCTCTCGATTCATCCGCACCATCCCCAGGCCCGGCCCTCCATCTTTTCATGGAACTCGGTAAGTCCATGCGCTTGTCGGCCTGTGTTGCGTCCTTGTCATCGGCAGCGTAACATGGGCACCTGTCCCCCAGTGCGGCACCGCTGTCCGCTTGTTCCGAGGCTCCTTGTCTGGCTTGCTTGGGGTTGTCTGGCATCGCTGGGCATCGCCAGACATCGTCAGGCATTGCACAACATCCCAGGCTTCACCAGCAACCGTTCTGCCTTCAATTTGCCGGGTCACCGCCTCACATCACCTGGTTTTATCGGCCGTGGTCTATCCTTGCCTGGCCGCCGGACTGGGCCATGTGAAGCGCATCTCACTCCCGTCCCTGCCGAGCCCTGCTGAGCATCCATGCCCGTGTCCGGCCATGATGGCGATCCAGGCCGATATTGACCCGGACGACTGGTGTTTCGGTTGCGAGCTCGCACTGCGGTCATGATTTCCCTTGGCAGCCTCGGGGCATATGCGCCGATGTGAATGCGCCACCAAACGAGTCCAGCCGTTCTCACCCGCCTTGACCACACTCTCTCTGCCTCGCTCTGCCACCCACCACACAGGGGTCAGGCAGCACATCGGCGAAATCGGGAGGTAAGATCCATCTGTCCACGCCAGCAGAGTGCGGTGTCGACGATTGGCTTGTTATTTGAAGCGAGCATGTACTCCATGCCTATGCACCAGCCAGACGATTGAAGTAGATATCCACTGATAGTGGTTACGGATGCGCCTCTGATGTCCCTCGCACAGACGACGATGAGGATTTTGTCTACACTCGTTCTACCGGCCGCCGCACCCTCCGCGCCCTCAAAGGAGCTATGGAATACCGTCCGCTGTCGAGTCTTTCGGGCTCGTCCGGCTCTTCGTATCCTTCTCTTCAGTCGTCTCCCGGTGGCTCAGCCGGGTTACTGCATCCAAATCATGCTGCTCCCGTGAGCCCTTCCCAGTCCTTTGGTCGCAACCTCCCCTTTGGCTACGGTTCGTTTGTTCGGCCAAAGCGTCCAGGGCCAGCCCGCAACATCGGCTTCAAGGATAGCCCCGATTCTCGGCGGACAGGATACTCCAAGCTCACTGGCCAGCGGTCGCCGGGCCTGGAACATGAAGGCTTCAACCTCCCCGGTGGCGACGAGTCACTGCAGTCCCCGATGGCACTCGATTCCCGTCCTCTACTTGCGCAGACCCACGAATACGTCCGCACATTCTACCGATCGTTGCTGTCTCGGCCGACCCACGCCGCTCCATTCGAACACCCTCCTCCTGCCGTGCTCGTGCCCGTGCCTGGCGAGTCAAGTCCGCTTCTCCCCCGATCTCGGATGGACGTTTCCGGCATGGATCGTTCTCAGGCCTTGCTGCTGAACGAGCGCCTGGATCCAGCTTCCCGAGACCCACTCAGGGTCTCTGTCGCTCGAGGCATCCTGATCCAGTCGCCGCGACCCAATCCATCGCGGTCGTGGTTCCTGTCATCGATGCTGTTTTTGCTCATGGTCGTTTCGATCGCAGCCTTTGGAGGATTGCTGTCGTATATCCTCCTGTTCGGCAAGCCTTTGATTGGTCTGGGCTGCATCGGCATCAACGGCAAGACCCTGGTTGCGACCAAGCACGTCTTTGCATTCGATGTCGAGCTGGAGGCCCACAACTTCAACATGAGCCCCGTCGAGGTCGTCTTTGGCGAGATCGACATTTCTGTCGCTCGTCCGGGTAAGCGAGTGTGAGAGTGCTGCAGGGACTTTAACGCTCCGTATCGCCGACTTGTCTTTGCGGACTCGCTCGCCGAGTACATTCGACTCATGAGACTTGCGCTTCTTGCACGTCTTTAGATGACTTTGGCGGCAACGGCTATTCTAACGGCACAAACTCGGAGGCACCAGGAAGGACCATCGTGGGCCACGTCTCGCGTCTGAAGGAGCCAGCGTTCTTTGACAGCAACCAGCGCTCAGTTGAAGTCATCCGGATTGAAGTGCCGAGCCCCCGACCAGGGTCCCACGAGTAAGCTGCATGGAAGGAATATGCTGGCTGTTGTCGTGATAGGGGCGGCAGCGGTGGTCTTGGTGACAGGGGCGCGATAACACATCCATCCTTTCCGACGACGTGGAATGCTGAGCGAATGTGCCTCTCTTGTCTGATCCGAATGTGGCTGTTTCGACATGCGTGATGGTGCGAGCAGGATCTACGAAGCCTTCCCATATGTGCTGCGGCTGCAAGGCTTTCTGATCTACAACGTGACCGGCGGCTGGATTACGTATCGCAACCGGCTCGACCACGCCTTCTTCATCGAGAAGCGCCATCACCGCGAGCTCCAGAGTCAACGCCTGGGCTAGTTACAGCAAGCTGTGTTCATCACCAGAGCCTCCAAGCAGTTTTTGCAGTGCCTTGAAGTGATTTCCGAATGGTCACCGACCTATTCCTCCCCCCCCCGAATGACTCCCAGCGATTCCGATTGCAAATAGTATATATTCAGTGTCCATATCGATGAGCCCAGGTGTAACAATTGGTGTGATGAGCTGTGGGTGCCTCTGCTTCTCAGTAACCAGCCCACCGCACATCCACATCCACATCCACATCCACATCCACATCCACATCCACATCCACATCCACATCCACATCCACATCCACATCCACATCCACATCCACATCCACATCCACATCCACATCCACATCCACATCCACATCCACATCCACATCCACATCCACATCCACATCCACATCCACATCCACATCCACATCCACATCCACATCCACATCCACATCCACATCCACATCCACATCCACATCCACATCCACATCCACATCCACATCCACATCCACATCCACATCCACATCCAAAACAGCGCCACAGCCGAAAATAGTGTCTGCTCCCTTGTCCGGGAATGGCGCTGGCTTGTTCGCGGCGTTGGGTTTCACGCCATCGGCCGATTGTGTCGCGTGCCCGCACTCGAGCCGGATGGAGCCGGAGCCGTTTCAGGCTCTGAAAAAGCGTCCCAGCATTATTCGCACGCTTGGGCGGATGTCGCTGTCTGGCCAAGGAGACCGCTCCAGCTCGCCTCTGCGAGAGCAACAGCACTCACATACGCTCCTCCCGCAAAGACATTCGGCTTCGACGGTAGGACTGCCGTGTGGGAGAGTACGGCGGCGCACCGACTGCTCCGACTGCTCCGTGTGCGCCGCAATCAATGCGACCCGGCTGGTCAGGCTCGGGGCTAACGGACTGGGTTGGTCCTGCTTGCGTCTGCGTTTCAGCCACAACGAAATAAGCGAGCTCGTTTCCCTCTCCCTGGATTCAAACATGTCCGCGCACGCCCTGCGAAAGCAATATCGAGGTAGGCCACAGGACGAGATGTCTCTCTCTCCCCTGCTAGTAGCAGCAGAGTGATTTTTCAAAGATCTGCACAGGCGGGGCAGATTTGTGCCGGACAGCGATCCACCGTCTCTCGCCCGACTCGAATCCCGACGCTGCCGGACACGACCGGAACTGCGATCACTGGCTCCATGTAGCCGATCGCACAACGGATGTTCTCGCTCTGGATGGAACCGGTCCGCAGCTGAGCTCAATGGGCGGATGCTGACCATGACCATGTCGCTCCTTTGTCTCGATTGATTTCGTCCGGCAGAGCTGGTGAACAACCCCGTTGCCGGGTTTACGGTCTCGCTGCAAGATGATAGCATCTACAAATGGAAGTAGCGTGTCGTTCCTCCCTCCCTCAGCCGAGAGAGACTCTTGTTCCCTTGGCCGTAGCTGCGGTAGCTGTCGTAGCCATCGAAATGGGTTGACGGAATTGACAAGGCAAGCCAGCTAACGATCCCATATCGGACCGTGCGCTCCGTCTCGAACAACATCCTCTCACAGAGTCGGAATGGTCGGACCCCCGGATACACCATATTCAGGCGGATTCTTCTGGGTATGAGCCGTGTGTGTCGATGGAGGGGACATGATTGAGGGCGGGAAACATGCGGGATCTTGGACAGCGTGGTGGTCGTTCCGGGGTGAGCTGCGGAATGGGTCCAAGCTGGTTCCATATGCATCTCGAGGAATGCCCGTGGTCTCATTCTTCGCACAATTGACTGGTTTGCGATGCTACCGATCCTCCAGGCCACGATGAAGTTCCCCGAGGATTTTCCCTTCAAGCCTCCGACGTTCTCCTTTGACAAGCCGCTCTACCACCCGAACATGTGAGTGTGCAGGCTCTACTCTTGCTGACCATTCTCGCTTGCTGCACTTGCCGACTCGGTGAGTCTGACGCTCCTTCCTATCTGTGTTCCTGCCAGATATGGCGATGGCCGGCTATGCATCTCGATTCTCCACCCGCCTGGGGATGATCCGATGAGGTGAGCGTCGGTCATGAGCTCGACCGTATGTCCCGGAGCCTGGCGCAAGCCTCTGCACTGTTATGAATAAGTGTCCTGCACACCGCGGTGCATATGGTTGGTTTTGTAGAATGCGTCGCTAATGCTCGCATGGCGTCTTTCCTGTCCGGCTTCATCGATCTAGCGGCGAGTTGGCCGCCGAGCGATGGAATCCCACGCAGACCGTCGAATCCATTCTCCTGTCGGTCATTTCGCTGCTGGGCGACCCGAATTGCTCGTCGCCGGCGAACGTTGATGCAGCGGTGAGTTCATTTGGGAGAGGCTTGTGGATGACATCGAAGGGTACCCTCGAAGGGTGCCCTCGAAGGATGCCCTCGATGGATGATGAGCGGGCACTCTCCATTGGCTTGGAGCAGGGCGGTCGGCTGGGCTGGCTCTCCGGCTGCGTCGCAGCACAGAACTAATCAAGCTGGTCTTGACTGGGGTCGCTAGGTAATGTTCCGCGAACGACCAGAGGAATACAAGAAAATGGTGCTCAGCCAGGTGCAGGCATCCCGAGCAGATATCCCGGAAGACCTGTATATTCCCGGCTGGGGTGCGTATGGCAGCTGCATGTTGCGGCTTGAGCGGTTGATTGTCTGTTGCCGCTGATTCTGCTGCGTTGTGGGACAAGGTGCTCCGTCCTGACGTCTGCTCCTCGGTCCTGTTCAGACGAGAGCCATTCGCATACACGGGGTGCGTCGGGCGCTTCGGAGGACGACGCCGAGTCCGAAGACTTTTGGTACGACGACAACGAAGACGAAGCCGACGAGGACGAGGACGAGGGCGACGACGACGACCAGAACAACGAGTGGGAGGAGCAAGCGGACGACGACGATGATGCGCAGGGTACATGTGAAGAGGACGACAACTGATGTGTGTTGATATCGACGAATACAGAAGGTTTCGCAGCGACAGGAGACCGGGGCAATCGGCTCGTCCCGCGGGTGGGGGCGGATGCATCCCTTGTCGGGCAGGCTCGGCTCCCAGGGAGTGCGGCCTGAGGCCAAGTGGAGCGAGTGGGGTATTGGCTGTGGCAGTCGACATTGGCTGTTACATGAGTTGTTACATCAGTTGTTACATGAGTTGTTACATTAGTTGGTATATGAGTTGGTATATGAGTCGTTACAGTCGATCCAATAAAACGGGCACCTTGGTCTTTGACTTGATATTTTGTTACCCAATAACTATTGCTTGACGAATTCCATCGCATACGACGCCAACCTATGGGATCGTGAGGGTGTCTCGTTTGCTCATATGCAAAGTGTTCATTTAACAATCGATTGTTACATTGTTAAACGATGCTCTAACATGTCCCCACTCGTCTCACAGTGACACTCTCAGTCTCCCCCCCCCACCGCCCCGTCGCGCCGCGCTCTGTGCGCGGATTGCCTGGGATGGGCCACCGTCCTTCTGCTCGCCCCCCGACCCGCACCCCCCCCTTTTCTGCCGTGCGGTTCCTTCGCTGCCCTTCGCTGCTCCTGTTTCTCCAGGGCCGTCTTCCGTCCGCTTGCCCCAGGCCTGCCCCCGTCGCCCTCCCCGCTGATCCGCTATTCTGCCCCCCGTCGTTGCCATGCACATGCAGCGCTTTCGCCCGGGCGGCATCGGCGCCCTTGTCCGTCTGGTCCTTTTGTCGGTGTTGCTGCGGCCCAGTTTGCAGCAAACTGGGGCACCAGGTAAGCGACCCCGCTGTTGGCTGCCGTGCATTTGCCGGCTCGCTTGTTGCCGTGCATTTGCTGGCTCGCTTGCTGCCGTCTGCCGTCCCAGCGACTGAGTCTGATGCACCCTCGACCGCCCAGATCTCGACGTCAGTGCTTCCGGTGCAACGTTCCCCGGCGCCCTGTACATCCAGCTCTCGTCCGACTTTTCCTCGGCCTTCACCGACAACTTCACCTATTCGCCCACCTCGTCGGGCCAGGGCGTCAGCTCTCTTCTCGACCCGTCGCAGCCCCTTGGCTATGCTGGTTCGGATCTCATCCCCAGCACGCTTCAGGCCAACGGATTGCAGCTCGTTCCCGTGCCCTCCTTTGTCAGGTATCTGATCTGCATCACCACAATCCGCCCCCAATGTCTCCCTGCCACTTGCCCCTGCCATCTGCGCCAGTGTCTCCCTTGCGATACCGCCACTCATCATCACACCACTCGCCATCCAGCGGCATCGTCGTCGTCTACAACCTTGGCCCGCTGACCGCCAGCAATCCCCTCAAGCTCACCCGCAAGAATGTTGCCGACATCTTCCAGAATGTCGTCACGACCTGGAGCGACCCCAGTCTGGTCGCCAACAATCCTTGGCTCGCGGGCACCAACCACTCGATCCAGCTTGTCACCCGCTCCGGCACCTCCGGCACCAACGCCCACTTTCTCGATGCCCTCAGCAGCTTCCGCGACAACTTTACCACCCTCTCCAACGGTGTCTTCCCGAACGTCAACCAGTTCTGGGCCCCCACCAACGACTATGTCGGTGCTGTTGTCAGCAGTGTCAACTACTCCATTTCGTACATGGACTTTCCCGACGCCCTCTCGAACCGCCAGGCCAACGCCGCCTTTGGCATCGCCCAGCTCTTCAACAAGGCTGGCAATCTCATTGTTCCGTCGCTGAGCTCGATCCAGAGTGCCCTCAACAACCTCAACTCCACCTCCAGCCTCGATACCTCCAACCTTGCCTGGTCGATCAACAGCGCTCTCACAGACTCGCCTGATCCCAATGCCTATCCGATCATCGGCTCGACTTTTTACATGCTCCGCCATGACAGTCCCAGCTCCGTCAACTCGGCGCTGACCGAGAGCGACATGCGCGCCGCCCTGCGCTATCTGTGGTGGACGCTCTTCAACGGCACCGAGCCGACCCCGAGCCCCTTCTACAATGCCACCTCGACCGTCACCTCCAAGTCCTTTGTTCGATACCCATTCGCCTTCCGAAACTACTCGTACAGCCTCCTCCGCACCGTCAGCTTCCGCGGAGTCCAGCTCTACAACGACCAGGAGCCCTGCAACCCCCGCTTCGATGCCAGCGGCAACTACCTCGGCCCCAACTCGTGTGCCAATGGGTTTTGTCTGATCGACGGGCCTTTCCAGTCCGGCTCCACCTGTGTCTGCCAGGCAGGCTTTATCAACATCAACCAGCGGGACTGTTCCGAGCAAGCCGTGTTCTTCAACTACCCCCTCGGCGCCCAGGACTCGTACCATCTGCGGTTGATCCTGCTTGTGCTGCTATGCTTGGGCTTTATACTCATTGCCGCGATCACAGCCGTTATGATCTGGAAGAGCAAGGAGAATCTCATCCGTGCGATTGCGCCGGCGTGCTGCTATGTGGTCCTTGGTGGATGCGGTAACTATCCGGCAGTCGTTGATGTTGCTGCGTTGCGTGGTACTTGCATCGTCGTCTTGGCAGGTCATGGGCCATTGTCGTACTTTGATGTGAGGCTCGATCACCCCAGATTCCCATACCGCGTCACCCTGGCTAATCCGACCTCGCCCATCGCTTCTGTTCTGCAGCCATCGGTCTCTTGGGTGCCCTGCGCCTCTCGGAAGTGCCCACCAGTTTGACCTGTGTCTTTGACTTCTTCCTGGTCCCGGTTGCCTTCACAACCGTGTTTGCCATCCTGCTCCTCAAGGCTTACCGGATCTATGCCATCTTCTCCTACAAACGCATGTCCACCTCGTCCATCATCCCCAACACCAAGCTCATCCTCGTCAGCCTGGGTCTCAGCGTCGTGCAGCTCCTCATCTCGGCCATCCACACCGGCATCATCCGTCCCAAGGCCTCGGTTGCCCTCATCGGCGAGCAGTATGTCGTCACATGCCCGATCGACCCCGGCATGTTTGGCGGCTTCATCTCCTTCCTGGTGATCACAATTGCCTTCAACCTGCTTATCCTGGTTGGCTGCTTGGTCCTTGGTGTTCTGACCCGCGGCGCCCATGTGACCTTTACCGAGTCCAAGGAGCTCTACTACTGCCTGATTGCCACGGCCCCGACGGTCATTCTGGGCACGATCATGGTGTGTCTCCTGCGTGGCCTGAGCTTTACCGGCTCGGACACGGTCTCGCAGTTCTTCACCTCTCTGGTCATCACCATCGTCTTTGGCTTCATTATTCCCTTGACCCTCTTCATGCCGCGCATCGTTGCCGTGCTGAGGGGCTCGGACGCCAAGCCCGGCCTCGAAGCCGGCCCCACCGACAGCCAGAACCTGTCGAGCCCCGTGGCTCCGTCCATTGGCTCGTGGGCCATCCGTGCGCACACCTACGAAGTCGGCGTCCAGGGCCTCAAATTTGGCTCGGCCTGGACCTCGGTCTCGCTCCTGACCCTCCCTGAGATGGACCTGATTGTGTTCCTGGACTCGGTCAACACCAAGAAGGCCCTCATGTCCTTCCAGCTCAAGACGGTCGAGATCAACTACGTCCAGCCCAACGGCGACCGCGCCGACGAGCCCACCAAGCGCATTCAGCTGCGGCCCACGCCGCTGTCCAAGACCCACTTCAAGATCGAGTTCCCGGTCTTAGAACAGGCCACCCGCTTTGCAACGGCCGTGGCCCAGTTCCAGCGCCTCAACCAGAGCTCTCCCTCCGACGGCAGTTCGGCCAACTTTGGGCCTCTGTCGTCACTTGCCCGTCTGAGCCAGCCCAATCTCGACTCTCCGGTGGCGCTTACGCCCATGACTCTGCCTCCACTGAACCCGTCCGTCATCAGCCGGTCGTTCCCTGCCGAAAGCCGCCTGTCATCGGTCCACTCCCAGCTCTCAAAGGCGCCGCATTCCGAGAAATCGAGTCCCACCGCCGTGACTTCCTCCGAGTCCTCGCTGGGTGGACGCCTCATGACCCTTGAGAGTCTCGCGTCCGATTCTCATCTGAAGGACGACGATGGCGACGAGCTCTTGGTTCTCAGGCCCTGAAGGATCCATGTGGGCTCGACCGATTCCAACCGCCATCTGCAGACACCTGCCATACTGAGCCTTCCTGCTGCTCGGACATGACACTTGCTACCGTGCCCACCTCGTATAAGCCTGCTTTCCTCCACTCTCTTCCGCCTGCGTTCCTGGCGCATTTGACTTTGTTGCTGTTCTATGTTGTGATGTTGATACTTTGATTTGCTGGTCGTTTGTGCGATGCTGTATCCGAGCCTTTTCTCGTTCTCTTGTCCCCGTTTGTGTCCTCAAAATTATCTTGCTTGAACCCTGTCCCTCCCCCTGAATCTCACTTCGGTCCCCGCCCTCGTGTCTCTCCGCTTGTTGTCCGTCCTACGCCCACCTATATCGCTTGGTCTAAATTGTACCCACCCTGCCCTCCCATCCTGTTGGGGGTGGCTCTTTTCCTCTTTGAATAATCCCCTTCCTCTAAAGCCTTCCAAGAGAGAAGCCCCGTTGGAGGCTACCAGTGAAAATTATGATTTTCAGAGTCGACCTATGAACCAGAGCTTCCGTACTAATGAACCAGAGCCACCATTCTATCGTGCACGGAGCTTTCTTTGGCGATGCCCGGTGGCATTGCTTGGTCAAGAGAGGGGAGTGGGGCTGGAGGAGTTAGTAGGAGTATACAGTCCATCCAGATAGAGAAGATAGTGCGATTGTTCGTCTTGAATACACCCGGTCGATCACAGCGGTGTATTCAGACCAGGAAACAGCGACAGCACTGGGTGCCTCGTTTCAAAATGAACACTTCACCACTGCCGGTTTCCTCTCACATTCGTTTGCTCGCTCGCTTGTTTGCTGTTTCTGACACAAATGGACATCCCATTCATGACAGGAGCGGCTTCATTCCTCGCAGCCAAACAAGCCTGACCCAGGACGATCGGCCACCTGGAACTCGATCGTTGCGATATCTTGATCCGATCCAGGGTTTCTCAAGCCGCCTTGCAGAATTTGGCCTGGCAAAACGGGTCCAACTCCAGCGGGCGTGCCTGCATCATGGTGCAGTTCCGAGCGACGAAGCGATTGCAGAAGCAGAACAATACGAATGAGCACCGCTGGAAACGAGCATTGCGATGACTCGGGATAATGTGAACGGCGAAAACGCTCCATCAATGGCGACGCTACCAAGTATGGTGTAGCGGGGTTGCGAAAACAGGATGCATGGGTGCATCTATAGGACATGAAAGTGGGGATGGCAGGATCAACCCAAGTTCCGTGCCCAAGCTTACCAGTCAGAATGACATCACCGGCCTCAAGCCGCATGACCGAGCTGACATACTCGATCAATGCAGGGATACTGCATGCGTTGCCCGAGAGGATGCGTGGAGAATATGCAGCATCCGTCAGGATCCTGGTTGACACTTTGGCGAGCAGGGAAGGACGGCCGACGAGTGACCGTACTACCAACTATCTGGCTCGCAACTGCTTCCGCAACTAACCCTGAGCAAGCATGAAGATCGACGCGGGTGATGCTCGCCAGGAACGAAACGCACCTGAAGAGCATGTCCCTGGTGTTGCCGTTTTGAACGAGCTTGCCATCATTCTACAAGGATGATGGTTCGTGATATCCCACAGTGTGAGCAGCATTTCATGCCACAGAACTATCGAGTGTTCCTGCTGAACCCGATCCATAGGCTGCATTGACCAAACGGAGGTGCTGTCGCAGTTGTATCATTCAATTTAGACTCACCTTGAGCCAAATGTCAAGATTGCTGGGATCATGGACTCGCTCTTTTTCGATAAACTCGCTACCAGGATAAAGAACCAATCGTCAAGGAGGCTCACATTCGCGACTGGATCATGACAAGGGGTATTTCTCTACAGCAACAGGGCGTCGACGACAGAGCATCCTACCCGATCGGCGTAAAGGTGTCGAAGCCCTTGGCCACAGACCAGGGGTGGCCTTTGCTCTTGGCAGCATCCTGGTCAGATAGATTTTGGGGAAGGGGTCAGATTCGTATCAAGAATCAAGTGCAACTCTACTGGTGTGCCCGAGGGAGGCGGGCACATTTGAGGCCAACGGCAGACTGGCTGTTTGTCGTGGACTGGATATTACCTGGAGGTTTCTTGCAGTCATGTCCAAGGCCAGGGCATAGCCTGCAGCAACATCCGCTGTCATGAGTCCCAGTCTCAAGGCGCTATTCCATCCCAAGAAGGTTCGCAGCGCAGATCTCTGCAGGTTCGGTGAGCACCGCAACACACGCACTCGAAATAATGCCATCGAGACCCGCCCTATCTAACCTGAGACATAGTCCATGGCCCGGCTGGCCTTGATGTCCCTTCCATTCTTGCCGATGACCAGGGCCAGCTCGATCTCATGGTGTAGGATCACGTTCTTGGGACGCTCGATGATGCCCAACGATCCATCGCTGGGCCGGACGAGGTAGGACGATGTGGGCTTGAGGAAGAACATGGGGCTCTTGGGGACGGCATTGCCGAGCTCTTTGGCATGCTCGCTGGCAGGTAAAGAGCAAAAACAATGTCAGACCAGCACGGATCGGCTCTGAGGCCGGACATACTCCAACGGCGGATCTATTAGTGGGCGAAGTGGGCTGTGGTTGGATTTGTGGAGGGCGGTGTGGGTGGAAGAGGGGCTTACGCATAGTTTCTGCCGATGGCGATGATCTTGCGGCCGATTTGGACAAAGTCTCTCATGGCAAGAGTGCGGTGGGGGAGCGGTTCCAAGCGGACGGGAGAGGAGATGGCGGTTGATCCAGATCGGAGGAAAGCCGGCGATCTCGGACTGGACGAGCTGGCGGATGCAAAATGCAAGCGCGTCGGGGATGGAGCTGCAGATCGGAGGTCATACGATCAAGGGCTGCATCCAATCCAACGTATATTATCACGATCAAGAAACGAGTGCGGTGGCTGTGATGAGTCTCCGAAACATCTGGCCGGTACGCAAGCATGGCGGGGCAATGGCCGTCTCTGCACCGATCCAGGTTCAGCCCTTCATCGCTGCGGATTTGGGGCTTTCGACTTGTTCCGCCCGTTCGTCCTCGCTTGAGACGTGCTGAACGGAGAAGAACAGCGCTCCGGCGACGATAAAGGAGCCCAACAGGAACCACAGCGAGTTGCGGCGGTATCCGGTGCCCTGGATGATGGCTCCGACAATGAGCGGCCCGATAGCCGAAGATCCCTTGTCGGTGATAGCTGGGGATTGGGGGGAGAGTGGATGGTCAGCCCGAGGTGCAGTGGCTCGGCTTTCATGATATCATGGGCAGACAGCGACAGCGGCATCGAGGGATCCTGAGAAGCTGCCTCGACATCATACTCACTCATCATCGAGAAATACTCAGCCTCCTGGCCCGGCGGGATCATCTGGGAGTACCAGACTCGACATGAGCTCTGCGTCGCTCCGATCAGCAATCCATGCCACACGGCGCACACCCAGATCTCCCACTTGTGCTTCAGGAAGAAGACTCCGTAGAGCGTCAGGAGCGCATAGAGGGATGCTTGCGCAATCAAAATTGGCTTGGTAGATCGCTTGGTCAGGTTTTGGATCCACGGGAAGGCCTTGAGGCCAACGATGCCGGCGACAAAGATCGTCAGGGCGATCCCAACGAGCTCCAGCTGGCTGGCGCCGAGCTCCTCCTGGGCAATCAACAGCGCAACCGAGAGCAGCGTGTTGAAAGCATCTGCGTAGAGGACCCAGCCGAGCAAAAAGAAGATGATATGCCGCTCGTCCCGTGCGGCCTTCCTGAGGGTCTTGCCGACTGTGGAGCAATGGTGACCGAGGTTATCGTTAGGGTCAAGGGAGGCGATGCTATCAGCGGCTCATGCAAACTGTCCAATGACGGAGACCGAGCGATGCCGGGCAGAGCTCGAGGCCGCTTGGCTGTTGGACCTAACCTTCGCTCCATATGGTACTGCCATGCTTACCTTTCTTGAATGAGTATGTCAGTGGATTCACCTCGGCTGGAAGACAAGGGCCGGGACGAGACTTGAGCCATGCAGCAGGGAACCAGAGGAATCCGAGCCACCACACGCTCGAGAAGGCCACCACGATCTGCGACGGATACGTTGACGTAGGCATGGCTGGGTTGGATCCAAGGAGATAGATGATGGCTGAGCCAATAGCCAAGGTGACGAGGGTCCCGCCATAGCCAAAAGCCACCGCAGTGGAGCTGATGCGGTTGGCAGTGCGATCGTATGCGACATCGGCGCCGACTGTGGTCGAGAGGCTCAAATAGTCCGGATGGGCTCGGGTCAAGACAGGGATGTAAGCAAAGAAGAACAGGTACGAGCCCACGAACAGAACCGAGCCTGCAATAAAGAGCAGGCCCGCAATCCAGAAGAGTGCTGGAATCGTTGGCGGTGCGAGATGAGCGTCGCGGTTGTCGGGAATGATAGGTACAGCGATCAGCAGCGGCTTCACCACCACGGATCTCGTTCGTGCTGAACCGAGGGTGGACCTGCGACGGGCGCATTCGCACTCACCGGCTTTGAGGACGAGAACGAAAGCCAGACCGCAGAAACACGAGAGTATTGAAAAGATAATCATCCATCGCTTGCGTTTCTCTGGAAACCGATGTCGATAGGGCCATAGATGATGAGAACATGCCGACTGTGAGCCTGATACCGGTGCAGACGCAGCCACATCCAAGCACATGTCTCATTCGGCTTGGCGACTCACCTCCGTAGTCCGACAGCGCCCCGAAGCCGATCAGAACGAACATCTGCAGAATGGTCGCTGCCGAGCTCAGATACAGGAACAGCGAGCCGGTGTCGAGGCAGCCAGAGCCGATTTTGACACAGCACGAGTACGAGGCGGCAGTGATATCGCAGGGGACGCTATTATCGAGGAGATTCCAGCCGCTCTCGGCCGCAAGGCCCCGGACGACCACAGGCATCAGCAGAGACATGGACATGCCCCTGGATGAAACAGGGCAGCGTCAGCAGAGCAAAGACCCTGATTGTATATAACAAGCTGGTGTTGGAGCTGGACTCGACGTACATGAAGCATTCGCTCTGCAGTCGAAAGAGGAGCATGGAGTAGCGAAATGTGAGTTTATGAGGGCCTCCAGTGTCTGCAGCAAATGTGACAGAGTGTGGTCGGGTTGGAGCGACAATGGCTTACAGCAAACGAAAAGATATAGTACCCCCACAGTTCCCGTTTGGAAACAGTGGTGGGGTCTCCCGCGGATATCGGCATCGAATGAGACTGCATCGTCAAGGGGTATGGGCTCTGGCCTGGGTTGCAGATGGCAGAGTCGTCGGGGGGGGGGAGGATGTGGGGAAGGAGGGAGGAATGCAGTGCTCTCAGGCAGGGTCGGGTGGAACTGCATCCTTGTGGGCAGTGGTCGGCATGGGCAGCCAGGCGCGACTGTGGCGCCACTGTACAGCTGTCGGCGCCACGCGTTTGCATCACGACAGAATTCCTTGTGGATCGCGCATCAAGGGAATACACACAGTTCACTGCCACAATCCCAGATCACGCGGAAGGGTTGGGTCAGGTGATGAAATGGAAAATGGATTCATGTTGTTCGAACAACGGGAGAGGGTCCATGATGTTAAGATACAGGAGTGGGGTGGATATTTTTCTTTCTTTATTGTGCGCCGCCGTGGCGGCGCACTAGCCATCAGGACCCCGTGGTCCCCGGCATCTCGCTCTTCATGGAGTATATCGAGTGTTTAAAAGTCCCACTCAGGAATGTCGCCGGGCCTGGCTTGCCATCCAGCGAGTCTCTGTCAAGACTGGACAACGGGGCAAGCAGGGAAGTGCGCAAGAGTCCTAATGCAAGACTCGAACGTAGGGAGAGGAGCGGGGACTGGACTGGGACACAGAGTGTCAAGTGTAAAGCCAAAGTTTTATTCTAGATCCAAGGCTTAGGATACTAAAAATACAAAGTGGCAAGACGAAGGCAAAGACTGTGAGGAGTGAACCAGCGCAAGGACGAAGACCAAGTGCTTGGTATGAGCTTTATTAGCTTTTAGCCCCGAACACCAAAGAACAAGTTTTGTTCGAACTGGTGTTCAACATAGGCTCAGACATGCAGGGCTATTTATAGACCGGGAGAAGGTCGAGGGGCAAAAGTGGGCGAGAAGGGTGGAGCATCACAGAGAAGCGAGAAGGGGGTGCGAGAGTGGCTGGTGTGCAAGCGAGAGAGGCTTGGCACAGCCCGGGGACATGTGCCGAGCGGTGGGGGAGGCAGGAAACCAGTAGACGCGGGTGGCAACGGCGCGTGCTCATGCATGGGGGCAAACAAACACGTGGGGACTCATGATTGGTGCGGAGGGCGAGAGCATGCGGGACAATCTCATTGGTCCGTTGTGATGCTGGTCATCACACTATCTCCTCCTTAAACTACGGCGTGTTCCATCTTGAGTTCTCCTGGGGCCAGGCTTGTCTGGGTAGCGTCGGTGGTACTCCGCGGCCACCGTTGGGGCAAAGACAATGTCGGCGGGCTCCCAACTTCGATCGGTGACCGGGTAGCCTTTCCAATCGATGAGATAGTGCAGCTTTCCGCGCACGAACTTGGAGTCTAAGATCTCTTCGACCTCCCACTCCAAGTTCCCATCGATGACCACCGCAGGGGGCGGCGCTTGCACCCGACCCGGAAGCGAGTTCTTCTTGTAGGGCTCAAGAAGAGACACATGGAACACCGGGTGCACCTTTATGTCCTTTGGCAAGTCCAGGCGGAAAGCCAATGTCCCGACGGCCTCGAGGATGGTGAATGGTCCAATCCTCTGGTAATCCAGCTTCTTGCTTGGGCGAGTGGTGCTGATGTTACGAGTCAGCACCCAGACTTGATCGCCCGGACGCAAGTCGGGAGCCTGGGACCTCCGGAGATCTGAGAAGTGCTTGTAGTCAGACTTTGCCTTCTCAAGATTCTCCTTCAACAGTGCCAGGTTCCGCTGGAGATGTTCAACCCTCTCCGTGGCAGAGGGAACATCAGGGCCGCCAGCGACAACGGGGACTTCGAACCTTGGGTGGAACCCATAGGTTGCCAAGAATGGCGAGGCATGTGTTGACGAGTTCTCGAGGTTATTGTAAGAGAACTCGGCCAACGGCAGCAGCTCGGACCAGTCATCTTGCTGATACGACGTGTAACAGCGCAGGTATTGGTTGATGACCTGGTTGACCCTCTCAGTCTGTCCATCGGTCTGGGGATGGAAGGCCGTGGACAGACTGGTTTGGATCCCGAGCTGCGTGCAGAGTGCCTTCCAGAACCGAGAGGTGAACTGACTTCCTCGGTCTGAAACCACTGTGTCGGGGAGGCCATGGAGACGAAAGACATTGTCGAGGAACAGTGACGCAGTCTCCTCCGCCGACGGCAGTGAACGCCAGGACATAAAGTGTGCCATCTTTGTGAGGCTGCATACCACCACAAAGATGCAGGTGTGACCCTTGGACTTTGGCAGATCAGTGATAAAGTCCATGGTCAGTGTCCCCCAGGGTCGATCGGCTGTCTGGAGTGGCAACAGGAACCCAAACGGCTTGTGTCGCGGAGCTTTCGAGCGTGCACAGGTGTCGCACGTCGAGACGTACTCTTTGACATCTTTCCGATAGGTTTGCCACCAAAACTGTCGCGATACCAGAGCCAGAGTCCGTCGGATGCCTGGATGACCCACAGCGACTGGGTCATGGCACGACTTGAGCGCCGGAACTCGGCACGACTCTGGGACCACAATCCTGTTCTGGAAGGTGAGGTACTGGCCATTCCAGACGAACTTCGGGTCACGACGGTATTTGTCTAGACCGGGATCCCGAGCCTGCTCTTCGGCTATGAGCTGCAGCAAATCCACAGGGTCACTGCGACTTGCAACCGAAGAGCGGGCGTCTCTGCTTCGGAGCACGCGTATCACCGCGGCAGGATCGAGAAGCAGAGGCGGATCCCTCGACACGGAGGCCGACGAAGGGATGTAGTCCGAGCGACGAGACAGGGCATCGGCCTTGCCGTTCCTCGCACCAGGACGGTACTGGATGCGGATGTCGAACCGAGACAAGAACTGGGACCACCGTGCATGGCGCTGGTTTAGGATGCGAGCCGTCGCCAGGTACTCCAAGTTCTTGTGATCGGTCAGAACGGCAACGGGATGCTGGGCGCCTTCGAGGTAGTGTCGCCACGCCTCGAAAGCCTCCTTGATCGCCAACAGCTCTTTCTCGTATATGCTGTAGTTACGTTCAGCATTCGAGAGTGTCCGCGAATGGAACGAGCAAGGATGAAGGCGATCATCAGCACCCCGCTGGGAGAGCACGCATCCAAGCGCAAAGTCCGACGCATCTGACTCTACGACGAACGGCTTGGATGGGTCCGGATGCACCAGAACGGGCTCCGAAACGAAGGCATCCTTCAAGGATCTGAATGCTTTATCGGCTTCGCGGGACCACTGGAAGCCATGCGTCTTCCGGAAGAGCCGAGTCATGGGCCCCGCGATCTTTGCGTATCCATCGATGAAGCGTCGATAGAAGTTCGCAAACCCGACAAAGGATCGAAGATCCGAGATGTTGCGCGGTATGGGCCAATCCAAGATCGCAGAGAGCTTGGATCGCTCCATACCGATGCCCTCGGGCGAGACCATGAAACCAAGGAACGAGACCGAGGTTTTGGAGAACTCGCACTTCTCCAGCTTGCAATACAGCTTTGCAGCTCGGAGCTTCGAGAGGACCTGCTTGACGTGCTCTACATGCTGCGACGGGTCAGCACTGTAGATCAAGATATCGTCAAGATACGCAATCGCGAACTGGTCCAACTCGGTGCGCAGGACGTCGTTGATGAAGTGCTGGAACGTCGCTGGCGCGTTGGTGAGCCCAAAGGGCATCACCAAGTACTCGAAGTGCCCATATCGAGTACGGAAAGCTGTCTTCCACTCGTCCCCGGAGCGGATGCGCAGCAGATTGTAGGCTCCACGAAGGTCCAGCTTAGTGAACACCTTCGCGCCTCGAAGTCGGTCCAGCAGCTCGCCGATCAGCGGTAAAGGGTAACGGTTCTTTACCGTGATACCGTTCAGTGCGCGGTAGTCAACGCAAAGACGAAGTGAGCCGTCCTTCTTCTTGACGAAGAGGATTGATGAGCCTGCTGGGGACGACGAAGGACGAACGAATCCCTTGGCAAGATTCTCGTCGAGATAGTCACGCAGAGCGTGAAGTTCGGGCTCGGACAGTGAGTACAGAGGCCCGAACTTTGGCGACTTGCCCGGCTCCAAGTCAATGGGGCAGTCGTAAGGGCGATGCGGAGGCAAGGAGTCAGCTTCCTGTTTAGAGAAAACAGACAGGAAGTCCTTGTACTCCGCAGGCACTTCGACAGTCGCAGTGCTCGGCTCGTCAGTGGGCAGGACATGGACCTGAAAGATGGTCAGGGGTTGCGTTCCATGCCTGCATGCATCCAAAGACTCGCGCATCGAGCGGTAATCAATGCTGCAGACGCGGAGAGGAGCGTCCGAGCTGAGAGGAGGGGCGTGGACAAGGTCAGAATAATGTTCGACGGTTACTTTATTCTGAACAATGTCCGAAGAACAAACAACAGGAGGAGGTACATCAAGGAGGGAAAGAGAACTGACAACAGAAGAAGGGGTTTGGGAAGAGCGAAGGGGTTCGGGAGGAACAAGACAAGAAGGGGAAGACGAAGGTGGGAGCGTAGGAGAGGAGCTTAGATCAATCAAAGGAGTGGAATCATCAAGAAGGGGAGTGACATTGGAGGAAGTGGAGCAAGACGAAAGAGAAGCAGTGCATGGAGAGGGGTCGGAATCAACAGAAGGAGGGAGACAAAGAAGACCGCGAGACCAGACAATCTTGGGCTCGGCGGTGCGCAACCAAGGAAAGCCAAGGATAAGTGGTTGATGTGGAGACCTGATCACATCGAACCGAAGGCGTTGCGAGACGTCCCCGAGAATCACCTCGAGTGGAGCA